TTCCTATTATTCTTATTAATCTTATTTAGTTAAAACTCTCTTAGTAATTTATTAATAGTTTTCGCCTTCTTAGCTAGGTCGCTTATATTCGAAGTAGCGTTCTTGCCGGCTTTAATCGGTTTACGTTTAGGTTATAACGATAGGACTTCTATATCCTTTTAATCGGGTACTTTTCTTTCGATATATTCGCCGTTAGGATCTTTAGTTCGTTTAATTACGTTAACTTCGACTAGGTCCGTTTTAATAATACCCTTATAATGGTAGATACCTTCGTCGTCGATGAGACCCTTGGTTTAATTATAACCTAAGATTTCCGTTTCGTATAATTCGTAGTTATATTTACGTTCGACTATTTAAATAACGTTAATTTCCGATATAGTTCTTGATATCTTTTTTTACTTTGGTATTATTTCCTTATTCTTAAAGTATCGTAGGTTAAGGGATATAAGCTTTAGCTTTCCGGTTAGGTAGTAATATGCTATTTTACGTATTTACTCTAGAGATTTCTTACTTTAGTATACGTAAAATAAGATATAGTAAGCGATCGGTTCTTTTTTACGCTTAGCTTAGGTAATAATCGATCTTAGGACTAGCGTTAACTTTAGCTTATCCGGGTTTCCGTTCTCGAGGTAGTATAGTCGCTTATTATTCCTATAGTAGAACCGATTCTAGGTTATATTTATTAGTAGCGGATAGCGGCTATAGTTATAAAGCCGATCGAAAGTATTATAAAATTAATATTCGAATTCCTTATAATTATTCGTTTAGGTTAATAGAATCTTACTACGTATGCTTCGGTAGTTTAGTATGGTACTACGTTTAAAGCTTATTAGGGTCCTTTCGTTAGTTTATAGGTTATAAAGGCTTAGGTTCCGAACCGCGTTTACTAGGAACGGATTTTCTTATTAATATTATTAATCGGCGCCGTACGTATCCCTAGGATTATAAAAGCTATTCTCCTAACGGTAGTTCTACGAAGTTATCTTTATCTTTAAAGCGTTAAGTCGGTCGTAGAAGGCCTATATACTAGCTTCCTAGTTAGTACTTAGGTAGCCGTAAGAGGGTTTAAGCTACGAGGGAGGCGATAGTAGAGGTATTTAGAGGCTAGGAGTCGTTAATCGTTAAATTATTTATATCATAGGCTTCTCGGGTTCCTCGAAAGTTACCGTTTTTTACTATCGTCGTTTCTCGGCTTAGGTTTTATCGGTAATTTATATTACTATACGACGTTCCGCCTACTTATAAAGCTAGGTATAAAGAGTTCGGTAGTCGATATTTCCGATCTTATTATGGTTATAGTTTTCCGTTTTATAGAACTTTATAATTAGGGATATCCGGAGTTTATCGGTTAGGTATCTTACTTTCTAGGAAAGCTTTTCGTTATCGTTTACGAGCTTAGAAAGACGTTTATAGTTTATAAGATACGTAAAGATCGCTTTAGGATCGTTAATTACGTTACTTCGTTTTAGTTATACGAGTTTACGTTTAACGTTAGCTTAGTTTGGTTTATCGGTAATCTTAAAGCGGTACTTTAGGGCTATAACGATAATTCTTTAGATCGTTTGGTTTTTCGTAACGTCGTTAATACGCTTCCTAATGATTTTAATCGTAATTTATTTACCGATCTTTTTAATTTTATCGCCGTCGCTTATACGGTAGCGGTTAAATAATCGATTTACTTTTTTTAATTACTAAGTTACGTTATATTCGTTAAACTTAAGCCTAGGGTAATCGGTAGGGTTAGGGAATTTAATGGCTAATATTACGATAATCGGGGTAGTTATCGGTATATTTTAGCTACTAGAGGCCATGTTATTATTATTTTAAAATAATACTATAAGGATTAACGGGATAAATATAAAGCTACGGTTAAGGGGTAATTAAGTAGGAGTTTTATCGTCGTTCTTCTTTTCTTCGGGCGGATATAGGAGCGGAGAGTTAGTATCGACTTTTAAGGTTTTTACTAGTAGTTTAGTCTTTATTACTTCGGGTCCTAACGGCGATTTATTCCGTTTCCTAGCTACGGATTCCGTTTAGTTTATCGGTACGAGATATAAAGTAGAAAGGGGAATAGTAGGGGTCTTATTATTTAATATAGGGGTAAAGATATAATAGTTATTATTTATATCCTAATACTTTTCCTTTAATATAGGTATGTTATTATTTATTATATTATTTCGATCGATAGGGTCCGGGTATTATACGAGCTTTTCTAGTCGGCTAACGCCTAACTAAAGTGCGATACGTATTCCTTAGATTAATAGTTTAATTATTATAAATATATCGACGATAATTCCTCTTATTAAGGTTTAGAACTCCTAACGTATAACCTTCGTTAAGGTAATACGTATAAAGGATAGATCCCGAGTAGAGGATCGCGTTAAATACGATACCGGTTATAGCTATAGGCCGGTTTCGATCTAACGGAGGTTGTTTAATGGTATTAGCGGTATTACCGTTAGGCGTCGTTTTACGCCTATGTTAGTACTTTTCGCTATATTAGTTATTAGTTAGTAATATAAGGTTAGCTTATATATAAATATACCTATTAGCTCGACTCTAGTTTCGTTTCCCTAATCCTTTATATCTACGTAGTTTTATTAATGTTAATTTCTAGTTTTCCTTAAAACTATCGGTTATTAATAGCTATTAGTTTATTAATTTCTATTTATGCTATTAATATAAATATTTATATTATATCGTATATTATATCGTCGAGTCGCTACGCTTAGGTATTTTAAAATACCTTTAATATAATAAGTTATTAGTATTTATATATTTAGTTTATATCGATTAATAAATTTAAAGGGAAAAAGAAGCTATCGTAAGATCGGCTAAGGTATAATTATTATTAGCCTTTATCCGCCCTTAGTATTAATAAAGGAGTAGCGGGTCGTATAGGTTATCGTAATTTATATTAAGGCGTTCGTACGTCCTTTATATAATAAGTAAATAATTATAAGGGGGCTGCCTTAATCGCTATAAGCTTTATTTACTTATACGAGATATATTATATTATTAGCGGTTCGAGGAAGCGGTTAGTATCGAAGGCTAAGTACTATCCTTAGTAACGGTTATATTACGACGAAAGTTCTCCCGGGTTTTACGGGTTCCTCCGTATAGGTAGGTAAATAACGATACGAGGGATATCCTAATCGGTATAAACGCGGTCTAGTCGTCGTATTATATCGTAATATCGATAGCTTATTAATATTATAAGTATTAAGGGCTAGGTAGTATTTTAACGGCTATAATATCGTAGTAAAGGTTCCCGGGTTTATACGTACCTCCTTATAGTAAATAAATAACCATAAGGCGGGATACTTTATTTAACGTAAAACGCGGGCTACTTCGCGGGTTAAATGGTGGCGCCGACGGCGATCGGTATCCTTTAAATTTTAATAGCGTAATAAAAACTCCTTAGATTAAAGGTTAAGGGGTCGAAAAAGTTATAGGGTAGTCGCTATTAAGGAGGAATAAAGCGTACGCGATATTAAAAACCCGGATAGGTTTATTCGAAGGTATATTCTATCGAAGACTATAGTACGTACGATGGTTTAAGACGGATAAAACTAATATCGTTATATTAATCGAAAGATAAGGAATTTAATATAGTTATCGTATCTTAGCTATGCCCCTTAGTCGTAGAGATATAGTAGTCGCTAGCCCGAAGGTATAAGAGATAAGAGGAGAAAAGAGGTAAAACGTAAAAGTTACTTATTCGGTTATAGCGGTACAACGAAGTAACTTAAGCGCCTATAATTAAAATAGATATATTAATCGGAGAACGACGAATCTAATAGCAAAAACGAATCTTTAATTAAGGTAAAAATAGTAAAGATAGTAATCTGGTTAGGTAATGAATTCGATAATAAATATGGCATGTCCCGTACTTACGGGAGCTATGGTTACTTTATATAGGTATAAGGCCTATCGTAGCGTGTTACGTAATATATTAAGAGGATATATCTTACCGTACTACTATATTAGTTATAGTTATTTACTCCTTTTGCCATGCCTTTCTAGCCATCCTTATTACCCTGCCTTTTCTAGTTTCTCCCTTTCCCAGCTGCCGTTTTCAGCTGGCCGATTAACCGATTATAGCTGTTTATAGCTGTGATCTTGGTTGATCGGCACTGGGCTAGTTGTTGGCAGTTGGGCAGTCCTTGTTTCGTGCCTCCGTTAGCGTGCCTACGCTGCTCTTGTTCAACATTCAAAAGGCTACGTGGCCTAGATCTACCATACTACTGAGAAAGAGTAGAGTATACGCGATACTAAAGTCCTAGATAGGCTTACTCGAAAGTATACTTTATCGAAGACTATAGTACGTACGATGATCTAAGATAAATAAAACTAATATTACTATATTAATCGAGAAACGAGGAATCTAATATAGTTATTATATTTTAGGAATGCCCCTTAGTTATAGAGATATAGTAGTTACTAGCCCGAAGGTATAAGAAGTAAGGGAAAAAAAGGGGCTAAGTATAAAAGTTACTTATTTAGCTATAGTAGTACGACGAAGCGACTAAAGCGCTTATAACTAAGATAAATATATTAATCGGAAAACGACGAATCTAATAATAAAAACGAATCTTTAATTTAGGTAAAAATAATAAAGATAATAATTTAGTTAAGTAGTAAATTAGATGATAAATATAGTATAACCCGTACTTATAGGAGCTGTAGTTACTCTATAGAAGGCATAAGGCCTATCGCAGAGTATTAGGTAATACATTAAGAGGGCATGTCTTACCGTACTACTACAATAGATCTAAGACCTTTTCTCTTCGCTCCTCCTCCTGTTACTCGTGAGATAGCTCCTCGCGCGTGCTCTCGCACACGTAGCTTCCTCGCTACGTGATATATTAAATATAGAATAATATAAAATGAACTTATGAAGAAATATACTATTAATAAGAAAACAAAAACATATAAAAGAAAAAAGTAAGAAAAAAAAAAACTGGATCTTAAAAAAGAAAGTATCATAAGTGTGTAGTGAAACTAGCTTTTGTAGAGTTTTGAATAATCTTGTTACGGTTCTTAGCTTTGCACCTCTTCGTTGCTTACCTTAGCAACAGGAGCTCCCATATATACGCTCCTGTTGCTTCCATTCCTTGAGTTAGTTCTTGGATAGAACCAGACCTTTTTCTTCTTTTGCTCCTCCTTTCGTTGCTCGTGAGATAGCCCCTCGCGTGTGCTCCGCACCACACCTAGCCCCCCAGATCTACGTAACATATTTAGATAGGTAGGTCTCGCATTTATATTTTCACTATACATACTTCGGCCTGCATCTTACACTTGTTAACAAAATATTGTTGATAAGAATCTCGAAATTCCCCGGTCGGCAGTCTATCCCTCCCTATCCTCCTCAAAATGTCGCGCAATCGAAGAGGTCTCTTGCTGCGCGATGTCAATATCTGGGACTTGAGCGATAGTGAAGATCGCATTCCATTGGGCGGCTTAAGGCGCACTCCTGGTATTACCAATAAAGATTTCCGCCACATGCTCGACATCCTTCTTGTTACCTCGGTCGATTTCGTCGTCCAGAACGAGCACGGAGATGAAATCTTGCAAAACGACGAGCCCCTCCTCCCTGGAGATTACACTGTCATGGCAGACAAGGTCGAAGTTAGTGTCTGCTTGAGTATTACTGGTATTTTTCTCTAACCACACCAAGGTCAACAACGAAATAGCCTACACGCGAGTGGCCTCCATTACGACAGGCTCTCAAGTACAAGCGTTCAGAGACGCAGTCCGAGCTCGGGACAATCGTTGTGTCATTTCGAAAGTCGTAAATGTCGATGCTGAAGTGGACGATTGGACGTCGTTCGAAGCTGCACATATCTTCCCGCTAGCATACGAAAGCCAGTGGAATATGAATAACTACGGCCGCTGGATTACAATTGATCCACCTCAGGGAGGGGAGATTAATTCAGTTCAAAATGGTCTCCTTCTCCGTTCTCATTTGCATCAGGAATGGGACCAATACAGATTCTCTATCAATCCCGACGTACGTTTCTTACTACTATACCTACTCAACTTACTAAATACTTCTAGAACGGACACAAGATAATCTTCTTTGGTGCCGACCTGGACCAGGTAGCTGGGAGCACCCTCGATCGCCAGCTCCTCGACGACCCATGCCGTCCCCCGGACTCGCTCTTCCGCTGGCATTTCCGCCAAGCAGTCCTCTCAAATATAAGGGGAGCGGCAGAGCCGATATTCGAGCACGACTTTCCTCCAGGTTCGGACATAATGGGGGAAATACTAGCAGGCCCCAAGGCCGGCCAGCGCATGGAGTTCGAGCTATTTGATCGGTTGGCTCACCACGTAAAGATTGTATAGAACGAGGGATGGAGGGGGCAGATCAGTAGGTTACTTAACGGAGGATAGGTTCGATTCCTAACAGCACTACTTGGTAGTCTGTTATTTAGCTCAACCGGGGCAAGGGCATGTATTGCTCACAGCGGCGCATGATAGAGGGAAAGGGCATTGCTTACAGCGACCATGATAATTAATTTACAATTTAATAGTGAACAGGAGCAGCGTGGGCACGCTGTATGGGAGACCCGTATGGGTAATAGGACTAGCTACCCAACTGCCAACAACTGGCCCAGTGCCGATCGAGCTAGATCACGGCTGTAAACAGCTGTAATCAGTTGACCGGTCAGCTGAAACGGCAGCTGGGAAAGGAAACAAGAATGGGAGGACTAGAAGGCGATTGAAGGCATATCAAGAAACGAGTGAATTGCTGTAGGTCGTAATGCCTACAGGTCTAAGTCTGATCGATAAAAATCTACTGTTTACCTTTTCCTAAAAGAATCTTACTTATGTGTGACTTGAGAATAAATTATTACCCTTGCAATAAAAATCTACGTGCGAGACCTATATAATTACTCATCTAAAAGGCTACATAGCCTAGTCTCACTGCACCACTATAATAGTTAATTAATTTCGTAATTAAACAAATTAACTTACATTCGTTACATTAATAGAATTAATAAAGACATGTATTTAAATTAATGAAAATTCATTTTAAACTACCTTTATTAGGTTTAAAATTAAAAAAATAAAATTATTTTTAAAAGCATACTTTTAAAACTTTCTAATATTTAAATTATTTATTTACATACTGAACAGGAGCAGCGTAGGCACGCTGACGGAGGCACGAAAAGGGCTACCCAACTACTAACAACTAGCCTAGTGCCGATCAACCAAGATCACAGCTGTAAACAGCTGTAATCGGTTAATCGGCCAGCTGAAACAGCAGCTAGGAAAAGGAAAAAAAGAAAGGAGAAGAGAGACTAGAAAGGGGTAACGAGGATCGCTAGAAAGGCATGGCAAGAAACGAGTGAATGGCTGATGGCTGTGATAGCTACAGGTCTAAGTCTAACTGATGAAAATATAAGTGCGCGACCTATATAAATAGACATCGAAAAGGCTACGTGGCCTAGATCCACCGCACCACTACAATACTTAAAAATTAAAGTAATTTCGTAAAGCTATTTATTATTTAAAAGTTACGTTAACTTTAAATTTAAAGATAGTATTGAATAGAACATTTAAATATAATCTTTTTAATAATAAAATTCATTTATTTAAAAAACTACAACGTTAATTAAAAATTTAATTTCTTTTTTTAAAAAAAATTTTTCCTTTTAAAATAAAATATAAAAGAAACCTAATAAGTCTTTATTTATATATTTAATTATAGAAATAAGTTCTATTAGCTTTCTTTAGCTGGTATTTATAGCCGAGCTTAAGGATACTTCTAGAGAGTGATCGAGGGTCCCAAAAACAGCCGGGGGGAGGGGGGGGGGGTAGAATACGCCTATTTTTAGTAATCCGAAGACGTCAATGTTTGACAACCTACAGCAGTATTGCTATCTTGTCTTGAATGATATGGTTCTTACCTTATAGTAATCACGCAGAACTCTGTACTGTCGGCTAGTTGATTACTTACGTTATCGATATTCTCTTTCAGGTCCGGCAAAAGGGTCGGGGGAGCCTATCGGCCACTTGACGGTTCAAGGCAGGTGTCCATCAGCTGAGAGGTATGTGTATTTCTCAACACCGTCGCTCGCCTTGCGTCAGATCGAGTTCACACAGATGGTTGTCTCGCTCTCGGAAAATTCCTTCCTGTCACTCAGGCTCGGCAACTAGAAGAGTGCTTTTTCATACACACTACCTATGAAACAAACAAATGGGTATAGCTGTTTGTCCTCTACCATCTACCAACCATTTCCTTGTAGTATTGTCTCAAAGCTTGGGGTCTATCTCCTCAAATTCGCTGAGGTCTCTGATCGGGCGGGCGCCCGCCGTCACCGATAATCCCGATTTGAAGTCCCGCACGTTTCGAATTAAGACGGGCTCTGTGCCATTCGTCCAAACGGTTGCCGTGTTTCCGTTGGTCGCTTTCTCGGCCTCCTTCGCTTTCGAGCCCACGCCCTGCGCAATGAGCTGCACCACTAGCTTTGCCCGAGTCGGCGACATGGGCTTAATGTAGGTGGAGTAAAATTTGATCATCTCTGATTTGGTGAGCTCCTTCACCCGAGCCGCATCTCGCTGAGCTGTGTGTGGGTTGGTATTAGCGAACATCCAAATTCAAGCGACCAGGGCGAATCGGTCCATACCTGATTCGAAATCATAATACTCATTATTTATCTGTGCCCAGTGTCTTCCCGTCTCTTGATCCAGGTTCTTCAGCTTCTCGAGGCGTTTGATGACCACGCTCCTCTTGTGACTTTCGAATTCTGCGTCGCTCATCTTCTCGAGGGAACTGGTCTGCGCGGCTAAGAACGAGTCGATCCGAGACTCCAGATAGTCCGATGTGCGCTCGCTTTGGATGATGAAACGAAACCCGTAGGTTGTCGAGGAACTTCGAAGGCCGCTGAAGACCACGTAGCCGAGCTGCTCCTTGGTTCGCAACTGATCGAATGCCGGTTCGTGAATGATCTGATCTAGCAGCTGCGTCTTTGCGCGGACTGTACGATCGCCTTTATCCCCGATGTGGAGGTAGTACTCGATGCAGTGGTTGACGTTCGCGGGGTCCTTGAGAGTCTTCTTGAACAGGTAGTTCGACCCCGGCGGGAAATCTAGCGACCGAATGATAGGCCATTCATCCTTTGGCAAAACCCGAGGCTTCAGGATCTTTTCGATCATGTCCGTCAACTTCAACGCGTCTTCCTTGTACACATTGCCGTGTACGTAAGCCTCGATGTGTAGGTGTGATACGATCTGTTGGTGGAATTGTCTCACAGCCTCGGCTGTGATTCCAGGCAACTCGGCAACCAGCTGCTCCACCACGTAGTCGTGCTCAGATGTAAGCCAAGACACGTAATCACCGATCTGTGTGAATGGCTGTTGCAATTCGCAATTCTTGTAGCCCCGAGTCAACCGTTCCTTGATGATCTCGAAGCGCTCGTCCTTAACCTCCAAGTCCCGCATGGTGATGAGGACTTGCTCGAGAAGCACGGGGAGTTTGTCATTATATCCGGACACTTCGATAAACAAACCGCGGGAGTCAAGGCTAACGTTGTACTGTAGTCCGGCAAGCTCGGCGTCGTAGGAATACTCCTCGAGCGCGTCTCGTACTAGATCCGTAAATAGCTTCGATTTTACTGAATTCTCCGCCGAAGCGAAAATGATCGGATTCTTGATGCTCACGATTAGATTTGCCTTGGGAACCCAGAATGTGTCGTCCTTCTTGTACCATGTCCGTGCCACCTCGTCGTTTCGAATTACTCGTGGCGCCAAAGCCGGGCGCTCGACCTCCTTCTTCTCCACCTCGAGCTTTGTCGGGATAAATTGATTCCGATGCGGAAGATGTAAAGCGGGAAGGCGATCCTCCGCCGTACAGTTCAAGGCCCTAGAAATCTCTGCCAGGAATTCCTCAGGTATCCTCTCTGCCTTGTACTCGGTGCCGTACCATTTCTCCTTTTTATCCCAGTCGCCCGGGAAGTCGCGGGATACTATCGTCATCCTTAAGTTATCGGGGCGTAGGAGCTCTATGCCCTCAACGATCGCTCCCGGGTCGAATTTGCGTAGGTTCTGGCCGCTAAGCAACCACTCCCGAGGCAGCGGTCTCTGCATCACGGCGCATATTTTGCTTGTGAAGCGACTGGCCGGCGTTTTCTGTTTAAATCGAAAATCCACCTCGGCCATACCCTTCTGCTCCTCGAATATCCATTCTTGAGGAGGGGTTTGTTTAAGAAGCGATACGTACTGGAAGAATACCTTGACGACCTCTTTATAATGCTTCAATCCCTATCCCTTATACGTCAGTAGCCGGTATCATCTCAAGGTGCAGGATTGTTACCTCTTTCGTTAAACGGATCTGACAATCGAAGATGCCGGGAGTACCGGGGCATATTGGATACGCCCCGGCACTCAGCGAGTTGGCCCATCCTTTAGACTTCAGATATGCCATGATGCTTCCAGGGCCCTCGTGTCCGATTAAGTGGCTAACGTATCGGCTCGGTTGGCTTTCGTAAAGGTACTCTTCGTCGAGGAAGGGAAAGGAAAGATTCAGCTCTCGAGAGTCCATGACCGGCTTCGCAAAACACTGCATGGACAGGTGATCTTTGGTGAACGGCACTTCGGTCTCCCATCGGTTCTGGGCTAGGTTTTTGTCTACCACGCCAGAGAATAGCTCGGCCACCCATTTCTCGAGAGTGTCGAGCGGTTCCCGACCTAGAACGCACAGCTTCATTCGATTGGCAGAGTAATGTTTCTCGTGGAAATCGATAAACTTCTGTCGTACATCTATCCCTCGAGACTCTGGCTCCGTCTTCAGCACCTCAAAGTTGCCAGTCGAGAAATGGCGATAAGGGTGTTTGGGGTTAGAGAGGGACTTCTCCAGTTGATGAAGTCGCCACTGGTCGCTCTGCAAGTTCTTCTTGTTCTCCGAGTCTACAGCTCGCAACTCACGGTCAAGTGTCGACAGAAGGAAAAGGGGTTCGATGAAGAATTGCGCAAATCGATCCAGGCCGCCGTAGAGCGGTGACAGATTTGTCTCGGAGGGTTCCTCGCCGTTGCTCGGTTTAGCAGCGATGTCGAAGAAATAGTTGGTAGAGGTGGCTCCGGTGTACGCATTCGAGCTACCCGAATGTGAAGAGAGATACACATTATACGCATTCTCTATCGGATACTTCTTAGTACCCATGAACAAAAGCTAGGGTGCAATGCATCAGCGGGAATTTGCGGCGAAAGTTTGCGCGACAGGACCTACATGTTCCACGGCATGGGCCATGCCTGGCATTTCATCCTCATCGCTGAAATTGCCGACATTGACATCTAGAGCGGCGCTGGCCTTATCCGTTTCGTGATCGTGGACTAAGAGAGCCTCTAGTTGGTTGGATAGCCGGATAACACGGTATTTCCGATCGTCTAACGAGGGTATCTCCAACTGGTCGGCGACCCGCTCCACTGGTTGTTGTGAAGAATACCGTCTCTCGCCGTTGGTTGGAAACGTGTTCTGTGACGCGGAGCTCATGATGGAGGACTGGGACACTACGGCGGACAAGATACAGGACTCGTAGCAACACGATGACGGAAGGAAGGGTGGAAAGAGAACTAGAAGTTCACAGCCCCGGACGGGTCAGGTTCAAGGGGGTCGACCGAGGAGAAGATGTTCTAGAGCTGGCGGTGGCGGTTAAGTCTACGACTTTTAATTCGGGGATGTCGAGAGATAGGTCAAGGGCCGGCTGGCGCGATGGCGCCTGTGCTAGCCTGGAGTGGGGACGCTAACGTGAGGGACCAGGCTGTTCCCAGCGAGTTGGGAAAGGAAATATTGACGTGAAGGCGATTCGTCGCGTCCCGTCGTGAGGTCACGCCTTATCCCGACACCGGTTCGTACCACAGCGTCTAGAGTGCCACGAATCGGGCCGGCAGCAGCGGTACCAGCAGCAGTAGGCGTTGCTACGTTTGCCGAGGCGGAATGTGCTGGCCACTGCCGTCTCTGGCGATGACCGTCTATACAACCGCCAGGGAAAACCTCTGGCGTCCAGTCAGCGCTGATTCCGAAAGCTTGGCAGTGGGCTGACCGAGTGCAAAAGCGACTCCCTAGACCCAGAAGCGCTGACAACTACCTGGAAGGCCGGATGATCCAGCGGTGTGATTTGTTTTTAAGGAAACGGGTTCCCGTGCCACTTTAGCTCTGGTGGGTTATCGTGTTGGAAGCCCTGAAAGGCAGGTGCCTGTAGGTGTGTGTGTATGTTATTATGTCTTGACTATCCGAACTATAGTGCCGGCGACTAGGGCTTCGAAAGGAATACGGTAGCGTACGTACAAGGCACACAACCGTGGCTCACCGTCAAAGACACCCTAGACCAAAACGGCGGATGCTAGAGGGAGGGGGAGGGGGAGAGGGGAGCTGAATCGGACTGAGATCCTGTGGGTAAGATTTCAGTAGCGTGCTCCGCTATATTGTTGATATTAACATGGATGAAGAAACTGCCAGTGAGAGTAGGCAATGGTGGTAATATGGATCAACGGTGGAATGTTGTTTGGAGAGAGGGGGGGGGGGGGGGGGGGTTCTGCCACGGATGTATACTGGCGCACGATACTTACCTAGGTACGTTTCAACGGACTGGCTTGGAAGAACAAGTTTGACTGGCGTGCCAGGTTCGCGAGTTATTAGATAGCGTAGGTACGGATAATTTTACCAGGTTGGGGCCTGGATGGTAGGGTCAATAGGCGAGCAGAGAGGTAGTAAAGTCTTAGGCGGGAAAGGAACATGGTCGGGCCGCAATAAGAAGGGACCAGAAGCTTTTAGTGAGACTCGACCGTAGGCATATGTATAATACCGGCAATAAGAATAACAGCGTTAATTATAATAATAGCCGCGATAATAGCCACAACAGCGGCAGCGACCACGACAAGACGAATAAAACAACTAGCAGCAATACTGATAAATATCGTGCCGCATATAGGTAACGTTATATGACGTTTTCCAGTTGGGAGACGGCCAGCAGCGTCCAGGGTCGAATGTCGACTAGGGGGAGGGGGAGTGAGACCAGAGAAGCGGCCGGGAAGGGGAGATCGATGGTAACAGGTCTGCACGGGGCCAGGAGGGTAGGTATGCAGCTACGCATCCCCGGCGAGCACTGACGTACCTTAGGTGAATCGCAGTCTGGGGAGAAACAGATGATGTTATGTTCTGGATCCGAAGCCGGCGAACGCCCACCTACGCGGCAATTGCTTCAATCAGCAGGGTTTCATCGCAGCTCAGGGGGGGTTGGCGGAGGACGGCGGTTGCGAGATAGCCAAGTCAGAGACGGGCCGGTGTAGTGGTGGTGGTGGTAAGGGAAGAAGAGGTGCAGGAGGGGGAGGAGGGAATTCTGGAGCGAGACGTAGCGCCGCGTGGATGGAGCGGCCGTGGCGAGGAGTAACGCGGGAGAGGGGACGATCCATATAAGTAGAGCCAGGAAAATGCAATGTGTTTCCGTCTCCGTCTCCCTCTCGCCTCTGTCTCTTTCTCTCCCCCCACCTCCTGTCTCTGCGAGCGTGTGTATGTGTATGTATCATGTATATGCACGTTTGGATAGATGGACGGACGTGTGTCGTGTGTGTGCGTGTGTGCGTGTGTGTGTGTGTGTGTTCTTGCCCTTCTGGCCTGCCCTCCTTCTCTTCTTCTCTTCGCAGACGACATTGGTTGCTTCCCGGTATCTACATAGGGTCAGGTATGTGCATACAGTATGCATGTAAGCGGGCGGGATGAGGGCAGGGATGCCTGGCGAATAATTCGATAGGCGGAGCAAGTAGGTAGGTAAGGCATATACGCATGTCCCCGTACTACGTAGGGCGTTGCGTCTGAGAAGATGCCCGCCTGCAAGGTGCCTGTGGCGAGTGGGGGCGACAGTCGTGATTCATGTATGTATGCATGTACGTGAGGCGTGTTTCAATGTCTGGTAGGGATTAACTTGAGATTCGCCATTTGAGGGCCGAAGAAGGGAATGTGGGGGAATGGGGTCATCGGCCGGGTTTTATGAGTAGCCTCGCTGTTGGTACGGTCGGGCAGTACTCCTCATCCAACATCAATAATCCGTATCTACAAAGTACCCGAGGCATACTAAGAGGTACCTAACCTACCCCGGTTACCTGTAGCAGACTCAATGCCAGGCCCTTGCGGATCAAGGAGCAAGGCTTCCACGGCTAGAATTTCTGAATTTAGTCAAGTTTCACACAGTCCGTAGCCGGGTGCCTGTCCGTTCAAGCACTTACGTAGGCACCTATGATGGAAGTTAGGTAAATACCTAGGTACTTACCTACCTAGGTACCTTAGGTAGGTACCTCTTGGGCGACTCTCAAGAGGCGATATGGTACCTATTAATAAGCCTAATCCAATCCAGGGATTCTAAAAGAGGTGCCTAAGGCCAAGAGCGGCTAAGAGGAGCCAAGAGCTTAGGTACCTGATGCCGCCTCGAGTTGCCTCTAACCGGCAAGAGGTGAGATACCTCTATTAAGCCACGGGACTTATCCTATCTAGAGGATAATTATAAGGACACAACACCTTATCTAATTGTGAAGTTTTTGATAACAATTCATGAGCAGATTGGCTTCGTTACAAATAAAGCCTACGCGACCTAGGTACTTACCTACCTGTTATTCAAAATTAGGTACCTGTGCTTTCGAGGTACCATAATACGTATGTATGTTCGTTCTACCTTAGGTACCTTTCCAACACTATTAGAAGGGTACCCGCCGTAATATTTTGCCAATCTTGTCCGAAGCGGTGGCTAGGGCTTAAATACCTATCTAGGCACCAGGGTAGACGCTGGATAGACACCTATCAACCCAATGCAGGCGGGTATATCAGAGTAGTTTCCTTTCCGACTTAGATATGTATGTGCCGTATATTCCCCCATGGATCCTCCCATATATGATATAAATAAGCACACAATCACCTCGCCCAATGTAAGACGTGTACCTCTAATTAGAAGATACCAGCCTATTATCATAGGTATGTACGTATTGTGATGCTGCTCATAGAATGTACAGCCGCTGCCCAAGGTCGTCTACCAGATACCTAGATAGATGGAGAGATGGTGTCTCTAAGTCGTCGGTGTTAACGGGCGGGTGGCACTCGGGGTTGGACCTGCCCGAACCCCAAACCCATCTAGGCAGTATTATACCTAGAGAGCCCTCCCGGGAGGCTTAATTGATGCTTAAGCAAGAGTTCTAACCAAACCATGGCGTTTATAGAGAGTGAGAGAGGCCAGGCGAGAATTTATTCTTTTTTTATGGTTCCTTGCTAGCACAAAAGTGTTAGGGTCATTAAAGTGGTTGTTTGGCTCAAAACTAGATTGAAAAACTTGTACTTTCAACGAATTAGACAACACGTAAAGAGATCGGATAATGGATAATATATAATAGGCTTGAGCACTTTCAGGGCTAAATCACTCGAATCTGATGTAAGCTACCGACCTTATTTATCATTGATTCCAATTTTTTTCTCAAGGTAGCATCCGCTTAGCCCGGTTGATGGTGATGGCGAACTTGCATGTTCACGACTCTTCTCTTCCGATCCCTCAGGGTCCTTGCGTTTTGCTTCTGATTTTCTACTTATCGTTCTGGATATGTTAGGGACGGGACGGATCTCAGAGCCGTCGGGTCACTGCCAGCAGCGCCTCCTCGTCCGCTCGGTTGTTTGTTTTAGATGCCATCATTATAGAAAAGGATGCTTGAGGGATATGAGTTAAGGACAGGGCTAAAAATGGATATGCATGTTCGAGGTCGATCTTTTCGCGGCTCCTGCAGTTATCGACTGAAGACTGCTAACGTCCACTTACATATGTACTTCTCGCGGGGTGAGCTGTGTCCTCTAGCACGAATCTGCCCAGCGGTCAACCGACTGCCCCTAGCATACGAGTTTCTCGTCACGAGGTTGGATAGCCTTCCTCCTTCCTTGATTCATCCCTTTCCAACATCAGACATGATTCTTGGGTCTGTGTCTAGTTGGTCAATTCATTGGGTCACCGTGTCCTGAAGTGTTTGATTCAACAACTAGGGGACCACTGAGTGCAAATACCCAGTCACCCGTAAGCAAGATAGAAGGACACAGTATTTTGGTCGAGATAGGCGTTCCGGATCCCGTGTGGGTACAGCCATATATACTGCGGGACATCTCCAATCACTTAGCGTGTATTCATGCTGGCCGCTGAAGTACTCCAAGTACGTAGGTGAAGCTGATTTGCGGAGCCCTGTGAGGTTTTGAGAGAGGCCAACACGTGTAGACTCATTGGTGTATCTTCTTTATCTCGAGCCTATGTTTTCCCATTATATTACATGTAGAAATGATTACTTTTTTCAAGTGCGGTTATCTTGGGCGCCATCTGTCTCCGCTATAAAGGCTTTGTATGGTGGGAAGACACCCGCTATCTGTGCCTCCAGCTCTTCTTAGGCCTTGATATGTCTAAGCTCTCGGGGCCTGAAACGCCGAGGCGAACCTGTTCATGTTTTGAACGGTGATACGAGTGTGTCATATTGAAGGAGAACAGAGAAATGTCGGTTCAAGGTGCGAGATGGGGGCCAAGCTAGCTGCCGGCTCCATTCTGTGTTAGGTAGGTATAATATCCTACATGGTATAGGTAAGTTGAGGGAGGCGAGTGGGTGTTGGCATAAGAGGAGTTGCCGGGAACATATTGTTTCGTGAGTCTACATGGATTGGCCATACATCGACGGGGCCGGGTTGTGGTTGAGTATTTCCGGTTGGTCTATGACCCCTTGGCCCTTCGGCTTAGCTAGGTTACGAGAACAGAGCAAGGAGATAATCACCGTCCAGCATCCTGGCACGCAGATACATAATATACACTATAAATATACCTATACGTACCTATATATAATATTTAGAGTCCCGGTCTCCACGTAAAAGACTCAACTTAAGACGAGTGCGCACGTGCTTCCGTTGGGCACATTTATTTGCACAGACCCCTTTATTGAACGGGGGGCTGCATAGGGAATCAGGGGGAGCGAGTCGATCACGAAATTCATATCTTACTCACCTACCCTAGATACCATATATACACGTGCCGTCGAGTATAGCCCAAGAGCGGCCTAGTCTCGGCCACACGTTCGATATCGACTTCTAGGAAACGTAGGTACTACGTACCGAGTAGGGCCTTAGCAACCTTGACCTCTTCGTTGACCGGCTCAGCATCTTTCTACGAGCCGCGCACTTTCTACGGTGTCGTCCTGGCGTCTACTGGCGCTAGCCTTTGCCCCATACCCATTCCGACTCAAATAGCCGTGACTAGCCCTCTAGGTTTCGCCCGCTCGTGGCCCTGAAGTTTAGACTAAATACGTAGGTGGCGGGAGCTGTGCATTATCAACATTTGCCGGCACGCAGACCTCCTTAGGCTCACTCGCTAAGAGTGCTAGCCTACCTGGTAGCCAGCAAGGGGCCGGGTGTTGAGAGAATTCAATAGATCGTAATTCCAGCGCCCCTTTCGCCTTGGGGCCGACCCCGATACCTTATCCCGGGTCGTCGCTTAGACCATTTCTTGCTTCCCAGGACATCTTGACACCGCCTATGCTTGATTAGCACACTCGGGACAGGTAGACCGTGCGTACTATTTGAACTAGCTTGGTCGTTCACGGGGGTTTCCTTGCTACAATAGGATGCCCTTTAACATATGAGTAACAGGAGGATCATGTCCGAGATGGCCCTCTGATAGTAGGGGTCTGATTATTCAGAGATTCTCATCGTCTCTCGAGATGTCGTAATGCGCAGCCCAAGATGAGACCACATTTCTTCAGATGTATTATCACACACACACACATGTATATATATACGAGGTGCTGGGACCGCAATCGAGTTGAGCGATGGTGAGGATGTTGATCGGCGCTCAATTCGCGGTCTACGGTCCATCTTCGCTATAGCAGCAAGCAGGAAACGGCCCATAGTTCAATACCAGAATACGCCATCGAGCCTAAAGCCGACTGGTTGATGTGCTTAGGCCCCGAATGGGATCAGGTCCAGGGGTGAAAAGAAAAAAGTAAATCCCACTCGGGTGGGCTCCCTCAGCCAACTGCGTTGTCAGGCCGCCCCGAGTAACTAAACTCCTCAAGGTCTAATCCTACCCTCCTCTCGGAGAATAAAGGCACGGCCCGGCCTCGCATTCCCATATCTATCTCATCGAGCATGTTGGCTTGGGCCTGTACTAGCGGCCACATGCGTGGGCTCTCTCTCCGGTGTTGCCTATGCAGCAGCCCACCCCGGAGGCCAACGCATGCATATACCTATGTAAGGGTAGACGGACATCTCCAGCGTGTGGTGCAGTCGGAATGAACCCATCGGCCGGTATTCTTTTTGGCCAATTCTCTGGTGTGCCCGCCCATTCGGCACATGAGCTACATTTTGGGTAAATGGCCCCTCCCCCCCCAGGCGGCGTCGAAGCGTGTCATAGGTTCGCGTGAAATGCCAATCGTATCAACCGTGGCCCTCATCTCCTGTCATGTACTTGCCTGAATCCTATGAACACACTCGCACTCGGCAATGAAGTTGCAGCGCATGTTCCGCTGTAAAGCACGGCTCGCAATTGACAACTCATCACGTCTAATTCAGCGTTGGGGGTTCTTGCATTCGGCCTGTTTGTGGCCAGGCCGTCCACATCGATGGCATGTGAGTGCTGTAGGTTGTCGATGCGCGGCGCCACCCGAAGAGATAGACAGCAGACCGCCAGAGTGAGAGGCCTTAGGATCATTCAACTTGACCTCCTTCTTTCTGCGCTTCTCGGCGAACTGCACAGCTCGGGCCCGCTCCATACCCTGCTTACTTCGCGACGCCGCCCGAGCAGGACCGGACCCAATCTCGGGTCTCGTCTCTGGCCTATGCTTCGCTGGCTCTTGTCCCGATTCTGCATTGAACATAGGCGCGGCATAATCTGGACCTACGTGAGAATCGTCACTATCAGAGTCGCTATACTTCGGGGTGCTGTTCTTCGTAGCCTATGCGCGAGTAAGTTTACAACTTAGCGGTGCCAAAAACCAAACGGGGAAAAAAAAGCAGCCATAATAGCATGGTATTCTAGGGGAAACCGACCTGGCGATTGCCCATATTGTAGCGCTTCACGACCGGCGCGCTATCGTCTTCGACATCGGTCAACTCGGCATCAGAACCTGTGGTATCGGCGGAATCAATCTGAGCGAAGCCGACTTGAACTAGATTTAGGGGTGTCTGGTGGGAGTCGGGTTTGGAGGCTGGGCCTTTGTCTAGTATGTCGAGTATCCAGTGCGCATCTCCGTGTTCGGCCGCGTGCTTCAGCAATGCCTCCTGGCGCTTTCTCTCCTCTTCGGCGAGGGCGGCCTTAATGGCATCCTGGTCTATCTGTACGAGCGAATCTGCGTTACTTCGTCGCGTGTATTTCTGATCCAGCTTGCGTCGCTTCGAGGCTTGCTCCAGTGTCGGCTGCGCGTTTGTTGGCGCAGAGGACAATGCGGCGGCCCTCTGCATGAACTTCATGGTTAGCAGTCTCGAAGACATGGCCTTGGGGCCCGTCGGTGGTGTTGTCGGTGTCGCCATGGTGTTGAGCTGCGGCTAGCTTGCTCGGATAGCTTCCAAAGAGTCCGATCCGGGCTCGGATTCAATTGATACGATTCTCTCTCGACGGGTTGATTCTCTGTTCCGCTCGGGACTATGAGTATTAGATATTAAGGGGAGGAGCGAAAGCGGCGATGTTGTTATGATTGTGCGAAAGGAGCGCCCGAGGCATCATACGCGATTGTATGTAGGGGGGAGATGTAGTATATTTGGGATCTTCGGACGGTAGATATCCAAAACCTTGCCGAGAAAAAAAAAGGATGCTTTTGAGAACGTACTTAGATTATGTAAGACACGTGGGCTACCTAAGTAACTACATATAATCGCGTTATCGCACTCGGAAAAGTGGCCCGAGCTTCTAGCTGTCTGTAGTATGAGGCCCTTGTCTTTCGCAACTCACCCAGGGCTTGCCAGCTGCTCGATGTGATGATCGCAACCCACCTTACCAACCTATCAGTCCACCGACCTTGCACCTCTTCGACGCCAACGCCGGGTCTCCTCAATCGACCCCTACGCCGAACGATGATTTCCCGACTGACTGTCCGGAGGTCGCTGCAGCTCTCCCAGCGAGTCGGCGCAGCGCAGCGCAGTTTCGCAGCCTCTGTCCGGCTCCACGACACCACCAAGCCCATCGCAGCCAAGGCCGAGACGACGCCCGAAACCAAGAGCGAAGAGGATTCGTTGGGGTTGGTAGAGAATGAAGAGAGGGGCTTGAAGCAGGCACCGAACCGGAAAGAGATCTGGTCGCGGAGTCAGAAGCCGAGGGCAGCCGCCATGTCTGGCCCGAGATTCGAACAGACCGATTTCGACCTCCAAGTAAGATAGCACTGCCCGGACACGCTCGACTACGAAGACGATATCTGATAGTCGCATAGCCTCAATCGAGAGCTGCTATCGAGCTCATTCACAGGCAACCCGTCCGATGGACCCACGACAGGGTGGTGGCATGCGACGGTGGAGGTGGCCCGGCGGGGCACCCGAGAATCTTCATCAATACGGATAAGCCGGAGATAGCTACGTGCAACTATTGTGGTCTACCGTTTGTGAGTGACGCTCTTCCGGGAAACGAACTCCGAAAATCCCGTAGTTTCCCTTTCATCTACCCGGAATCTGAGGGACCAAATCCCTTTTTTCTTTCGGCTACCAACTCCTGGCTAATCGTGGCTATAGGCTAACGAGCATCACCGAGAACATCTGGAGTCGTTGCCCCAGACCTCCTATCCCCTGGCGTGAGGGTGAGGAGGACGCTTTACGAAGAGAGACGATGGCGGCGAACAGGCTAGGAATTGGCATACGCGTAGGGACGTATGCCGATTCTCATGCTCGCCGAGGAACCACAAACGTGGCCGTATATATACCTACCTACGTACCATTCAATTCCTGTAGTTCAGGTACTCACCTACCTTTAAAAATCGCCTGGGTCTGGCCTCGTGGAGACGCAGTATATCCGCCGACTCCTGTATTCTTCATCTACCAAGCCAATTTGTCTACCAGATCTCAACGCAGTCAAATGTGCCCTGCCAATGGCAGGTAATTGCAATACTTGCTATTGGCTCTCCATCCAACTCACCCTAAGCAAGACAGGCTAGGGGGTAAGTACCCGCGTGCTGCTGTAAGGTCGTTATCCCGCAGGACGAACTACTCGCATCCACACCTGAGGTACCTACTAGAAACGCACCTTTACTCCAACCCGAGCCGAGATTAGTGCTACCTACCTACCTACCTACCTAGGTATCTACGAGGGACCCGCCAAATAGAACGCCCCTCCACAGTTAGGTAGAGCTCGCAGATTTGCCTGCAATGCCGCCATCCACATCTATCTCCCTCTCGCACCAACTCTCTACTATTCTGATCCTCTCCCTCCTCCTGCTAGCCTTCTTCCCCGAAGCATTCCACTACCTATTGACCTTTCCCCTCGCCTATATCTACCGCCATCTGACCCAGCGCTCGGAACTCGAGCGGCACCCAGCCGGCCTCGATTTCGGCACTGCCGCCGCCGCCGCCACTGCAGCTAACCTACTTACTCCGGCCCCGGCCCCGGCCCCCGTCGCCGCGATGTCCTGGTTCCAGACGCAGTTCACGCTGCCCGAACGGTCGCGCGGCTCTTACCTCATAACGGACCACGTGCTGGCGGCCGTCCCCGAGATCCGCCTGTACCGCGTCGGCCTGCTGCACCTCTTCATCCAGCACACGAGCTGCGCCCTCAGCCTGAACGAGAACTACGACAGCGACGTCCGCGCCGACATGAGCGACGCCCTCGACCGCATCGCCCCCGAGGCCGGCCCCCGCGGTCAGAGTCTTTACCGCCACAGCGCCGAGGGCAGCGACGACATGCCTGTGAGCCTCCTTCCCATTGTTTTCAATATTTAAATGTGTGTGCACATATACATATGTGTATATATATCTGTGTGTGTGTGTGTGTGTGTGATATGATGCACTCAAGAAGTCGCTGACGGAAGAAATAAATCATAAACGCAAGGCCCATGTCAAGTCGGCATTGATCGGCGCCAGCGTCACGATACCCATCACGGACGGACAACTTGTACGTTCCAACGCCCTCTTCCCGAACATACCTTCTCCAGCCGCCATAAGAAGACGAACCGCAGACCCAACTTAACAAACTACTTACCTTCACCAGGCGACAGGGACGTGGCAAGGCATTTGGTATCTGGAATTCCGGCGGGTTAAGCATACGAGAAAGGTCGTGGCTACTATCCAAGGCGAGAAGTGAGCCGGACTAGTTTGGGAAGAAGAGAAACAGAGGCAGAGGGCAGAGAGAGCTCGTACAATAGATCACTTTTCCTGGAGCTAGCTTACGTACGGGTTAACTAACTCGGGATCCCAATTCGGGGATCAGCATAAGAACGCAATTCGACCAATTCGACTCCTGCATTAAGTGCCTGCCTCCCTGATGTACCAACTCCGAAGCACGCGTCCCCCCTCCCCCGCCGCCCGACGAGTCCTATGTCCCGTTTGGTTCGCCTAAGGAAACAGAAAAACGGGGGTTTATCGCCACTGATATGGTCGATTTATCTCGTACAGCTAGAGACGATGTGGGAACATCAAGGGTCATCGAGGAGGCGCGATAGTATCGTGCCTCGTTTGAATATACCCCCGCCCTGTGGCTTCATATCGTGCTTGTTGTTGTGTGAGTCAGCGATGTCATAAGCGCGTAGTGACGAGGTGTGCATATTCGATCGCCGCCGTGGTATTAAAGCCTATTCGCGTAGGCTCCCGGTTCGTAGCGCTGGCGAAGTCGGAATTAGCTCGTGCCATTCTCCTCCTTCACGTCATTCATATCCTCATCGCCGCCCGCGAGGACCTTGGTCTTCAGATCGAATGCATCCGGTCCCGATCCTGGGGTAGCGGCGACTACTTCGCCGTTCTCGTTGACGAACTCGAAGTTATACCGGCTGAGAAGATGCGGAATGGCAGAGAGCTGGGGTCCGTATCGGGCCGTGTTGTCGTAGAGTTCGAAGAGAGGGACGGCGAGTAATTTCATGTTCTTGGGCACGCTGAGTACCTCTGCGGCGGGACTCGAAATGTTAGACATGCGTGGGCAAGAGAAAATGGGCGAGGACATGGGAAAGAGGAAGGGAAGACGAAAACAAGTAGGACACATACTGCTCTGTGGTAGCTCGATAAAGTAAAGCTTCTTGCATTCCTTTGGTCGAGTGACATGGGCGGGGATGAAGGGGTACATGAAGGTCTCGAAGTTGGGACGCCACCACTGGGCGAGGCACTCGCCGACCTGCCAATTGCCGGGTTCCTCGCCCTCGCCGAGCTTGCCGACGGGGGCGAGGCGCTCGTCGAGGCGGGCCTTGAAGCCGTCGACCTCGTCGTCCTCGGGGCGGAGGTAGTCGCCGGGCAGTTTGAAAAAAGCGTTGGCAATCTGGAGCATGAGGATGTGGGGGTGGTTGTGTTCGTGGCAGACGAGGATGCCCTCGCAGGTGCGGCGCATGCCGTGGGCGGCGTAGTGCTCCTCGAGGCGCTTGAGGCGGGCGATCACCGACGGGTCCTCCTCCGGCTGGGTCTCCTTTACGCCGAACGTGTAGTTCGACAACGGGTACAAACGGATCGTGTTCGGTTGGTTCGAGTTGAAGGAGAGGGGGATAGTTGGCGGGTGGGCGCTCTGCAGCGCCGTGACGGTGACGGTGGACATCGTGCGTATGTGTGTGCGGGTGGCGATGACAGGGACGCAGCGGAGCGTCTAGGACGCGGAGAGGGAGGTCAAGATGGGATGGATAATCGAGAGTGGTGGGTAGCTATTTATTTCGGTACTCGTGTCGAGAACGCATCGGCAACAGTTAGAGGCTTTTCGAATAGAGTGGGAGCTTCAAGCTGTATCTTATGGCATCTGAAAAAAAAAAAAACACGAGAGGAGTGCTCCTTTCTCTCTTTTTCGGTCGTCGGTTTGAAGCGAGGAGGGTTGGTTTTACGGTGTTGAGACAAGATCAAGCTTAGAGCTTTGCGCGGGTGGCTGCCTCGGGTTGTCTTGGCAGCAACCGGACACCGTGTCCAGCCTTTTATTCCAACTGTGTGCTTTGGGTTCCTGCCCAAGGTACGTACCTCTGTACGTGAGGCACTTACACCATCATGATCGTTGCTGCCGTCGCAAGAGTTGGGCCACGGCACATTTATCCTGGGTGCGCAGCTGATGGAATCACCCTGTGCCATACATATTCCTGTCTGAGGTCCCTACGGTAGCGTTAAGCCGCCTCGCCAAGCAACATCCAGTTTCTTTACACGCACCTCTCCGTTTCCGCGTCTTCTCGACACTCCATCCCATCTCCCGTCCCTCCTTTCCACTGCTCCGACACGGCACCTTCACACTTCTTTCTCCTTTCGCTCGCGCCATTGCAAACAGCGCCTAATAACGCCCTTTTCAACCGCACGCATTGCAGAAGGTTGCTCTCCGTACCTCATACCTGGGTACCTACTCGACTCCCTCTTCTGGTTCGTTTTCACCTCGTCTCCCGAGGTCTGCGAACACGCGCCCATGTAGAGGGTGGTCGTAGGTCTCTTCATGCTGTATGGTGGGTGTCGTGCTCCGCGGATCAACTCGAGCTGCCTTCCTTACGTTCAGTATTTCCATCGCCACTCCTCTCCGCATGGTGCCAAAAGTGCCACACCTCTGAACCTTCATCTCGAGTTTTCGTGACCATGCATGAACTAAACGACGACGGCAAAGAAGTTGTCAGTGCGGTGCCTACCCAGCCTAAGACTTGCCGTACGACATCAAAGATCAAAATCGAAGGCAGTGGTCATAAATCCAATATCAGCACCAAGAGCCCATCTACTCGAAGCGAACTAGGTGAATCCTCCTACTCGCCTTCGAGGGCCGATACGAAATACTCTGCCGAGGACTCCGAGGTGACCCATCCTACGAACAGCTCGGGATCGGTGCCCCCTCCTTGCCTCTCGCAGATTTTTCCGAACCTTCACCAAGCTATAAGGGCTGAATCAGCGGAATCCCTGAGTCGATATGAGGGCATCGCGGCCGAAGTCCTCGACGAGCTCGTAAAGAAGTTGAATCGGGTAAAGGACAGTTCTACTCATCTAGAAGCTGTCAAGAACCTCACTGGACGGGCGCAGGATTCAAAGATCATACTCGGCGTCGTTGGTCCCACCGGTCATGGGAAGAGCTCGCTCATCAATGCACTTCTCAACGAAACAAGGCTTCTTCCCACCAGCTGCCTCAAGGCATGTACATCGGTAGTTACCGAAATCTCGTGGAATCGCTCTGATGATCCGGAGCGACGCTACATTGGGGAGATAGAATTTATTTCAACCGATGAATGGCGTTCGGAGTTAGATCATATTTTACATGATCTCGCGACTTCCAACGATCAGACCCCGGGACACGTCAATGACAAGTCGGATGCCGGGATAGCGTGGGCCAAGATTAAGGCAGTATACCCTTGGATGACCATGAGTAGGCTGACCGAAATAGATGCTAGAACTCTGGTATGCGACGTCTCTGTCCGCGGGTATCTTGGATCCGTCAAGAGAATACACAGCGCGGAAGCTACATCCTTCCATAAAAATATTGCAATCTACATAGACGGTCTGCAAAACGCAAGTGAATCCGCTAAAAAAGTGAGCAGAGGCACCGTCGAGGGGCAATGCGGAATAGAGCTATGGCCGCTGGTGAAGGTAGCTCGAATCTTCACTAGAGCCGATATCTTATCTGCCGGCACAACGATCGTTGATTTAGTGAGCATCCCAGATCAAAACCCTCTACCTTAAGAAAACTGCTAATCCCATTCGTTAGCCTGGAGTCGAAGATTCCAATGCTGCCCGTGCCGCCATTGCTGCCAAATACATCGAGAAATGTAACGGCATATGGGTCGTTTCTGCCATCAACCGCGCCCTCAACGACAGGGCCGCCCAAAAGCTGCTCGACCACTCATTCAAACAGCAGCTCAACTACGACGGCACTTATTCTGCAGTGACGTTCATCTGCTCAAAGACAGACGATATCGCCCTAACTGAGGTGGCTGAATTCCTGGGGCTGACCCGCGAACTTGATGCCCTCTCTTGCAAGGAAGCAAATTTACAAGATTGGAAAGAGAGAGAAGAGAAGCAGCTTGAAGGCGATCAGCAACAGCTAGAATTCTTGTCGGAATACCTTAGAGGACTCGATAAGCAGCTTTGCCAGTGGGAGACTCTAGAAAGTCGTCATAGAAAAGGGGAGACTATTATGACATCTCACATCCCCTCGAAGCGCAGTGGCCCAGGTGAACATTCGGGAGCCAGGAAGAGGCTTAGGACTAACGATTCTTATGCCACAGTAAATCAAGCGTGGGACGATTTAGAGAACAATATACCCAAGTTTCCTGAGCATACGCCGTTGGATGAAGGGGACATCCGATTGGCAATTGAGTGCCTAAGGACGAATAAAGTCACAGCAGTCGAAAAGATGGAAAAACTTGACGACCGAATTGAGAAGAGTGCAGAGACTGGAGAGAGATTGAGAGACGATCATGCGAAGCAACAGTTGGATTTGCTAGCCTTATGCATTCGTAAGCGCAACGAGTATACTTGCGAAATTGCACGCAAGGACTTCTCTAGAGGACTAAAAGAGTGAGTTCTAGACCCTTCCACTCGGTGAGATTGCGTTTATTTCTAACGGCGATAGGCTCGACGATGACATGTCTAGTCATGACATGTCCAATCATGACATGGTTGCTCGGGATTACGACAAGATCGCACGCTCGTTGCCAGTCTTCTGTGTTAGCAGTAAGGCCTACCAGGGGCTTTGCGGTCGACTAGGAAAAAAGCTGAGTGTGGTCGAAGGTTTCTCTGACTTGCATGCTACCGAAATACCGCAGTTGATAGGCCACGCCCAGAAGTTTGCCGAGCAGGCCCGATCATACAGCAGCAGGTCATTCCTGAATAGCTTCCTGCAAGTCCTGAATTCACTCTTTATATGGTGCTAGGAGCCTGCAAGTGAACTTGGGTTTTCGAAGGAGGAGGAACGGGCTGAGATGGCCCGCATGAAGGATGGTTTTATCACCTTGGATCAAGTATGGCATATCACCCCTCTCCGTCTTCCCTTCCCCCTCTCCAGGGGGAGGACTGGGATACTGACCAAGCATGGAACAGGATCTACAAAGGTTGCTCGAATCTTTCATCAAGAAGTGTGAGAACATATTAAACCAGAAGCTTCTGTCCCGCCTCAAGAAGTCGGTCGAGAAAGCGGTTACGAAAGCACCTAGGATTGTCGACGGTTGGCCACGACGTCACAGGAATGACGGGGGTTTGCCTTATGCAACATACAAGGCGACTTGCAAGCGACAGTATGACCCATTATCCCCGTGGAATTTCCATTTGCTAACCAGCCGTAGCGGCGTATTTTCCGGGACACTGGGTAAGCGAGATTTCAATGCCGGTAGGTTGTCGTCTTGGCCAAACGATTTTGATACGTTATGCGTGGAAATAGTTAATGAGCATGCCGCTGATGCCCTCGAAATTCAGACCTGGTGCGGCCGCTCATGAGCCACCTTGCCAAGGGTTGGGTGGGAACATTCCAGCAAAGTATCCCCGACGCCATAGACGATTTCACACGCGCCTCTGAGGAACTAGTCCGGGACTTCCACAGGAGTGTCAAAGGTCGCATACAGAAGAAAGTGAGCTTCGCAGCCGTTAATATGCTCCGTGAACAACTCGGTACTCGCATTATTAGCATAAGAAATATTGTTAACTCATTCAGCGATAATATCACCACTTCACAGCGTATGGCAAATCGAAAATTCCACTCAACAATCATGAAGGAAATGGAAAGGACATATACGGCCTGCGCAAAAATGAGTGGCAAGGGATGCTTCGTGCGTATTCAGGATTGCATGCTCGATGATATCGAAAACAACCGAGAAGCAATATTCAAAAGCGCGACACGCCCCGTAAAAGACGACCTGGTGAGTGTATGTTCGACCCTCCAGGGAGACCTTGAATCCAAGATTGCTGGGATGCTGGATGGTATGAGCCAAGATTACATGAATACAATCGGCGGGCAGAAAGCCACCGGGCCGTCGAGGAAAGTGCGAAATATAATACTTGAATTCCTGAAAGAGGCTGACGAGCTCTTCCGGTACAACCGCGACGAGCTCTTCCGGTACAACCGCGACGAGCATCTCGACGAGCACTCCAATTTCGCCTCGGCAAATGACGCCGAGCCCTCTTTCGCTCGAGAAGGTGCCCACACCTATGAGCGGAACTCGTCAGACTCGGGGGCTGCAGATCTACCAGAAAAAAAGGATTCGCCCAGCGACCAGTTAGCTCGATCACCGCCTCAAGCCGATGACAATCGAGAATCTATTAGACTAGGGCATAGGGGAGAAGAGGGTGAGGAAAGTGAAGGCCAAGAGCAAGAGGAAGACGACAGATTTGGCATGCCTTCCGGAGTTCGCGAATCTCTCAAACTGACCTGGACTTGGCCTAGTTTAGACAAGTGTTAGATCTCGGGGATAATGAGGACGCATCACGGTCCTTGGGAAGAGCTCGCATACGCAGGTATGGGTCCAGATCCCATGCTATTGCATGCGTGGGAATAATGGGTTGCTTTTCTGGAGGCCGATTTGCATTGCGTTGATTTGATAAGTACCGACATAGGCGTCTCAGCGGATAGGCAGATACCCATCCCACTTAGGCATTTTAAAATAATGAGCAGTAAACAATGAATGTATCGTCCCGTTATCCCGTCAGCACTACGGAGGAGTTACCGAGGAGAAATTCGTTCGGGAAGTAGAGACGTAATCGAGGTAGGCGAGGAATACACGTACCGGAAGATGAGACGGATGAGCTCCCATCTACCTACCACACACCGGTCGAGAACTGCATCTTAGATACCTCCTCTCCCTACGTATGCGTACCTATGTGAATGTTCTCCTTTTTCTTTTTCTCCCTTACCCCCCCCCCCCCCCCCCCCGTCCTCAACTCCATTCACCACCCCATGTTGGTCTTGCGTCGATGATTATCTACCTACCTACCCACCTAGCTGTCCCTTATTCATTTCTCTCTCGTCGGGCCCGCATGCTCGCCTCAGGGATATGACCAGCCTCGTTGCCGTCCGCCTTCTTCACTTACCCTGGGGGAGAAGGCGAGAGGGGAAAAGAAAACCCCAGACTCCCCCGAAGAGCGCGGGTGTGGACAACTCTGTATGAGTAGGAAGGGGCATAGGAATCAAAGAAGATAGGCGAAGTGTGATCGACAATCTGTCTACACGTAGGTAGGCAGGTAGCGGAGAACGATGGGGCCCCCCTCCCCTGCTGCTGTCTGTGCGGCCGCATCGACCCTCCCCTCCGGAAGATCCTCGTACGCGCACACGCCAAGGGCGCGGGGCGCGTCGCCTTCGGCCCCCTTAAGCCACGCGTAACGTAGGTAGCTGGCGGAGCATTTGGAGTCGCAGATTGTGCTTACCTAGGTAGGTAGGTAGGTAGGTAGGTAGGTAGAGCCTACTCGTGTGAAGGGGGCCGCATCGCGACGGACGCTGGCGATCGAATGGGTGGGACGATGGGAGCGGGGAGGGGGAGGTGGATAGTCTAGGTATGTTGTCGTGGTCCGCTTCCCGCGGAGTAGGACTCGGAGTAGTAGCAGTCGGTCCTCTCGTCGCTGGCGATGATGGCGGTGGCGTGTCTTGATTGTCACTATCACCGCTGCTGCTGCTGTCGCTGCTGACTTGCCTGAGAAAAAAAAAAGCATCAAGAGAGAAGGCGCGCCTACGAGGCGCCGAGAAAGGGTGAGAGAGGTGGGAATGGAGGGGGCCGGGGGGCGGAGGGACCGCAGCTGCAAGAGGGTCGACTGACCGTATGTATGTGCGGATGGATGTAAGCATGTGTGCATCTCGGTGGCTTCTCTCTCCGGTTGCCGTTTATCAATCCTTTGGAGATTTCTTGGTGGTTCCGTCGCACTGCCTCGACAGGCAATTTGCGTAGGCATGTTACATGAATGCAAGAGATGACCTCTCGTCATGCTCACCCGAGTGTTCAAGACAAGCCGAGCCGGAGTGACGAGATCTTCGTTTTGACTGCACCCGTCTCGCCGTGGATTCCCCTTCCCCCCCCTCTTTCATTTCTCTCCCTTCCAGCCCTTCCCCCCCCCCCTTTCCGCAGTCTCCTTCCAAGTAGCGATTGGCGAGGGGTGCAGGGGCTAGGTGGTCGTGGGAGAATAGCTTCACGGGATGATACTCATTTTGTAACAAGAGAGTTACGGTATAAGTGTAGCACTTTGCGATTATGGCTGAGATGTCCAGACAAGTCACGACGCATGTTGCCGACTCTTCGGCACCTAGGACGGGGAAATGCAGATCACAAAGGGGAGGGAGTCCGTGATGTTCATGGACCCAATGGGAGGAGGGGGCTCGCAGCGTCTGGTACGGAAAGCAAGATCTGATGAATTTCCTGTGTAGCCCCTGTACCTATAGGTGTGCATATTTATAGCAAGTAGTGGGATCTACTTACTGGCCGGCGAGGATAGATAGGACCCGGGGAGAGGTGAGGACTTGCTGGCCTGCTCTGGTTCCCGGCATTGCTACTCTAGGGTACCATTCGCGAATCTCACCAATGAGACGTCGCCGGCGAGCTGAGAGTCTGTCAGAACTCTAATCCGACCTTGGGGCAAGGAGAAGAGTCCCGTGGGAATGGTAACGAGGGACTTGGCCTGTAGGAGTTCTGCTACGTTGTGTATCCCCCTTTCCGTTGCCGTTGCCGGTAGCCCGAACACTTGCGCCGGTGAGAATAGTGATACCCACGCTCGACTTCTCTGGGTATTACAATAACAAATCGATTGCTATCACAACTAGAGAGATAACTGAATCACTTTTTTTTTTCTTTTCCATATTTTCCTTTTCTCAACCCAACGAAGAGAAGAAGGGGGAGGGAGTTAACTAGTTGGGCACTGGTGACGCCGGGGTTGCCTAACGGACTGACTTCGCCAACCCCCTTCTCCTCTCCCCTCTCCCTCCGCCGGCTCCTCTTATGCGAGGATCGTCATATCTGGCGGTGGCGCAGAGGACGCCCCCTTGGAGTCCTTTCGCGGGGATCATCATCCGACGAATCATGGTAAAAATACTGCGATTCCGCGGATGCTATCTACTCGACCGCTGAGTGACCCGTCCTCCTCCCCGGGCGACCCGGTTGGTATGAGTCTTCCTCCTCGTGTTCCTTTTTAAGCAATAGTTATGTACCACGAAGGGCTAGCCCGGCTAGTATTGGGGTTGCGGATGGCGACGTCGCCCTTCAGATCGAGACCGAACAGACGGAACGGGAGGGCTACCCCCTACCCGGTCTTATGTGCCTACGCCTCTTCTGCCAGCCGGATGGAATTCCCGAATGAGGAAGTAAGCGCCCTCTTTCATACGACGTTCTAAGGGGGTCCCATAGGCGGCACCCCGAACCTCGATGCCTTCTCTCGCGGTGGCCGATCCGGTTGGCTGATAGTTTGGCCGATAGTTTGGCAAGGAGACGGCACGCGGGCAGGACGTCGTGTCATGACGGTTACCTACCCGATCGAAGCACCATTGGTCCTAGGGGCATTTGTTTTTTGTTCTTCTTGCCGCCACCCTTTTCTCGGCGGTAAAATAATGAGTTGTCGCGCTCTCCTCTGTCAGCTCGTATGCGAGTCATCGTCGAGCACGAGGCTAGGAAGGCCGCGTCGGTTGCGGGCAACCATACGGAGACAGTGGTAGAGAAAAAGGAAAGGGAAAAGAACTTTCAGCAATGTGACCTATGGGGGCGTCTCCAGCACGCGTTCAAGTCCCGCTGTGCAGTAGGGCTTGCTGACGTCCGATGGCTCGCGGGAAGTTCTCCTGTCGCATTCGGGTATCCCGACAACACCGAGCAACCGAGTTGGGCTCACGCGACAGCCACCACCAGCCGAGCGAATCGGGCAACGGAGAATCGCTCACGAATGTGTCCTGACTTAGCGTTCCGTCTCGTCATAGGGCTGGGACAGTTAGCGGCTTAATTCAAGAAGTCCACGTACATATCATATCATGGCACATCTTCCCCCGTTTCCCCCGCCACAACCTGCATGCTATTCTGTGAATAGTCTTCTGCGGTAACGGCAGCGGTGGCAGTGGAAGCAATGAGATTTTAGACCCTTCGCTCATACTAGGGAGATGGGCCGATGCACATGATCCCCGTTCCCACTCCCGGGCAACTGGCCAACTATCTAAGTAGGCTGCGTGATAGGTACTACCAGATACGCGGATGGCGAATGATACGAACGGAAGAAAAGAAAAGAGACGAGAGAAAGAAGTCGTAAGAGGGGTTGGTGGAAGGGGGGAAGGTCGGCGTTAGCCAGGGTTGTCGCGCCTCCATTTCGGTGTTTTCGTCCCCGTAGGTGCAGAGAGATGGCTTTCACATGCTGGAGGCCCATACATCTACATAGGTAGGCATCTCTGGGTTTTCTTTTGCTTTCCCCTCGAATCCGCTGTCCCCCACCTCGGCTCTAAACAAAACACCGAAGGGCTGAGACTTTTTTTTTGATGAATTGGACGAGCCGCGGCGCCATGGCGTTTGGAGCGGCGGCAGCCTCCCGCCGCTGTCTCGTTCTAACACCTTAGGGGGAGAAAGTGGGAGAGGGAGAGGGGGTGTCTGCGCATCTCCTCGCGAGAAGCTCAGGTCCGTCTACCCCATCGTGGAATCGTCTTCGAATCGATGGTTTGGTAGCTCGCGGTCCAGATCCGCCTGGGGAGCGAAGCGAGCCTCAACTAGCAGCGATAGAACTCGATGTATATACCTATGTATATATGTAGTAGATATGCTATGTGCATGCGTATGTTCATGTCTACACGTCTGGCTTTCGCGTGTGAGTGCCCATGGGATATGCCTGCCTACCCTCACCGCGGGCAAGTTTTCAGAGGCGAAGCGAAACCGCGATTGCTTCGAATGGCGCAGTCTCCTTCACCCTCCCGAATCTCAGAGGGCTTGATTTGAATGAGAACACGGAGTAGCAGAAAAGCGGATGGACGTGCCTACGTGTTCTTCCCGATCCTGCGTGGGTGGTCACCTCCGAAGGACGGCTATCGCTGTTGCTGCGCTTCATGGAGACGTACGACCCCACGCGTTTCGGGTCCATCTGACAGAGCCGCGATGAAGAAAGATCGATCGATCGGCGGACATCGGTCTACCATGTAGGGATGTGTGTATGTATGTGCGTATGTATGTGCGTATTGTGTGCATGTAGGTATATTCGCGCACATCTATGCCGTCTATATGCAGGAATGGGTGGAAGCGAGACCCGGCTGATCACATGGGATACACGACGGGCACACGGGAAAGCAAAACGCGATGACACGTACTATTCGCCGCCCTTCGAGCAAAATGGCGCTGTGGCCGCGGCTCGGGCCTACGCGGGATGCGAAAAGGGATGGGGCGGAGGGTGCGCCGCCGGAATAGCCTTCCCCCTCCCCCCGTCGTCGAGCATGTAGCTTGCGTAGCACCCGTGGCCCTGGCACCTGCCGCTACCCCCAACCCGACGGCACGTCGAAGAAAATCCGTGCGACATTCCTCGGGGTCTCCCTGTGCGTGGGGGTTCTCGCTGTATGAAAACGGGGGAGGGGGAGGGAGGGGCGGGGGGCGGTCAAGGGGGATGAAGGAGAGCGAAGCTGGGGAAACCTGGTTCCGCGCGCCGGGTAGGGACATGTACGGGCCTTGACGCCGTGTAATGGCCGTCCGGCACATCGCGAAGCGGGCGGGCGGCAAGAAAGGCGAAGGCAAGGACATGGTTAGGAGTGGAAAAGGGGGGTGAGGAGAGGAGAGGCAGAGAAGGGGACGGACAGACAAAGAGAGGGCGACAAGGACGTAAAAAGAGGCGCCAGCATGTTTGAGGCGTATGCGCGTTGCAGCTAGCGGGATGTTCTGTGCATCATGCACGTTTGAAGGATGGTAACATAGGGCCAAGCGGACGGGCGTGCAAACGAGGCAGCTAGCCGACCGACCGGCCGACCGATAACAGCGAGGGGGGAGGGGGGAGTCAGGAGCCCTATATTATAAGACGGCTAAGAAAGAAAAAAACGATAGCTCATGTAGCATAAGCATTGAGCGCATATCTGGTTTCGGGAGCCGCTGGCACCGGCGCCCACATCGACAGCAGCCAGCTTGGAGAACTGACGGTGAGACTGCGTCTTCTACCCGATCACCTGTGCACCCCCCTTTTTTTTCCCCGGCCCAGGACGACGAGGCGACGGTAGGCGACCCCTAGTTGCTTGATCGCAACTCTTCACGACAAAGCGCCGCGGAGAGCCTACACTAACAAAAGTCGGAAAAGCAGGCTTCACGATGTAGCGTCTTGAGATTCTCCGGTACGGTTATGTGGAGATCGCAGCGCGGTTAATTAGTAGTACGGTATGCTACTTTTCGTGTCCTTCAAAATTTTGTGAGCCTAGCTGGAGGACGGCCTCTATTGATTTTTGTGTAGACATATACAGTTTCGAAGGGTACATTGCGATAACGACAGTTGAGCCATTACATGTGCGTGTATCTCAAACAACAGTAAGCCGCCTTCTCCTGTAAGGAGAACGCTACGAAGGTGAAGATAGCGAGACCCCTACCCCAAAGAGAGAGAGAGAGAGAGAATGAGAGAGAATGACGCTCGACGGAACTCCATACCGCCATAATAGAGAAACCGTAGCATGCCACTGGGGTCGTTTATTTCCCCGTGACCATACCAATAATCAAGCAACTTGTCGATGTGAGTACGAGCCTAGTGTCTCTTGTTAGACTTCTCCTTCGCATCAGACTTCTTCGAAGATGAGGAGGAACCGTGGGCAATGACAACAGTTGACTTGTGGGACTTGGCCCTCTTGTCGTTGGAATTTGATCCTCGGGGGTGGCCCTCCTTCTTCTCCTTCCTTTCCTTATCCTCTCGCCGCTCCTTCGGCCCAGAGGCCCGGGAGCGTACCGTTTCATTTTCCGATACGCCCTCCTTGGTATAGTCGACCCTCAGTGAGCGACCCTCGAACTTGTAATCGTTAAGTCTTCGGATGAGTTTGCTGGCTACTTCCTCACTCTGAAACGTGATGAGGGCGTAACCCCTATTCAATCCTTGACTCTCTGAAAGCGGTAGGTCGATGTGCTGAATTTTATCAGCGTCGGACCCGGCTTTCTTTCGGACGAGATCCTGTACCTGGTTGAGAGTCGCCCAAGGCTGGAGCTGCTTTATAATAATTTTGCGTTGCCTCGTAGGAATTATAGTATCGGAGGAGCCATTCGCCGCAGGGTCTGCAGTGAGTATGCCGCTGTAGAAGCTGTAGTCGCCTATTCGATATTGTTGTGAGTAGGCACTCTCGTAGGGATGTTGGACCATCGTAGGGGAGGGAATCGCTGCCGATTTGTCCAGGTAGCTGCTCTTCTTTGTATCATAGGTGTCATAGGTATAACAACCGGGTCTCTCACGGAAATCATATGGCGTAGCGACTGACATCGTGTAAGACGTGCATTCCATTGTTGAAGTGGCTGCAAATGGCGAAGGCGTTGTGGGAGAAGCCCACTGCAGACAGTTAGCCATCGAAGAATGGTACCGAAGTCAGATTTGCTTGATATTGGAGGGACCTGCCTCTCCGTATCCTGTAGCAGTTGGCGACATTAATGGCGATGTGCCGGATGAATACTGCGCCGAAGGAGGCGTTTGGAATCTCGGCGTGTGGGGAGTCCTTGATGAAGCACCGGGGGTGTTGGAGGGGCTGACGAGCTCCCTGATCATAATGGTTTCCGTGGCATTTTTGCCATCCGCGAGCAGGGCTCGTCCGTTGAAGACACCTCCATTAAGCAGACCTGCGAGAAGCTCCTGGTCAATTTTCCCTTCTCTTGGGTAAACAGAATCGGGAGGATCGCCATACGGAGAGCCGCGTCGTAATTCTCTCGGCCCCAGACCGAAACCCAGCCAGAGGTGCTTTCGTTGAATACCTCAACCCTCTCAACCGCACATACGGACCGCACGTGGTCCTTCAACTGCTGCCAAGAAGTTTGCCATGGCAACTTCCCTCGGGGTGCGTATTGTCAGCACGGAGATGCTATTCAGAGCGGAAAGTCGCATGGCGCAAAACCAATCCCTGTTAGGCTCACATTCGAAACTAATATGTAGTACAAATTCGTCTGGATACCGGGCGCGACTTTAGATTGAATAGTTCCGTTGATGGGAACTTGGCGACTGAAGGTATCTGAAGACATGGTGAACGGACAGCTGCAGGACTCGAGAGTTTACTGGAAAATATTTGATAAAGGGGGCAGCACCCTGGATGAGAGAATCGTGTGGAACAGGTAGAATAATATGAATGATCCGATGGGGCTCTTTATATGTCGTACGAGAGAAGGCCTGAGGATTCCTAGGAGGTGAGAGCCAGATCGTATTTCCGTCGTGACGACAGCAGGTCGGCGTTACACGGAATAGTTCTTGATATATTGGACATACTTCGCCAGATCTATGCACTGAGACCTTTCGAGACAGATTCTGCCATGCACCGGGATGGCCAATGGGCACGCTTCTGTTCGTGGCGACGGGAGATGGGGCATAGATTGGGCCGGAGATATCTGGGAGGGCGCGGTATCTCATGGCTGGAAGAGACATTATGGCCGAGGCCAAAGCAGCCCAATAGGAAATGGCGGCCCACGATAGAGTAGACCTTGCCGTGCTGGCTGCATGGTAGCGAATGCCAAAAGCAACGAGCTATCAGGCTCGTCACGAAGCTGACTGCATTAGGAAGCGGGAGGGGAACGAGATGCGGAGTCGCTCGAGGCCGGCGAGGCAAGATGCTCGACTTCCGCTCCCAGTATCGTGACTAGCGATGGAGGTGACTAGCGATGGAGACCAGCACTACACCCCACGCGGACACAACGACCTCTCGGCTGTGATAAGCACCTGGGGGACAAAACTAGTGGCGTCACGAAAGGAAAACGAGGCACTCGGCTGTGGGGTGGACTGCTGGTTCCAACCGTTTATTTGATCCCACAGACCCGGTATAGCCTGCGGACTGAGGCTCCTCGTTGCCTACCTGGCTCGTGGGGGCTAAAGGCGGTCGAGACTTACGGTACTGCTTTACTGAGCCTCTCTCCGTCTGGCCTCGAGCTTTCGTCGACTATGTTGGGCAGACCTCGCGATCTGCAGACCAGGGCTCCATACTAAAGGTGGCGTTTCATGGCCAGGCCTTTGGCCACTAAGCTTTGCAGAACAATTTCTCCCAGATTCTGCTGTAAAGGCGCTTCGCTTCGTACTAGCATCAAGCTGCGACGTGACTCGAAGCCGTGGCAAGTGAGTTCAAGCAGCATGGGTATCCGCCTAGTGTCGATGGCAAACACTCGACGATAGATTGAAATCTTTCCAATAATGTGCTCATGCATAAGTGACACAACAAGGATGTCCTATATTGCCTGATGTTGTCGATTGTTTATGTTAGGCTACTCTCGACATCGTATCCCGCGGGTCAGGTAAGCCTCTCTCGGCCAGCCGGCTTGGTTCGGTTGGCGGGTGCACCTCCAACTGGGCGTTCCTAGATTCAAAAATTACTATGCCTGAGCGGGATTCACTGTCGCGCTGATCTCCCTCACCTCTGGGTCGAATCCGTCTCCGTTTCCGGGGTTCCGCCCACTCTCGGTTGACAATGATAGACAGTAGCCGAGTCCGACCGAGTTGGCTGCCACACAACAAAAGGAAAAACAAAGTACAGGAGACCCGCAAGTACCCTGCAACTCCTAGATGATCGGAGTGCTGTTCGTGCATCCGGAAGAGTTTCCGGTATTAAGCTTATGGCCATAACTCCCGCGGCGTTGAGCACCTGGCTTGAATATCTCGCTCGTCTGAGATGTGACAGAATCTCAGGGAAACTCAACGGCCGATAAACTTTCGGAACTCAAACGTATCATCTGGTTCGCTTGCAAGATCATCATCCATGTCAAAGCCGATGCTGTCTTCCGCATCGTCTGAAGGTGACGAGTGCCTTGACGATGGCTGCATCCCCGCGTTGCCCTTGTGACCGGTGGAGTTGGCGGGCATAGACCCATCTCGCCAGGGGAGCGCTTCTCCGTCCGAATCTGCAAGTGAAATGACCATGCACGTTGCGCTGTCTGTGAAGAATAGTGCTGCAGACTCTGTCGTCGTTTTCAACCATGTGGCGTGGGTCCTGCCATTAACGGGCCCCGGAAACCGAGTTGTTATATCGATCGAGCGCGGGCCGCGGCCTAGAGGATCCCAGACAAACACGAGATTCCCGTAGTCATCCCCTTCGCACCTAAGGAGGAGGAGCTCCGGTTGCACAGGGTGCCATTCCAGTTTTGTCACATTGGCATGATACATCAGCACTGCTCGAAGATCGGAACTGAGCACATCCCAGATCCAGATCGTACCTGGCGCGTCCTCCAGCCTTGTGGCCAGGAGGGACGACGAGGAGTCGAACTTGGCAAGATTACAACCGGATATGGGCTCCTGGAGGCTATTCAGTGCGGTCCATTGCGGGGTCACGGCCTGACTAGCCCTGACGAACCCCGGTAACGAAAAGGACCCGGTATTTGGAAGGGTGTTTTGTTCTTGCCACACCTTCGCAGTTAGCTAGATCAGGTCCGCAATCCCACCGAGGAGGCGACTTACTTGCAATGTGTCTCTGGGTTGAATGACCTGGGGATGACGGAGCCGCACTGCTTCGGCCATGGATGGTGTGTTTAAGACGCATATGCAGGTAGAACCGTTGGCAATTGCAGCATATCGCCCATCCGGGCTGAGAGCTACCGTCCTAACACCTCCACTATACTCGAGACCCATGTCGCCGGATGCAGGTGTGAGGGGAGCTCGCCAATCCTTGAAGATATGACCATCAGAGGTGTAAAAAAGGACCCTGGAAGATTGGGCGACCGATTCCCACACGACCAACCATCTCCCGTCCGCAGTCCAAGCCAGGCCCTGGGCGTCAATGGTGTCTGAGTGCCAGGAACGCTCGACCTCCCTCGTTCCCGGGGAATGTATGCTGATCATGTCCTTCCCAGCCGTCCGCGTGAGTAGCGCAAGGTGATCGGTGCCCGCCCGAGAGGAGCACCCTCTTGTTGCAGATGCTGCATTGTGAAACTTGGGGTTGGCTATTTCTATGACCTTGGGGTTTGCGAAATTGATAAGAGTCAACTTGATGCCGAAGGGACACCAGATGCGAACTTCGCAATCTGTAGCCCCAAAGTCGATAAACGAGGCCTTGGCAGCCGGCGACGGAATCCTAGCAGTACCATGGAAGTCGCCATCTCTGACTGAAAACACGTGTAGGTGATCCGAGGCAGCGACTAACACCCTCCTAGAAGACGAAGACCAGCCGAAATTTGTTACACTGCCGGTGAAGTCGCGGGGGAGTCTAATGGACCGGATGACCTCCAACGACTCGACAGCTCGTACCAAGATGCTTGCCGGTAAGAGCGTAGCAAGCAGCTCTCCGTCTGGGCTCGGAAAGGAGTAAGGTGATGCTAGCCGCCAGCGTTAGCACCCGACCTTAGTGCCACTGACGATGAAAGTAAGATGGACGATGATATATCAGCGTGTATAGAGGGTGTTTTCGAGGACAAGCAGTCGCAACACGAGAGGGATCCCTACATACACTCAAGGGCTCTGGAAAAGCGCATGGTAATTATATATAGTTATGGCTCAATCCAATATAGCTGTCTGGATTGGAGGCAGAGCGAGTGGTGGCGGGGATAGGGCGACCGTTGAGACCGGCGAAGGTTCGACTCGTGAGACTCGGAAAGAATCACACGCAACCCACATCGACAAGACGGAACCTCGTCGTCGCAACCAATGGGTCAAGTGTACGTACGCTACCGGTCGAAATGTGATAAGTAAAGGGAAGACCTGAGGAAATTTGATGATTGGCCAGGTTAGGGAAGCTGTTCTTCCATATGCTCGCATCGAGGACGATCGGGATTTACGTGTATGTGGAGTGGGTATTGCGCATGAGCAGGCGTTGTAGTTGCGGTCTCGTAGGTACTGTATCGTCCCTTGGTCCAAGGCAAAGCTGGAGGCCTGCGACGGCGAAGCGCGGGTAGACGGAACGGGAATTGGATGAGGGCTGGAGAGCGGATAGACAGGATCACCTACGGGTAGGATTTCAACGGCGTCGAGCTGGCTAACTAATCTGAAGAAGGTTGCTACTTCCATCCCGAAGTTTCAGAGAGTGGGAGGTTCTTTCCCATACCGCGACCACGACCGCGACTTGGTCCTCCGCCCTGCGTTGGCCCACTTTTACACCTGCTCGGGCAGTACGAAGCCCTGTCCTAGGTCGGCGGGTACCAACCTAGGCAGGTAGCCTTGCAGAGGCACCTAATGCCCCTAACATTAGGTACCTACAAGAGGTACTTCCGGTAGGTACATGATTAGGTACCTAGGTACCTATATACCCTATGCTTACATCTATCTCTTGAAGGTGAATCTAAAAAAAAAAAAGTACTCTCCACATGTGAAGGAGTACCCAAGGTACCTGTAGGAGGCAGAGGAGGTAATTGCTAACAACTCAACCGTCCTACGACCAAGGTACTAATAGCCACAGGCCTGCTTTAAATCACTGCAGATTTGTGCGTTTTCCAATCCCATGAGCTACCTACCTACCTACCTAGACATAGAGCAATTATGTACTGTAGGTCTTTCCCACAGCTCTCAGATCCCGCACGTTGCTACCACTCCATGCCAGTCGGGGACCCCTTTAGATAGGTAGAGAGATCGCTATCTTTTATCTGCCCGCCGAGCAACTGCCTCAATAGGCAGTATGCCAAGAAGCAGCTAAGGCGGGGTCTCCATTATCATCTCCGTCTCTAAGCGCTTTATAAGTGACGTATGTAGGAGGTAGGCCGGCAGATAGGTAGGTACCTGCACCTCAGTAATGTCCGTACCAGGTTACGTATGTGCGATGTCGCATCGGGATTTAGAGGGGCCGTAGACGTCATGTCAGAAAACGCATCCGTTGCTCTGACCGGGTGTCCTAGACATCAAGAGAAAGAGTAGTAACCTGCCTGACATAATAACCTAGGCCACTATAAAGAACTTAGATTAAAGGTAGCCGGGCACCTCTAAGATGCACCGTGAAGAGCCTATATCGATACCTTTCAATAATAGGCACCCTATGCACTCAGAACAGGTATCGAACCTGCCTATCTCGTGTGGATCCTAGGCATCCCATTGGTCAGCATCCTGTTGACTGAAAGCTCTTGCAGCGCTTGCCTATTCACCTGAAAGATAGCTGTAAAAGGAGCTGTAAAAGGAGCTCTAAAAGGAGCTGTAATTCGCCTGTAAAACGAGCTATATAAAAGCTCTTTATTTCGCAGTTCTAGAACCTAGATCCCCTTCCAATTGAACAGCAGTTTAGGTTCAGCTTTCAACGTTTTGTAAGCCTTAGATGACTAAGTGATTACGAAGCAACGGGAAGCGAGCCTAGCGAAAACGCACACTCGTACCCAACCTCTACCTTAGGTACCTAGTAGATTCACTACATCCTTCTCGGATCGGTAGATTGGTGGGCAGGTACCTGTTACTCAGGCCAGGCACCTAGAGGTAGGTACCTACCTCCTAGTACGTAGCGCAACCTACCTGTGGACAGTCTTACAACTCCACAACATTCCCCAGCCTATCTGCCATATTTTCTCTCCTTGTGATTGATAATAGGAGTCCGTCCTGCCGTCAATGCATCCCCTCCCTTGAAAGGACAACTCAGCTCAGACGAATTTCTTCCCCGCTAACATGCCACCAAGAGCCGTCTCGTCCCGTCTAGCATGGATGAAACCAAGGAGTCTCCAAACTTTGACGGGAGGATGTCGTGTCGGATCTTTGCGGAAAGTTGGCACTGCTTTCACCGCCGCTGGCAGCATCTCGGAGCCGCATAACGCGGTTCCGACCCCGCCCGTGCGACTGCCACGCCGGGAGCTGCTGAAGGATGCGAAACCATTCTCGGACTTTCTCACCGATACATTCCACCGGCAACACGACTATCTGCGGATATCACTGACCGAGAGGTGCAATCTCCGGTGCGTCTACTGCATGCCCGAAGAGGGCGTTCCCCTCTCCCCTCCGAGGGAGCTGCTGACGACCCCCGAGATCGTGATGCTGTCATCCGTGTTCGTTTCTCAAGGGGTCAGCAAAATACGTCTCACGGGCGGGGAGCCCACAGTCAGGAAGGATATTCTTCCTCTCATGCAGCAGATCGGCTCTCTCCGCTCCCACGGTCTGCGCGAATTATGCCTTACTACGAATGGATTGACCCTCCACCGTAAACTCGAGGGGATGGTGGAAGCGGGCCTGACTGGTGTTAACATGAGCCTCGACACGTTAGACCCGTGGCAATTCCAGGTGATGACGCGGCGCAAGGGTTTCGATGCCGTGACAAAAAGCATAAATAAAGTGCTCGAGCTCAACAAGCACGGGGCGGGCATCAAGCTAAAAATCAACGCTGTCGTCATGAGAGGAATCAATGACCGGGAACTTATCTCCTTCGTCGAGATGACTCGCGAAAAGGATATCGAAGTGAGATTCATAGAGTATATGCCGTTCGATGGCAACAAGTGGAAGGAAAACAAGATGGTCAGCTACTCTGAGATGCTGGATCGCATCCGCGAGACATTCCCGAACCTGGAGAAAGTGCGGGATCATAAGAACGACACGAGCAAAACCTACCAAGTCCCCGGGTTTGCGGGCAAGATCGGGTTCATCACTAGCATGACCCATAATTTCTGCGGGACATGCAACCGCCTACGCATCACGAGCGATGGAAACCTCAAAGTCTGTCTCTTTGGGAACGTCGAAGTCTCGCTACGGGATATCTTGAGGGAGTCTAATGGCGGGGAGCCGATCGACGAGGAAGCTTATCGAGTGATGAGGCAGGTGGAGTTAGACCGCCGACAACAGTTGCTAGACCAATCGGCCCCCCTCATCCTGGCACCCAATGAGCAGAAACTTCTAGAGGTCATCGGCATGGCTGTGAAGCGGAAGAAGGCAAAGCACGCAGGCATTGGCGAGCTGGAGCATATGAAGAATCGGCCCATGATACTCATAGGTGGGTGACTCCTGGCCCCGGAGGGAGAATTAAACCGCGGGGAACAACATCACCAATACCTGCAAGATCGCCCGGACTCGAGACGTTGGGAAGGGTTCGGACTGAACAGACGCCTGGCAGATTCGTTGCCGACCACATTGCGAACTGATCGTTCGCAAAACTCGGCCGGGGACGTCGCCAGGAGCCCTCTACCCGTGCTTGGGGCCCCTCGCCACTTCGTCCCTCTGGCGCCCGGTACGGCGACAGGCTACGTATACGGGCAACAGCTACGGTGTTTCTCGCGTACGAGCTCGCGACACGACACCGATGATGACAGTCGTGCTACGCTGACACACGTGTCCCCGTCTGGCTCCGCCCATATGGTTTCTATCTCAGGGAAGATAGCCAGCAAAAGAGTTGCGAAAGCGGTTTGCAGCGTCGTCTTCACCAATGAGATGGCTTGCAAGCTCATTAGGGAAGACCAGATCAAGAAAGGCGACGTTTTGGGGGTAGCCCGCGTAGCCGGGATAATGGCGGCAAAGAGAACGGCCGATCTCATTCCGCTATGCCACCCGATTGCCATCACCAAAGTCACGGTGGACTTGGCCGTGCGCGAGGGTGAAGGCGAAGCCGGACGAATTGAGATCGAGGCGACAGTAGCGTGCGAGGGAAAGACGGGGGTGGAGATGGAGGCATTGACGGCGGCTTCGACAGCAGCACTCACGGTCTACGACATGTGCAAGGCAGTGGATAAGGGCATGAGCATCGAAGGCCTGAGAGTGGTGCTGAAGGAGGGCGGCAAGAGCGGGCGATGGGTCGACGGGGCCCGAGTTGACCCACCGGGGCCGACTAGCGAACAACACATGTTATAATGGGGTTTCTGGCCGTAATATGACCTCTCTTCCGCGACACGCGTAACTCGTACGGACCCTGGCTTCCTTTACGTCATAAGGCACGCCAACACGGGGGGCTTCACGACGCGTTCGTTCTCTCACACAAATACTCTGGCCCCTCCGTCCAAAACACGCGCACTCGGATCGTCGTCGGCAGCAACTCCATCCCACGCTATATATGTAGCGTTCATCAACCTGAGTACATAATAATGTCACGGAGTGGGCCGTGGAGGTCGAGACGAGACAAGGCATCGGACCAGTCTGGCTGGGATGCTGGCGTCGGGGTCTGACTTTCAAACAGGCTGTCCAGCGGAGGACCCCTAGCTTCACACGCCTGCACGGATAGGGGCCCAATCGGGCGACGGGCGCGGAGTACGTAGAGTACTTGGGACTGCAGCTAACGTTGCCGTAGAAAGCCAATCAAACGCCGATGATAACAAAATCAGCGTCGGCCCCGCTTCAAGGACCCCTTTTTCCTGCCCTTCGCTTGTTGTTTTGCTGGTACTACACGTCGTTGCTGTTTTGCGAGTCCCCGCGGGGCAGTTCAGGTTAGGTACCTAAGAACCACCAAGCCACCTGCGTCCTACTGTGTGGGGCAGGCCTGGGCAGGACCGACATACGAGTACTCATACGTGTATGGATCACCAACCGTGCCTATTCCGGACTGGCTACGTGACATGTATTGCGTAGCGTCGGAACCCGTCGGTGAGATCGACCTGGACCATGCGTTGCAGCAGCGTACGTATCTGGGTACTCGGTTGGCGGGATGGAGAGAGAGCGAAAACAAGGAGGACAAAGGGACAAAGGGACGCGGGACGGAAACCCGGCCGGCATCTCGAGAGCTGATCTTCTAGATCTTGCATCTCGCTAGATCGGCAAGGCGATTTCGACGTGAGCGAAAATCCTTCCTGGGGCATTGGGTTTGCATGTGTTCCTGTTGTGTGCCCATGGCCCTGCCCTCGTTCGCTCGCATGACTCCGGGGCGCCGCTGAGAGAGCCTGGATGATGTCAAGCCATGAGGTTTTGCGCCCACGTTGGCAGCCCCGTCGCCAGTTCGCGTCGACACTTGGCCTGTGCTTTGCGGAGCCAACACTACAAACCCGGTCCGAAGTCTGACACGTGAGTAGAGCGGTCTCTGGCACGTCGCCCGAGATGCACCAGATCCGGGAGATAAGCTGCAGCGAGCGAGGGCGAGAACACAGCCGGTACCTAGTAAGCCACCCTGTCCCACCAGCCTCCCAAACCGGAGAGAGGAAAGGGAGAGAAGAAAGAAAGAAAACCTGTTGGTAACCGCTGACAGATCGACATGTAGTGTGGGCATTGGAGGTAGATGCCATAAGGTAGGTACCTGTGTTTACCTTCTCTGCTGGTAATAATACAGGTGGCTATCTAGATACCTACCTAGGTAAGTCCCGAGCGAAATCCGACGGCGACGCAGAACCCGAGATCCCCAGCAACCGTGGCAAGCTGCACTACCTACCTAGGTAGGTAGGTTACCTGCCATTTGATACAGGCATGCTGGAACCTCGTAATGTAGGCACGTTGGGCATCTATTCCTACCGCGTAGGTGTGTATGGAACAGGCCGGCTTCTAATCGAGCAACACGGAACCTCGAGATGTTCAAACGTTTATGTACTCTGTACAGGCAGGTAGGGAAGGGCCAGGCGCGCGGCGTTTGCATCCACGTAGGTAGGAGGTACCTAAGAGCAACCAAGCCAGAGCTCGGGGAGCCTCGACTCCGATGGCCAACGGCTAGGTATCTGGCTATCTTGACATACTGGCATTAGCGAGATTGCGGCCTCCAATCAGCGTCGACCCAAAGATAACCCTGCAGCACCGCAAACACTGTATCACACTGTGCTGCCCCGTCGCTGCGCTAACGGGGCCTAATGAATAAGGTATTATTATCGGTGTTCTGCACTTGTCTAGCTCACACACAGTCGCCGGTGCATAGCGCTGCATACTATACTTGTACGCTGCCGGATCTCGTGCGCTCGTGGCCTGGTATTACACGGCTGTTTACGTGCGTGTGTGTCCAGCACGACCTACCCAGAGGTTAGCAACCTAGGTACCTACCTACCTACCTACCTACCTACCTACCTAGACAGCCGCTCTATCATACTTTGGTCTCGTTTACTCGCGGCCACTGTCGTCGGCTGCGGCCGATCCGGGGGACGCGAAATTAGTTATTTTCATCTCTGCGCGAAAGACGACGGCGTCCCCTCGTCAAGACCTCCTCGTCAGGGAAAACATGTTGCGCGGGAGGTCGGACCGTGTGGAGCCACCCACGAATGAACTCTCGGAACGTAGGCATGGGAGGCATGTGAGTGGATATGTGTAAATGTATATAGTAGGTATGCACGAACATCCTGCATCGCCAGACCGGATCGCGAGGGAGAAGACGGCGCGCAGCTCTCCCTATGCTAAAGCGCCGACAGAAAGTGAAGTCATCGCGATAGACTTGGCAGCGCGCTTTTCCTCATCGACGTAGCGGTCGGGAGGGGGGATTGTGCGCGGAAAGTGGCTGTCGCTTGTTGAATGCGACCGGCCGGCCGGTTACATCGCGATATATTGCTCCTTGCCCACTTGGTAGCCATCGTAGTAACCAAACGTAATAAAGCACGGATGGCACGCCGGTGCTACAATGGCCTCCCCTCCCCTCCCCTCCTCTAAAAAGAAAAGCGCTCTTCCGCGCGCTCAGCTAGCTAGAGCAGGCTGACAGACTTCTCTTGCTTTCATAGAAAGTTAGGTGATGAGGTTGCACAATCTCGATGTGAGGGGAATGATGGGAGCAGGAAATCTCTCGACTCTCCCGTCTCTGCCGTCGCTCTTCACGTGGGATGGCACCTCTCTCATTGCGTCGGTGCGGAGGAAGGCTCCAGAGGGCATGATGAGACGGCGACAGGAGGGGAAGGGCCCGAAGGACCCAAGAAAAATCTGGAACCTGACGTAGATGAACGGATTCTAAGCCGCCGAAGATCGGTCGCTGACCAGGCTTAAACGAATTGGGCAAGAGGACAGACGACAAGTGCTTAGATATGGAGGGGGGTCTCTGTGGTGCATACTGTGTGTCAAGAGAGAGGGGGGGAGGGGCAGGAGGTAGGGAGGGAGAGAGGGTTTCGTGTACGTTATGAATCGGCCAGTCTATCTTGTCAAGAAGTTAACGAGATGCAATACGAAATGCACCATATCCTGACAATATTCACACACAAAATAGAAACTCTCGCCTTGCGATCGTCCAGAGAGAGTAAGTTGTGGTGAGATGAGGACACGTGCACGACGGGTATAACAGGTTGAAGTCCCCACCACCATTAACCTAACTAACCTGCGGGCGAAAGATGCGTAGGCAAGCTACGGGTAGTTAAGCATAGAATGGACCGTGTACAGATTGTCTAGACCTTCTCCAGCGGAGAAGAGAATCCACCCACATTCTCCCAAGCAACTCTTGTACGTGCCTACTTAGGATAGCTAATACCTCACCTACGTATGCACACATGCGCGCGAGAGGGCGAGAGAGAGACGATACGCGCTCCCCCTCGTCCACACCTCGCGCTTCCCCATGCACAGTACGAATTGATGGACCGGTTCGATCCAATTCGGGCGGGCCAATCAAGGGTAAGCGAAATGCCTTAGTAACTACGTAAGTGGACGCCGCTTAGATCCATCGATGTATCGAGGGGTTCCCGGCCCACCAAGTGCAGCCAGCCAGCGCCACCACGGCCGGCCGACTATTTCGCATCGGAGCAGGACTGGGGGGGGCTTCTTTTATTATCACCAGTCCCTTCATTCTTTTATTATCACCAGTCCCTTCATACTATTACATAGCCTCTCTCTCTTTCTCTCTCTCTCTCTCTCTCTCGCACACACACATGCAAACACACACACAGACACACATGCATGTACGCATGCATGCATACATGCCTCTTGATCGTCCCCCCCCCCTCCTCCTCCTCCTCCTCCTCCTCCTCTAACCTAGAGATTCTTGTTCTTATTATAACCCTTCCCCTCCCCTCCTCCCCTCCTCTCCTAGCAGATAGACAGATGTCTGCTACTTTGCCTACCTGCATGCATTCTATACCCGACGCCCCCTCGAGATTGCGGCAGTCTGGCGTCACAATCTCTCTCGATCGGAAAGGTCTTGTGGATATATAGGTACTGATACCTATACGTCGTCCTCTTCGGCATCGCCTGAACTGGGCACACACTAGCCGCCTTAATACCTGCGGTCTACCGCTATCCCTACCGGCCAACACGCGGCTTACGCCCGCCAACCATATTCTACCTACCTAACTGCTCACACCACTTACCTCTTCCTTGCTCGCCTACTCTTCACCTCGTGCGGCCTGGGTGCCTCTTCTCCAGCTGTGGCTGAAGAAGCCCTGCCGCGATCAACCGAGACATCGTCGTCTAGTGTCCATCCTACTGTCTGTCTGGTCTGGCCAGCGGGTGCGTAATCCGAGCTGCACCTTGGCGAAACCCTCTTTGTTCAGAGTTGCGATCGGGGACTCTCTAAATCGCTCTGGCCCCCTTCTATTATCTACCGGAGACGATTGGATTTTCCAATAATAGCGTGGCCATTCGATTGAGCAAACCCTCTTTGGTTGATAACTCCCAGCCTTTCCCACCATCCCCCCCCCCCCCTCTCTCTCGGCCAGGCTAGGTTCCGGGGTTGGCATTATTTATATTGCCTGCATACATACACACCTACGTACATACATTATACGTGCATTGGCGATCCCCGTCACCCAGGGCCGTCTACCGGTTGAGGAATACTTATTACGCAAATAATTCGGTCGCGCTACGGCTGACGCCGCTTATCGCCCCCCTCCTCTTCCTCTTCCTCTTGCTCGCCCCATCAACCCTCTGCGGACCCAGCTCCGCCTACTTATTGCAACCCTGCCTTTGTTTTCTCCCCAACACAACACCCCCCCGACCCTACCATCTCCTGCTCCGACACCTGCCGCCCCGGATTCTATAGTCGTCTCTATAGTGTCTGCGAGAAGCAGGATGGCCACCGACTTGATCATGCCTAGGCTCCACGAACAGCCCCAGCCGCATTTCTACCCGTATCACCACCCGCCCGGCGCGCGGTCGTCGCACTCTCCGACCTATCCGTCCCAGGGTTACCAGTCTCAGCAGATCTCGCCGCTCAGCACCTCCAACGCCACCTCGCCCACCTCGCCCAAGCCGTACCACCGCCAGAGACAACGACCGCTGTACATGCCCGCCGTCCTGAGACCGACCGAGCATCCCCCGAAGAAGATGCCGGACAGGAAGGCCGAGGCCGAGGAGGAGGGTGTTATGGTGTCCTCCTGCAACAGCTTCATGACGCTTGGTGGGTTGGCCACCCTCAGCCGGTTAGGTCGTCGCACGGCCAACAGCAGAAAATATGTGGACGGCGAATGGAACCTGGACATGTTTCCGAAGCCGACCGCGCAGCCCACGCGACTGCATTGGAAGGTATGTTCTGCCTGTTTGCGTTCACATCTTGCCTGCGCATTGCGCGCGCCGTGTCTCGAACCTACAGCCGTGCGCCGTCCCCTCGGGTTACGACACGGGGGCCGCGACCGGCTCACAGACGGAGGACCGAGAAGAAGAGGAAGAAGATGTTGGTGGTGGTGATGGCCCAAGCTGACCATACGTGTCCTCGTGATTATAGCCCGACACTGCGGCCCCGATCTGCGACGAGCCCTCCTGCCTGCGCCAGTTTAACTACTGGACGCGGCGGCACCACTGCCGGCGATGTGGCAACATCTTCTGCGACTCTCACTCAGCGTTCGACGTGCCGCTGGACCAGGACGCGAACTACAACCCGCGCGGCACGCCGAGTCGCGCGTGCTCCCACTGCTTCTCCGACTTCAAGGCTTGGCATAGCCGCACTAACAGCCAGGCGTCGAGCGAAGATTCGTCATCATCACCATCTTCTTCAGCCGCGTCTACCGTTGGCTCGTCGGGTGAGACGCCGGCGAGTCCGGCTATCTCGACACCCGCCGCCACTGCCGTCGCGACTAGCCACCGCCAGGATGTCGCTATGAGCGTCCCCAGAGATTGGAACTGGAGCACCTTCTAAGGCGTCCCCCTTTTCTATCACGCCGGAAGCGATCCTCTTCTCGGCCCCCCTCCCCCCCCCCTAAATCCACACGCGGAGACCTAAAATATACGCCCCCACCGCTCTTCCCGCGAAGCGAGCCGCGGCGGAAGAGGACTGCCGACAGAACTAATAACGATGATATCGGCCACTTCGTTTTGCGACGACAACAATTACTGCTACGACAACGGCAATCGCAGCGACCACTACTGCTGATATCGTTCTGAGGACTAATGGAACGCAGCAAACATCAACCGGCGTACCACATAGACTAGAAGGTTCCGGGATAGACTGTGCTTTCACGGCTAGACCTTTGAGTTTGTTTTTTCCCCTCGTTATTTCATTTTATCTATTGCTTTCTCACATACATGTATCCTGCGTCGGTCTCATGCATAGCATCGCGGGAACGGTACGGGGAAAGGGGAAAGGCAGCATTGCATCATTACATCGACGTGATTGTCGGGTTTTTTTATAGCTCCATTTCAAGCCTACGATACCCCCATATCCCGGAGCACTAATAACTGGATTTCACACCCTTCTCGTATTTCTTTTTCCCCCATTCCCCGCACATATATCTTGGAGGTATGTATGTATGGCGAGGAGGGCGATGCTGTATCGGGTGCATTGGACACACTGCGGACCGCGTCGGCGGGTACCGAGTTGCCCTTGGGGGGATAATGTCGTGGTGGGTGTTTTATAGTTACTTATCCCCCTACCTAGATGGGGGTATGGCGATGTTGCATGCCGATGGGAGGCTTGAAGGGGGGCACGGGCAGGGCGTCAGAAAGAGGGGAGAAAAGGGGGAGCTCGACTATTCAGGCTCGGTGTCTGAAGAGTATCCCTGTGCCGTTCTCTCTCTATCGACCCCGGCCGGCTCGGCTTCTCTCATCGTTGACGGCGTTCTAAGGGATGGGACGGATGGTATTTGGCGAGTAGAATTCATAACTGCTCTCCCAGTTGAAATCTGATTTTGACCACGACTTGCGATAGTTGGGTCAACACTAATGAGACCGCGCACGCTTATTCCAGTTTTCTGTCCAGAGAAAGTGAGATCAACTGGTTGACTAAACCTGCTCGCGTGCCTCCCCAAGCCTCTCTTAATTCTCGAAGCGTAGTTCTCAGAACACTGCCGGGCTATATAGCATTACTATATTACCTACTAGGCCCAGCCACCCTACGATCAGGCTAAGGAGCCGCTCCTTTTCCGGCTGGTTGCCCGTCCTCCCACTACTCTGGGCCTTCGGCACTGCGTTGCGGATGCTAGGTACAAGGGGAGCGCATGTTAAAAACTCATCCACGTCAACATACCTCCGCAGAGGCCGGATCCCCTTCCACTTGTCGTTCCATCCGTTCTTCGACGCGGCCAGCTTCCGCAGGCGCAGAAGGCCGCGCCGCCAGCCGAGGGAAACTCATCGGCCGCTCGTTAGCGTAGGCGTTACGGAAGCCAAGCCCTCCATACCGCATATGTACACCGAGAGAGGAGGGGGCGCGGGCGGTGTGCGCCTCTGGAGTTGGCGGACGCCGACGGCGAACCCGACCCTTAGCCATCCCCGCTAGACGCCACTTGGGGTTAGCCCGCCGTCCCGCGCGCCTGGGGCTGCGCCGCGCTAGCGCAGGCTAGCCAAGGTCGACCGGGTTTAGGACAGCGATGGCACGGCGACGCACCGCCAGCCAGGCGAGAGAGATAGGGATTTACCTGGCGTGGCGCCGGCCCGGGATGCTGGAACCGCGCGTGGGCTTCGCGTCTGATTCGGCGCCGCGGCGCACCGCTTGGCTCTCTCCCTCCCTCGCCCCCCTCTCTCCGGCTCTGCCAGCGTCGAGCAGGGTAGGTAGGTAGGTAGGTAGCCTACATATTTATTTCGTTCGGCGCGCGAACCGCCGCCGACCAAGACCAAGACCAAGACCAAGGGGGGTCCCGGGGCTGGTAAGCAACGTACCTCGAGCTGGGCGTTGGTATTACAAGGGAGAGTTCGGGGCACCCCTCCGGACACGGTGTGTCTCTGGCGGTAGGGTGTAGGCAGGTATCTTGTTTGCCACACGACCCCCCATCTTTGCGGCGATCTCGACAACGCCTAGCAAGCACTGCATCCCCTAATTTCGCCCCGGCCTGACCGCCTGAGGCCCGTCGTGGGCGCTACACGTGCGCTCAGGCAGACGGCGGGGCGGGCGAGTGAAGCAAGCGAGCATCCCCCCGCCGCTCAGCACTGGGACCTGTCTGATGGCGATCCTCTCTGGAGAATCAAGGGCGGCCCGTTTTTTAACGCTCCAGCTGTCGGCCGGAGCGATGCGGCGCGAGGTCGAGCGCGTGCTCTCCACCTGGGGTTTCGCGTGGCGCGGCGGCTACGAGCGTCTCTTGTCGAGGCCGCTCCTACTCCGGCTCCGAACCGGCTATCTCGGGGGATTTGCTTGCCCCCAGCTATTGGAGCCTACATTCACGTCTCGGTCTGGTGCTTTAAAAAAATTTTTTTTTTTCCAACTCATAGAAGCGATGCGTGTCCAGCCTTGGTCGAGCCCGCTGCTGGTCACAGGTTATCGGGCTGGTCTGGGGACCGGTTGCCGGGTTCGAGGGCCAGCTTCTCGTGGCGAATCGTTTCGGGTTCTGTCTACCTACCGATTGGACCCCTTTCGCGGAATGCTTACGCGGCGGCGTGATCAACGCCTCCTATCGTGTAATACAGCAGTATGACTCCCCTATCCCGGTGGCACAAGTCAGCGTCATAGTCTAGGTAGCTATAGGTCAGCTTGTGCTCTCTTCTTTCGTCCCCCCCCTTCCCCTCTCCCTCCTCCCTGCCCCCTCGTGCTTCGCTTCTATCCGCTAACGGCTCGCTTCGGAGGTATATATGCGACGCCGAGAGAAGGTCTCGGATCGGAAGCGGACCTACGACGAGGGCGAGCGTCGAGTAACACTCGGGAATACACGACGCGTACGTAGTTCTGTCTGACTACGCACGCGCAGGATCTATGTCGGGTACTAACGGCCGGAGGACGACATCGTTCTACGTAATTTGGACGTCGGATCTCGAGACACTGCGGATAACCTCGCGGCGGGCTTCGAGTCGAATACGGAAACGCAAATTGCTACAAGAATTCCCCAAAGACTTAGGTTTATCGGCACTATTAATCCCGACGATATCCTACGTGAAGATGTCCCAGAGTACTCAGTCGGTTACAGCCGGGAGGTTCTAAGCTCGGCGACGGCGAGTCGGACCCACGAATCCGGCCATCCTTCATAGCCTTGCATCGATACTTCCTGCGAGCATCTTCGCCACTCCTCCGGGCAATAGGAGCTCGGTACGCAGTCGTAACTCTGTCGCTCCAACTATGACTAGTTACTGGTCCCAGAAATGCTTCCGCTGACATCTCCCCTAGACCGGACGTCATTCTGAATTCTCCCATATCGTGTCACCTCTAGCGAACTCGCCCTCCGCGCCCTTGCCTCCGTAACCTGGCGAACGTGCGATGAGAACACACCTCCGTACATGTTTACTCGCTCGGGTTAGCGAGGCTGCAGACCGCCAGAGCGAATGATCGTCGTCGCGAGGTTGGCTCTGATGAAAGCGGCCCGTCGTGCGTCGCCTCCCGATAACTGGACAGGTCGGCAGGGGTGGTGGATGGGCTCTGGAGAAACCCGTAGGCTTCCCACGCCAGCCCGTCAGTATGCATGTGGGCATGCATACAACGTGGGGGGTCCAGAGAACTGCCGTTCGCGATTGCGAGTCTCAGACCTAGTTGAGCACATAGATCCCGCAGTGCGGCCTACTCCTATTTTCTCTGTTAGCCATGGGTAGCCTGCAGTCATGTTTCCAGACAGAGGAATGGGGCGTACGGGAGGGGACTATAGGTAAGGAGGCAGGTAGTAGTAACTTCAATTAGCGGCTAGAGCGGGATGTAAAATGAAGTATATATATATATGAGGATTCTAGGAGCTGGTTGTGGCCGCTTCAAGCATCAGCACCCGCCGAGCTGGCCGTCATCGCTGTGCCGGATCTCGTTACTAGTCATAGGTATGGAGTTTTGCCATTCACCTCTTCCCCTACTGTCGTGCCTCTACACGCATGTCGCGTTTTTATGCTATTCCATGTGATGATGTTTCCTTTCCCCGCCCCCTCCTCTAACCTCCCAAACGCCCTCAAAAAATGAGGCCGGTTAAATACAGCGCATACAGCGCCGACGGCGCGGAGGCGTGGGATGCGCGCCATCGATTATACCCGCAGCGAGGATTGTGGTCGCTGCGGCTTGTATTATTAAGTACGTCAAGGTACCTAAGGTTGCGTTTTTTTTTCCGGCTCTAGAAATCGATGCGAGTCGTTCGCGTCGATGACGGCTAATATTTAGTGCCTCTTCCCGTTCGCCTTGCCATTAGCTCTTCCGTTCGCTTTGGGCTTCGCGCCGTTCGCCTTGGCGGCGGAGGACGGGTGAAGCCTGTCGCCGTTGCTCGACTCGTCGCTTTCCTCGATAATGGCACCCTCGTTGCTCTCGCCGTAGACTTCGCGTTCCACGCTCCTCGCGGCATCCCAGCTGGCCTTCTCGGCCAGCATGACGTTGCTCCGCCGCCGGTCGGGGTTGCTCTTCGCGCGCACTACCTCGGCCTTGCTACGGCGCAGGTAGCTAGCGATGAAGAAGGACACGAACAGGTACGTGAGCGGGGCCAGATAGAAGACGTTGAGCCAGATTGCGAAGGTAGAACCCGTCGTCGTGACGCAGTCGACCTTGCGGTACTGTACAGCGTGACTAGCCGCCTGTTGCGTCGCATTAGACGCGCTCGGCACTGCAACCGCGCCGAATAATGTCTGCCTAAGGCCATTAATCACTCCGGTAATGCTGGGAGTAGCAGCGGCGGCTGCGGTTATGTCGGCGGGATCCGTCTCGGCTTGAATCGGGACGAGGTATGAGACGAAGGAGTGGATCATGGCGCAGGACGCGCCGATAACGAACTGGGAAATTTGAAGCGAGGTGAGCGAGCGTTTGATAAACGTGGGCACGCGGACGTTGAACGCGGTAACGGTGTAGTAGGTATACTGTCTCGCGAATTAGCGGGCACGATTTCTCCTCCCCCAACGTTGGATTTATCGTCACTCACCATGAGAGCGTGGATGGCCGAGTTGAAGAAGACGAAAATCCAGATCGGCGGCGACATGTAACGCATACCAGCCCACATAGCCATCATCGCGCCGGCGTGGTGGTACGTCTGCAGCGTCGAGCTGAGCTTCCCCTTGGCGAGAATGATGAGGGTATCGAACACCTCGTAGAACTTGCTGAGGTAGAAGATCCACCCGTAAGACGCCAGTCCCTCGTTCCATATCCGCCCGGCGTCGGCGCGGCTGGGGGAACCATCCGCCGCTAACGAGGGGATGCCCGATAACGCTTCCCAAGCCCCGTTGTGCGGGTTGTAACTGAGCCCGTTTTCCAGGCCGGCTGAACCGTGAATTTTGCAAAAGCTGTCCAAGGTGCCAGCCCAGCCATTGGGTCCCGAAGGGCTCACAGTCGTATTCCGAAGGGCCTTGAGCATGCCAACCCAGGTCCAGGCGGAGTAGACGGCGAGGAAGACGTTGTGGAGGACGACGAAGACGTGGAAGGCCGTCGTCTTGCTGATGGCCCACGGCTTCTTGCCGGTGGACTTGTTGTACACGTTGAGCGCCTTTGCGGTAACCGCGTAGACGGCAGCGATCGTGATCGGGACCTTGGGATTCAGCGCGGCAACATACAGGCTGTCCGGGATGGTGAAAGGAAGATCAAAGTGTGGAGGGGGGATGGTCTGCGGATCCGCGTGCGGCGGAAACCTGAAGAGGGTCGCCGCCGGGGGCGAGATCAAGACAACCGGAGCACTCATGGCTGTCGAAGACACCCAACAGGCGTATCTGGAGCCGTCAGAAATGGTTTCCCTCCCTTCTTCCAGACCGCGGGCGCTGCGTTATCGCGACCGGGCACGCGACAAGCCGCGAGGTGCTCACAAATCCAGCTAGATGAGTGGCCGGTGTAGGATAGGAACACACGTCGTTCCTTACGGTGTAGAGGGCCAGGGTCGAAGTGGCAGCGTTACAGGGACACAGGGCGAGGTCGCCGACGGCGCGCCGAGTAACAATGGGAGGATGGTAGGGAGCTTCGAGTTGGTGAGGATACTCGCGAGAGTCTGTCTGTCTAGTTGTGGGTTGGTTTGGGGAGAGGGTGGGTTTTTCGTTCCCTCCCGTTCGGCCCGGTTCAAAGAGGAGGAGGAGGAGGAGGACTATGTGATGGACATCTCAGTCGCTCTGCACGATGTGAGAAGCATAAATAACCACGACCACTGCGTACGGTAGGCAATTAAAAAAGGAAGACACGCGCGGACGGTCGGTGACAGGGTGCGGACGCAATATTTGCACAGCAGCGGTACCTTTGGGCCGCGGCACGATTACAGGCTGCTAGTCCCCTGCCAGGTACTCCCCTCTTCAGGCCTGGGCGCACTAGGACGGCGGGTTGAGACTTAGGAGGGGGAGGCGATGGAGGGGGGCAGCCAGTAGCAGGCGGGCCAACAGTGGACCTTCAGGGGCCACACGGCTCAACAGTTGAAAGGGGCGCGTTCCCAGATCCCTTCTAGGGTGCGTCAGCCCGGTCGCCATTGGCCCAATCCGGCCCGAGTCTGCCAGATCGGGCATCACTCCAGGCGTTGTCGGATTTTAGCATTCCCTCCTGGTTGATGTGCTACCAAAACAACCCCCCAGACGCCCGCAAATGCTCCCAGACTGCTACCCGTCCGCGCCGAGATAGGCTGCGAACGGGGGGCGACGCGTACGGCCTGCCGGAAACACGCATCGTGTGTATAATGCGTTTGTTGCGTTTATTCTTTCTCCGTGTCCGCCTCCCTTCTTCCGTTTTGTTGGTGCCACCAAGCGTCCGAGACTAGCGGGCGTGCGTGTAAGTCGCCTTGGTCGGGCTGGCGCTGCATCGACCGTCAACCGAGGCTAAGTCGCCCTGACATCACGAAATCGTCGAGCTGACACGGGTCTTGTCGTCGATCCAATGAGACAGAGACAGTGTGTGCGAGCGCTGGGTCGTGCCGCCGCATGTGTAGCCTGTGCGATAAGCGTCCGGGTCGCTTCCCCCCTTTTGCGCCCTCTCCCCGGCACTGTCTCTCCCTCGCCCCCCCCCCCCCCCTGCCCTCCCGACCTCTCCTCATCTGACTTACCTGCCCACCAACACTGCCAAATCCCCGGGAATCGATATGCGGGAGATGAGATGGTTCCATCGCCGAAATGCGCCTTCTCCGCCGAGTGCCAGACACGATGCGATCTAGGCCTGGGAGGCGTGGTGCCCAGGGGAGACAGGCCTCGGCAAGGCAATTCTCGAACCCCGCGACCAGATGTAGGCCAACTCGGCTAGCGAACAAGTCTGCGATACAGGGACGTGGGATATCAGATCTGGAGCGAGGAGGCAAGGGGGACTATGGTATCACGCAACCCCGCCGCGGTTGCGAATAGCGGAACTTGCCCTTCGACGGAGGCGGATAAGTCGGGCCACCTGTATACAGTCTTGTCTATCATGTTACAAAAAAGGACGGACATCAAAAGAGCCCATCTGCCGGGCTCGTCTGGATTTAAGTCTTATTATACCCTCTTCTCGCCCGGCCTCTCTTCATGATACCGAACCCGGACAGTAAGCAGTTCAACTATTGGGATTACTACTTGCACAAACGACATTACTACAGTAGACAACAAACCGCGTTGTGACAGGCGAGAGAGGGGGAGACACACTACGTTAGATGGTTTAGGCGGGGAGGGGGGGAGAGTTTCCCAGGCGTGATCGGCTCGACGGTGCAAACGAATCGACCGTGGTTGGTGTGGATGTGGTGATGCAGCATCGTAGCATCGGGCATCGGGCGTGGTACACAGCGTATGCCGCAGAAGCTTGGATGGAAGGCTGAAGTGGAAGCCGGGAAGTTCCTACTACGTGGGTACTACTACTACTACTACTACTATTACGTAGTTGAGTTGAGGATTTCCCAACAAAACATCCTCTCATGCGGCCCTAAAGCAGCCCCGCGCGGTCTCACTTCAACCTTTCTCCCTTTCATATTTTGGTGCTTTTCTCTTCTCTTCTGTTTGCAGCAGATTTTGCCCCTTGAGAAAGAGGGAGGGGGAAAGAAGAGAGGGCTCAGCTCATTCGGCAAGCAATTTGTTCTCCCTTTTGACCAAGGAGTCTAGGTATATAGGTAGTATGTCTTCTAATGCGAGACTCCTACGATAATACCTCGGTGGGTACTTGCGGTTGGGAATGTTTTCAGATTATTAAATGTAGGTACTTTTGTGCGTACTTTGCACTCCAATGCTACACAATAAAATTAGACGTCTCTCAATCAGGCAGGTCCCACGGGCATATGCAATAATATTCTAGCAGAAGTACATGCAATGACGTGAATGCCGGCAAGGGGCATGGACTGTGTAGCTCTATAGGTAGGTACAGCCTCTAATGGTTGGTAGGTACCTACCTACATACTTAGGAAGTACCTTAGGTACCTATACAGATATGTGTCTATGTACTTCACTTAGAACTTACGATAAGTAGGAACACTCACCTCACCTCACCTGCCTTCATGCAGCGTTCTGAGCTCCTAAAGGTAACTCCTCTAGCCTGTGTACAGCAAGAGGCACCCAGCCCATATAGGTATGTACAACCTGAGCGTGTACCTACAAATGTAGGTACCTCAGGCAGAATGCATGCACCTATATGTCTAAGACAATCTGAGCATCAACGATCTAATCCACATACTAAAATGCCAGGCCTCCTCCCGGGACCTAACATAATATGCAAACTTGGCCTGGCCTGGAGATATCTTTGTAGGGCATGTTGGCACATCACAGCCATGTTTTTTTTTTTTTTTTTCAGAATTGATGTGACAGTGTTACCTTCACCATCTCCTTATTTGTGCATGAAACTGCATGAAACAGAAGATTATGCAGATGTTATCTAATCCCCCTCTGTTTCCCCTCTCCCAACAAATTTGGAGTATGCAAATGGTTATCAAGACTGTGGCAGCATATCCACAGGGCCAGATCTCAGCTTGCCAGGGCAGATCAACTTTAAGATCTCGGCCAATCCTTGTCAGCGTATTTCTAAGGTTGAGGTTGTTACTCATAAAGCCTCCTGATGAAGACGCTCAACGCAGCGCTCGCGCCGTTCGCTTGATAGGTACTCCAAATATACCTAAGAATCACCCTATACGTACTACAAATCGCATTCGCATTACTGACAAACGACCTAGCAATATATGGCGATGGTTTCAGCGACTCTCTCAAGCAAAGGCAAAAATGGGGCCATGGGTGCGCGATCCATATACTCTCGTGTTGATACCTGACCGAAGTCGTAGGTGACGTGTGTATGCATTTGCGTCTACGGGGAACAGTGGAGTTACGGCTCTAGAAGTATCCGTCCCCTGGGGAAAATGCGACGGCAACAACTCCCTTCCCACCGGGAGATGTAGGCATACCGCCTACTACACATTAGTATCCCACGCCTCCGCTGTGGTCCTTCAGACCCTCTAAGCTAAAAATGAGAAGAAGACTAGGACGGAGATGTCGATGATACCGATGGAAACACCGACAGGAGAGTCTCTGGGGAGCTGCGCGGCCCGGCAACGGATTCCTGCATAGCCCGCCTGCCTACATATCCATCACGAATGCTCAACAAGGTATGCGTATACCGGGTATGTCGCTGTAACGCACCTCGTTCTTGCCCCAAAGGGAAAGAACCGAGGAAGTCGAACGGTGTGCACGGGCCAACACCGTCGATATCAGATGTTCTGCAACTGCCATGACTAGGGAGCGAATGGCAAGCGAATAGCGCTGGGAGCTGGCGGAAAACCAACACCATCGTTGCTTCCACCGTTGTTCGAACTCTCGCTATGTGGTAGGTACGCCGGTCGCCCCTGAGACTTAGATTCTACCAATACCTGGGTACCCGCGAGAAACAGTCTCGTAGAACCTCTGCTGCTGCTCGGCGCCTCTCGCCCTCCCCCAATAGCCCTTGAGGATGGGGGCCACTCACCATCTGGGAGCTCCTCTCTCGACCGACCTGCCCGAGCTCAAGCCTGATACCTATTTCACCCAGACGCAATGGAAGACCCTGTTCGCTCTCGTAGATGCCATCATCCCCTCCATTGTTGCCGAGTCGAGGGTGACAGACCGCAAGAACCAACTACGCCTATCGGAGCCCCGGTACGAGGAGGCATACGAGAAGACTAACAGAGCCTTGAGAACCCCAGTGGACCATGACAAGTTCCAGCAGTACCTGGAGGCGCGCCCGCTCGATAACCCGAGGTTCCTGCAAATCCTCAAACGTAGCCTCGAGAACATCTCAAATAGCGAGCGGAAACAACTAGGCATGGTTCTGGATATACTGGCGTAAGAAGCACCCGTGCCCGTGTATCGCGCTTCGGGGTCGAATGCCGAGTAGCTGACAAGTCGATAAGTACGCGTCTCGGCAGCCTAGCGGCAACGGGCTACTGTGACACCGTCCTTGAACAGCCGCTTCACGTCCGGGAAGCGGCCATCAAGTCCTGGGGCCGGGCTTGGGTGAGGATCTGGCCAATCGTCGGGAAGTCGATCGCCAAGATGGCGAGGGTGCTCTACGCACAGTCGGACCCTTTGCTGCTCGAGCTCAGCGGTTACAAGCGGTATGACGACCACTACCGACCCGGACCCTCGTTCGACTTCGACTTCGCACAGTTCGGACCCGGATCCGATATCGAAACTGTCGATGCCGACGTCGTAATCGTCGGGTCTGGTTGTGGAGGGGCCGTGTGCGCGAAGGTCCTTGCCGAAGCGGGACACCGAGTCGTCGTCGTCGACAAGGGCTATCACTTTCCCACCTCCCAGCTGCCTATGACTGCTGAGGCAGCCAACCACTTCCTCTACGAAGGAGGCGGAGCCGCCCAGAGCGCAGACGGGTCTGTCACTGTGCTTGCCGGAAGCTGCTGGGGAGGCGGGGGTACGGTGAATTGGAGCGCCTGTCTGCAGCTTCAGGGGTTCGTGCGCCAGGAATGGGCAGATCAGGGTCTTGACTTTTTCACTACCCAAGAATTTCAAAACTGCATGGACCGTGTGTGGGATTTTAGTAAGTTGCCTCCCGGTTATTTCCCCTCTCGCCGAAGCGTCTTGTGTCTGGGGCCGACGAGAAAGCTTCCTGGTATCGACGTACTGCGAATTGCATTTCTGCCTAGCATGGCGCGCACGCGAGATAGTACTGATATCGACCATCGCAGTGGGTGCCAGCGATTCGCAGATACGCCATAACCACCGGGCAAACGTCATTCTCAATGGATCAAAGAAGCTCGGCTGGTCCGCCAAGCCGGTCCCTCAGAACACCGGAGGGGCAGAGCACTATTGCGGCAACTGCACCCTAGGCTGTAGTTCGGCTGAGAAGCAGGGCCCGACTGCGAGCTGGTTACCCGCAGCCGCCCGCGCAGGCGCGAGACTCATCGAGGGATTCGAAGCCACCAAAGTCCTCTTCGACGAGAGCGGATCGAAGCGAGCCGTGGGGGTGTTAGGGACGTGGACATCACGAGACGAAAACGGGAAGCTAAACACTCCGGTGAAGGATAGAATCCAGAGACAGGTCCGAGTCAGAGCGAAGAAGGTCATTGCGGCCTGTGGCACGCTCAATAGCCCCTTGTTGTTGATGCGAAGCGGACTCAAGGTGAGATGCCCCCGAAGTCGCGGTACATTACTATCAGGCTTTGGTTTGGCTGACTTGCTGCCAGAATTCTCATCTAGGGAGAAATCTTTACTTGCACCCTGTTGCCCCGCTTAGTGCTGCTTTTGGTGAGGATATTAAAGGCTGGGAAGGCGAGTTATCTCAAGCAAGCAGGTTGCTGCGAGAGCTATAACTTACACGAAGCCGCTACGCAGGTGGAATCTTAACCAGTGTTTGCTCTGCCTTTGAAAATCTCGATGGCAAAGGTCACGGCGTCAAGCTCGAGCCGTCTGGCATGGTTGTGAGGCAATCCCTGCGTGCTGGTCCCCGACTCATACATGCGTAGACTTACTCGACTTCTAGCCCTACATGTTCCTCTACGAACATCCTTGGCGGGGCGCTCTGCAATGGAAACTCGACGCGCTCCGCTGCCGGCAGATGGACGCTTTCATCTCCATATCCCGCGACCGCGACACCGGCCGGGTGTACCCGGACCCCGACGACGGCCGGCCCGTCATCGACTATACGCCCTCCGCTTTCGACCGCAAGCATGTGAGTATCTTCCGAGACTATTCATACCAAAGACCCATATTTAACCGCCGGCGGTTACAGCTGCTGGCCGGCGTTATCGCACTAGCAAAACTATGCTATATCGAAGGGGCCACAGAGATTTGGCCGTTTGTCCAGAGTGTGCCGTCATTCGTGCGCCGGTCGAAACCGAACCGTGTTGCAGAGGCCAAGGGCTCCCTCGGCGATGACACGGATGATATCGACCAGGGTATCAACGACCCTGACTTTGTCGCGTGGTTGAAGACCGTCGAAACCACCGGACTCAACTTCCCCGACGCGACTTTTACGTCAGCACATCAGATGGGCACATGCCGCATGAGCGCGCACCCGAGTCGGGGCGTCGTTGACGCCACGGGCAGGACCTGGGAGGCGCAGGGCTTGTACGTGGCCGATGCGAGCGTGTTCCCGACCGCAAGCGGTGTCAACCCCATGATTACCGTGATGGCGATCGCGGATAGGATTGCCAGAGAAGTTTCCCGGGGCTTGAAGAGGGAACAGGGCGCAAAAGCGGCACCTTGAGATCTTATCTTCGATGGGGAAGGGTTGACGGTCTAAGCCCCCTGTGAAAGGTAATACCTTTATGCTGGAAGCTGTTCCCCCATCCGTCCCTCCCGCCCCTTTTGTCAGAGTGTGGGTTTCTTCACATAGAGACGTCCTACTTACTTGCGATGACCTGAGTGGAGGCAGGTGTGTGTATACAAAATTGCGCAACTGTACAAATATACGTATTGTACTTGTATCTATTTTTCTCGATAATAAAGCCGCTTACTCAGTCCTTGGGATTCTATGCATATCACTCCCTAGGACCTTTCTAGATAACTGGCTACCTAGGCAGGTATTCATGGGATATTTTAGCGTAGCCCATACACAAGCCGTTCGTATCGATGAACGCTTTCTCATTCTACCTACCCTTCCACGTCGGTATGAGTAGTCTCTTAGACAAGGGCAAAAAGGTGTGATATACCACAACATTCTGAGCAAGGTATATCGGCTCAGGGGAAGGCGGGCTTCCTACGAAATCTTTCATTGGGACCTTAGGTCAGTGTGCGCATGGTACGACCAACGTCATCTCGCTCTGATTAGCGAGGCACGGCATCTAACGTACACGTTGATTAACACTACTCCTACCAACCGGTGTGCGACACTCTCGTACGCCTCGCATCTCTGTTGCCTATTTACCTCTGAACCATCGACCTGAATGTGCTATGCGTAGCGGAGCGAACACGACGAGAAGCAAGTCATCATTCATATTTTAAGCCCCGGAAGGTGGTAGCGACGTGAGACTAAGAAGGACGCCCTGCCTCCCAAAGTCCTCGCACTCCTGAGCAACATACTACCTCCCAACCTAGGTATTTCCTTACTGTCTCGGCACTTGTGAACTGTATTTAGGTGCTACATATTAGGAGTCTTGGATGTTTATGATTCTACATTATTAATACGTGTAAAAAGTCCTACATGGCACTGTAGATCGGGCCAGACGCGCCTCCATATGCGTGCCAGGACAAAGGGAAGGTAATCAAATCCTATCGACCTTTCGTAAGAGCCAATATGGTAGGACAAATTAAAAGAATGAGAAGAGAAGAATTTTCTTTCTCCATAGATAAGCAAATCTCGGCTCTGCAGCGCCATTCCCTTGCCTACACGGAGAGGGGAGGGTGGTTCTATCACGGGACGAGGCAACGGGTGATAGATAGTTCGCTGCGACGGCTAGGCACATGGAACCTTGAGTATTTTTTATTAGAAAGTCACACCAGCTTCTCAAGGGAAGTAGGTGCGTATTTCTATGGACTCGAAGGCAGGTTACGGCACTCGCTCGCTAAGATGAATGTCGGCCCCTAACCCAGTGAGCAAGTGTTCCCGATGCTGAGCGGTCGGCCGCGCCGTATGCGGCCCCCTTAACGCAAGGGAAAAGGGCACGGGAGACGCAAGCTGTAATGGAAGCTACCTAGGTAGTTTGTGTAGCAGTTCGACCTTCTGTGGGGCGTGTTGTCTTGTCTTCACCGGCCCGGTCCTGGGCATGGCATATTATACTACTGTGTTCACATACCTACCTACCTACAAGAACACACACGCACCCACGTCTAAACACACGCATACTACCTACAGCCGTACTTACCAAATTCCCATGCCACACTACACCACCCGGCTCACCTACCGTGAACCACGATAGACTCACGTCCCCTCGGGGAAGAGTAGCAGGAAGAGGTACAGTACCACCACCATCGGAGCTCACCAGAGATCTGCTTCCCAGCCAAGCTCGCAGGTTCATGCGATCTTCTAAGTGGGAAAGTGTGCAGGATCTTGCCTCGAACCTAGGCCAGAAGATAGGAGGTAAAAAAAGCAAAAAGGGCCGTCTCTGACGCTTGGAACCGGATCGGTGCTACTTACCAGCTTGGTTCTATACCCGGGCGAATTTAATAATACACACACGCATGCAGGCGTATAAGGTAGGTCAGCAGCAGCAGCAGCAGCAGCAGTAGTATGTTCACGCGTGATGAAACCCGCAGGGTCCCAACCGCCCACAGACCTGTCGATGTACACACACACACACACGTGTTACCTATTCTCCTTCAGTCCTTCTTCCTCGCGGCTTCGGGACCGTGATGAGCTCACCAGACCTACGCCCCCCCTTGGCCCGGCGCCCGGGACGGAGAGACATACCCGTTTCGTCTTCGCCAGCCCTGGGCGCTTCGTAGGCGGCTGAACACGCTGTTTCAGCCTGCCAGGTTTTTCCAGAGCGTAGGACGACGGCAGCGGCGTGCGGAGGAGAGGAACATGGGGTGAGAAGCCGGCTTTCTATGAGTACCTAGGTATGTACACTGACATCAAGTAACCTACCTTTCTATCGCCGTCCCCTTCTTCCCTCCCCTGCCCCGCCGCATGGCTACGTGCATACCAGACTCGCACCCTCGGTCCCGTCGTCGTCGCCGTCGTCGTTATCGTCGCCGCTGCCTCCGCCGCCGTCGCCGCCCCTCCCGAAAGCTGTGGAAGCAGCAGCAGCAGCAGGCGCGTCTGGCGGTGAGAGGCGCGGCTGCGTAGCCCTCGTGTATTTCAAACGCAGGCTTAGGCTGGGATGGGCTGATTCGAGCCCAACTCGGAGGCGAGTAAGCCACGCCGGAGAATTTCTTTTCTGTGCCCCCCTCCCCCCCTCATTTCCTACGACAAACTACGCGACGGGCTTCTAGGGTGCAAGTCCAGGGATCGCCAGTAGCAGAAAGCCAGGTCAGGCTAGGGCGGGGGCCGGAAGTCGAAGTGAGAGCTAGAAACTACCTAAAATTCGTCTGTACGCACGGCGGCGGCGCCCCCATACCCTTCCTCCCCGCCCTAAACCCCAGCTGACGTTACGGCTTCCGTCGAGTGGCTTGGTATCAGGCAGGAAAAATCACATAGCTATTTTGAAACATCGGCCATGAGTAGGCGGAGTGCGCTCGTCTTCGCCGATCTCGTATGGCGTTGCGTCCGCAGACATGATAGATCTTCCCGCCCTCCTTGGGAAGGTTTTATTTTTTCTTCTTCTTCAAGTTACGAGAAGGGGACAAAACGGAGAGTGAAGAGAAAAGGAGAAAGGGGGAAAAGGGGGCAGTGGGGAGGGGGGGAGAATGAGCGGAGTACCAACGGTCGAATTACCTAGGTTTACCGGCAGTCCGGGAGAGAAAGCGGCACAAGTCGATTAGACTTGCGGGCATTCCCGTGTTGCTAAGTATAGGTCTCCTTTCTCTCTCCCTCTCTCCTAACTACCTACTTCCTAGGTATCTTCCCCTGGTACTATTACTGCCATTACTGTCCGCACACGTTGGTTGCGTAAGTGACACGAGCACGCCAGCTCCCTGCGCTCACGCGCTCTCGAACACTTAAACTCCGGTCTGTTGGTTCGTAAGCCAGCCAGTGGGATGCGAGCATCGTCGATGCTACCGCGCCCCCTGCTGTTGGGTCTAGATTACGGACCTACGACGATACGGCATGCGGTGCCAAGTGGGTAGGTGAGTGAGTGAGGGAGTAGGTAGTATGTAGGTACGTAGTAATAGCGCGATAACATGATGACGCTCGGTGTAGGTATCGATGGGTGAGAACAAGGGGGCAGGGTGTGAGAGTATGCGAGTAAGAGAATAGAGCGACGAAAAAAAAAGGAGACATTCCCCAGGGTAGGGTGGGAACTCAGCCGCACCTTATGACACCCGCATCTAGGTATCCCGCAGAGCAAACGAGCCGACCAAGGCTGCACCCGAAGGGCCAAGAATAAACATACCTACCGTCCTGTATCCAAGGCCGGAAAAGGAGTGTCGGGTGGAAGGGAGGCTGGCTGGTAGGGCTGCCACTCGAAACACCTTGGAATCTGCCTCATGCACGAAGCGTGGGTATGCGCGCGCGCGCGCGCACATCTTGGTGGCTCTTCGTCAGCATCATCTTGAGGAGGGGAAATAAGATGAGAGAGGGCACGCAGGAATAACACGACATGGGAGGCCCAACTTAGCCGGGGCCTGGACCGCTTCGTAAAAAAGAAAGACGGGAAAAATAAGGGTGACACACGACGGGTATCAAGGCGAGAATATGAGCGCTCGCATGCATGCAATTTAGGTAAGTAAGTAGGTAGGGAGGGGCCTCTATGTGTGCAGCGTAGAGGGAGAGGCAGGCAAGGAGATCGAGCATCCTGTGCTGGCGTCGCTCCGGACACCGCAATACGAGAGGGGGCTCAGGCAAGTCGCGCGCGTCGCCTGTTGGACGCTTGCGCGTAGTGTTACTTGGGAATAGCAACATCGATAGCGACAGGTAGGCATGTTCGTGTCTGCGCGGGCGCGCATGCACGCGGCCATATCAGTACGTCAGGTATGTACGCGTATAAGCAGGCTGGGTATATTTATATTACCTATGACCTGTATCCCCTGGCGTTGGAAGGGAGGTAGGTAGGTAGGTATGTCGTGATCTTCCCAAAATCTTAGGCTCGGGCAGAGGTAATGTCACCACTGCGGCACTGAGGGAGCTATACTCGCGCCGGTATTAGCTTGATTAAGCTTGTCAGCGCGAAGAAGAGGTGCCCACACACCTACCTACCACGTAGCTTGGCGACGACGACGTGAGAATGGAGGGACAGGGGTGCCGAGGCGGAGCGGGAGGATAGAAAGCACCAAAGTTCTGACATCGCGTTAAGTAGTAGTACTCATACTAACCTGCTCACCTGCTTCAGGTGTCTGTCTACGCCTCCCCGGCATGACGACGACGCGAGGGTCGCACTGCACTGCACGCATGTCCAGCGTGTTGCTCGTTTCATCGCCGTAGGCGTCGCGAAGTTGGACTACACGCACGCACCCCGCCATCCTCGCCCCTACTGCTGTCGTCGTCATCGCCCTCGCCTGAACAGTCCACCACCGCCGCCGTCATCGTGCTCACTACCTGCGAGGTCGATAGGTAAACGTTCGGCTGGAAAGCATAATGACCGACAGCGGTGAGCGGCCCTGATGCCGTCTAATCCCGATGGCGCTAGCCGGCCGTCGGCAGAATCGTCGGTTCGGTTCCTCGACCACAGCCCTACAGGCCCCCCCTTGCGCCGCACAGAAGAAGATGATGGTTCCATGCTTCCATGAACGGACAGCCTTGCTCTGCCTAGACGTTAAGCCGGCTTGCTATCCCTTACGCCCTTCTTTTCCATGTGAAAGGAGGAAAAGCAGGTAGAAGAGATAGATCACATGTGATATGGAAACCAATAATTCGGCTATCTCCGAGTTGTAGTAGGTATGGGTGTGTGGTGTTGTACCTATCTACTTACCTGCCTACCACACCCACCCGATCCTATCCTACATCCTCCCGTCCCCCCCCCGGGATATATTTACCTTAGTAGCATTGCATACTTGCCTCAAGTATCTTGTCTGGCACCCCGTAGGACGCTGTAAACACGTATTATGCGTGTGTGCGTGTTGCCTCTGCTCTCGGCGGCGCAGTCTTCCCCCGTCGGAAGAAATGACACCACACGTACGTGGGTGTGTAACGGAAAATGAAGAAGCAAAGAAACAGCCAAAGCGAGAAAAGCAGAGTCAAGGGACGAGAGGGGGATAGAAAGGTGGCTCGCTATAGTGTCCAACGTAAGCGTAGAGTTGGACGGTCTAGGTCGCGATGATCCCCCACATGAGCCGGGCATATACGGGCAGGAGGAGGATATCCAGACAGTAGCCGGTTGCTACCTGCTGCATATAGCTATGTCGAGCGGATCATCACCTCTCTTACCTACATCACGATACCTACTTACTAGTCTGACGCAGCGGCATAGGTGGCAGAGAAGGCTCGGATCTGCGCCCTTCCTCCCTGGGCTCTCCCGCACTGCTTATTAGGTACGACTAGGCAGGAGAGCAGGCAGATTTCCGCCGTGCCATAGGCGTACCCTTACGTATCATCACCCTCTCCCCAAATTATTACTATTACACTGCGTTCGATATCACGGTAGTAGTAGCGCGAGGGGGGGACAAGGATGGGGATAACGTGCCGGGAAACAGGTTTGCAGACTACAGACTGGCTACCCGATGTACCTCCATAATACTCAAATCTGGCTGCGACACTCGGTCGACAAACCCCCAGGCCACTTACACACTCACTTGGGTATACACTTATACCGCCCACCTACATCTAACTCCCTACTCGCATGCCCTAGAATAGAACCCATCTGCCTGCCATCACCAGATCGGTCCGTATTACACATGTCTTGTTCTCCACCATACACTTCTCACCTGTCTATCCATCCACCTACCCTGCCTACATCTGCCTATAAGCCCGTAGCGCATAACTTACCCAGATATCCATCTATATACAGGAGCCACCCTTCGTTCGCGCTTAGGTAAGACGTAGGCAGACCGAAGAATGAGCGGGTTTCGAATAAGTTCGTGAGCAATTCGCACCCACCTCGCCTCGCTTCACCTCGCGCCCTCCTCCACTCCGCCCCTCCTCCTCCTCCTCCTCCTCCTGCTGCTGCTCCTGTTCCTCCTCCCCTCCACTGCCACCTCTTCTTCTACTATTATTCATGCGCTGGCGAAAAATCTTTTTTTTTTTTTTTTTTTTTTTTGGTTTTTCATGTATGTCCCAGACGCCGCTACATCCGCAGTTATAGAACTGCCATAGAGTGCTCAAGAAAAGCCACCGGAAGAGAAAATAGTTAGCCGTACGAAAATCGATCCCAATTTGGCCTGCCGATATGCAGCCTATTATTCCCTTCCACCGCAGCCGGAGCACGGCTCGGAGTGGCTTGGCCCTTTCTGCCCTGTCCGTCTTGTCTGTCTCATGGCAGTGAGACGGGAATGATTTGCGCTCTTGGGGGGTTCTCTTCTTCTTCTTTTTTTCTTTTTTTTCTAGTTCGCACGCACACAACTTGTCTGCCTGCCTACCTACCTAAACTACCTACATTCCTGCTTACCTGCGTAACCGCGGTATCTCTTCCCCCTCCCCCCTCCCCTCGTTCCATTCTCCATACGGCAATCCATCTCCGTGCGTGCGCCCTCCTTCTCACCCTTCCCCCCTTCTCCCTCGGCACGACCTGCTCTCTCACTCACTGTCTCTCACACACTCTCTCTTCCTTTCCCTTCACGCATGATATCCCTCTTCCTTCCCCGCGGCGGCGGCGAGTAAGCAAGCCAGCCAGCTAGCCAGCCAAGTGCAGGTGGCACCAACGGAGTAAGAGGCAGGTAGGCATCTATACGAGCAAGTGTAGATCGGCCATCAGGTAGCATGCGCAAGTCCTCCCGCGTCGCCGGAGGGGGGGGAGAGGAGGGAGGACGGGAGGCCTGTGTCCCGGATGAAGAGACGGAGGGGGATAGCGGTGAGGGAAAGAATACGGCTCCTTTCCGCGACGTATGGCTTTTCCCCCCCCTTCTCTTCACCCGCCATTCACTCACTCTCGTCCTCTCGCTGCCGCTTCCTCTCTGCCGTATTGCCCTACCACACACCCTGTCCTCGCCTCGCCGTCCCCAGCCCGCAGCAGCTGAGCCCAGCGCTACCCATCCCTTCCTCCTCCTCACCCCACACCTCCTCTCCTCGCTGCCTCCCTGCAGCCTCCGAACCCCCCCCTCCTCCTCCTCCCTCTCTCTCCTCTCTGTAGTCAGCAACTCGTAGCGCGAGGGCAGAAGCATGCACATACCTACCTACCTACCTACACCTACGCAATACAACTTCTCCGTACCTTCTGTATGCACTCGATGCATGTATGTGTACACGTATGTAGATTCTTACCACCCGGGAGTCCCTCCCTCCCTCTCCTACCACCCACCCATCCGCTCGGCGGGCCCTCACCACGACTCTGCACAACCCATCTGCACACACGTGCGGGCGCGCGCTCCGTACTCCGAATGGGGGAGCGAGGGCCGGCGCAAGACAGCCAGACGGGCGGGTGGGCGAGTTGGGGGAACTCGTTCGTCGTTCGCTCTCCCCCCCCCCCCCCCGGTGCCTGCGCTGGGGACGGATCGACTTGCTGGGATCGGCGCCCGGCGCAGAGACAGAGAGACAGAGACGGGCCGGATACACGGACCCACGTAGTTACGCAAGGACAGACCCCTAGGGTCTGGGACGGGCGACGATCGGGTCAGAGAGGAAAGGGAGGGAAGCAGGGGGGGGGGGCAAGGAGCGAAGGGAGATGGGACGGGAAGAAAAGGCGAGTCGGGCCAACGACCGACAGCCTCCGTGACCCAACCCCCCCCCCCCTAACTACCCTATGTGATCCGCTAGCTCCCGGAGTTCTGATTCTGGCGGCTAATAGCCCAGACGTAGAGCGGTAGAGCGAGGCGCACTCGTGGTTTTCTTTCTTTTTGCTTCCTCTTCCTTTCCCCCCGTCCCTTTACTTTCCCCACAAAGGTCCTACGTGTGCTTTGGATCCTACCTCGCGCTTACCTACACATGATATACCTATTATATATAGAGGTATATGGGTATATCTGTGTGTATATACATACACACCTTAACCTAGTCCGGGTAGCAATGGCGGTGACGAGGTCTAGCCATCCCACCCCTCGCTTGACCGGTCGGAGGAAACCTGGCAAGTGAACGAGCACCGCATAATGCACACACACGTAGGCACACGCTGCCTTGAACAACTTAGTTCTGTTCAATTAACTACTACATGTGACAGCAGACTAAAACCATGCAAGCGGAGTTTGGGAAAAAAAAACTTGTCAGCGGCGTTTCGTGAATCGCCGCCAGGGCGACTATATACACTGCAGCCACCAACATCAACGCCGTAACCCAGCATCTCATGCCACAGAACCTGTGTCGTCGTCCTCCGCCGATACATCGCACAGCAATGTATCGTGGCTGCGTGGCCAACCTTCGCCTGCACCCCCGGTGAAATCTTTCGTTCGCGCCGAGGGGGTGGTCCCGGTTGTTGGGTAGTGAGATGGTGCTACCATTTTTTGCCACCCCTCGATCCTGACTCCCCCTCCGGTCCCATCTAGAAGACAAGCCACATCCCCCTTCGTCGGCAGCCGCGGCTCCCTGCATGTCCGAGCGACCGAACCAGGTAGGTCTGCTCCGAACTGGCGGAGTGGACATGCCGTGCATCTAGCTCGGCGCGGCGCTTCATCGACCTGGGGGGGTGGGCACTTGTTCCTAGAGGGCGCGTGAGGAAGGGTGTAAGAAGACCGGGGGGGGGGCCAAAAAAGAACGGCGACTAAAGGGCTCCGCATTCCCCCGTTCAACGGGGATTCCAAATTATGCCCAGCTTCTTTTGTCTCGTGAGTGATCGTGAGATCTTCCCCCTCTCGCTTTCAACTCCCAGCTGTTGCGTTCCCGGCTCGTCGCCGATCTTGCCACGGCTCGGATCGCGGGATGCGCAACAGTGACAACCAGTGTCCGCCCCAGACGGCAGCTTCCCAGATAACATGCCCTGCATAGCTGCTTCGATACGAAACGTAGGATCGACTGTGAGAAATGCGGAGTTGGGACGCGGCCCCTCGCAGGTTTCCTTCTCGAAGAATCCATCACCACTCGATCGGCCTCCTAATATCGAGGAGAAGGTCCAACTTCTAGTTGGATACAATCCTCTTCGTCGCCGAGGTCGTCGTGGAGTTCGTAGGGTTTTCGTTATTAGGTCGTCCGTGCGTCGTCACCCATATAAAATCGCGGGCCTGAGAAAATAAAAGAAACTTTCTTGAAGCGAGTGCGCAGACAAGGGGACCGAGTTCGTCGTCCAATATGTCGCAATTGTCCGGGGTATCTTTTTCTAAGAAAGCCGCTTTATGCCGTACAACTAGAGAAAAGGGAATATCGAAATCCAAACTCGGCTTGTTATATCCCGGTCTTTGCCGGGAGATATGATCGGGGTGCATTGCTGCGTGTACCTCTTATTTTAACGTATAAAGGAAAAACCCAGCCTCATATATCTCGAGGCCCTGCCTTGCTTGTAAATGCAATCAGATACCCACCTAGTCCCAGCCATGATGTGGTGAAAGAAATACAGCTTATGACCGAGCCAACGGTTGTGACGACGGGAGATATCCCCTTTATATAAGAGAGTAAGGAAACCCCAAAAGCCAAAAAAAGAAAAAAACCAAGCAGACGCTCGCTTGCTAAACATATGAAAGACGAGGGGAGAGAAGAAAGAAGCAGAAAAGGAACCGGGAGTATTATATGCCGACGCGGTCGAAGGCTCGCTCCTGTTAGGTGCCAAACGCCGGTATACCTCGGGATGCGATAAGATCTGTGTCGCGGGTGCCGTGGATTCCCTTATCGAGCCGGGGGGAACGGGAACTCGGTCGCCGTCTGGCTCGATGATTGCTATGAGGTCGTCACCACCGGGAAGCTATCCCCTGTGGTAGGCGGTGATTGTCATATGGTCGTCGCGTACTCTTGATATCGGTCCCAGCCGAAACTTCCCCCATACACGGAGCCCACACCGCATTGCGATGCGAGCATACTAGGAAGAGGTAGCGCCGGAATCGGGGCCGCTACCATCGGCGAACTGTAGAACATCCCGGCCGAGCTGTAGGGTTGGCTGTACGGTACAGGTGGCGAAGGTATTTGAATCTCGTGCAGGCCCATACTGGCCCATATCGGGGCATTCGACTCCACCGAAGTAGATGTGACACCGGGGCTAGACGGCAGCACTCGCCAGGGCTCGACCGGAGCGGGCAGCGCCGGCGACGGAGTAGACTGCGACCAGATATTCGCGCCTACCGGAGAACTGGGCAGCAAGGGCGGCTGGCGGACGACATCGACGATCTTCGGTGGCGGCGGAAGAAGGGGCTTATTCAGCAATCCCATGATGTTATTCTTAACCTCCTCGCTCTTCCCGCAAAGCAGCTCTCCGGCACCCTCCTCTTCTAGTCCTTCGAGCGCGGAAACATGAGTCCGGTAGACAAACTTGTTGATGGCCTGGACGAAGTCTTCGTGTAACTTCTTGGCGTGCTGCTCCTTCTCGGGCCAATCGTAGGTCTCATCCTTGGCGTTGACGGAATAGACATTCTTATGATACTCGATGAGAGCCTCTATCGAGTCGGGCGTCAACTTATACGCGACTTCATTGCGGAGAACCATATCGACGTGAACAATATAGGCCTCGATGTGGATGAGCCGATAGTTGTGCATGGCTTCTATCAGCGGGTTGGAATCCTGGCGCAACTCGGACTCGGGCGCCTTGGGGAGCATCAGCGATGCCAGCGTCCAGATGGCGTTCGGCGAGGATAGCGTTTCCGTCAGACATCTCTGGTGTTGCGGTATGCTGTTGAGCGGCCTCTTGACCCTGTTGACGCGCTTTAGAGTCTGTGTTAACCACGGTTCGACCTTGGACCCTAAGACGACGTTGACGGACGAGGCCCGCGGCGCAAAAGCGGCAGCCGAGGCCGGTAGTAGTTGCGGGGGCATCGTATAGTTAGAGAGTCTCAGCAGGGACGGAGCGGGAAAAAAAAATTTTGGACCAGGAGAGCGGGTTATCCCACAGCAATCGGTAGGGCGGGAGGGGTCGATGGGATGGGAAAGGCAAATAGTAATAAAAAAAGACAACACCAGAGCTAGGCGATCCCAGGACCGGGAAGGGTGCCTACCGCAAATGAGAAGAAGAGAACGGTGGACGAGGAGCTCGTGAAGAAGAAAGAGGAGGGTAAGAAACTCGTGTTGAGGGTGGCGGGGGGAGTGTTATAGCAGAGAGTAGTGTTGGTGACCTCTAATGCCTGTACAGTACCATCGACGAGAAATCGCATGTTCCCTCTCCCCCTTCTTAAACCGGCTGGGTTTCTCCAAGCCGTTTTTAACAAGGCCTCTCTGTGATCCCTCGGAGCAAGCCTAGCTGCTTAGGACGAGATGGGGCAGCTCGGGCAGGTCTGGCATGCAATGGTGGCCCACAATCTTGCATTAGGTAGACCGGCCTACCTAACCACCAACTGCGCAGCTACGGGCCTGTACGTATGCAGGTAGCATCAGCAGGGCGAGGCATGGCGGAGAGAGGGAGAGAGGGGGAGAGGGGGAGCAAGAGAGAGAGAGAGGCGTAGGTGACAGACAGAGAGAGAGGGCGAGAGAGGCGGGCCGACCTAGCCCAAGCCAGGCCCCAAGGCTCCAGGGCTCCAGGGCCTAAGCAGACCCGGCAGGCAGGCATCAGAATAATCCCACCGATACCACGGCCGACAGATCCCAGTCATGCGCGGCAGCAGAAGAGGTTCTCTGGTGTGTTACTGCAGTCGTGATGTGGGCTGTGTTGCGACTTTGCATATGCCCGAGAGCACAGCAAATGGGAGAAGTAGCACGGAGCGACTCCAGCTGAAAAAGCTGCAGTATGGCCAGTGCAGCGCCACCAGCGGCCTGTACCGGTACATCGGTACATGGAACGGAACCCCTGCCAGCCACACGGGGTACACGCCAGGTACGCAGGTCGGTACGGCGGTACATGCAGAACGTCCACTACCACCAGCCCACACCATTCGAGAAGGGAAAACCCACAGAGGGAAACCCACAGAGGGAAACCCACAGAGGCGTCCATAGGTACCTGAGGTACATGCTCCATAGGCGATTAGCGTGTGTTCGCCCAGGTCCGCCGGCCTACCTTAGGTACCTACCTAGGTAGCCTTAGGTAGGTAGGTAGACCGCAGGGCTTCACCCACATGGGTCATAGCTGTCGCTCGGAATCTTTCTTTCGCCCTCTCTTTACCCGGTGAGATCCTCAGCAAGGAAGAAACATCCCTACATACCACCATTCCCTACGCCTACACCTCCCACCCCTAACGCACACCACACGCTCACACACCGTACCTATATCCACACCCGCACACATAACTAAACCCGATGTTTTCCCCTATTCGCAATGCCGTAGGGGAAAGAGGGGAAGGGAGAGCCAAAACAAAACAAAAAACCCCCCCAAACATGCTATCTCGTCCGTCTGCCTTGTCTGACCCGTGCCCATATGCGTCTCGGGGATTGGCGTAAAGATGGATACTAACACAGCAGCTCCAAACGTCCCCTCCTCGGCAGGACGAATCATGTTTCTATGGAAACTTGACAAGCTTGTCAACGCCTTAGGTGGTGTGGTGTAGCATGCGAAAAGGAACCGCTTCGTAAAATGCACCCAAGCATTTAGCGTATGTGACATGAGCGGCCGGCCGGTGCCGATGTCGCCGTCGTCCGTCGGCTCCTTTTGCGACAGAACAGGTTCCCAGCATCGACTACCGGATTGGGGTACACGACTCCTTCTCCCGGTCCTACATCTCGAGATGTGATATTCATATATTACCGTTGCATCGCAATGCAAATCCAAACGGCGCTATCCAGTGCCATAACGCAATACCAAGGTAGGCTCTAGATATGACCAGACTCTCGATCGACTGGCTAGTCCCCGGACCTATGGCCCCATGAGGCTCGCCAACGTAGCAGGTATATACATGTGCGAATAGCGATACCCCGTGGTAGCTAGAGGAGCCTGTCGTTGCGCTTATGCAGGCTGCCAGATGCAGAAAGGCTGCTAGGTCCATGTGGTGCTCGGATGGTCTAGACAAGCCTCAGGGTCGACTGATGTAGACAAGTCGATTCGCTGCCGGGAGATTTGTCTGCTGCTCTCGATCATTCCTGGAAATTGCCATATCAATGCGCGCGCCCGGCGATTATCCATTGGAGGGAAGCTGAAACTATTTGAGTGACTGCTGCTGGAGAGCATCCGCCGCGTGGCGCTGACAGTCCCGGTAGTCCTCTTCGAGCGACGTCTGCATCCTCGTGTGGGAGACCCCGGCATCCGGAACTGCCATACGAGATGTTCCTAGGTGCTGTAGACGCTCCTCATGACTCGCATATGAGCGAGAGAGGACGAATCCGGCGCGTGGACTCCACGGACGAGAATCTGAAACGTAGTAGGCGAGATAGTAGGTGGGCTATACCTCCTCCCCAACTTTCGTGAAAAGGGTTGGTGCTCGGCCTAGGACCATCTTCCGGTTCGAGAGAGATGCAGGACTGGCGCTCACCTCGGACGACTCGACGGTCCAGTATCGGGATGAGGGATGGGTCCTCTCAAGTCCTCCCCTCTGTCTGGGGTGCAGTATCCCTGGGACCAGAGGCTGCAAGGGAGAGCAGTAATCTCGCAGTCGCGCTGGAGGCGCTTATAGCGTCAAAGGAGCAGCTAGTCGGCGCTGCAGGATACGGGTCATCAGAAGACAACCCCAGCACATTGCGCGTGTATTTTACCGGAGGGTGTGGGACGAAGATAAGAGCAGAAACAGACATAGTCCATCCATCTGACGAGAGCCAAAGGGATGTCGAGATTCAACGAGAGCCAGTCAACGGCCTCCGTCCAGGTTGAGACCCATGTTAGTGGCAGAAGGTGAGTTGAGGTGTGGTGATGGAAATGGGCCGCTCCGAGGCTTGATTGGCCCGTCGTGGTGAGCCGGGAGGGTAATAAGGGTGGAGAAGGACGACTCCAGGCTAAATTGCCATTGGCCGTAAAATCAGCAGAATCAGGGAAGCACCTCGAAGGCCTACTACGGACTGCGTACGGGCTGGGCTTAGGGATCGAAACGTGAACGAGAACGAATAATAAAAAGGGGAGACAGGGGATAGGAATCAAATCGGGCGAATGATAATTTGAGAAAATGCTCCTATCTCGAACTCGGGTTCAGGAGAAATACAAAACGTATTCCTTCTCCAGATTTCATCTCCTACCAACTTCCCCATTGGGAAGAGACGAACGCCCGTCACGGCGCCGACTGAGCACTAAGTGATAGCTCCCGTTCCGGAACGGGCGGGCTGGCGTTGCAGTCGCCGCTCGGAGTCCAGGCCAACAGAGCTGCTCCTGCGTCCGACCGGGCACATTCTCTACTCAGGCGAGGCCCCTTTTTTGACCATATCTGGTTCGATAAGCCCAACCCGCCGACGGTCTCCTGGGCATCCCCGCAAGGCCGATCTTAGGCGGATCAAGAACTGATCAGGCTGGGGAACGCGTCATGGGGTAGCCATTTGTTGGATGACGCCAATCCGAGGGTCGACCGGCCTTATCAGAAGCGAGCACAGTATCCCAACGCATGATAGCAGACAGACAGACACACAGCCGAGTAGTGCCGAATCTAAGCTGCTCCAGCGTGGGATCAGTCATGTGGTCGAGGCGGCTCGCGATCGTGGCCCTGAGGGGAAACTGGTCCACTGTAGGGATTTGAAGTCGAGACGCTGGTCGATTGGCGAAAAAGGCAAAAAAAAAACTCGAGCAGAATTAATGATTGGAAGAAAGTACGGAGAAACAGAACCGGGGCTAGCCGGGGGGGGGGAAGGGTGCGAGGGGCGCGGGGGGGGGGCGCGTGAAGGATTGGAAAGGAGAACGAAGCAAGGAATTGTTTGGGTGCTTCCTCCGTACTCAGCACATAGGCGGTACGTAGAACGCGCAGGTATGTTGAGAGCTAGGTACCTACTACCTCCTGATAGCTACCTGGGTAGATTGGAGTTGCCTGGTAATGCTGCTAGGGGACACACCTGCTATCGTTGCCGACACAGCAATTCCACTACGTAGGTAGGTAGGTGGGTAGGTAGGTGGGTGTGTACCGGATTAGGTACCTACCTAGGTAACCTCTTACCCCGGTGTGCGCATACGGTGGCACGTGCTCGACGCGCCTCGAAGGCCAGTTCCTAGGCAGGCAAGGAAGAGGAGGTGTCGCGAACACGATAATTACGTCAGTGCGCCGAGCAAGTAGGGCAACGACAAACCGACCGCCCCGCTAAAAGCAAAACTGCCTCACTGAACACACACCGAGGACCCGAATAGAAGAATATACCCATGTACGTACATGCATACATAATCCTCCTAGGGGAGAAACACCCGACTTCCTAACACGTCCCCCGCCACAGTTTTTTTTCTCCTCTTTTATTTTCTTTTTTTTTTTTGGTTGCGCCGTTTAAGCGGCGGGGAATGGTCCTAAAACGGTGAGGGAGAGGCAAATGCCCACCGCCTAACAAACTTCACGGATCCATGGATCGGTTCCGTCGTTTCCGCCGTAGGGAGAGGCGTCTGCGCGGAGTCGACTGCAATCTCCAATATACTTTCTCTACCCCTCTATGCCGGACTCTGTGCCGCGATGGTAGGTGAGGATACCCCAGGGGGAGGGAGGGGACAGGTGACAGGCGGGAGACGGCCTCTCCGTGATCCGCAATCCCGTAACTTGCCGCTCTTCCTTTCGTCATTCTCCAGCCACCGTCGCTCGTAACCACCTTCTCCAGATTGTACGTACATATGCCTTAGGTAGGTACCTCGGTATCCGACCACCCCGTGCGTGCCTCATGTCTTCGTTGAATCGTTACGGTAGCTCTCTACAATGACACAGAGGGGAGGAATGGTGTGGGATCTGCCGAAACACGGGTGATCAAGTGATTGCCGCATCATGCACCTCGTCAGGCATCGGCAAGGAAAGCTTGTAAATAGGATAAGTGGTGGGAAGTCCAGGTCGGGATGTCGAACCCAACCAACCAAGAGGCAACCCAAGCGCTAGTGGGCGTCTCGCGACCCATTCCGTCCATCGCGTTACATGTAGCATTCGAGAACCTGGGCACTTAACATGCCTAAGGTCAGGTAGGAGCCGTGGTCCCATGAGCGATGCAGTGCATATCGCACATGCAGCATGCAGTTGAGGAACAGAAAAAAATACACCCATCGAGAGGAGAAACAGAGAAGAAAAACTCTGGTCAACCCGTCGTATCCCACACCTACGGCCGCGGTGGGGACCGCGATGTAAGAGCAGCCGCCAGCGAAATTAGCCCGTTAGCTTGTGATCGAAGGGACGGTATAACATGCACCTACATTTACTCATACATACCTACATACACGAACACGACCCGTCTCGGGGCCACATCAACTCCAACCGCAGACATGGCCTACCACTGGCCGTCTGGACGGCCCCTTTCCGTGTGCGGATTCTGCGAGCTGCAGGGACGCGCGATACGGAGAGACGTCAATGGGGCGATTCCCCGCTACGCGATGACTTGACGCATCTCGGGTGCCATCGTGGAATAATCGGAGGAACGACAGCCAGTAGATGCTGTGGCATCGATAAGCAGGACCCGGGCCCCTTCACTTGGTCAGCAGTATAGAGTCGTCGACTAAGAACCGAGCCGATCCCCCTTATCCTCAACACGGAGCCACTCGAGAAGATCTGGCCACTGGAGGGCGGCTTGGTAGGTAGGTACCGCTCGACATGGAATCTGTACGCTCTGGAGCTCTCTCTAACGGTTTCGGAGATGGAGCCTCATTACCTGTTAGCCTCGTATGAGCCTATAAGTAGGTATTACACGCCATCTGATAATCGCTAGGCACGTTGTGCGGTCGCAAATAGCAGCAAGTGGGATGGAGGAGATGCGATGGGGGGAAGGGAGTCAGAAAGTCCCTGGGTCTAACCCGACCTGGCCACCCCGCTTAGTGGCGGGTCCTCCAGGGTCGTAAGTCGCGGGATGGTTGTACTACCTACGTAGTATCAATTGTGGCTTGCCGGACTCCCTCAGCCCCCTCCCACGTAAACAGGCACATATCGAACAGCCCCCCGGCTGGCCGGCTAGAGGAGGTAAAGAAAGGAATTGTGTACGGTGCCCCCTCTCGGGATCCGACAGCTTGCGCGGACACGACCAGATCGCTACCGTGTATCTGATTTAGCTTATGGCGCAAGGTCGGCATTAGACCCTGGCCTCAGCCAGGTTTACCGACGGTGTAGAGAGGTACGAGGTCGAGCCCGATAACCCCGTGAGGTGCACGGGCGGAGAGCCAGCCATGTGGGAGTCGGGTTTTGGTGTAAGAGCTTTAATTCTAAAGCAACGTCGTTTGGCGCATACGCAACGCCCGGCGGACAAGGCCGGCCGATGATTATAGGTAGGCATCTCGAAATCCATGAAAAGCTGAAAGAATGCGCGTACGCCCACTCACTACACCTCCAAAGGTTAGGCATGCATGTAGGAGAGGTACCTAATGCGGTGCCTAAAAATGCAACACGCTGATGTACTGTATGCGGGGTCGGTCGATCATTGGCATCTACCCAGGGGGTATCCATGATGTTATGTACAGATGTATGCGCGAGGCGTAGGTGCCTACCTATATCAGGTACCTTAGGTACTTAGGCGTCTCCGGGGATGTAAGTACCTACACCTAGGGTACGCACATGTCCGCTCCGGTCCAGTGCCCTGAAGCGGGAGGTACCTACGTAAGTGTGGCTGTGTGCCTTGTAGCGCCTCAGGGGTACGTACATCATGTATGTGCTTAGCCTCTTAGCCCTCCCTGTGCCAACTCATCAACATCCATCTCCCTCATTAGCCACAGATGCCACACCGACTTCGACAACTCACGATCCAAGTTTTCTCCCTCCCGTTCCCCACCGAGTCGTTTCACGAGCTTGTTGCTACCCTATCCTCGCATCAAGGAACACAAGCACGGGCGAAGCAATGACCTCATAGAGCCTCCAGGGCCTGGACAGCAAGCCCGAAGCCGCTGGGGCACGTGGCGGCGCAATTCACTGACGTGCGGAGGATGGACGCTACCTACGCTTTGGCTCTATTCTTGGACTTGTCTTGCTCCCAGCTTGCCATCCAGCGCGCTGTCACCAGAATTGAATTCGCCTCTCTTTGACGTGTCCGACCTTTTTTGGCCCTGCCCCCATGTCGTGTCCGCGGCCCACAGGCCTGACCGGGTCGGCGGCGAAGACGCGATGAAGGAGGCCTCCCAAATAGCGCGGTCGCCCGCTATCAATATCCGTTCGCCAGTTGTTTTATCGGGCAACAGAGAGGGAAAGGGCGAGAGGGCGAGGCCGTCTACTCGATCAGGCACCATAATACCTACCGGGATGCCTCCGAAAGCTGGAAATACGTGCGCGAGAACCCGTCGATGGTGAGCGCTTCACCGCCCCTCACCCGATTTTGCTAGATCGATTGGCCGCTACCTCGAGGGAATGACCTTACAGACATGCATCAGTCCATTCTCACCCCATGACCCCATTGCGTCGGCAATATTCCTGTCGGCTACGTGATTTCTAGGAAATCCGCGAAGCCGACATGATGAGTCACGCCTCCCAGCAGGCCCAATAATACGGTTGGGCGCTAAGGTCAATCAACGATTCTCCCAAGGCTCTCCGAGGTAGTTCCACGGAATCTGACGTGGAACTTTGGGCTTCAAGCTGCCTCGCCCGTCTGGTGCGACCTATGAGACCGTCTCGGCAGACACGAGCTATCTCGAGCCAGTCGCGAGAGCTCTGATCGTCGGGGTCAATCTCCTCATGCAGGATAGTCGTGTGACTATCCAGGGGTTCGTTGACGATGGCTTTAGGACAAGCCTCTAGGGCGAGCGGCAATAGAGACAGGTCACATGCAGCGCAGCGTGTACTAGCTGGGAGTCTGCCCTCGGACTGGACGGCATAGGGGATGAAAGGATAATGCCACCTGTCCCGGCGAGCCTGCTCGAATAAAGGCAATGCGATGCCGTTATCACCGGATCGTACCAATTGCTTACGAGGCTCGGACTCGTAGGGTTGCGTCGCCATCCAATACATACACCCCCAGTGGCCCTCTTTGAAACTCTATCGGCGTACCTTACTCCCCAAGAGGCCCCCCTAGGTTTGGGGCTTCATATAAGGGAACCGCCCCGATAGATGCCAACCCAGCTCGGAAGGTGTGCTCCAGGCCGAGCCCATAAGGGAAGTTAAAATAGGGCCATCTTTCTGGTCTAGACCAGAAAGAATTACGAAGCATATATTGCCCGTATTAATACCTCCTGCGATATTTTCACGCCTGAAGGCTCCGCTCCCGGCATTGTACGAGAAAAGCAAAACAAGCCAGCGTCCTCTAATATAAGGGTGGCTTTGCGGCGTTGAGATTGGCCCCTTCTGTGACCTTACTAAGACACACTGTCTGCCACTGTTAAAGGTCATATAGGGAACACGAAGCTTGGCGATAATATCGCTATGAGACGCCACCCTAAAATTAATAACGGTCTCCCTTGAGGCTACTGGCCTTGATAGAAGTTGGGGCAATCTGGCTAACTATCTTACCGAGGTTATTCATTACCACCGAATTCAACTTCGTGGAGTTGTGGTCAGGTCAAAAGGTAAAGTCTATGGGCTATCAGTCTTGAGAAGTCCACATCCTTTAGTTCGCTATTCAAACCTCGCCCAAGATATTATTATACCGGTATACAGAGGCTAGGAATCCTCTCATACTAAAACGGAGGGATGAGCCACATCATAACCTATAAATAGTCAAGATAGAAGCATATGAACATAGCAGGCTGGATACATAGCAATACATTCCCTGTTTAAAGCCAAGCATGCCTATAACTGCTACAGTTGTGTCGACTCATAATCGTGACTTCACTTTGCTGCATATTGAATTGTTGTTTTTGATAAAGGACATGGATCTACGGTGGATTTACAATACCGTACACATTCGCCGGAATGGTTGCTACCTAGTTTCGTGAAGACACTAGGGTAAGAATTCCGCACCTAACTCATTCTAAATGACGTTGAGAAGGTCGAAAGTCACCCGTCCTAGCGGGTGACAACAGGTGGAGGAATTGAGCTCTCGAGTCTGACGTGGCTTATATGACAACAGAAGAGTAGCGGGCCACAGTAGTAGCGTGGAAAAGTAGAATTATTAGATCACTACCTACGTGTAAATATCACCCCCGACCAAGCGGAAGAAATCAAGCAAAGGCACCTTACGCTCCCTCTCCTATATTTTGAGTTTTTCGCCTGTGGCCGTATTAGCGACCTCCTACGCTGTGGTGTTCACCCTTCCTAGGATATTCTCCTCCCACCACATTTAGAGATCGATTCGCCTCGTGGTTTTACCAGGAGCCCTTTATATGAGCCGTAGCTGAGAAACAAGTTTCTATGACGACTCAGTCTCAAACTATAGACCGGTACAATGTGTTGCTTAGGCCTACTAGTTTCTTGAACAGTGGGTTGAATTTCCGGCACTTGTTTCTCGCTCGAGTTTATTGGGAAGACTATGAGATAGATTGAGCTGAAGTAGAACGAGCCCCATGCCAAAGAAACTCATGCCATTAGGAACTAATATCATACTTCGCACCAATCCTATCTACTCACTCGAACTTTACGACTAGCAAGTAAGAATAACTTGTAGATGCCTCAGAGTATACTAGATGGTGTACTGTAATGCCGTTAACACTAGAAACTAAACAAATGTCTAACAGACGTCGGGCGTTTAAGACAACGTTCCGCGTATCGTTTAATAATCCGTTTCAACTATCGTTTTCGTCCTTGTCTGTCTAACCTCAAAACTGCCTACCATAATGTGCATTGTCTAGACTATTGGTTACGGAGATCTATTGCAATGCCTGTATCTTACGAATCTTACTCCGTGGATGCCGGCAAGGCAAAGCGGTGCATTGGACGGTGCTAGAAATACTTGTGGCTGAGCATATATGGCGAAAGCACCAAGATGCCTATATGTCCCCTATGGGCGTCTAAGTACCTACATATAACCATCCGATGGTGACGTCTAAAATATCGAGTTGGCGAGACAGTAGACGAGCTCGTATGTAACGTTTCTGGTTATGCAGTATTAACTGTGGCATCGAACGAGGATACATTAGTCTAGCTAGACAGCAACTTTCCCGGTCGTGAATATGTAGTATGATGCTAACAACCCTGGATTTAATTGTGTTCACGCTGAGTAAACCTGAAGCTATCCATCCATAGCTCCACGAGCCGTCGACCTGTCACACGAGCCAACCGCCGCGGCTGGCTAGAGACCGGGTTCTGGGGGGGCCGGGGGATGCGACATAGACAGATGTGCGCGCCCGCGATACAACAACTAGGATAGCGACTGTGTAACTATAGCGATACGCCGGTATCGCGAGCTCTCTGATATACCCAGGCGCGATAGTGTACGCAACGCCGATGAACGACAAGTTACCCTATTTACTACCATGTCAGGGTATGACATTGTGTTACTACCCCTCGGAGTGAGCTGCGATGGATATAGAACATAAAACATAGTCGCTGGGATGGCTCCATGAAACATCGGTGGAGAAATCGAATACACTCCCGGGTACGTACGATATCATACCGGCCCAAGTACTGTAGGGGGTGATTATTGCATCGATTTCGGTAGTCCGTTGGGGTCGAACTTAATCATTCGAGGGTCTCAGAGGGAGTTGCAATTTGACGCGTAGTGGAGGGTGCCTTTCGGCGGACTTGCTAATCTCGTCGGCGCCCTTCATTACGTAGTGTGCCTTCTTGTTGCCATACCTATCGATATCGCAATTTTAACTACGCTGTTATTTTATTATCTCGATCCTTATCGAGACCGTGGGTCATCCGGACCCGGGTGCGACAAGGGGATGGGCGTCAGATGATAGAGTTTCCGGACACGGGGAGCGCACTATCGCTGAAGATTCGCCGCGGAACGCAGCGATTTCGATTCTCGGGGTCACACCTCGAACGCTCCTGATTCGCTTATCGCTGTAGGTGTCTCAGAAATCTACTTACCTCTATTGCAACTGCTTGCATGCCGCCCCGTTCTGCGAGACTATCCTTTAGAAACGATGGCCTCGTGGCTAAGACTCGGAGCGGTTCACCACCCCCTCCTGGCTCACCCCTCCTCTCCACCTAGCCCAGCCAGCGCGAACCAGGTAGGGTGGAATTGGGTATTGATAAGAACGGCGGCTACGGGGCTGGGAATTTAGAACTGGTCGTCTGACGTTGCGACCTTCTCCCTCCTCCGTAATAGCCCGGCCTTTTATTTTCTTTTTGCTGTTCTCGTCTCGAAATGCCAGGGCCCAGCTGACAGCATCACACGGTTGTCGAATACCGCGCTCGTGAAAAAAAAAAAGAGGTGGTGGGGGTACCTACTTAGCCCCTTGGCTGCAGCTGTACAAAGGGACCATTGGCTGCTTCCTGGCCTGCAAGTCTCCTGCAGGCTAGGTCGAGGACGGCGCGAGAAGACAGACGTCTTTGCGAATGAGCAGCGACGGCGTCTTGTCTTCGATGTTACTGTGGCGTGGGTACGTGGTATTAGGACCGGTTAAAATATGCGAGTCTAGCTAGCGATCGAGTCGAGTACGGAGAAAATCGAAACCAGGCATACGGGTGCCCTACGCGTAATTGACCCGTTCCACGCCTTCTTCGTGTTCCGGTGGACTGGGGTCGATTCTGGGCTCGGCATGACTGTGTGGGAAGCCCTAGGAAGTTTGTCTTCTGTCTGCCGCTTTTTGGTTGCGATAGCGGGTGCCGGAAAAAAAAAAAGGTGAGTGACGGGAGATGCAGGGTGGCAGAAGAGGAATGAAGAATGAAGAACGAAGAAGCAACACTTGGCCGCGAGTAGGTGTCTACCACTCATTCACAGTTGTTTCCGTGTCTTGCCCGTGGATAAGGGTGGTGCCTTATCGGGGATTCCTAGGCCGAATCCCCCAACAGGTACCTACCTAGGTACCTACCTACCTTAGGTAGGTTCCATGGTACCTACCAGCTCCTCAACCTTAAGGTACCTGCCTACCTCTCTATGTGTGCATTTCCTGTCAGGTACTAGGAGGAGGTAGGTAGGTATCTTGGAGGTAGCTGCGGTTCTACTTGGATGTTAGGTGTTTGATGTGCTCGCGTTAGTAGTTGGGCTGGTCTGTAGCCTGCCCTTAGGGGTGCCTTAGGTAGGTAGGTACCTGTATTGTCTGGTGGGGTTGGCAGTTGGAGTTAGTAGGGGCATATAGAATTATTGTAGTCGAGAACCTTGAACCAGACACCTAAAATAGAAGGGAGGCGCTCTGTAGCAACCCCCCCTGCCTTCCATGATCTTAGGGACAACTGGAGGCAACTTGGAGGCAGCTACTTACCTACCCAAGGTACTACTTACCTAGGTACATATTATACCTTCGGCAGGTACTAAGCAAGTACTAAGCATTTACCTGCCCAACCTAACGGTGTCCTGACTTGGATGCGAGGTTACGCAGGTACTTACACATTGCGTCCCGCTACACCTTACCTACCGGGCGGTCTACTCATCATTCATCGCACGCTGCGCACACTGCGTAGTAGGCACCTATAGGTATCCGGCGTGGTACCCGGGGGTTACAAAAATGTACCCAGCAGACGGGCAGTCACCCCACGTTTTCCACGTTTCCCACCTTAACGATAAGAAAACTGCCCCCTCTCTTCACCCCCCTGCTGGCGCACCTTAATTATGGGGCCTCACATGAACCTCGTGAGGGGCCAACGCAACCCACTCCTCTCTCGTCTTCCCCCCCTCTCCTTTCACCATTTGTCTAAGTTGGGAGGTACTTACCTGCGACTACCAGGTACCTTATGTAGGGTGCCTGAGGTCAAGGGTCTTCGCATCTTCTAATCTGGGTCTCAACATCTACCTAAATCGGCCTCTATTCCGGTTGCTTCCCTGTTGGGTCGATGGCGATTCGTATGTTTTCCGTCATCGTTAAAGGCGGCAAGGCTTGCTTAGTCGAGCCCCTCTCTCCCTTCGCCTCTTCTTTCTTCCTCTTCCTCTATCGTCTTCCGGGAGAAGCGAAAGTCTGCCGGCTTCTGTCGATCAGCGCTACTGAATCGTCGACCCGACGTGGGCTCGTCACAGTGAATACATGCAGAGGCACCGACCACCAACTTCGTACCCAAGCTTGGCGCGTTTAAACAATCCATACCTATCTGTGCAACATCCCTTCGTATCACCCTGCTCATAACTCCTATATCTGTTTTTTGTTCTTATTCTTTTCCCCTTCCTATACCGTTACGTTTATTTCTACCCCCCAGACACGCAGTCGCGTGAGAGGCCAGAGGTGAACCGCAGAGAAGGGGGGAACGAGACGGGTGAGAGAGGCCGAGAGAACAGAAACGGAACGAAATAGATACCTACCTACGTCGGTCGTGGCCATGGTTAACTAACTCTCCCACTCTTCTGACGAGAAGGGCGCAAGCACTCTTTCCAACAACCCTACAATTCCCTTCTTTGGCACTCTCGGTCGATACAGATACGGCGACAGTCCGAACCCTCCCCGCAGTCGTCGCGGTATCCTCGATAGCAAACCCTCGGCGTCAATCAGTACAGCCCGGTGCCAGAACCACAGGTTCCCCCCACCGAGGTTCAATTGCCATTGCCATTCACTTATCGTCCCACCCAAGTCATTCCACTCGTAAGAGGGGTCACGCTTGTAGCTGTTGTTAATTTCTAGTCAAAGCTCTCCCTTCATAAATACCACACAGCATTCGCTATGTTCGACATCGACCAACCCGATCCTATCGACGAGGCGTCCGTTGCGATGCCTCTTGAAGCCGGCACCAAGGAGAGACGCCGGGCTAGAATACTCCGAGGTATCAAGAGAATGTCTTCTTCGCCGTCGCTGTTTCAGTTGGACCGGGGCCGATCGTCTGCCTCGCCATACGCCGCCCAGGGAAGTTTTTCCTGCGTGAGTCTTGCGGCAACACCGTCATCTTCCAGGCACGAACCTTCCGCCAGGGTCGCCCCAGGACAGTTCACAAGCAACCAGTCCTTTATTCCCCGCAGCTCACCCGCCGAATCCTCTGCATTAAAGGACATCGACGCACGCCTAGCACGTCGAGTTCCAAATATCCCTACGGCACACTTGAACCCGACTACCATTTCTCTGCCCGCCGATGTTGCTGCTTCAAGATCGCGGTCTGGCACTGTCCGAAAACTGCCTTTCGACTTCTGGGCTCGCATCCCCGACGAAATTCGAGTGCACATATTATCGTTCCTCCGACCGAAAGAACTCATTCGCCTTTGCCGTGTCAGCAAGGAATTCTACAGGTTCTGCTTCGACGGCCAGTTGTGGACCCATTTCGACGCCACCGAGTTTTACATGGCAATACCCGCCGAAGCTCTTGCCAGGATCATCGTCTCAGCTGGCCCTTTCGTCAAGGACCTCAACATTCGTGGGTGCCTTCAGATCGAACATTACAAGCGAGCTGAAGTCATCGTGAAAGCTTGCAGGAACCTGATCAACGCAACTTTGGAGGGATGCCGAAACTTTCAGCGAAGTACCTTGCACAACCTGATTCGGGCGAACGAGAAGCTGGCCAGCTTGAACCTCACAGGCATGACAGCCGTGACGAACGGCTCGTGCAAGATCATTTCTCAGCACTGCCCGCAGCTCGAAATGCTCAATGTGTCGTGGTGCAAACACATGGATGCTCGGGGCGTTAAAATGGTAGTGCTCGGATGCCCGAAGCTACGAGAGGTAAGAGCGGGAGAGGTCAAAGGGTTTAACAACATCGGGGTGGCCGAAGCTATCTTCGCGACCAATAATCTCGAGAGGCTGGTGTTGAGCGGCTGTTACGATCTCGACGACGACACCTTCAAGGCCATGATTCATGGTAGTGAACCTGAGGTGGATATCCTAACAGGTCGGGCAATAGTGCCACCGAGGAAACTTCGACATCTAGATGTTAGCCGATGCCCTCAATTGACTAACGAATCCGTGGCGGCGTTGGGCTACCTAGTGCCAGATCTAGAAGGCCTGCGACTGAGCGGATGCACGTCGCTGACCGACGCGGCCCTCCGACCGATTCTTGCATCGACTCCTCGGCTCACCCATCTAGAATTAGAGGAACTTTCCGAGCTGACGAACGACCTTCTCTCTGAGCATCTGGCCAAGGCCCCGTGCGCGTCGAAGCTTGAGCATCTTTCCGTGAGCTATTGTGAGGGCCTGGGCGACGCGGGCATGCTGCCCGTGATGAAGAATTGCATCAGCCTCAAGAGCGTGGACATGGACAACACACGGGTCGGCGACCTAACTCTCAAAGAGGCTGCGGACATGGTCCGGTCTCGGTCGGCGCGCACTTTGGCGCGCGATTCCCGCCCCCGCATCGGGCTCAAGCTCGTCGTATACGACTGTCAGATGATGACGTGGACCGGCGTTCGGGAGATTCTGTTCCAGAACGCGAGTATCGGGCAGCCCTCCAAAAACGGCGGGTCACCGACGTACCCCACGGAGATCGTAGGCCTGAAGTGCTTCTACGGCTGGCAACAGACGGTAGAGCAGCATACGCAACGCGTGCTGCGGGGAGACTTCGCCGCCGCCGCCCGCCTCGAGCGCAAGTGGGCCGACTACATGCAGGCAGTTGAGGAGACGGGGGCGGTGGGAGCGGGCCACCGCCGACGGCAACGCCGCGCCCGCGAGGCCCAGCTGCTTCACGCAGACGAAGAAGGGGGAGGCGCCTTCGCAGCCGGCCGACGGCGCGCGCGGACCGTGGCGGCCTCTTGCGCCGTCATGTGAACAAGTTGCCTGGCAACGAATACCTACCTATTTTCTATCCTTGTCTTATATTCGTATGGCGTACCGGTGCATATTCATTTCTGTCATCATCACCACAGACAGTTCAATGTCGGGGGTAGTTTAGACTTGTCTTTACGCGGAAGGAAAGGGGAGAGAGAAAGAGAGGCATCTGTCTGTGTCTCTAATTTACCAGTCTCGATTTGCCATGTTTCTCCAGCGCCCAGCCGGAGATACCGATCTTCCTACGGTAGGATGGTTCTGGGTCTGTGATCTTTTTTTTTTCCGGGCTAGCCTGTGTCTGATGGCGTGTGGTCGGGTGGCTTTCACGAGTATTTGCTCTAACCCATCATGAGGCATTGGTAGCAGCGGGCGTGGCGGTCTAATCTCGAGTCCGGACTACATAATAGTACGTTGGTAGCTTAGATTACTCCTAGAGTCTGATGTCTCCTTGGTCAAATTACAAACCAGCACGCGATGATCCCATGCTCTTTGCGCTTCCTTGACCCTATATCCATTGCCTCGAGCTGTGCACAGTCGGGTATTTCTGTCCTTCATGTCCATACACCTATCAAAACTCCACCCCGCCCCTCACAATCTTTTTATAAGACATTGCTTGATGCCTGTTACATGACACCAATACTCATCGTTGGCTTCACGGAATTTATAAAGTTGTTTAATTCAGCTATTTATCGTATTTATGCCTAGGGCAGATATAGACCCGAATACAGGTCCGGCCCTCAAAGTGGCAGCAATGACTAGCACACCAACATGGGTGAGGAAGTTCCATCCTGCCTAGGCGGCTGGAACTAACTTCCAGAACAATATGCCTCCTTCTACCTACAAAACGGCTCTTCTATTTCTCTATAGAAATGGTCGAGGGGTTGCCGTCCAAATCTTTAGTGGTTGGGAACCATGCGAAGTTGAAAGCCAAGGGTTACAACGGCTCCCCACGAACTAACAACCGCGGCCAAAGTCCCGCCCCTACTCGATGGGAACACGGCATTGACGTCGAAACGTGAGCCTGTCGAGCCAGACGCCCTTCGCGCTATCTTTATACAGCCTCTCGTCTCGATGCGCGAGCTCCATCTGGAAGAAGTTGGTGAGATATGTAGAAACCCATCCGTACGCCTTGTCCTCTTTGACGTCCTCTCCGGGCGCCGCGCTGGGAACGAAAGTCTCTATATCGATGTAGTCCCACTTGCGGGGGTTGTGCTCGGCGCCCCAGTGCCTCTCGTCACGGTCCGGGTTGACAATCAAGTATCCCAGGCGTGTGGGATACCACGGGGCACAGCAGGTCATAATAGCATCCAGCAAAGCGGAGCCGATGTTGTGGCGGCGGAACACCGGCTCGACAACCACCGTTATCTTGCCGCAGGCGCTTCCGAGCGTCTGGCGCGACCCGATCAGTCCCCGAAGCTGGACGTCGACGAGGGCGAACCCGATGATGAGGTCTCCGTCGGTATTGCCACTCTTCAAACCCCGCACCGCGACGAAGAAGGGCAGCTTTTCCACCACGAACTGCTCGAAGAGGGCGCGGAATCGCTGGATAGAGGTCACCTCCTTGTCCGGTAGCGTGTGCTTCGTTGCGGCCTCATCATTGTACATCTGCATAACCTGCTCCATGTCGCCGGCCACCGCTGGGCGGATGTGGCAAGGCATTCGGACCTTGCGGATGTTGGAATCGGCTCGGCTCCCGAGCTTGTTCTCTATGGCCAGGAGACGCATTGCGCGCTGGATGCGCAACTCGGAATTCATACCAACGGCCTGCGGCTCATTCACGACTATTACGCCACATGTAGGTTAGCAACGAAGACGGGTTTCTGGCATCGCGGAGAGCGCGGGGGAGGCGTACGTTTCTTTGTGGGAGGGTACTCGATAGGGTCAATGAGCTCGCCGGTCATGGGGTCAATGTCGCACTTCTCGGGCTCTTTAACTCCTTCGGGATGCAAATTGGCAACGATCTCGTGGGTCTTCTGGATCCATTCATCCACGAAGCCTTCGAAAGCCGTGCGGATCGCGGCCTTTCCGGTGGCGACGGAAGCGTAATCGGAGACCGCCTCGTTGTACACGAGGTACTTCAGAGCGAACCCTCGCATATCTTTCTTCACAGACTCGCCTTTCCCATCAGACTCATCTCTCTTAACAGATCCATCTTCCTTAACGGATTTGTCGCTGATGGCCTCCCCGATCCACTCGGCACTGAAGTCGGGGTAGGGCTGTGGGGTCGCCATCTCTACGGTAGATTCGGACAGGTCGGCGAACTGAGGTGAGGAAACTGCTCTTCTCTTCCCTTCACGGCAACTTAGTTTGCTCTAAGTCTCGAAGGAGGCTGCCCTTCCTGTGAAGAACCTCGCTTGTTGCGATTTTCGGGTTATAAGACCGTACCTATCGGCCCACGGGTGTCGTCTGACAAGAGTTGGTCTTCTCTTTGAACGGCGAGGAATATCAGCAGTCCACTCTATAGGATCGACTGGCGGGGGTAGGAGAGCGAGACGAATTGCGTTATCCTAGCCCGGCCCGCGTTTAAAAAAGATCAAACCTCAATACAACCCCGTTGAAGAGGCAATATTCCAATCAAGAGAGCGGCTTCACTGAAAAAGCTTAGGGGAAAATGGACCAAACTCACAATGATCCCGTCTCCTTGATATATTCTGTCCTCCCGCACGTATTGAGACGGATGCCTATATCTCCCTGCGTATGGATGGTGGAGCGGCAAGGAAGATTAATAGGTGCTAGGAGGTAATAGATCAGCTTTGGAGATCCTATAATGTTGACGATAATGACCAGGGTGAGGGTGATGACATCAAAGGGGGGGATCTAACCTCACAAGTTCGTCTCACGCCCCTAGTTGGATTCAAGGGAGAAGCAGTAGTTGTCCCGATGGAATAGGAGACTAGATCTTGATGCCAGGAGAGATGGTATACTGAAGGTGATCACGATACCTAGGAGTGGCGATTTTGTTGACTGGAAATTGAGGTGATGGTATTCCTTGATATGGTATCCGGGGCAGCTGTCAAGTGGAGATGTATGAAATTTTGGTAAGTTGGGATAATTGAGGATCAGAAGCTTGAATGTGGCTTGATTTTGCTCCACGGGGCACCAATAACCCTAACGAGGATTAGAGAGTAACTGGATGGGGGGCGGAAGGTCACGGATGGTGATGATGATGATGATGATGATGATGATGATGATGATGTGATGGTAAGGTGGACAATGAAATTATGGACAGGGGAGAAGATAAACTGGAAAGGAATGAGAAAAGGAGAGGAGAAGAAAAGAGAGTAGATGGGGAAGAGGAGGATGGATAGATCGTGAGATTTTACATAAGATCAATTAGTTCACAGTGTAAACTTCAGAAATTTGTATGCTTCACACCTTTGAAGAAATCGCCGTCAATATTGTCGATGAGAGCTCTGGCTATGAATGAGGTGTCGATCGACATAGTTGTCGACCAAGTCATCTAATACTTTGTTAATTATGAGATTTAGCTAGCAGATAATAAAACGCTACTCTTGGTAACGAGGGGCATGCCGCCCATTTACACCTATCCCCTACATAAAAAGAGAGGAATGAGGCAAAAGGGCGTGGCTATATTAGGAAGATGTTCATGATATACACAACCAGCTTGTGTAAGAACATTGAGTTTTGCTCACATTACTTAATACCGCTTTCTTAGAAACTAGGACAAAGTTGAGGGTTCGTATGAAATGTCCGTACGTAATACCTGGGAACCCTTGACGTTTAGGATAAGTATTAATAGCATATTACTCTTGAGCCCCTTAACTTAGTTCTGATACCCTCCACTGACGTAGAGGATTTTCGCCCATCTTTCCTCATCTCGAAGCTTTGGTTAACTTCTTATTTCTAGCTAAATTTGAATTAGGGTTACAACTAGGTACCCTTTAGAAAGAATTGTTGAACCCATACGATAACTTAGCTTATACTACTTGAGTTTAGTACGGATATATTGTCTAGGGTGCTGTCCCGTAACTTATCACGGCAGCTTGGGGTAAGCACAACCAGATGGCTATGCTGGTTATTCAGTAGTTATTACCATAGGTTGCCATAACAAGTAACACTCGATTTGCCGTATCTTAGTATTCCTTCCCTGCAATAGGTCGGGGTAGTAGTGGATAGTACTATAAGTAGTGTCGAAAATCAACTAATACAAGTAGCTAGTGGACAGCAATACTCTCAAGCATATATAAGAATTAATAGGAGCTTGAGTGTGCATAATACTAGACTTAGCTTATTGATATCTCTTGGGTTGGCCTTTATAACCCTGGTGTGTTTTGTTTGGTTGAGAGACCGGATTCACTTCGCCTTTCCACTGCGCGTTTTCTTTTCAACGCTGTCCGACATAATATCTATAACTCATTATTGTGGGCGCTCAATTAGGTCACATGGCACCTTTCTACCGGTTTATCATTACGTAATGCTTTGGCTCTCGGTCTCGAAGCCATCTCGGCCTTAATGTCTATATATAAGCTAGATGAAGGATATAGGTTGAAACTGACTTCGCTCATTAACCGGCGAGAACTGAAAGGCGAATCTCTTCTATCAGGAAAAGCTGGCTGCTAGCCGCCGTTGAAATGTCTTTGCCGCCCAGTGGCTGAGGCGCTGCGGCAGGGTGTTTTCCTCTCTGGCAGAAAATCATGGTATCCTGCGTTGACAGCAGGCCTTCCATATTTAGCACACAGTTGCATTAGACCCCGAAAAAAAAGTCCTATTTATCCTAAATTCATATTAATTCGAGGGCTTGCCCCCTCTTCTGTCCCTTGCTCCTCGCACATTCCTCAATCGCCTAGCGCTTGCTTCGTAAATACTTGATACCTACCAAGAGGCGGAGTGAGAGAGAAAAAAAGACGAGAAAAACACTTCGAAAAGAATAGAAATCCCAAGATATGAAGTTCCCTCTTTTCACGCTCTCTTTACTTTCTACACTGGGGCCCCGACTCACCATGGGCGCCTACCCCGCCGACACGGTTGACCTGGTGCTCGACTTCTATCCGGCGTCGTCACCGAACCGGGTGGGCGTCCTGGTGCTGCCGGGCGGGGGCTACGGCTTCATCTCTCGGGAGAACGAGGGCACGGCGCCGGCGGAGTGGCTCAACGCGCGCGGCGTCGATGCCTGGGTGCTGTCGTACACGGTGGCGTCGGCGACCGTACCGGCGCCCATCTCGCCGCGGCCGCAGCAGGAGGCGCTTGAGGCGGCGCGCCGTATCCGCGCCGAGGGTCGCGTCGACCGTCTCGGCATCTGGGGGTTCAGCGCCGGCGGGCACCTCGCGGCGGTCACTGCGACGGACCCGGCCGCCGCCCTCGACTTCGCCATCCTCGGCTACCCCGTCATTAGCATGGTCCCCGGCGTCACGCACCCGGGCTCGCGCCACAACCTCATCGGCGACGACGCCACCGCCGAACTCGAGGCTACGCTCAGCGCGGAGAACCGTGTGGGCGTCGCGACGCCCCCCGCCTTCCTCTTCCACACCGCCAACGACGCCACCGTCCCCGTCGAGAACTCGCTACGTTTTGCTGCCGCCATGGCGAATCACAGCCGTCCCTTCCAGATCCTGGTCCTTCCTGACGGCCCGCACGGCATCGGGCTCGCGCTTGGCGACGAGAAGCTCGGGTGGACGGGCGAGCTGGAAAGGTGGCTGAAGCAGTCGATCCTGATCTAACTGGTAGAAGCAGTTTCGAGAGTTGGTGCGAAGGAGTTGAAGATTATATAAGAGGGTCAGTCAAGACTTCGAATCCTGCCCCATAGATAAATAGATCTTCCACCCTGGATTTTGAGAGAGAAATAAAGAAGAGCCAGGACGGAAAATAGATTATATATATTCAGCATATCCCACCAATATTACATCACGGAAGATGTCTTTCCGTCCGTTCGTTCTTTACCAGGGCAGCTCCACATCCGGTCTCGTAGTCAAGGAATACGCACAAAACATACATGGCTACTAATATATATTAACCACCATAACCACCTTACACCATACCGACCTATTTAAAAATGTCGGTGGGCCTGAGCAGCTAAATGCAACCGCTTCGTACAAATATAAGTACGGAACCAGTCCTCGTGGCGAGAATCTATTGGGGAAAAGGGGGGTTGCACGTAGCTCACCGGCAACATCAACCATTTTGTCTGGTTTTTCTCGAGAGCAGCTTCAAGTTATCTTGTTCGCCAAGTGTGCTTCTCAGTGTCGATATGTCAGGGGACCCCTTGCACGGGAGACTCGCACCCTGGGCTATCTAGATAACCTTCCCAAGCAAATCGACATATCTCAGGTCCACAGGTATCTCGGGGTCTCCCTGCCTTCTAGCGTGAGAATACCAGGGCTCGCGGTGACGGTATTAAATAATGCGTAAATTGCGCCGGTGAGCTATTAAAACTGGTCGACGGTCTAGATTGATGAAGACGCAGGTGTGCTACTTAGTGTGTGGCGGGATGAGGATGTTTCCGACCATTCTTCGCCGTACCTGAACGGATTTACCGTTTCAACGCTCTCGTCGTCTCTTGAACCGGTTGCGGGTATCGCCGGTCTCTGACTCTTAGCCGTTATGTAGGCGTTAAAAGTTTGATGAACAGCAACTTTGGCCAAAGGGGCTTGGTTTTAGTTACCCAGCGTGTCGGTAGTTTCGCCCGCATCCGGGAAATCCAACCCGGCGACGTCTTCTTTTGCTTCAAAATCGGTTCAAGTGACGAGGGTTCGGTGTCTAGGATGCTGCTGGTTATTCGTTTAAGCGTCTTACTAGCGGCAGTAGAAACGCCTTTGTCCATTGTCCATTTGAATAGTGCAAGGGGGAAAAGGCAGTGGAAGCATACATCCTGGCGGCGGGGCTACTTGGGAACGTATATAAGTTACTGTTGACGGTATTAATGTGCAGACTCGTTTGGGATTGATGAACTTTCAACGTAAGGCAGTCCTCAAGAAGGTGTAACTCGGAGCTGATTCCACCCTTCTCGAAGATTATAATCCTTTTCAGTAGTTCCTAAAGCGGCTGGTAATCTTTCTGGACCATTGGGCTTCCGAATGTGTCGCGATATTACTTGAATATTAGTTTCCAATGTAATATGATATCACAATAAACTACCAGGGCCTACCGACCGATATAACGCGTAGGCCTTTGTCCAGTGATTCCTGGAGCGGTTCAGCAGCGTCGCCAGTAAGAGTTGTGACTTGCGTGACTTTCACAGAAAGCCGACGGCCATCCAGCCCAGCCTACTGGAGGAAAGGCTGAACGCGGTGAGCGTCATCGAAGGCGAAGTCGGGCAGTTAAGGAAGATAATATTTATTTGGCCAATTTTCCAACAGGTGGACCCCTTGAGTACCTTCAAACTGCTGCCTGACCGGCCGGCCGTCCTGCGCCTCAGTCGTAACAGCGTCCACGTCGTTAATAGGAACAGTTTGATTATTGTGAGGTCGGCTTGTTGGCAATATTCAGTGTCTTCCTATGTTGGCAAGATCTCCCCATTCCAGAGTCGCCGGGTCAATACGAGAAAGAAAAGAATAAATTGACAGACTGTATATGTACCTTGTACGCAGCCATCAAGACAGACTTATAACCGGTACCTTCGTTGCCAATATTGTATGCCCCAGCAAGGGGTTTCGAGCTCTGTCCAGCATTGCAGGTGGCTGGGAGATCCTCAGGAGGAAATCCATTTTCATTGCATTCGACGGTAACGTGGAACGGCGTGACGTTGAAGAAAATATATAGCGTCTCCTTACGAGCCAAAGTCCTAGAAAAGGTATTGTCATCGGCGTTTCGCAGTAATTCGAGGACGAAATAGACGTTGCTCGCGTATAGACTTTTAGCTAGGCTATGTCGCCTTCTGTTAGTTTGAACTAGGCGCAGCACAACCTATTAAAAATAACGGCATATGAGATGACCGAGGAACTGATATTAAGCCTATCCTTCATGAGCATTGCATGCTCCACGGCGCGCCCCTCCGCCGGTATGCTCTTCACTAGAGCATCCCACGTTAGCAACCAGGCGGTCAAAGGGGAAATATTGAGACGCCGAGGACTACTACTCACAGGTCTTTTCGTCTAGATAGCCATGGTCTTTAGAAGTCTGCTTGACTAACACCCTTGCTCTCGCCTGCGCGATTGGGCCGTCTAGCTCAGATGCTACAGATCAGATGCTACAGATCCCGCGTCGTCTGAGTTCGTAATTAGATCAGCGGTCAAGGAAGTTGAAGGTGATCTGTTCTCCCACCTATCTAGTAGGGGCCAAGGGAGGGCGCCACATAGTGCATATCATTATCACATCCGTCGTGTAGGGCAATAAGCGCTACGAGCCCATTTTTACCATGCACCTTCTCACAAATTGAGGAAAAGGTTTGGCGGTGAACCTAGGTATCTAGCATAACCAAGTTTCGTTGGAAGCAACATGACCCCCCTTTCTCCTCTCGAACTGGAGACTAGCCAGAGCAGATGACGACGTCCTCTCGCATTCTAACTAGAGGATGTAACCGTGGCGTTGCGTCTGGGAGTGCAACTGGGCGTCGGGCTGAACCCGGAAATGAATATGCAGTCCGGGAATAGCTCAAGGCGTCGTAAGCATCGAAATGACTTCTATCTGGCCAGGGGTGTTTCTTCGACCCCATCCTCGATCTAACGCGGGCCGTAAATTAGTGGTTTGCCATGTGGTGTGTTGAGGGTAGAAAGAACTTTGCGAGCAAGGGTCTCTAGCTTATATCGAGTGGTAGCTGATACGACGACTTGTTAGCAACCACCATAGGTATGTCCGTGCTTGTATAACGACTTTGTGGCGCAGCGTCACCTTGACACCTAATTCTCAGGTTGCCAACGTGTTCAAAATCCCAAAAAGACTTAGTGGATGATAGGGCGCATAAATTGGTCGTAGTCACTGGTGCATCACTGCCCACCTGGTAAAAAGTCATCAGATCCTTGCAATGGTCTCAAAGGAAATAAAAGTATACGGTTTTAGCTGTCAGTTTCATGGAGGGGAAAATCGAGTGCCAGAGGCCCACATGTCGGAAACCAGCCTGATGGAGAGGGGGTCTAGTGCCGGCCGAGGGTAGCATGGTTTAAGAAAGCACATGCAAGAGAACGTAGGTGAGGGATCCAGTTGAAGACCTAGGAGGATGCAATACTTGTTTATGTGGTTCTTTTTCTTTTTTTCTTCAACTGTATGGGAATCGGGTCGAATACTAGCACCTTTGCAAACGTGGGACGGGGGAAGTGCATACCGCTGGTGAGATTATCAATCAGACTCCGGTAGGCTAAGTGGACGAGGTGTTTCGAAGCCGCGAGAGCTTCGTACGCGTATTGACCTTCGAGAAGTTCGCTCTGCCGTAGCGTGAGCGAAATGACTGGCATTAGTGAAAGAGACCCATGAGCGTTGGGTGCTGGTTGGAGAGGGACCGTGATAGGTAGATCAACAGAGACATTGGGGTCACGTGACTGTCCACTTGACGAAGGCTTCCCTCATCTAAGGTGGAGATTAGGTGACTCAAAAGTCACGTGGGAGTGCCGACTCGGTGGTCCACGAGATAAGATAAGATGAGCAAGTATACCTACCTACATTAGGTACTTCGGCTATATGTCGCAGAGCGTAAGGGTGCGTTGCGACACTTTGTCGGAATCAACCCTTCGAAGCTGTATCAGCACGAGACTCTCTCCTCTCCGCCCATAACCTTCCCATTTCCAGCCATCCCGTACCATCTGGCTCGGCGAAATAGATTATCGAAACTGGATGTGTCGCCGCGCCGGCTTCCCCAGGAGTTTCCATTTCTCCGATGACACGCCACTTCGGGCATCCCCTTCCTACACTAATCTACATTGGAGCGTTCTGTTGCGCCGAACAGCCTACCGCTCTCCCTGGCACGAGCAATGCTTGCGATTTTCTAGGGACCACGACTGGACGAATATACTAGATGCTAGCTAGCGGCGTTTCCATCCCCTGGATCCCCTATACCTAGGCGGAGAGTGCTTAGCTGAGCATTACCTACCTGCGTAGTTGTACGCTCCCGCGAGACTGTCACAGAGCCTCAGAAGAAAAATATCAGGGGCCTAACAGCTAACATTACGTATGTCTTCGATATGCCTCTGTATTATAGGCGCCCCCACACAGGTTACGTGTCGACCGGACCCCTTGTACAGACGCGTTACACTAGGCGTCAAAACCCTGCCCGTCACCACCGGCCATAACCGAGTTGTCTCCGATCAATTAGCTATTCCGAACTAGTTGACAGTTCCGCCTGGCGAGCGAGTCAACGGCTCCCTCCCCATCAACCACAACCATTTATGAAGAAGCTTTTTAGCCTCCCCGTCCAGATCCAGATTCCCCTTGTCTATTACCTTCCTCTTCCAGCCAACGGGACGCGGAGACCCCATAGCGTAACATCCACCTGACCTCTTTCGGAACTCCCAATTTTCAGATAAGAGCGTTGCTTAAATTCAAGCGAAGCAACCCTACACAGATATCTGGCAAGCGTGGATCGCCATGCACGAATCGCTTTATTGGGCTGTTTCGGCAGGATCGTAAGCGGTAGATATATATAGGTACATTCATATAAAACTATGATGCCGGCAGACTCATCCCAAGCTCTGCTGCTTCGTTCCCCGCGCCCTCGTAGTAGTAGCGATCTCGGCCCACGTGAAGGTTTGCTTGTCCAAGATGCGCTCGATCCCCCTATTTCATTTTCTTTGGGTACCGCATGCCGTCATTGGGAGTTTTCTCGACTCACATCCCTACCGATTGAAAGAAGCCACCGAGTACAGCAATGCCGGTAACGTTGCAGCGAACCATGCACTGAAACTACTCAAGAGAGGCGACTACGTCGAGACGGCAACCGAACTGGTGAGGAGTACCGCACCCGACGCCACGTTCCGGCTGGTGGAGGACCACTACGTCGGGACAAATGGTATCGGCCATGTTCACTTCCGGCAAACGATACACGGTCTGGATGTGGATAACGCCGACTTCAACGTGAATGTAAGTGGTCCATTTAAGATTGACACATATGAGCCAAAACCTCCCCCGAGTCTCAATAAAGAAAATGAGCCAACTTAACCATAGGTCGCACGCGATGGAAGCATATTTTCTTTCGGAAACTCGTTTTTCGCCGGAGATATCCCGCAGCAAAGCCTCGTCGAGAAACGATGTGTTTTGGATGCAGTAGGAGCCTTAGATGTCGCGAGCAGCACGCTTCAGCTCCCAATTTCAGGGGAGACTTCGGTGGAAGGCAGCACTGGTATTGAGTCGTACACGATTACGGGGACCACCGGCACAGTCCAAGACCCTGAAGCAAGCCTGGTGTACTTCGTGAGGCCGAACGGAGATCTAGCCCTCACGTGGAAAGTCGAGACGAGAACAGCCGACGACTGGGTCGTGTCGTATGTGGATGTAGAAGGGGAGTCGGGTGTCCTCGGCCTCGCCAATTACATCTCCTATGCGACGTACGATGTGTAGTGAGTTTTGACGCGCAGAGGCCCAGATTACTACCTGACCTAACGTGTCGTAGTCCATGGGGACTGAACGATCCCAGCGAGGGGGCGCGAAAGATAACCAGTGACCCTTGGGACGTAACAGCATCGAAACATACATGGCACGACAGTCGGAACACTACTGCCGGTAACAACGCCGACGTGGGCTCCGTCCCCATCGTCGCCCAGGTGTACGCCCCGACGAGCGAGAACTTAACTTTCGAATACCCATACGTGCCGGACACGGAAACGGGGCTCACGTACCGCGATGCCGCCGTAGCACAGGTCTTCTACACGGTCAACATGCACCACGATCTGCTATACATCCTTGGCTTTACTCCAGCCGCGGGAAACTTCCAGGCAGACAACTACGGCGAAGGCGGTAGAGGTTACGATGCTGTTCGTGTGAGGATACACCACTGGGGTGGGAAGAACAATGGGGTACGTGCCGAACCCCCCCGCGAGACTGGTAGAGCTAATCTTTGCCCTCCGGCTTTAGTAAATATACCGAGACGCTCCAAGATAGGCTTTCGAGCCCGCAAAACACGTCACTAAACCGTGTCACAGCTATCTCACTCGGACGGTAGAAGGAGTAGCACCCGAGCTCGTGCTGTACCTCTTCAACTTCACCGACCCAGAAAGGGATGCTGCATTCGACAACGGCTTCGTCATCCACGAGTATACTCACGGCCGTAAGTGATGGCGGGTGTTGGCGGGGAGCGAGGGGGCGAAAGATGGCCTGCTAACGAGATGCGACCTACATATAGTGTCGGGGAGACTCACGGGCGGACCGCGGACTAGGAACTGCCTCGACGCGTTCGAGGCCGACGGCATGGCCGAAGGCTGGAGCGACTTTTATGCGGCGGCCGTCATGCTCAAGCCAGACGACACGCGCGAGAACGCCACCTACGGATTCGCCGCGTGGCCCACTAACAGCACCAACCCGCCGACGGCCAGGAAGGTGATGTACACAACAGACATGGAGGCGAATCCGTGGACGTACTCGATGGTAAACAGCCTGGAGAGGGTGCACGAGGTCGGCACGGTATGGGCCTCGCTGCTGTACGAGGTGCTTTGGAACCTAATCGACAAGCATGGCAAGAACGACGCCGAGCGGCCGGAGATGGTTGACGGTGTGCCGACCGACGGTAAGTTTCTCGCTATGAAGATCGTGCTGGATGCCATGGCGCTGTAAGTCGACCCGAACCCCTTCCAGTCAACCCGACCGAGCGAGCCTAGGCTAACAGGGCGGTGGACTCTCAGGCAACCGTGCAACCCCACCTTTGTCCAGGCTCGCGATGCCATTGTCGATGCCGACGTAGCTCTCACGGGAGGGCAGAACGTATGCGAGATTTGGCGGGGCTTCGCAAAACGCGGCCTCGGGAGGGATGCCATATTCAACGCCACGGAACGAGTCGATAGCTTCGATCTCCCTGATAGCGTTTGCTAGGTGCCGGAGCAGATTGTGAGACCTCTCTCCGGAATTCAAGAAATACGCACCGAGAGTTGGTTTTAGCAGCGTCGGGTGAAGCGAGAAATCCGGTATCTAGATGGTCTACCAAGAATGACAACCATTCCCCAGGAGGCGCTATTGCGATAGGCTTGGGGCACGGTAGTTTTAATTTGCGGATATAATTCGTACGGCTATCGTTGACGAACTCCATGGACATCGAACCCATCGCCGTATAATGTTGTTAAAGGATGATCCTACGAATAAGATAAATGACTCGAGATGGCCTTGTGAATGTGTGAGATGTACTTGCCTACTCTGTGCCTCAAGTACCTCTACCTAATTTGGTGATTTATCGATTCTCATTACGTAATAGGCTGCTTTATGGAATAAGAGAAAATACCCTAGGTAGTATCTGTTAAGAGCATATACCCTTGGAAGAATACATTCTAACCTCCGAACCCGCTGGATATCATTGCTTCTCCATCTCCTAACACCAGCATCCCTTCCTACCAACCCTCTCTCCGCGCAGCCAGCTGAGGCATACCATGCGGTGACAAGCACGAACCTGCAGGCCCACACACCGTGATACCAACTCACTTGCCTGTCTATCGTGCGTCCATCTAGGCAGTCTGCATCATGCCGAGCACCTGGCCAGTCGACTACCTATCCTCCTTTCGGATGTGAAGCGAATCCAGACTTGGACTTGTACAGCTGCCATCTACACTTGGTATCACAGCTTGGGCCGAAACAACATCAGATACAATCGTTCGGTAGCGCAGCGAGAACTCTGGCTTGCGGCGTGAGACGAACTACACGTACGTGGAAACATTGACGCGGTGGCACTACGAATGTTGCGCATTCCTGTCCTGTTCGGTCACGTCGCACACTGATACAGAGGTAGCGGCCATTCTGACCATGCGCAGCACCACCGTATTCTCCGGCCATTTCGAGAGTCGACTACCCACGGTGTCTCGATAACTGGCAATGCAGTGCACTATGAAGAACTCCGCCGGGTGAGACAGATTGCCCGCCTTGGTCTCGTGGTGACAGACCAACACATCCAGCTGTCTCGCAGCCATCACGAAAGGATTTCGACTGCCGGCAAGCTGCCGCTCTGTCGGAAACTCGGTGCCAGGCTCCAATCAAATAAAAGTCTACTTGGCGCTCTCCAGATGCGAGGGTTATTGAGAGAAATGCCAAGGCGGCAGTTGAGAAGGATGGCACACCATACTCGAAACAGTATGCCGTTCGATTACGGGTGAGGCCCCGTGTGGAGGAACGAGGTCTTGACCAATGGCTGTATTTTTGCAAATGCGAATTTTTGATGTTCCTGATTCACCAAGACTGCGCGCCGTCGCGGCTTGTTCTGTCATCCTACTCGGCGCCTCTGACCAACCGCAGCACTGCGATCCTTCCACGCTGGCAATGACACTACAGTTCCGACACGAGCTGATCTGCTCTGCTGCCTTACTTTTTCTGGCAACCCTTCGTGAACAGACATATGCACCGGTATTTACCGGCCTCCAATCTCCATCTACAGGCCCGGCTGGAGGCATAGACATGCTCCGGGCGACACCGCCCTAATCACAGTATCTCGTGCTGCCTACAAAACAGCCACAATATTGGCGCTCTTTTGCCACCCTATGCAGAGAAACATATGGGAACATCTACAGTCCCAATACCTCCTACGTTGTAGGTATCTTAGGGCTGATAGAGTGTGCAACATGATGCCAAGGCTGGACTTCACGGCTAGCCAATGTCACTTCATGTCGGGATGAGGATAGGTGGTGGTGAACTGAAGGGACTTTGTGGAACATCATCCCGTTGTCCGGATGCCTGGTGCGCTCATCGTTAGCATGCAGCCTCTAGCAGCGGCATCCTCTAGCGGCACATATTACTCACGAGTAGTTGGTATGTTGCTGTCTAGCTACTACCAAGCCGAGACTTGGGTTTCGACTACATCATGCTTACCGATAGAAATGAATCAGCAGACTTAGCCCTCAACATCTCGCCACGGCAACCAGCCTCTCACTTGCGTCCACGATATCGGCCCACGTCTACACGACCGGAGGAACTCCCTGGTCGGCGGCGCCGTGGCTGGGGTTTTATCCCTCCCAACTACCGAAATTTCACCCAAGGCTAACATAGCTACGCATTACGTACATATATGTAGAACGTGTTCACCATCGCAAGAAACTGGCAGACTAATCGGTGGGCTGCCCTTTGTGGTCGTCGATCCCCTTCCGAGTCGAGGTGTTCCTCCCTGAACTAGGCTGGCTTCTCACCAACTATGGTACCACTCCTATCCAATCGACCAGGTCGCCATATCACGAAACCCAGCTCCACTTGCATTTCAGTTCGATGTGTTCTACAAAATAGCCCTTTCCAACCACAACACATATTTTCTTGACACACATGGCGTCCGTGAAATGGTCGGGAGTTCGGGCCCGGGAAGAGAACGAAGGACCGCTATTAAGGTCGTACAGCTGCCGTGCGTACCAAAGTAGGACGAAGATATAAAGGCCCGCCGTCCCATCTTTTTCTCTAGGCTCTCTCCTTACCAACCTCCACAGCCTTCTCTCACCCGAAGCCTCATCTTGAAAGTAACTCCTTCGTTAAGGTTGCTTAAAGACTCTGGTTGAGTTGTGTTGCTCCCCTTCAACCCCTCGAAAGTATATTCTTCATATCGGCTGAAAAGTAAGACGCTCGCTATTAGTTGCTTCTTCCCTCAAGGTACTACTTCGACCCACAATGAAGGCTGTTTTCCCCATCCTGGCCTTGGCCACTTCAGTCTTGGCAAGCGAGAAGGATTATGAGAGTGTTGCGACCGCCACCACCTACGAAACCACCACGGTCTGCCCCATCACGAACACGGTCACCTATGAAGGATCGTAAGTTTCTACGCAGCATCAAGTCTACAGGATACTTGACTAATAACGTGTAAGCGTCTTTGTTGAAACCACACTCACTACATTGACCATCACCGTAACTCAATGTCCAGGTGGTGGCTGTGGAGGCGGGGCTGGTGAAGTGACCGTGACAGGACCAGACACTACCGTTGGGACTACTACTGTCGTCGAGGTTACTTATACAACGACATGCCCCGTTACAGAAACAGTCACCGCCCCTGGCGCTACCCATATCACTACATACACGACGACCAGTGTGGTTGTTACCTACATAGACACAACCATCGTCGAGACGGCGACGGGACCTGGAACTACCGAGGTCACCGAGGCTGTCGTCTACACTACCCTAACATCGCTGTGCCCTGTAACTGAGACCAGGACGATCGAAGGTTCTACGGTTGTGGTTACTTGGACGTCGAGTTCCACCATTACGACAACAGTTCCCACGACCACCACTGACTTCACTTCGTACACTGTCACCGAGTACGTCTCTACCGAGGTCCTACAGACTATCACCTGCCCGGTGACAGTCCACACCACCGTCTCGGATGGCACCACCATCTATATCACCGAGACCAATACAGAGACTATTTACACCACCAAGTCGTACACCATTACCGACCACTTGCCGGCGACCAAAACCCAAGAAGTTGGCGTAACCGTCACTGCTGTGGCCTCGGAGGGCCAGACAGTGACGTCCACCCCGACCGTGTGGGTTGATCACAGCGCTACTACCATCGTCACCCAGTCGAACCCCGCCACAGCCGTTCCTTACCCCACATCAACGATTGGAGGCTCAGGTCCTAGCGAGGGCGGCAAGTCCTATACCCCAGCGCCCCCTGCATCCACCAATATCTACACACAGGTCCCCAGTGGCCTCGCCCCACGGGTTACTCCCGCCGCTGTCGTCATTGCCCTGGCGGGGTTTGTCGCTTTACTGTAAAACAAGCCCACTTCGAAATATTGGCCCATGAGTACGCTGTAAGGGTCAAATAGCACAGCAAGCATCCAAATGTCTTGAGTTGTTTACGGAACTATAAAGGCACGGGGAAACCCGAGACAAAGGAATTCATGATTGTGAGGTTTTCATACAAGAATACTCTTAGACTTTACCGGCGCGCAAAATGGAATCTTGCGGTTTTTCTGCTGGATAATGACAGGCGATTCTGCTGAGGGTGGATCAATAATCACTGTGGCGAAGGGCATACAGTCAATGAAAATTGACGATCAATCTCTCAGAGGCATTGGGATCTGATCCACCTATCTAGTGTGGACCTGGAAATACGACTTCGTGTACACATATTCTGGTTACGTGTTCTCGAGGTCTACGTCGAGTGCAACGTAGTAGTAAACCCAAAAAGGAATGGTACCTACGAAACAAGAGTTCCAACATCGTCTTCCAGTATTATCCTACTATAGTTTGAAAGTACTTCATAACTAACCGTCTCTGGCTGCGCCGCTCTTGTCGATATTGTAGGCGAGTGCTATGTTAGGTATAACTAGTTCATTGTCCGGTAACAGGCCCTGGATCGTCTCTTTCTCATCGCCTGGCTGGAGGTCTTCCCCCCCGGATTCACAACACGTGGTCCTACATGTCCCTCCGAAATCCTCGCAGAATGTCTCGGCCTTAGGGACACGTAGTACTTAACACTACACTGCGCAATACCACATAGATACCCTTCAGCCTTAGTCTTTCCTTTAAGTAGTCATACATGCCTTGTAACCGCTGATCTGTTGTAATTGGCAGGTATATGGTCACCACGTCCTCCTTTGGCGGTCAGCATTCTCCGCCAGCCTATTCAACTCCTGGCAACCCTTACATGTCCCTGTTTTACCCTTGTCGTACCTGTAGTAGTAAATGCCTCCGACGCTCGTGGCTACCCCGGGACCCTATATGCTAGTGTAATGTCGGGGCGGACATAAGGAGTAACTAAACGGAAAGACTTTTCTAATAAGCTACCCGATCCGAGTAAGGTTACCCGTCGTCGTAGGACGCATAGGAGAGACCCACGATAGTAAGGGGAAAGGAGTAAAAGGAGTTCACACCCTGCAACGGAAACATCCGTCCCGCTGACCTCCGAGCAGCATTTTGCCTTTTCTCCTGGCTCACGGAGATCCTGGACAGGAGCAGATATCTGCCCAGCGGGACTACAGCATCGGCAATTTATCCTGTCTGATATTGTTGCTGTCGCGACGGAGCACTTCAGTCCCTCGTGGCCTGCAAAGAATCTGAGGGGGGCAGACGGGGAGTGTAAGGAGACAATAACAAACCAAAGCTAAGGGGAATTAAGCATATAGCACTGTACATGGACGTACGGGTGGATAATGAAGGGATCTATCCAGGTTACGTACCTACTGGGCACTACGTATAGCGAGCAGGGAAGGTTGCGTATCATGTTAATTTGCTCGACGCGCGTAACCGCTGAACTACCTAGTACGTAGGAGGCAGGATACGGCCGCCCCTCGAGTCACCTCGACCGTGCGAGGGGGTTGAAGCGAGAACCTACGTATGTCTCAAGCAGGCCTGACCGCTATTCTCGTCCGCAGCGTTGTTCGTCTACGCGTGGTACGTCGACGGTTGTGCCCCGGTTCGGCGCCAGCCAGTCCGTGTGACATACGTACAGCACGAAGCGTCGAGCCGCTTCGTACTCATGTGCGGGCAAGGGGAGAGGCGTAGAGTCGCAGACTTCGTACGTTGCTGTCGTCCTCCCAACGCCACCCCCTCCATCAGTCAGATTCATATGTATGTGTATAAGACATATGTATATCTCATGCGTCCGCGTGCAGAAACGCGCGCGCATTGGCTTGTTACGGAACATCACAGGTTCGTCACCAGGAAATATTCGTCTCTGGGGAGAGGAGGTACGTAGGGGAGGTGCGGGAGGAGCTGTTACCAGGCGGAAATTGCGACGGAACAGGAGAGATGGCCACGTGGTGCCGACGAGGACCAACCTGAGTGAAGAGACGAAGATCTCAACCCACTGTCTCCCATGTGCATGTGTCAATCTGTTAGGCATTAAACACGAGATACATTTTACCACGGCAACTTCCTGTGGCACCCACCTGCGCAGCTACATACGGCGAAGACCCTAGGAGGAGCACCGCGGTACTCTACCTACCCGCTTACTTCACAGCCACCGCCTCTCCTCCGTCTCTCGTAGCCCATATCAGCGCCTTACGCCAACCATCAGACAGAGCGTCCGAGCCCGCAGCCTTCCCCCTCTCGTACTGACTGGTCTTCTCCCTCGCCTGGGCTTGGTAGGCGGGCATACCACGGCACCCGACCTTTACTCAGCGGGCGGCCGCACAACCAAACCGGGCCAACCGAGCTAGCCGGCCAGCCGACGTGCGCGCATACGACACGGGCACCTGCGGGTTCCAGGGGTGATCAGGGACGTACATACCGACTGACCTGCCCACCTACATACCTATCTCCTTGCCTACATGCCTGCCTGCACATACGCTGCGAAAAGCAAGCTACCTGGCATGGAAGTTCAGAAACGTCTAGCCGTTCAGCCATCCCGCCATCCGGAACGCCACATACGCACGTAGGCGCCCCGATACGAGGAGGAAGGGAACGTATGGCCTCGTAGGGATACCCGCGCACTCGTCTACCTGCCGTCTAGGGGTAGACTTGCTCTCTCTCTCCCGTGGCGCTGCGTACACACACACATACATACGCGGATGTACGTGCCTCAAATCGCACGCACATTACCTGCATGGCAAATGTACATACGCGCAATCCTGGTAGCTAGTCGGCCGGCCAGCCATGAAGACGGACAGACGGACAGACGGACAGACAGACGTACATAGTGTATGTCGCGCCACGCCACATCGCGCTAAGCTAGACTACCGCTTCACGAGCCACCCCTTCGCGAGCCGGGTATTTTGTATGGGTTTACATACAAACGATTTATCCCCGTAAAAAACCGGGAAAAATTCGGAAAATTCCGAAACTTACTTACGTAATTAATTGGCTTAATTAGGTTAACATATGAATGTTTCGAATTTTTTGCTTACTAATATAAGAAGTTATATACGATTTTAGGTTTTTTGAAATTGCACTAATAGATTGCCATATAATTTATTAGTAACCCTGTTAACTGTGCTTATATCGACATGTTTACCTATTTTTTTCACGGTAATAAAGTAGGTCTATTACCTAATACTTTATTTTATAAATAGAAGAATGGCTAGTATTAAGTAATCTTATTTTTATTCTTTGATTTCGTTTTTATTTAATTTATTATTTTAAAAAAACCACGTTTTTGAGCAGGTTAAAACTTTCTAAAATTGTACCTATTTTCATAGTAAGAATTCCACCTTTCCGACTGTCCTATTTTTCCATATAAAGAAGTTCTAAAAAAAAACACTAAAAATTAACGTTTTTAAGACTTATTTAATTTAATAAAAATCAGAAAAATAAAAGGAAAAAAGTTTACGTAATCTTAATTACCATTCTATCTATAGTATAAAGGATTAGGTAATAGACCCACTCTATTACCGTGAAAAAAATAGGTTCAGAGGCCGATATAGAGCATAGTTAATAGATTTACTAATAAATTATATGGCAAATTGTTAGTGTAGTTTCAAAAAACCTAAAATCGTATATAACTTCTTATATTAGTAAGTAGAAAATTCGAAAAATTCATATGTTAATTTAATTAAGCCAATTGATTACGTAAGTAAGTTTCGGAATTTTCCGAATTTTTCCCGGTTTTTTACGGGGATAAATCGTTTGTATGTAAACCCATACAAAATACCCGGCTCGCGAAGGGGTGGCTCGTGAAGCGGTAACCTAACTTATATAGTGCCTCAGAATCTACGACAGTAATAGTGCCAGTAGCACGTTACGTAGACGCCCCCAGCGGCTCTATAGCAAACTATGCCCACCTAAGTAGATCGAGTACTTCTATAAGCGTAAGGACTCTTCTTAAATAATACGCAACACACAGTAAGTAGCAGTAATGAAAGAGTGTGACTATGGCTTATTCAAATGACAGTCGAAGCACCTACTCAGTAAGCTTAGAACCGTCTGCAGTCTCCTAGTTTACCTTTACATGCTACGTAAGCATAGCCAGCGGTCTTTATATAGGGGCAGGTAATTTCTATACAACCCGTTACTGCAACCGCTAGTAGTGAAACGCAGCGGCTTGACAGGATTGATCCAGTAAGGTAGGTAATATATGAATATAAGCAGCCAAGAACACGTTATCGCTTGTCTCGTCAGCGGCGTGCATCGGATTTTAGCTCTAATACCTATTCTAGGCGTTGAATACAAGTGTCTGAAACCAAGTTAGATAGAAGCCATATCCGGAGGTGATTATGCCCTTCTTCCTAATAGGCATCGGACACATGTGCATGTGCTCGTATCGCCGTCGCTAGTCCTAAGCTTGCTCTAAGCAGGTTAACCGGCTCGTCAAGAGGGGCACCGCTGTGTTCTGTTTTTGATTACCTCTCTTAACCCACTATAATCAACTCTGTCGCCGTGACACATGATGCTAAGCCTATAGCACGTAGGTAACCATGTAAATCAGGCAGTTCGAGAACAGTGTGATGGGCCTAACCCCTTATACGACAACCTGAGCAACCCGACCCTTTATTACACTGTACAATTACACTCTACATTATATGCCTAAGGGTCTTTTTGTCGATACAATACGACGCGAGGAACTAGGATTCGGCATCGTAGGTTAGGATGGCGTAGTAATGTCTCAATCGTCCCGTCGTAGGATCTAGCGGTATATCAGCTATACACATACGACGAATAGTGTGCAGTTACAGGCTCAGACGACCCGCCAAAAAAACAACGCATACGCATGTATGCCCTCTGTCTCGACACCGTACTCGTCTTTATCACGCAGTGTACATCCTACTTGGTACATGAACGCGAAAAAAAAAGATGGGTATAATCACGATGTGCCTTATTAGCACAAGTTGACCTCCTCGCACCCGAACCATTGCCCCTCCTGCCGTGTCCAGCTCTGGAGGCTGGGGCCATAGATGGGCGCTTCCCGCAGAGCTCTAGCCAGCTTGCCTGCTAAGAGATGTTACCGCCGAGACGGTTTTTAATCATTCAGCGCCTGCAATGCTTGGTTGAGCGGGACAACCCGAAGGCTGCGTCCCCGTTTCAAACCGGTATTCGCGTTCGTAATTGTCGGGTTGTTGGTATCACGCCACTTCCGGAACACGCTCTTCATATCTCGAGGTATGCCCTCCAGCACGACAGTTGAGAAAGGGACAAACGGGCGGTCCTCCATCCCTGCAGCCAGAATCGAGTACTCCTGGGCAAAGTCTAATGCGTTATGGAATGAGGCGTACTGGGATTGGGCCCGGGAACCCACGATAACATACAGCTCGAAAAAGGCGTCGAGCACGTATATACTTGTTTGAAGGAGATCTGCCTGCGAGAAAGGCGATATCTCAACGATCTACGTAGCATTTTCCATCAATAAATGTCCGTTGACCGACGGGTGAAGGACTGAAACTTACTTGCTTCTTGGAGGATGCATCCGAGCAGAACAGCCTAGTGCAGTACTTGTCGTAGTTCGGTTTGAGGCGCCAGTGATCGGCTGATACAGCCTTAGTGTTGACATTGAAGAGATCCCAGAAGGCGGCCGTCTCGCGGCCGTCCTCGATTTCCTCTATCCCGCCTGATAACGCGAAGTCTATCCCTATGAGCCGCGCGCAACTAAGTTCGTCGACCCCGCTGCCGTTGCCCTTCCATATAAAGCATTTTCCCGCTGCCGTTACAACGTACGGGAACCCGGAACACAAAACCGCGGGACTGAAGTCGATTTCATCAAATACGATATGTCCGCGATACCGTCTTCCGCATAACATCCGTGGGGCGAGGGAGTCATATTTATTGCTTGAACCACGTTGGACAATTACAACGCCCCCTAGAGCCTGAAGAAATTCGGGTGTCTCCTTACCCTGCTGAAGCTTGATCAATTTACCGCCCATAGCTTTTGCTTCGCGCGAAGCAAATGGCGATGCATCCCCCGCCGCCGAACAGGGTACCTCATCTCCTGTCCAAAAGTAGACTTCTGTGAATTTTTTGCCTGCCTCGCTCTTGAACGTGTGGGAGCAGATGTACATTTCACGTTCGAATAACGTTCGCTCGTGATGGCTGGGAACAGCTTGCTTCTTGCCGTCACCCGATAATTGGAAGAGCTGAGCGCTCAGAGTCTGGGTCTTCAGCTCTGGACTTGGCCGGCGTGTCAGCAACTCAACCGCATCCACGTTGTACTTTCTCCGGGGACGCTCAGGGCCGAAGAAGTCGCCGAGTAACGTCATGGCATCATAGGGTTGCTTAGTGGGCGAGCGCATAGACGGTGCCGCAGGTGGGGGTGAGGTAGACTTAGGAATAGGGAGTGGCCGCGGAACCTGTTTCGGGTCCTTCGGGGGTAAATCCTTCGGAGGCAGATCCTTCGGAGGTGGACGAGGTGATGACAGTTCTAGGCCAGCGGCCGCTGGAACAGGGGGTAAAGGTCGTCCACCGATGACGGGCGTCACGGGGTTCTTTGGCGTAGTCGAGCTTGCATTAATAGCATCAGTGAGTGGCTGTCTCACAGAAGTAGAAGAGATGGGATCTGGCAACAGCCCAGAGGGCTTATCTAATGGGGGTGACTGCGAATCAAGTTTTGATGTATTTACACTAGAAGCTTGGTCAGAGATCGGCTTTGATTTCTCCGGCGAATGTGTTCTGATCGTCTCTTTCTTTGTCTCTTTAGGCAGTTGGGGATCAATACTTTTTGCAACATTATGATTAGAATCGTCGAGGAACCGCGACATCCGCTTCACGTCAAGCTTCCTGGGAGAAGGCGGTTGCGAGGTGGCTTCTTTGATTTCGTCGGATCCCTTGGTCGGCGACCGCTCTCTCTTCTGGGCAAATACAGCCACTTGTTCGTGAATCTTGTTAGAATGGTTAGGAGCCTTGCCGAGGACCTCTTCTGGTGCGGGCTCGAACGGCTTCTTCGAAGGACCTATTAGAGAAATAGGCTGCGGTTTCGGGTTTGTCAGTTCACCATTCCCCATTTTCGAAGAATCAACTGATGCAATCACCGGAGAGTCTGACACAGAATGAATGGGTTCCACTGGCTGGATTGCTGCACCTGGGCGTCCGCTTGGGGTGATATCGGCCGGTCGTTCTTTTGGTTCATCTGTAGTCGAGGTCGACGTTGAAATGGTTACAGTGGGCGCGTTCCTCTTAGGTCCTCGAGCACGACCCTTCGTCATATGTGTCAACGTCGGGCCCGAGCTAGCTTCGTTGCCATTCCCTTCAGAAGCACTATTTGACCGTGAGCTCGATATGGAAATACCACCAGTTGAGGATGCGGGAGCAGGGCCAGGGGGCCCCCTGGCGAGTAAACCGGCGAGGGCGGGATTGAATCGATTTGCTAAAGCACTTCCCGCGAGCTTCCCCGGCAGTCGGCCAGATATATTTGCTTCTTTCTGGGCCACCGGGCTCGTTGCAGATCGGCCGGCCTCTTTTGATACGGTGACTGTTTGAGCCGAGCCTCGTCTCGGGATAGTTGGGCGGTCTGCTTTAGGCGCTCCGATTTCTAGGCTGTCGTCGCGGTTCTCGAATCGGTGTTGTGGCTTGTCAAGTGGAGAGCCCTGGGTAGAATCGCTTTTTGATGTAACAAGACTTGGTCTGCGAAGATCCGGCACAGTCGGCTCTGAAGGTGTAGTATCCCGCGATCGTCCGAGCTCGCTCCGTTTAGCCAGGGCTTCGGGAACGGGTTGCTCATCCGCGATACTGTCCTTCCGTGCAACGCCTCGGCTCTCTGGTTGCGCATGATGGAAACTCTTCCTTTTTGCTAGAATAGCCTCTTTAAATTCATCAACGCGCTCTGTTTTCTTGGGGCCGCCCGTGGTGTTAAGGGCTGATTTGCCTTTGAGAATGTTACCCTTTAACTCGTCAGGCGCAACATAATTCTGAGTTGTCGTCTTTCGGAGATTGCTGAAAACGTTTTTGAATTCGATCTCTTCCCGTGCGTTAGATGTGGGAGGGGGTTGTCTAGGTTTCAGGTTTGCTCGGAAATCCTTCTTGAGCGGCGCCTCAGGTTTTGGCTTCGTGGCAGAAACAGGCGATTCTATAGGACTGGGGCTATGGACTGTTTCTGGGTCATTGTTCTTGATACCGGGTGTGATCGGGCTTTGTATGTCTTTGAGGGGGCTAGTGTTGTCGGTGCGAATGTTGGCGCTTAGCGAGGTGCCTATAGCAGGAAGAACTACACCCAGTCCGGGCGGTTTTGTTGCGCTGACTCCAGGAGCAGAAGACCTCATCAGCCCATCGATGCTAACTTGATGTCTATGCGAAATAGTCGGCGACCTGCTCCTCTCTGCACCGGGATTGGCGGCCTTCTCCGCTTTCGCTTTCTGGATTTCGGCCATCCAAGCTGGCTGGCTAGCAGGTGCGGGAGTGGGCTTCGGCTTCGGCGATTCGGGCTTTTTCAGAGCAGATTCGAGCCAGCTAGCCTTTGTTGGGCTCCATCTCCTTGAATCCATAGTTTTTGATGGACTGATAGGGCTTGCAACGCCACCTATATCTTGCTCTTGCGGCTCTTGAGGCAATTTGATTTCGAGCTTCGGCGAGTCGCTACGTTTTTCCGTGCTAGGCAGCTCGCCCACCCGGTGTTCTTCTCGGCTCGACGGTGGCCGCGGCGAAAGGTCTATAGGGGCGTCACGGATTATGCTTCCCGGTCTCGGCCTCGTCCCGGTGCGATGTGAGACAACTGGATCCGTACGTTGAGCGCTGGGGGGAGATTGAATGCTCCATCTCTTGATGCTATCAGAGCGCTTCATCATAGCGCTCTGTACGAACCCCCCCATGCCCTTTGTTGGCGAGACTGGCCTGTCTACTTTGGACGGTGAAATCCGGCCCAGTGAAGGAGACCTAGTATGTGATCGTTCATGATCAGTCTCGGCCTCCAGCTCAGGATCGCGATTAGGAGGGTCCAGTCTTTGAGAGGTCGACAAAGATAAGGGTGAACCCAAGCCATCCGGCAGAGCAGGCGTAGTAGGTCGAGAGCTAGTATCATCCTTCAGAACCTCACCCTGCGCCGCCCCCGACATACCCGGGAGCTGAGCCGCTGGTAGCAACGACATGTCTGTCGTTTGGTTATCTTCGGCCTGGTTCCGCCTATAAGCGGCAGAACTGGCACCCCTATCCGCGGTCTGCCGAAACCAAGAAGGGTCCTTAGCAGACAAAGCTGAGGCAATTTGGTCCCTCGGGATAGACTCTATGGCAGAGCTAGGCTCAGGGGGGGTGTTTCGAGCCGCATTCTCAGCCGCAACTACGGAGAGCGGGCGACTTCGCGAACGTTCAGAGGCTTGCGAATTTGGCCGCTTTTGCCAGGACAGCCCTCTAGTTGCTCGGGTGGGAGACGTCTGGCCGGTTGTTGGCTTGTGCTCGGATTCCAGAGGCGATTCGTTCTCTTTAGAAGGTGAGGACGACCCTCCGTGGGCCCCCATATCGTCGGTTTTTAGAGAGGTATGAGAATGGGGGCTCATGGCAGGTTCGAGAATCGGGGATGAGTCTAGATTCAGACGACTGAAAGAGCCGCGGGTGTCGGTACGACGATGAGCTGATAGCGGGGGCGTATTCACCGGAGAGGATTTTTGAGGCGAGATGGACCGAGCGCGTTCTGGCGTAAACAAGGTCAGCAAGGAACCGCGAAGGATACGAACAACTAGTGAAAACAGGGCAATCAAAATAACCCGCACGCCAACAATGGCTGACGAAAAAAAAAGGCGTACCTGCGCGGCGAGCCTCCCGCTCCTTTCTCTCCCGCAATATTCTCTCCTCTAGTTCTCGAGAGCGGGCCTCGTCCTCTTCAATCCGCCGATCCCCCAATTCTTTTACCTGCATCAGGAACTTAGATACGTCTTCGGACATAGTTTATGTTTTTTTGTCGACCGGACCAACGACGAGGGGTAACGACAACGTTATTCACGATAGGCGCGGGCGAGGGTCTGCGGAAGATGCAGGGTATTTTTCCTTCTCTCTTTTTCCGTCTCTTGTGTTTTACGTCGTCTAGTCTGGGTCGGTGGGCAGAGGATTCGGCGGAAACCGGGAAACCTGTTTTGCTTTTCTAGTTGGTGGTGGGCAGCCGGTAGTTGGTGCCGGTGAATAGGGCTTAGCAGCCGATCTTGGGATGATGTACGGGGAGGATTAGATTCGTGGCCACGGACGGCAGAATGTATATGGGCAAAAGAGTCGACAAGAACGAAACACGATTGGAAAGTCTGGTCTACGAGATATCTAGAGACGAGGTAAGACAACAAGGTTCGGTGTTGAGTCAGGCCCAGGCTGGATCGGGCGAGGCACGTAGAGGCCAGACTAGGTAGTTGGGAGGGCTAGGAAGATGAGCAGGGAGAATCCAGGTGATCATAATAACAACCAAAAAGGGACGGTAACCGGACCTGTGGAGAAGCGCAAAGAAGCAGAGAGGCAGAGAGGCCAAAGACAGAGGCAGCAATTGCCCGACTTAAACCCAGAGACCGAAGTGGAACAAGCAGATGGAATAGTCAGGTGGAATAATAACAGAAGGATCCCTGCGGGTTGTTCTTCTCCTTGTGCGCGATCAAAATGACCAAATGATGCCGGGCCGCAGCCAATGACGACGCTGTTCCGGGTTATATTGGCTGGGCTACAGCCATGCACAGCTGGCTCGCAGCAGCCCTAGCTGCGACTTTATACCGCCCTGGGACTGCTTGCTTAGTAGAGGGTTAGTCTGCCAGCCCTGGCCGCCTGGCGGTGCCGTGTCTGGCGGCCGGGCAACCTGATGAAACAGGCCAGCAAAGCTTGATATTGACGGTTTAGACACCCAAAACAAGCGTGTTACCGCCTACCTGCCCTGGAGGTGCCCAGCATCACTACCTTGGGTAATCCCGTAGCAGCCATTACGCCTAACTAGAGGTCCCTGCCTGCGACCTGCCCTGACGCTGTCTCTTCAGGACCCTCACCTCTCTGCCAGCGCACCGCCACGTTAAGCATTCACCCAAGCCCTTGGACAATAGGCCAATACAACCCAACCAAGTCAAGCCGATTTCCGCCTAGCGCAGACGCTTAGACCAGGCCTGTTACAGGAAGTATCTCTGTATATTATGTACTTTTACTAAACTTTTGCCTCACCTGAGGTGCCCCAGGGGATATCCCATACTAAGTACATTCCGCAGTAAAGAACAGACGCACGTTAGATTTATGGAGGTGCCCACCTATATACCGTATCGCTCCTCGACGTCGCTTCTAGTCTCATTTCGGTTCGTAGGAGAGTGCGATGTTTCGTAGTCCAATATGCCCGATAGGCATCCCATGGTTCCTTTCCTGCTGCACGAAATACGATCTCATCCTCGGGAACCTCCTATTTTTTTTCCCCTCTCCCTTCGCCCTCGTCAATGCGTGATGCGTTGTTAATTCATAGCCTCGACATACCGGATCCGCTAGGACACAGGGGACAAGACGCATCGATTTTATGCGTTTCGGTCTCCTAGTACATGCCCGGGCCGTCTGCTTGAATTTGGCTATCTCGACTGCCTGCCCACACCCTACTTGGGCAGAAATTCGAGGTGCCCCATTCCTCTATACCACCGCACTGAGACATGCATCCCATCAAAAAACTCTTTCAAATTCAAGCTCGTGTGTATATGTTTGACCCCGCCCTCTTGAGCACGTACGGACAGGGACGGGGGGTTGGCAGAGCTCATGTTCCCTTCGTCAATACAAGAACAATCGCGCCTTCGCGTCCTCGACCACCCATGCCAAGCCTTCCTTGAGGTTCTCTCCCGTCATCGCGCTACACCGCAGGATATGCCATCGGTGCGTCCGGATCGCCTGAAGCTGCAGCCCCGAGAGGATCTCGGCCTCGTCCATGCATCCTTGCACGTCCGTCTTGTTGGCAAAGACCAGCAGGCTCGCGCCTGAAAGCCGCTATTCGTACTGTAAGTTAGCCCGCGAGAAAACCAAGCTTATCGAGTCGACCGAAATCCATGCAAAGGGACAAGCAGATAGAAAGCAAACCTCTTCCTGGAGCAGTCCGTGAAGCTCTTCCCGGCAGTCGTCGATCCTCAGCCTATCGGTGGCGTCCACGACCCATATGAGGGCATCCGTCTTCTCGAAGTAGTTACGCCAGTACGAGCGGAGGGTCTTCTGGCCGCCGACATCCCCTATTTTTCATCCAAGCCACCTCCCCAACCCACCATCAGCCTCCACTCTTTCCCATCATCACGAGCCGTCGAATCAACTCACATATATTTAATTTGTATCTGCGGTGAGGTCAGTCAACGGCTAATGGGTCTGGATCTCCCGGCCGGAGGATCCGCGAAAGCATGAGCCCACTCACCCCTCATAGTCGATGGTTTTAATGATGAACCCCAACGTCGGGCTGACTGTGTTGACATCCTCGTTCATCACCCTCTTGACGATGGTAGTTTTGCCCGCATTGTCCAGCCCTCTAGTCGTCTAGCCATTAGTCGTGGACTCCTAAAATAGCGGCGATGGTGATATGATTATGCTTACAGCATCAGGATCCGCATCTCCTTATCCTTCAACCGGGCCTTTCGGAGGATCGACAACATCCTCGGCTAGCTTCTCGGATTTACCTAGGTGCTATAGCCTTTTCCCGTGGGCATGGATACGCTGAAAAAAAGCTCCTTTTGTGTCCGGCCTAGAAACGATGTTGGCAAAAGCCAATGCATAGGGGTGTTTGACCACGGACTGAAAGCCAGTGACGGCTCGCTCTATTGGCGCCTGAACTTGTATTCGCCCGTTGCCTACTCGCAGCACGTGATGTCTCAACACACAACAATACAGACAGAAAATCAATCGTCGTCATCCTCTGCCATATACCATGTACGGTATCCTCAGGCTAGGGAGAGCCATAGGTGGGTTAGGCGCCCTCTCTACTCGTTGTCACGGACTTGCCTAACTTTCTGGTGCGTTATGTGCTTCTTTTGTATTGGTTTTAATTATTATGCCCAGAGCATGGTAGGAGGGAGGCAATGCAGATTACCTACCCAGCTTCGTCAGAGAAGACACAACAGCAAAGCAATAATCCATCTATCCAGTTCTACCTCTCCCCCCTCCCCCTCTGCTTCTCTCTCTTTTGCTCTCCCCCAATATTCACCTTTTTTTTTCTCCACCATATCTGCAGACTTCCCTTTTGGCCCCTTCGCAGGGGTCTCTGTCTTCAAGGTCAAGACTTGCATTTGCTGATGAATACTCATAGATGTCTTGCCTTACGGTCCCCCCTTCCCCCCCACATATTCGCATTTATTTACCCCCTCGGTAAACAACTGCAGGAAATGTTTCTCGTTTGGCACTATGTTTTGCCTCTAGTAATGTTTACATGCATTAATTCCCCGGGCGACGACCCCGTTATTTATACTGCCCACTACGAGCTCACGTGGTGATCGGAGATGGTTAATTGTTAGGCACACGGTATTCCCGAATTTACACGTATGTACGGATTGAAGTGTGCATCTATATTGTATGCCATAAGCCGCCACGCACCAACTATATACCTTTTTCCGGTGAGCCGCTAGAGCTGGCAGCACGATGCCGGCCCGTCCCAATCTCAACATGTTTACAACGACGTTTCATCGTGAGCATGGTGTGGATAACACAACGTCCATGACATGAAACCTTCACTATACGGGATGCTGTACACGTACAACTCCGACAACCCCACGAATGGAATCAGTCGCTCAAGCAGGGCTACCCATGAAGGGCCGATAAGTCACGCTTCGTTACCCACGGCGATAACCCATCTATTCTACTCATAGTCCTCACTTGCTGGCCTAAGCGTGCTTGAAGCCTTAGCCCAACCCATCTCAGCTGGCAGCCTTGTTTTCGATGCGAAAAAAGGTCATGCGAGACGCGGATGGGCTATGGGTTTGGACCGCCTCGTTGATCAGCCCTAGCTGTAGGTACCACTCGCGGCTAGGGCGATGACTACTCGCCGAGCCTTAGACGAGAAGATTGCCGTAGACAACTCGGGGAAGACTAGAGCGTGTGTACGATGCAGCAGTTTGCAAATGCGGTGTGGAGCGTCACAGAGAACCCTGCCTACACACATAACCGACGCGCTGTGCGAATCTAGGGACGTTTGGCCTGACCAATCGCTTTGCGCCTCACACCATACCCGGTAAGTTGATGGGTGCTATGATCCTTCTCTATACGCCTCAACCTAACCATGCACGTGGGGGGACACACGCCCCCAAGTAAGCATCTGATGGTCTTCGGGCAGCGGGTGCGTGACCGGGATATCTTTATTGATCAGACATGAGCCCTCTGAGCTCACGATGTACGCTTTACCCCTCATCCGTCCACATGGCATCGCCGGACCTGCGTACGATGCCTAGGTATCCGGTATATATATACCAGCTCCTAGTTGAGGGATATATCTTGGAGATTCGTTGATTCTCCCACCCGAATCTGGGTCGTGGATGTCTCATGTCACCAGACTAGACAACAAGATGGCCGAGAATCCAAAAGATTCAGACGTCTCCCTTGCGCCAGTATTCGATCGCTATAAGCTCCCCAGGGGCACGGCCGACAATTGCGAGGCATTTGTCAGGTTGAGGTTCTCGAAACCAGTTCAGCCAGCGCCGTCTCAAGGTTACTGTTCGTACACAGTCTATGTTGACGGCGAGGGCACCGTTGTCCAGTTTAGACCAGGAGCCCACAAACTCGATCTAGAAATCTCAGATGCCGCTTGTGACGTCTTCGGATCATTAGCTCCTGAAACGGAGTCTCTCGGAACATTAGAGGGCACGGGTCTCTACGCCTTTTCTATGAAGAAGATGCCAGGCGTGTCACTTGCAAATCTTCGCGCCGAGACCGATTTATTACAAGCAAAGCCACGGCAAGAGTTAATAATACGAGACTTTGCCCACCTGCAGGCGATGAGCTGGACTCATGCGGCGAGGAACAAGGCTACTTGGGAGAAAAGAACAGTAGGCTCGTCGCTTCGCTGGCGGTTGGAGCTCATGGCAAATGGGTTACCTTCCCGGTTCCGCAACACCGTAAAATCCATCCTTGTTGATCTCTCTGAAATCGAAGCTCTACCCTGGACGTTGAGCCACGGCGATTTCCTCCCTTCCAACATAATGGTATACCCAGATTCAGGGAGGATTTCTGGCTTGGTCGACTGGACCGAGGCCGAATTCCTCCCGTTCGGGATTGGGATGTACGGTCTACAGGAACTCCTCGGGGAGGATAGAAACGGTCACTACACCTACTATCCCGAAGCGCAATATCTCCGAGACCTGTTTTGGGACGAGCTCCTATCCAGCCTCCCAGAATTAGCCATGAATCCCAAACGCATTGCCCTCGTCCGAAAAGCTCAGACCTTAGGCGTATTACTATGGCACGGCATAGCGTTCGACGATGGCAAATTGAACCGTGCCGTTGAAGAGGGGAAGGACGACGTGGAGATCGAAAGACTGGATGCTTTTCTGTTGTCTTCCCCGAGGTCAGGGACCCGAAGATTGCACACTCTCGACCTGTCTTCTGCGTCAATTCTCTCACTCATACGTCCACGCCTATCCACAAGGGCACAGTGACCGACGCCCTGTCGGGGATTTAGTATACTTGTACACATGTGTCATTAGGGTACAGCGCCACGCAATTTGGTATCGTATTGGCCGGGGCAACAGACAAAACCGGTCTTCGTAGGGAATCAACGACCAGGATATCAATGAAATTAACTTAATAGACATATAGCTACTTCGATTATGCCGTTTCCGTTCGATGTTTACCCCCTTAATATTCCGGGGTTATGTTTCACACAAATGTCCCCAGACCTTGCGATGCCCCATTTGTTCCACCCCCGTTCGTCGCGCCGTTGGCATGGCCGTTCTGCCGGTGGCCGTTTGTCGTACCGTTTGCAGCGGCGAGGTCCTTCTGCCAGGGTAGAGGCTCTTTGGCGGGCTGCACGGGGCCGAGCTCGCCCTCGCGGCGACGCTGCCAGGTTTCGATGTCGCGGCTGTCAACGAAGTTGCCGTGAAAGCCGAGACGCAGGCGGAGGGGGAGATGTATGGTGGCGAGGGGCCCGGCAGCGAGGTTGCGCGCGTCCCAGATGACGACGTCGTTGCGCAACTCGTCGAGGTTGTTCTTCAGGGCGGCGAGATAGCCGTCGCCCTCGTCGGTGCTGCCGGCGCGCGGGATGAAGACGGGCTCCTGGAAGGTGGCAGTCGGGCCAGCGAACCAGACGTCCTCCTCGCCAACAGCCCCGCCGGCGGCCGGGTCCGAGGGGTCGTCGGCCCAGGTGTAGTGGGCCATGCAGTTGAAGAGGCCGCCGGCGGGGGGGCCGCAGCGGGCGAAGTCGTAAGGGCGAGAGGGGTCGACGCGCAGCTGCCAGAAGTGGCGGTACGGCTTGGTGACGACGCGGTCGTCGATGCGCGAGAACTCGCCACTCGTGGACCAGGACAGGTGCGGGCGCACGCGCGACCCAGACTTAGCAGCCGGGTCGAAGACCCAGCGGCACGTCGGGCTGCTGAGGCGCTGGCGCGCTGAGGCGTCGGCCGACTGCCCGTCCGGCGGGAACCAGAAGAAGACGTTGCCGTCGGCGACGGTCAGGTCGAAGACGACATGCCCCGACTCGTCCTCGTAGCAACCCGCAACATGCCCGTGGAATCCTAAGATTATCTGGTAAGAGTCTCGGATCGGACGTAGGTACATGGGTGGATAAGGCACCATCGTTGATGTGAAGGGAAGGAGGGTGCCGTTACTGACCATTGTCGGCGCGGAACCACTTGACATCCTCGGGCTTACCACCGCGGCGGGGCACAAGGCCGTAGACCTGGTCCTCGTTCGGGTCCCAGGCGAACTTGTTGCCGCCGGCCTTGAGGCGGTCGAGGGACATCTTGAGCGGGGTGAGGGGCAGGACGATCCAGTTCTTGGAGACACCGCAGTCGTGGATCATGCCGGCGAAGGGAGCCTTGAACCAGAGCTCCTCGATCTTGCGGCCGTCGGCGTCGAAGGTCCAAGTGACGACGTCGGCCTCGCAGTCAGCGCCGTCAGTGCCAGCCTCGTACGCGAAGCATATCATCTCTCCCGTGTCCGGGTCGAACTTGGGGTGGGCGGTGAAAGTGGGCGCGGTGATCTGGCCCTCGAAGTCGTAGCGCCCGATAGTCTCGAGAGTGACGGGGTCCATGGCGAACGGCGGGCCGTCCTCCTTGCTCGCGAGCAGCATGCCGCGCCAGAAGGTCACGTTTGTGTTCGACACCGTCCGTATCACACCCCGGACGCTCTCGTTGTCCGTGTACGGGTTCCGGTACCGTCCGAACAGCGCTCGCCGCGCCTCCTCTTCCTTCAGGAATTTGTCCGTCCGCACGTACCGTTGTTTGAAGTCGGCATGCCCATTGGCGATGTGGATCGCCGTGACGCTTCCTAGCGAGTTGCGTCCAGACGGCTCTTGTTAGCAAATTCCTCTTTCCGTAGCGCCGCTCCTCTCCTTCATTTCTCCTCCGCGGCAATATATAAGGAGGGCTTAAGCATCAACGTGCTTCTAGACTGTCCTACTCTAACGTACCGTCTCCATTCTAACCAGGTAGATTTATTAGTATAGGTACTTTTCCTCTTGGATCGAAAGAAGGATATCCGGAGGGATTCGAATCTAACGTACAAAATGAATATCATCCTCGAATAGAGGAGGGAATCGGTGGTCCTAAGCAGACGGTAAGCAAGACCCTTTTTCCATTTCTGGCGACTTGGCTCCTTTTTACGAGGTTGGACATCTCTTACCGGTTGCACACGGTAGAACGTGCCGTTGATGTCGGGCGGGATGACGCCTGTGACCTCGAGGTCGGTGATGTCGCCTTCGAAGCGCGACGGCTTGTTCATCCCCGAGAACGCGGCCGTATCCGGGAATTTAACCCGCGGGCCCGCCCTCTTGCCATCGCTGTACGGATATGCCGCCACATGAGGAGCGATTGCTTCGAGATGCGCCATGGTGGTCTGTCACACCCCTTTTTTTCTCACCTGGGTAAGCACTTGATAATTAGAAAAAAGCGATTGGGCTGTGTGAGGCCTCGCCGGAGGGTTTCCATGCGGGCTCTAAAACCAAGCCTCATCCGAGTTCTATACTACAGAGGGGAGACGACCTGAAACATCCCCGGCCAAGTTCTACCCACTGACTGCCGCATGGTGTGGTCGAGGAGGATGGACACCCCAAGGCGTGGAGGTGCTGACATGAACTCCGTGTAAGTCGGTAGTTCTAATACGGCATATTACTGTACGGCTCGGCCGAGAAGACATTGCCTATACAGTAGAGCTCTCGTCTATTGTTACATACTAATAGCTCCTCGGCGTTGGGGAATGTGGAGTCAGTCTGCTTATAAACCCCCTCTACCCCAGGTTCCTTAACTGCCCCCCTATCCTGCTTTAGGCTATATGTATGCGACCCAGCACTACACCTTGTCGGCCAGATCAGCCAGAACCCTGACCGCGCCCTCGCTCGTCCAGATCGACCCCGCTCCACGCCGGGTCTGCCCCTCCGGCAGTGCGAGGGTAAGTGGTGGCTCGGCCGTGCCAGCATCCTTACCAAAGTGCGGAGCACGCAGGTCGTCATCGCTAATGGTCTTGCCCGTAACCGGGTGTGGATAGTGGAAGGGCACCACGCGCGTATCAGGCCAGAGCATCTTCTGGTCGATGATCTCGTCTGGTCCCTGGGGGTCCTCGGGGTAGGTCTTGGTAGGCCACGGCACGTAGTTCTCCTTGGTCAGTGACCAGCCTTTCTCGTACTCCGCATGCCAGAAGGGAAAGTATCGATACCGGAAGAGCTTCCAGACGCCGTTCTCCTTGATGTACTCGTTCTCATAGAGGCCGCCCTCCCACCACTGGACGTGCCCTCGCGGGTGGGTTTCCTTGACGGACTGGTGAGTCCCTGCTTGCATCAACGCGCGCATCCGGCACCAGGCGTGGGTCCCAGTAGGGTCAACATCGACGATGTCCTGCATCATGATGTGGTCGAGCAGGAAACCACGGACAGGCCCGTTGCGCCCATTAACGAAGGTGTTCTGGAAGCGGCCGTTATAAAGCCTCTTGACGCCTTCCTTTCCCCGATAACGGGACCCCAGGAATTCGACGTAAGTGTCCGGGTGGTCTGCATACATATCCACGACCTAGATCCAGGCCCAGTTAGCACGGGTGGACTGACTCGGTGGTTGATGAACACCCGCCTCGTTATACAGGCACTTGTCGAGATAGTAGCCATACTTGAAGTGTGTCTTCCGCACTTCGGCTTCGTCCGACACGCGCGAGAGCTCCTTGCGGAGCTGGGAAACCTGCTCCTTCAAGTCTGCAAGATCAGCCTCCATGATATTCGGAGTTAAGATTGAGCGAGGACCGTAGTTCAGTGTCACTGGAGATCTTCGCATCCAGAGTCGCCCTCGGACTGATAAGTAGCTCAATATATAGATCAGTTGCCCTGGCCGGGGGCTTTCAAGTATCTCCTTTCGTAGACCAGCTTCGTAAGGGCTGTGTCATAGAGCTAAGCTACCAGATAGCCCCCAACTTGGCTCGGCAGATATCACCAAGTCACATAATGGCCAAAAGCAGCATCGCCTGGGTGCGGGGGGGGCGTCAACCCCGCGGGGATCTTGAGCATCTATCCGGGGTATGGGGCAGGGAGATGCTAAATGAGGTAATCAAAGTCGGAGTGGATGTAAAGCAGCGATCGAAGCGATGCTTATGGCCTCGGCTCATCGTCGGCGTCGTCTCCTCCTAGAGGGGAATTTATCGAAGTGAAAAGTTGAGAACAACTCGACGCCGCATATATACGGCCCTGCCACACATCCATACATCGGGATATATTAAATCATATACCAACCTCGGCGGAAGACCGCCACGGCTTGCTGTGGCCTCGGCGGCGTTAACATACAGAATCAGATTTGCAGTGAAACCAAGTAGAGGTAGAAGGTATATGCCTGTCGTAGGAGGTATCTCCTAGGTGTATAGGGTACCTACAGATAGGTACACGCCGTGGAGGAGGTGAGATGTACCTGCAGGTAGCTGCCTCCTAACACGCCTGCCTCTTCTAAGGATAGGGGCAGCTATACCTTTATGAAGGTAGGATATATCGTAGATAGAGGTACCTACCTACCTAGGTACCTCGAGATACCTGGATGCAGTACCTCAGGTGCTGTCGAGAAGCTACATCACAAGATCCGGCGGAAACGCTTGCCTCAGATATCATCTGAGCAAGTTGGCTAAGGCAAGATGATATCTAGCCTGCTCGCGTTTTTGTCTCTATATCCCTCCCTCTCCCAATCTCTGACATCTCTCTCCCACTCTCTCGAAGTGTAGATCCCCTTGGCTTCCTCATCCACCGCCCGCCACATCGTTATCTGAAGCCTACCTACCTACTGGTAGCTCTTTATCGAATGTCGTTTATAGTATACACATATTCGATTATATTCGCCTTACCTCCCTTGTCCTCCTTCTTGTATCTTCTCGTTTTTCCTTGCCTGCGTATCTACAACAGCAGCCAACCACAGGGACAGGATACGCCATGGAGCTAGTCAGCTTTATGCTGAGCCTCGCCGTCGTGGTTCTTCTAGTATTTCCTCTGACAGCGGAAGCCGTCGTGGACGAGTGCGATGGGATATTGGTCTCAGAGGTATTACTGTTACATCCAGCGCAACACACCCGTCTACAATTAAACTAACAGGAGCTGCCAAGTTGCTCCCGACCCTCATCGATCCCGGCCCCCTTTATCAGCACCTGCAGACCGTCCAGAGCTTCGCTCACAAAAACAATGGGACTAGAGTGGTTGGCTCTCGAGGCCATAACCTTACGATCGACGTACGTAACTCCTCGCGAGCTTTTGCCCGCCCGGGTGTTGAGGAGGTAACTGATGGTCGTCTTAGTATATCATAGGCAAACTTCGCGCCAGAGGCTATTATGTCGAGACGCAGCGTTTCAGTGGCTTGGCGCGGGTCTTCGATGCTGCCAATCTCTCCATAAACGGCCACAGTGTCCATGCCGAAGCACTAGAGTGGTCTCCTGTTTGCAATTTCACGTCCCTTCCAGTCGTGACTATGAACCGGACGGGCTGCGAACTGGTGAGCAAGATGAAGAAACTAGTGTCTACCTACCACAACGTTTAACGCTATCACCACAGGCACACTACCCCGATGAAATCAATGGTGCTATTGCACTTGTCTCTAGAGACGGATGTTCTCTATCGGAAAAGTCGAAGGCTGCTGGCGATGCCGGAGCTGCCGTCCTCTTAGTGCACGAGTCTACGCAACTAGTTCCAAGCCTCGATCGATGGGATACCAACCACATCCCATCGTTGAAAATATCGGACACAGACGTAGAACCCTTCCTAGCTTCCCACGAGAGACTGCGCGGGAACGTCATGATAAACACGAAGTATCGAAATGTGACCAGGTAAGTAGCGCCCAGCGGTGGAGTATGCCCGGCTTTAAGGCTCACTTCGAGCAGCTACAACGTGCTCGCATCCTAGGAATGTGGTGACGACGACAACACGTTGTTGATAGGCACACATACCGATTCCCCCCCTTCGAGTGCCGGCATCAACGACAATGGTAGCGGAGTGGCGAGCCTCCTAGAGGTCGCCATCCAGCTCTCCAGGTTCAGGACGAGCTCGAGGGTCAAATTCGCTTTCTGGACAGCTGCCGAATCGGGGTTGCTGGGCTCGAGGCGCTGGGTGGCGGGGACCTACCCAGAGGAACTTCGCAAGATCCGTCTCTATCTCGATATCAATATGGTGGCTTCCCCGAATGGCGTGCTTAGGATATACGACGGGAACGGCACCTTGTCCCGGCGGCCTGGGCCGTTCGGCTCGGCGGCGGCGCAGGCCACGCTAGAAGACGCGTTCAGAGCCCAACGACGAAACTTCAGCAGAACGCAGATCAACAACCGCAGCGACTACGCTCCTTTCTACGAGTCCCACATCCCCTTCGGCGGCCTGTTTAGTGGCGCCAACGGGCTCAAGACGGAGGACGAGGCGAGGTTGTTCGGAGGGCACGTCGGAACTACGTACGATGCCAACTATCGCCGGCCGGGAGACAACATCACGAATGTGAACATGACAACGCTTCTAGCGAATGCTAGGACTTTAGCGCATGCTGTCGGCATTTACGGCAAGAGCATCCAGAGCTTCCCCATTCCCGGTACCTTGCCAGTGCCCGCAGAGGGAGAAAAGGGAGCGGGGGGGTGCCATATGGAGCTTCCGACGCAATCCCTTGGTTGGGTCACGCTGGCCTGGACGGCTTGCTGGGCGTTGTCGTGGGCTCTGTAATTCGACTACCTGGGCTTCCTACGTAATATAGGAAGTGCCTATCTCTGCTGTGGTGCCGGTGGGTGGGGGTGAGTAAATAGATAGCAAGGGCGGGTAGTGTTGACTAGACTAGAATGCTTAGGCACTTTTACCTACCTATAATACGGAATGAGGAAGAAAATCCTACGTAGATGTATAGCTTCTCTTGGCACCCTAAATGCACAAGACCCCTTCCTACCGGCTCCCGCTACTGGTCATGTAGCTGAGAAGGAGAGTCTGCAGTGAAATATGTTTATCCGCCGGCTTCCCACGAAATTCGATGCACGGTCCAACCTCATAATTCAGAGGCGGTCGAGCCGGCAAGGCGAGGGCTATGCCAGCCTAACTGGCTTCCCACATATACGAGCAGATACACATACGCCGGAGCGAAAAGAAAAGGAGTAATTATTAGTGTCTGCTCTCAAAAGGGAGGGAAGAGGGCGTAGGAGTTTGGTAGGCATAAGCAGTAATGGTTAACCTGGGATAGGTACCTACCTACGTAATGTACGGGGTAAGATCATATATATCGTCACAATACTGCGTACACGTAAGGCATTATGGGCGATATGTGTTTTATTCATATTATGCAACAACGATGCATAATGCATGAGCATAAACAAAGCATAGCGTCGCCATCTCGTAACAGCCGATAAACGACTGATATGAAGCCGCGAATCCCCAACTAGCCCGACACCCTGCCCAATCCCATTCCATATGCACGCCGGCGATCTTGATCACCAAAAAATAAAATCAGATAAATAATAATAGTAGGAAAACACCACCCTGCCCCCCGTGCGAGGGCCAGCCGAAGAGCAACCATGGCGGCATCACGCCGCCGCCAGCCCGAGCTGCAAGTCCGGCTCCCCTCGACGCCCGTCAGCGCCACCTCCACCATCACCGCCGCCCTGCCCGACCTGCCACCCATATACGCCCTGTTCCTCATCGACTTCGACGTCAAGGCCGGCTACACCATCTCCTGGAAGGCCTCGCGGCCCGGCGTCGAGCTCGAGGGCGTCGTCGAGTACAAGTCCCTCCCCTCGGGCCTGCACACCGTGTCCCACGACCTCATCTACTTCGTGCATGATGGCTTCGCCGGCCTTAGCGCCTTCGTCAACGCCCCCGTCGAAGACACCGAAGCTCGCAACGCCCGTATGCTGGCCGTCGGCGTCCTGGTGCCCCTGAGCTACGGCCGCCTGGGCAGAGCCTGGAGACACGCCGAAGCGTTGAAGGCGATGGCCTCGTACGTTCTACCTGCCTCCTACCTCCCCTCTTCTCTCCGACGCACCATGGCTAACACCGGCTATGAAGAGCACTTGCCGCGGATAGCAAGGACACCACCGTGCTGGAGCAGTATTGGCAGAAGAACCAGTTCCGCGAAGAGGCTGTTGACGAGGGATCCGCCGCCCCGGACGAGCCCGTCGACTCGCCGTCGATACATTTCCGCACCCATTCGAAGCCGTTCCGAGCCCACACTAGGAGTCGTTCGGCTTCTGACGGGACGGCTTTGCTGCCACCCGGCCATAGATTATCGCCCTTCCATCCGGCTTGGAGCTTGACCAAACTCCTAGATACGTTCGGTCCCCTCATATTTCCCATACATCGCGCCGCCTTATTACGGAAGCGTATCCTCATATCGTGTCACGCCCCGGTCCAAGAAGCTTGCAACTTTGGTTGGTCTAACTCTTTTTGTAGCTACACTCGCCGTACCGTCTGGCTAATCATGAGGCGCAGTCTACAATATATCTATTCTCTCCAACATTCCGCAGCCGACATTCGACCTCCTATCGCCTACCTCCCCCCCACACCGCTTACGACCCCTATTCTGCATCGGCGTCCACGACATCCCCTCCCTTATCGAGGACGCCAAGCCCGCACCGCGAAATCGCGATAACCCGTTGGAACACGATCGTGAGGCGGGGACAGGATGGGTCGCCTGCACAACCGACAGTATCCTCGCCAATAAGGACACGCTATGGGACCTGGTCATAGTCATGCCGCCACCCCACGCTTCGAAAGCGAAACACCACGTCTGGCCCCATGTGGAGAAGCCGAAGGGCGTGCAAGTCAAGGCTTCTCAGCGAGACCTTCGCCGATTCCATTCGCTCCAGGCCGGACTTGCCCGTCTACAAGCCAGCGCCAACAGTTCGGGTACGTCACCCACCACACCCCGGACGTCGGTGCCCCAGGACACTAGGGACGCCTTTTTCGACGAAGACGCGGAAGGGATCATCGAACCCCTCAGCTGGGCCGCCCTCGCCTACAACGGGTTCATGTGGTGGGCGTCGGCTGGCGAGCAGGCGCGCTCCGACCAGGCCGACGAATCGGCCCACGACGCCGCCCTCCTCGCCGACCTATCCTCGTCGCCCGCCGGCATGAACATGTCCCACTCGGTCGACCTCACGACGTCCATCGCCTCGCTCACACCGCGGTTTCCCCCTTCTTCCTCGGCGGGGGCGGGGTCGGGGCCCCCCCTCGACCCGGACGAGGCGCGCACCGAGCTCGCCATCATCGCCTACTTCCACCGGCTAACGACGCAGATCCTCGGCGTCCTCGGGGATGTGGTCGAGAGCGAAGACGAGGACGAGGACGAAGAAGAGTATGACGACGACGAAGGTGAGGGCGAGGAAGGCGAGGGCGGCCACGCCGCACTGCTAGGCGCCGGACGCCGCAGGGCCTCGGAAGGCGGAAGCGGCGGGGTCAGGGTCGACAGCGAGGCCGTGACGCGCATGGGGCTCGACGTGTGGAGCGCGGCCGACGCCGAGTTCATCCAGGCGCTCGCGGCGGCCTATTTCGACCGCCGGGCGTACATCGAGGGTAAGGGTGTCGAGGTGTGCGGGGTCCGGGTGTGCTGATACTGCCCCAACTTTACCTTGCCTGCTTACCTGCGAGGGCAGACCAGCAGGGATAAGAAGATCGGGAAAAGAGAGGAAAATACTTGAGACTAATTCGCGGGATGCAAGACCGCAGTATAAGGGGTGAGCTACTCGGAACGGGGGGGGGAGGTGGTTTACCCGAATTATTACTTCTTACTATTATTGTTGGTGGTCTTGCTATACGATAGCCGCGGCCACATACTACGACGACTAGTACACTCCCCAGTTGTCCAGTTGGGCGACCGCCGTATCGCCTCTTGACGAGATGACGCGAGAGAGGGAGAGAAGAGAGGGATACGCAAGAAAGAAAGAAAGCAGGCAGGGATGGGGTGTAAGTTAAACCCGGCGAGAGAGAACGAATGACGTGCGAGCGGGAGAGAGATCTTGAATAGGGGATGACGATGCGGGGAGAGGGGATGGCAAGGGGGGGGAGAGGACTAATGGCTCGGACAGTGCGCGCGTGTACTTGTAGAAGGGACGGGAGAAGTATACGGGGAACGTGAATATACACACCGAGTTGCTGCGATGCCCGGCTCGCCGTGTAGATTCTCTACCTTGGCCGCTCATTGCAAATGTCTCTATGGGAAGTATACGGCGCTATCAACAGGCTGGGTTAGGTTAACCCTGAAGAATAAGGATGCTGTGGTCGTAAAATCAGAGGTGGCCGGTGGCGGGAGGCTAAGTGAGGAAGTGCAGATGGGGGCTTTTCGCACATCTGAACGCTATCGCGATCTACCTTTGCGTCTCTCCTTGTCATGCGGCTATGCTCGTACAGACACGAGGTTTGTATTTATTACCAGTGTACCGTCGGCGTTTTGAATTTTCTCCGGTAGCTACTTGCAACAAAAAAAAAAGGAGCTTCCTTTCGTCCAATCGGTATACATCTCCTTTTGCAACGCCTTGACGCCGATTCCCCCGTGCTACCGCTGCCGCTGCCGCTGCCGCTGCCGCTGCTCGTCGCTATCATCAAGGCAGCTGTCGTAGTGATATTTGCACATGCTTACCTATTTCTATCTCTCTCTTTCCGCGGCCGACTTCCAACCTATACACATACATAGACTACCTATTACATCAAACCTTAGACGGCAAGAGGGCTCCATCGAAGGTCGAGAGAGAGAGACGACGTAGACCATTACGCTATCGATAGATAAGGCGACACCGTAGCCGCCGAAGCTACCATATAGAAAGGATGTCGCAGTGAAGCCTCGACCCTCGCGTGGCCCCCCTCGACGTAGTCCCCATACAGAATACAAGACGCGTACGAGCCAGGGGGCCTGTTTATGACTCAGGCTCGGTATCGGTGTTGGTCTCGCTCGTGTCGTCTTCCTCTTCATCAGTACCGCTCTCGTCGTCATCCGAGTCCTGCTTCTTTGGCTTCGTCGTGCCAGAAGTGCTGCCTCCTTTCAGAGCATGCATCTGGCCGGCGAGTGAATCTATGCAGCGATGTCAGCGTAACTCAACTTTGAGAGGCACCTTTTGAGAGGGGCGACGGGGAGGGTGGGGGAGGGGGAGGTGATATTACCTTCCTCGGGCTCGCTTATTTCGTCCTCCGCAGCCATGGCAGCAGCCTTGCTAGCATCCTCGACGTCAAGAGTAACTTCCATCTTGGTATCAAAGCCGACATAGCTGTCGCACACGACGTGCATGACGAAAGTATAGGTTCCCGCCTGGGGCGGAGCAGCAAACTGCGCCCTCAGGGTTTGCATATTGAAAGTCGGCTTTCCATCGTCTCGAAATATGGGCTTGTCAAACGTGGTAAACCCGAAGGGAGGCACTGCCATCTTGCCCTGCTTGCTGTCCGAGAGGAATATATGCCATTGCGGTGAGTGGTCGCGCGAGTAGAAGGGGGCAAACGTGATGGGTGGCGACACGCGCTTGGTCTCCGCCGCAACCACCTTGCCATCTGCGTCCTTGGTCTTCTTGCGTCCCATAATCGCGTCCAGGTCATCTTCGGCAGGGTCGATATCCTCCAGATCTAGCTCGTTGACCTCCGGAATGTTTTCGCTACCAGGAGGGATGAATCGGCCCTTCACAACCAGGGTAACTAGCGATGATGGGATAATGAAGCGTTCGCCAGTGACCTTAAAGAACGCCTTGGCGACTCGAAAATACGGAAGCTGCTTGGAAATACCCAAGGCCGTCTTGTACTGCTCTTCGCTCAGAAGGCCCTTACCAACAACAGTACTACGGCGCTCCGCATCAGGCAAATCCATGAATTCTTGCACAGTAAGATGTGTTTTCGAATCACCCTCGATAGCCTTCACCACAGCGGGCGTGAAGTAGGGCAGCTGGAAGAGCGGGGAGGCCTTGGGCGGTACAGCTTGGATGAGTCGTTGGCTGATATAATACGAGGCCAGAATAGGGCCCGTGTTAGCGTATGCGAGCGAGATAGCCCGGAAAGAGCCACAGAGAGCTTGCGCGATGGGCGCAACTAGGTACTTGGCGCTATTCAAAGCTTGGTCGTCGAGCTCTACACGGCCGAGGTAGGCCCAGAGAAGAGCCAGGACCTTTCTCCTCACGCCGCCCTCAAGGTCCTCAAGCTTCTCCTTATCTTTTATTGATAGACCACCAGCAAATTGGGTTACCTGGCCCTCCGCTAGGATTCTCGACTCGATTTTCGCGAGACCGGACTCGGCCTTATCGCCTTTTAGGGAGTCGTGGAATTCCTTGCCGGCGCTCAGAGCGGTCACGAGGGCACCTTCGTCAATCGTCTCTGAGTACTCGCGGAAAAGGTTATTGGCGCTCTCGACCAGCACGCCCTCCTTAGTAATCCGCTGGGTACCGTACCACCACGACCCGACGTAGTAAGGCAGAAGGACGCCGAGGAGCAACGCATAGATAAGTACGACGTACTTGCCGTTTCCTTGCGATACGATGAATTGAGGAAGGGCGATGCTGATGCTGAGGCTCTGCTTGCCGTCAGGGTGGCCGTACTGGATGTAGTTGTTGCGAACCTCCTCGTCCGTCAGCGCCTGGTATGCCTTGGTGAACTCCACCCATTTGTCGTTCAGCGACTCGATAGTCTCGTTCTTGGCGGGATCGGGCTTGATCTTGTCGGGGTGGAATAGACGACCGAGTTTCTTGAAGTGAGATTTGATCTGTTTTTCGGATGCCGACTGCCCATCGCGTTAGCGAGCCCATTACGCAAGACGCCGACGCCACGGAGATCAGTCATACTTCGGAAATGCCAAGGATGTCGTAGGGGTTCCATAGCTTCGTGACGGTACGCTGGCTCGTCACGATGAGATACATCATGCCCGCCATCAGCGCCCACCCTAACACGACGAAGATGCCTCGCTTGATCTTGCGCAGCTTTCGCTTCTGCGCGGCGCGCTGCGCCTGTACGAGATCGGCATGTTCGGGTTCGTATGAACTCTTGATCCGCGGCGCGAGAGCGGTGGCGTCCTTGGTCGGCGCGAGGAGGCTGTAGGTGAGAGGGAGAGTGACGATGGTAGACAAGGTGAAGATGAAGAAAGGGTAGAACTGGCCCTGTTCGTCGTAGGAATACTCCGAACTCATGGTGCCGACGGGCCCTGTAACAGGGTCTCTCAATTAAGCGTGTAAACGAACCCAGTCAGCGGCGAGTATGTCTGAGGGTCTCCCGGCGGCGTCGGTGTGATTGTTGTTGTGGTTGGGGCCAGGAAAGAAGAAATAATGAGAGTCGGTGGTGCTGGCGTTAGACCAGAATTATTGCTGGCTCAGGTTAAATTTAGATACCAGAAGGTTGAACAAGCTGTCCAGAGAATTGAGAAGTCTATGCCGCCCGGCCCGTTACGGCCCGTCACAGTCCGCCGGCGTCTGCTGGTCCCGTCTTGAATCGTGGCCTTCCCGGCCTCGAATTTCATCGCTACGTACCCGTGTGGGTCCTGGTGGCGCCTGGGTTTATCGATAAGCCCATCGTGGGGCACCACATGAATTACGTGTACTCATAGGTAGGTATATCAAGTACTCATATACTGAGTACGGATGTAGGTACCGGAAATAGGATGTGACAAGCCGAGGGCCCTCAAATATATGCCAGAATACTACCTAGGCACCTAGGTGCTGTATAGTGATACCTACAATTATGCCGGGATGCATGCGATAAGCCCGTGGCCAGGGCCACGATGGGGGCGGGGACCCTGAAAGTTACGATACTTAAACTTATAAAAAGGAGTCTTTTATCCATGAAAATAGGTGGCAGCACCGGCTAAAACTCGCCAAAGGTAAGTAGGGGTAGGTAGTTTATTTCTACTCTATACATATGCCGTTCTTCGCTTATCCTTGCTCAGAGGAAGTAACATGAACTCCGTCATTCCCACCGGCATGTCCTTTCAACTTCCCACAAACGGCATCAGCGTGCCAACCTTATTCTTATAATTAAGGTAATCGTCCCCGAAGAAACGAACAAGCAACGCCTCCTCGTGCCGTACTCTCTTGGAGAAGAACTGCCACAACACGATAGCATAACCTACGAAGCAGAACGGGTTCCCCAGAACCATTTGCGTCCCTATCCCCCAGTAGAAGAATCCAAAGTATGCCGGGTGCCGCAGGAACGAATACAGGCCTGTGGTAACCAGGGCGTGGGTGTCCTTCTTGTAGTGCTGGACAGTGTGGTTGAAGGACTGGCCGGCCTGCACCATGGCTGCGCTGCGGACGAACTGTCCGACAATGACCATAAGAAAACCCAATACCAAGATGAATTGGTCGCTGTAAAAAGGCGCCCACGACCGATTCGGAAATAGGAGGTTGGTCAGGAGACACTCCACCGACGCCAACACATGGGCGATCGCATACGCCGGCCAGTTCGCAGTCAGGAGAAACGAGCCAATGTTCGCGACGGGGGTATTGTACTTGGCAGTAGTCCAGAACTCGAGGAAGTGGAAGGTGGACAGGGCGCCGATGAAGAAAGGGAGACGCCACAGCGGAGAGGAAGTTAAGACAAGAGTCAGGACCATTGCCGTCCCGGAGAAGGTGAGCGCCACGCCGAGACAGAAGGAACGGATGGCGATGCCCTCGAGAGACTTGGGCTGGCCGGGGTAGTACGCCCTGTCGGGCGGCGAGTGGGTGCTTTGCGCGACGGGACTAAGAAGCGGAAGTAGATGATCAGTACGTCTGTTGCTCATCCGGGTGTTGATCGACGCCAGTTTGGCCAGGGAGCGACGGCGACTAAAGCCCGTCGCCCACGACACCTCCTCTTCGTCATTCTCCTGAACGGGGTCGAGAGAGGCGTCGAAGCCAGGCGAGACGGCTGTCGGCGTCGGCGTCGGCGTCAACGGCGACGCGGGTTCCGATGGTATGGATAAACGGACGGAGGGCATCGCCGCGCGTCGTAAATCAAACTCCAACTTTATGCAACAGGCCGGGAGCTATGCGCGTGCTGTCGTGGAGGATCGCGACATATACGTACGTCTCCCGCGTCGTGTTTGTTTCCGACGCAGGCAGGACGAGAGACCAAAGAAACAAACGGGAACCTGGCTTACCTATCCGGCGGTGACTCCATCGTGATACCAAGACGGCGCGGCCTTTGTGTTAATGAATATACCCCTCCGCTTGCTGTCAAGGACAAAGACGAATCGGTCGGGCCATCCAGCCCATGCCCTACAAATATCTCGTGGTTGGCGCAGGTCTGTGTCTCTTTTCTTTGGCTTCACGTCGCGGGTTTCAACGGCACCCAATACCCTTGTTAGACCCTTGTTAGCCTGGAAGCTCGGGGCGCCCAGAGCGGTAATGAGCGGCGCTCCATGCGGTGAAAGACCGCCACAAAATTCTGCCAGTCGAACCCTCACACCGCAGACGAAAACGGCATAGTACACTATACCTAGGTAGTCTTAGGCATAAGCTACCCTCATGTTCTCGATATGCCAATATAATATGACGTAGGTACTTAGGTAGAATAACGTACAACCTGTTATATATACCAACACCAACCCCCGAAATCTTCTAGGTTGGCGAATTCAAAGCCTGCACGGACTAATAGTAGACAGCTGCATGTTCCAAGTGTGTACTAATATCTATTATCTTCGACGTCTAGACACAAAGTCGAGTCTACGATAGTTGCGCTTAGGAGTGGTGAGAGCACATCGAAAAGGCAATTAACATCACACAATACGTCGTAAGTACGTTTCCCTACAGAGGTATTCATAGCCTTACGTAGTTAGGTAATTACAATTAATGTTATTCATTTACGTATTGCCTCTATAATGGAAACAGCCCAAGCTGCTATGGAGAATCCTACACTCGCTAGAGTGGGTTTACCATACAAATAGCACCTCTAGTTGCCCCTTAAACGCCCATGACAAGGCAAAGGCAACTTGGCCACCTCAGTTGGACGGCCCAATCCCTAGGGAGGGCCTACGCGTCATTGCACGCACCATAGTTCTAGCCTACAGCCTCCTAACATCAGTAACAGACCCTGAATATATGTTTGAGGATAACACTCACGTCTATTCTACTGGTAACACGTTTTCGGTTGTCGCACTTCGCCATGCTAGCCGGAGAGACCGGGCCAATCCAAAGGTAGATGCTACTGGGGCCCAACGGCAGCTCAGCTCATAAGCCGCCCTGAATCGTGAAAGACGAGACGATCAAGACAAGGACATTGATCCACCCCCATATAAACGGTATCCACGTCGGCATCTGGTAGCATCCAGAGATATACACAGCACCGAGCCTAGGAATAACGCAATATTAGCCACCGGGATACGACTCGAACAACGAGGGTCTTCGTACACTAGCCCGACGATGCTCCCGGTGAACAGAGCCTCCACGCCCGCGACAACGGCGTATATGATGGGGACGGCTAGCAGGTACTTCCATACCGATCGTGGCTTTCCAATCTGCATAAATAGGATGATTCCCGTGACGCCGAGGTGGAAGACGGCGTAGAGGATGAGGGTCCAGAGAAGCGTGTACCGCCACGAGTCGCCAACCGTGTATAAGGCGCAGTAGCTGTCTTGTTGAGGCCAGCAGAGGGAGGGAAAGGGCGGAGTGTGGTAGCCGTCGGGGGGGTAGTTTTGGCAGTCGGATCTGGATGCGCGACAAGGTTAGCCGCTGGGTTGTCGTTCTCGATCCCCCGGGCAACACACAGGAATTGGCTTACGGTTTTGAGGCCATCTGGCCGCTCGAGCTGCCCCTAAGAGCTCAGCAGCACATCCGCAGTTTGCTCTGTAGTCTGTCTTCTCAATCGGGGATATATAGAGGCGGCCGAGCCAGTGGAACCGAACGAAGGTTGCGAAGCTGCGAAGCCGACGGATATGACAATCAAAGCTCGGCGATGCCGATAATGTACCTACCACAGACGGTATGTACCTAGGTAGCGTACATTGAAATACTGTCCGTCACGTAATCACGTGCCACATCCACCAAGCCTACCTTAGTCTCACATAAAGCATAAAAAACAATAATTTATAATTTAAATGTTTTATTTAAATAAGTTAAAAAGTTAGAAAGCGAATATTGAATTAATATATATTTATTAAATTAACTAATATTTTAAGCTTCTTAAAGTAGAGTTAAAAGTAGTATATAATTAACATTATATATTTTTATTAATATATAAAATGTAAAACCGCAGTGTATTTTTATTAAAATTCATTTGTATTTTTAGTGAAATATAGAGTTTTAGCTATTTAAGGTTGTCTAGATTAGAGAAGGTTATATAGTTTTAATTAACTATTTAAAACTCGAGATCTTTCATTCTCAATCCAGCTTACCGCCTATTATGCCAACTCTTCAGCCTCTCATTTGATTTCTTGATATTAGAACCGCTCCCTCAAAAGCAATGTCAAGTCGTTTAAAGGACAGGATGCGGCAAGATCGCAGACAGGCGCTCTTTGGCAACTCTCCCCCGCCCCCGCGACAGCCTGCCCCCTACCCCGAAGGCGAGATCATATATCGCTGTAATGATCGTTATATCGTGCGGCACGGTGATAGCATCACTAAATACACGACAAACCCCGACGGAATGGGCGCCAACGACCATCCGAATGAGGAGCTGGCGCTACGCTTTGTGAAAGCGCACACCACAATCCCAGTGCCCGAGGTCATCAGCAGCGACTGGGACCGCATCACCATGGAATACGTTGAGGGCCAGACGCTGCAGCAGGCGTGGCCGATGCTGACCCCCGACCAGCGCTCCGACATCCTGGCCCAGCTCAGCGATTACATAGCGCAGATGCGTGCCCTGGGCGGCATCTACCTTGGCCGTCTTGACGGTCAAGGCGTGGTGGTGCCGTGTATCATGACGCGTTCGGGTGGACCATTCGGCACCCTGGTCGAGTTGCATGACTGGCTTGTTCAGCCGCCGAAGCGGTTGCAGATCCAGTCCATGTACTGGCACCAAATCACAGCCCAGCTTAGCACTGAGTATCCAATCGTGTTCACGCATGGCGATATTGCCTCACGAAATATCATAGTGCGTGATGGACGCATCGTTGCCCTTTTGGATTGGGAGTTCGCAGGGTGGTACCCAGAGTACTGGGAATATGTATTTGCGCTGCGGGGGATGGATAATGTTGACTGGGAGACACTAGGCCGCTATCTTCCCTCTCTTTTTACCAAGCGCTACGATCTAGAATACATCCTCATGAGACTCATCCTCACTCTCTACTAGTAACAAAAACTAAACCAGCCAACAGCCCCTTTAAGTAAACTGATTTGTCAGTTTCTTCTCTACGAAGTTGTACTATTTCTACGTTTAGAATCCGTTAGATACAAGCTCTTAGAGGCCCTCAAGCGTAAAGTTTTAGCAGTTCTAATCACTTATCTTACTCTCAACAGTAGCCCATATGATGTTTACTAATATCATCTCCTAGCCTCTATCTACGTGCATAGCCTCGACATTATCGTAAAATAATTAATATTTATAAACTAATTCATTTATAAATATAGCTAACTCTTCGTAAGCTTTTATTATTACTTCATTATATATAGGCTATATTATATAAGCTTTAGTTTTTAAATAATATAAAGTAAATATAATATAATATTTATAGTAAACGTAAAGCTGTTTATAAATAAATATATATATTATAATATAAATTATATTTATATTACGTAGTATTTTTCTTTTTCTTTTATATCTCAACTTAGTTTAATATAAATATCTTGTTTTCTCTTATTATGTATATGTAAATATACTTCGTGCATACACACTTCCATAAGATGCAAGTAGGAATTATGTTAGGTAATGCGAGGGGTGGTGGAAAGGCTCCCGCATCCCGCGTCACCAATACAGGGGCTCAATTCGTCCAGTGAGCGAAAAGCCGCGCCGCCCGTGGCCTCCCGCTGTTTTGTGCCTGTGCTCTGTGCCTCGGCTGAGCTCTGCACGGCGCATTGCGTGTATAGGTGCACATTATCATTTATACGTGATCCATCATATCCACTCGCGATGCCGCGGCCGTCGTATAGTTAGTTGTCTCCTCATACCGCCTTGCTAAGAAGCAGATCACTTGTGCCCAACCTGCTACCTCACTCTCTTGCCTGCTCGTCCCTCCCGTTCTCAGCATTCAACGTCGAATCCCGTGCCTCCAGTCCCCGTACGCCTCGGCGCGCGCTGAGCAACGTCAATCCGGCAGATGACGTGAAGTTCGCCCGCGCCCCAGTGTCCAAGTGCACTATAAAATTCACAAGAGAGAGAAAAGATCCAGAATGCCGGCCGACCGATTGCTGGCCACGGCCCTGCGGGCCTACCAAGATGCTCCCAACCCGGCCGAGACCGACAAGATCCTCGCGACGACTACTACGCTCCTAACCAACCTCAACAATCCCCTCAACCTCTCGCTTCTCACGTCGCACTTCCTCACTGCGCGTGCGATATGGCAGTCCCCAGACGGTCTACGCACCTGTCTGCGTATCATGAGCATATACAACACCGCCGCGATCCACGTGCGGAAGAACGAGCTGGACAACGTGAACCTGTCTTGGGGGCAGACCCCGACCGGCAGCGGCGTCCGCAGTGCTGACTGGGTGCATGCCATTGCCAAGGGTACCGATGACAGATCCAGTCGATGGCAGCACGTGTTGGTGTTAACCGGTATCTTGATGGGCATGGAAGGCGATGACAAGCGATCGTTATCCCGCAGTTTACGGTCCACTCTCGAGAACGCCGTCGTCACCGCCGCAAATCTCGCGCTCGGAGATCACGTGCAGACGAATATCCTAGGCCGCGATGCCGTCGTCTTAGCACTGACCTACGCGTTCCCCCTCTTGTCGGAATCCGTCAGGCTGAAGGTCAACGGCGACGCCCTCCTCCCGGCTGCCATTGGCGCCATGCTCGGCGCCGAGGGCTTCCAGGAGGGAGATTTCATCCCACCTATCGCTAGGGACGTTACGAGGTGGCAGAAGCTCCAATGGAATCCCAACTCACCGTCCGCCGTCAGGCTCCAGAGGCTCGAATCTCGGCCTCTGGCACAGAACATGGGCCCTCTATCACGGCTCGCGTCGTTTGCTGTCCAGCATGCTGCGGACACCAGAATCGTCCTCCAGGCCCAAGACGATCTGCTTGCTTTCACGCGGGCACTTCTGGAGAAGTGGTCTCGTTGCCAACTTTCCACCGTTGACCTCTCCGTCGAGGCCATCGTCCTGGCACCCGACTTAGTCCTAGGTCCATATCATATTGTATGGCAGCTGCTGAAGAAGATAATGTACACCGTGGTCGCTATACTCCAACCCGTCGTCGGACGGTGTCTACTAGATATTCGCATGAACAACCACGTCGTAGCTCCGACCGTGGCCTCTAAGACTCTCCACGCCCTACGTAACCTATCCTTCATCTCCACACGCCAGGGAGCTGGTTCGTTCCAGGTGTATACCTTTACTTACCTCACCTCCCTCGACATCATCACGCGCTATCCGGACGCCTGCGCCTCTTTCCTCGAAGACACGCAGCCTCCGCCGCCGCAGACGAGCACGGTCCCGTCTCCCGTCGTCCAAGCCCTCACCCTCTTCTACCTCAACACGGCCGAGCACCTCCCGCTGTCGCTCCCGACGCCCGTCTGCGAGCGCCTTATCATCGCGCCGGCGTCCGCCTTCCTGTCGCCGACATCGTCCTGGCTCACGAGCCCGGCCAACAGCCCGCCGTCGGCGCTGACGCTCGAGCTGTTCGAGGCGGCGCACTCGGCCACGCTCGCGACGCTCTCGTGCCCCCAGCACAGCGTCGTCGCCGCCGCGCTCGTGCCCTTCTACGTCGACACCCTGCTCTCCGCCTTCCCCGCGCGCATCACCCCGCGCCAGTTCCGCCTCGCCTTCCGCACCGTCCTGCAGATCGCCGCCCCGCCCTACCCGCTCTCGGCCACGCACCCGGAGCTCGCCGAGACCCTGCTCGAGATGCTGCGGTTCCGCGCGTCGGCCGAGGGCGGGGCGTCGACGCAGCCGCTAGTACACCCGCAGCTGCTGCAGGCCCCGGCGCCCGGACCCGAGGCAGAGGCGGCGGCGGCGACGGGAGGCCCCGTCTCGGAGCAGACGGCGCTAGTGCTAGCGCTGACCGACGCGCTCCCGTACCTGCCGGCGGCGGCGCTGGAGGAGTGGCTGACGCGGGCGGCGGAGGCGGCAACGGGGATCGCGGACCCGCGCATGCGCGACGCGGCGCGGCGGCGGCTCTGGGAGGTGCTGGCGGGCGGGGAGATGGACGTGGAGCGGGCGGCGGTCGGGGTGGCGTGGTGGGGCACGCGCGGCGGCCGCGAGATGGTGATGCTGGGGCGCCCCCGGCGCGACGACTTCCTCATGAGCGGGGCGCTGGCCGGGCGGGAGAGAGAGGAGGCGAACGGCGGAAGGTTGCGGTTGTGAACGGGGACAGGAGACGAGGGCGGGGAGTAAGAAAGGAAGGGATGAAGGAAGGAAGGGGGAGGTGCTAACGTGTCTAAGGAAGAAGAAAGGGGGGGGGGGGGGGGGGGGGAGAAGGGTAGAGCGAGCGGCCGGGCATGGGGACGACGAGGGGGATCGGATACGCGGGACGACGACGACGGGCATACTCGTACTAAGAGTAAATCATTCTACAGAGAAGCGCAGTAGTGCACGGTTGGTTAGTTGCCTGGCTGCGGAGCGTGCACGAGAGGACGATATATACTATACTATACTGTACTGTACAGATAGAGAGAAGGGGGGAGAGGAGAGGAAAGGAAAGATTACGCTTACATGTATAGACGTGTGTATGTACGCGGCTACATGAGAGAGAGAAGAGGGGGGTAAAGGGGGCTGCATGTTTCGTTTGTGTAATTCGATTAGGACGCATGCATATATATCACATATACGCCTAGAGGTATACATAGTCTAGTCTACTATTACAGCACTCTTTCGGTTTTCTACCTGGGTAGTGGTGTGTTGAATTAAGGAGGAATGGGTTCCCCCATTACGTACGGCCAAGGACCGGGGGGTTCGATGTTGAGCCCAGAGGCCGAGTGGTAATAACTCGATACCTATACTCCGGGTTGTTCTGAGCCAACCTCAAGTTCTTGCTATGGGAGGTTTGACGTACGCGGATGTGTAGCCCACCTAGTTGTAGATCCGATCAAGTCTCTTGTCTCTCGGGCGTCCTAGTAATCTATCGACCACCCCAAGCACACCGCAATTGACGAGTCTAAGTATTTTTTTTGGTTTCCTACCTACCTATACCTGCCTGCCTGCCTGCCTTGCCCTGCCCTGCCCTGCCCTGCCCTGCCCTGCCTATCCGCCTGGCTGCCTAGAGTCGGCGAGCCACCTTGTCCTGATCGTGATACCATACGTGGAGGAGCCCCACCTCCTAAACGCCGAGCGCGATGCTGCTGCTGATGCTGATTGATGAAAACGTATGTACATACGTAGTCAGGGTCCTCAACTCGGAGAGAAAGCAAAGGGTAAGGAAAGCAGATTTATGAACTCCGTTGGTTCCATTTCCTCCTAATAGACGGATCACTATTATTACCTACAGAGAAAAAAAGATCGGGACCACCACTTCTATAGTGTTAATGTGCGTGTGCCGTGAACGCGTTGCTCAGGCCAAGTAACATCATGCCTAAGAACGCGAACAGGATGCTCAAGTTCTGGCTGTGATTCAGGCTCAGGCTCTCGACGAAGAGCTGCAGGGCCACGCTTACCATTATGCCCGCCGTGGCGGCGAATAGACACCCATACGCGACGGAGTCGGGCGTAATGTTGCTATGCTGGGCCAGCTTGAACCACAGGACGGCCACGCCGGCACCCAAAGGTTGGCTCAAGCCGCCGAGGACAGACGACCATAGCATCGCGCGGAACCTACTATGTAGTGCCATGTACAAGGGGAGTGCAAGGGCGAACCCCTCGGTGATGTTGTGGACGAAGAGCGCGAGGAAGACGTTGAAACCGAGCGACGGGTTTGCGTGGTTTGTGGCATAGGTGATGAAGCCTTCGGGGAATTTATGCAACGTAATAGCTATGGAGGTCTGGAGGCCGAGGGATAGGAAAGCGTTTTCGGCGACGTGGTGGTGGTGTTGGGCCTCGACGTCCTCTGAAACCTCAGAGGCGCATTGATCGTGATGACCGTGTTGGTGCTGGTCATTGTGAGAGTGAGAATGGCTAGTTTGGTGTGCAGGACTCGACGCTAACAAATTGCCGTGGGCACCTCCGGCCTCTTCCACTCGATCTGTGCCGGCAACCGCAGGCTCCGAGGGGTCTGTACAAATCAAGCTCGCAGAAGTTCGAGATGTTAACTCAGATCGGCTAGCAAGATGTTTGAAGCATTCCTGTCCACACGGATCCGAGTATCCGAAGCAGTGGTCCGCCTGGTCGCAGTCCGGCTTAGTATCTTTAACAAAGGACAGAACTCTATTCTGCATCATCGAGGGCTGCCTCTCCAGTCTCGCGACCTGGCTATGCGAGCCTCGCGAGATAGGAGCAGCAGGCGAGTGTTCGGGATGAGCGATATCTGCTTCATCATGTGTCTGCGTGCGGGAGACGTGGGTCAATGTCTCGGAGTTTGAGAGTAACGGCGTGGTTTCGTCGGCATGTCCGTTCTCAGCCGCCTGCGGCTTTGCGTTTTCGAAGGAGGCATAGACGGAAGATTGCCGTTTGTCAATACTTCGTGCATGGGATGACTGCTTGCGACTATATCCGTTTGAGTGAGGGCGGGTATCTAACGCATGCTCGCCGTGGCTATGGTCGCAGTCGACAACGTGTGAGGGTAGAAATTGATGGAAAAATCTGGAGAGTATCTGAATGCCCACAAAGCCCCCGACGAAGCATGCCATCAAGATGAAGCCCGCTGGCTGGTCAGGGACATCCCCCTTTTTGAGGTAGTCCCTGGCTTCGGGGAGCATGCTATACAACGCCATGAATATCTAAAATCCCCCAGGAATTAGCGGCTCGCTCGTGGGTTCAAAAGAAAAACAACCCAATAAATGCAAATTGACTGACCATAACGCCAAAGCTCAGGCTCAGAGAGCAGGCCAGAAAGGTGTTGTTATCCTGTATTCGGAAGTTGCCCGCACCGGGAAAAAGGCGTACGAGTACATCGACGCAGATAACTGAGGACCCTATCATGCACGCTGGATAGGCCAGGTCAGCAAGGCAGGGCGAAATTAGCATCAGTCGTGAGGCCATCGTCACTCACCAGCACCGCTCACTAGACACATAATCCACCCCCTAGTGTCGTTGTCGATCTCGGCAGTATGCATGACGGGCTCCATGGCTTCGGATCCCGCAGCGGCCTGTCGCTTCGTGCCTGCAGGAGCCCGGCCGTCGTGGCGCCTCTTAAGGGAAGCAGGTTGGAGGGAGCATGAGTCAATGGCGGGGGCGCGTTCTGGTGGTCTGGAGAGGACCCTCTGCCGATTCGCACGCGGGACTTTGGGGGAGGAGCTTTTCAGATGCAGATGGTCTCAGCGGTTGAGGAATGCGGAAACCCGCTGGGTAGAAGAGACGGCTAACCACTTATCAAAGATTCTGTAGAAGCAGCGTGACCGTGGGGGATTCCCGGAAGATTATGAGAAGGCTCCCAGGAGAAGAGGGAGATGGTGGTAGCGATAGTAAGGAGAAGGATGGGTATCTCAAGAATTAAATGGACTAGGAGACAGGTCAGAATGGCAATTCCCTTAATATACTAGGAGGGTCGCCGTCTAAATGATTGGCTAGGAGCAAGTGAACAAATCCAAGGTGTTTCAAAGAGGTCCCACGGAAATAGATGGCACTGAGGGAGCGACTCAGCAAAGTGAGTAGCTTGAAGGGATGAGTGCAGCGTGAAGATGGGTATAGAGCGACATGCAGGCGTGGAAAGAAGATGATGTAGGGTGGGCAGAAGGTGGGTAGGGGGTGGGAGGTAGCTTAGGGAAGTTTAGCTACCGACTTACTGTTAGGAATAGTAGCAACACTCTAAGGCTCTGGCTAGCCTTAACAGAGGAAAACAGCCCAGGACTCAGCAATTCTACATGTGAGGCGGGTAGGGGACCAGGCCGGGTTTTATGTGGTGCGTCTGATTGGGCGCCGGGGTCGTCGCAGGCATCCCAAGCTTTGCCAAGCCCTGGGACAATGGGAACCTTGATGGCCAATCCGGCCAACGCACTTCGTAATGCAGAAGAAGGCATGTACCCAGACGGCGGCATTGGTATGTCCAGGTACTTTGAGCAAGGGGTGGGGTCCACCCTGCGGGCAGGTTATGTCCTAGAGTCTGGAAGTATCTGCATCTAAAGGTATACATGCCCACATACCTGCCTCTCTCTGTAGTTACTGCATCATACTAAGAAAAAGTACTTACCCACCTAGGAGCCATGTATACAGGTACATACATAGGTAGGTACATAGGTACTTTACCGGGTGGGACTTGCCTGGCCGTCAAGGTTCTTACTTCTACCACACCGAATGGCACCTGCCTCCTCTTGCTAGGCTTCCGTCCGGCGGACATGTCTCCAGTTACCTCCTCCTACCACCTCAGCTACGTGGCAGGGGCAGGTACCTATCTACGTGCGTCCCTAAGGGGCATGCGGTCGAGGCATTGCTACGGAAGAAGGTGTGGCCTGTGCTCATACACAGATGCTCTTGCCTGTCCCGTCGCAGTTACCTTGCAGCAGACCGATGTCTCTTTCTCTTTCTCTCTTTTTCTCTCAAACGTACCTACCCAAGGGGGGGTAACGCAGGTATGGTAACCTGGAATCATCAGCTTCTCTTCCGATCACACCCATCCTTCCGGCCTAGACGTACCTATTCAGCCTCATCACTCCCCTGACCAATACACATACGGGCGTATCGTTGCCACGTACAATGGTGCGTAGATCGAAACAAGGCCGGCTCCCTCGTCGGGGTCCGCACCCATGCCCGTGGATCGATGCAGGGCCGTAGAGACTCGAGAGCTCCGTTCCCAATGATAGGCCTACTACTCGACAGGTTCGAATCGTCCAACATATAGACTGCTATCCCCTTAGCTTTCGCTAGAAACTAAGCAGGGCCAGCATCGATGGCCGCTCACCAACGGCCACGGGTCGATCTATAAGATGTCTATCTACACAAAGGTCACGGAGGGCGACGCACCTCAACGGCGCCATAGATCTACACCAGCACCTTGATGGTTGGTCATATGTACACATGACAGACCCTTTCGGCGGTGTAGCTAACAGCCTTTCTGCCTCTGGCTAGGCGCTACATTCAACCCGAGCTGCGAACTGCTGCCTTCATATGCGTTTGGCTACATAGGTAGGCTATCCAGTCACCATGCCGAAATAGGATACGACGTCTTATTTGGCGACAAGCCGCGATTCACGTCGCTCTGCGTAAGTCATAAGGCCTCCCCCGCATGAAGACACTTAAAGAGTTGTAGGATATTGTATCAGCATCGAATACAGCTTCAAATCATCAAATATATTCAAACAACTCCAATCAGCATTTATTATAACCCCGTGTTTATGGAACAAACTCGAAATCTTTCCTGGGTATTCGCCTTCAACCGCTAGCTTGTATCAAACCTGCCGATTATTGGCCAAACACGCACCCTAATTAATACTGACAGCTTATCTCAGCCTTTACCCAACTCTGTTGCTAATTCTAGAAAACTGATCTTCCTCGTCTCCTAGAATCCGCAAAAAGTTTCAACGGCGTATGCCTAGATGTACAGTCCGTGTGCCGCGCTGTACTTAAATACGACTCGCGAGGTGGGGCCGGATATAAAGATCGGTCCGGATTGAGAGAAAGCTTGAAATGACTACAGGGCTCTTCTTGACTGCCTGTCAGTTTCCGCTTGGCAACTCGACGATCTTATTATCCTGAAGCCTTACGGGTCACCCTACCGTCTCCCCGTAATCGTCGCCGCTGCCGTGGTATCTCGTGTCAAAGCCAACCGCTCTGATAAAGACGGAGGGGTCCGAATCGCCAGGGGAACCAGTCCAACGCGAGCAGGCGGGAGGGCCGTCGGACATTAGCGTAAGTGAACCGAAACTATGCCTTTACAGAGTTCTCGAATTTAACCAATGCTTGAAAATGGTTATCAGCCCAATAAAGATTTCGAAGTATAGGCGTTCGTCCCTCTTGAGCTCTATCCCTATATATGGGTATTCTTTTTGACGGACAACGGTCGTCTTGACACTATTCAGAAGACACGTCAGAACATAGAAGAGAGGAGAGGCGACTTAAAATGGTCTCCAAGATTCTAATAATTTGGAAGGTATGTACCTATCTAGGGGAAAACAAGCGTCACTCCGAAGCCCCCACTACCAACCTCCCCTCTTGGGTGATAAGCTCAGCTCACGGGCGACACGAAGGGGTTACGTCGATCACCATAGCCCTACCGCACGAGGAGAGGATTGACCTTTGCCGTATGCACCTAGCTTATGGTATGGTCGGCGCCGTCAGGCACCTCCTTTAATACTTCGCCGTGCTTGAGAGCTCACCCGCTAACTGCGTGAAGGACGTCTACGTAGTATAACACATTGGGTGGCGTTGTTTGCTGGACTGCCGCAGTGACGAATATGCCGAAGTTACCTAGCAGGTATGTCTTCTCGAACTCGCGTCGGGTGGGTGGAGCCCTCGCTTCTTAGGTATGTTTTTATAACTATCATGCTTGGGGCCGAGCTCAACACATGGTTGCTGCTGCCGAGGAGCGTAAACATTACCTACTACGATAAGGTACTATGAGGCAACTAGCACCGCCAGTATAGACGCGAGTCACCCTGCGACTGACGCGCGGTGTATGTGGCGGATAGTAGCAGCGTACTTTCTCATAGTCATGTTTGGGGTGATGTGCATTTCGGAGGAGACGGCGGCGAGAATAATAAGCTCACAAAGAGATCTAATAGTAAGGCGTGAACTAGATGCTAGGTCGTACAGATAAATCCCATCGAATAATAGCAATGGTTAGACACGTGCTCTTTCTACGATGGTCTCCGATGCGCCTCGCTCATCCATTGGGTACCTACCATACAGGGAGGGGGGGGTCTATTGACACTATGTCAGCAACCCTTTCTATAACTAGACATAGTATCTACCTCGTGATAAGAAGGAGTTAAACTCTAGGCTAATATTATTACCATTTCCCGACATAGTTACCATCCGGACATAATGTCTTTATTTTAAAAAAAGGTACATTCCATAGGATTACCCGGTTACCTCTAGGTTACTAAGTACGTACCTTTGTACCTTTATATCTTTTACGTCTATTACCTACCTCCTAACCTCCTACCTACCTACCTACCTACCTCTTCCATAAGTTCGAAGATAGGTTCGAAGATAGGTAGATAGATTCCACGCGCGCGAACTAGCTCCTATAGGTTCGAAGATAGGTAAATAGATTCCACGCGCGAACTAGCTCCCATAGGTTCGCAGATAGGTTCGCAAATAGGTTCGTAGATAGGTTCTAAGATAGGTTCGTAGATAGATAGATTCCACGTACCTAAACTAGCTCCCATAGGTTCGTAGATAGGTTCGAAAATAAATAGATTCTACGCGCGAACTAGCTTCTATAGGTTCGAAGATAGATAGATTCCATACGCCTAAACTAGCTCTTATAGGTTCGAAGATAGATTCGAAGATAAATAAATAGATTCCACGTACCTAAACTAGCTCCCATAGGTTCGTAGATAGGTTCGTAGATAGATAGATTCTACGCACGCAAACTAGCTCCTATAGGTTCGCAGATAAGTTCGAAGATAGATAGATTCTACGTACGAACTAGCTCCTACAGGTTCGCAAATAGGTTCGCAGATAGGTTCTAAGATAGGTTCGCAAATAGATAAATAGATTCCACACGCCTAAACTAGCTCTTACAGGTTCGAAGATAGGTTCGAAGATAGATAGATAGATTCCACGCGCGAACTAGCTCCTATAGGTTCGCAGATAGGTTCGTAGATAGGTTCAAAGATAGGTTCGAAGATAAATAAATAGATTCCACGCGCGAACTAGCTCCTATAGGTTCGCAGATAGGTTCGCAGATAGGTTCAAAAATAGGTTCGCAGATAGATTCGAAGATAGGTTCGTAGATAGGTTCGTAGATAGGTTCGTAGATAGGTAATAAATCATAGTGTTTATAGAAAAAAGATAAAGACAACAGGTAGGTCTAGGTAGATAGATAGGTAGGTAGGTAGATAGGTAGGTAGGTAGGTAGGTAGGTAGGTAGGTAGGTAAGTAGGTAGGTAGGTAGGTAGGTACCTATGGAATATATAGACATTATATCCGTCTGGATATTATCATATCCGTCTGGACATTAGTTCCTACGTAGTCATAAAAACCATCCTAAAATTATAAGAAGGGAAGGTAATAAGGTCGGTACCGCGACCCTTACTATAATTCTTTCAGCTCTTTCGAAAGAATAGGTAACCCTTACCAGATTTAGTTACCGTATCCGTACCCCGACTCTATTACTAACATACTATCCGTAGACCCCCCCCTCCCGGTATAGTACGTACAGAGTGTCGTAATAGTGCAGTCGTCCCTACGGGTGGATAGCATACGGAGGTACTAGAGAGGCATGCCAGTCATGTCGTTCTTATTTCAGGATTTAGAGATCATTTGATTTGTTGGCACGCGGGGATATTAGGCAGTTGAGGGGCAGGTGCCGACCGAGCTGATGACGTAGTTGGCATCGTAGGTACCTTAGGTACCTGTATGACCGACCAGAGAGGGCGTGTACCGGTGCGCAGAGCGCGGTAGGGTATAAGGGCATATGGCCCCGTCGGGTCCAGAGACTGTCAGCTTATCGGGGCATTTCATCAGATGATGGCCCAAAGGCCCGTTATAGGCCCTCCGGCCTTTGGTAGGGCTGAGAGGGGACGACCAGAGGGGATGGGATGGGGCAGCATGAGCCGCAGCTGGAGCCAACCGTGGATCGGCACGAGGATGGGCTGAATGGAAATCACTGGCTCGTGTGCCGGTACCTTACATACCTAGGTAAGTACCTCTGTACGGGAGGTACTTTGGTACTTGTGTAGGTACCCGCTGGCCCCTCACCTTCTTCCCCTAACCCTTCTTCCCCCCCCCTAATCGGTCGCTATCGATACCACCTAGAGGCTGAAAACCCCCTCCCCTAAAAAAACTTAAAAGTAGATCCGAGATCTTATTCAAGACATCCCCTGCACGCCTCACCACCACGAGGGCGTCCGCAACACTCCCCTCGTGAGCTGCATATTGCTCAGACTCCCGCGCCTGACTTCGCTCACTGGCACTGCCTCTCTCTCTCTCTCTGTCTCTCTCTTCCCCTAGTGCCTGTATAAAATTCATATAGTACCAACCGGTCTGCCCCCTTCGTAGAGCGCTCTCTCTTAGCCCATCATGTCCAAAACCACGTTGGCAGTCATCGCAGCAGCAGGCGCAGGAGCCGGAGCCGCAATAACAGCTACCATGTTCTCATTTCGACAACAGCCAGAACGCCAGACGATATCGACGAGTTCCTCGACCGTCTCCGCCGGAGCAGGTCTAGCGACATCGCCTTCCCCGTCAATCCCCATCCCGGCCAAGCAGATCTTCGCGTCTTCTCCCGCCGACGTCCAGCAACAAACGACAACGACAGCCGCGCTCTCGACCTCGGCGCCCGCGGCGCTAGGCGGGCCTCCCGGCACCCTCGTCGACCCCTCGGGCCTCTTCGCGTACGGCTTCCCGGGTCCCGTAGCGGACATGGCGACGCGGCAGGCGCTGGTCTCCGCGTTCGACCGGCGGCTGCGCAACCCGCACTGGGTGGCCGAGCACATCACGCCGGAATCGTTGGCGCTGCGGGACGGCGACCGGAAGCACAACGTCTTCCTCGAGGACGAGGCGGTGCCGGACCGGTTCCGCGCGCGGCTTAAAGACTACTTCCGCTCGGGGTACGACCGGGGCCACCAGGCGCCGGCCGCTGACGCGCAGTGGAGCCAGTCCGCGATGGACGAGACCTTCTTCCTGACCAACATGTGCCCGCAGGTCGGCGAGGGCTTCAACCGCGACTACTGGGCCCACTTCGAGGCCTTCTGCCGCAGCCTCACCAAGCGCTACCCGAGCGTCCGCATCGTCACGGGACCCCTCTACCTGCCGAAGCGCGACCCGGCCGACAACAAGTGGTACGTGCGGTACGAGGTGATCGGCAACCCGCCCAACGTCGCCGTGCCGACGCACTTCTACAAGGTCATCTTCGCGGAGGAGAGCGCGGCCGGGGCCGGCAGCGGCAACGTCGCCATCGGCGCCTTCGTCCTCCCCAACGCGCCCATCCCCAACGACAAGCCGCTCGCCGACTTCGAGGTCCCCGTCGAGGCCGTCGAGCGCGCCAGCGGCCTCGAGTTCGCCTCGAAGCTGGCCCCCCAGCGCCGCCGCCGCCTGTGCGCCGACACGTCGTGCGCGCTCGTCATCCGCGACTTCGCCGACCGCCAGAAGGCCTTCGCGAAGCCCGGCAAGAAGTAGGAGGCAAGGAGAGAGGCAGAAGGGCGGTAGCAGAGCAGAGCAGGGGAGGGGAGGCAAGGGAGGAAAAGGGGGGAATCGAGGATCATGCGAGGAGCACAAGTCCGCCGGGACAGTGCGGGGTAGGCTGCACTTCCCTCCTCCCTCTCCTCCTCCTCCCGATGGCTACGATCCAATTCTGGTCCCTACTATCCGCTACCCCAACATGTCTCGCGCCACCGCGGGTCGATCACATCCCATCCCCTCGCCTCTGGACGCGCGCATATTCCATTTCACGCACGCACATACACCCATTAGAAACGCGCCACGCACGCACACACGCGGACAAGGCAAGCCCGCACCCTTGTTATTTATGCACGGGCGCCAGCCATCGAGAGCACACGCAGGGCAGAAGGTCTTACCCGCGGCCGCGGCACGGATGGACAGACGGACGACAACGTAGAGAGTGTACATAGCCATCCGCGGCATAGCATATAAGTATCATCGTCCATAGCATATTCGTGTCTTCCCCTCCTCTGTTGTTGATTTAGATAGCATAGCATAGCATAGCATAGTAACCCCCCCCCCCCCCTAATGCACCCACGCACGCGTGCACATATATCTACACATCTATTTTCAGACATGGCCCCCTCCTCCACCCGGGGTACCTTATCTTGCCCTCGACTTAAATAGTACGTAGCCGAACCAGATGTTAAGCACCTGTAAGCATAGATAAGGGAAAAGTCCCTGGGAGAAGCCCCCCCCCTTTTCCCCCTTCCTAACCATCTCGTACTTACGGACGCGTTGAGACACCTTCAGCAACCCCTTCAACGCCCGGGTATCTGCCCTTCTTAGCGAGGAGCCCCTCTTCCCCGTATCTGCACATATTCTTTTTGTATTTCTTCCCACCCCCTTCTTCCACCATTTTCCCCCCGCGCCTACCCGCCGCACGGGCAAGGTCCCGGTTCCCGAGGTACCCGGCCCTGGTACCGCGCGCGTTCCTCCATCAGATGGGTACGCGCCCTGATTTCCCGCTCGCCAGATCCATTCCTATAGGGCCTAGCTATGCGCGCGGTGCAGCTTTCTCTCCCCCCTTCCCACGCACACGCACCGTCTCTTCATGTCGTCGGTGGCTAGTAGCTAGGCTAGAGACTTCGGTTTCTGCGGCCGCTTTTCAGACAGCATGTGGCACTGGGAATTCCTAGTACAATCCGATTAGAGTCTGGTGTCGACCACGAAGAGTCGGGATGCCGTAAACGCGACAAAGTCCGAGGCATCCTAGCGTACTCGTGTATAGTGGCCCTTCTTCTGCTCCATCCGCAGACTCTCTTCTTGGCTAGGAAGAGGCGCCCTTCTCCGGCCCGAGTTGCTGCCGTCGGCCTGCATTTCGGCGCTTCCGGGAGGGAGGACGGGTGGGGGTGGGAAGCCGTGAGGCATGGTGAAATTCGGTGGTGGTATGAGACCCGGCGGGAGCATGCCAGGAGGAGGCGGGGGTGGCAGACCGGCTTTCTGCATCATCTCAGCTATCTTAGCAAAGTCGACTGGGTTAGTGGGATCTAAACCGCCGGGCAATGGCGGAGGCGGAGCGCCAGCGGCCCCAGGCATCGGAAATGGCATAGGATGGGAAGTGCCACCGGAAACGCCGGGAATTTGCGGTGGCGGCGGCGGCGGAACACCATTGATCGGTAGAGAAAGGCCGGGAAGTCCTGGGAGCCCGGCCCCGAGCGGCCTAAGCGGCATTTTCTGATCGACCAGCCCCTCCATTTCGTCTTCGAGCTCTTGCTCTTCCTCTTCTTGACGCTGGCGACGACCACCGCGTCGATCCCAAGTACCTTGTGCTTCGGCGGCCGCCTCGCCGATATGGTACCTATCTTGGAAGATATCCGTCTCTCCGGGCCGGCCTCGGGACCAGAACCTCGTAATCCGATCATTCGAACCCGATGCTAGAATATGGCCGAGGGGGTGCCAATCCAACGACCATATCGCGAAATCATGGGCGTAAGAAACTTTGTGCGTTGGGTATATAGATTGCGCTGGTGCTGTTAACGGGTCGGGGCTCTCGTATACGGCCGTGCTCATAACCTGACCGGCTGGCGTGTTTGGCTCGTCTAGGAGATAATGAAACAGAGACCCTTCGTTACCTCCGGTACTAAGAAAATTGGAGTGAATCGGGTGCCAGGCGAGGGTTGAGATGTCCTTCTCGTGGCCCCTGAGAAGACAGATATCTCTCATCATCCGTATATCGAAAATCCTTGCCGTCTGGTCCCGTGCCGACGTTGCTAGACACCAGCCCATGACGCGCTCGAAGAGAGTTTTAGTAATGGTATTCTTATGGCCATGGAGAGTAGTTAGGCAACGTTGGGTTCTCGGGTCCCAGAGCTTGACGAGATGGTCCTTAGAGCCTGAGACAATCAAGCCTTTCGTAGGGTGCCAATCGCAGCTTTTTGCATCCCAGCCGTGGCCCGATAGCGTTGATTCGGCCACCCCGCCAGCAAAATCGAAGATTTTGAGGGAAGAGTCGTCAGATGCCGTGACGAATTTCGAGTCGTTGGGGCTGAAGGCGAGATCTCTGATAGGGTCATGATGGCCCTGAATCACCTGGACGTTATTGAAGTTGGGCTGCCAGTATTTGATTATGCCATCGTGGTCGGCAGATATCAGCCAGTCGTCACTGTGAGAATAAGCCAAGGCCCGGATAGCGACATCATGGGCTTGCATGATAGTCTCGAAGTTGAACCCGGTCCCGTTCCATAGCGTGAATTCGCCGCTGCTGGAAGCTGTTAATAACCGGCGACCCTCGGGGGTCCAGCGCACCACATTGACCGGGTGCTTGATCTTGTTCAGCGACGAATGAAGATGTTTCGTCGGAACGGAGTCGGCCGGGTTAGTAACCCTCGTCAGGGGAGGGAGCATCTAGAGCTTGTTCAGCACACCGATGAGACCCATCCGGAGATAGAACCCACATCGACGATATAGCTGGCGCTAGGCCGCTCGACCTCGCCCCGAAAGGCGGCCCGGAATCGCGGCTGGCGGTTGCGCATCCAGTGCGCGAGGGTTGAGCCATAGTCGGTCACGGGTCCTGAAGCGACAACGTATTAATAAACGGGGACGTGTAAATGACCGCGGCTAGGTGGTCATGTGCGGCCCTCGGCAGCAGACAGCTGGCTTGGGGACACCCGCACAAACCCAAGCCAAAGCTAAGCGTATAAGCAGAGCGAGGCCGAGGTAATCTGGATCAAAATGGGGGGGGGAGGGGGTTGAGAGGTCCAAGTACTCACGCCGACCTCTGGCTCTCACAAACCCGCCGGATTCGTGTCCGCCACCGGGCGCGCCGTGATCCCCACGCGGATCGTAAGCCATCGTGAGTCTGGCTACATTCGCCTGGGGAACCAGAAGGGTTGCGCAGCTTCGCCGAGGGGCACGGCAGGGTCGATTCAATAGCACTCGCAAGATAGCGTCTCCCTCGCTCTTTTGTGCCTTGGCCGGGTGAGCTGTGGATGATTTTGAGGTGGCTTCGGTAGGGGAAATGGGAATGCAAAGGAACCAGGGCGTGGTTTGTTAGAAGCCACACGGAACGCGGTGACGCACGGGCCGCCATGTACTTTGAGCGCTGCAGAGGCAGTAACTTCGCCTACCCGTTTGTATACATATATATGTTTCTATAGGGATGTTTGTAACGCGTTAGGTAGTGCAGGCACTTATCGAATCGCGCAGCCATAAGGTACCTACCTTCAGGTACCCTACGTACCTACCCAATACAGTAAGTTGCCCTACAACAGCTGCAGCCACGGGAACTTGTTACGGGTTTAGTTTAGGCAGGTAGGGTTGAGGCTGAAGCGATGTCACGGATTCGCGTGTACCTAAGCTATAGGGCAGGTAGGTACCTACCTAAAATACCTGGCCGTCCTGGATGCAGGCCCCATGTCACTGGGAAAATAGAGATAGTCCTCGTCTTCACGTGTCAGCTAACGACGTCACACCAACGCGGCGCTTTACCAACCCAAGTTACCTATTGTGTGTGTGCACATGTCCTGATTACTGTTTCCTTTTGCCTTTTACTTTCTCTATCATCGTCTTCTTTCTTTGGTGGGGGGGAGGGGGTTTCTAGGTAGGTTGCGCCTCAATTTATCCCGCCTGCAAGTCTTCTCTTCACGTTTCCGTCCGATGTTGTACCCGTACCGCTCCCATACCCTCCTTCGCATCCGCACTCCCCTGTCATCCGCGTTTCCTGGACCGGGTGTGGGTGGTAATGCTCGATTTATGACATGTTGGATCTTTGTGCCTGAGGTATGTGCAGACGAGAGATTCTGCGGTAAGGCTGGTCGGGCTTGTCGAGCCACCGCGAGAACGTCTCGGATGCCTCGTTTCTGCCCCACCCAGACGCGGATGGATCTCCCAACGCGGTCGAGGGAAAGGAAAGTGGAAAAGGGTCTCTCAGTCTGCTTCGTCCCCACCCTCGATCGGTAAGGATTTCCTCCGATGCGACGATGGCGAATTTCCTGATTCCTTGCCACCTCAAGATCCGCCCTGCTGGCGGTCCGCGATACGAGTCCGAGAAGGGGACGAGAGGAGAGACGGCGCCAGGAATTCGCGGACAGATTAGGCACATACTTCCTACCTCCTAATATGTATGGATAGGTATCTAATGTATACATGCATCCCTCACACATGCCGTCCATACTAGTAGGTACCTAGATGCTCCCCGCCTATAGGTACCTCTACCTAGGTGTACGTAACCTACCTAAGGTATACTTGCCAAGAGATATCCCAGGATAGACTACCTACCTGATAATTACATAGACTAAACCCATTCCATCAAGATGACCTCCACGCACTTTTGCGCGGCCCTTACATTGTTACCTGTGATAGCTATCATAGATGTAGGTATATGTGTTCGTGGATAATAGCAGGGGACAGATTCAATTCGACCAATCGACAGCATCTACCTAACCCCCAACCCCGTCCTCCCCGTCGACAGCCGCCCGCCCACAGCGACGCATACATACCTACCTCTTAGACGGCACGCACCGCAGCACCTACACACACGACCTAAGCATCGCTTCTACGATCAGTGCTATGTAGCAGTGCTATCTCCCCTTGTTCATAATTCTCCGAGGTTATATTTATACTTATATTTATGTCTAGTTACGCCTCCGTTTCCTCCCCTCTCTCCCCCATCGCCCACTCGTAGGCGCCGCTCTGCCGCGAAGGAGAGAAAGCTCAGAGAGAGCTTTGTTCGAATCGAACCCGCTGCCCTCGCCGTCCCTTACTTGCTCTGTCCTCTCCAGCTACGTAATCAATACTAGAATTTATCAGATGCGCACCGTCAACTCGATCCCATCGTCTGTACCGACGTGATACCGCTCCGCCCGACTGCAGCAACCAATATGGACTCGGCCACCACCACGAGTCTCGAAGCGCCCGCCAGCGCCACCTCCGCCTCCACCTCGCTTCGGCGAGCAGAAAATGCGAAAGAGACCCCGGATACCCGCGAAGCCGGCGAGAAGAAGGCCTCTGCCGTCAGAAAATACCGACACCTCACCGCCGTTCACTCCGAGTCGAGGCCTTCCACGTTGAGCCACGATGCAAGGGCGCCCCCGAGCTTTCTGGGCTTCCGAAACCTGATGGTTATCGTGCTAGGTATAGCGCCACAATCACGATCGCTCTGCCCGCTTGGCCCGCACATCTTGCTAACGCTCTCTAGTGGTGGGTAACCTGCGATTGGTCATAGAGAATATGCAAAAGGTAGGTAGGCGGGCTGGCCACCGGAAATTACACCAAGTTGGATAGTATAATGAAGCTTACACTGGACTCTAGTATGGCAATCTGATATGTCTGACGTGCCACGACTTTCGACGGCAAGACCTAATCCTCGGTTTCCTGCTCTACATACTCGTGCCCTGTCATCTCTTCATCGCCTACTCGTTCGAATGGTATGCTGCGAAGCAAGCCCGGATATCCCGGGCTCAGTCCGTTAGCAAGGGGGTTTCGTCGACACCGACGGAAGACCAACAAGCAAGGTTCGAGTCGAAGTGGAAGAGTATTCGGACGGCGCATCTCTTCAATGCGACCCTCGCCCTCGCCGTCAATAGCTGGGTCGTCTACTTCCATATCCACCACCCGCTGATCGGCACCATCACCGAGCTTCACGTCATCATCGTCTACATGAAGGTCATCTCGTACGCTTTCGCAAACAGGGATCTAAGACACGCGTATCTCCACTCGGTTAAGGGCGAGGCGTCCGTCCTACCCGACCTGTACGCGCAGTGTCCGTATCCTCAGAACATCACGATGGGGAACCTGGTCTACTTCTGGTGGGCCCCGACCCTCGTTTATCAGCCCGTCTACCCACGCTCGGGGAAGATCCGATGGATCTTCGTCCTAAAGCGGCTCGGCGAGGTTGTCTGCTTAAGCGTCTTTATATGGTTTTGCAGTGCTCAGTATGCCGCTCCCGTACTGTGGAACTCGCTCGACAAGATCGACCACCTGGATTTCGTTTCCATTGTCGAACGGCTCCTGAAGCTGTCGACCATCTCTCTCGTCATCTGGCTAGCCGGCTTCTTCGCCCTCTTCCAGTCGGCGCTCAACGCACTAGCCGAGATCATGCGCTTCGGCGACCGCGCCTTCTACGACGACTGGTGGAATTCGGCCGGTTTGGGCGACTACTGGCGCTTGTGGAACAAGCCTGTCTACCAGTTCATGAAGAGGCACATCTTCTCGCCGCTAATCAGCAGGGGCTGGGACATGACCTCCGCCAGCGTTGCCGTGTTCTTCGTTTCAGCCGTGCTACACGAACTGCTCGTTGGCATACCGACGAAGAACGTTATTGGTACGTAACCTGCCCCGCACCATCTTCTTCGGCAACGTTTTCGTGGAGAAAACAAAGAAGGAAACCCCCCATTTAAATGTGTGCTGACTTGTTGGGTGACGGGTAGGCGTCGCGTTTATGGGCATGATCATCCAGATCCCGCTGATCTGGATCACGCGAGTCTTCGAGAGGATGAAGGGCCCTAACGGCCAGCTCATCGGCAACTGCATCTTCTGGGTCTCGTTCACGATCCTCGGCCAGCCCTTCGCCGCCCTCGTCTACTTCTACGCCTGGCAGGCTAAGTACGGCTCCGTGGCGAAGAAGATGGCGTCGAACCAGACGGTCGCGCTACCCTAATCCCGGATAGGATGGGGCAAAAAGGTCGTGGCCTGTTTCGATAATGAGAAGGCGGCTTCACTCTGCTCACGGGGCGCAACGGGAAATAACACATGAACCAAAAGGGAAACCCCCCAGGAGGGATCGCATGGAGGTAAGGACATATATAATAGTTAACAGACGGCGCTATGTCGGGGGGGTGGTCGGACGTTTTTGAATATTATTTTTTCATGTCTCGCTACCGCATTCAACGCGTAATATTCTCGTGTGTACCGACGCCACTATATAGGTATGTGATTCAAGTCGGATAGCTTCGCGGGACGGACGCCCTTGGGTGCGATACGGTAGAGTGTGCTGGCTATAGGAAGGCAGGCAGGCGGGGGAGGTCCACGTTGTGTCTAGTGGCAGGTGTCTCGACCGATCATGTCGGTTACACACCGCGCCGAACCGGCTCTTCTACATACAGATAGTAGGATATGTTTACTCCCGTGAAGACATTAACTACCCGCTTACAGACTGACTGACTGACTGGACGTTTGCTATCGAGGGCAAGGCGTCACAGGTGAAGCCCACGAGAATGAATGCGATACACGTGCTGCGTATAAGGATAACTATATAAAAAAAAACACCTAGTGTTGATTACCAATTACCTATACTTTCTTAGCACCCTCCTTTCCCTTGCCTTCAGGGAGGTTACCTATGTTTTTGACCTAGTGCGTATAGCAAAAACGTATATATCAATTCATACCCAAAGACCGCAGACACGCAAGGAACGAATTTTCAACCCGCCCGCCTTCCCACCGTCCTCTTTTTCTCCTTTCCTCGTTCCTCAGCTCCTCAGTCTGGACCCGGGCCCGAGCCCGATGCCCAGCGCGGCGACGAGCAGCGCCGCGTTAAACCCGGCCATCAGGTAGAACGGCGCACCGGGTGCCGCCACGTCGAACAGGTAGCCGCCGAGCTTGGTAAGCAGCAGGATGGCCGCGCCGCCGCACCACGAGTACACGCCGGCGATCGAGCCCTTGAGCTGCACGCGCGACTTCGCTACCTGCGTCCCGTCAGCGCCGCTACCTTGCTGCTGCTGCTGCTGCTGCTGCTCTCCTCCCATGAGGGCATCTGTTTCTATATTGTCCTCCTCCGCCCCCGCGTCTCCGTTGTCGGCGGCCCGGACGACGGGCGCGTCCGCGTTCAGGACGCCGCGCCCCAGGGACCCGAGGCTGCACACGATGGCGCCGATCTGGCTGATACCGATGAGCACGGCGATGAGAAAGACGGCGGGCCCGCCGCCGCGCCCGTCCGCGTCCTTGTACTCGGGGCTGCGGAGCCGGGGGAACGCGAGGTACCCGACGACGCCTAGGAGGGCGGCGAGCACGAGGGGTAAGTCGACGCCGACGCTGCCGCCGCCTTCTTTCGAGCTCTGCCGCCGCCACAGGACTAGCCGGCCGCTAGCGTACCCGAAGAGCGGCGCGCACAGCAGGGCCGCTAGCTGCGCGACCCCGGTCAGGATCGACGCGAGCACGTACGCGGCGCGACACTCCTTCTTGAGTTCGGGAGAGGGGTCGTTGGGCGAGCCGCGGCAAAAGCCGTTATCGATAAAGAAGGCGTTGACGTAGAGCGGTACGAACAGCGAGATGGCCACGGTGCTCGCGCGTGCCACGAAGCCGCCGAGGTACCCGAGCGCGATGTTCGGGTCCGTGAAGCCGAGGCGTAGCGAGGAGAGCAGCAGACGCCGGTACGGAAGCGGTCTGCCCGCCGTTGTGGGTCGTAGCCCCTCGTTCTGCGACCTGCGAAGACCGAGGAGCATGCGCCACCCCTTCCCTTCTTCGCCCCTTAGGCCGCGCAGACCGAAGAATACGAAGACGGCGACGAAGAGCGCGACGACACTCACGACGTAGAAGCTATACGTAATGGCCTGCGCCGGCGTGACGCCCTCTTCGCTGGAGAAATGCGCCGGTAGTGGTAAAAAGAGCGCAAGAGCGAGGAGGGCTCCGCAACCAGTGAACAGACCCACGTAACCCGCCAGCGCTGATGGCCGCCTGCTTTTGGCTTCGGCATCGGCGCCCGTGTCAGCGCCTTCGGAATCAGCGCTACCCGACGGGCCTCCCTGGTTGCGGGATAGTTCCCTCGTGAAGCTCTCTGGGGTAATCGTGGCGTCACTCTCGAGGCTTATGGCCACGCTGTCCCTCTGGTCATTGGTGGAGGGCTTCCGGCTCGAACCTTCGCTGCCGCCGGGGCTATCCTCGGCCTCCTCCTCGTCGCTCGGGGCAGATGCCCCCGGCGAGGGCCCGTCGTCAGTGAGCACGGGAAGTATGGCGGTGACCATGGTGGCGGCGGCGGTGGCGCCGATGGCGAAGGCAATCCGGGCCAGGACGAGGCTGGGGTAGACGTCGCGGGCCTGGACGAAGACAAAGAGGCTAAAGGCGATGATAGCATAACCGAGGACGGCGACCCAGCGCACGCCCAGGCGATCACTGACGAGGCCCCAGGCGGGACAGGCGACGAGCGCGACGAGCTCGTCGACGAAGCCGAGAGTTCCGACAACATCGCCGACGCCCGTCTTAACGCCCAGCAAGTCGGTGATGACAAAAGACACAGCCGAGTTTAGGAAAACAAGGAAAGAGATGCTAAAAAGCGCGATTCCCAACAGGTAGGTGATGGCGTGTAGCGGGGTGGCCGTCGGGCTGAAGGGCAGGACCCGCGATAGGAAGTGGGCGTGGGGATGTGGTGCCATGGTCGCCAGGGTCAGTGGTGGCGTCGCTCGTCCGGGGGGGTCGGGGACCGAAGTCGGAGGGGTTGATCAAACCTCGACGCGTGGAGAGAAGAGAGCTGGAAGAGGCGCGATTTGCTGGTCAGCGTCGCAATCAGATCTATATGGTATGGGCCCTAGGTATATTGAAACGAGCGAGATTGCCTACTTTTTTCCATCGAGATGGAAGAGATGGGCGTCGGCGCTGGGGGAATTCCAGCTGCGAGATGTTGGTAGAAATCAATGTGAGTTGTAACTTGTAAGTGGTGGGACGAGGGAGATTTCGAGGGATGTAGGGAAGCTCTCTTTATTGAGCTCGAGCTCGAGCAGGTTACAGACGAGCCGAACTAAGTCCCCTGTAGCTCATCCCAACCTCTAATCGTATCAAGTTCAGGTACCTAGGAGGTAGGTAGGTACAGGTACCTACAGGTACCCACGTAGGTGTCCCTCAGTGCAGGTACGTAGGTAGGTACCCGGCCTACTAGTCTGCGTGATGGGTTCAAGGGCTGCCTGTTGGGGGGTATCAAGACGGAACTTCATCGTCTTCCTCTCCTAAGGCCCTCCCGATAGCTCCCAAGCTAGCATGTAACTCGAAGGCCAACCTTTCCCTACTTCATCCTCATTGTTTGGGTAAAGTGTGTCAAGTTAAGATTGGTGTCTAGACGTGGGTCTCCCGTTCGCCGAGTAGCGGTTCTTCTGTTCATTCATTGAAGGCATTCAGGAATTACTCAGTCATTTAAGCTAGCGAGCCTTTCCCTCTCGTCTCTTTGCTGGATCACACCATTCGCCGTTTGGTTTCAATTTACCTCTGAGGTTGCTGCTCGATGTGCTCTGAAGCTTCGGTGCTAGTTCCCGTTTCGACTGGTTTCAGCCTCCACGAGTTAGTCCCAATCCCAAGCCGTACTAGTGTCAATCCTAATGGATATCCCCTGCCCAGAGGCATCTTAGTCCCTGAGTGAGCTCATCGAGCGCCCATTGGAATCAATATTAGATGCCTTCTTCAGCATGACGTACGATGTTAACGGGTCTAAGGAGTAGGACAGAGAGCACTCTGGATTCATATATATCGGTCTTGGCGCGGTAGTAACGGACCTGTAGCATGCATGCAGAACCGTGATGCAAACCATGTAGACGACGCGCTCGACAGATGTCCGTGTATGTATGTATATATATATATATACACTACCTACCTACGTAGAATATATATATCAGGACAAAAAGACCCGCACGACTGCGTTATGACTGGCATGAACGCGAGAAATCCAACCCCCTACATAGCATATGCCCCGATGAAGCTGGGGGCACAATGAATGTGTCTATATAGTATCCCATAAAGGCGGGATAACTTCATGCCTATCATTCAAGTATCTAGTGTTGGTTCTCCCTTCTTTTTTTTCTGTGCGGGTGCGTCCCTACCCTCCTCGCCGCCTCGAGAGTGGTCGCCCTTGGTATCGCCGTCCTCCGGCTGGTCCACTGTGCAGTATAGTTTCCCAAACGCCAGCAATGTGATGAAGCGTCGTCTATCCCTCCAATACCTAAAAGTCTTTACAGCATCCCACGTGCAATGCCCGTGGACCTTGCAAATACCACGCAGATATACAACACGAGCAGCGTCGTGGCTAGCTCGGCGGGTAGGAACACGAACGTGCTACCGATCGCCACCAGAGACCACCGTAATTGCGCGATCCTCTCGTCCAAGATCACGTTCTGAGAGGAGCCAGGCTTGAACTCCTCCCAGCCTTCCCGCTCCGTCCCGGACTCGGCATCCCCATCAGAGTGAAAATCACCACTGGAGCCTTCCTGGTCGTCCCTGGATTGTCAACCGTAGTGGAATCCGCCCGGATACCCTTGTGAACGCGTGCGGCCGCTAAAACCGCCGCCGTAGCCCTGGCCGCCACCGAAGGGCGCGCCGCCGTTCATCATGCTGAACAGGATTTCTGGGTCGATACCGTTGCTCATGCCACCTCCCATGCCGCCACCGAATAGATCCGACGGGTCCATCACATCCTCACCGCTATCGTAACGGGCACGCTTCCTGTGACTTATTAGCTACAAGCACATGCGGCTTCAACGGTCATGCAGTAACAACGTACTGAGGGTCGCTCAAGGTTTCGTAGGCTTCGCCAATGTCCTTGAATCGTTCGGCGGCCTCGTCGTCGTTGGGGTTCTTGTCCGGGTGATGGACGATGGCAAGTTTTCGGTACGCTTTCTTGACGGCGCTCTCGTCCGCGCCCTTGCTGATACCTAAAATCTTGTAGTAATCCTTGCGCAGGCTCTTCTTCAGCTCCAGCTCCGCTTTTCGAATCTCTCTGGGGATCGTTCGATCTTCGGGGTCCAATTCCTGGACCGACTTCCACTCGCTGATAGCGTCCTCCCATTTCTCAGCGAGGCCCAACGCGTTCGCCTTCGTCTTCCGAGCCTTGACATACATAGGATCCAGGCTGATAGCTCGATCGCAGTCGCTGATCGCTTCCACATATTGTCCAAGCTTGAGGCGGCACATAGCACGGTTCTGGTAGAGCTTCGAGTTCGTGCCCCGGTTAGTAGGGTCCACCTCTAAGGCAGCCGAGTACTTGTCAAATGCAGCTTGCCACCTGCCCGCTTTGTACTCTGAATTCCCTTCCTCCTTCATCCTGTCCAGTTTCTGGACCATCCGAAGCCACTTGACCGCATCCTTAAAATCGGGATCGCAGCTCAATGCTTTCCGGAAATGTTGGATGGCCTTGTCGTTCTCTCCCTGGGCGTATAGGGCGCGTCCTCGCAACACCAGCGCTTCGGGGTCCAGGTTGTTCTGCCGCAGCAGCGCCATGGCCACATTCTGCGCTTCCCCAAAGGAATTGGCGCCTCCCATCTTAAGGTACGCATGGCCCCTCATCAATTGCCACTTTCGGGGTTTGCCCGCGCCGGGGCCGAGCAGCTTCTCGGCCTGGTCCAACGCGTGCAAAACCATAGAACCACTCGTGCCACGGTCGAGAGCGTCCTGGGCCGCTCTTACGTGGAGCTGCATCTCCCTGGCAGCAGCCATGTCTTTGAGAGAAGCGGGAGGACGGATGCGGCCAAAGGTCATTATTGCCTCATCGGGACGTCCTAGACTCGTGTAAATACGAGCCAGGCGAAGCAGATACTTGGCATTCTGAGAGTCCTGGTCTACGGCTCGAGAGCAATCATCCAAAGCTGCTTCGTACTGCCCATCCGACATATAAGCGGCAGCGCGGTTGCCAAGATAAGCGGGCTCATCCGGCATCAATTGAATCGCTGGGTAGTAAGTAGTTCAGTAAGCTTCCAAATACCCACGCAGACGTAGTTCGAGGTCCGTGACATACCACTGGTGTACTCAGCGATTGCTCGAGCATAATCCTTCTGCTTGAAGTACTTATTCCCGTCTGCTTTGTGGGCCTCAGCTGCCTCTGCATCGGTTGGCACCGGGCTGGAGGGGTTCGATCTATGGGGTGGCGGGACTGGTTTATCGGCATCGTCATTCGCATCGGCCTTCTCTCCATTCGCAGTGGGGGGGTTGACAGGAACGGCAAAGGAGGACTGTTGCTGAGGGGGAGGTGGCGAAGACGGAGGGGGGCTTGCCACATTCGATGCCGTCTGGGCGGTCTGGGTTTCCCGGTCGACATCCATCTTGTCCGTTGAGCTTCTGCTCCTCCTGTTCGCCTTCTCCTCGTAGGCTGCCTGGCGAGCCAAGCGTTTGATCTCGTCGGGGTGTAGGTTGAGAGGATGGGTGTGGAACTCGCTGCGGCTGCGCCGCGTAGACGAGGACGAAGACGACCCCTGATGCCCCTGATCGGTCGAGTGCTTGGTGAAGGAGCGAGAACTCCGCTTGGGCGGCTCCCGGTCTCGTTGGGCAGGAGATGCAGGCTGAGCGGGAGACGCAGGTCTCGTCGAAGGCTTCTTAGTAGGCGATCTGGAGGAGCTGGGTGACTGCTTGACAGGCGAGGTCTGGCTTGATCGGGGAATCGGCGGTTGGGGTTTGTCTTGGGGGCCGAGCTGCGGCTGCGGCGGTGCTTGCGGTTGCTGCTGATGATGAGAGGTAGAAGGGTGGTGAGAATCGACACTGTCGTGTTTCTTTGGTGACTTTTTAGAGTTGAAGAGGCCCTTCATTTGGAATAGAGCGCTGCGAAGGGTTGCTGTACCCTTTTTTTTCCGGCCTTGGCCACCTTTCAGTGTTGAGAATGTACTATGATCAGTATCCCACGCCTCTATTATTACCCGTCTTAGGTAATAATAGAAGTTGAAGAGCCCTCCCAACGCAGCTGGATTGCCTTCTGCTCAGTGCCAGATCCTGGTCACCTGGTGTGGTAGTAGCAAGGAATGAGTGAATGAGTAGAGAAAGTTTAGTAATTGTGCCCGACCCAGCTTTACAAAGTAGCCAGTGGAAGGACGGGCAGGAAATATCAACTCCTCAAGCTTGGTTAATCTTGCAAGTCCTTGGGTTTCCCTTGGGTTTCCGCCTTGTGCACGCAGAGCGATTCAATGCTCAGCACCGTCCCATCCGGTCCTGGTGGTAGGAACAGGCTAGGGCTGTTTGGGTACCGTGGTATTCCTATGCCGTCCGGCTTGTGAGCCGTGAAACCTTCTAGGATATTCTCCCGCTTCCACCGGAATCTTGGACGGGTAAGACAGACTGTGGCAGCCAGCCTTGCTTATAAAAAACTAACAGCTTCGAGGCGGTCGCTGGTTAGAAAACAGAAAAGCGAATCGAGAGGAGGCCCGGTTGACGGCACTGTTTTATTTGGTCTGCATAAGATGCGCTTGATCCCCTTAGTGTTGGGACGGCTTAAGGCGAGATAGCGAGGATGCTGCGGGAATAGCAGGACTTGACAACAACTAAGACGGCCCCAGACGGCTGTGAGGTGGAAGGGAGAAAGTTGTCGCAGAGCAGTGCAGGTATGCAAGAGGTTGGAGGAGTATGGGTGGGTTTTGGTGAGGGACGGGCGGTCTATGTAGTGTTTTTTTCTTCTTGTCTTTTTCTTTTCGGACTTGGGAAGCGTAAAAGATGATGACGGGAAATGATTAGGACACGATTTATCAGCCAACCCGATTTCTCCCCTCGCATGCACGGTACAGCCAGCAGAGCACGTAGGCAAGGCGCACGACCACAGACCAGACAGGGCGGGCAGACAAGCAGAGTGTCAGAGGGAGAGGGAGGGAGAAGGGAAAATATAATTAGGCAGGCAGACAATCGAGTGGGACACAGGACGATACGGAGATAGTGATGTGCCCTTTTAGTTGAACGAGGATGAAAATCGTCTGGCTGGGCTTTTTGGCCGTAGGGGGGTTTGTGGGGGGGAGGAATAGAAATTTCGGAATTTTGGAATGCCCCAGAAACTGGACAAAGTTCCGGGTACTTGGTCGCCTAGCGGGCCAGAGCTTGGGCCAGAGGTCAACAGTACCTCGGGATTCTGGTGGAAGTCACCGATCGCGGTTGTTGCGTTGAGCAACTTGCAGTTGATTGATCTGTGTAGTGATGGCAGCGATTGCAGCGATGCAGCAGTCAGCCAGCCGCCAGCCCCCCGCTCCCCGCTAACACGGTACCTAAGGAGGTAGAGTTGAGTGAACGTAGCACTGCATGATGTAGATGTAGCTATCGATCTGGATACGGATATACTCGCAGAATGTAAGGGAGTTGCTAGCTACGATCGTGTACTGCCTCAGGTTCACGTTACCACAAAAGACCTCCCGATGGCCTGGTAGGTGAGGATCCTTACCCTGCCCATTTGCTCCTCGTCGTCGTCGTAGCACTACCCGCGCCACTACGTAACCAGCGCCTCAGGTAGGTACCTGGCTACCTGTGCCTACCTAGAATTCAGCATACAGGCTACCTCATCCTTCGGCAGGCGCAGTAGGAGGGAGGCATGTACCCTTCAGATGCGTAGGTACACACGTAACAGTACCCGGTACAGCCAGGAGCCCCCAGGCTAAACGACCCATGCGCCTCGCCTCCCTCACCACCAAATCGCGGGCAGCCGCCCTCACCACCGCCGTCACCGCAAACACGACCATATGAGTAGCAATGCCATCAAACCACAAACGCCGCAACCATAGTTGCCTGCCTGTACCTAACTTATGCAATGTCCCTTCGTATTGCTACAGGTCTATAGGCAAGCGACCAATAACTCCGGGGTGACCCCCAGCCTGCTTCTCAACTATCCTCTGTCTATAACCTAACCGACTCGTCGTGAATGGCTATCTATTCTCCGAATGCTCGCTCACGTCGCATTCCCTTAGGCCAATCCGCGCATACCGCTGAGAATTCGAGAGGCTGACGAGCAGCGCGTATAGTGTTTTTGCGGCCATGCCCCCTCTTCCATTCGCTCTCGCTTCGGCTTTCTGAGGTCTCGCTCGAGCAACAGAGTGACAATCCGCTCATCCTTACCTGTGTATCGATGCTAGTCTATCCAACCTCTCCATCCAAACACATCCCTTCTCTCTCTCTCTCTCTCTCTCTCTCTCTCTCGTCTATCAATGCCTCTCCCGCTTCCCGCCTCCCACCTCCCTCCGATATGACAAATGTTATCAGGCCTTAAGCTGATCTCCGTCGTTGACGACGCCCCTAATAGGGTGCTCGGGGGGAAGGGTGCTGGCCGCGGAGCCGTGCATCCTGGCAGGCCGAGATGAAGAACTCGACAGGGGTTTACGAGGATCATTACCAGAGCGGCAGAGGTCCCTGCAGCCAAATACTAGCCCGCACCGCCCGTCCTCCGCCCTCGTCCGACCCAATGGTCCCTTTTCTTCCCAACCGATTCTCGAAGGTTCTATGGAGAGTGAGTGTGTACAAAATCTGATGTGAGAGACCCGAGCTCTCCACCTAAGACGCTTAGGCCAGCGGGATGTCGACCAGATACCGCCACTGCGTATGTGCCTACCGCGCGAGAGGGAGCGAGAGAAGGGGCAAGCGAAGAGAGAGAGGGAGACAGTGAAGTCGACATCTTTCTGCCTGTCTGTCTCTCTCTCCTGCCAAGCCGCCAAGGTGTGACTGTAACCGAGTCCATCCGGCCCGTCCAGCCCTCTCCCTCCTGTCCCACAAAGTGGGTTTGTTTCAACGTCCGCTCTTTGACGCCCATAAGACGGCCCATACTATCAGATTGGCCGGCCAGCGCGCAGGCGGTGGGCTGGTTGAGGTCATCAAGCACATGCCACACCGCGAGACCTGTTGGATTGCATGCTTCGGACCACGATGGTACGGAGGCTGGCCCGTAGTCGAGGAGACCCGATTGGCTCTGGTAACGCCAAATGCTGACCTGGCGGGAGTGGTGCGGACAGGACTAGACTCTGTTTTTCCTTTTCTTCTCTCGACTAGCAGCCGCCCGGGCGTGCGAGTAAGTGTACAACATGACATACCGACGGGGAAAATATCCGACAGACCTGTGATGCACATCTCGTCAACCACCTGCATTTTCCCCAACAGTACCACGGAATTCGAAACGGGAGCAACAATACTAGTAGGCGGGATGACTTCATTTCCGCTGGTGTTTTCAATTCGGTTCACTTTTAAGTAAGCACATAGAGATGGACTCGACGGGGCTATCGTGCGCAATATCATCATTCTTGCGGTGATGTGTACGCATTGCATTTGTATTGTTGTGAGCTATTTTCGATGTCAATCGTCATCACCACCATCGATTCTCGTTCGTATGTGCAAGTGCACTATCGCGAATGCCCTCGTGAGAAAATGGCTGAGGTCCACATGTAAACCGCAGCACGCCTTGTGATCATCGAATACGCATATTAAAGTCCTATGTCCGTAGCAACTCCCCCCCATTCCCCCTTAGAAGACCATATTAATGCCAAGTTTCATCCGTCGTCATCATACCGATACGCCCGATACTATGTATTTGTTTCTTCTCGTCAAACTTCATCATCCGGCGGCAGCATCTAAGCCTGTCAAAAAAAAAAAAAACGTGCGCCCACCTGCCCACCGTCCTATTCTCATCTATCTCCCCGCTCACCCTTCCGAATGCTCGTTCGAGTTGGGCTCCGAGACGCCGTTCCGGCCGACGATGGAGTTGACGAAGTCCTGGTACTTGAAGACCTCGCCGCGCCTGGCGGTTCCTATGCCGCCGCCGACGTTGCTGCTGACGCTGCCGATGCTGCCGAGGCCTCCGCCCGACGACGAGGCGCCGGCGCGGTGCTTGGTGAAGGCGCGGCGACCGCTGAAGCCGGCCATGATCTTGTCCACGTCGTGCAGGGAGAGAGCGCGCTCGCCCGGCTCCGGCGTCGTGTGCAGCAGCGCGTCCCGCAGCTCCGCCAGGTCCACCTGCCCGCTGTCATCGTCGTCGAACGCCGAGAAGGCCGACAGCAGCTCCGCGCTCGGCGACAACGCTGCGAGCGCCGCCGCGATCGAATTGAGGAACGCCGGTAGCGTCGTTGTCGCCGGCCCGCCGGCTGGGAAGAACTGCGACAGGTCCGCCGGACTCGAGGGGAGGCCTGGGCTCGCGTTAATATCTGGTTGGGGAAGGGGAGGAGTGGGGTGATGGGAGGTGTTGAGATGAAGTGGGGAGGCAGCGCACAAGAGATAGACCGGGGAGGCGTAGTGGGTAGCGGGTGATAGAGGAAGAAGGGGAGAGCGAGAGATAAGAGAAAATACGCACCTAGTTGGTTGAGCATGTCGGCGACATCGTCCCTGTTGACGACGCCGTCGCTGTCCCGGTCGAGGATCTGGAACCCGTCGCGGAGCACGCGGACCTGCGCCGGTTGCAGCTGCGACAGCGCGCTGCCCTGGGCGCTGAAGGAGTGCGGGCGTGCGTGCGGCGGTGGGGGTGGGCTCCGCGACGACGAGATGTGCGGCGGGGGCGCGAGCGAGGGCCCAGCGCGCGGCGACATGTCGACCCTGCTACCACTACCGTGGGTCTGGCTCAGCGTGCGGGGCGTGGTCTGGCTGTCGGTGCTGCCCGTCGGCGACGAGACGGTGGCGAATCTTGAGGGGGTGGTGTGCACGCCGGAAACCTTGGTCGGCGAGGTCGTCGGTGTGATGGTTGGGGCGGTCGCGGGGACGCTGATGCTGTTCTGCCTGGGCGCGGACGGCGAGGAGCCTGGGGACTCGGGTCTGCGGAAAGGGGAGCTTCGAGGAGAACCGTATCCCAGAGGCGACGGCTTATATCCCGCTGGCATCGCCTGTATTATGTAGTCAGTACCTCCGTATACACGTGCGCCACGCATCGATCACATAGTGGAGGAGGCGAATGGGAGAAGGAGGGGGGAGGGAACGGGCGAGGGAGGGAGAGGAGCGTGTTCCAATCGGACGACCAGTGCCCGCCGCTGCCGTCGAAGAGGAGGCGATCGATGCAAGGAGCTCCGCTGCAAGTGGGTTTCATTACTCACCATCGTGTCGCCTAAATCTCCCAAGACCTCGTGTGTGCGTGGATGTGCGTGTGTCCTCACAAAGTCGGTAAACAGCAGCTAGTAATTACGTAGGAGCGTGCTAGCAGGAGGTGATGTCCGCGGGCATTGGCCACAGGCGAAGGAGAGGAAACGGACGGGATATCCTGAAACTTGGTCCGGACGGTGATATACGGAGAGTTATTCGCGGAAAGAATTCCTTTCTAGCTAGAGATCTGCGGTGCGGTCGGTGTCGTAGGCGGTATCGGCTTCGCGTATCCCGCCAACTGAGGGGAGCGGACGGACGGATAGGCCGCTAAAAAAGGAATTGAAATCCACAATGAATGCTCATCGCCGTACCGCTAGTATTTTGATCACGGCTAGCCCGTTGCGGGGCAACGACGACACGCAAGCCTGCTGGCCCCCGTCCAATCCAACTATCCTTGGATCCTTCCCTCCAGTTTGAAAAGCCTCCCCGTCAATTCCGGCGAAGATATAAAATCAAATGAATCATCCGGCATATGGAAAGAAGAATTTTCCGCCGAGAATGCCAGAAAATATATCAGTCAGCTATTTTGGGAATGTAGCTATTCAGCTATTTCCAACGAATGTTCGGCTAAGAACATATATACCGTATAACTACATCTATATTCATATACACCTCTATCTCTCTGCTTCTCGGCTGGTCCGCTTCTCGTTGATCCTACGATACCAGTCAGTAAATAACTACCTACTAGTATTAGAATCTTAGCGTGCTGAACCTAATAAACCGTTGATATATTAGGAGAGATAACTAGAAGCTAGAACTGCGAACCGAAGAGCTTATTCAAATCAATCCGATTACGGTGATGTTGGCTTCAGTCAATTGGGGTCCCGGATTCACGATCATCCTAGGATTCACATTCCTACCTGTGTAAGGGTTCTCTTAGATTGATGAGATTGTACGTATAGATACCCATATTAAGCCACTGAGAACCCCATTTGCACCACGGATTCGCCTCTACTCATATTGCGTGCTTGGCGACCAGCACAGAGATAGGATGTCCATCAGCGGTTTCGTCCTTCTGAAGTTACCTACCTAGTCCTCGTGGCCAGGATAGGATGGTTCCGATCTTGCTTGCTGTACCTTTATCTCCAGCGGGCTCGAAGACGAATTCATAAAGCTGGATGAACGTGACCGCGGCTAATATCCCTCTCTACACGACCTAGGATAATAAGCCTATAAGTAAGGCGTGGGAATGCAACGACTAGGCCCCTGAGAAAAGAAAACGGTGAATCGAGGATATTCCCAATCTACACCAGGACTTTACTCTTGCTGTCGGACGCCCGTCGTTAACATCTAAGTTGGCGGTATAGGCACATGTATCAGGGACATCGCTGTCTACCACCCGGCGGCTGACGTGCAGCCGCACCAAGAGACTGCTACGATCTCGAGGGGGCTTAGAACTGACCCCGACGAAGAGAGGGAGCGTCTCCTTGGAGTGGCGTGATAGGGGGGGCTAGCACGTCGATCGGCACTCTTTTGGAATAATGCCGTCAAGTCTCATGGGAATGCGCCTCTCCGTCTGCCAGGTGGCACACTCGCGACTCTTCGGGCTCTACGATAGACTACGTACGTTTCTGTAACATAGATGCTAGGTAATTTATAGGTTGTGGTCTAGTACCTAATTTTGTCAACGTCTAATTTGCACCAGTTTCCAGATCCCTCCCCCTTGCCATGGGTTACACGACGACTCGGGCATCTACTCGTACATACAGACGTATGGGTTAGGGACACGAACTACTCTTCGGTGTAATTATCCTAGCCGGCATTGAATCTATATGTATGAGGCGTAGACAGCCGCCAATGCAGATTTTCTACCGAGTAATTCTGAGATTTGGGTACATTTTAGCCCTACATCCTTTCTTGTGTCGGAATTTCTGTCGGCAAAATGGCGTCGCCGACGGTAGGAGTCGGCTTCTTCAAGAGGGGTTATTGCCTTGGTCGACTTTCTACGTTGCAAACTTCTATTGATACCATATCTCTAGGGATAGGCGTGATGCCTAATTTAAAGCATGAATTGACCCCTGGCGGAGGTCCATTGAGATCACCAGACAGAGCATTATAGAACCCATTCATTACCTCCCTGCTTCGGGTTTCCATGGGCCAACCCCCCTTTCTTTTCTTTTCTTCCTTTATTTTTTCGGAGTTGAACCTGTAGCATTTTAATTCGAGCGCCGGCTAGTAGCGGGTTGCCTGAGGTCGGTGACGCCTCTCTGCTCCGTTGCAAGCGAGGCTACGTTGCTAGCTCTGAATCGCTGCACACCGTGTTCCGTAGGCTTATGCGGTTCTGTCGCTCTGTGGCCTGAAACTAGCATGTCTACTATCGATGCTCAGCCCTGACTACCTGCATGCACGTACAACTATAACCCCCGGCGTTGGCGGGCGAACTAGGAGGTTTTCGTTTCTAGTTACTACTATCGATACATTCAGACCCCTGTAATAGCGCTTCTGCGTTTAGGCATGGTGTTGATAGAGAGGAAAGACGGTAGGTTGGTATGTGCGGTTGTTTCAACCCCGGATCTCCTCGTCTTTCGTAAATGGATGAATGGGTGCCATTGTAGAGCTACGCATCCAATCGGTTTCCTTCTTCTTCATTATCGAGGCCACTGAAACAAAGCGTATCTAGAGAATGCCTAGGGGCCAATACGACTTTGAATATCCGACTATTCGGTATGGTGACCCTCTCATTGAAAAAAGGGGGAATCCAAGACGGTGGTTAGGGCTTATCGAGAGCGGTATTGCATGGATGATCCCAGGATGTGGCGAGAGCGGTGCGCAGATAAAGTTCTGATGATAGTGGTGTGGCTTTACGCCGGCCCGTCCGGGTCGGGGGTGGTGTTGCGACAACTCAATGCGTACCCTTTTGTATGCATACTTACCTACATCGACATATACCTCCTGCCTCTACACGAGGCAGGGTAGATAAATACGGGTGTGCCGTAGCGTGCGGGGATGAAATACAGCTCTTAAAATAGGGGTCGAGAGTCGCGATACGACATCGTAAGTCGAGAGACACGAGACGGGAGGAAGAAGGAAAAAAAGGAATTCGCGTATCCTGCGAACCCAGGACCGAGCGCGGATCGAACGCGCGACCTCGGGATGACAGCAAGTATGTGGACTGCAATCCTGCGCTGGAACGATTATTAGTTCTCGTTGCGCAAGAACAAGCTCCGACCCATCGGGTATCCTTACCTCTACCACTGAGCTATCGGTCCCCCAATTGCGGGAGTGGTTGGGCACGTGTAGCTTTCCAACTAAAAGGCTTCCTTTCCCCGTCTTCTGAAGGCTGGGCGTACACAGGTGGCGTCGGCTTTCCTTGGATGCAGCAACCATTGATGTCTCACAGCTGTTCCATCAGCCTGAATCGCCGGGGGAAATAAGCGCCGTGCCCCCCTATTTTTTTTTCTCTTTTCTTTTCACTATACTACGTAGGTATCTAAGATACAGAAGATGTACCTACACGTTGCCCCCCTACGCAGGGTGCATCATCATTGGGTGCTCGGGCATTAGGGGAGGGTATTTATAGCAAGGATGCTAGGTAGGTACCTACCTACCTACCTACGGGCATTCCATCTACTATACTACACACCTGCATAGGTATGTGGTAGGCAGGTATGTAAGTAAGGTAGGTCGACGAGCCAGGCAGGCCTGAGTAAGTACATACAGGCATCACTTCTCTCCTCCACCTGTAACGTGGGAATTGCGAAGGATCCATTCCAGAACAGCCACCAAGGGGTTCGAACAGCAGATAATTGCACGTACATACAGGTTACGCCGTGGAGAGCGCTAGCATCCCGCACCAGACCACCTTCATCCATGCTCACGATAAGTCGGCACAATGCGCCCTCTATATGAATACATCAGGTTAGGCACATTACAAGGTAAGGCGGGTTGGGCCTAGTAGACACCGCTCCACCCACCGGCGGACAACAAGTTCAGCGTATAGCGTGGAAGAAGGGGCGCGCCCCCAATGTAGGAGGCAAGGAGGTGCCTACCTATTTACCTATAGGATGTGCTTGTTATGCGGCGGTGCGCCTGGATGGATGGTCAGCGTAACGTGCTGATGCTCTCTTTGGGAGGTCTCACCTATGAGTGCAAGCCGTTCTCGATCGGGCGGTGCTGGCTGACTATTGGCTCTGAGGACGGCGATTAGGGAATCCAGGGGGGGTTTTCGCAGAATCCCATCCCGTTCCATTTCGGGTCCAGGGTCTGATTTGACACGCAAATGTTTCTTTCCATGCCTCTTCTGGCCCTCAACCTATCAGTTTTGTTTCTTTTGGGGGTTTCGGTCTCCCCCCCCCCTACATCTTAGTGGATTTCCACCCCCGGACTCCAGTTTCTAGCATTATACATATGTACAATACGTTAGGTAGGAGGTAGGTTAGGTACCTAGATACCTGTACGTCTCACTCTCGCCCTCACACTCGCGCATATACTGGGCACACTGTACATGTACATGCGCATTTACCAAGTTACATCTGCATACGCTGTACGTACATACTCCCGACACAGCAGGTTTCCTCATCTTTTGTACCTCGCTCCCTCCAAGCGTCCCTTTCCCAATCCCTCCTCTCCTCCTCCTCCCCCTACTCCCCCTGCTAGTCGGAACAATACAGACGAGACGGACAGGCACACACACCAGACCCTTTTCGCGCCCGCCGAAGATGCTCGAGGTGCTTGGCTCACCAACTCACACTTAAGTTTAGGCAATACCGAAGCGATGGCCGTGTAGCAGACCATGTCGCGGCCTCCGTCTGCTCCTCCATGTCCTCCCACTTCCTCTTCTCATCTCCATCGCCGACACTGCTCGCTTCCTGATCGAATTCCCGACTTTGCTCGGCCCGGTCGAGTCCCTTGCGGCGGTATCTCGTTGGATGCGAGTATGCGAAGGGCACAGGCGCGGCGCTGATCGAACCACCCCCACAACGGGTAGCCGAATTCCAATCGAGTCGAGATCGGCTAGACTCTTCTCTCTCTCGCGTGCGCTCGGGAGAATTGCCACATCCCACCTTCTATAGACGACGCTCTTATCGTCAGCCAGGTGTCCGGCTCGCGGGGATCCACGCGCGGCGGATCGGTCAGCCGCGACGATCACACCAAGCCACGATATTCGGCCGCTAAATGGCATCGGCCCAAATGGCGTTCCCCTATCTTTCGCGAACGAACACTAGTCAATCCCTCTCCAATGGCACCGCCGGCCACCACCGCTCCTCTCTCACCTCTTTTCTCTCCTCCCGCTCCGTCTCCCAGATGTCTCACAGCTCGCGGCCTCCACGATCCCCTCAGCCTCCCACGGTCGACGTCGACCGCACCTCCGACCCCAGTTCCAAGTCCAAGACCTCGTCGCTCGGGAGCCGCACCGCCGCGTCTTCCCAGCACTCCTCTCTCTCCGCCCCAAAGCGCCCTCCTAATCCCAATGCCCAGTCCTCGAGGAAGCTGCGCTCCCAGTATCCGCGCGAGTCCACTGAGAACCATGTCGAGTACATCCTCGTCGCCTCCTTCGACATCGACCGCGGCCCCGTCATGGAGCATCAGTATCCCGTCGCGATAACCGGAGACGAGCATATGTTGGCCGAGCTCATGCTGCCGGACCAGGCCCATTCGCGCACCCAGGATTGGACCATCTTCTTCTTGCACAAGGACACGAGCCAAGAGGAGGATGACGAAGAGCGCAAGGACAAGGACGAGCGACGGCGGCGGAGAAAGGAAAAACGGGAGAAGGCCGCCAAGAACGCCAACGATGGCGATGACACGAACGACGAGGGGAGCAAGGACGAGGATGACGAGGATGACGACCTGGACGACTCTGACTCCTCGACCGATTCCGAGCCGGAGGGTGGCGAGGGACCCCCGTTGATATACGTACTGAATCTGGTCTACACCAAACACGACAAATCCGTAAAAAGGGGTGCCGTAGTCAAGGCCATGGCCATATGTACGCGGCACCCGTTTTTGCACATCTACAAGGTTGGTCGCATACCCCCCTCAGATGTTTTTCTCCTCCGGCTCACTGATTCTTGTAGCCCCTCCTATTGCTTGCGCTCGAGGAATACTATAAATCGCCCGTGCCGGGGACGTTAGCGTTACTCTATGAGGCTGTCAATAATATGGATCTTTCCCTCATGCCAAGGCTGAGCCTCCTCGAGAGGCACCTCCTGCAAGCTAGTAATAATGCAGATCTCTTCGTCGAGAAATTCGAGAGGATGATCGAGATGCGCATTGCCGAGGACAAGAGCGAGGGCGTGACCGCCAGTGAGCCGTTAGACGCCAGCAAAAGCCCCCCGAGATCGCAGGGCATATCCCGCGCGGGCACTAAAGCCCACGTCGAAGGGCAATCTGCGTATTCGGTTCCCCGAGATACTCACGAATTTGAGAGCAGGGTCATGTACAAGGGCATACCAATTCCTGTCAAGATCCCGACGGCGATTATGCCCGAGACCGTCGGGGATTTCTCTCTAATCAAGTTGATTCAGATCTTTTCGGACCAGAAAGCTATCCAACAGTTTCCCATCCAACACCCCCACCTGACGACAAGTGGCGCCGGGACTCACCCCATAATAGTACTCGCTAATGCGCTCCTCACCCAGAAGAGGATTATCTTTGTCGGACACAACATGCCGTCGGGCGAGGTCGCGGAGGCGGTGCTGGCGGCATGCGCCCTCGCGTCGGGAGGCATATTACAGGGATTTACGAGACATGCATTCCCGTACACCGATCTCACCAAGGTTGACGATCTGCTCAAGGTCCCCGGGTTCATCGCCGGAGTGACGAACCCGACATTCGAGAACCATCCGGAGTGGTGGGACCTGCTTTGCGATCTAGCTTCCGGTAAGATGACGATCAGTAGCAAAATCGAGTCCGCGCAAATAACGGAGGGATTGGTCTACTTCCAACAGCAGAACCCAAATTTTGCCAACATGGTTGGCAGTTCGTCCCACGCGGTCACGGATCCGACCGGCGACATGGTGTTCATGAACGACATAATCAAAAGCATTACGGCCAGACGCGGCGAGCGGGTTATCCGCGCCAAGTGGCGAGACTGGGTCGTCAAGTTCACACGAATAGCTGCCGCCTTTGAGGAGAGCGTTTACGGTGCTAGCGCCTTGTATATCGGAGGCGACGAGTACGAAACTGTCACGGGTGGACACGGATACGTATGGCCAGACGAGAATGCCAAACAGAAGGAGCTCGCCGGTAACGTGTGCAGGATCGAGGGTTGGAGGAATACCCGAAGCTACTACAGCTATATCCAGGTAGGATCGCGCGCTCGGCTGGTGGCTGTTGAATCCTTTATTTTACTTACTGACGGGACAAAAAAAATAGGATCTCGCGAAACTGTACACTGTGCGGCCGCTGAAAGGGCTGGACCTGCACCACATGCACGACCGGTTACGGTCGCAGCGGCTAAGCCCGTCACAGAGCCGGGAGGTGTACCTGGCGTTGGCCAAGTACGTGCACTCGTACGACGAGATCAACCTGCTGCTGTCAGTGGCGCCCGAATCGCACGCGGGTCTGTTCTACATCGCGCTGGGCCTGTTCCACAAGGATCGGGAGGTGCGGCTGCGGGTATCGGAGCTCGTCGAGCGCATCAGTGAGCACGAGGCCGGGCAACACTGGTGGAAGGGCATGAGCCGGTTTGAGAAGCTCGCCTTCCACCGCATACGGCGCGAGGCCGATGCCGAGGCCAAGAACAAGCTCGAAAAGGACGGATCGATCGCCGGGCCCGGCCCGAGCGCGGAGAAGAGGATCAGCTAGCCCCCCCCCCAATCGGCCTAATCGGGTTGGCGGCGTCTCTCTCCCCTTAAGGAGAAGGATAGAAAGGGGGGGAGCCGAAGGGCGGAACGAACGAGCGAACGAGCGAACGAAGTACACACAACGCGGGAGAAGGAAGCGGGTGTAGAGTAGGAGGACACGAGAGGGCGAGGAAGAAAGAAGAGGAGGAGGTCCAGACCTGACGGGGTTATCTACCCTACCTAGTCAAACGGGGCAGGCAAAGCAGGCCAGGCTGGGGATGGGGTGGCAGAGGGTTACGTGCTTATTTTTTTGTCATTCTTGTCCCGTTCACGTTCAAAGATATCCGCAACCGCGACTGCGAAACCTACGAGTGTTACATAGCCCGATATATACCATCACGTAATGTAAATGAATGACCACCACGTTTTGTATACTCTTCTCCTCGCGCTCTAACGATCGCCCCTCCGGATATTCGACACACGGGTCTGTCTGGGGGGAAACCTAGCTTTAGTACATCTCGGTTGTGTGTCTGTTCCCTAGGAGGTGTTTACATGTTGTGTGATTTAAAAAAAAAAAGAACAAAAAGAACAAGAAACGAGATGGGTTTGCGCAGCGTGTATATTCAGTTGTCCCCCCCCCCCCCCTCGCTGGCTCCCTACGTCGATAGTTCTGCTGCCGCCGTCATGTCCGGTGTCTAGCAGTACACGAGATGTGGACTACATTCGACTCCTACTTCTCTCCCGCGGGGCCCCTCGGGCAAGTTTACCCTTGTGCCGCGGCGAGGGGGCGGGGCGACAAATGAAAGAAGCCATCATGCGCGATGGACTGGACGTGTTGCCATATCCTCCCTCCCTACATATTTATCCTGCGCACGCGCTCCCTTTCCTCCCTGCGCGAGGGCAGCACGAATTTCCTATGTGTTTTGTCCTATTTTTCTCTTCTTTTGCGTCTCCGACCTGCTTGAGCATCGTACCTAACACCACCCCCCCCCACCCCCACCCCGCTTCGAAGTGCCCCCCGCCCTACTCGAAGAGGTACTTGGCGGCGTGGTCGACGTGGTCCTGGGCGAAGGTCGACATGAAGTAGTACGAGTGGTCGTAGTCCTGCGCAGCACGTCAGCGGCCTGTTCGACATCTCGCTTCGGGGATCCCATTCGGTGAGTAGTTTGGCTCGTGGGGTTGACTCATCGCATGCAGCGGTGCACGGGCGAGGGAAGGGAAGGAGGGAAACTCACAGGCTGGTAACGCAGGGTCAGCCCCTGGACGCCGGCCTCCTTGACGGCCTTCTCGAAGTTCTCGGGCAGCAGCTGGCCCTGCTTGTAGAAGTTGTCGCCGGTGCCGACGTCGACGAGGGCGCGGAGGTCGCCGCCCTGCCAACCCTTGACGAGCTCGGTGGCGTCGTGGCGCTTCCAGGCGTCGCGGTCGTCGCCAAGGTAACCGGCGAAGGCCTTCTCGCCCCAGGGGCAGCGGGAGGGGTTGGCGATGGGGGCGAAGGCGCTGACGCTGCGGTACTGGCCGGGGTGCTTGAGGTAGAGGGTCAGGGCGCCGTGGCCGCCCATGCTGTGGCCGGTGATGCTGACGCGCGACCCGTCGAGCTGGGCGGCGAAGGCGGCGAACAGCGCCGCCGGCAGCTCCGACGCCACGTACGTCTCCATGCGGTAGTGCGGCCGCCACGGCTCGCGCGTCGCGTCGACGTAGAACCCGGCGCCCGCGCCGAAGTCCCAGCTCTCCGTCTCGCCTGGCAGGCCGAGCCCCCGCGGCGACGTATCCGGGTACACGACCGCGATGCCGCGCCGCGCCGCGGCCGCCTGGAAGAAGCCCTTCTCCGAGCAGTTCTCCGGCGTGCACGTCAGCCCCGACAGGTAGATCAGCACCGGCACCTTGGCGCCGCCCGACACCGCGGCCGGCGGCAGGTACAGGTTCACGTTCATCGGGGTGCCGGTGGCGGCGGACTGGTGGGTCAGCTTCAGCAGCTTGCCGCCGAAGGTGGTGATGGTGGCTCTGGTCTCGAAGGCCATCTTGGCGTCTGTGGAGGTGGGGGCGTGCGAGAAGATGGGAAGCGGATAAGGTGTATCTCGACGGAAATACCTAGATAGACCTGTCGGTGCTGGCAGGTATTTTGCGTATGGAATTGGCCGATAGGGAGCTGACTTGGTGGTTGTAAGGAAGCAAGTATGTCTCCGATCTGTGGTTTACGACGAGAAGGATGTTAGTAGTAGGAAAACCGGCTAAGCCTGGCTAGAGGCATCCCATCTCCCGCATTTTCTAATCGACACACCTCCCCTTTTTTCTCCCTTCCTCCCCCCTTTACTACTTACCTAGGCATCGCTGCTACTGCCCCTACCGCTACTCCTACTCGGCTTAGGGGGAGGTATTTAGGTAAAAGAGCAGCCCCTCGAAGCCCCTCATCCCGGCAGTTTTTCGACTTGTCGATCCGCCTAACAACCTTCGCTACCCCACACTGTGCCGGCCCGGAGCGACGTCATTGGCAGCTCGTCGCAGCCGTCCAATGCCAACAACAACTCCGAACGCCGACGCGCCTCCGGAATGCCTCGTTACTCGCATGTTGCGTTTACCTTACTGGCAAGTTCCCCGTCGTGTCGGCTTGAGTTTGTCAATTGGATGGATCTGATTTGCATAACGGCATACGGGCAGTTCTGCCTAGCCTATTCTTTCCTTCTACGAACTCGATGGTTCGTGTACACCCGTAGGTACCTTATGTACCTGGGCCTTAAGTACCTGTGCAGCTCCCACTAAAAGGTGTCTGACTTGAATCCAATGCACGCAAGGTTCGGTCCAACGAGTACTGAGGATGAGGCTGTTTTCTCTATGTAAGGGGCTTTCTACCTGTATGCGATAAATATGCCACGCAATATTTCTAGCCCCCTTTCTTTCTTGCTTCGAACCATACCCCGGCTACCTTCGTATCTCATGCACGCCAGCTCATATCGGATTGCGCAGGCCGTTGGTATCATCGATTCTTTTCCCATTACGATTACTTGTCGACACGCCGAACTCGATTCCTTCTCTCTGCCCGCGCCGGCCCTTATGCCGTCGTCGACGTCCGGTTCAGCTCGCAGTTGAACGACCCGAGTATGGTATCCCACTTGATGGTCGACAGGTCCCATATGGCGGGGTTGTAGAAGCTCAGGATATCGAAAGTGCAACCCGTGGGCGATCTGCAGATATCCGCGCATGTGCCCCTATTCGGAGAGATCAGCATGTGTTTGCTTCATCCAGGGAAAATGCACTCTTTGGGGCGGCGTGGGACGTGATGCGGGATGCGGGTGGACTTACGCTCTCGGCCAACAGAAGAAGCTATCGTCGTCCGGTGCAAAGGTCTTGGTATCCTGCGCGAAGCCCTCGGGCAGCTCGTAGCAGGTCCTCATGGCGTAGACCTCATGGTGGCACGGGCCCGTGCCGTAGGCGCCCTGGCAGATCAGGATCTACGGACGTAACTAGTTGTCAGCAAACCCGTGCCTCGTATGCTAGTGAAGCAGTACCCAGATGCGAGGCATGACTTACGCCTCCGACCTCTCTTTTCTCTACCGGATGCGCAGCGACGCAGCTCGCGGTCGCAATTATGCCGGTAACAGCCGATAGGAGCTTCATGGTGGTGAGTGGGTTGGAACTTGTTCCGGCGCTAAGGTGTCTTGAGAAATATGTTGTGTGGATGAGGCGAGGTGTTTTACTGTTGCCGTCTGGCCGTGAAGACGTGGATAGAGGCGGGAAGCAGAAAGGACGTTCGGGTCTGCCTGCCCTTCCTTATATAGGGAGACGATGAAGGGAGGTACGGGGACCAGCGGTGGTGGGCAAATAATAGAGGGAACGAAGCAATCGCAGCTGTGGGGTGCCCGGGTCGGTCTCGGTTGGATGCTGGCGAGTTGATCGACAGTACAGCTTCGCCTAGATCCGAGTTCACGTTGCCTTCCGTAAGTCTGGCCTGGTTAGATTCCCCGGTTCGTGAAGGGTCGGTCGGTCGAGTTGGTGTGCCTCAGAATAAATCGGCGCGTGAGACAGCTTGGCTGAGTGGTTTTTACCTGTTGGCTATCTTTGTCTACCTAGTTCCCGGCACTCCACCACACTGTACTGCTAGTCCTACACGTAAGCCTATATACACGCAGAGGCGATAACTCCAGGACGGAGCATCGGAGGCAGGCTGGCCCTACGAAGGAGACTCGTCAAACGAGCATCGTTCTACACGATCAAAGAGGTAACATGGTGTTGGAACCACTAACTACCGCCTTGTGACCAGTGTGGCTGAGGGTCGCTGCATACCTGCATGCTCTTCGGCTTCCCAGGGATCCTGTCACTCTACTCCAGGGGCAGGTTACGATGCACGTGTCTCCTCTGGTGATTCTAACGAGCCCGCCTAGGCCTCCGGCGCAATAGGCATACGTGTGTATAATAATACTGCCGGCAGTTGGGATGCCGATAGCACATGGGCCTGCACACCCAGGGCGACGAAGGCAGGGCAAAGCGTCATACTTCGTATCCGGCGATGCGGTCTTTCGATATCTCTCGCACTCAGCCCTTCTGACGTTAGGCGGGTCCTGCCACCTCGAGAAGGGAACACGAACTGAGGCTGCATGAATGGTCGACGGGTAGGCCCGAACGGTTGGCACGTCGGCAAGATGCGCACGATGCTGGCGGATTGGTCCGCCGGCTGGAATCCTACCTACCGGACCAAGAGGCACCCTACACTGCTACGTTGTATCCGCCTACATCACTATATAGTTGCACCGCATTGGGATGCCCTTCTGTTTTTGTCGAGTCCGCTTCCCCATTGCATCGCAATACGAGCTGCCCACCGCCATTTGCCAATCATGTGCCGTCAGGCTGTCTGAGAACGCTACATATATATAATATTTTCTATACTGCGTATTTTGGGTTACAAGTTGCCGTGGTCCCCTGAACGAGTCTGAGCCCTCCCAGCAGCAGTATGTGCGGAGTCACAGCGCCGACCGGGGAAAACAAGGGAGCCGAGTCCTGGCAAGATATCTCCTCATGCTCCACTCTCTGGGGTCATCGGATATCAGTGCGACGGCTTAGGCATCCATTTAACCAACAAGTCCGCAAACGCAGAGCCGAGCATGCACAAGTTTTAGTCAAAGTCGCTATTCACCGCTGACCACGCTGACCGCGCCGAGGGAGCCGCGCTTACTGCTTCCAGTCTCCTCTTTCTCAGCCTGAGCCCACATAGTGCAGATGAGACTCAGCCTTAGGATCGCTGGTTTTTGTGCAGAGAGCATCGCGAACAGCCAGCGGCCGCAAAGCGAGGCGGCTGGTTACCACGCGGCCGACGCGACTGCTCTCACATTCATGGCGCAGTACGCGGCTGTGCGGAACTTCCACCTCGGTGATTCTGGTATATTCCGAAAAGCAGCCACAACTCCACGCTCAATGCACGCCTGCCTAAACATTATCAAGTAAAACTTGCCCCTCCGCCGTCATATTACCCGCGGCAACACCAAGGACGGCCCAATATGCAGGGTCTTTGTGACGTATCGAGCTTCGTGCTCGAGGTTCGTTCTTCACTGGAGCAGCTCCTCACATGTCCAATCCTCGTAGCTGCATAACCATTAGTCCCGGTGGGGGCTTGGGGACGGTAAGGAGCAGGGAGAGAGCAGGTGGACATACTAGCCGTCGGGCATATAGCGGCGGACAATCATGGGGATCTTCTTCTCGCGCAGCTCCTTGATAGCAATCTGGAGCGGGTCTGACTCGCCTTCCAGGTCAACGAGGACGGGCGCATTCATACTGTGCGACACTCGGTTAGTCACCTAGCCAACCCAGATCCGCATCTCCGCTCCGCGCTGTGCCGTGTGTAGCTCTACCTGATCTGCAGTGCCCGAGTGCCCAGGACACGTGCTCGCTCGTACTTGGTCATGTAGGGCGTGGTGGCGCGCTCCTCGTTGGGGATCTTCTTGTCCTTGAGCGACTTGGTGGCCGGAGCCTTGCCTCGATTGGCCGAAGTGGAAGCGTCGCCAGAGATGATGACGTTTTCCTCTTCCTCGGCACCTCGTCGATTGAATTCCTCGTCTTCGCCTTCGGGGACTTCGGGGTCGAGTTCGTCGTCGAAAGGTTCTTCGTCCTCGTACATGGGCTCCTCCCTGCGACGCGTGTCAGGATGTTGACGCGACCAGAAAAAGCCACCTCACTCGCGCCCAGCGAGGTAGAAAGGGAGCAACTCACGGCCCTCCAACATCTCCATCATCGCCGTATTCAGACATGTTGGCTATCAACAATCAACAGTGAATCGAAGGCTGGAGGGACTGGAGATGACGATTTCTGTGTTTCCGGGGGCTGATGCGGTTGGTTGAAGGTGGGAGACTCCGGGAATGGAATGGGAAAAAAATTAAATGGGAGAAGAATTCTTTATTGAGGCCAGAGACGGGAGCGGCGAGGATTGGCTGCGCTTTGGCCACTTAGCCTGCCTTATGTAATCCACCTAGATCTAGAGAACGCAAATGTACATACACGGTACATAGGTACTTGGCTCGAAACGGGTAGAATGCAGGTACAGTGTGTCGCTAACCGCATAGGGTTTAGTTTGTAAACAAAAATGGACTATAAGTACTTAGTACCTATGCGGCTACGTGGTTTATCGATAAGAATTCAATGCACTGACTCGGCACACCTTTTTTTTTTTTATTCTTTGCTTACACTACCTACACTTAGCATCCGTCTTCAACCTGCCGACGGCTAGGTTCTCTTCCCTCTGTTGTGGCCAGCTTAACATGTTTTATAGCTACCACGTACAATAATGAAGAGGAAGACGGCAGAAGAGGCTGGCAGCCTCGGTCTGCCTGAGCCCAAGAGGGGCCGTTCTGAAGACTCGAGTCCTATCCATGGTAAGGTCATCCACCATTATTCCTGCCCCCCTCTGCCCAACTGCTGCTTGCTAGTTACTGATCCACAATTTTGGCGTGCTAGACGATTATAACTATGAGTCGAGCCAGGCTGAAGACGATCTTTCTGACGAGGAGTCGCAATATGCTCCGACCATCCCAGCTGCAGCAAACCATACTCCGCTAACCCCTCTATCACCGTCGCGCAAGTTCCCCTCCGACCTCAAGACGATCAGATGTACATTTCCAGATTGCCTGAAGACATTTAACCGGCCGGCTCGACTTGCTGCTCACTTGCGGTCTCACAACAAGGAACGGCCCTTCAAGTGTACCGTCCCTGGCTGCGACAAAGACTACATCGAGGAGAAGCATCTCAGGCAGCACATCAAGGGTTCTCACACCAGCGTGAGGGACCATATCTGCACTCAACCCAACTGTGGCAAGAGCTTCATGACCGCAACCCGTCTCAGACGACATCAGGCTGTCCATGAAGGCGAGGAGCGATTCCGGTGCCGAGACTACCCTCCTTGTGACCAGTCCTTCCGCAAGCATCAGACACTTCAACGCCATATCCGTTCTGAGCATCTTCGCCTGGCCCCCTTTCCTTGCGACTTTAAGCAAGGCGCATCTGGAACACCTTGCGGCGAGGGATTCGATAGTGCTGGCGCACTAAGGAGACACCAAGAACGGGAGCATGGCGAACTTCGCTTCTGGTGCGAAGAATGTAACCCACACCAGAACGGCAGCAATCAGCAACAGCAGAGGGTAGGATTCGCTACCATGGTCCAGCTACAGGCCCACATAAAACAGGCCCATGTCAATTGTATGTTCTGTGGGCTGGTATGTGACGGCAGAGCAGGTCTTGAACAACACATCGAGTCACAACACGCGAACCCACAAAGGCAAAGTCTTGAGGAGCGGAAGACTGTCCGATGCACCTGGCCGGGCTGTACTAAGATGTTCACAAAGAAGTCGAACCTGAACATGCACGTGCGAAGCTTCCACAATTGCCTCCGCTTTGTCTGCGGAGAAGTTGACTTAGGCGGCACAGCAGATCTGGTTTTGTGGCAGCAGTCCGAGGGCTGCGGGGAGAGCTTCTCCACCAAGGCCAGCTTGGAGAACCATGTCCGATACGTACATATGAAGCTCGAGCGGCCGGGGCAAGTCCAGGGGGCCTCGCCCAAACCCCGCCCCGCACCCGATGTCATGAGGGATCTGACGGGCGTGGGCGAAAAGTCCAGGCGCACGCTCGCCTGCACGATGTCTGGCTGCAAGGCTAAGTTCGTCCACGGCGGCGAGCTCGAGGCTCACCTACGGAGCCAGCACACCGTCGAGCAGGCGCTCCTGGAGCAGGTCGGAGCCGCGCCAGTGCCGGACCCGATGCTGCCGGAGCTGCCGGCGGAATTCGACGCCATGATTCCGGCAACGACGGCGACGACGACGGGCTGGGAGGGCAGTTACGGCGACAACGGCGAGTTCTGGATCGGAGCCGACACCGCCGGTACGGGAGCTCTGGGCGCGGCAGGGCCCGGAGACGACGAAGAGGAGTGGACCCGGGACGAGGCGGAGATGAAGCAGCTCATCGAGCCTAATGAGCTCGAGGGGCTCATCGATCCGGCACTCACCGGATTTCAGTAATGGACGGCGGAACATAATAGGTAGACAAAAGCTGCGATACCCCTTTGCTTTAGATATGCTTGAGACGAGACGATAAGAGCTTTTTAAAAAAAATTCTTTTTCACGAAGGGAAACCGGATGTGTTGCATATGTAAATATAGTAGTAGGGTATATTCAGGGCGGCTAAGGGTTAGGATTTCACGGCGTCGTCGTGTACTCTGCTGTACCCTGCGAATACGATACAATACGTGCCGTTTACGCCTATGATTTGCCTGGTCCGCGGATAACAGTGACTGTTAAGAGCGGGTGGGAATTTTAGGCGTGCCCTTCTCGTCACCGTCTCCTCCCTCTCCCCTGTTTTTCCTCATTTAGACAATAGAAACCCCAGCCGTCCCCCCTCTTTCTCGTTAGGGAAGGTCAGGCGTAGGCCTCTCTCTCTCTCGCGCGCGCGCTTGCTTTGGAAGGGCCGATAGGACCTGAAATAGGGGTCGATTACGTCCTAAGCAGCAGAAGAGAAAAAGGGGGGTAGGGGGTTTCGCCTACGGGAGCGGTCCCGACGCACCGCTTCGGGCGGTAGACGGCCACGGAAAGAAACATTGAGACAATTTAAGCTGTCTCGCCAGATCGGGGTTGGCCGTGTGGCGGTCAGAGAGCCGGGCCGCCTACCCAGTAAGGAAGGTAAGGCGAGAAGCCCTCCGCGCCAGCAGGACGCGCGCACACGCTCTCGAAGAGTGTGAATGAGTCTAGGGCGGGGTTCTGTCTGTCTATACACACTGGCGAAAGCCAGAAGGCGAATCACACGCGCACTACAGGTCTAGTCTGTCTCGTCAGAATATGGCATTGCTATAGCTATCTGCGATCTCACTTCTGAGCACGAACAAGCGCAATCGAAAGGGGGGTATCAGGGTCCGCTTACCCCTTTTCCTTCCCGCTTACTTGCCCGTTTCGCTTGCTCTCTCTTGACTCGCTCGCTCGCTCACTCACCACCATCCTCCTCCCCCGATTCGATCTCCTGCCAACCCTCCTGGATCTCCTTGCCCTCCTCTTTGACCTCCTGCCAGTCCTCCTCGATCGAGCGCTCGACGACGACGAAATCCTCGCCCCGCATCAGGGCCAGGAACTGGCGCTCGAGGAAGGCGGACAAGTCAGCACCCGCGATCAGCCCGTCGTCGTCGTCGTCGTCGTCGCCGTCGTCCCCTTCGCCGTCGCCGTCCCCGGCCGGTTCCATAAACGCGACCCCCTCCTCCCCGTCGGCCCCCTGGCGACGCAGCTCCTCCTCCTCGCCTATGGCGGCCGCAGCTGCGGAGACGGCGCGGTTGTGGGCCCGTATGCGCGCCAGCCGGCCCTCCAGTGTCCCCCACATCCCGATGAACTCGAGCAGCTCGGGGGAAAACCCGTCGGCCGCGGGCCGCGTGTTGCTGCCTGAGTCCGAGTCCGAGCTCGAGCTCGAGGTCATCGGGTCGTCGTACTCGCTGGACTCGCTTAGGCTGCTGTCGCGATCGCCATCGTTGCGGTTATCGCTACGTTCCCGAATCCGTCCCCGGGTCTCCGAGGCGCCGTCGATAGACAGGCTCTCGAGCCCCGTTGCGATTGCCCCCGCGATAGCCTCCACGATGGCGTTCCCCGCGTCCACTGGCGACGATCGTTGGCCCGACATGGTGGGTGGTTGTAGTTAGTTCAGTGTAATGACGGTAGCAAATAGTGAAAAGGTAACCTGCCTGGCTAGTCCTGTCAATCAAAAATGCGGTGCCAATAGATCGTACACTGATGTGTGTGTTTTGTGTGATCTCTCTCTATCTCCTTTTCTCAACTTCGATCTCGATATGTTCCTGTCGTCGTCGTTAGGATAAACGATTGTGTCTGCTCGATTCCGAGAAACCGATCTCCAGTTTGGAGCGATGGGCGACATGCTTTTATATACCGGCCGAACAGTCCAAACAATCGTATTTTTTCCGGTTCATCGTCGAAACGATTAAGACGAGTGCCCCGAACAATAGTCATTGCGAAAACACAGTATGCGCCCCCCCTTGGTTAAAGGGTTCCGCGCACAAAGCGACGGGTAACAGTACACCCAGCCAAACGAACGAGCCGCTGATGCTCTTTGAAGAGTCTCACTCCACTCCAAGCCGTGTGTTTGATCCGTGGATGACCTGCCCCGGAAAATCAAGACACGAGTGGGCGTTCCCCAGAGTGCTACCCTGGACGAATCACCGCAGGTAGAAATAGAGAAACATAATTAGCAATCGAAGGTAACAACTGAAATCCCACCCAGCCACGTAGTTGTAATTCGATTATTGTGAAGGTTTGGTCGTTACGAGAGATAAAACGGCGACGAACCATCTCCCAAGCAAGTCTCGGACATGAAAAGAACTCTTTTTTTTTATTCAGAGGAAAGAAAGGTGAGAGGTCGTCTAATCATCAGCATTTTTGTAGTCAGAAGGCTTCTTCTAACTAATAAGCCTCGTTGACCGACCCCAAGTGGCCCCGACGATACCTAGAGCATCATCCGGAGTTCGACCTACTTAACATACTCACACTTCATATGCTTAAAGAGAAGCTGTTTCAGGGGCCTAAGCACCCAGGCTGGGGAAAGCGTTGGGGTCCTGGCTGTTGAATGGGGCATTATCACGAGCGCCACCACGGCCGCTACGATCGCCACGTTCGCCACGGTATTCACCGCGGCCTTCACCGCGACCTTCGCCGCGACCCTCACCGCGGCCTTCGCCACGACCCTCGCCGCGGCCTTCGCCGCGACCTTCACCTCGGCCCTCGCCTCGCCCACGGCCACCACGACCGCGGCCCTCGCCCCTAGGAGCACCACGGCCGGCACCGCCGCGTCCACCGCGTCCGGCCCGAGGGCGTTCGGGCTCAACATATCGGTTGTCTATCTCAACGAGCTGCTTGGCCTTGCGCTCGCGCTCGCGCTTGACCTTACCGCCAGAGCCGGCGATAAACTCGTCGTCGTCATCCTTGACGAGAGCCTTGGCAGTGGCCCATTTCTTATCGAGCTTGCTGCCCTCGTTAGGCTTGCGGATATCGAGAGACTCGGCCAGAGCGAGCTTCTTCTCGGCCTGTTGGGCGAGATAGTCGGCGTAGGCCACGTGCTTGTCCTCAGGCTCGGCGAGAGCGGCCGAAGCTTCGGCATCTTCGGTGATGGCCTCCTTAAGTTCGGTCTGCGCGATCTCCTCTCCGGCCTGCTCGTCCTTCTGCTCGGCCTCGCCCTCGGTGGCGCCCCAAGATTGGGCGGCCTGCTTCTCGGAACCGCTAGATGCAAGTTAGATTACGTATAACGGTCGTTGCTTTTAATCTTGCGGGGAAAGCTAACCTGGGGGCCCCTTTAGTATGCCGATCATCACGGTCACGAGGGTATCGGCCACCACGGCCTATCACGCCGAGTTAGCACAAATTCATCCTGGATGAGGGCTGTGGTAATCGATCTCACCTCCTCGTCCACGGGCGTCGCGACCGCCTCGGAAACCTCCTCTAGGGGCCTCATCAGTGGGCCTGCGCTGATTGTTCGCGGAACCGGCGTTACGGTCGCGGAAAGCTAAGCGAACAGCAGGTTAGCGATGCCCAATCTACGAGCGCGGGGAAAATCGAAGCCGAGCTGAGCGGGGGTGAAGGGGAGAAGCGCTAGACCGAAGGACGCGCCGGGGTCTTCTCAGGCGACACTCACCTCCCTCGTTGCCTCCAGGACCAGAGCGACGAGCATCAGTGCCGGTAAAAGCGGGCTTCGCGGACGCTTGGGGCTCGACGTTGCGCTTGGAACTGCGCATGGTGATCTTGTCGACCGTCTTCACAGGGCCAGACGGCGGTTCTTCACCCTCGACATCGTTGCCTGCAGGCGACGGGCCGGGTCAGCTAACAGCGGTTCAGGGAGAACAATCTCCTCTCCTCTCTTCCTCTTGCTTCTGCCCCCGTCCTTCCGTGGGGAGCGGGTTATCCGACGAGGGGGGGGGGGGAGGCATACCGAGGACGTCGAACAAATTCTGGTCATCTCCAAGTTAGTTTTGCGAAAGAACCGACGCAAAGCTGCAGGTACGGCTATCTGTGCGAGAGGAACGAAAGGGGAGGAAGGGGGGAAGGGATAGAATACGATGCGCAGTGGGCGTCGCAAGAGAACGACTCTTCCGAAATACAGGCCGGTGCAGCCATAGATGCGGCGGGCGATGTCGAACAACGATAGCGCGAGGGCGCACGAGCGACACGGGTGCGTGTAATTACATGGGGACAGGTGCGTAGATAGATAGCTAGATGGATAGATAGAAGGATGTGTGGGCATACCTTGGAGGCGACCGACATGGTGTCGCCAATTGATTCGCCTTTCAGCAAGGCGGAGCTGTGGACACGGTCGAGTCAATAGGAGATGCGTGCAACGAGGGGGAAAAAGGATATGACCTAGCAGGACATATCCTTAATCTAGATCTCGAATCGGTCGGGAAGGTTGCCTATCCTCTCTGCGCTCCTCGCCTCGATGGGTGAGGGTTAAGGTTGGGTGAAGGGGATAAGGAGTTGTAGAGGTTGGGTTTTTTTCTCGGCGGTGATTTGAATTGGGTGGAAAGTGGGAGGGTGAAAAATCAGGCAGGCCGGGACATCGGGTGCGATCTTGTGTGTGATGCGTGCAAGAGGTACCCTACCTGCCTGCTACCTACGTCCCAGCGCTCCCCCAGCGCCCTCAGCGTCCCCAGCGCATGGCGCGACGAAGTTACCTCCTGGCTGGCTGCTGGCTACCTCGTGGGTACATGTGTGGTAGGCGGATTATACGCCCGCGCGGGTGTGAGGGCGAGTGTGCCCGAGGGTGTCCGGTTCGTACTCCGGTACGAGTCGTCGGTGCTATACGGTTGCCCGCCTGAGCTCCGAGGAGGAGGGGTCGTGTGCTCTGCTTCCCCTCCTCCCCCTCCCTCCAACCTGGCCACCTTACCTGCGCTGGCTCTGCCCGCTTTACCTACCTAAACCGGAGGTCATCAGAGGTCATCCAGCGAGCTTAGCTTAGGCTAGCTTAGGTAGTGGTAGTGGCTGGCGGGCGGGGCAGCCTGAACTCTACGCTGCGCTGCTCTCTACGTACGGTATGCGGTGCCTACCTTACCTGCCTACCTACCTAACTTGCCTGGCCTACATTCCCCAGCCAACCTTAGGTGCTACGGGCGGAAGAGATGGCTAGATGGGGTACGGCTGAAGCGAGTTCTCGTGCGAAAGAGAGCAGAAGTGGAATAGACACCGAGTCCCTCTCCCGCTCACAGCCAGGCCCTCGCTTAACACCAGGCGGCGAGGCAAGTTTAGCCCCTGCCGGTATTTTTGATCGATCTCGCACGTGCACATTTCGACCTTTTTTAATATTTATTTTACCCCTCCTTCGTTTTCGTGCGCCGTTGGTTAAGCGACCTCCTAACGCAGGTAGGGTTCGAAACATGCCATCTACCCCTCATCCTCCCCCATGCCCTCACCATTGGCCCGTCCTTGATATCCAGATCTCCCCATGTTCGTGCCAAGATGCTACGCATGATATGCACCTACACGGCATGTAGGTATTGCCTACCTGCGTAGCACGCCTAGGTACCTACCTAGGTGGGTAGGTAGGTGGTCGGTATTTCCCGTACATATGCATGTACGCACTTCGGATCCATAGTGCATGCTCATCGCCTCCACCCTACGTGGAATCCACCTAAGGTCGGTAGGCTACTTAGTAGGTGCCTGAGTGTGTGTGAGTGCGCCTACGCAATGCAGGCTTCTCTGCTCGGGTTTGTTGGCCTCCCGCCACATGGAAGCGGATTAGCATCTATAGGAGGTGCGTAGGTACTCACCAAGGATTGAACATAGATCATAGGCACCTAGGTAGGCAAGGCACCTGCTCCAGGTACCCGCGCTCTATCTAAATCGCCATACACGCCCGTATACTGCTGGGTGGACATTTAGTTGAGGGTAATAGTGATCTGACTTAGGTAAGTTAGGTGCCTGCCCAACGGACCTATACCTACCTTTAGATCTGCCTGTATCGTCGTAAGTAATGGATGACGTAAAGCGGGCCACGGAGCGCTGCGTCCGCCGCCCGCGGTTCCCACCCCGTGGATAACGCGCGCCGGCACTTGGGATAGTGCCACATACCTTCCATTACGTGCCTAACCTAAGGTACCTTGGGTACCTAACCTACCTTCTGTAGGTCAGTAAGGGTATCATAATCTATACCACCACTATAGTCTACCATGAACAGCTTTCACCCCCTTCCCCCCTCTCCGTCCTACCTTGGTGTGTGCAATTTGCGGTGTTGCGAATCCCGCCCGCTCCCGCCCGCCGTCAGTCTAGGCCCGAGACCCGGGACCACCGCCCCGCCTGTTTGCGCCCATCCCCTTACTTGGTAAACGGACCTGTCGCCGGCCTCTCGTACCTCTCGTCGCCAATCCACCGCCCGAGGGGCTCCCCATAGCCTACACACACGCACAGGTACATAAATATACGTACATATGCTCTTAATACTTGCTTACCTGGTGGATGGGCGACTGCGAATAAAACAGCCATACCATAGCTGGAATGCTAACCGCCGCCCTCGTGCCCATTCACTAGTATTGGAGGCTCGCTGGGGGGTAAGAATATCGAGTGATGGCATACTCGACCTCAGCTAACCTGTTCAAGAGATGTGGCTTATCCTATCTACCCCTAGGTACTTATATAGGTGCGAAGGAGAGCTCCATCTGAAGATAGATGTACGCGCATCCCCGCCATGTTTTGACACGCATACGTACACAATAATGTGGCCGAGAGCCTATGTATGAAGGTAAGTCTATGCGAGGCGGTATGCTTTCGGGTTACTCCTCGTGGCACAGTCGTTGTGGTGACTGCTCTACCGAAAGAAGGGATGGGCCAAGTGCGCTTATAGAGTATGTGCATTTCTACCCGGGGGGCAAAGCAAACATGCGCCCAGCCAAGTCAAAGTCAACCCGCCGGCCCACCCGAGCCTTTCTTTCCGCGTCACGTACTATGTCGCCGCCACTGCCAGCGCACAGTCGTCCGGAGGCATGGTCCCTCCTTTTATGTGTAGGCATTGTCTCAATCGAGAGAGCTGGCCACGACTTCGGGGAAAGGACTGTACCAAGTCTCCGTGTTTTCAAAGTTCCTCAACCGGTCGGACAACAGCCGTCAGTGTGCGAGACAATAATCCGATATTGATTCATCCGAAGATATGAACACGAGATGTGTATCCTTCATACAACTCTAATGGATACCCGGATACGTCTGAGAACATGATGGTCGCCGTGATGCTCTTCTCCACCTGCGCACCCCAAAGCTCAAACCACGGCTTGCTATCTATCTAGGTTAGGCAAGAAGACGGTACCTAGAGTCTCTTGGAAACTTACCCTACATCCCGTCCGAAGTCCTATGCCATGTAAAGCGTGTGGCTTTTCTCGAGGCTTAAGGCGGATAAGAAGGGACGTTTTCGCGGCCAAACCAATGCCCCTCCCCCTTTCCCCTGTGATGTGCAGACCCCGTCGGGATGAGAGCAAATCTGCACACTGATCGTCGACCTGGACCTCGGTCTGCCGCTGTGTACTTCCTACCTCCGTCGGAGGGGAAGGAGCGGACTGAGGGACGAAGCAAAAAGAGGCTCGGGGTGACTAGCTCCCGATCTTGTTCGTCTTCTTTCCGACCCCTGGAGGATGTATGTCAAAACACGACCAAAGATTGGTTGGGTGATGATTGGCAGCCGGGGAGCTGCGAGGAGGGTCCTAGCCAAGCCCTGCTTCCCCGAGGGCAATCACCGGTGCTTGGGGCTATGTGTGTATACACGTGAGACGCTGGATTCTGGGCGGAAGCTGGCCAGCTACCCAGAGTAGACAGACTAGAGTTGAGCGACGAGGGAGTCCGGTAGGCGATGCTACACCTGGTAATGCCCGAACGGTAGTGATACGGGGCGGGTGCGACATGGCTCGTACCGGATATACCTATCTTGCAAACATCTCGCCCGCAGTACGAGCAAGTTTTGCAGTGCTACGCCGTGAACTCGGAAGCATCAGTCCCAGCCCACGACACAGCCTATATCCAACCCCGTACGATTGGGGTACACCACGTCATAGTAGCAGCGGTGGTAGCTGGGCGTCGCGTTGTACTCCCCTCCTCCCCCTTGTCCCCGAGACGTTTATCGTACTATTTCACACCTGCCGAGATGTGCTCACCGTAACTATTAGGTAAACGGGTTTCCAGGAAATGGCAGGCGAATTTGCCCGAAAATGTCGTGATCTCTCCATCCTTACTAGTAGGATTGGAGTCGTACTATGTAGGGAGGCCTCGTCGAGGAGGGTGGGCGTCGCTATTCCAACCAGAGCGGGTTCGAAAACCTCTCCGTGACTAACCGGTCGTCACCACAGGTCGGGTGAGGGTGGCGGAGAAGATGGCGTGCATATGTGATGGCAGCCTCGAGAGACCGCAGCAGAAATAGACAGAGGGCTTTAACAGGGGAGACAAAAAGGAAAGGAGAGAAGAGGAAAAGAAGAAGAGAGGGCTAGGGAAAAAAATTAGTGGCGCCGTTGACATGGACAAACAGGTCCATGGGCATGCATTTGTAAGTGTAATAATGTACCTTGGCTATATCAGGGCAAGGTAGGGTCCAAAAAGAAATATATTTTACTTAACCTTTATGTAACGGGTTTTCTCGTGGTTCACGGCATTCGGGAGCGGAATGACGTATATCGAAAACGGGGCACCGGGAAAGTCGTCGCTACGCCTGAAAATAGAAACGAAAGATACCTCGTTTACAAGTAGATCGTGGGGTATCGTGGGAGGGATTCTGATTCTGTTAATAATGGCTTCCTTATCTGTGGTTCACCTATCATGGCACATAGCAAGACACGGACGCCAGAGATAAGAGGCCAGCCACGGGGCCACACCTCCCATCCAAATAAATACTCTGCGACGGAATCCCAGCGAACCGTGGCCATTGTGCTTCTTCCTCTCACGTCGGCCCCGCGGCTCCCCACGAGGCAAGGCCTCAAACTTCTCTCGAAGTCGATAGAAGTTATAGCACTAGGGGTTTGTGGCCGTCGCCTCGGACGGTCTCGTTCGAACCTCTTCTATCGCCTCACCAGACGAGGAACTTTTTCTTGATACCCAATTTCTGCTGATTAGCGCTCTAATTGGGAAAAAGACCGGTGCTGCTTGGCCATTCGCCTGTTATCTCTTGCTCGTCGTGGCTGGTCCATCATGGAGGCATAGTGACCTCGATGGCCCGGCTCGAGACGACCTCGCGCCTCAAGTGAGGTTTAGATCGTCAGGGACCTACGCACGACTTCTACGTCGAACACCGAGAGGCATCCTAACATAGGTTTCGTCCCACGGAGCAAACCATCGCGGATGGGTTGTGCGGACAAATTTGGCCGGTAGAGAACGGTTCTAATACTGCCGGACTGAGCCCCGGATCTCGTCGCTCTATGGGGTGGCGAGACAAACCCGGCTGGTTCGAAGTGCAATGCCGAAGGCAACCCGCACGCTTCTAGGTCCCGAAGAAGAAGAAATGTTCTTCAGGGACGAGGTAGTAGGGACGAGGGAAGAAGTGGGCTGGAAGAGCCGGAAGAAGGTCAAGTCGGAATCGCCGTGGCTGGTCCTCGAGTCCACGACAGCTTGGATGTGCCAGCGGTCTCTGGCGTTACTTGAGGGCCGCCGCCAAGCAGAGAGACCTGACGACGTCCAACTCCACGATGCCCGACACCTCCAGGTACACGCTTCCACGTCGAAGGAACGCGTCGTCAGGATCAGCAGAGGGCAGGCTGCCGGGGAACACGGGCGACGCTCCGTCTCGCATGCCGGTCAGGCCTTCTGGGAAAAGCGGCCGCGTGTTGGATCACGCGACGTTTTGTCCCGCCAAAGAATGCAGGCAATCCGTCTTCCGGAACCACATACGGCAGGATATGATGATGGCCCGTTCGCGCAAAAGCTTAGCTTGGACAGTTCCCGACTGGCCTTGGCCGTGTCGAATCGGCGGGCGGGCCTCCTCAATGCTGACGGCCTTGGCAGCGTTGGGTCTGGGCTAGGCTGGGCATGTGTCTTGGGTGGGATCAATTCCTGGGCAGGCGTGTGATGCTGAGCTCCACCTGTGGTGACCGATGCCGCATTCGCACATCAAACACACGAAGGAGCATCACCGCCTTTCGCCGACCAATAATGCCGCCCGAGGGAAGGGGAGGGGTGCGGGTGCTAGTAACACCTCTAGGATGCTCACTACGTTGATAGCCTAAGCAGGACTCGGAGCCGGCTTCTCACAACGGCAAAGCAGGCAGGCTTGAGCGCTCGAAAAACCCACCTGAGCTTCGTGGCAGTCTTCTAGGAAACCGAACCCTCGACGAACGCCTTCTCCCCACGACAACAAATAGGGCGGCCCACGAGACTACTCTGGTCTGGTCCCCGAGAGAAAGAGAGAGAATTAAGGGGGCTAGCTCGACCACGTCTCCGCCCCGCCAGACTAGGTGGTACGATCTAATCCGATATGACCCCCCTCCCCCCCATGCTGAGCCTGGGAAATCTAGCAGTGGCTGGCTGAACCTGGACGAGCGACGTCCGATGCGTCGATAAGCTTGGCCGGCACGGTGGCACGAACACGACACGAACAGTTGGGGCGAAACCGACCGCTCTTTGCGTCTTTTTGAGAATCGCACAGAAAGGATGGGGGGGGGCGTTGGCCGGGGTGGGTTGGGCTGGTTGGGACGGGCGGACAGATGGATGGGCGGATGGGAATGTGGACAATACCTGTGCAGGGCAGTCTGCTAGGTACCCTAAGGCACCCTAAGGCACCCGATTGAACCGCCCTAGCCTACCTGAGCACTGAGCACCGGCGGCTGCTTGGTTCCAAGGGCACGTCACATAGGCAGGTCCGCACAGTGCACTGCGGGTCCAGCGTCTTCAGGAGCCTTGGCAGCTCCGACTTTTTTTTTTTTTTTTTTTCCCTCGCTGGACCCCGAGTGGACCGACCAAGGAATGCGGCTGCCCCTCCTTCCCCTCTAGTAGGTCCTCGCCTCTTGTCCTCCTTGTCGACGAAACCACCGCGACCACCGTAAAGCGGGAAAGCTCACCGTTTAAAACGCCCTGTATCCCCACGTAATATTATGTGGGTCCGGGAAAGAGGCGGCAGAGAGCGAGAGAGAGAGGGGACAAGAGGGGGAAAAGAAAATCTGGATTAATCATTCCAACGGGGAGAATTAACCAACGCGGCAAACCTCCGATCGCGGATGACTTCTTCCCCCCCTCCCCCCCTAACCAGCTCCCCCCCTCCGCGGCCTTTGCCCGGGATTAGGTTTGTAGTAGTGCCGTGCCATGTCTCTATATTTTTTGACCGACCGACCGACCGTCATGGGCTCGGCCAACAAGATCAAACCCAGGGGGGAGGGGCAGGCAAGCGAGCGAGCCAGCAAGCGAGCAAAGCAAGCCGCCATCCGCCCATCCAACCCATGCTGTGCGCTCCTTCGCTAGCCGGATGGATGGCCCCCGTCTGCTTTTTCCCGTTCCTCGGGTGTTACACACCCTGCCAAGTCGACAAGACCGAGAGGGGGAACAGGGAAAAAAAAGTATGCTGCTACTATGCATGTAGTGAGACCGAGAGGGAAACAGGCGAGGCCCAGAGGACATTCGAGTCTTGTGTACCCGTAGTCTTGTCGATCTAATGTTACCGTCGCTTCGCGCGCAGGTGAGGCCAAGATGTAAGTTGATTTCAAGAGTTAGCAACTGTCCATCTGCTTTAACAGATCATCTACCTCTGTACAGCGAATTAGCTGGCCTAGATTCACACCCGGCCAGCTAATCCGCCCGTCCGTGCGAGTGCGCTCCACATGGCAATACACCGCCAAGCCCTCTCTAGCTAGTAGAAGTTATGTTGCAATACCACACTTTTCGCTCAAGTGCGTTCCCACGAGCCATCTCCGAGTAGAGACGTGAAAGACAGCTGGTTTCACGATGCTGACTCTGTAGCGAAGACGATAAGCCCCCGTGATAGCTACTGCTCTCTAAATCCACGCCGTTTTATATACAAGGACAGTCAACTAGCTGTGGACGCGGTAGGCTCGAAAACAGCCGGATTGATGAAGAGAAGAGACTCGTAACAACCCTCCCTTACCCACCCAAAGTGCAAACGAAACTGCCTCCCCGGTATTCGAAGAGGCACTCAGACCCCGTCCGGCCCAGAGAGGAAAGCTTGTAAATCCCTTAAAACTCCTGCCGTCGTGGATATCAGTGCACCGTACATATCGTCGAATAAGTCGCGTCAGTTGACCATCGTGTCGGATCGAAAATTCCGTCCTGGACTGCTGGGATGCTAAAATCGTCGTGGAAATTCGATGCTCCGTAGTTTGTTTATCGAAACTCGAAATCAACTGCCTGCCGTGGGTATAGTTCCGGTTGCCCCCCCTTATTGAATGTTTTGAAGCAAGCCTTCCACAAGATACAATGGAAAAACAACGTACGCCTTTTTCGTCATAACTTGACCATCACCATCACTCCATTTGTAAACCCATTATACACCGTCCTAATGGCCTCCGGGTTGAATCGTGTGATCCCCCCGGGATTGCCCTGTTTTTCTTGACCTTGACCATCCCATTGGTATATTGTAGCACCGGATCGCTTACAGGTATCTTTTTTTTTGTGACCCCTTCCCCCAGAACCCTCGCTTTCCATTCGCCATGTCGCGTTTCGGATACGGTCTTCCGCCACTACTGCACTAGTAGCTACCTCATGTTGCTCGTGTCGAAGGAAAATTGTGTTGGGAAGGCCATCGATGCGCTGAGACCAAATGGGTCCCAGTCCAAGGCGGGGTCGAGCAACTGCGTCATGCTGGGATAGCCTTGGCCTTGCGTTTGGCTTTGTGTATGACTGCCCTGCCCCCCCGATGCCATCGATGACTGCCCCGAGGGCCCTGCCGTCGTAGGCTGCACAGAAATACCATGTGGTTGAGTCACCTGGAATGTCGAAGGATAGGGGCCTGGTCCCGGGGTGTCCGGTTCGGGCTCGTCCATCATATCGGTCGGCGCGTCGTACTCTTGTTCTGTTCTCACGGATTAGACATAGGACGCCAAAGTTCTATTCAAACAAAGAAAACGGGTCAGCTTGCCGAGTTGTTGAAAATGGTTCTGGAATGACGATGTCGGATAGAAAGTGGGCGGCCGGGGACCAGCATGCTGTTGCATCAGCTGCTGGCGCGCGGCCGCCGCCATCCCAGGCATTGGCGCTAATTGTGGCTTCGTAGGAGGGGGAATTGTCGCGCGCAAGTTCGTATGATCTGACGACGCAGGTGAGGACGCAACTTGACTTCCAAAGGGCGGGGTGGGGTTAGTAGGAGACGTCGCATGGGAAGGGGGCGTGGGCCGAGTCTTAGGAGACGTCAGGGACTGCTGGACACCTGTAGGCTGTGACAGGGAAGCAATGCCGGGTTCGAGCTTCGGGGCGATGCTAGAACCGGACCTGCGCGAATGATGATGTCTGCTGAGGATCGTCCGCGGCATCGGCGGTGGCTGCACCATATTCTGGGGCATATGAGTTGGACCAAGATTTGGACTACCAGTTTTGGCGTGAAGCTCAGCTTGGACATCAATACCTACGTAACATCAGTTTCCGCCTCCGGGCAAGCAGGGAGGCGCGCGACAATTTACCTTTTTCGAGAAGGATACGCTCGAGAAGTGAGTTCTTGTACCGAAGCATCAGGCATTCGTCCGCGGCGCTTCGGTGGGCGGCCTGGAGGCTGGCTAAGTTCGATTCGTGCGCCTTGATGGTTTCTTCGAGCTGCTTGATGTATTCCGTTCGGCGTTCTCTAAATGCGGCTTGCGCCTGGCGGTTTCTCTGCTTGCGCTCCTCCGAAGTAGCATAGATCTTGTACCCGCAGGTTAGCCTCCCGATCCCACTCTCCCTCCCCGCACCCAGGCAACGGCGCAGGCTGCCGAGACCCAAGTTAGAGAAGTTGGGAGAAGGGGCCGACTTACCGGCTTTCGCCCACCTTTGCGTTTCGCCGGTTGGTTTTCTGGCGGAACTGACGGGCCAGGTTCATTCTCGGGGCTCGAGCCGATGGACTCTTCGGACTCGTCCTTGGATGGGTCTTTCTTGTCGATGGACATCTTGTCTGACATGACAATATCCACAGCAGGAGACGATTGCCGCTCGCCGGCAGACGCCTCTCGGACCGAAGTTTTGGTGAACGGAAAGGATATGGCGTACACGCCGGTCGCCGGTCCTCCTTGATAGGTTCGTCCGGTGTAGGGGTTGCTGACTGGAGCAGCAAGACAGTTTGGTACGTATGGCCCCCAAGATATTACCATATGGTAGGGGAGACCTTAGTATGAGAGGGGGGAGGAATAAAAGGCACAGAATAGTTCCTCGGCAACGAAGCGCGCGCACATACACGGTACTGACTAGGGCATAATCTGGGGAAAGGGGGATCTGACGAACGGGGACGGGAACCTCTGCTCAAGCTCGGGATATAGAGCGATCTAAGTGGCTGTAGGAAAGGTAGTTAGGTAGAGTGGCAGCGAAGATACAGAGAGATAACGGGTAGTATAGAGAGTATTGGCAGGCTGTGGTGAGGTGAAGGGAAGAGGAAAATGCTTGCTAGATTTTATGTAATTAAAATCGGGATGGGACCTGGGGCTGGGCTGGTTCGGGTGGTTCGCCGATTAAGAGGAAGCTCAGGTAGACGTACCAGTTCTCTTGGGAGGTGGGAAGACTTTTTTTTTTCTCCTCTTTCCTCAATCGTGGGAATTAGCGGTGCAGAATTCCAGTCTTACTAGCGAATGCTAGTTGCGATGGATTAGAGGACCGGACCCAGCAAGTAGACTGCCGTCGACTTTCAGTTCTTAGCGTCGTAGGCCTACACCCCCCCCCCCCCCCCCCTCGTCATGCGTCCGCCGCTGGTACCATCCAGAGTCGGCGGATTCATGCCCACGTATCTGGGTAAGACTCTTAGCCTCCCACACGACCTGAGCCCAGGAGACGCAACTCGCGAAGCGGGCCACAGATCGAGCCGTTCGGCGCTGCTACTTACGGCGGGGGGCCCGAGTATAGCTCCCCAGCGTGTACAGCACTCGCAATGCCGCCAGGTGCTCTGATAGTGATGCGGTACGCGTCGCAGCGGGACGAGAGGCAGAGACGGATAGATGATGTGTCTGTGGTGTGGTGTGGTGTGGCTGGATGGGACGGGTGGGCTTTACTGTTTGGGACCGTGCAGGACGGGACGTACGTAGTATAGCTAGCTGGCTGGCTGGCTGGCTTTGCTGCAACGCGGCGCGGGTGAGGAAGACCGGTGGGTGGACCAGCGCGGTCGATTCAACTGCGGCGAAATACACACAGGAAGCACAGCAATCTGTGGCAGGGTACGTGAATAGAAGTTCCTGGGGGAGGGAGAGTGGTGGTGGCGGCTCGATGGCCTGGAGAATTTCTGAGTCGATTCGTGAAGCCGGCCGGGGGGCTCCTCCAGCTGGAGCCCAGGTGGGAAGTGGACCAAACGTACCCAACATGGGCCGGCCACATACATCAGGTACATGACGATGATGCATGCACTGATGCATATGTACATACATGGGTGCAAGCAAGCACGGTAGGTACGCATGTACATACTCTAGGTATGTCACCCGGATGTGGTGGTGGTGGCCGTGTGCTCCACACCTGTCGTAGTTGCGGTTGCAGTTGCGGTTGCACAAAAGGGGAAGGGGGGGTGTGCGAGAATACCGGGGTGGAGGCAGCTAAAAAGCTACGTACCTCCTTAGGTACCTATGCGCCGTAATATCGTGGGAACACCAGGTACCCGCCTACCTACCACCCGTTGCCTACGTGAAGGGAAAGCAAGCTTCTCTGGCCTTCCATCGTCTCCGCCCAGCTTGTGAAGAGAGAATTATATAAGAGGCACCTTAGACCTTGCAGCCTTAGGTACCCGACTTTACCTTAGGTACCTACTTACGCTCGCGGCGAAGAGACTGTCTTTGCTTATAGTCAAGGCCCTTCGAAGTCTCTCGGTCTCGCATACTTAGGTACTGGAAACAAGCAGTTGACCCTTCGAGAACAGGCAGATACTCGGTATGATGTCTGTGGTGCTACAAGCCCTTTGGCTCCCCTGCTCAGCCTTTTCGCGGGTTCCACGGCGTGTGTCATGAAGGCCTCAGGAATATATATATATATATATATATATATAGAGAGAGAGAGAGAGAGAGAGAGAGAGAGAGAGAGAGAGAGAGAGAGAGAGAGAGAGAGAGAGAGAGAGAGAGAATAATCGACACTTGAGCTACGGAAGCGACGTGATTCGGCGGTTCGGGGGGCGGCATGAGACGGACACGGGTACGAAGTTGTGCGGGTGTGTATAATGTTGTTGCTACCTTGGGTGCTCCGTAAGACGAGTAAAGATCTCCACCCCTAGATAGGTAAAGAGGCAGAAGAAATCGCATCTCTGCGCCTCGAGATGAAATTGCATGCGTATGCAAGATTGGGGGGAGGGGGGGGGGCCTCTGGTATACCAGGCGGACAGCGAGCCCAACATTGAGTGTCCAAAAACAAGGGCATTTCTCTCCAGACAAGCTTCATTAGCTTATACATCCCGCAGCATAGCGTGAAGCCGGTTTGGTAAGAAGAGAAAAGAGGGGGAGGCCTGCATAGGGAGCTCCTTTTCTGGTGTTTACGTTAGGCTATCTGTCCCAGGCAATTTCCAAACTCGGTGTGCTGTGTCCCGCGCTATCGAGCGTATATCGGGTAGGATGACGCAGGACTCGAGTGGCATCGCAGTTGACTGCGGTTCCCTGTGTCGTGAATGTTGCATATCCCTAGGGTCTATAGCGTGGGTTTTCTCCCTATCTCTCTCTCTATCTCTCTCAATGCTACGTAGTATTCTTGCTATTTTGCTTTCTGGGAGTGGATTGTAGGGATAGGCGTCTTCGGGGCCTCTGGAAGGGGTGGTTAGGCGTTGTCCACAATCTGCAGACCCCACCTCCAATTGTCAGCAATCCCTCTTGTGATGTGGTAAAAATCCACAAGACTCGAAAGGTCTTGGACTTCCAAGTTACGACCAATATACATACCTACGTCTTTGCCCCTGCGGCTTGCATGAGGTAGGTGTCCGGTCATATGTGTATGTGTACTTGAAAAATCCGGGGAAGAACCCGCAGCGCCACAACATGGCGGCGGAGCACACGGCCGTGGTGTGTGGCCTGTGAGAGGCAGGTTTCTCAAAGGGACCATCCACGTGGTGAAACAAACTAGGCCTCCGACGGATTCTCCAGCGGTAGGTTCCCGTCCTCAATACTTTGCCGGCTTGTTGGGCCGAGGAGAGGAACAAGCAACAACTCTCTCCCCGGGCGGCCACTCAAACGCGGACAAATCAACAGATAGACCAGTTTACAAATACCAACAAGATTAATGGCGAGAAAGGATGGTAAGAAATGTCGGTGACCCCGGTGGAGGCTGCCAAGGGCAAGTGACGATGGAGACCGAGAACAACAGGCTTTTCCAGTCCGCTGGCATCGGTTTGGTTGGCCGGGTCTCCAGCACTTCTCTCCCGCATGCCAATCCAGCCCTACGAGCTAGCTGGCATCGAAGCAGCTGTGATGCTGCTCCGGTCAGCCCGACGTTTTTCTTTCTAGTCACCTGAGCAGCTCTACACCACTAGCGCGCGCAGTTGATTCTGGAGTCCGTGGATTGCGCATAACCCCTGTACAATCAGCGCCAGGTTGCATAGTAGCATATTGCGAAGCCTTGACAGCGCGGATGACCACCGTAAGCAGCCGCCGCAGCGATAGATTACGCTGTGCGAATAGCCTAGTACGTTGATATGAGAAAGACTTGGTCTTTATTTAAGTTCAACGTTTAGATACGTAGATAGATGTGGGTATGACATACCGCCTGTTTGGACTGGACAAACGTTACCCCATGATGAAAATAAGAAAGAATGAAACCTAAACTGGACGGCTCTTGCGAGGCTTTCGGTTCGTGGATTCTGAGCTCAAAGTATTTTGATGACGGGAACATCGGATTCTCGTAACGAGTTTTTTTTTTCTGAAAATACGGGCAAATCCACGGGGGGCATCCGGTAGTCGGAAAATCACGTTAGGAATTAGAGCACCCAGGATTGTGGGCGGCGTCGAGCTCACGACGGAGATATGCCAACTTTATTACGCAGAGCGAATCGCCACAACCTGAGCGCTTTTCGAAATCGTGACATGTAGGATGCCAACCTTTTGGTTTCCCTCAGGTTCGTCGCCGGGCAGGTTCCGCGTGCTACGTGGGACCGCATCAAACAGCAAGGAGGCTGAAAGATTTCCCAGGGGGGCGTCCCGCCTGTCGCCGTCCATCGAATGTTCTCCGGGGATCTCCATTGGATGTCTAGCGACTACGTTCGCCCACACCTGTAGTATGTCTGCAATAGCACCCCTCGCTGGGTCTTCGTAAACCTCGTAAGGGAGAGACACCCGGGCGGGTGATCTTCTCGAGGAGGATTGCAGAGCGATGTCTCGCCGTGACGTCGGCAATGCTCTACCTAGGCACCGACCTAGCGAGCCCGTCGACAGAAACAAAGCACATCCAGTTAAAGACTACCAAGTAGCGCTGTTAGGAATCGAACCCTATCCTCCTTTAAATAACCCACTGATCTCTACCTAGGTACCTTTCAGGTAGGTACCTACGTAGGTATGTACCCAATGGAGGCAAGACAGTTGTGCATGCTCTGGATGGGAGGTGTGTATGCGCCATGCGTAGTACGCGCTCTAGTACGTACAGAGGAGGCATTTCGGTGCATAACGTGTTGGCTATGCAGCAATTCCGTACCTCCTAGAGTCCGTAGGACCCAAGGTATGAAAGCACTACCTACCTTAGGTACAGAGTAGATCTGTTGGCCGTCATGGATGCGAACCCCCCGAGAGACACAAAGTACGTATGGAGATCACGGAGCTGTTCTTTAGCCAAGAAGAGGTGGTTAACTGTGGGGAAACGAAGAAGGACTGAAGATCGATGCACTCCTTCGTGGCATCTCCGAGGAGACAGGGATTCCCGACAATCTGCGTACGGAATGGGACGCGCTGCTACGTAGAACAGAAGAATACGCATCTACGTAGTATAGCGTATATTATAGGACAGGGCCGGCCCCCGGACGTGCGTGGTGCGGTGGTGGGAAGAGGGTAGGTACCTCCTAGGTACCTACCTGCCTACCACACGACCAAGTACCTAAAGTAGGTACCTACCGCCTATCACAGTACGTACTAACGTACCTAGGGGGTTGTGGTAGGTCCAGGCGAGCTGCGGACCAATGACCTCGTCGCTGCGCGAACCGGCCAGTTCCGCATTAGGCATTTTCTCGACCGGGTCGACCAACAGCATGGGTCGGTTTCGCACGGGCCACCACCACCGCAACAGCAGATGGAACAGGTACCAGGTATCTCCTCCGCCGGCGGCATCTTGGCAACCAACCCGGATGGTACGTGCTGTGTAGGTGCCTGTATACATGCGTTTAGGTACCTAAGGTAACTAATATAACCTTGGGTCGGTGGTCTCCGTGTAGAAATCCGGCATCGAACGCTACTAAGAGGGTGTTGTATTATATAGTATGCTACCTGTAATAGTTGGTATGCCTATCTATCCATCTAGGTAGGCTGGCGTCGGGTCGCCACGCCCTGGCGTTGTCTGAGATCCGAAACTAGTGTGTATCTGCGAGCTTCTAGGATCGAAGTCTCTCTCTCTCCTCTCTCTCTCGCTCTCTTACTGCCACTGTGCGTCGATGTGCGCGTGCGTTGCGTGTACTACATGGTATGTGTGTATGGTTATGGATGGGTGGGAGGCATGTATGGATGTGTGAGTGGGAGATTCGTGTTGTATGTATGTACGCCACACTCACAGAAACGGGGGATTGAAGGTGTCTGTTGACGGGGGGATATGCCTTCTGGAAAGCTTCTAGCTGACTTCTAGATGGCTTTGTCATGGGCCTTGCCAAGCTGCAAAATTTCACCTATCCTCTCAAGTGACGTGTTGCCCTCACACCGAGCTACGTATGCGGCAGCTTATCTCGCAACCATGTCCAATTCCGCGCCGATTTCGCTTCGCCGTTCCGACGGGCTCGCCCTATGAGACATCCTCATCTCCCCCTCCCCTTCAGCTCGCTAGCTGAGACAGCTTGTGCTCTCGCCTCGGCAGATTGCTCTGATTGATGTACCCAGATAGGAAACGTCGCTTGCCTTGTTCACTTCAGCCATGCTCCTTCGCCCGTCCGATTTTTGGCATTAGTACTACTAAGGCTGACCTGCTCGGGGACTGCGAAGTCTCTCGCCCCGTCATACGAGACATCCTTGCACCCCAGCGTGACGCTTTCGTGGTGTAAGCCCATGTAGTAATTCGCGCATCTATCATAATAAGTGAACTCCCTAACAGCACTAATGTGCTGCTCTAACTCATTACGCTCTATACATGTGCGCGTGCTTGTTAGACCAAGTGCATCGATGTGACCTCTTAACTTGGTACATTAGCGTCGACATGCCCTGTTAGTTCGTGAGGAACACCCCACGCCCAGGGAGAGGTCAGCACAGGCTGGGGGGGTTCGACCCCGCGTCCGCCGGCGCTGATTGGAATAGATATTATGTTCCCGAGTTCCAACTCTGCCTGGAAGGTAGCCATCGACGAGTCTACATACCTAGTACTGCCGATGCTGGTAACCCGTCGTTATAACGTTGCACTCACTCTGTTACCCTGTGGAGACCGGCCGGGGTCGGGGACGACAAAACAAGGTAGGATGAGCATTGGTGGGGGGCACCTATAATCTCTGAGGTATCAAGGCCGCTAGCTAGCCCTCGAAATCCCTGGCTTTCTTTTAAAAGTCGATGTTGCTGGCTCTCGCTGAGGCTCGGGACAGCTCGAAACCCATCAGTAAAAATGATCGGCGACAAGATGTAGCTCGCCGGCCTACTAATATCTCTTGCCAGATGACGCCCAATGGATTGTCTATATCACCGCTTAAGCTTCTGATCTGGTCTTGAAACGTGACCCGCACCAACGTTGGCGCCGTTTAGCGTAGGGTTGACTATTCTCAAGCTTCCGTTGTCAACGGCTTTTACTACCGCTATTTTCTCCATTCGATATACCTTAGCGAGGGATGGCAGAAATCCAAGCTTGAACCCAAAATCGGCCTCATATCCTATCGTCCGCGACTAGGTTTCCGTCTCAAACATCAGCCACAGTCTTTCGACGGCTTTCTATGTCAAGGCATCGTAGAATCGCATAGAAGCCCTAGTCAGGGCGAATCGCCGACTGGAGTGCACGTCCATCACGAAGTATACCCAGTAGCGCCCGTTACGACGCCGAATGCCCCGCCCCCTTTCCCAAACATCTCTCTGACGTCGGCGATGAGCTCGTCCGGGCGCTCCCAGGCAGCGAAGTGGCCGCCGCTATCGTGATCCTTCTCGTACACCACTTCGCCCAATGTGCGCACCCACATGCTAGGCAAAACCTGCAGGTCCATGGGGAAGTGGCTGAATCCTAGTTTCACGCCGGGAGACCACGCCCGTAGGGCCTGATGGTCTAATTTTCCAGACCTCCCGTCCACATTGTGCGTTATTTCGTAGTAGATCCGGACGCTGGCGGCGGGCCCTGCCGTGCTAAACCAGTAGATGCTCACCCAAGTGCAGATCTCGTCATCCGTCCACGGGTACGCGTCCGTCCAGTCGTGCAGCTTCTCCAAGATCCAGGCTAGGCAGGCCACTGGGCTGTCCGCCAGCCCGTATCCGAGCGTTTGCGGCTTGGTCGATTGCTCGAGGTTGTAACCTCTGCCCTCTGTCTCGAACCACTTGGTGCGCGTTACGCCACGTCGCTCCCGCGAGTTGTAAGGCGTCACGGCGTGCTGAAGAGCGAGGAGCGGGTGCTTAAAGTACTCAGGCGGGTTGGCGGAGTCGTAGTTGAGGTGCGTTGCCCGGCAGTATTTTGGGTAGAGGTGCGCAATGGCTCTGCTGATGTGACATCCCCAGTCGCCACCTTGCGTAACATATTCGTTGTAGCCCAACTTCAGCATGAGCTTATTCATAGTCTCTGCGTACTGCTCTATAGCAAAGCCGCGCGTCTTGGGCCCTTCGGAGAACCCAAAGTTAGGCAAAGAGGGTGCGACGACGTCGAAAGCAGGGCACTTCACCCCGTCGCCCTCTGTTAGGGGCTGCAGTATCTTGAGGACCTCCTCGAAGTGACCTGGCCAACCGTGAATAAAGAGCAAGGGGATGGCACCTTGGACCTTGCTGCGAACGTAGATAAAATGGATCGCTAGAGACTCGAAGCCTTCACACTGAACGTCGGTGACGAAGTGCGGTGCCTTATTCAGTTCCTTCTCCGCCTTCCTCCAATCGTACGACTCTCGCCAGTAGCTAGTCAGCCTCCTGATGTCTGCGAGAGGAGACCCCACTACGAACAGCTCGGGTCAGTTATAGCTATTCCACCTACGAAGGGCTGGAAGGTATTGGGGGTAGCACCGATTACACGAGGCTAGCTACATAAGATAGCCGGCTCGCGGCGCCCTGGTACGAGTAGAGAGAAGTTGATATGCTTCCGAATGCGAGGGCGCTGGTGCCTAAAGACGGGGGTGGAGGATTGGAGGTATACTCACTATCCCATCCTGCTTCGTCCAACTCATCTGGAAACCTGGCTAGAGATAGTCGGAGTTTGAGGTCCTCTAAGCGCTGGTCGTCGACGGCAATGGTATATGGCTGGATGTCTGTCATGATGAGTTTTACTGTGGACGGAAGCAATAGCTAGGTCGAGCCTCAAACTACTTGTATATTGGACAAACGACCAGATATCGACGACACCCCGCAACGATGTTGTAGTGCGATACAATGGAAATTCGGATGGAGACGTTTCTGTGTAATATGTGCTGCGGTCCTGGGGCATTCTTATATGCCCTCGGGTCAGATGTGCGGCTGGGCTGCAAGCGTCGCCTACCTAGACGTCGTTGAATAGGGGAGATGATAGGCGCTGGTGGCGTGCCGGTCGACGGCGAGGGTTTCTGGTCTCGACCGCGGAGGTTCCGTTACGTATGCAGACAACTCGCTGCCTATCTGGGGTAGGGCGTTCTCTTATGACATGGCGAAGGGCGTGAGAATATTCAGGTATGGAACCTTGCAATCGACCCCCCGACCCCAGATCGCGACTTAAGATGCCTACAGGCAAAGGTGGTACCCATTGAGCATCCCCGGTCGCATGCATGACGCATAGCCCGTCGCCCACCTCTCGAGACCCCATGCCGCGATGGCCCGGTAGAGATGATTGGTATTCGCGCCTATGCGGGTGGTAGTGAGTGCTTTGCGACACACCTAGACGAGCCATTTGGGCGCCGGGAGGTATTGCCAAAAGTTCTGGTCGTATACGGCTGCACATCCCGAAGTTGGTTTGTTTGCATGGTGCTCGAGGCCAACGAAAGAAGAACCGAGGTGAAGATTCTTTGTAGGAGTGTGGAGTGACCTCACTGGGGAAAACATGTCACATGGACAGCAACCAGTTTGAATCACGGGCGAGGAGATGCGGCTGGGCTGTCGGTGTTACGGGGGTACGGTTAGTAATATCCAACGTGCTCAGAGGAACATAGCGCGAGCGGGGTACCTGCGTGATTCGGACTGACGATATCGGATATCACTGTAAACAGTGGCATAGGTACCTAGATATCTTTAGTGGCGAGGCTTTTCCTGGTTGGCGATCGGTTGCTAGTTAGAATGAGGGGACGTCAAGGCCCGTAGTGCCTATCGCGAGCGACGGTACCAGCAGGTAGGTAGATTCACCATAGCGATGAATCGTTACAATTGTTACCGATGCACACCCGGGAGGGCGAGGCTAGATCGCCTTGCCGATTTGTGTATGACGATGCCTTACTGTAGGTACCTCTGAGTTCGGTACCGGCCTGTTGCCTATAATACAGGTATATAAGTCGGGTGCTTGAGGTACGTGAGGTACCTGTATAAGTACCTGATGGTAGGTACGTACGTACAAAAGGTACTTGGGTGATCGGCAGGCCGTCGCCCGTTTTCCGGCGCTACGGCCAAAACAATTTGTTGACTTTCCCCCCAAAGTAAACCAAAGTAAACAAGTCTAATGTCAGTCAGTCTCCTTTTTTTTCCCTCTCCACTGCCTTCTTTCCACTTCATCACCTTGACACTGCATATTAATCCCGTAGCACGAGCTTTCTGAGATACGAGAATCTTCTGAATCCACCCAAGAATCACTCCATATCTGCCCATTGAGGCTGCCAATACCGATCCCGCCATGGCGCGTCGCTCGGCTCGCATCGCGGGCGCTTGCAAGGTAAGTAAACAAACCCTCCTGTCTGCCTGCTTCCCCCTTTCCCATCTCCCTATCTTCATCTCGCATCTCGAATGCTATATCCCGCTTACTTTCCGGCACTGACCGCGCCTTTTTTAACATTAGAGAACTACGGCTTCGCCCGCCCCTAGAATGGGATCCGTCTTCGAGGACGGTGAGCCGTCCGAAACCCCGACTACCACGCGCCGTCTTGACACGATTGCCTCTTCCCCGATGGCTAAGCCCACCACCCCATCTTTAGCTACGCCAGTCAAGCTCCCCATGTCCGAAATGCACCCGAGCAAGGCCCACCCGACCACCGCAGCACCTTCGTCCGGCACTAAGCTTGGCTTCGTCGACATCGACTACACCAGAACGCCTGCCGAGCAGATCGCCCTGGCCCGCGATACCCCTTCCAAGACCCCGTCGCTCCTCCCGTCGTCTGCCTTCACCTTTCGGAAGACCCTCTCCACCGCCGACAATGCGTTGAGCCCCGAAACTAAAAAGATGATGGAAGCTATTCGCGACCACGGTGCCAGAATCAAAGCCGACCTTGTTGCTCAGAGTAACCAGGCGAGGCTTGATGGAGATGAGTCGTGCGACGCCCGCAAAATCCGACGAGCTAAAGGCAAGATGGACCGCTTCAGTGCTGTCCATATAGCCGAGTTTAAGAAGATGGATTCCATCGAGAACCATCCTTCCGTCCTTCGAAACGCTTCCAATCGCAACGCCCTCAAAGCAGGCGTAAAGCGGAGCCAGTCAAACGCTGACCTCGAAAATCCCGACTCAGTACAGTCTGCAGAGTCTTCTTCTCGCCCAGCGCCGGCCTTTTCCGAGACCCAGGATCGTCCCGATCCTGAGTCTGCCCCGGTGAAGCGTATGCGACAGAGAGCTGAGGATGATGCATCTGCCCTTCGACCTGTTTCACGCGACGGCGGTTCCATTCCCCAGCCGAAGAGCAGCGGCAACGATTCATTCCGTAGCGGCATTCCTCGATCACAGGCCCTTGCTAGCGCCATGACCCCAACCAAAGCATCCCTTGCGCGCGCAAAGAGTATCAAGACTCTTCCTACCACTAACCTGGCCAAGTCTGTTAGCAAACCTGATCTGAGCGGCCTCTTCAACGACGAAAGCAAGCCGGATCTCGCTGGCTTAATTAGATCTTCCAGTAAGAAGGCTTCCGGTGGTCTGAAAAAGTCGGTAACAGCCAGCGACTTGAGCGCCCCCACGCATGTTCAAACTCCCGGTCGATTTGATAAGGTCAAATCGCTGTTTAAGAAATTCACTGGACCTAAGCCCAAGTCCAACATCCCCCAGCTTACGGCTACCCCTTCTAAGACGTCTCTCCACCCGGGTGTCGACAACGAGCTGCCGCCTGTTCCACTTACTGCTCCGGCGCGAAAGCCGGAACGCCATGTGAACTTCACACCCCGAACCAAGCCGCCGCCGGAGTTGACGAATACTCCGTCTCCTGTCAAGTCGAGCCTCCCGCTCTCCAAGGCGATGGCGCAGCGGCTCCCGACTAGCGCTAGCGGCAAGCTCGCCGCCGTCGTTGGCAAGCCCGCGGGCGAGAAAGCGGCCCCGTCTAGCGATGAGGTAGCGTATCCAGACTTGTCCGCCTACTGCCGCAACATCGGCGAGAACGCGAGCGAGAGCCCAGAGAAGCCGGGTGAGAAGCCGGGTAAGGCGCACCTGCCGGCGTCGGTCCCCGGCACCTTCACCTTCCGCAGCGACCACACGATCCGGTTCGACTGCAGCTCGCCGCGGGGGTTCGGCGCCGCGGCGGGCCAGGCGAGCGTGCGCCAGGTGCGCCACTCGGTGCTGCCGGGGGCGTGCGCGCCGGTCCTGATGCCAGGGAGCTTCCCGCGGCTCGCCGCCGCGGCCGACGCGGCGTCGGCGTCGCCGAACAAGGAGAACCAGGACCCGGGGCTCGCGGGCGTCGGCGTCGGCATCCCCCACGGCATGTCGAACAAGAAGCGGCACCGGACCAGCTGGGCCGAGGAGGAGGCGGAGGCGGCGCAGCAGGAGCGCGGGCGCGAGCAGGACGAGGGCGGCGCCCGCGCCGCCAAGAAGGCCCGCAGGGAGGCGCCGCTCGAGGGCCACGCGGTCGTCGCGCCCCGCCTCGTCGCCGCCGGCGCCGCGGCCCTCTGCTCACCCGACAAGAAGAAGGTCCCCGCCCCCCTCGCCGCCACCCCGAGCCCTCTCAAGAAGAAGCGCACTGGCGGCCTCACGCGCAGCCGCCTGAACATGCTGGCCCGGCCGAAGATCCGCAAGTAGAGAAGGACAGAGAGCTGCCAGCCGGCGTCGAACACGCGCGCGTAGATGCCGCTTTGGACTGGCGGCGCTTTTTATGCCACGCGGGCGAGGGCTCTCCCTGCCGCTCTGATACATGGAAGCACTGACCTTTCTCTCCCGTTCTTTCCACGAGCTACTACTACCACCGCCGCCGCCGCCGCCGCTTGTGCTGCTTACCGCGCTACCGCTACTACGCCCCACTCCTCCTCCTCGGCTCTCGCATCGCATACGGTTGATTTCTGCACTGCATTCGGGGGGGAGAAAAACGGCACGGCGACACGGGGCGTCGTCGTCGTCGTCGTAGGACCACGGAGAAGCTTCTCTAGATGGAGACGGATGCTTCTCCGCTGCTTGTCTGTTCGGGGGTCTTGTTTTTTAACCCCCTCCCGCTCACTAGCACACTGTTGCTGTTTTCCTAAGGGTACCTGTTGTTTCGGCGTTGGTTTGCAAGGTATGGCGTGGTACTGCTGTTGCTCTTATAGCTGCTCCTAGGGGCCTGGGCGGGGATGGGAATGGATCAAAGGCTACGCTACGGCGCGCTCCCGCATTCAAGGTCTTTCTTCCCGTGTAGATACATAGGGTTAGGTACCAAACGATGGCATGAGAAATTTTATGGTTACGATCTTCTACAATGGTGAAATGTCGGGTTGGTATCCCGCTCGGCGTCGTGTGTTTCTGGGAATTGGTCCCCTCCCTTTTTCCACGCCCCGTCAGATATTACGTCGCAGTGATACATGCCCGTATCGTTTTAAGAGGAGTGGTTTTCCGTCATGCTGCGACCGGCTATAGGTATTTGAATAACTACTCGGAATATCCGGTATGGCTGGTAGTTAGCATCCTGTGCATCGTCTTATTCTTGTGTCCTTGTACAACTCGATGTTTTTATAGTTACTGCCGATGAGGAAGCTCGAACGTTTCTCGGCGTACTTGTTAACATGCTCGTAACTACCTCGAGGCGTACGCTGGGACGAAGCTGGCTTTTCAGATGCGCGTTGGGTGTCTCGTTCGAGGGTTGCGTACCTAGGCGGCTGATTAGATTTCGACACTACTTACCTACTACCTACCTATCTACCTACCCTAACCCATCTGAGTGTGAGATCTACGTTACCTTGTTTAAATAGTAGCTGCATCCCGCGGCTCTGTATATAGCAATGCCGGCTCTATAGCATGTATGGAGACGGACGGAAAAGTGTTATTATCGTGGACAGGAAGCATCTCGATAGACCTGCGGAAACGAGCGATTCTGGCGTCGAGCCTATTACCATGGCCGTAACCCGTGACGTCAGTCTTCCCAATCAGGAATGTGATGCCCGCTTTGATTGGCCCAGTTAGCATCGCTCAGTCGAAGTCGGGATACTTCCCACTCGTGCGCGCTGCGTGGATGCTGTAGAGACTTGCCTAGAGGGTGGAGATGGATGGATATCATTGTAAGTAGGCGTAAGAGCAACAATGGATTTAGAAACATTCACGGGTTATTGGAGGTCGTGTATGTTGCACCTTACCAGCCGGATGGGGATGGGGGTTCTGGCAGAGAGTGACAGACGACGCCTTTTCCACTCCGCTCACCCGATCCAACTTGTATAACCACATACCTCGCGCATTGATATAATAATCGTTTACTGTTTGGATCCGCTAGGATTAAAATCAACAAATAACCCCCAAAATGAAAACGCTGCAGCTGTTGGAGGGGAGTTTGATACGTATCGTTTAGGATTTCGAGTGAGGGAGGGTACCTATGGTAACCGGACCGAACGCCAGCAAGTAGCATGACCCCCTTGCATTTCGACATCTATGACGGATCGGGCCGGCCAGGTAGAGCAATAACGGGAAACACTGCCGTTACCCACAGTAACATCCCCTGCCCTGAGGGCATCCTTAGGCGCAGAGTTATAGACAGTATAGGTATGAGTACCTATACTTGGGTGCATCCTGATTGACCCCAGTTGATGTACGGGATTTGCACAGCGTGCCTGGCCGCGACGGGAAGGTTATAAGAGGTAAGACGAAGGGGAAAATGCGTGTAAATAGATACACACACACATAAAGACATATTAAATATACAAATATATGCCTGTACCTCGCATGCATGGCTCAGTGTAGGTCTGCCTCGCCGCGTGGAGCCCGCAATACCAACGTAACCCACCCGCAGACCCGCAGACCAGCGCGCCGTCGGGTCGGCGACGAGTACTAAGTACCGCAGGCCATACCTCCTGTACGTGTACCTACTGGTAGAACCGCACCTCGTACTCTCTTTCCACCTCCCTCCTTCCCTCACCTTCTCAGCACCCCCTCAAACAAAGACCGCCTTTTCCCCTCGAGCGTCGATACTCTCTCTCTCTCTCTCTTTTTCTCTCTCTGCCATTCTCTCTACCAGCAGCCAACCCGTGCCTCTTCTCCATCACACAGCCTCATCCTCACCTACCCCTCCCTCTCACGCCTCCGCGCGCCGCACGAGAAACCAGACGAACGCGCCGTCGAGCCGACCCGCCATGGCCCCGGTGGCGCGCGTCGACCACGATGCGCTCGAGCGTGAGCCGGCCCCGCCTGCCCCCCCCTCCCCCCTCCTCCGACCTGTCCGCTAACGCGCGCCGTCTCACCCCTCCGCAGAGCAGCTCAAGGACACGATCCAGACGCTCACCAACATCATGGTGCAGGTGACGAACTACGACGCGACGGGCTCCTCGGCGTCGAGCGCGGCCGGGGGCGGCAGCGCGCGGGGTGTGTCGTCGTCGTCGTCGCGCGACGTGATCGCGAGCGAGCTGCGGGCGCTGTCGGCGTCGCTGCAGGCGGTGCACCAGCGCTCGGCGGCGTCGCTCGCACCGTCGCCCGTGCCCGCCGCCGCCGCCCTCCCTCACATCCCCCCTGAGCTCATCCAGTACGTCGACAACGGCCGCAACCCCGACATCTACACCCGCGAGTTCGTCGAGCTCGTCCGCCGCGGCAACCAGCTCCTCCGCGGCAAGCAGGCCGCCTTCGCCGCCTTTCGCGACGTCCTCGCCGGCGAGATGGACCGCGCCCTCCCCGAGCTGCGCCGCGACACCGCCCGCGTCCTCGCCGCCACCGCCGGCCCCGCCAGCGGCACGGCCGCCGCGGCGGCGTCGAGGAGGACGTGAGCGCGAGAGTTGCCGTGGCTGAGGAGGCCGGAGAGGTGGGGTATAGGGAGGTGATGATGACAATGACGACGATAGAGGTCTCAGGCTAGGACGGGGCCTAGGGGAGATACACTGAAGAGAAGAGAGACGCGGAATGCCCATCAGATGCAAAGTTGGGGTCCTGGTTAGTTGGCTCTGTTCTGTTTTATTCCACCCTTTAAATTTTATTCGAGCGGTATTTGCAAAGCTGTTTTTATATACTAAGCCGCGGCCCGGCCCTTACGAATTTGCAGCATTTCCCATACTTGAAATCGCAGTACTTGGGCACGTCGTATATTAAATCTAGCCTTGCCTAGTTCCGCGGCCCCGCGTTGGCATCCGGTAGATGTTACCGCGGGACGCGGAACGAAGACCACTATACCGTGGCTCGTCACAACATAACTCCACGCACCGGCACCCCTTCCTTGCCGACCTGTGTAGCGCGTTTGCTCTCTACTTCTTGCCCACCCGATATTTGAAACGACCGCTTAACCGGCGTGCTCTCGCCGTTGCCATCGTCTCAGATCCCCTATTCACTCCACTTCCCCGCCTCTACTCTTGCGAGTGGCCCCTCCACTCAGACCAGAAAAGGGGGAACAAGGAAACGAGAAGAGAGACGGGAAGGGGAAAAAAACGAAAGGAGAAGGAGCGGCCATCGGCTATGCTCAAGCCTTTAGGATCTTGATAACCTCGGCGACGACGGCATCGCCGACCTCAGTGGTGCCCGCCGAGCCGCCGAGTTCCTTCGTCCTGATGCCGGCCTCGATGACGTTCTTCACGGCGGTCTCGACCGCGTCGGCCTCGCGCGGCAGCGCCAGCGAGTAGCGGAACATCATGGCGACAGACAGGATGGTGCCGAGAGGGTTCACGATGCCCTTGCCCGAGATGTCGGGCGCCGAGCCTGCGTAACACGGGAGACATTAGCTTAGGCCGCGGCCAGCCATCCTAGATAGAACCGTGATTTCTCTCGACTAACCGTGGATGGGCTCGTAGATGCCGTTGCAGCGCGCCTTCCCGTCGGGCAGGCCGGCAAGGCTCGCGCTGGGGCTGAGGCCGATGCTGCCGGGGATGGCGCTCGCCTGGTCGCTGATGATGTCGCCGAAGAGGTTCCCGGTGACGATGATGCCGTTGAGGGAGCGCGGGTTCTTGACGAGGAGGAGGGCGGCGCTGTCGATTAGCTGGTGGCGCAGCTCGAGCTGGGGGAACTCGCGGGCCATGGTCTCGGAGACGACGCGGCGCCAGAGCCGGCTCGACGCGAGCACGTTGGCCTTGTCGAGCGACCAGACGGGCGCCGGCGGCGTGCGCGCGAGGGCGAGGCGGGCCGCTAGCCGCGTCACGCGCTCGATCTCAGGGCGCGTGTACAGCTCCGTGTCCCAGGCAACGTCGGCGCCCTCAACGCCGTCCTTGCCGTCGGTGCCGGCGACCGGCTCCTTCCGCTCTCCGAAGTAGATGCCACCCGTCAGCTCGCGCACGATGGTGAAGTCGGTGCCGCGGCACACGTCGGCCTTGAGCGGCGAGTAGTCGACGAGCACGTCCGACGGGAAGAAGCACGGCCGCAGGTTGCCGTACGTGCCGAGCTCCTTACGCAGCTGCAGGATGCCCTGCTCTGGCCGCACGGCGCCCGTGCCCCACTCAGGCCCGCCGATGGCGCCCAGGAGCACCGCGTCGGCGGCCTTGGCTGCGGCGAGGGCTGCCTCGGTAAGCGGGGTGCCGTGGGCGTCGATAGAGCTCTGCGGTTTCTGGATTCAGCCTCGCCTCTCCTTTCTCACTCTCTCCCTCTTTCCCATGTGCATACGTGTAGGTGGCTATGTATCTAGAGAAGGGGCGAGAAGCAGGAGAAGGGGGTGGCTCTGGAGGGTGGGAGGAAGACGTACACCGCCGAGGGGGTGGTCTTGGAGGTTGAACTTGCCGGCCGATGGGCTCGCGGACTCGATTGCCTTGATGACCTGTTGGAGCGCTCGCCTCGCGTTAGCACGTCTATCACAGGTAGTTGCACGTCCGGAACAATTGGCCAATGGCTTGAGAGACGTGTAGAGATGCGACTCGCCTTGACGGCCTCGGCCACGACTTCGGGACCGCAGTGGTCTCCGCCGAAGACTACGATGTTGTGGGTGGACATTTTGACTGCGTCTCGTCCGTCGTCTCGCTTCAGAAGCCGCAAGAGCCCTGGTGCGGTGCGGGAACCAGTGTCAACGTCGAAGGTGAAGGGAGTGCCGCGTAGAACTGATTGGCTTGGTGGGTGGGATTGCGAGGTGACAGTGCTCGCTGGGACGACTTTGCCTGTGTACGTGCGTATGTAGAGGGGTGATCTATAGAGAGCCCACCTGTCTGTGTAGTATCCAGCAGCAGCAGGCAATAGTGGTGGGAGTAGTGGTAGTAGTAATAAATATATACACCTAAGGCACTCGAGTATGTTGGCACCGGCTTGTAATATTTAACAGCAAAATTCAACAACCCTCGCATTTCACCTCGATTCAACCGACCTCTTTAATGTCCCCATACTTTTTTTTTCCTCTTCCTCTCCTTCTTCTGGTCCTTCCTCCGGTCCGATCCCGGTTCGGCTCCCGAGTCGCTACGAGAAAAGAACATAGAGAGAGAGAAAGAAAAAAAAGAAGAGAAAAAGAAAGAAAAAGGCAAAGGTAGGGAGAAAAAAAAAAGAAAGAAAAGCGAAACGAAATGGGAAAAAAAAAAAAAACCTGGACCTATCCCCAGCAGAGCATCCGTGAAGGCCAGCCCCGCGTTCGTCAGCCGGTTCAAAGTCGTGCTTCTGTTCCCCTTCCCCACGTTGCCGAGATCGGCCGAGTCTGGGATACGTACCCCTCATCCCCTTCCCAGGTCCATCGCAACCAACCGATCTCATCATCCCAATCTTTGATATCCAGGCGCCTCTATGTAGAAGTCCTGGACACGGCGCCGCCTCCCTATTAAATTCCTCTGTACGCATGTTGCCAGGCTCGAATTAGCCCGAGTTTGCCGACACTTGCCGACCAGAGGTACCCCGGTATCACCCCACCTACCTTTATGTACTTAGGTACATAACGTGGGTTCAGGTCATAGCTCTATCATGTGGGTATCTCAAGTACCTAAGTACCTACTTATATTTAGATACTATAGCGGGAGGGGGGGGGGGGGGGGGGGTTATGGATAGTATATTTATAATATTACTACGGTATAGAAGTAATTTTTAAATAAAGTAATAATAACGAACGCTTTCATTAAGTATAAAGTACTTATAGTAAAAGTTACGATATAGATTTTATTATAGTTTAATATAAGTATTACGTTATAGTTATTTTAATAAAGTATGTATTTGTTATCTTCTCGATATTATATTAATTTAAATATATATTCTAACTTAATATAATTTTAGATAATTATTTTATTTTTAAAAGGAGCTACTAAATTAATATAACATTCGTATTATATCTATATCGTATCTTAAGTTTAATTCGCTTTAGTATTACAATAGAAATACTTTTAGCTATAGTGATCCTTTCTAAGAGTAGTAATAGTGCTAGACATACTGTCGATAGACCCCATCCTCCCGTATGGTAGGTAGGAAGTAGATTAGATACCGAAGGTACTAACCTACAGTAGCCCGAGATCGTTTTGCCCGAGTACATGCCCATATACACATTAAGGTACCTGTAGGTACCTACATACCTGTAGTTAGGTACATTAGGCACCTTCACCCCTTAGACGCATATCCCGGTCGCCGCCGTCATACCCCCGTCACCGTAGACACCTTCGCCCCGATGGCCCCGGTCGGCTTTCCGCTTCTTCCGTGTCCGGCGCAACTCGTCCCAATGCCGCAAAAGTACGTAGCCGCGACGAGAGTCGGTGGCGGCTATAGTTGTAGACCCACGCATACCGTCGTAGAGCTAGACTCAAGTCCGCTTCTCTACTCCGTCTTCGTCTTCAGAAGCCAACCTTCCTCATTGCCATTCCTTCGTCTTCCGCGGAAGCCCGGATTAGGGTAGGGTATCGTGTAGTATGCAACTGCTCCTAGCTTGTATTTGTACCCAAGCGGTCTATTTCCGTCTATCTTCAAGCGAACGCCGCCATCCACAGAAGCCCCCATGTATTAAGCCGTCCCTCGTCCGATCCATCCCACAGCGGATCGTACCCCGACGCGCGCCCGCCCCCCGAGATGCCTGCCGCGCACATCATTACCTAAATGATTTGAACGACCTATGCGCTAACGGGGACGTGATGGGCAGTCGAGGGTTCGACCCTCCCGTGGTCCTACGTATCTCGCGCCCTCGCATGCCGTGGGCGTTGGGCGTATTCGCGCAGAACGCGCACACGTATACACGCGGGTGCGTCTGGCGCGTGATGTTGGTGCACTTGCCGTGAAGCCACATTTCGCACGATTCGCTGCCACCGCATCAGCCGCTGTACTCGACAGGCCCTACGATATGCGTATACGTCGGCAAGGGGGAATGGGGAGAGGGGGTGGGACATACCACTGAACCATGTAGCCGTTGCCGTTGATATGGCTACTGGCAGTATTGCAGATGCATCGGATCTGGTAGCTCCGGTCAGCCGACGGAGTGTGGAGTTCGCTGGTCCTCAGAGAAACCGGAGAGACGGTCGAGCTGGCGCTATAGGCCGGTCGTGATCCGAAGTGCTCGCCCGTATTCAAACCTCTCTTTTGGCGGCTCTCGATAACCTTGCGCAGTTCGCTTGCCGCGTCACCACGGTCGCCACCGTCAGCCACATTCATCACCGTCTCCGCCTCGCTTTCGGCATCGTTGTCCGCCGGATCGTGGTCCGTGAAATAGATGCCTAAGCTACTCGTGCTTTGGTCGGCGATGCTTGTCTGCGACGTGTGGAAAGCCTGGGAGGACGGCATTCGCAGATCAGGAGCTGCAAACGACGTGTTTCTGCTCGGGATGATGATAGGCTCGTCGTCCGTGGAAGATTCGTCCTCTCCGGAGGATGTCCAACGCTGCTCCTGGCCACGTTGCTCCTCCCTCCGGCGCCGCGCGATGGCAGACGTCGGCTCCTCATCGTTTACAACTATGGTCGTCGTTTCTGCCCGCGCCCGACCTTTCGAGTCGATTGTGAACTTGACAGAGGTTTGAGTTCGAGGAGCCGGCGCCTCGGGAATAGAGCTCAGGCTAGGCAGCCGATGGTGGTAGTTCTTGAGCGGTGATATTCTCCCGCCTGTTCTGGGCCCCTGAGATACCGACCTCCGGGTACTCTGTGGTATAGGTCGCGCGGCCGGCGCAAGGCTCGGCAAACTAGGCATTTTGCCAGCGGGCTTTCGGGTTCCTTTCTCACTAACACTCCGCGACAGCCCGGGACGGTCGATAGGCTTGACTGGCGAGCTTGCCGAAGCACGATTCGCCTTCTTGCCGGTTGTCGCTCCTTTGCTGCCTGCCGTACGACGCACAGGACCGCGTTTTGGCTGTTTGGCGGGTACCGGCGCAGTTTCCAGTGGCGTCAAAGGCTGCATCAGGGTAGGCTGCGGCATGGGGTCAAAGGGCGCCGGTTCCATATCGGCAGAAGGTGGCCGAGTAAAGAGAAGGCCAGGATCTACGCCGCCACTATGGCTCATCATAACAAAAGAATCGTCAGCTGAGGCAGGGAAAGATGAACTGAACATGGACGAGTCCGCCGCGCTCGTGTCGAGGGGCGATGACACAGGCTTCGGCGCAAGCGCCCGTTCCTTCTTTGCCGGCGGGTGACCAGTTTCCTGAGTCTGCGATGGAACAACGCCGGTGTCCTGGAATACCTCGTTGGACTTGCCCCAATCCAGGGAGCCCATGGGTCGGTGGCTCGGTGGCGGGAATGCACTTCCGCTAGCAGTGGAGAAGTCGATATCCATCGGGGTCATATCGCTATCCCAAAATATGCGTGCATCCCCGAAGGCCGGGGCCGTGGCTGGCGCCGACATAGGATATCCAAAAAGGTCGGGAGCTGATATGAAGCCAGACATGTGCTGCTGTTGCGGCGTGCCAGGTACTAACTCTGGATCGAAACCCTCATTTTGCATGATGCCTGTCTGGAGCTTCGGAGCAAGCCGCCGCTTACCCTTGTGAGCCGACGGCGGTGGCGTGGCCGTCTGGGTCTTGGCTTCTTGCGGTGTATCCCGGTAGCCCTTCTTGGAAGACAGCTGCTGTAAGGCAGTCTGAAAGCTGGTCTCGGTTGGGCTGTGATCCGTCACTAGGGGCGCCGGAGAGGAGAGAAGTCGCCGAGACGGCTCGACGGCGGGCAGAGGCAGGTTTGGGTTGGGCAAGTAGTGGGTAACATGGGATGCAATATCAGCGGCGATCTCCTCGGCAGACAGGGGCCTCTTGTGGTGGGAAGACTGGTAGGGCGTGGGGACGGAGAAGTCGACAAAAGGAGGGTGGGAGCCGGTCAAGTTGCCGGGAGTGGAGTTGAAAACGGAGTATTCTTCGGCAAAGCGCGGTGTCCAGCCCGAGGACTCGTCGAACGAGGCCCGATGGTGGTGGTTGTTTTTGGGAGTTTCGAAGACAGAGCTCGGAAAGCCAGCAGAGGTTGGGGTTTGTTTAGGGGTGGGAGGTTGAGCGTTTGGATCACCAAAGCTGCAAGCCGGCTGTCAGCACCGAGACATGTGGGAAGGGAGACTGAAAATGTGTCTTGCCTGGAAATGGGTTCGTCTCCACTCATAGCAAAAGTCTCTGATACGCTCCGAGATGCCCAAGAAACCACAACAAGCGTTTGCTCTCGGCAGCCGTTTCTAGCTGGCTGCGGCTACGGGAGAGGGATGCGGACTCGGCAAGAAGATGCGGTGGGCGGAGGATTCTCCCGCGCAGCCAGAGGTCTCCAAAGACGAGGAGAGTGCCGGCAGCAGCTACGCCAGCATGAAAAGAACGCTTCTCTCAAATCGACGACGGCGCCGTTTTTGTTTTCGGCGTGCGTGCGTTCGTGTGTGCGCCTTCAGGGTCGTATATCATTGCACATTATCATAACTACAGTCGTCGACAAGAGGGAGGGCGACGGAAATCGTTTGCAACCATCAGACACAGACTGCGGGAGGCGGGAAACGAAGAGTTATGGTCAGCTCAGCTTCGAATTCTACGATAGTTAAAAGAGTACGACGTACGGAATTGGACAGAGGAAAAGATATCATACGTCGTTGCTCTAGGAGACGAGTGGATGGGAAGAGATAGAGCCAATAATAGCAGGCGCTGTCGTGGTCTAAGCGGTGGTAGTGTGTGTGTGTGTGTGTGCGTGGTGGAGGTGGTGGAGAGGTTTAGGAAGATGTAGGTAGGTAAAAGCTCAGATGGAGCCCTGAGGTACGACGAGGTATGGAGAGAAGCGCTGCGTTGTGGCAGGTCACGCCTGCGCTGGAGGGCAGCACAGATTGGTGGATAGATAGGCAGGTGGGAGTGGCTGCCTTGGATGTGGATGGGGATGTGGAGGTGGGATGGCCAATGTCATAACGTCCATAGTACCTTTGTGTACATCGGTATTAGTAGTATAAAGGCATCTGATGCTTGAAGTCTACTGCTAGGGTGAGGTACCTGCAGTACCTCGGAGGTTGGTAGAGGTACCTAGCTTCTAGTTCGGGTGAATGATCAGGTTAGCATAGGCTAACAGGTAGTACATACCTATATACGAAAGGCAAGATAGAACAGAAAAATAAGAGAAGAGGAAGAAAAGAGAGGCAAAGGCGAATAGGACGTGTGTATACTCTATGCACCGCTAATCGGACGAAGCTTCACCTCCAGCTTGACCAAAATTTTCAGCTCTCTTTCTTTTTTCCCCCCTCTCCCCTAGCCGCAGACCCATCCCGCGAAGGAGACGAGGGGCAGACAGACAGACAAACAGACAAGACAGACAGACAAGACAAGACAAGAGAGAGACGGCTACCTAGCCAATAGCCTCCGGCAAGGACGGAGGTGGCGATCATGCTGTGAAGGGAAAACCCCGTCGTTTTGCGTAATGGTGCGGCCGTCTACATGAACAATCAATTGGCTGCGGGCACTCTGCTGAGACAGGAAACACTACACTGCATAAGGTAGGTAGGGAAGCCGGATCTATGTAGGTACACGAGCAGCCCGCATAGACGAGCAGAATAACAGGTATCATTAAATGTAGGTATAAAACATCTCTAGAAGAGTTCTCGTACCCACATATAGAAGAAAGCAAAGCGAAGGGATGGTGCCATTCGCACAGGGAGCCCTAGGATAACCCCCGGAACCGCAACCCTCATCGCGGCTAGGGTGGTTAACTCTACATAGGTAGTATTAAGGCAGCCTCTGTAATAGCTACCTATAACATAACGTATAGCGATTAGGGTATCCATGACAACCCTTTAGTATGCGAAGAACATGTATGGTAGAAACAGCGATCCTACTCCTATCCACCTGAGGAGAACCGCATCGCGCCCTCGTCGGAGCTGACCGTCTTCTAGCGTCGAGTGCCGCCCGGGGGCGTGTGTCGGCCCAGTTTCAGTTGGCGGTTGGTAGGTACTTTCCCCGTCCAAGTGTCTGATCGAACAAATCTGCCTACATGTAGTATGATTACGACGATGATAATAGAGACTTGTTGTATACCTGCTCACCAAGCACGATGGCAATGCTACGGTTCCCGCAAGCTTCGAAAGGGGATTCGGGTCTCGCAGCCACGCACGTCCACTGTTAAGTAGGTACTACTACATAGGTAACTAACTACCTAACCTACTCTCCGCCAAGCAGGCAAACTATCGTGCTTACTAGCGGACCCAGCTGCCAGAAGGAATCGGCGCAGCAGCTTGACAATTCTTCTTCTAATGCAGGGTCATATTAGACGATGTCCGTCCGGGGTATCGCGGCCTTTCGGAGGGGGCCTCATAGATACTGCAACATACCTACGCAGCCGGTTACGTAGGGCATAGGCATACATACCTGGGTATAATTTCTGCTACAAGGCGATTACCTTAATGCCTGACCTGTAAGGGACTATGAAATGCACTATTGGCATCCCGTGCGTGCATAGGAACCGTAGGTAGCGCGTGCGTACCACGTAGGTACCTATATATGCCGTGATAAAAATAGGAACAGCCTCAAGAGCGAGCGGTTAAGCTCCGATATGCCGATATGGCAGACCGACCTAGGGGGTTTTTCTTCGAGGTCCGGTAGGAAAGTGGAAATCCCACCCACGAGGTGTCGAGCCGGCGGGTCGTACTACGATATTCTGAGGCTTGGTGCCTGCATTAGATGTGACGAGAATGAGTCACTTACTTACCCAAGCCAGCTTAAGCCCGTCCGCGGTGAGCCCACTTGAGGCAATTCCTAAGATGCATTACGAAGGGGGATAAATACTAGTAATAGCTCATTGGAACTCACCAAGCTCTGTGCAGCCGTCTGTTGTAGTATCGCACGGAGCAGCCATAAGACGTGGGACGGACGCAATGATATGGTAGCGTTGCATAAAAGTGATGAGCAACTTCGGGCGCCAAGACAGACCTAAGCAATGCCTCGCAGTAATTCAGCTGCCCGCAGGGTTAGGCAGGTGTTGGCCATAATATAAAGCATCTCGGGCGAGCTCGGTGGGACGTCCAGTAGGCATCATCTAACCTACATCGCAGCTCGGCCAGATCGTGGAACCGCACGGGAAAAAAAAAAGTCGAGAAAAAAAGAAAATAGGAAGAGGTGCCTCGTAGCGCCGGGCGTCGGCCTCGACACATTCGCCTATGTCGCCTACCTGCTTCGCCAGGCGCCGGAGTGTGACCACTCGAGGCGCGAAGCTATACCTACGCCGTGGACGTGCTCGTACCGCTGCCTGCATCCGCCTACAACCCCGAGCAGCAGGAAAGCGAGCGAGTAGACGCGGCACGGGGGCTCGGCTCAGGGAGAGCCGGAGGGGAGGATAGAAGCCCCAACCAACCGAGACTCTACGTCAATTTGCCGCAGCATGCAGGCTTAGGGGTGAGGAACACGAAGAGATCCCGGGTAGGCAATAAGCAGGTAAACTGCCCGTCGTCGCAAACGACAACCCACCTCAATTTAGAAGACCAGGAATACCCCAATACTGCCAACACCGGCACCGGACTTTTCTTGCGGCCCAACTACGTGGGCGCCTCTATGTATAGGCTGCCGACGTAAACATTAATATCGTCCCGTCGTGCCACCAACGCGCCACATGTTGCACGAGGCGGTAGGGAAGATCTATGAATAGGTAGGTAAATTGCCGAGTTGGAGAGAGTTTTGGCTGTTCACCTGGAAGGGTCGGAATAGGCGATACGACAACGTTTGGGTGAGCCGAAGTCACCGTCCCATCATTCGGAACGGCATCGTCCACCTCACCACCAACCAACGGCATAGCCCTTTTATTTAGCGGGCTAGGTTAGGTAGGTAGAGGTTTATTTTCGCTTTCTTTTCTTCCAGGTTGGCGGCCTAGATAGGTTAGGTACCTACCCACTACATGTAGGCACCTAAGGTACCTTAGGTACCTACATACAGGTGGAGGTAGGTACCTCGCAACCGCTAATAGAGGCACCCAAGGGGCTCTACGTTGGGGGGTGCATTATCTAGGTAGGTACATAGGTACCTACCCATCATGTGCATGCCTTATTAAGGCACTGGGCAGTTATCATAACAGGTACCTACCTAACGTAGTATCAGACCCACATGGGGCACTCTAAAATATCTGCCGCGTGATTGGCTGGCAACCCTCCCTGCCATTTCCCAAAATGGTCATCCTCAAAACCCTCCATATTTTTCAACTTCACCACGTCACCACTTGACAATCTCAGCCTCCTCGTCCCCCTATATTCACCCGTATCTTGAGCTATATTCCTCCTCTCTTGCGGTAAGATACATCACCACGCCAATATATGCGAGCGATAGACATATGACTTGAGTCATACGCCTATGACCCCCGAAGTTTATTGCGCTGGACCGTTACAGACCTAGATAGGTAGTCGAAATAGGCTGGGAGAGCCCAACGCAACGTCTTCCGAGCGCTACAACTAACCGAGCCTTGTGTCGATGGCGCCAGGCAGTCGCTTCGATCGTCCCGGACATATGCCTGACAACAATCAAGCAGAGAGCTCGTATCCCCGGCTTCTCATTCATCCCGGCCCCTCGGTCTAAGCGATCCAACCGACGGGTTTATCAACTGTCATGGCGAATTCCGCGCCACGTAACTAGGGAGATGCGTTGTTCGTGACAATTCCCGGCAGTCAGCTTATCCTATCGCACGTATGAGTGACATTCCAGTGGGGTGGGGGGCAGAGACTCGAGTACTTTTCGACATACGCGATGGTGAAATGTGCCACTCCATACCTGGGTGCCCGTCTTCGGCGAGGCTCTGCTGCCATGCAAATCCCGATATAGGTTGCGTAAAGCTAAAGTGTATTACTCGTCCTTCTCGTACCGCTGGACATCGCACTGAAAGTCTTAGGTATGAGCCATTCTTGGCAACCGTAAGACGAGCCACCACGGCGAGAAGTCGATCTTGCACATCAGAAGGAAATTCCGGGCGCCGAACAGGGGCACGGTCGTTGGGCCATACCGCGTCCACGACCTCGGATTTCTTCTTATCCGAGACTCGCCGTCGTAATCGGGGGCCCCCGGTTCACGGAGCCTTCCGAAGTCCTCGCGCATATAACACGACATCTCGGAAGTGGCTGTTGCGTACGTATCTAGCTCGGTAAGCTGGAGTCGAAAGCGCAAGTGGGTTAGGAGGAGAGGCGTTATTGAGGCACTCATGCAGCGAAAGGCGTATTCTTGGATTTGACAACGCAATGTGTAAATCTCGAGGGCCTAGGCTGCAAAGGATGAGGGTGAGCAAGCAAAAAACGACATTAATTTCACCATGACTACGGAAAAAAAGAACCCGTGGAGGCGATGTGACTTATCGTTCTGTCCAGCGGCCCTCCTGGTTAAGGAGTACTGAAGAGGCCACTATATGGGACCTCGCTAGAAAGGATACAGCATGCCGTATGGATACAAGCAACGAGGCTGGTGGAACTCGGACCTGCTAGACTAATAGTCCATCGCCATTCGGAAATACGGGGCAGAGCATCGTGTTTTTCTTGAAATGGCACGGGATTAGGCGTAGATCAGACGCCATGGTGAAAACCCCCCGGCGAGGGAAGATAAAGGAAAATTCACCTGCTACGGCTATCGGCGTCCTCTCTGACGCTAACACGAGTCTATATCGGGGGAGGTTGGCTAGACAAGATCCGAAATCGCGAGACACATCAAAGAGAACTAACTTACCTGCCCTACGAGCAAGAAGCTAGCCCCAACCAGAATATCCTTTCGAATGCGTATGGTACCCCAGCAACACGCGGGTTCTTTAGGGGCCCCATAGATTGTTATGAGGGAGGGGACGATATATTCTCTCCAAACACACTCTGGGTGAAATTATCAACGCTCTTCGCCGATCTCCCAACCTTTCATCTAAACGGCCTCGTACCCACGAGAAGTATATGTCCCGATCGAGCCGGGACACGGAGGGGAGGTCGGTGAGCAGAGGAGCAACCACAGCAGACGTTGCGTGCTCGGAATCTCACTCAATATATGCCGCCAAATCTGACCTCGCTCCAAGACCTCGCGCAATCTTACCGTTTTCCGGGCCGGGGGGGTATGCAACACCGGCTTCAGGCGCTCTCCAACTGCTCTCGCTCGCCCCCTCACGCTACCACCCTACACGTGGCAACGGCGAGCTCGCAGCGGCGGGCGCTCGCCTCGTCACCGTGCTACCGGACGCAAGCCACGGTCGCACGCGTATGCGGTAGGATCCGCGCTAGCAGACCGCTACGCTGTCCTCGGGAGAAGGGAGCGGCCAGTGAAGTCCGGCTTAAGTGACGTGGGGGATGGTTGGAGGAGCCGGTGAGCAGAGGAGAGGTTAAACGAGTAGGCGGAATGTAGAATGCCGGCGATGAGGAAGGAGGAGAAGCGTAATACCACGAAACAGGTGTCTTTCAAGTATCAGATTACCTATGCCTCGGTTGGGCCACTTACATGATAGCTGCTGTGCGGGTATTATCTGGCTTATGGCCCCCTTTATACCTAGGCCAGCCTAGGAGATAACATGATACCGCAAGGATCTGGAAGGATTCTTGGAGGTAGCTTAGCCGCCGTTTCTTCCCGCCCGCTCTCTTAAGTCCTCAAGATGTAGTCCAATACTCTGCTGCCTCTAGTGCCAGATCGGTCATTAGTAGCTCCCGGATAGTTTCGTTGATACGTCGCTCCTGTGGATGCATACCGAAACATGAAAGAATCAGGGGCGATGGTGAAAGCCAAGAAGAGATCCCGTGATAACTCCGCATCTGCTCCGTTACATAGAAGTGTATGTTTACCGGCAATAACGACAAATTGGAGGTCAACGATTTCGGCTTGCGGGATCCGGCGTATGGGAAGCTCGGGATCGAATCGCCTCGCGAACTCAGCCGGTGACTATCGTATATCTCTAACCCGGCTTACTAGTCAGCGCCTTGGGTAAGGGCCCGGGCCTCCCTCCCCGTGCCTGTTCCCGCGGGAGGTGTGAGGACTGAGACCTTCCCGTTCCAGGTATATTGGGCTGGCTTACCCGTAGCATTTTGGGGAACCTTCCGCATTTCTCAACTGCACCGGTTGGCACGCACACGTTATCATCTACCGAACTTCTTCTTCACGTCCGCGGGAGGCTACCAGCCTCGTCCGCGGAGGCAAGTAAACACCCCCAGAATAGAAACAAGCGGCCCCCAACCGACGGAACCGACTGGCTAGGCCGGGCGGAAGGCCACCCAGTTCTACAGGAATGGGACGCGGAGCCGCGGCTAGCAACGCTGGCCAGGCCCGTGCCAGCCTAGCCTTACAGCGCTTTTTGGCCCCCCCCCTTCCTCCCCTACGCCTCTTTTAGCCCAAGTCCGGCCGAGGCAGAAACGGCGTGAAGACATCGTGTGCTTATATGTGCCTTTTCATATACACATACGTTCGTAAACATACCGGGGGGAGGGGGAGGGAAAGGAGTCCCAGTGTACGTATATTCATGGCCGCCGATATACCTACCTTACGGCCATCCTCAAATCCTTGCGCCCGGCAAGTTTGACCTGGCTTACCGGATCGGCGATCCCTAGGGGGACGTACACCGAAGCTGGCTGCTGGGTATGCTCGGAGGAAGAGGGAAAGGGAGCAGGGATGCCGAGCGATATAGGCACCCACATATGTATGTAGATTTAGAGTGAAAGAACTGGGAGGGGGAGAGGGTGTAAATAGCAAAGACGAAACAAGACAACCGACTTCCCCCCCCCCCCAGTGTGGTGGCGACAATAGCACAATGTGTCGTCCTTGTCCGAGCCTCCAAGTGTCTCTGCTTCGTATACCTCCCCCCCCTTTCCCTGTCCCACTACCCCCCCCCCCCCCCCTTCGCTCCCATCTCACAATTGCGCCGGCCCAGATCTCAAGGAGACCCGGTTCACCCAGCCATCGATCCACCGATCCATCGATCCAGGGGGGGGGGGGGGGTGAAGCGGAGCGAAGAGGGGGTCTTCTGAGCGTCAGTCGTAGCAGCAGCGCCGGAGGGAAAACACCAGCCCCAGCCGACGTTCGCCCAACTTACGTGAGAGGGGGAGAGATGTACACAGACGCCTGCGATGACGAGGGGGAACGAAGATCCGGGGCCTTGACGCCGGCGCAACATACTACATGCGTTACGTGGGTGCGCGCCCTCGCACCCGCACACACCTATCTATACCACACATACATATACACAGGCACACACGGGGTTATACACACCTCCCTACCCAGTAGCCATATCACACCGCGTTATATCTATACCACGAGCTCGGTAAGCCGCCTCCGCCAGCGCACCCGGATAGGCTAAACTGCGCAGCGAGGGAGACCCCGAGGACCCGTCCTTTCCTCCTTCCTCATCCGCTTCCGCTTCCGCTGCCCCCCCCCCCCCCCCTCTTCTTCTTTCTTGTCCCTAAGATAAGCCTAGATGACTACCAGCGACGGGGCCAGCAAAACTCAGCCGAGGGCCTATTTCCTGCTCCGCGCCGTCTCTTCCGGCGGCTTCTAGCAGCGAGTCGCTTCGGGCCGCGCTCTGCGTAGAAACTCTTCCTCCCCCCCCCCCCCCCCTGGGTTACCGGGCGCGAGGGAGGCGAGGAACGGGGGACACATAGTGTACATGCGTACGTGGGCACATGCTAGGCCGGTACCTGGTAGGTCGGTATGTGGGCGATGGTGGGGAGCAGGAGCAGGGTGCGAGAGAAAGAGAGAGAGAGGATAGCGACGCGGATCTGCTGACCGAGCCGGGGTATGTGTGGTACATGTAGGTCATCATTCATGCGTTTCGCTCTCTCTGGCTCCCTCCCTCTCTCCCTTGGGGAGGGGAGGGGGGGGACACCGTTCCGCTCCAGCGTTTATACCGGCACGCCGTTTACCTTGGCCAGCGTGCGGGCTGTCCACCCCTCCACACCCACCCCAGCGCCCGTAGCCCTCGGGTGGCTCGTCACCGTCGTCGTCGTCGTCGTCGACCAGTGGCGGAGGAGGGACGACGAGGAACAAGGAGGTGGGCGCGAGCGCAGGGGGGGAGTGGCTGTAGACCCCGCGAGAGAGAGAGAGAGAGCAGGTCTGGGTCACCAAGGCAGAGGCAGCGCCAGAGGCGCGTACTCCCCCCTCCCACCCGCCTGTGTGTGTGCCTATCGAGGCGTGGGTGGGCGTAGCGTGGGCAGGCAGCCAGCCAGCTCCGTAATGCTGTGTAAGCGGCCTAGCTCGTCTGCGGAGAGAGAGGCACGCACACGCACACGCACGCTGGGACGATGGATCGATGGGATGGCGATGGGGTTGGACGGGTGGACGGGTGGACGGGGGGGGATGGGCGGCCCCCAAACGCGCTGAGAAACCCGGACATGGATGGGTTATAATAACCTGGCGTGCGGTCAGGTATCAAGTATAGCGCGGCAGGCAGGCAGGCAGGTAAGTTGACGTGTGTGTGTGTGTGTGTGTGTGTGCTTGCGGGCGTGAACGCTTCTTCCTCGGGTCTTCTGGACAGCGCAGCACTCTCTCCCTCCTCTCGCCCTGCTCATCCCCGAGGCTCGTCCTCCAGGCGGGCAGGCCCAGTCCTACGTTCCCCTTCCCCCTCCTCTACTGAACCTCCACCCACCTCACCCCATGTCCCACGTTATCTGCGTGGGCGTGACCTCGATTCGAAACCGCATCCGACCGCGCTGAGAAGCTGCCTGGATCGATCAGCGACCCTCTCTCTTTTTTTCAACTCTCCCCTTTCGTCTTTGAAACGTAAGTAGGTATCTGATCTGATCCGATCCGATCGTCATCGTCATCATCACGTAGATAGTAGTAGATAAAAACACCCATCCACACGCGCCCACACACACAACGCACGAAAAATGAAGCATACTTTTGAAACTCGTGAGACTTGGGAAATTTTGAAATCATTCATCGTCATCTAACTAGGTCTACGGATATCGCCGAGCAAAAAACCAAACACTTATCCAAAAAAAAAGTTGATAAAAACCATCCCGTGGTATCATGTTTCCTGATCCCTCACTCGTCCCAACTCCTTTACCGCTGCCCAGCAGGGCCTACTTTCTTTTTTCTTTTCGCTATTTCGACCAAAGAATTCCCCTCCGTACCTCGATAGCGAAGTATTCCCTCCGCTGTTATCCCCTCCTCCCGCCCCCCCTTCGCTCACCGTGCCTACGTCCCTTCCCTCTCCCCCATAGAGACTGCTGAGGGTATCACCTAAGTAACTATCTACATTACGTTGCAAGGAAAAGGAGAAAAAGAAAAAAGGTCATATGAGAAAAGGGGGGATTTTGTGGCGTATATAGACAGCGAAGGCTGTTGAACCGGCGATAAGAAGGAAAACGTAAGGTCTGCCGGCCGTATTGGCAAAACGCGATAGGAGCCAAGGGGGGTGGAAAAATAGCGCACAACGAAGCGAAGCAATCTGATTTCTTTTTGTCGTGAAAACCGCCGTAGTGTATCGCCCCGTTCCCGTCTATCCCATCCGTTCGTAAAACAAACCCGTAGCTTGCTCAATTCGTCGTAGCAGCATTGGTTGGCCAGAGACCTTTTTTTTCTGGTATTTCTTTCTGTTTGGTTGATATACCCCAGCTTGCAGTATCGCAAATCTGTGGAATTCGCCTGGCGACGGAGTGATGGAGGAGGAGGGGGTTGTGTGAGAGATGCGGCCAGGATAGTGCTACGTGCGCTACCTGACCTGGTGAAAAGTTCCATATGCCGTCTATAGATCATTCCGAAAATCGATGAGAAAAATCCAAGGAAATATTTCATTGCTCGTCCAAGATGTCAGGATCTAGACATGAAGATTGGTTGAAAAATTGTGCCTCGGGCAGAGTGTGGCGAGATTTAGATCATATTCGTTAGCCCACCGAGAGGGGGGAAAGCCTTGTGCGGTCGAGGTTGCTCCGGTTGCATGTTCTGCCCGTTGAGTCCGGGTGCGGGCGCCGACGTGGGGGTCGGTGTCGCGGCCTGCGAGACTGACCTAGAGGCCGGCTGAGGCGTCGTGGGCGGTTGTTGTTGCGGTTTGGTGATCTGAGAGGCTGCAATAGCCCGGGTATGGCTGCTCTCGCGTCGCCTTTTCGGCGCATCCTTGACTTTTTGGTGCGTATGGCACTGCAGTATATATTAGCACGCGACGGCCGTGTCGGAAGTTGTCTGTTTCCTCTCCTACCTTGTATGCATGCCTGAACCAGGTCGTGCCCTTCTTCTTGCTGCTCACCAGGGCAATCCAATCGTTGCAGCTACCGCACAGGCCTTCCCAGACGTCTGGGTTGCCATCCATTCGCCTCGTTTCTTGGGGCTCTTGGAAGGGATTGCCGGTGGCCGCGCTGATCCCGTGAGTAAAACTCTTATCGTACCAGAACGCTGAGTTCTTCAATACCAACCACCGGCCGGGCTTGCAAATGCCGCACCACCCTTCTCGCTTGTTGCCGTGACCACGGACCCACCTTGGCGTATACAGGTCGCCCTCGAATCGCAACTCCTGCTCGTGGGGGACGAGGTCTGGATCCGAAGGATTCATATCCTCGGGAGGGGGTGGGATCTGCTCCTCTTGAAGGGAAGCGTACAAATCCGGCGGGTCGGACAAGTCTGTGTAGTGGCCATGCAGGGAATGGGGGTCCGCGTTGCTTTGCAGCATCCTGAACAGCCCGTGGGATAGCAACGGTGGGGGGCTCTCGAAGTGATGGTGCTCCGGGTGGAACGCCTGAGACGGCAATTGGGATGGTAGCTGCGTCGGCAAAAGCATGCTATTGCGGAAAGCCGGCGGGTGCGACACGAGGAACGGATGCTGTTGCATAGCTTGAAGGTTGCCAAAGTTGAGGGGGAGCGGATTATTCGGCATCGTAGGCGACGAGTGCCTCGACGACATCCGGGGCCCGAAAGCGTCGTGCGTGTGGTGATAGACGAAAGGTGACGGGCGGCGGCTGGCAGCAGTGCCATAGGACCCAGTGGACCACCTCTTATTCCTTGCGCTGCTGTCGACGGTGTAAGGAGCAGATCTCATGCCGGGCCGGGGGGAGGGAGAGGCGCCTCGGCCGCGACTTTGGGTTCGGACCAGATCGGAGCGGCTCTGAGGTGTCATGCGAGGAGAGGCCACGGGCGACAGCTGCGTGGAAGACATGAGTGAATTGCGGTTAGAAGGTGGCGGGTAATCCGAAGTAAAAGACGGCGCTTCCGACAGCGCGGCCGAGAAATCCTCGTACGAAGGCATGTCAGACAGACCTGTCGTCGACACGGTGAAAGATGAGCCAGACATGCGACGGGGATGTAGGCCTGGCTCGAAGCCCGCCGAGTCGTTATCCATTTGCGCGCCCGGGTACCGAAGGTCGATGATGGGGATCGCCTCATCCGCGGTGTAAGCTTGTCCGATGTGCATGTCAACATCGAAGTTAGGCATCTCAAAGTGATCATCACACTGCTTGGTCGCCCACGGACCTACTCTCCTCGTTAGCGGCGGCCTTGCGAGCCAGTTCCACTGCCACTCACTGCTATCCATGGTCGTCACAGGGTAGAAGTCTTGATGCATCGAAACAGGCCGCGACATCGTATCGCTGGGCGTGTGGATTGTCAAGCCAGATGGCGTTTCCCAAGAAGGTAAAGTCCCGAATTCATCGCTCGTGCAGAATGAAAACCCTTCGTGAATAGTGGCGGGCCTCGGGCGGGCTTCCTGCGATACCGGCGTCGTCCACATCCCCGCCGGCGCCGCTTGGTTTTCCGTCTTGACAGGCATCTCGTTCCTGTTCATCATCGTGACCAACGGAGGCGGCGGCGGCGGCGGCCGGACGTCTCTGACGAATTTATCGTCGTTGGAGCCAAGCGTGAAAGCAGGTGCTTGAATCTGCTGGCACCTGTGGCTGTGTGAGTTCCTATCAAACATAGCTGATCCTGGTTGGGCATACAGCTGCCTCGGGTTCGAGTCCATGACTATACGGGCGGCAACAGCAAAAAAATGATCTGGAGGTAGTATTATAGATATGAGCTAAACAAGGGAGCATAGCGGTTAGCTAATAAACGGACGACAGCATGCCAGCAGATAGACGAGGGGCGCATCCCATAGGTAAGGGACAACAAAGACTGAAGCGATCATCGGCAGACTTACATTGGTTATAGCGGTAGGGACTATAGCTGGCCAACTAATTAATCTCCGGCGAGGCTAAGAAGAAAGCAAGCCGGGAAGGAGTGCGGAGAATTTAGATCTCTGTGGAACGGTAGAGAGCGTGCGTTTCACTTTGAGGATATATGTGTGTATAGAGTGTGAGCGAGTGTGTAAACCAGTGGTGGTAGCGGAGTTGAGTTCGAGGTGTCGATCAGAGGGTTGTTGTATGTATGTATGTATGTTCGTAAGGAACGTGGTGAGTTGGCCAGGGACCAGGAACAACTCGTGAGATTGGCTAGTCGTTGCTTGCCTGCTCACATAGACGGGCTGGTTCGGGTGGGAAGAGAGCCAGCTCCCAGCGTTATAGACCAGAGTGGCAATAATAGATGTTATAAGGGTTAGGAAAGAAAAAAAAAGGAGCGACTAGTGGTGGAATGGTTTGGTCAACGGAGGGTGAAGAAGGGCAGCGAGGCGAGAAGGGGAGGAAAAAGGCAGGTGAATGGAGGGGCGGTGCAGGCAACCAAGAGATATAAGGAAGCGCGCTTTCTGGACTCGTCCATGGACAGTCCGACTTCTGATCATTCAACAAGGTCAGGCTGGCTCAGGCTCGGATCGACGGTAGGAGCTAAGCCGGGCTTCTTGATACAAGCCTGGCCACGTCTGTGAACTGGACAGGAGAAATTTGGTGTGCGAGGTCCTTCTTGGCTTGCTGGAAAAGAGCCTGGCAAGACAGGGCCGACAGGGACCGGCGGGCAGGCTCTACTAGGATTTACCATTGCAGGGTTCGGAGGGTTACATCTGCTCGTCGATGATGTGTTGCGAGGAACAGTCAAGCCTTCGCGGCAAGGTACGACAGAGGTGAGCGTATGGGGGAGCAGCGGAGGTTTGGATGGGTCTCGGGTACATAGCATGTCAGAAGAGGTAGCCAGAAACCGATTAGACCAAGCGACTAGGGGAAGGGGACTGGCCCGAGCTAGAAGAGATCCATGGCCACACCAACTCTTTGGGAATAGTTGGGCAGGGGTCGTGATATAACAGGACGGACGTAATTTGATATAGACCAAGAAAAGAGAACACCTCCGAGTTTTGCCAGACTCGGCAGAAAAGAAGGCTCCTCGACCGGACGGTAGGCACACAGCACAGAGAACCGTTTTTCTTTTCCTTTTCTCTCCCCCCTCTTCCTCTTTTCCCACGTCGCCCGCTATTTTTAGTCGGCTCCCGTTCAGCCTCATAATACAGAAGCGTCGCAGACGAGGCGGCTGGCCTCATGTTCTCGTCGGAACGAGGTGCGAGAGACGTAAGAGGCTAGGCTTAGCCGGCCCACAGCGAGCCGGGAGAAGGAAAAAAAGGTTGAGGACATGGGGCGGTTTGCGAAGTCCCAAGAGCCGCAAAGGCGGCCTTCGGGGAAGAGATGGCTCGCCCATGTCGGCGAGCAGATGCGCAGACAAGACCATGGTGCCGTCGAGTCGTATGACACAGCCATTACACAGTCGTTGGCCGGATACGTCGATCTGGAGAAGACAGGCCTTTCTCAGGAAAACACCGCGGCCCCTTGCTAACCGGGGGGTGTGGGGGGGTAAAGGGGAGGGGAGGGGGGTGTCGGTTTGGAAACCCACTCCAGGGCGCGCCGTGGAGTCTTGCATGTGAGGGTATAAGAGTTATGTACACGCGTATGTATGTACCTGTATGAGTAACGGGAGGGAGTTCGAGCGGGAAATGCAGGCGTGCACACCTCTCCATGTGTGTACACATCTACATCCGTCCCCTCGCCGGCGACTGCATGCATACCTTAGGTACCTCATACCTACATAGGTAGGTAGGTATGTACACGCACACATGCGCGCACCACCCACACCCACACACACGCACGCACGCACACAACATGCTCCAATATGTATCATGTGTGTGTATACGTGTGTACGGGCATACCGAATGTATACATGTCCGCACCTACGCACACCACATCCACACACACATACGTATCGTACAATGCCTACGTACACGGTATGTAGCGCCGTGGTGGAGGGCTTTCGCTCGAGGTGGACAGGCCTGCCTAGCTTCGATAAAGCGGCGCCTCACACGATGCTCTTCGAGGCCATTTGACGATTTACGGTACTCGTAGCGCGGCCGAGGATATAATCCGCGAATATACGGCTGCGAGGCGACATATGTCCCTTCTATGTTGGGCACGGGGCGGTGGTATCGCCAACCTATCAGCTTCATCGGCGCAGCCAGTAGTATAGCATGTACAAGCCGTGCAAGGCGCGCTAGTCTGGAGGGTATGCGCCCGAGCGCTTCAGAGCCTAACGTCCATCGATAGCTAGAGTCCGTAGCCCTCCCCGATTTAGCCGACCCGGACGCCATCGTGGAGTACGGGCAGCTTCGATGGTTGGAGGCTGACGGGAGTAAGACGACGGCTTGGTCACGAAGAGAAGCGCAAGGAAGCACAGGTTGGCCCGTCTAGAAGGGCTAGACACCCAAGGATTACTGTGTAGGAGGAGGTCTGACTGAGGAAGCCGCGATATGGGGGGGGAGAGGAGAGGGGGCTCGGATGCCCGGCGGCAACCAATGGCGACGGCGAGGATGAGTTGGGTGGGTGAGGGGAGGCGGAGCGATGTGGTAGAGCAGCGCAGATGTGGTGGGATGGTTGGGCCGGCTCAGCGGGTGATACTTGGACCTCTCTAGGATGGCGATGGGGTGGACGATGGGATGGGATGGTAGCAACCGGGGTGCATTCAGATAAAACTCTGGCGCGATTCGGCGGGGGGGGAGGAGGGAGGGGAGGGAAGGGCATATTCGAAGGGGAGCGAAGTGGTACAATACTACCGTACGAGGATGGGGTCCGGCAGCGGGTTGCGAGAGGGACAGAGAAAGGCCGAAGGGGGAGATGGAAGTCTGCAGGCTCTCTATCTGGCCCGCAAGGCGCGTTCGAGATGGAGTTGGCTCGGCGACTGGCTGGTAGCCACGGTCTGGCGTGGTCGCGAGGTAGCACTGCCGGCTCGAAAGGGACAGGAATGGACTTGGCCGGATGGAGTAGTTGTGCGTGGGTGCGTTGCGTGGGTGCGTCGTGTACGTGCGCAGTCTCTCTCTCTCTCTCTTTTTCTCCTTCTCGTGCGTGTGTGTGTGTGTGTGTGGTTTGGATGGACTCAGGCGATTCCGGCCACGATGAGGAGTTGTCGTCTCGTTCGTCAGCGGAGTCGCGTTTGATGTTGAATTTCAGTTGCGTCGGCCAGTCTCGTGATTGGGCTGACGGAGAATAGTCTGCAGGCAAGGGGTGTCGGGGTCAGGGGTCGCATCCCTGGCTCTGTCTCAGGATCTGTAACAGAAGCCACAACCCTTGTCGTGCGTCCTTCCACCTTTCCCTCCCCTCCCCCTCTAGGTACCTAGGTATACTACCTAACGTGCCTAAGTGGGTACCTACCTCCTACCTGCACATAGGTAATTCCTCGGTGCCTACCTGCCTTATGTGCAGACGGGAGCTAGGGTGTGTACACGCTCCCCCCCCCTCCTCTCCCCGAAAGGTACCTATAGTGTAGACATGTACCTAATGTAACCCTCTGAGAAGGAGGCATGTACGACATGGACCATCCCCTAAGCGGTAAAGCAGCCTTCTCAGGCAGCTGGGCCCATATTCCAACGCGCTGTGTACCCAAGTACCTCATAGAGAGGTCCAGATTCACCACCGGCCTCCGCGGCCGGGCACAGCTCTGAAGGAATCCATCCGTCCTGTCCGCCGCTCTCCTCTCTACCCTTCCCCATCCTTCTCCCGAGCGCTCGGGATTTCTGCGCGGGAAGGATGTCGGAAAATCGAAGGCAGAGAGAGAAGACGCAGCAGGAATTGAATTCCTACGTGCTCCAGCGGATGATGACGGGGTGGGTGGGTGGATCGCGGGAGTGGATGGGGAGTTCCCAGATAGCCGCGCGCCCGCCGCTTTGACAGAATTGCCCGATGGTTAGAAACCGCGGGTCAAGCGATAGGTGGCAGTACCCAGCTGTCCTTCACCCATGATCCCATCGCATCTCCTCAGCATCTCCCTCCCTAGGCCCACTCCCCGGACTACATCTCTACATACGTACACACACGCCGTGATGTTGCCGGCATCGCTGCGTGCGGCTTTGCGGACGAGACGCGTCTACATACCTACACAGGCTATGCGTTGTGCGCAATACGCGGCCGGCGTACCTGAGTGATGTCCCACTCCGTGCTCCTATTTTGAGCTGAAGGCCATTTTTAGAAACCGGACACAGCCAGGCTGACCACATACATACCCTCTACTACTACTCAGGTAATGTAGGTGTGTGTGCATCTGCCTGCCGCCGTGCGTCCCGATGAGGAGTAGGGTTGTATGCACATACCTAGGTATATTATAGGTGGTTGTGCGCATGCGAGCCGGAGGCCCGTCGTCTTCGTACGTGCCATCTACCTTCCTACATATTTCCGTCGCGATGGTGCGTCTGGGGTAGGCGGTATACCTCCTGGGCGCGCACTCCGTAGTACTCCCGTAGTCTGTGCCGTCGTCCGGGGCGCGTATGAATACCTATGTCAATAGCAAGTAACTGCCCTTTGCTGCGCTTATCAGATTGCCGTAGGACCAGTATTGTCGCATTCGGCCCCAAGATGGATGGCGTTTGGCTGGGCTGCCTCTCGGCCCTGGCCTTTTTTTGGCTTCCTTCGCAGCGGCGCGATGTTACTCTTACACCCCTCCCTGTTTCGACAAAGCTTCGAGAAACACATCCCGCCGAGGCTGTTTTAAGTAGGTAGGTATTATGTAGCACCCATGCTCATACCGGTAACCACCAGATGGATAGGTACACCCAGGTATGAATACCTAAGGTATTTTGCGTCTATACTTCTGTCTCTCTCCGCGCTTTCTCCCCACCTCCTCTTCTCCCCTCCCTCTCGTCAGAAACCCTTCATATCACGGATGTTTTGCCTCGTCAGAGACTAATAAACAATGGAGGCGGCCAACCCACAACCCAAGGGGGAATATAGGTGATTTAGGTAGTTGATAAAATGTCTGACAACCTTGGCGCGTATAGGTACTGCGCAAGTATTGTCGTACCCTCTAATCCTCGGTCCCCTTGCCCGAGCCCTTCGATTTCTTGGTTGAGCTTTGACACCACGGCTATCACCGTAAGTTCTCGTGCTCATCGTCTGCAATTCGGTTCCTGAAATCGGTAACCGATCCTCACTTCGTGAAGGGAAAAAAAAATGATGCCTATCAGTATGCCCTTGAGCCTGCAGCGGTGTGCATGGCAATATTATATTTACACGACTTCCCTGCAAATCCACGCACTGGGCACGGCCTTGACTGGCTAACCGGTCTGCGGCCTGGCCGTGCTAATAACAATCGTCATATCACCGCCCGCGCGGGGGATGATCTGGGAGATGTTCCCAGCAGACCTTCTCGAGATTCCTGTATATATTGCCTGTGTGGAAGTCTTCTCTCCCTCCCCTTCTCTCTCCCCCCTCTTCTTCGCCCACCCATCCATCCCTTCATCCCTCCATCGGTGGCTTGCCTCGTCTAGCAGGTAGGTACCTCCTAGGTAGGCACGCATATATTTTACCAGCCCTACCACGCAGGTACTCCAGACCCGGTCGGTACGTATAGGCACGGTACTGTACAGGAATTAGTTAGGGTGTTCACATCCTGATCCTGGGTAACTTGGGGGCTTGGCCGCTCAGCATAAGACGCAGCGCACTGCAAGAGTCCTTCTAGTCACTGTAGTCATCCAGCTTGCATTGTGGTTCCTACGTACACACACGCCACCTGGACTTGGGACCTTGCAGCCGTTATCTCGGTTGTGGCCGCGCGGCCGTTGTGCGCGACGAAAATACTCGCAGCTTGGCCAACCCCGGTGGCTGACCCTACACCCGAACGCATGTAGGTACGCTCCGGCTGCAAGGCCCTTCGCCGTCACAGACAACTGGGCCGTGTGCGCCACCGTGTCTTGGCTGCGGCTCACGTCGCTTCTTCTATCCCAAACCCGTTGTCGCATGTGCCCACAAGCCCGCTCGCTACGTAGGTATGTCTACGTGTGCATACGCGTATGCGGACGGTAGTGGGAGGGTGAGGATGTCGGTGTGTGTATGGGGTTATCGCCCAATGGAGGGAGGATCGGCCTCGCATCCCATTACCGCGATGTCGAGTTGGGAGCCCGCTTTCAGCCCCCAAAGGGCCTGGTTTCGGAGTCACGTTGCCATGCCGTGCATCTCGAGAGCGTCATTTTAATTAGATCCCACCAGATCGCGCCGTAGAGGGTGGGTGGAGGGGGGACGGCTTCAAGCCCTTCTGCATGTTCTATGAACTGTTCTATGGGGCCGTTGGGCGCTCCATCCCGGCGAGCCCTGCCAGGATAGGCCCGGTCGATCGCATAACGTTTCCCGCTCCTTTGGGAAATTATTCAATGCTCGCTTTTACCCGTAGTTCACCTTAAATTTAGCAACTGTCGACTCCCGCCACGAAGATCGTAAGCTTAATGCTGATGTGATCGTTTCTTCCCCAGATGCCATAGCATCGACTGGTGGGAAGATCATGCCATGCGGACCCTAACCATGAAAGCGGAAGTTGGTGGCGAAATGCCACGCCGAGCCTGGTAAACGAGTACTGGGGACTCCGAAGAGTAGGCATATCCCTAGCTGGTTCTGGCATTAACCACGCCTCGTGATTTCTATTAAATGTCTCTATTCGGTAGTCTAGCCGATTCAGCTATCGCCATGTCCGTATTCGAGCCCGAGTTGCCGAAGAATTCTTGACAAGACCGGCGCAAAACAGGTCGCTAGCCAACCCCCCAGGTAGACGGAATCCATCGTGACCTCCCCCTCCCCACCCCCACCCCCACCAAGCTTCACCAAAATACGACGCATCTCGTGCGAGGAATACCTAACTCATAAACATTGCCGGAGAGGATGTTTTGTGGATCTACGAGAGGTGGTTTCTCGAAAGGCCGCTGGAACGGCGCTGAGCGATCAGTTCGGATCGTGGAGGGTTCGTAGGCAACTACGAATTTTTCAAAGGTACCTCCCGAAGTGCCATTAGTCTTTATTGATCTTCTTCCACACTTCAGCCTCGGCGCCGGCAAGCCTTTCTCCGGTCTGCTGGGCCCATTTCTTTGCTGCTTCCCACACGCCGCCGGAGTCGTCTGCCTGGGGCTCCAGCTCATTTTGTCGAATGGCTGATCTCTGATATCTATCAAGCTCGGACACGTTGGTATTTTGGTGATATCCCGGGGGGTGCTCTAAACTATGGGTCGGCGGGCTATTATAGGCCAGGGAACCTCGGGTGCTGTGGCCTGAAGTAGGGTCGGGAAGTGTGGACGTACCGCGTCGCTGCGAGGGGTAGGGCGTGGTTGGCGCAGGCATGGCCATCTGCTGGGGATATGGCACGCTCGCAGGCTGGGATACCGGCATTTGTTGGGACGGATGGTATTGTTCCCCCACCTTCGGTGGTGGCGGGATGGTCGCTCTGGCTGCTCCAGGGGGGACCGGCACGGCTCCCGGTTGAGGTGGCGGAGGGTGGTCGTGATCGAGCGTCCCGGTCGGCTCGAGAGGGGCATGGGCCTGAGGAGTAGCGGCCTGAGCGGTAACGGTCGGAGCTGGTAGGGACGGGGCAGCGCCAGGACGTGCGGACGGGTAAGCACCCTGGCTGGGCGAGGTCGGGGACGCGCTTATGGTAGGAGGCCCTGGAGAGGACGGCGACTCGGCAGTCTGCGGTGTCGCCCCAGATGGTTTCGAAGCAGCAATAGGGCTGTTGGTGTAGACTGGAATAGGGGCCATCGTGACACGCGAGGTAGAAGAGAAATGATGCGACGAATGCTATTTGGTGGTTGGCATACAGTTCTCCCTTTTCTCTTTTTCTCCCTCCCTTCCTGTCTCTCCAACTGCGGCTAGCCGGTGTGGCAAGAATGGTAGCTGGTGCAAGATGTTGTCTTCTAGGGTAGCAGGCAGGCAGGAAGAAGTAGAGGAAGAGGACAGGTTGTCGCATAGAGTAGGCGGTAAACTCAGCATCAACTTAGTACAGCACAGCATCCGTGGCAAGCGACTGTAGACAAGACGATGATAGGTAGGCAACACAGTTGACCTGTTCAAAGTTAAACCCGACGTCATAGGTGTCAGAGTATCAGGTGACCCCGCGCGATAACCTGGTGGCTCTTATTTTGGACCGGACCTTACCTTCGCATGTACCCGTCTGCTTGCCTGCGAGTTGGAAAATGGGGCTCCTAGAAAGAATGGAGGCTATGTATGTGACACACACGCGATAGTTGCCTGCCATGCCTAGATATGTGATAAAGCGAGCATCTACAAGGGCAAGATGCCGCATACACGGCAGCTGATGGTAGAGGAAGACAGCTGAAATGGATGAATCCAGGTGTGGGCATGTGGCTATTCACCTGTTCCTGGAAAGTTGGCATCTCACTTGCATACAAGCACTTTTAAAGTGCTTACAGGCCTTGCTGGGTAATTCATAAGTTTATGGATCCAGACGACTCCATCAGCCAGCCAGCCAGCCAGCCAGCCAGCTATCTCGGAAGCACGTACTGGCTTGATGAAGGTAGGCATCTAAGGTAAGAAGACCTCATGGGTGGAGGTCAGTACATTAGGTCCATAGATTGCTGGGTGAAGGGGGTTAGCAGATCGGATGGACGGTAGGAGAATACCTTGGATCTACCATAGCTACCTCAAGTCCCGTTGCTAATCCCAATGCGGCGAGGTACCTACTACGGACCCTGAGCTATTACCAGTGGACCTTACTAGAGTGGTCTTACGATACCCAAGGTTAGGTACGCTAGGAGGTACATAATGGGAGGTACGTTACAGCTAAGTGGGTTATATAATAGAGGACAGGTTCGATTCCTGACAGCGCTACTTGGTAGTCTCTATTATTTAGTCTATCTGGTGACTTCGTCCAGGCAGCAGGTACTGCGTACTTTAAACCCCAGAAGCTACTGGTTCGAGCCAGAGTGCCGCCTTTGTAATAAGGTCCTTTTAGGTGGTACGTATGTACTAGTGCAGGCTATACGATAGTAGTAGAGCGCATCTTATCCTTATAAGATCCTGTATTCCGACGTTACTGGAGCAGGCAGTGTTTGTAATAGCGCGCGGGGGCGCGTGCCTGTTATATGGGTCGAGCTAAGTGGGTTATATAATAGAGGACAGGTTCGATTCCTGACAGCGCTACTTGGTAGTCTCTATTATTTAGTCTATCTGTTACGTATATGTACGTACGTTACTCTAGGAGGCGGCCGTAGGTAGGTAGGGAGGAGGGCAGATTAAAGTAATGTCCGCATCAATAATACAAATCTCGGAACCTTGTATCTTCCCTCCTTGTTCTTCTCCTTCGTCCCCTACCGCCGTTACGGCGTCACCTCCCTTGTACTTGGGTTTGTAAATCTTAAGTACACCTAACCCTTACAGGCGGTGCACCTGCATTAGAAAGCGACTGAGGTACCTATATGGTAGGATATTGGGAATTGGAGATGGTCTGGGCCGCACCGCAGGGAGACGCGCCAGGAAAGTTGAAGCCAAAAAAAAAAAAATCATTGTAGACGAACATAATACAGGAGAGCCTTACGAAAGAGAACCCATAATAATATTCTTCTTCATCATCGTACCTTTTTCCCTCCCCCTCTTCCAACCAACATGTCTTCGCAACCGTGACCAATTCATCTACCCTCAATCCTCCCAGCTCAGCACCCGTAAACAGCATTGCCATCGTCATCACTTGCCCATCACCAGCCCTCTCCATTATCGCCGACATCCCCGTCAGATGCATCAGTCGTAGCACCACCACCGTTCATCATCGTCCGCCTGAGCCGCGACTATGGTTGGTAAAGTCAGCGAGAAAGTCCTTCTCAGGGAAGGGCTTGAACGCACCGACAATGGCATGAAACAGACGAGCTGGCCCGATGTCACACCCATCAACCAGAAGAACTACTACACGTACGCGTCTCCTTCCTCTGCACGGCGGAAGCGCCGCGAGCTAGCCAGGCTGACCTCTTCTCTGCAGCGATTACATGAAGCGCGATGACCAAGTCCTGGCCCTTCGATTGCAGACCGAGGCTAATAGAGAGCGGCTCGTCCAGACTGCAAAGGACCGGGATCGAGCCCTGGCTCGCAATGGCCACGCCGAAGTCCCGCTGCCGGTCGCCGACATCCAGCCGGACGATGGCACGCCTACCACCAACGAGGGCCTAGATCCGTCCAAGGTCATCATCATACATCCCGGCAGCCAAAATCTGCGCATAGGCTTCGCGAGCGATGCTCTGCCCAAGACTATACCGATGGCCATCGCCGCCAGATTCCCCCAGACCGAGTCCGAGATGCACGAGGCCCTTCCGCGTCGCCAATTCGAAGCCAAGACCATCGACCAACAATACGGCGAGGAGTGGTCCAAGAAGTATCAGAAGATGTGCAACGACTTGAAGGTTGACTTGCGCGCGCGCAAGCAAAAGGTCCTGCCCAATTCTAAGGAGCTTGTCGTGAACTTCAACCGGCGGGCCGAGCGGGAAGAGATACCCGTGCATAACGATCCTCTGCAGATCGAGTGGACCGACGTGAAGAGCATCGACGACCCCAACTCGGCAGCCTCGTGCTTCATCGGCCAACCCGCCCAGCGAATCCCTGACGATTCGAACCCCAAGTTCAAGTTATGGTGGCCCCTACAGAACGGCTGGCTCAACGAGGATGATTACACCACGGCCGAGCACCTGTACGACGACCTCGAGACGCTCCTCGACAAGGCTATCCGGCAGGAGCTCGGCTTGACTAGGAACAGCGCGTGGAAGAGCTACAGCTGCGTGTTTGTCATCCCCGACCTCTACGACAAACGATACGTGGAGCAAGTTCTCAAGTCCTGCATGACCTGGTTCGAGTTCAGCAGAATTTGCTTCGTGCAGGAGAGCATGGCGGCCACCTTCGGCGCCGGGTACACGCAGGCGTGCGTGGTCGACGTCGGCGCGCAGAAGACGTCGATAGCGTGCGTGGAGGACGGGTTATGCGTGGAGGAGTCTCGCATCAACCTCAAGTACGGCGGCTACGACGTGACGGAGACGTTCGTGAAGATGCTGCTCTACGACAACTTTCCCTACAAAGAGATCAACCTCCGGAGACGGTACGATTTCCTCCTGGCCGAGGAGCTCAAGATCAAGCACTGCACCCTGACTCAGGGCGAGATCCCGGTCCAGAACCTGAGCTTCCACCTCCGCGCTCCCAACCAGCCCACGTACCAGTACTACTTTAGGACTTACGACCAGGTCATCCTCGCCCCCATGGGCTTCTACGACCCCACCATCTTCGACAACTCGGCCAAGCTGCGCAGCCGGCGGAAGCTGGTCGACCGCTCGTACAACGCCTACGACGTCGACATGCCCGACGACCCCACCTCCGCGGCCCAGGTCGCCGTGCTCGCCCTCATCAAGCCCTCCGTCGTCTCCAACGCCAACGGCTTCCAGCAGCAGCAGCAGCAGCCGCCAGCATCGGCGCCGCAGCAGCAACAGCCCTCGTCCGCAGCCGCCTCGTTCTCCGAGAGCCATCTCGCAACCCCTATGAAGGAGAAGTCACAGCCCTTCAACTTCCTGAGGGGCGACCTCAACAACGGCACGCCGGGCGGCTCGGCGGCCGCGTCGCCTGCTCCAGAGGGCGCCGCGACCCCGGTGCCGCCCGTCTTCCACTTCGGCCGGGCGAACGGGACGGGCAGCCCGGCACCTAACGGCTCGGCGCGCAACGGGGTGTCGCCGGGGCCGGGCCCGCCGGCGGGAATGTTCGTGGACGCGGCAGCGCGGACGGCGCGGGCAATGGCGGCGGAGCGGGACGCGGTCCTACCGGTGGTGCCGCTGGACATCGCGATCCTGACGAGCATCCAGAACGCGGCGCGGGGCGACGAGAAGAAGCTGCGCGACTACCTCGGCAGCATCATGGTGGTGGGCGGCGGGTCCAAGACGCCGCACTTCACCGCCGTGCTCGAGGACAAGCTGCGCCGCCGCCGGCCCGAGCTCGCCGACCGCGTGCTCATCACGCACAGCGCGCGCGACATGGACGAGCAGGTGGTGGTGTGGAAGGGCGCCAGCGTCTTCGCCAAGCTGCCCGCCAACGACAGCTGGATCACCCCGTTCGAGTTCGAGCGCCTCGGCGCGAGAGTCCTGCACCACAAGGTCCTCTGGGCCTGGTGAAAGGGGCCTTGCCGGCTGCGAGAAAGCGGGTACGGCGCGGGGGAGCAGAGGGCATCGTTAGGGATACGGCCTGTGCCCTGTCGCATGCGTATGTTACCAGGTGTGCTATGCGGTGAGGGACGAGGCGCGGTGCGGCCGCAGCAGCTGCCGCCCTGCCGCCGCCGGGCCTTCGCGCCGGAGCTCTCTCGCCTCGTCTCCTCGCCCGCTTCCCATCCTTTTTTTACCTACTATCCCATCGACGTTTTCTTTCGGCTCTACTTCTACGCTCAACGTATACACGCGGTACAGACTATGGCCTCCAGCGTTCCGCGCTTGCACGCGGCATTCGGACGTCGGTCCGCGACGGGAAATGCGAGATTCATAGAGCAACACGACAGGGGAAAGAAAAGAAAAGAAGGAAAGGGTTTTTTTTTATAGAAAGAAACCCCCCTGCGGAGGGAGAAAGCACGGCGTGGCGCAGGGTACGGGGTTGAGATAGTTGAGCCTGTAGAACCTAGGGTCTAGGTTGGGGTTACGTCTTCGCACGACAAGCTTCTCTCCCTCTCTCCTTTTTGGGTGCAACTTCTCATCGCCGCTCTCGTCCTCTCGACCCTTTAAAAAGGGGGGGCGTGGGCAGGGGACGCAGACAAAGGAGCGGAAGGACAGTTAGTGCCGTGGGAGGCGTTTGGCATCGTTAGGCGTTGCCGGAGGACGGTTGCTTATTTTATTCTTCTAGAAACGCCACCGTTCCTCCCTTCCTCACTTTTCTTTCCTTCCCCCAGCTATAGACGATTCTACTTAAACTACCCCCTCCCTGCGGCTGTGTCTAGGCTGACCTAGATAGGACGGTGCGGAAGGGGACCGGGGGGAGGGGAGGACGGGCATGATATATAGCGGAACGAGAGGGAGCTAAATCGGATAATAGGTATTCAACTTACTCGAAATAGCGTGTACGCATATGCCAACCGGAGGAGGGAGAAGCCCCTGATGTGTATGTCGTCGATTGCTTCACTCACCTTTTACCCTTCCTCTTTACGTCTGGCTGGTTGTCGAGACTTTAGGCAGAGGAAAGACGGGGAGAAAAACTGAGAATAGATCATGACAGATGCTTGTGCGACCCGGTATATCATTATTCTCAACTTATACGCTCACTTAAGGGCCACGGGTTTCAAGGCCCGGCTGACGTTGGTAAGTCTCTCGCCACAGGCAACAACCACTTTAGCCTTCACATTAGGTTAAGGGCAAGCATTTGGATACTGGATATAATAACGTAGCTAGCTAGTCGATTTAGCCACTAGTAGGACACATATACATAATACACACGCACACGGCCGTTACAGCCAGTTGGGTATCTCTAACCGATTAAACCAGAGAGGAGACCGCCGAAGTCTCCCGAGATGTCCTAATCAAACAAACCCGTTTCTGGGTGCAAAAAATCGAGACCCAATCGCGACGGCTCATTGGAAAGGGGTTTTGGGAACGTGAGATGTCTTGGGTGTAGGAGCGTTAAGGGGAGGTACCGGGTAAGATACCTGGGAGGTCGATGCGGCTGACGGGGTTGATGGTGTCGTTCCACGCTCCGGTCTCTTGATCGCTTCAATAGCCCAGTCGGGCAGGTTGCCGTCATTTTGAGAAGATTGCTTGGCCCTCCTACGCTCCATAACAGCTTCTAGTGCCCTCTGGTCGTCTATCCGGCGAGGTTTACGTGGTTCGAACACGGGATCCCCCCTAGGAGTGACTGTTTTATGGGGAGTCGCCGAAGGTTGCTAAGGCCGGTATAGATTAGTTGATGAACGTGTTGAAGCCTAGTTCTCCTGGTGAGGTCTTTACCTGGGGGCCCTGGCCCATTGGACTCGTTGTCGGTCCGGTTTTGTTGGCCTCGGCGGCTCCGTTGGACTCGGAGTGTGCTCTCGCCATGATCTGAACTGCTTCCATCGTTTCAAGTTCGATCGGAGTAATATGACCGTCCAGGATGGCTTTAGCAAATGCCGGCTGTCCTAACGCAGTCAAGAGAGCCCATCTCCGGTTATACGACAAGGGCTGGGACCACATTCGCAATGAGATATCCTTAGCCAGCATACGCGCGTCTTGTTCTTGTTCTTTGCTTGAAAGTGGGAGTAGATAGTGTGTTAGGTGTGCATGAAAGGTCTCTTCATCGCGAACCCTCGCATCATTGTCTGATTGTTGTCGAACTTGAGTAGTAGCTCCGAAGATAGCTGACTGCGAGGCGCTATTCTGGCGAGGCGTAGAATTGTCCGGGAGTCTTCTATCCTGGGTAGTATCGGTGTGCGTACTCGTGTATTGCGCTGGGGGGTAATTACTTCCGAAGCCCGCGAGCCCAGGCAGCGGAAGAGCGACATCTAGAGGAACGTTAACATCCGATGGTCTCTCCACAGCAGGATTTGTGAACTGATTGACTCCGCCGGCAGGCCTATTTGCGGCAGGTAGATTTGCAACAGGCCCAGTTACAGTAGTCCCATTTTCGACAGGCCCATTTGTAGCAGAGACACTGCCAGCAAGGCTGTTTCCAGTAGGAACACCGCTAGCAGGCCCATTTGTGGCAGGTATATTCGCAGTGGGCAGTCCTAATCTACGGGCTTCGTTTTGTGCGATCAGTCGGTCGGCTTCTGCACGATCTTCAGCGGTCAGAACTGTATCCTCCAGCTCTTCTTCCTCGAAAGTGTCCATCAATGTAATGTCCCGAATGCTGGACCGATATTGCTCAATGACCTTGTCCAGAACGCTGTCCTGGCCGATATGCTGATCCAGGTTTCCCTGTCTGGGTTCTGTGGGCATCTCAAAGGTATGCCCAAACTTTTGTGACTTGGGAATTGGATTCTTCTGATCCACGACTCGGGAGGCTAACTGCATCTTCCAAATTGCCTGGTTCAACAGCTTTTCTTCGAAAGTGCCTCCACATATGAAACGATAGACAAATACCGGCTTTTTTTGTCCTAAGCGGTATGCACGTCCTACTGCTTGCTGCTCATTCTGGGGGTTGAACTGGCTATCGAAGAGGACGACACGGTTTGCACTGACAATGTTGAGGCCAAGACCACCTGCTCTGGTGGAAATGAGGAACACGTCTGCTTGGTTCCTGTTGAAATCCTTAACCATGCTCTGCCTCTTGGTTGTTACAGTTGACCCATCCAATCGCTGAAAGATGAATCTCTGTCTCCGGAGTATCTGCTCCAGGTAGTTGATTGTGCCGATCGAATGGCTGAAGATAAGCACCGAATCTCCTATGCGCTTGCACTCGTTAAGAATGGCCACAAGTATTGGGATCCTCCAGGAGAGGGAGAATTCATTAAGGTCTCGCTCTTTTCGCAAGAGAGTCATCTCGTTACTAACAAGCTGCTCAGGGAGAATAGCACTAGACTCTCCAGTCTTCTTGGCCTTCTGTTCCTCTAGCCTTTTCATGAAGGGAGAGGGATGAGCACAGAGAAGACCAAGTATGCTTATAGATGCAAAAGTCTTTGCGCCGGATGGGTGGTCTTGATGGTACTGGACATAGGTTTCATATGCTTCTTTCTGCACTCTAGTGAGAGGTAGGGTTAAGACGAACTCCTTTTTTGTCGGGATGTCATGCTTTAGTACTGCGATTGTCACCCGCTGCACCTTTGGCGCAACTTCTTCCTTAAGGACCCGTAACATCTTCAAAGCCATTCGGCGGTCAGCCATGGTGCTGTCTGCCGAGAGTCCAGAGTCTATAGGTATAACATACTCAGACCTAAACTCTCTTAGGTCAGATAAGTAGTTGGGAGCAATCCAGTTGATCATTGCATGATATTCTTCAACGTTATTTGCTAAGGGCGAGCCCGTGAGTGCGATACGGCTCTGAGTTCGGAAGTTTGCCGTGGTAACGTGTAGTTGGGAATTGGGGTTCTTCAGCATGTGCGCCTCGTCTGCTACGACAAGGTTGGGGCCTTGGGTTAACAACTTAAACACTTCCTCGTTATTGGAAAATATTTTGAAAAGTTGATAACCAGTAACAAGCACACCACCTCTCTTGTCCCAGGAACGAATGATTTCCTGGCGCTGTGATGTAGGAATCGTATGGTCCAGCTTGAAGAATTCACCGAGTTCGTGCCTTTCCGGTGTCCAGAACAGCATCTCGTCCAGCCAATTGTCGATAAGCATAGGGGGACAAAGTATAAGCGTCTTTGATTCCTTGAGTGTGTCCGGGATTTGGGAAGAAATCGACGGATCGTCAGATCGGGCAGCTTGGGCGATGGCTACTAACAGCGTGATGATTTGCATGGTCTTGCCTAGGCCCATAGTATGAGCCAGTAGGCAGCCTTGCCCTGTTGTAGAGCCTACAATCTGGTCCCACATGAACCTGACTCCTCCTACTTGGTGGTCTTTGATGCGCGATGCAATTTCCTCGTGGATATAGATGAGTCCCTGGTCATCACTTTTGCTCTCATTAATGATGTATTGGCTCCCTAGATCCATTGCGCCTGATGCTTCTAGCTGCTTTAACTTTGCACGAAGCATCCATCGTCGCTGGTCTTGTTCTGTCATGCGTATCCGATCGATCTCCCGAAGATCTGCTGCTTCTCTGTTGCGGGCGATTTTCTTGTGTTTCTTCTTAGCGTCTGGAGATGTAATATCTATAAGGTTATTGCCATCTTCAGCCGCCTTATCGTCCCCCCCATCTTCATCGTGCTGGGGTTCGGTAGTCATATTATTCCATTTCTCCACCATAGTTGGATTTATCTTCCAGTCGAAGCGGTCTGATAGTTGACGAAGGAAGCTGAGGAAACAATTAAATGTGTCCGCATTCTGCTCCGATTGGAGATCTTGCGGGCCAAACTTGCCCTCTCGGATCAGCCCCCTGAGCCGGTTGAGAGAGCAAGGTATCCCGCTTCTATATGTCTCAAACAATCGAAGTATCGTGTACGCGATAAGAAGATTTTTCTTCGCCGACGTATTATAAGGGGCCGCGGGGAGTTCTTGGTTTTTGGACAGGAGCAATTCTATGCTCCGCCGTATCTCCTCAGCGCGTAGTTTGTTTATTATCGTGAAGGCCATAGATAGGTAGAGGTCGTCTAATCTCGCCAGCGCCCGCGCTACTAGCTGTTCTGCCGGTTCTAAATCATCAATCGATAGATCGAGTGCCGATGCCGGATCCTCTCGCCGAGACGATTGTGTCTTCTTGCCTCCGGACCTCCTTGGCGTACCGGTCTGCTTACTAGTAGTGGCGAGGCTTTTGTCAACGTCTTGACCGGGTTCGGCTGGCATGTTAACGTCGGTACTTTGGCGGGGTTGGGGGAGGCTGGATGCGTCCCCATCTCCGGAATCCATGGGCGCCAGAGGCGCCAAACTCTTATTACGAACTGAGACGAAATGCTCCTGGGTATCTGGCACGTCATTATCCAGGTCCATGCGCGATAGCGACTCGCCGGGAGACATGGCAGATGGTAAAGGCTCGTCGTCGACGACGAAGTCGCCTAGGTCTTCGTCCGAGTCGCTTGTCAGGTCTTCCCCGCCGTCCGAAGAAATGGATTTCCGGGTTCGAGTCCTTTTACCGGATCTGCGTGGTTGCGGCGGGGGTTTTTCGGGCTCGGTTGACGACGTGACAACACCGAGACGCCATGAGTCGTATTCTCGGTCCTCTACGCTCGCCCTAAGAATGGAAGCGTCTTCTCTTAGCTTTGCCTTTTCCTTCCAGAATTGGGAAGATGCAATTTCCTCGCGAAGCTTGGCAATCCTCGAGTCATATCCCTTCAGGCGTTTATCGATTTTGTCTATCGACGTTTTCAGGCCCGCCCTCCGAGCCTCTTTCCACATCGCGTGAGCTTCAAACTCCAGCTTGGGGAGCTTGCGCCTGCCCCAGTCGGATGCGAGTTTCTCGATAACATCGTCGATCACCGAATACACCTCCTCTGTGCTCAGGCGTTTCTTCTCCTCCTCCTCCGCCCACTTCGCTAGTTCGACTCTCTCCTCCTCGATCTCTTCCTCAATCTCGGCCCATGTCTCTGAATCGCCTTCATCATCCGAGTCTCCGTACCTAGGTAAAATCTCATTATGGTCTGGGTTGTTAGCCCCGGGCACCATATCTGACTTGACCATGCGAGACACCCGGGAGATTCTTCCCCGCAGCATATGGCGTTTATAAAGTCGATGAACCTGTAGCCGCCGTCCATACGGTTCCTGGCGATCTCGGAAGAACGTAACCGGGGTTTCCTCGTCCAATCCTTCTCCTTCCGGTGAGTCACGATCATTAAAAATGTCAACCCTGGTAAAGGCGCCTTCTCCAAGATACGCTTGGGCAGAGTCAATTAAACTGTGGCCATCTTGACGTGGTTCTGTATCCCCCAATCCGTGCTCCATAATAACATCGGCTTCGGTGGGTATATTACGTCTGAGATTGACATCAACATCTGATGAAATGAGAGTAGGCCTCTGGCGTTTCGGCTTTCGGGGAGATCCTGGTTTCACAGCTTCCTTGTGGGTAGCGGTGGGGTCTTGTTGCGGCTGATCGGGAGCAGAGATAGTTGTCGCCCGGGGGGGGGGGTAAATAGCACTCGGGCCCGATGGCTCCGTCTCGTCACACAGGCTCATTTCCCCGCCGCCGACATCCGGTTCAGTCGTCTCACCTAGCGTAGTTGGGTTGGCATCGCGGCCCGAGGTATTACCGTCTACCGCACCCGAATTAAGGGATACAAGCTCGGTCCGTAGCCTCTCCCTCCGGTCATCTTCGCCATTCGGCCCTCTGTTCTGTTGAACTGGGAGTTCGGAGTATTCGCGGTGCTGATCAGCTTCATATTGAAGACTATGGGAGCGGAAAATGGAGATGGCATGCCTCAGTGTGGCCCTATGCTTTATTATCTTGAGGTTGAGCGCGCTAAACAGTTCGGCCTGATCGTATGTCATAAGGGTATGCCCGTCAACTTCCTGCTCTCGTAAGGAACGCTCAAGCTGCTTGAAAGGAGGGAACCGGGAGATGGCCGAACGTTCCCAAGACCGACTTTCGGAGCAGAGCTCCCGCACGACCCTGTCAACATCCCACTCCCAGGGGTCGTCCATCATAGTCTAGTACTTCATCGAACAAGTGGAAGAAACGGATGAACAGACGGGATCCTAAAGGCCTAGCAAATTAGAGGGGTAGATCTCTAGCATGAGTTAGAATTGCCTTAGGCAGTTTGCGCAAGTTGCTAGGCCTGAAAGAAGCCAGCAGCAGCTTGAATGTAGTGGCGGGACAGGTGTATGAGGATGGGGCCAGACGTTGACAGGGCGAGGAGGGGGGAGAGAAGTGGGAAAGAGAAAAAAAAGGGTGCAGATGTAGGTTGGTGTGGAAAGTACCAGTGAAGGTAAGAGGTTATGGGAAGTGGCGTCCAAGTTTGCAATGCGCCTGCCTGCAGATCTGGGTGAAAATGCGATAAGCAGATAAGCAGTCGAGAAGCAGCTCAAGCTGCAAAATTCTTCAGCCGAATCCCCTAGCTGAGCTGAATGTCCTGTCCTTCTTAAATACCATCAGGGTGATGTCTTCTTACGCGCCGGGGCTAGTGGTAAAGGCTCAAATATGTGCGGTAACTAAGGCACGGAGATGATACCATTGGTCAGTTACGAGAGGAAACCGCATAGAACAGAATGGCGCCGAGACTGCAGAGTAGGAGGTCTGTTAAGGACGGCCCAACAGACTTCGGTTCAAGGCACCATCAATATCAGCAATGGTGTCGGTGTGGACGCAATACTACTGTTGTTGGTGCAATTGTTCCCTAATGCAGAGAGCTGCAGTCTCCTGTACATGCAGACAGGGTTGCTTGCCTAGGTAGGTAGGTACCTATGTCTGGAGCTGTACGTCGTGATGATCTAGGTCGATAAGTTGGAGGGTAAGAATTGTCAAAGGTATCGGGCGCCCTGGTTGCTTAACTGGCCGATGGGCAGGTCGAGGGGGCGTGTGCTGAAAGGGGTGGGTGTGTCGAGAGAGAGACAGGCGGCAGAGGTAAGGGCGGAAGAGATCTCGAGTATGGTATGTGATTTAGACCACGTTGTTCTTGTCGCACTTTCTCTTTAATTTCCTTCTGCGTGGTGGAATGTTTCGGGAAGTTGAGAAACGAAGTTGAGTAGAGGGAACAAAGCGACGATAAATTCATCCACAACACAAGGAGGTGTGCGTTGGAATTGCTACGGGAACAATCAGCACACTGTGACTCAGGTAGGCACATGGAACATAAGAAGCTGTCTTCATGGATTTGGCTTACCTGCTCTGTAACTGTTTTGCTGGGCTAACAGTAGCTACCTCTTATGGAACTGAGGCAAGTCAGGGTTGCTCTGGCGATGTGGAATTTACGCGCTGGAGTCAAGTCCACACTGGAGGTAGGCGCGTTCTTAGCAGAGGGTTAATGGATGTGGAGATTTCATGTGACTTGGGCTTGGCAGTACGTATACATGCAGTAAATGCATCCCTACATGTTAAATGCATACAATCAGATAAGGAAGTTTAATACTTAACAGCAGTTAACATCAAGTGCGTTCACACTAGACATTAGGTGATATTATAATGCAGCTGGTTGGGATGATTAAAATGTAAACAATAGGTAACATATAATATAAATAAATAACGCTATTATACTTATATAGATTTATATATTTCAACTAAGTTGATATAAATTAGTACCTAGCTAAAAGTCTAAATATAAATACGTAAGCTATATATACTTTTATTAGCTTGAGGTAACTTAAGGCAAGCGAAAGCAGGTACCTACTTATAGCTATAGGTACTATATTCTAAGATGTACCTAGGCAGGTACCTAGGTTGTAGATCCTTAGGCATCCAGAATAGAGGCCTGTGATTAGTGAAATTGAAAAAAATACACAATAGCTAACTGTTCGTAAAACGCTATATTTAAGCCCTTTTAGCAGTTTAGTTTTTACACCTTTAATTAATTAACTAGGTTTACCTTTTAACTCGTTTTGCGTGCCTTATAATTAAGGCAGCGACGCCACGAGAGGAACCGCCTAAAACGCACCAGGTATCGTAGATGCAGCTACAGGTGCTTAGCAGCTTAATGAGTGTAGGGCTAAAAACACCTACCTAATCATACAAACTTCGAGTAAGGGAACACATAGGCGGGAATACTCAACCTCACACCTCTTAGTAGGTTACGGACATCCTGCCACGAGGCACCCAGATCACGTCACCTCCTGGATTACAACCCAATTGCTTCGACGTAACTAAGCCGGCCTCAGTTGGGCCAGGATGTGACAGGCATTCATTCCTCTTCTCGGCTTACCTGCTTTCTAGGCACAGTTCGCATATGTGGATGACGGAGGATGTAAACGGCCACGCGATATGTATGTACCTACCCCTCCTACCCTCCCCCACAGCTACATCCTAATGGATCCTATCCCTAACTACCTACATGCCTAGTCCTCTAAATATTATAAGTAGAGGTAGGTAGAGGTAGGCAAGTAGGTAGGATAACCAATACTACCGAAGATATACCTACCTAACCCGCTTCACATAATTCCGTACGTACAAGACATACTCTCTTCTTCCTTGCGTCAGGAAGCCATCGGCACTTGGGCACTTCATGCGAACCACAGTTTACACCTGTAGCTACTAAGGCGCAAGTAGAAACCGGCAGGGCCAGCTACATCCACCTATATCTGACCCTGAGGGGACCGTGCTGCCGAGGCCCTCCCTAGGCACACTGAGCCTCCATTCCTGGCAGACTCTGGCGGTTGGTTGTCTGCCGCCGAGAACGAGACATGTCCGAATACCCGCCCGAGACCACGCCCGGTGAGAGTGGAAGGTTGAAAGGGGTCATCAAGGACTGGGCGCTTGCCAATGGCTTGACTGTGCGACCCCCTCCGTCGCTTCATTCGGCGAATGCGGACCCTGCCGGGATCCTCGCAACACCGGTTTCGCTCACTCTGTTCCCGAGCCCCTTCCCCCGAGCCTGCTTCGACCAAGCGGCCACGTTCCAGAAGACGTACAACAAGCTCTATGCGTCTATCAGCCAGGATGAAGAGTTCCTGGCTCGGGTTGTGAAGGAGTATGTGCTGTCTCTCTGCTTCGGGGAGCTAGGTGGTTCTGTTCCCACAATGGGAGCTGACGAGTGATAGAATCGGTGATAGCGACGACTTCATAACTGAATTATGGAGGGTCCACCTTCGGGTCAAGGAAGAGGGTTATGTCCAGGTAGGCCAGTCGCCATCTCTCTCACCGTGGTACTTCTATAATAACCAAATCACTCGGCAGCACAAATGCCTCGGCCTCTTCAGGTCCGACTATATGGTCCACCAAGATGGGGCCGGATCCGCCCCCAAGATCAAGCAGGTCGAATTTAACACGATCGCCTCCTCATTCGGAGGCCTCTCGTCGCAGACGTCTCAACTCCATAAGTCAGTAGCCGTCGTCTAATACAGAGACATGCAGTGTTAAAAAGAATTCCCTTAGATATCTAGCCTCGACGGAGTATCCGCTCTTGGAGAAGTCGATTAAGAGGGGAACGTTACAGTTACCAGCGAACGGGAGCGCCGGCGGGTTGGCTGCGGGCATCCGGCACGCGTTCGTCGAATACGGGACGCCGTCTACCGGCTACCAGAAGTGTGTCATCTTCCTAGTGCAGGGGGGTGAGAGGAACATCTTCGACCAACGTCATCTTGAATATGAACTCCAAAAGTACGAAGAACCACAGGTGCCCGTTTTCCGGCTTCTGTTCTCGGAGATTTTGCAGTGCACGAGCCTCGCCGACGGCCTGAGGCGCCAACTGTTGTACCACCCCCCCGAGTTTCCCGCTCATACGTTCGAGGTTGCCGTCGTATATATGCGGTCGGGCTATGGACCGGGAGACTACCCGGACCAGTCAGCCTGGGAAGCTCGGTACCACCTAGAGAGATCGGCAGCCATCAAGTGCCCGACCGTGCTGACGCAGGTTGCCGGCACGAAGAAGGTCCAGCAGGTCCTGACCACACCCAAACCGCCGTCAAGCCCGTCGATACTCGGTCGCTACCTACCCGACGAGGACTCCGCATCGACATCCAGCGTGAGAAGCACCTTTACCAATATCTATCCCCTGGATGAGACGACAGCCGGCGTCAAGGCCCGGCAGATCGCGACCGACCCCGAGCTCTGCAAGGGCTATGTCCTCAAGCCGCAACGAGAGGGCGGCGGCAACAACATCTACCGCTCGGCGATACCGGCGTTTCTCAAGTCCATCCCTGAAGCTCACTGGCCGTCGTACATCCTAATGGAGCTGATCACGCCGCCAGCGGTCAAGAACACCATCCTGCGCAACGGCAACCTAGAGCGGGGCGGCGTCATCTGCGAGCTCGGCGTCTACGGAACCTGCGTCTGGGACCAGCAGTCTAAGAATATCCTGCACAACGCGCAGGCAGGCTATCTCTTGCGCACCAAGGGAGACCAGAGCGAGGAAGGCGGCGTCGCCGCTGGGTTCGGCTGCATGGACAGCTGTAACTTGGTCTGAGGGGAGGGAAGGGTGTGTGGCAAATTAAGTGTAAATACAGCAGGGAGCAGAGCAAACCACCAGTTTGCATAGACAATAGACCCCCCACATAATGGTTCTATCCAATTCCACATGAACGTTCCTCCATACACAATTCTAAATTACCAGAGAAAGGTATAAGCATTTCCCCTTTGAACAGCCTCCCTCCTCTTCTCCAGATGAATACATACCTGCCGGCTCCTCAAAGTTCGGTTGTTGTCATGTCCACTCTGCCACTGAATGGACCCCATTCCGACTCCATTTCGGTAAGCAAGCACTTCGAGTTCATGTCTTTATCAGCAGCACAACACACAACCACCAAGTAGTCTTTGGTCTCCCCCACATCTCTATATTCACTATCAACAACCCCCCTCTCAAATACGCACCCATCCATTCACCAGGACGACTAGAGACCTTCTCCCCCTTGACGCGGTGTCGACCGCTAGGTACCTAGGTATAACAGCAGCTCTCCCTCACTCCATCTCATGCTCTCCTTCCTCCCTAGTACCACACCCAAGCAACCTCTCAGCACCATGTCCAACCCACCCCCCAAAGACACACCCTCCTCCCCTCCACCTCGCCAGCAGCAGGCACCTAGCAGCCACCCTCCTCCGGCTCCTCCTCCGGCTCCTCCTTCGCCTCCCATCAACGCGCCAACCCCTCCCCCTTCCCCTCACACCTCCGGCTCCTCCTTCCCGACCCCCCACTCGCCACGCCCCACTACGCCGCCGCGCCGCGAGCCCTCGACCCCGCCACGCCCGAGCCGCTCGATCGCGTACCGCCGGCGCAAGCGGACCGGTCGCTTCGGCGCACGGGCCCCGCCGCCGCCGCCGCCGCCGCCGCTCGACTGGGAGCGGGAGCTGGCGCGCGTCGAGGGCCGCCGGCCGGCCGAGGATGAGCACGAGCACGCCGTGCAGGCCGTGGTCGAGGCGCTGGCGCTGGCGCGGCTCGGCGCCGAGGCTGTGGGGGAGAGGTGAGGGATGAAGGGGAAGTGGGGGAAGAGAAGAAAAGGAGAAAAGGAAGAAGAGAAGAGGAGGAAAGAAATGAAACAAAACAAGACAAGAAATGGTAAGCAGACGCGCCTGCACGAGAGAGAGTAATAATGGTTGTTGTTGACTAAGTCTATATTATCCCAGGGCAAGGCGATCTACTTTCCTCCCCTCGGCGCCCGGTACCCACCAGCATCGATACCACCGCGATTCGGGAAGGCCTACAAGGGCGTGGACGTTCATTGTTTGGGGACGGGGCGCAGACACGCGGCGGGGGCGTTGGTTTTTCGGCAGGACACGGAAGGGGGCACGTGGGAGAGCTTCCGCTTGCGCCTACGGGCGCGGCACGGCGAGAGCCCTCCGCAGGCTCCTCCGATCCGGCGGGGCCGGCGGCGAGAGACCCGCGGCAGAAAGAACGGCACGGTGGCAAGACATGGCGAGGGCGCCTGGGATACACGTCTGTGGTAGTCAAGTCTCTACGTAGTAATACAGCAGTACACCGGCATCCTCTAGCAGTAATTCCTATTACCAGACGCGCTGGAAAGTCATCGCAGTGGAGAAGCCCTGATCCATGAGCATGTTGTAAAAAGAGGTTGAAAAAAAAGTCGGTCAGGTCGTCGCCGCCTTCTAATTCTTCATCTTTTTTTCTTCTTCTTTTTACCCGGCCCAAATTCCCGCACGTTTGTCGTCTTCCCACTATTGTTCGGAGTCCGGGGGCGGAGTTGGCTTGCGGATGACATCGAGGTTCCCTATCGAGTGGGTTTCCCGACGTGTTAGCCGGCCTGATCGCCCTAACCAGTGCCCGGGGAGGGGAGGGGAGGACGGGGGCCTGCTTAGCTTACTTAGGACGATACTCAGACTAGTCCTCGGCTTCTCTTCGCCGTCGGTATACGTTCGCAGAGAAGCATCGCCCTCTACGTATACAAGAGCCCTACAAGCGGGTGGTCAGCTCGTTTCTGATTCGGACCTGTTCTACCTGGTCTGGATTGCGAAAACGTCGGTCGTCTGGGTATCTGCGGCGCATAGCTCACCGCTTGCAGCGTCGCCTCCTTCCTCCTTCACGCTCTCGGCTTGACCAATTTCTCCGTCTCCTCGTCGCTCGGAAACGGAGCCCAACCCGTCCAACACGGGGACAGGCGGAGAAGGGAGAAAACCGCGGCGCATTGGGTTGATTATACGTACCCCTTGGTCAGGCTGGTGAGGAAATCGCGGCGCGGTCCCTCCTCAACGAAGGCGGTGACGCGGAACCAGCTGGTCTTGCGGTCTTCGCCGCGGCCGGCGTTGCTCGCTACCAAATACTCGAGTATTTCGTGCCCAGTGCTGGTGGCGCGGGCCTGCGGCGGCCCGGCGAGGTTGCCGACGATGGTGATCTTGGCGATGTCGCGGCGCGCCGAGGCGCTGAAGGCGCGCGCTGTGGCGGCGGGAGCAGCGAGGCGGCTTAGCGAAGCCGGGGCGGTGAAGGCGCGGCGGGTAAAGAAGGACATGTTTTTCTGGCGACCTTTCGCGGCGAGTCTTCCGTCCGAGTTCTTGTGTGTTTTTTCTTCCTTTTTTGGGGATATGGGTGTGGACGTTTGTGGGCGCCGAGCGGAGACGTGTGATGAAAATTTTCTGCGATGTGGGGGGCGGGATGAAGAGAAGGTAACGGACCGGGGTGGTCTGTCGCGGACTGGAATTGAGGACTGGCGATGCGGGAATGGATACGGGAAACGGGCTGCCGGTCAGCGATAGAGGAGGATTTAGGCAGGAGGCAGTAGGAAAAGGAGAGCGAGAGGAGAGAGACGGAGGGGGGAGGGCGAGTGGGAAGGCCTGGGGTTGCGCTGCGTTTGCGATCTTCTTCGACGCGACCCGAAACGAAGCAACCCTTGATCTGCCCGCCGCCGATTGGCTGGTGGTCGAGAGGGAGATATCGCGGGGAGGTACCTTTACGCAGTACGCGTGCTATATAAGGTACCCTAACCTATCTCCTATTTACCTTAGGTAAGGCAATACATCCTTATCGTAGGGGGTAATGTGCCCTAGGAGGTACCGAAGTAGGTACACATTGCGCAATTGCATCTCCAACCTCCGCTACCTAGGTAGCTTGTCTTTTCCTCCTCTCTATACCTGGTCATAATGCACAGAACCAAAGCCTGTCTCACACGTATTGAGCTTGGTTCGACTCGTCGCTAAGAAGCCGAGAATTGCAAGTTGCCAACATCTCTCCCTCCCAGCTCTCCCTTCTCTTGTCCTTTCTACAAAAGACGTGCCCTATTCGCAGAGTTGCTACCCGTCGGGCCTGCTGGAGCTACTGCCAACGCACGGGTTCGAAGTTGGCTTAAAGTCATAGTTATAAATGCCTACAGCCTGCCTTACGTATATACCCGACACATCGTTGGCCTCGTCGAGTCCTCCGAATCCATGCCCACCGGTACGCACCTATAAACTTACAACAGCCAAACAAGGGAGTCTGGATGTCCTGCGCGGATAAGGTTAGGTAGATACCCGCAGGGCATATGCGGAGTCGATCGCGCCTCAGCTCGATGCCCCCCCTCTCTCTGCCCAGGCTTGAGTACCCAATTGCTTCGTGTGTCGATGGGCACGGGTGTCCCCAGCTCGGATTCCCATGGACCCTCTGCCAGCTGCCTCGTCTGGCCCCCGCCATCTGACATCGTCTTTGTCAATAATTGCGGACCTCAGCTGCGAAGGCATCACGCCTAGGGCGAACGTCATTGACTGTTGCCCGCACCATACCAAGGGTCACAACCCATCCCATTGCCGTTTCGTCTCGGAAATCTGTAATGGTGTCAATTATTTTCGTCCGGTAGCCGTCCCGATTTGAACAAGCGGAATTCCTTCTCCCCGAACACAATAATACGGAGTCCTACAGCACAACCGATATTGCCCTACTTACTGGCCACTTACCTACGTACAGCACAGACAATTCGCGGTTGAGGTTTCGGGTATATACTAAGCTATCACGTCACACTGCCCATCCAACGTGTTGGAAGTTGTTGCAAATTATTGTGGACCGAAGAGAACGAATTGATAACATCTAGCAGTCGAAAGGGGAGACGCGGCATCACGTCTCACATGTCAGAGTAGGGGCTTTTCCTTTACCAAATCTCAGAGTTGCTATAGGTGCCATTGTGAGACAATAAGCCAGTATTTACTTAGTTACTTGCTATTTTCTTTAACTCCCGAGAATGCCGTCCTAAATGACACTCTGAAATCCCGATATAACTACTGTCTATTGTTTAGACTACTTACGATTCGAGTAGCGCTGGTATCCGTCACCGTTTCATTGAACTAGATCGGGATAGAGAGTACAATCACGATAATAGAGAAAATGCCTACAGCATATGAATACCTACCAATACGAACTCTTTCAAGGAGCAGCGGCGTTGAAAATGCTGATTTTCATATCTTAACTCTCGTTGCCGTTGGAAGAGCGCGTGGTCGCACGCGACAACGGCTTGCGTCTCTTGATAAACCCCGTCACCTAGCCACCCAGTCCCCCTGGCCTTCATTAGGTTCCCATGCCCATCTCTGTCTAGATAAAAATAAAAACAAAAATAGGGCTGTTGGCGTTCCCGCGATATCATCAGAACTAACCCTGTCTTGGGGGTGAGCCTGAGGAATTCCTATAGGTATTACTAATGCCCCATGACTTTGAACCCGCACACTGCCCCCCTTAGCTTTCCAACCTTCGCTCCAAATCTTAAAAGGGGATCTCGAGCTTTTCTGAAAGGTAAGGTGCCCCTGGTATCCGTGCTCGCGGTGGCGGCGTCTCCCCCCCCATATTGACTCGCTCCCCAGTAGCCGTTGGCTGGGCACGACGCCAGATTCGCAAGTCAAGACGAGACGAGAGAAGAGAACATACAAAGGGCCATGGACGACGGCCGCTTTGCGCCGAACCCGAGCTTACGGGCGAACTTAGTGCTCCGGGTGTTCTTCGCCGTCCTAGCCGTCGCGCTGTGCTGGGTGCCGCTGCGGTTGTTCTGGCGCAAGAGGGATGTCGCGGCCGTCGCGCTGCTCGCGGCCCTCGTGTTGCTGGACCTGCTGGCGACCGTCAACGCGCTCCTCTGGCCTTCCGACGTCTGGGACGTCTGGTGGGACGGCGCCGGCCTCTGCGAGGTCGAGGTCTACTTGTGGATGCCGCTGCGCACCATCTACGCCGCCGCCATCTTCGCCATCGTCCGCGACCTCGCGTGCAAGGTCAGGGCCGTGCCCTCTGCTGCCCTGCTGCCGTCGCCCTCCCGCAGCCGCGGTTGCGGTTGCGCCGGGCGCATCTGGGTCCAGGCTGCCATCGTCTTTTCCGTCCCCCTCTTCCAGCTCCTCTTCACCTGGTTCGACCTCACACAACGCTACGAGATCGGCACCATCGTCGGGTGCATGCCCGTCTTCGACGACAGCTGGCCTCGTATCGTCGTATACGACCTCCCCATTCTGGTCTTCACCCTGGCATCTCTTCCGTACGCATGTAAGCAACGATCCTCTCCAGTCTGACGCGCTGAGTATCGACCACTAACGCCGCAATCATCACCCCCCGCAGTCCTGGCCTTCAAGCGCTACCATGCGACGTCCAAATCGACGCTGCCCTTTCTTCGCGCCAAGTCGCGTTCGCGATGGCGTCTCTACGGGGTCTCGCTCATGATCCTGCTTATCTACCTGCCCGTTTCGCTCTACTTCGTTGTCAGCAACATCGCTGACGTCGTGCGGTCCAATGACTTTCGACCGTACAGCTACGCCCGTGTTCACGCCCTTCCTAGACCCGGATCGGAACTAGGGGGATCGGGTGGGACGCACCCCTATCCCTGGGACGCCGTCTTCTTCGTGCCCTCGTGGGACCTGCCCTCCCACGTCGCAAACCAGGCGTGGTTCACGATCGCGACGACTGTCGGTGTCGCTGTCTTCTTCGGCAGCACCAAAGAGGCCCGCACCACGTACCGCGCCTATGCAGCCGCAGCGCGGGCCCGTTTCGTCCGTCACCGCGAGCTCCACGCTCGTGGGCACTCCGGACCCCGCCGCCACCGCCTCCACAGCAGCAGTCGGAGGATCTGGCCTCATTGGAACCTCCATCATGGTGGCCCACATCGCCGCGACATGTTAGATTTGGAGGCCGTCTACGGAGATGAGTACTACGCGAAGGCCGAGTAGTAAGTATCCTCCCCCCCCCCCCCTGGCTCAGAAGAAAAAGTTCCCCAGAAAGTAGGCATGTCCCTTAAGCCCTTAGCTAACCGCCGCTCTCGTCTCTTTCTCCCGCAGCCCCCGCGGTTCCAGATACCGCCGCTCTCCTTACTACTTCGACCTCGAGCCGGACTCAGACTCTGACCCGGACGGAGGTTGCGAATGGAACCCGGAGTTGATTCTTCCCATCGCAGAGCCTAGCGCGAACCCGTTCCGTTCCCTCTCCTTCCGGGTGCCCTTTGCCTCGGCGAATAGGACGGCCGCGGGGCCGTCAGCCATCCGAGCTCCTCCACGCGCCTTGCTTCTTGCGGCCCTGTGGCCCGGCGCCGCCGGCCGTCCGGGCCGTCCCGGCGCCGTCATCCCGCCCGTCGTCCCCGACCGCACCTCCTCCTTGTATCACGAGCGGAGCTTCATCCGCCGCGCCGCATCTCGCGTCGTCGCCCCGACCGCCGCGGCCCTCGCCAGCTTACGCGGCAGGACGGCAGCTAGAGAGGCGCGGAGCAAGAACAGCCGCAGCGGGGGTAGTAGTAATGCCGAGGCTATAGGAGCGACGACAACCCGCGCTGGCGGTAGCGGTGGAGGTACTAATAGTAGTCGTAGCAAGAAGCGACAGAAGAACGTAGGTCGGACCGAGACTGAGAACCCTACCAAGCAGCCGCTCGTCTCGCCGCCGCCGGAGGCCCTGCGCCCAACCAACTTCCGCAGCTTTGGGGCACTAAGACGGTCCTCATCTGCATACACTTACATCTCGACTACCATCTCACCCTCAAACTCCGCCTCTGCCTGCGCCTGCGGCCCGGCATCTGCGGGCGCATCCTTCCCCTCTTTCGCTAGCGGTCGCACTAACCTCCAGATCCCGCCTCTTCCTCCCCAGTATTCTGCACCGGCCACCACCCCGGTAGGCTGGCCGCTCACCGCCATCAGGGGAGGAGGCAACGAGGCCGAAGACGCCGGGAAAGGCTTCGTGCGCGTTCCCATCCTCAGTGCGAGGCTGTGTCCGCAGCGCCAGGTGTCGGAGAAGGAGAGCAGAAAGGTCTTCCGGACGGCACTGGCCGCCGCCGCCGCCGGCGCGACGAGGGAGACGTGGAGGAGTGCTCCGCTTTCGTCGTCATCTTACTCCGAGACGACTCGCTTGAGCTAAACGTGCTGACCTATGAGTTATGAGCTATTAGATACGAACCGTATGGTATGCCTGTGCTACGCTGTGCTCGAGGAGGGAAGCACCGGGACCGCCACATATCATGGCCTCCGTTGCGGTGAATGGTATGTGTACAGGGCAGCATGAGTTTATTGCTTTTCGCTTCGCCTTCAGACGATGAGCCGGGGCGTGATACAAGACATCGAGGCTCCGAGTTCTCTGTAACAAGAAAGGCGCTAGATTGGTTGGTTGGTTGGTCGGCAGCACTTATGTAGAGTCCTGTCTGATTGATATATTATAAAAAGGCTGTCGGGAAGACCTGTCGAGACGAGGTTAGGGACAATATGCCGTGACAGCTACAAAGGCCAGGGGGTGTAAGAAACATCGTGTTTTGTGCAAGCACGAATTCCACACCTTGAAACAAGAAACCGTCATGTAGGCAGTTCAGCACCCGGTCGGGTTCCTAAGAAATAAAAGAACAGGGCAAAATTATTGGCAACTGAACACAGTTTCCTTCTATCTTACGATCACTGCTGTTCCCCCTAGAGTGCCGTCGCAGGTGACATGTCTCATTGCTGCTTCTTATAGGCGGCAGTATTACACGATATGTTCGGCTTCTCTTATCCCCGAGTCTCCCTTGAGGGTTTTTAGTACGTTGGCTTAGTGTTCTTTTCTTCTTCTCAAGTCGTTCGAGAGCCCCTGGGGGAATTCAACCGTATAGGTACACCCGGAACGCCGCGCCATGCTACACCGCCATATAAAGGTGCTGAATCTAGTAGAAACCCCGTCCGTGAGATAAAGTGAAGGGCAGAGGCGCTGCTCTACCAATGAACGTAGAATTAAGGTAAGGGTGAGAATAATAGTGATGCTTGGGTATCTTCGTTATTCGTACAGCCTAGGACGACGGTCGAGTCCGATTAAAAAGACGTATGAAGTGAATAAGATGAATGGTTTATACAACAAGGAAGGAATGAGTGATGGCAGTTATGCCCTAATGGGCGATTCGGGCGATACTGCCGGGTTAGGCTCCGTCGGCGTAGTTGGGCCCATCCTCGAGCCCGATGGTTCGCTAGTAGCAGGCGCTATTTCCGGATCCGGGATTTGAAAATCGAGCTGGAGTGCCAGTTAGGGTCGCCGAGGACAGAAGACGTCGCTATCAGAAGGGCAAACTCACATTCATGTAACCCGTACGTCTCAATGGAACAATTCGGGGAGGGATGACGCCCTCATCCGAACCTGTCGCCTTTTCCATCTCAGCGTTCCATTTCTCGATCCAATTCTCTAAGTTGCGTAGCCTCGTTTTGGCATATGTGAAGCCTAGGTCGTCCCATATCCAGCCGGTCAGGAGGCCGAGAACACCATCTAGGATGTTCCGCCAATTGTAGGGGTTGAAGATGGGGATAAGTTCTCCGTTGAGCTTCTCGATGACTCGGCGGAACTCTTGTTCCGATACACCAGCTGGGTCCAGGATCTCAGGGTATAGGTTGGAAAAAGTAGGCGCCAAGTCTCCCTGTAGTAACCAATCTCTTCGGATACGTATTATACGCGTGCTCGAATACTCTGGGGAATTGATAGGCACATGAGGGTTAAGGTGCGGATAGCACGGGTGTTGCGGACCCCATTCCTCGCCCAGATCTGGCTGGTCAGGGTCGCCCATGATGGAGGAGTTGCTCGAGGATATAGCGGAACCAATGCCGCCCGGAAGTGATGCGTTGGACCCATTATGCCGACGGCTTAGCACGGAGGGTCCCCTCTCGAGGTCCTTGGAAAATGGCCCCGCCGGGTCTTCACTCGTCGTCTGCGGCATAACGGCCTTGCCCTTTCCTTTGTCAACCCTCTTAGGGGAGCCTTCAGAGGTATCCGGTTGGACGAGGCCGAAACTGACTGCCCGGGCCCGCTTTGTAACGCTTTGGCCGCGCTTCCTCAGACCGTAAACTCTAGGCTTCGCTCTAGGCTCCGACGGACCAGCCTCAGACTCTCCCGGAGGTGGTAGCGGGGTCGAAGCACGCTTGCCGTCGTAGGAATGTCGAAGTGAAGCGGGGAGGCTGATCCGCTTGTCCCCACTCGCCCTCCCTTCGATATGTAGACTCGCACGTTTCGATTCCGGCAGCGGGAGGAGCGGGAAGTCGCCTGCTCCGAAGCCGATTGGTTCTGCTGGGTCTGAAGAAATTTCAATGGTAGGATGGCTGACAGGCACGGAAGGTGGCGGCGGGGTGGAAGGACGACGTTTACGCCGCGATGACCGCGCGGGCTGGGATGTTTGAGACGGCACGGCTCTCGGGGTGGAATTGGTAGGATTCCAAAGACGGCCAGGGGCGAAGCGGCGCGGGAGGCGGTACAGGGGAACGGCTGTGGCGGCGGCGCGGTTGCGGAATGGGGTTTGTAAGGGATGATTGTAGGGGCCGGGGGGTCTCGTCGCCAGTAAATTCCTTCGGCCGCCGGTTGATTGTCGTGTCGGGGAGGCGATCACCGCAGGCTCTGGGGCGGTAACGGTGGGATACTCGGGCTGCTGAGAAGGCGAATGGATCGGGGCATTCGAGTGGGCATCTAGGGCGGACGATTGCGGGTTCGCAGTGTGGCTGTCTGCGTGCGAAGCCGTTTGTGACACGGTATCGAATTGGCCGCCTCGACGGCCGGACGAGCAATTGGGCAATCCCGTCGGCCGAACACGAGGGTCTCCTCCTTTTCCTCCTCTGATTGGACCGGGCCGCGAACTACGACGTCGCCGTCGTCGCTGTCGCTGCCGCTGCCGTCGTCAGAAAACAAATTCCACGATGGAGATTGGCGTCGCGATTGTGGAGGGCGATGGCGGACGCGACGAGATGGGGTTGGTGGAATGGGTGAAATGAGTGGAATGAGTGGAATGGGGGAGAGGGAAGAACCCGGGGAGGTGGCGGGCGGTGATGGTAGTGGCTGGTGCTGCTGGCGCTGGCGCTGGCGCTGGTGCTGATGCCGGTCGCAGCAGGAAGAAGAATAGTGGTTGCGGTAAGAACTCGGGCCTTCCAGCGCTGACAGAGAGGAAAACGGTCGCTGTAGGATGTTCATGCTGGCCCGGCAGGTCTGGCAGGTCTGGCAGGCCCGGCAGGTCTTGGTGACGCGGTGACACCAGCTGGCCGCCAGCTTCCGTGCAGTTGACACGGGGTGTCAGGTTGGGTAGAGCCTGGTAGAGGGATGGATGTGTTAGTGCATATCAATCACCACCGGAGGTAACAGATCCGACTCGACGTCCCAGTAAGCCAGGGGAAGGGAACCGACCCTTGACCGTTAGTACATATTGAGATGTATGTACTTATCCTCTTACTTAGCAGTTGGGGTATCTCTAAGCAGCAATATGGCTACGTTGACTCCACCTCATGCGTTCATGCCAACCATTCTACCATCTCTCTCTCGGCTTGGCAAACGGGTCCGGCAGCCAACGAAACCGTCCAGCTTGCCTGCGAGAGAATCGGCGTGTGTCGACAACCAAGTCTCACCCGTGCTCTCTCCGCCCCGGCTCGATCCTGCGTAGATGTTATATACGTAGTAGGTATGTACGCGTATGTACGTCGACAAGCTTCGACTCGGCTAACTCGGATGGGGCGGGGTGGGATGGTTTGTTTCTGTTTGTTGCATCAATCGTCTTCTAATGTCTTCGGACCAGTGTCAGCCATCTGCTGTTGATCCGCTGTGTCGAAACGCCGGCTCGCCGCCAACGTCACCCTAACCGTTTTGCGTCGTGGTAGTGGCAGCAGGAGTCGAGAGAGGGAGAGAAGAAGGAAAGGATAGAGGAGCCCCTTGTATCGGCAGTCAAGCTTCTACGTCGGTAGTCTGGGATTTCCCCGGAGGTAAGGAAGGGAGAGGGAGGAAGAGGAAAAGGCGGGAATCTAACAATTCAGGATATATCGAGAAGGCGTGCACACCTTTTTGGCGGTGTCGGCTGGGTTAATATTACGAAAAAGACTTAGACCAGCCTCGCTACAACGTATATAGGTCGGTATGCAAGGAGAGCCTCTTCTCGCCATCCGTCTTTCCCATCGCCCCAGGACAGCCCCCCCCCCCCCCCCCTCCAGGGTTATCGTCAGCGAGTCAGCTTCCAAGAAAAGATTCAGGGCTTTAAATTGCTTTATTTTGCGGCGCATTTTTCCATCCTCGAGTCGATCGCTGCCTATCAACGCCGAGCTGCGCGCGAGAGAGGGAGACGCTTGGATGTTATTCAGGGGCATCCTCGCCATCCGTTGTCCCACCCACGTTCTAGCGGAGTGTCATACGTGCTGGTCCTAGGCCCTGCTACTACTACTACTACTACTACTACTACGTAGGCAGGACCCGAGTGTGTGGTCTAGATGGGTCAAAAAGGCCCTTCGCAGCCTTGTTTTTTTCTTCCTCTTTTCCACACCGGCTACACATTTCAGCTCTCGCATCAGTGTCTTGGAACGCCTGGCCCCAATTTGCGGCTCCGCGCCGGCCACGAGCATGCTTATGTTTATATATATAATGTCTGTATATATAAATAAACAGAAAAAAAAGCAGAGGAGGGAGACAGCCCCGAACCTGCATGTTGCGCCGTGGCCCTGCGATATCCCGAACCTGCGTCGCGTGGTGAGAAATTGTCTTTCTGCTACGGGATACGTCGGAGTTGCCGTTACATCTCGCGAATTGGACATCTGTGCTCACCGTTGTACCGTTCGAGGAGCAAAAGCGAAAGGAAAAAAAAAAAAACGAAAAATCAATTCGACGGTACGATGGCCAATCTCCACCACCCCTGGGCGAAGTGCCATTTCGGCATAGTCGACCATAGCTTGGCGACATGTCAAAATAGCATTAGATAGCATGAGCGCTCCCGATGGCGTCGCAGGTACTTGCTACCGCGCACTACGCACAGGCAGCTGACTTCGTAGGCGTTAATGCGTCGTCTAACTAACGTGTCTACGATATCCGGGGGATCGTCTTTCTAGAAGGATCCCTAGATAACTCAATCGCCGTGAAACCCTTGGAGTCGGCCGCTTTGACTCGTCTGTGTGGCTCGCTTTATGCCACTCTCCTTTCCCTCCTCCCCGTGCTCTCTACGCTCCCCGTGAGCAGTCCGTCATCTTTCAGCTCGAGAGGCGCCTGGGCTATCGGGGATGGCATGGCGCACCGGAGTACGTAATACGGCCAAGACAAAGTGCGAGCCGGAAACTCGGCCAAGGCGAGATGCACCGTAACGGCGCGTATACGTTTATAGGGTTGGGGGGACCTGGGCCTGGTGAAATGGGGTCGGGGGCCGGGCTGGCGACGTGTTTCCTGGGACGTGTTTCCTTGTTTCCTCGCCCCACGGCTATTCTTGTGTGGCCTTATTCCGGCATTATATAAACACAACAGACTAGGAATCTAGGTTGGTAGGCAGGTAGGTTAGGTAGATAGCACATCGAGCTGGCCTCGCCAAGGCATGTGGTGGAGCGTGCCGGCGTCGGGTTCTCGACGAGGTTCCACGTTCCAGTCCACATCCTCGTATGATGGCCTAGTGTTGTGCTCTCCATCCGGACACCTTTTCTTGCTCGACTTCAGAGGTGGGGCCATATACTGAAGACCACCGGTCGGGGTGCATTGGCATTTCCCACCCTCGGTGCCGGTATGTATTGTGCAGTGATCTCGCTGTCTTCCTCTGGGTCTTGTCTCGCTTCCGCTGGGTCTTGTCTCGCTTCCTCTGTTTTTTCGGGTCCCAGCACGCACCCTCGAGAATAGAGACCGGTGGATGGGCCCGCAGACAGACAAGTACCAACCCCAATGCTGGGTTTGTTGCAGCTGTTCCCCAGCAGTGTAGGAGGTAAGGCATCCCCTCTGCGCGTACACAGGACACAATACAGTACTCACACCGAAGACGACAGAAAACCCTACTACCCTATAATTGCCTAACATTCCTTTGCCCTATGGCACTACCAGCCCGTCTAGCGGCCATAGGCACCACGTAGGTAAGGCCAGAGACGTCCGCAGTAGGGTAGGTCCCTACCGTAACCCGAGGTGCATTGGGCGCATGCCACCGACCTGAGCCGGCCTAGCCCAGCCTGGCCTATGGGCAGAGCTACCTCTCTGCGTACATGCTATGGCTGGGTATGGACGGGTATAAACGACCTAGTTCCCGCTGTGGTGTTGGAATCTTATTGGTGACGTAATGGGTCCGGTGCTGCAGCGTGGCGGAGGACACAGCGGAGGACTGGCGCAAGTCGTCGTCGTCCTCATCGTCCGGTAGGTTGGGAACGGCTAGAAAGCGTTCTCTTAACTCCACCACGACGCGCTTTTCCATCCGACCCCCGCCGCCGAACGGATTCCCCCATATATCTCTCATATACGTCTACCCAACATCCATCGTCAATAGGATTGGGCGGCCATTCCGGGTGCGCGCACAGCTACGTTACGCTTACCTGTATGTCTCCCACCCGCACTTCCTACATAACATGACAACCCGCCGGTGGCACGACCTAGCCATACTACGATCTAACATAGCATGCACGTACACGGCACACCAGGCACCCTTCGGCACACAATCCACGTCTACCATATCAATATATGTCGAGCAGGTGTTCCAGTAGGTGGTCGAGTAGAGCCTTCCCTGCCGTCCACCCGTCCACACGCCCAACGCAGCTGTCGTGTGCCATAGGATGGTAGTGCCCAGCAGTAGCATACACACCGTTCACATTACGAGCCGCTCCTCGCATCGCCACTAAAGCCCTACTCACAAACCCCGTAGGGCTAGACAGATCTCGCCACGTCCCCGTTCGCCCGATCCGACCGTATCACCGCGTGGACACGATAGCTTCGGCATGAGAGATTGCCGACGAACTCGTGGCTCTTCTCTCCCAGCCTGGCCCTGGTTATATACGCCCTGTCATGGCCGACAAGGGCTCTCCCTCCGTCTCGACCTCGCCGACCAACCCGGCTGGCCGGTCGTCGACCCTCTCTGACCATGCGCCGCCGGGTCTCAGTCGTCGTCGATCGGTCACGGCCGGCCAATCTACTCCCCTCCGCCGCCGCTCCACGGACAATTCCGGGTCGTCGCCCGTCGATCTTTCCTTTACGGAGGTCCGAAGACGTAGCTCTGCGTACTCTGAGTATAGCATGACGAGCTCGCGGAGGGACCCCGACGCTAGTGCCGACGGAACGTTCGACCCTAGCATAGCTAGCACCGAGGAGGATAGATCGCTCCTCGTCTACATCCCGCTTACCCTGGCTCTGCTGCCTGCGGTGGCCGGCGTGTTCTTTAAGAATGGCAGCGCCATCTGCACCGACTTGTCCTTGCTCAGCGTAGCCGCCGTCTTTCTCCACTGGTCTGTTACGCAGCCGTGGCACTGGTATTTCTCCACGCGGCAGGTCCGCATAGCGACGGGCGAGAGTATGCCAAACTCGGCCCTCGAGTCCGACAGCGACGGTGAACCCTCCCCCATAGCCTTGTCGTCCTCTTGTGATGCCCATGACGGCCCCGACGAGGTGGGGAAGCAGTGCGAAACCGAGGGGCTGGCTGACGGATTGTCGCCCGGTAAACAATGGGAAGGACAGCGAAATGGGGCACTCAGGGAGCTCTACTTCTACGAAGTCACGGCCTTGGCCTGGTGTTTTATTTTCCCTGCACTAGGCGCCTATCTGCTACATATGATCCGCGGTCAGCTGTCGCGGCCTTCAGGGGGTCTAGTGTCTGACTACAACCTCACCATTTTCGTCTGCGCCGCCGAGATTCGTCCCTTTTCACAGCTGTTCAAGATAATACAGGATCGAACCTTGAGGGTCCAGCAAATCGCGGCGATAAACCTGCACGAAGCGCGACTGGTCACGATAGGCCAGTTTCAGGAGCTTTCGAGCCGGCTAGAAGATTTGGAAACCCATGGCCCGAATGGTGACATGACGCAATCAAAGTTGGTAGAGACCGCCGTAGCTCAAGAAATCTCCAAGAAGATACGGCCAGAGATAGACGCGCTGAACCGTGCCATGCGTCGATACGAGAAGAAACTTGACATTCTGGCGTATCACATTGACAAACGGATCCAAACGGTGGATCGTAGAGTTGACGGTGCCGTCGCGGTGGCCGCCGTCCAGGGCCGGAGAGGCAACTCCTACAGGACGCTAGGCACCTGGTTCTTCGGGAAATTGATCATGATCGTCATCCTTCCGGTTCAGATCGTAGCCGCCATCGTCACCTTTCCTTTCCGGATGGCGTGGGACCTGTTCGGTCGCAAGAGCCCGCTTACGCTCAACAAGACACGGAAGGCAACGAAGGTGGAGAAAACGCCCATCCGAGCCGGCGGGAAAGGCCTTGGTCCCGATCGTGGGGTAGTAAAGACGCCCAGGAAGAAGGATTAGAATGCGTTACGAGATTACGAGTTATATTCAACGTAGGGCTACGGCCTCAACACGTTCCTTGGGTTATGACCCGCTGGCCGGCAGCGCAGAGGGGAAGGGGGGTTTTATCATGGAAATGGGCGTCGGTCGTTCGCAGCAGGAAGAGGGGGGGGGGGGGGACGGAAGGGGGATTTGTTGAGGATATCCTTCACTACGGCCGGTAGCGCGTCGTCTCCTATCATGGGGGCGCTCTCAACAGCGAAATACTTAGTAAAGAGTAGGCATGTCGCGCGCATCGCTCGAGACACGAGGATACCACAAGAGAGGCGAGAAGGAGGCGAGAGAGGACAGAAAATATTCAATGAGTCTCCTCTTGAGATGGGATGATTTTTTAAACACGCAACCGACTCCATCTCCGTTACCACCCCTTACCACGTACGCACGCACCCGTCTCGGTCGCCAAATTGCGTCTCGATCACGATGGATCTTGTGCAGACCGAAGTCTCCTTCCTGGGCAAGGCGACCTGCCGGCGGCAAATTGCCTTTTTTTTTATATTAATAAATATCTTTCAGCCCCCACGGAGCGGCGTGCTAATTCAACAAAACACACCACACGTCATTCACAAGCGCGCAAGCGCGCTCTTTCGTTCTCCAGCGGAAGAAACGTTACTACGTAGGGGCGAGACGGGTGTGGTATGGACGGGGAGGGGGGCGCCGTGGGGGTAGCGTAAAGGTAAGATGTAGCGAAATTGGACGGGTTCGACGATCTCGTGACAGGCGGAGAGAGATGAGATATGACAAGAGAGAGAGAGAGCTGGGATGGGATGGTGCAGCAAGCGGCCATTTAGGGGGCCCTGCCGCGCATCGCAATGTTTGGAGAAGGGGAAGAGAATCCCCTAGGTCTTTTTTCTTGTCTCTCTTCGCCTGCGAGAGGTGGGAATGTGGGTATATGTATGTATGCATCTACGTACATGGGGTGGAGGATCACAGGCGAGGAGTGTGCATTGTTGATAGCACCATTCTAGGTGATTGTATACGGTTGTGCGTGTAAGTGAGCAGATGCCTCCATAAGCAGGTATAGAGGCAACCTACCTACGTAGTAAAGGTAATTACCTAATCTATAGGCTATACTCATAGGCATTTAATCTGCCCCAGCCCAGCCCTGCCCAGCTGAGCCAAGCCGGGGGTGGGCTGCTGGTTCGTGGCATGCGATGCGGTGGGTATGGGTATAGATGTGGGTTACCTACCTATGTTATGTAGGTATGCACGCATGTCAGGGGAGGGAAGGATGGGATGGGGTGGATTACATGGGACGACAGATCATGGGCGAGAGGAGAGCCCTACGAGAACGACTCAAGCCGAGCCGGATGGGTAGCCAGTTCGCAACCCATGCCTGTATAGGGCGACTGTGCAGGCATGCAGACAGGCTAACTTGTTAGGTGGCCAGGGAGGCAGCAGATACTCTCCTTGCTCACCGGATGCCGCGTTCTCTTCCTTCCGTTCTTCTACATACCTATGAGTATATCACGAGGTGTCCCCTTGATCATAAGCCATGGCCTCCCTACCTACCTCGCTCAGCTCGTATCCATGTGTGAATGTATACCTACCTAGATGGGTGTTGAGGCAGAGGCAGCGCAGAGAGCAACGAGTACCCCAAGCTAACCCAGTTGGAAAGGTCAATACGGATATTCTCATAGTCACACGAATAAGATCAAGGGCGGCAGGGCAGAGAGAGGCTGGCAGCAGCCGAGACAGATTTGAGACATCTGTTGTTCGCGGGTCGAAACCAGCCTTTCCCTTGTCGGCACGCACACGGCATTTTTCATCTGCCGCGTACGTTCTTTGCACGTCGCGGACCCGAAGGTCGGACGAATGCGGGTAGACGAAATGTGCGGTAATTGCCTACCTACGTATATGGGTATCGTCTTCGTCCTCGCATGTATCCAAGCCTATGTGTTATATACACCAGTGGCGAGAGGGGATACGACGGCCGGTTAGGGCTGGAATCTGGGCCCTCCACCGCGCTCTATCGTCGAGACCACGCCCACATCACACACATACCTCTACTTGTCCGTTTACACGTAGCTGGTTGGCTCTTTACCCGACGGGGGCAGGCTGAGACGTTCGAGGGGAGGGGATTCTCAACACGCACGCAGTTCCGGCGTCGCACGCGACACATCCACGCTTCGTTCTGCATACCTAACCTACACACATACAATGGGATAGGAATGGGGCGAGATCAGATGGGACAGCATCGTATTGCGTCGTATTGCGTCAAATCGAATCGCGTGTCTCTCTTCGAAGCAGACTTCTTCTCGATACTGCGCATGCCGCACCGTGGGCGGCCAAGGTGCCCAACGAATATACGCGACGCAGGCGGACCAGCGGGTGGCGTGCTGGCGAGGCGTCTAAGTACGCAGAGCGGCAGGCTGGGTGAGTTGGCAGGTAATCTATCTCGCGACGGGCGCGGGCAGCGCCAGATAGACGAAGACCTGGACAGGCAGACGGCGGCAAGCCGGAGGAGAGCAGAGAGATGCGTAGGTACACACGTAGAGATGGCGGTGGTCTCATCGGAGGCGCAAGTCGCGGGATTGGTCGACGTGAAAATGGGAGGGAGAGGCCTCATTCGCTACCAACTCGAGGCGAGAAACTCGTACACATACCTACAAGTACATACAAGGGGAGGTCGGTGTGTGCTCTCTCCTCTCTGTTTTCCATCTACTCATTGTCTCTCCGCCCCCTTCTTCCCCCCTCCCCCCTTCTTGGCCTACATGGGTACGACGTCGTAACGCGGCAGAGTTGTGGCCAAGGCGGGCAGGGCGGCTCGCTACTGCAGGGGCGGCCTGGCATAATTTTACATATTGTTGCATGAGAGTGACAGACAGACACGCACGCACTGGCACGCAGACACGTACTGCCGCTCTCGCAAGCTCATTCTCTCCTGCGTGCGTCAAGGCATGTGGTAGTAATGGAGAAGCGACGAGGACGCTGTAGATGCTATGGCATCTAACCGTGTCAGCAGTAGTGGTAAGCGGGCAAGAACCGCCAAAAGTAGGTACCGAAAGGATCTGCGGAGTTCTCATGTCGGCGCCCACTCGTATGTTGTCTTGGCCGGGAAATTGTTGGGAGGTTGATGAGGCAGGTAGGTACCTATGCAGGTAGAGGGAGGGGAGACGGCGGCGTCACCAGCCATGTCAATTCTTTTTTTTTTTTACTTTTTTTTTAAAAAAAAAAATAAAAAACCCTCTCTCCGTTAACGAGTCGGTGAGACTCGCGAGCTAAGGATCGTCGTCGTTGATCGGGCAGCCGCTCAACAACACCCGACTACCCGCGAATACCAACGAATCGAGGTCGTATTCTGCGTGCGTATATGTAGGTAGGTATGTAGGTAGGTATGATGCGAGCTGCGTAGCTATGCGTGACCCGGCCTGCCTGTTGAGGACGGCATTGGACGACGATGACAACTACGTAGGTATGTATGAGTGTATCCATACCTACGTGCATCCATGCATCCATACATACCTACAGCCAGGAGGCTGGTCGTTATATGCGGCGTTGGCTGGATGCGGGATCAGCAGTAGCCAATGCCAGATGAGCGATCGTGAACAAGATGCTGGCTTGGGCGGGACCGGTGGATCGCCTCTCCAGCTCGACCCTTGTCCGGGGCAGAGAGAGGGAGGGTGGGTTTTGAGATCTTCGAACAAGTCTCTTTTTCTTTTTCGCTTCTCTGTTTTTCTTAGATTATATTGCTGCTTTTCGACGTATTATCCTGGTCTCCTCCTCTGCGCTCCCCGCCCATCCGTCATGCAGGTTCAAGGGAAGACATTGTGATACCTCATCTGGTCCAAGGGTGTGGCTCAGGTTTCTTGACCACGCCTTGCCCAGACTATCGAATCGGGCTTTGCACGTGTTGCCTCTCTCTGTCCCACGCACGCATACCCTCTCGCTCTCACTCGTCTCCGAGATTCGCGAGAGACATCCCGGGCTTTAGAGCAGCTCGCCCTCATCTTGTTTGCTCCGTATCCTACATAGCACGGCATGATCCTTGGCGAACCCCTAGCCAACTCCGCTATCGCCCTCCCGAGACAGGATAATATAGCGCCCTACCAGTCTCTAGAGCCGACGGATTCTTTTCCAGAGAATCACCCGGGGTCGAGTTTGGGCACAGATAGTCGAAGGAGAAGAAGACTACAAAATAAAGCCTGAAGCGGATCAGAAAAGAGCGAGAGCCTGGATCTTAGATCACCACCTCGATGAATCCAGTCTTCGTACACGCCACACCAGGGGCACTTGGGGCCTAAGGAGGAGTGCTAATCACATTGCACATCGGCCAATCACTAGCCCCCTGAAGCAACATTTCTTGCCGGATTGGGAACGGGTTCCCGTTCCCATTCCTCGCCGACGGGGTCTGGCCTTACTAAACCCCAGTTGCTTCGAGTTGGTTGGCGCCCCCTTCGCAAGTCGCAGCTCATTTTCTTCCGGAGGGCCAAGCATGGGAGAACCCCGTCTAAGCTCAGTCGCTCGCTCGTGCCTATCGCGCCCTGAACCGACCTGCCGCCTCGACGTCCAGTCATCGTCCAGCTTGCGCACGCCCAAATTTCCCACGGTCTCTTTCCCAAACCACCCATTGGGAAGGGCCATGTCATCGTCATACGCGCATCTCATCACACAGCGTCCCCCCCCCCTTCTCCCCCCAGCCTGCCAGCTTTCTTTTGTTCCTACGATAGGTCCGGCCGAGCGGTGTCGCCAGGCGGTGACCTGCTGGGCACGAGAAGCAAAGACATGGCCGTAGCTGGTAGGCTGACTGGTTGGGTTGTCGATTCCGCTTAGATTTGGTGGCCTGGGAGGTGAGCAGATCCCAGGAAACTGGATAGCCATTCAATAGTAGGATTCCCTTCTCGAGTTCCTCCCGCACCTTTATGTTCATTTGTGTCTCATAGTCGGGTCGGTTGGGACCCGTACAATAGTGTCTGCCCCCCCCCCCCCCCCCCCCCCCCCTTCCCCACAAGGGTTCATGCCGGGCTCTGACGCATGAATGAGAATGAGGCTCAGAGACTCCTCTTAATTGACCCTCGCCTGATCGCGGCTCTTGATAAGTTTCATCTACTCAACTGTGGTGTGCCCCTCGGTTGGCATGTTCGGCTCTAGACCGTGGTGAATCAATGAACGAATCCGGCTTCTGAATCCGATCGTATTCCAGAAGGACGCTCGCCTGACTCGCGGCCCCATCCGCCTGTCATATTCATTCCTCAGGTTTCCCTACCTACCTTGAGAGCTGCAAACCTCTTCAACTATCGTCGTCTTCGACGTTGCCCCTCGTTACGTTTCTTTTCGTTCCTTTCTCTCTCTCTGGGTGAATTCGCCTTCAGTCCCTTCTTTTACGGCCATACCGTTACAGCTGGCGCCATCAACGGATTCTCGTCGGCAATGTTTCTGAAGCAGTAGCGGGGCATCTAGAAATATTTGAGTAGTGATTTGCAGCGACTTTGCGCCACTGGTATAGAGTTGAAGGTTCGGGGTTATTTGTAGAGTTATCACGATGTTGCTTCCAAGGTGGTCCAGGGTCTGGGCGCTATTCTACCTGATCATCTGTCTGAATGTGGTGATCGCGGGCCCGTTGGGACCGAATCGAAGACAGGAGGACGCTCCGGCAACAGCCGAGCCTTTAACAACGACGACTCGAGAAGGCAATGAAGAACAGACGACGACCCCAACCGCTGCTTCAGAACCCACCACCGACCCGTTAGAGGAGACTACCACTACCGCCGAGGTCACGACTAGCGCAACAAGCACTCCGACCCTGACGCAGACTCCGGTTCCCTCGGCCATCAACGGGAATGATCCGAGCGATGAGAGTTTTGTCAACGACGGTAAGTTGACTCTAACCCACCGACCAGTGTTGCTCTAGAGCACACGTCTGACCCCGAACTTGCAGCTCCGATCGTGCCTGGGGAACTACCCCTACCAGCTCGACTAACTCCCGGATGGGGTGTCGCTGGTGCAATTCTGCTTATCACGGGCGCCGTGTACACTCTGGTCGGGATGAAGAATGCATGGTTGCAAACCTTTTTCTCCTCGGCGTGTCTCGTCGCTCTATGCATAACCGTCTTGATCCTATACGTCATGAATCTCCCTACGACGGATGCCATTCAAGGAGCATACGTTGTAGCAGTCGTGTGCAGTGGTGCCATCCTTGGCGGAGCTGCTACTGCTTTCAGGGAGCTCACAGAGGGTCTCGGGTGTCTTCTGGGCGGTTTCTGCCTTGCTATGTGGCTGCTGACACTGCGCGAGGGTGGCCTAATTCCCTCAACCGTCGGCAAGGTTGTTTTCATTGCTGTCTTAGCGGTGGTAGGCTTTGCGCTCTACTTTTCCCATTACACCAGGCCGTACGCTTTGATAGGACTGATGTCTTTCGCCGGCGCAACGGTTACCGTCTTGGGCATTGATTGTTACAGCAGAGCAGGGCTCAAGGAGTTCTGGGCGTACATCTGGAATTTAAACGACAGGCTATTCCCCCTGGATACCACCACATACCCGTTGACCAAAGGTATCAAGGTTGAAATCGCCGTCGTCGTCGTGCTCGCCATCATCGGCGTAGTATCTCAGATAAAACTATGGCGGGTGATCCAGGAACACCGTGCGAAACGAGCGGAGGAACAAGCCGAGTTCCGCAGGATGCGCGAAGAGGAGGAGGAAACCGTCGGGCGACGGGTCGAAGAAGACAACGAACGGGAGCGGAGACAATGGGAGACCGTATACGGAGAAGCACAGCCATCTAGCCCTACTGTTTCCCACGACTCGGGCGTTGGGGAGATGGATAATGAAAAGAGGACTCGTGTTAGCCATGCCGCCTTCCAACCCGTATCGCCGGCCGAGACCGTTGATGAGAACACCATCGAGATGGCACAGCTGTCGGAGTCCGGAGGCAATACATCGTCCGAAGCAGCGAAACAGGCTTGCGATGGTCTTGTCGTGGCAGAGAGCGACGAGGACAAACGAGTAACCATCAGAGTCTCGCGCGATGAACGTGATCACCACGATGACGACTCATCACCCATGCCGGAGCCCGACGAGAAGGCATGGATGGCCGGTGCTAGCGAGAAAACGAGATCCACGTCCCCGAAATCGCTTCGCAGCACTCAAAGGATTTCGAACATGCCGGCTCCCGAGGTGATACCGTTACCTTTTAAAGTGCCCGAGTCGCATGAAGCGAAGAATGTCGACGACGATGATCGATCGTCATTCGCAACATTTGCGGACGAAGATGAGCGATCCATTACGATGAACAAGCGAGCCTCGAGAGCCTCACTATCGAAGAGATTCTCGGCGGGATCAGCTAACCTACTAGAAAGCTTGTCTCGGCGTTCTAAACAATCACTGAGGTCTAAGCAGAAGACGGGAGAGGTTGAATTGCCCCAGCCGTCGTCAAGATGGGCGGAAAGCGGCGAGGAACTCATGCCCGCAGAGAGGAATGCCTTCGCGGACATTGGATCTGTCGCTGCTACCATCGACGGCTTGAGTGACGATGGGGAAGACAGGGCAGAGCCGAGCCAAGGCGAAGAATCGGGGCGGGCAATGGAAATCAAGGCAGAATTGGCGGGTGAGCCATCAAAATCGCAGCCCTCTTCCGATAATAAGACAGCAGCTCAATCAGAGCTGGTCGACACCCAGGATGAGGACGACAATCGCCCTTTCTCTCTGGTGGAAACCGTCGCAACAGATATTCTAAATACATCGCTCCCGGATGAGGCACTTGAACAGAAGCCAGAGCAGAACGGCACGTCGAATGTAACAGAGAATATAGAAGGGACAGATGGCGCGAGCCCGATAAGTGCCGCGGAGGCGAAGTCCCCTTCGGAGACATCAAAGCCCCCCAAGTCGACGTCTCCGTCAGTTGCTTCCTCAGCAAGCCTGACGAAGGAGCGTCTACCGTCTAGCCTGTCCCGCGTAGCGCTGTCTTACCGGACGAACGAGTGGGCCAAACATCTGAGCCTAGCCGAGAAGCCCGAGCTAGAGACACTGCAGTTGAACGAATACCCGGAACACGACGAGGCTTCGGGGGAACGGGAGGAGGAACTCCCAGTCCCCGTTAACGTCGATGAACTCAGGCAGACACCCGAGAGCGGCATCCCAGCGGCGCCTATATCCAGAACCCCCTCTACAATTTCGAACGCTCATTCGAACGCCCAGGGCTACCGTTCCTCGCCAAGGACCTCATTGGGGTCGGCACCGTTCATGTCTCCCGCAGGTGCGGCCCTAGACACCAGCGATCGGCTAGGCAACATGAAGGGCCCGGCCGCGCACGGTCACGGGACGCGCGCGAAGGGCCGCCGGCAGTCCGGCGACGTCGCTATCCAGCCGATCCTGGAGGAGAGGAGCGAGCAGCTCAGCGTGCGCAGCGAGCCCACCCCCGAAGAAGGCGAGGCAACGGTCTCGGCGCGGCCCCTGTCGGGCCCGAGCCGTCACGCGATCCCCGGCGTCGTGTCGTACTCGAGCCCGCAGACGCTCATCGGCAAGCGCGAGATGTTCCTGCGCCACAAGACGCTGGCGCTCTCGTCGTCAGCGGGCCCCGAGGCCAGCCCCCAGCACCACCAGGCGGAGGCGGCGGCGCTCGCGGGCCCGGACGCCGACGACCTGCCCCTCAGCCAGCGGCGCGAGCTCATGCGCAACAGCAGCTTCTTGTCTGCCACCTCGGCGACGGGCGGCGGCGCGAACACGCGGCCGAGCAGCGCGCTGCGCATGGCGTACTCGCCGGGCGCGAGCCCGACGGCGGCGGAGGGCAGCATGTCGTTCGACTCGCACCCGCCACAGTGGCGGGCGTCGGCGGCGTCGACGGGGCCGAGCGCGGCGCAGCGCGAGGCGCAGCTCTCGAGCTTCCGGCAGTCGGTGGCGGCGGAGCTGCGGACGGGAGCGGGGCGCGAGACGCCGCAGCGGACGGCGTCGGCGTCGTCGGCGGCGATGGCCGAGGCCTCCTACGGCCTGATGGAGCACCAGCGAACAGCGCTGCTCTCGCAACGGGACCAGGAGGCGCTGCGCCGCGAGATCGAGCGCCGCGACAAGGAGCGCAGCGAGCGCGCGTTCGAGGAGAGGATGCGCCGCGGCGACCTGATCGACGCGCACCGCGAGGCGATGCGCCGGATGCAGAGTAACGTCAGAGACCAGTGAGACTGGTGCGGACACGCGCGCACGTGGGATATGGTAACGGATACATATACATGGGTAGTCTGTTTCGCCGTTGCTCTTTTTTTCGTCGTTTTCAGCTCGGGGTTGGTCGGGGCAGGTCGGATCTGCGAATTGATACCCCTTTCTTTCCTTTCACTCGGGCTTGCGGCCCCTATTCTCGCTCACACTCCCTCGCCCTCCGGCGCACTGCCAACGGGACAACCGCCAACCGCAGCCACAGCTACGCAATTCCGCCAACATACCCACGGTGTTGGTGCTGTCACGGTTGGCGCTGATACCCTGTGTGGCTTACTCCTACGCCAGCAGGCGCAGACATCCGGACCATTTCGCGGTCCTTACAACCGGCCGGCAAACCGGCCTGGCCTCTCGAGTATTGTCTAATTCATAATGACTAGCACCGACTAAGGGTGGACGGGCGAAAAGAGGCAAAATCAAGCGAGGAGGGGGGGGGGGGGGGGCATATGAAATGGGCGGTACACGGAAAATATGCATATCACCAGGGCGATATTAGGTGCTATGATCGATTAACAGTACTTAGGTATCCAAATACGTAGTGTCTTCTATTGTAATTACAGCGGATATACGCATATGTTGAAGAGCGGGAAGTCCAAGTCCTGTGTTACTTCATCACTGGCAGGTTTTCTGCGATCACTACGGGATTTGTTCAAGCGGCCACCTGCATGCTTCGTCTAGGAGATATCGTTCCCACGGCGCATGAACAACGCAGAATAACAAGCCACATCATCACCACCTTGCTCAGCTGCACCAGAAAGGCCATGGCGAGTTGTCCTGCCTGTAAGCCACACTCGCGTGTGGCCACCGGTTGATGACCGGTCCATTTCCCGTGTCTTAGGTAGATGGCGGCCCGGCCCTACCCGCCTCCGTAGCTCGCCCTCGAGCCTCGATGACTTGCCCAGATAATATGTCTTACTGCCCACGCGTTGGATGCTCCGAAGCAGACCGGGTTGATCGCTTCCCTCGATGGGGATTGCTGCCCTCGCGTGGGCTTGGTAGTAGGTAGAGAAACGTCAGTCGAAAAGCGGCGGCCGACGATGTCTCGGCGGAAGACCTCGCCCGATACCTACGGAACATGGGCTCTATTGCAGGGCGAAATGGAGGTGAGCAGTATGCTTTGCAGTCGATCGCTCCTCTACGGAGTCCCATAGGTACATCTTGGGAAAAGACGATTTTTTTCAATACCTGGGTGAACTCTAAGGTAGCAAGGGGTATGATTGGCACGTATGATATATTTAATTAAACAGTCATAGATTCGTACCTTCGCACCTTTCTCCTTATCGGAAGGTACGTAGTTATTCATCGCAGCCTTCTTCTACCTAGGTACCTACCTACCTTCGGCCCTAACTATCTTTATTTACACTGTCTGCTTTATAAATAAATACGAAAAGACTGTATATTTTATCTAGTCCACTTTTCGTAATCCCACGATACTAATCCTATCTAGAGAATAATTATAAGACGTTAAACTCCTTATCATGCTAATAAATTATAAAAGTAAACAGCTTTATAAAAATACTATTGTAAATAGCTTTATAAATAGCCTTATGAATTTAGGAGAAACTTTATTTTTATTAGTTGAAAGTTTGTATACGCGTTTAAATTAGTTAAAAGTTTATATAATCTACTTAAAAAGATATATTTAATAAAACTATAGCATATATAACGGAATCTCTATTTATCTACTAACGTATCTTTTTCTATCTATTTTAATCTTATTTATATTTAAATTAATTAAGATTAGTTTTTTATTATTTAAAAGTTAATTATTAATCCTTTTCTGTAATTTAATTCTATTTATATATAGTAAGGAGGAGTAGAGCGTACGCGATACTGGAGTCTAGGATAAGTTTACTTAAAAGTATACTTTATCAAAGATTATAATACGTACGATAGTCTAAGATAAATAAAACTAATATTACTATACTAATCGAGATACGAGGAATCTAATATAGTTATCGTATCTTAGTTATATTCCTTAGTTATGGAGATGTAGTAGTTGCTAGCCCGAAGGTATAAGAGGTAAGGAGAGAAAAGGAGCTAAACGTAAAAGTCATTTATTCGGCTATAGCAGCGCGACGAAGCTACCGGAGCGTTTATAAATAAGATAGATATACTAATTGAAGAACGATAAATCTAATAGTAAAAATAAATCTTTAATTAAGGTAAAAATAGTAAAGATAGTAATCTGGTTAGGTAATAAACTAGTTGATAAGTATGGCATGGCCCGTACTGTAGTAGTGCGGTAAGACATGCCCTCCTGATACATCACGTGACATGCTACGATAGGCCTTATGCCTATATAGAGTAACTATAGCTCCCGTAAGTACGGGCTATGCTATACTTATCATCGAGTTTACTACCTAACTAGATTACTATCTTTATTATTTTTACCTTAATTAAAGATTCGTTTTTATTATTAGATTCGTCGTTCTCTGATTAGTATATCTATTTTAATTATAGGCGCTTAAGTTACTTTGTTATACCGCTATAGCCGAATAAGTAACTTTTACGTTTTACTCCTTTTTTCCCCTTACCTCTTATACCTTCGGGTTAGCGACTATTATATCTCTACGACCAAGGAATATAACTAAGATACGATAACTATATTAGATTCCTCGTATCTCGATTAGTATAGCGGTACTAGTTTTATCTATCTTAGACCATCGTACGTATTATAGTCTTCGATAGAGTGCACTTTCGAGTAAACCTATCCGGGCCTCTAGCATCGCGTACGCTCTGCTCCTCCTTAGTACTTACGGGAGCTGTGGTTATTCTATATAGACATAAGGCCTATCGTAGCGTATCACGTGATATATCAAGAGGGTATGTCTTATCACACTACTATAATAGAATAATTAAAGGTTAGTTTTTACTATTTAATCAAATTTAGTTTCTCTTTATTTAACTAAAAGTCGATTACTAATCGATTACTTTTCATAATTTAATCAAGCGTCGATTTCTACTTACTTTTTCTTTTTCAACGTTTGGTAAAATCTTAAGTTTTTAATATAAAAGCATGGAAAAGCGTAAAGTACTTCTATATATTTTAAGTAATTAATTAGTATATAAATCTTTAAGATATTAAAGTTATACCTAATTTATTAATGTAATAATTGAAAACAAATTATTAAGTAACAATTAACTACTCTATAATATATACGGCTTCTTTATAATATATTTTTTAAGGTACTGTTAATAATAAATAAAATAATTAATAAAGTAATAAATAAAATAACAGAGATTAATAAAGTAAAAAAATCTTTATAATTTAAATTTTTATTATGGTTTTACGAGCTGTTCGCTAAGTAAAAGCCGTATATTAATAAACTAAAGTTAAACGAAGAGAAAAAGGAGAAAAAGGTACGCTGTATAGGCCGTACCTATAATAGCTAGCCTTATTCTCTATAGATACTAAGAGCCTAATTACGTACTATATCCTAACACTAGCTAGGGCCTTATAATAAGTATAGCTCATTATAATATTTAAATTATTTTAATTATAATATTATAATATTAGTAATATATATTATAGTAGTGCGGTAGATCTAGGCCACGTAGCCTTTTCGATGTCTATTTATATAGGTCGCGTACTTATATTTTCATTAGTTAAACTTAGACCTATAAATATCACAGCCTATAGCCATTTATTCGTTTCTTACCATGCCTTTTCTCGCGATCCTCGTTACCCTTTTCTAGTCCCCTTTTCCAGCTACCGTTTTTAGCTAGCCGATCAACCGATTATAGCTATTTACAGCTATAATCTTAGTTAATCGGCACTAGGCTAGTTATTAGTAGTTAGGTAGCCGTTTTCGTGCCTCCGACGCTACTCCTGTTCAATAGCGACCACCTAGTAGCTCGTCCTCACCTCAGCCTTAGGAGCGACCTTTTGCGCCCGTTTTTACAGTCATTAGGTTCAGGATTCGTCGATCAGGAGATTCCCTAATTTTCAGTTAATCAGGAGCTATTTTCGTGGCTCCAGAGCCGTTTTCGTAGCTTTTGGTCTGAATTTTCAGGTGGCTGGATCAACAGGGAGGGCAGACAACCATGGCGACCATCTCAACAACCCACGCCCTCCCATCAGCTTTTGATCAGCTTACCTGAAAGCTCGTTCGCCGATCAGCAGGAACCCTTATCCTCGTTTCTCAGTTGTCTCTTTTAAAGGAGCTATACCCGTTTTTACCTAGTTTTGCCTCTGTCGTTTTTCAACAGTACCTAGATGGCCGTTTTCTCAGTTGATTTGACTCTGTCACCGCCACCCCCCCTTTTTACAACACGCGCTTAAAGGCATCCGTTCTTTACCGATCAGTTTATTTCAATTACAAGAGGCTTGCTATCCGATCGCCCTTATTTTATCCCTGCCAGCCAGTTACGGCACCTGGGAAGGTCTCTCCTTGCCTCCCTAACCGATAGGTGCCACGATGCCCTTAATTACCACACGAAGATACCGACAGACCTTATACCTACGAACCTAATCGGGACCTACCGATCAATGCGATAGACCTACAGACGATACCGCGATATACGAATTAAATAGATATTAAACAAGACAGCCCAGGAGATCAAGAACAGTCACAAGAACGGTCACAGGTTAATACCCAGAGACTCCTCTTATCGCCCTTACCGATATATAATTAGTAGAAAGAGCCAGAGCCCCTAGAACCACGTACAGGGGAGGGATCGAGGGTCAAAGGAAGCCCGGTAGATGCTACCGGACGAATAATAATCAGATACGAATTAGAAACGGAAACAGTCGGGCATGAACAGGATATATCAGTCAGTTTACAGGATCAGGAATCAGTTAAAAGGATCGGCAAAGCTAGTCATGGACGAGAAGGACGGGATTACGTTACATCGTATGGGATTATTTCTTTGTTTCTCACGGGAGCTACGCTTATTTTACCTACTCATTACAGTTCCTGTTTTCCGATTAATCCCTGTTATTTCTTAATGGCCCTAATAAACCTAGCTTGCTCCCAGTTAATTAGGGTTAATTAGGAACAGGTTAATTAGGTTAGTTTATAGGATATAGCTCCGCTAGCCTAGTTCTTATTATTAGATCTTTCCTATTTCTTATTAATCGTTAATTAAACTAGCTTAGCTCTTAGTTAGTAGCGATTGAATAGGTTCGGGATTGATTAGGAATCAGGTTCAGGATCAGGCACGGCTGCAGTCAGTCACCCACCCTACTACCCACTTATTACTATTGCGATCGTTCCTAGTTAACTTGTTTCCTAACTTATCCTGTTAGTCTTTAATTAAACTGGCTAGCTTTTAGTTAATCAGGGTTAATCGGGATTAAGTTAATTAGGTTTAATAGGAACGAGGGCTACCGTACCTATTACTATTAGGAGTTTAATTACTCCTTACGGATTAATTAAACTAAGGAGGCTGTAGTAGTACGGTAGATCTAGGCTACGTAGCCTTTTCGATATCTATTTATATAGGTCGCGTACTTATATTTTCATTAGTTAGACTTAGACCTATAAACATCACAGCCTATAGCCATTTACTCGTTTCTTACCATGCCTTTTCTCGCGATCTTCGTTACCCTTTTCTAGTCCCCTTTTCCAGCTACCGTTTTCAGCTAGCTGATTAACCGATTATAGCTATTTATAGCTGTAATCTTAGTTAATCGGTACTAGGCTAGTTATTAGTAGTTAGGTAGCCATTTTCGTGCCTCCGTTAGCGTGCCTACGCTGCTCCTATTCAATATTAAAATAGATATATCGTTTTATTAAAATGTATATCTATATATTAAAAAGGGGTATTCTACTTTAAAATCAAAGGTTTTCTAAATGTAGATATGCAACTCCGTATTTCTCTACCATATTACCGTTACCTTCTTACGCTATATTAAGCGGCCGTTGTGTTATTTGCTGATATTAAAACTGATCAACGTAGCTAATATAACTAGGTGCTACGTAGGTAGATAGGTATTACCTTTACTTACCTACCTTTACTTACCTTAGGGTCCACTATGGGTGCCTGCCTTGGTACAATGGCACAGTGGGTGCCTGGCAGGCAGGTACCCACTAACTTCCAGTAGGCTGTAGATTAGGTACCTAACCTACCTAAGGTGTCTGCGGTGAATGTATTAGGTTAGTACCTCCTTACCTAGGTATACGTTAAGTATGGAGTAGGTACCTACATATCGGGTCCCTCTATCGGCCAGGCAGGCTCCTACATAGGTAGGCACCTACCTTTCACTTAGGTACTTAGGTAGATACCTGCCTATGTAACCTTAAAAGCCCCGGCACTGTATGGTAGTAGGCACATAAGATACCTCCTAAGAGAATAAAAGCACTAGGTGCCTAGGTAAACTTGTCGAGTCATCCGCCTGCCTGGCAATGTACATACCTAATAGGTGAATGCTGGAGTCCCGACGATCTTCAACTCTGTAAATATATATACGTAGGTATAGGTACCTAAGGTACCTATACCGTCTCACCCTCTAATCTCCTCCAAGAAGGTTCTCTGACGATTCTTTTTTATTCTTTTTTATTTTTACTTTTTTCAGAGTTAGGCGCTAGGTTTTGGCATCCTCTCTCTTAGGCGTAGAAGCCACCCAGCTCAAGCGAATGCCGTATTCTAGATACTTAGGTACCCTTCTCTTTACTTGCCTTGGTACCTACTTCAGGAGGTACCTACCTCCTCCGTGAGATGTACCTGTCTACCTAAAGTCTATAGGGCTCCCCAGGTACATATGAGCAAGTCTCCTCATTCACTCATACGTATCGACCTACATACCCATACAGATTTGTCCATTCCTTTCTGTATAAGTCCGCCTTCCATCACTTGCTCAACCTACCATTTTCATCACCTTCTACTTAACCTCCTCTCTGCCAGACTGCAATTCTGCCTCGCCATCCGACATCACCAACACCAACTCCTTTTCCGACCGTAGCCAGGCAATCCAACCGACACCATGGTGGAGACCGAGACGCCTTTGGCCGCCGGCCATATTCGCCTGCAGTCCAACGACAATATTAAAATAGACGTCGGTGCGTCCTCCTTGCTGCCCTCCTAACGCTAGAGGCTGCTCACACGTCCCATAGAGAAGGCTGTCGCCGAGCGTTCCCTGCTCATCAAGAACATGCTCGACGATCTAGGCCAAGGCGCCGAGGGACAGACGATTCCCATCCCCAATGTATGACATCCCACCTCCGCCTCCCCCGCAGTATCGTCGCGCCTACGTACCCGTTACACCCGGTCATGCTAATGCAGACATCTCCAGGTGACCGAGCCCGTCCTGCGCAAGGTCATCGAGTGGTGCGAGCATCACCGCAACGACCCGCCTGCTTCCAATGAGGACGAATCTGACAGCCGAAAGAAGACCACCGATATTGATGAGTGGGATCAGAAGTTCATGCAAGTCGATCAGGAGATGCTGTTTGAGATCATTCTGGTACGCCTACCCCATCTCATCCGAGTTCGCCGCGCCCCGGGACACCATCTAACCACTAATCTGGGTTCCACGTAGGCATCCAACTACCTCGACATCAAGGCGCTGCTCGACGTGGGCTGCAAGACCGTTGCCAACATGATCAAGGGCAAGTCCCCCGAAGAGATCCGCAAGACCTTCAATATTACGAACGACTTCACCCCGGAGGAGGAGGAGCAGATCCGGCGCGAGAACGAGTGGGCCGAGGACCGATAGACGCGTTGGCTACCTAGCTCACCATCGGTCACCTACTCTACCTTGATCATCTACGCAACAAGTCCCACCTGTAGCGTCGTGGTGGTTAACGAGGAAATTTCCTCTCGTCTTGGTGGCATCGGGACGGGCTGACGGATCATACTCGGAGCGGTGTCGTCACGACTGATGTCACCTCAGCAGCTGGAGACTCCTCTTTGCATAGACTTCACTACACGGGTAGACGACTCGCATTTGCTTTACAGAACAGGAACTGGGACATGTTATAATGAATTCATCACGTTGACTTAATCTTGCCTGTGGCCTTCCCGTGCTTTATGTGAGATTTCTTCCATTTATTTGCCACCTTTTCGGAATGATCTGGATACGTACGGTCCAGGCTTATGATCCCTAGGCGCCTTATAATACCTAGGCGGCGTAGTACAGGTAGGCACCTACGGCCATGCGAACTTCGAACGCTCTGCTCAGGCGTGTGCATACACAACAGACCCGAAACCAGCGACCCCAAGTCATCCACGCCGGCAACATCGCGCCTCTCCTTTGGCCCTATTGGCGTGCTGCGTGTGTCTCCCTTGATCGGTGGATATCTACACCGGCGAGCACGTCTCTTCGGCCAATGCCCGCCTGCCTAGCCACCTAACGCAAGTATAAGTCCCGAGCCCTGGGTCTCTGGCCGTACGCGGCGGCCATACGCTCGGGTTTTCCTTTAATATCTGCCCCGAGCTCCTCCACCCTACCTACGGTACTCGTCGGTGTGGCCGTCGCTGTTAGCTTTTTTCTACGCGCTCCCTCTCTCGCAACCCACGCCCGGCAAATACGTAGCGCAGCCGGGGCAGGATCGCCCCCCTCCTCTTATTTTCCTCTGCTACCCTCTCGCTGCTGGCAAGAAAGGCTTTTGCTACCTAAGTTGGTGACGTAGACTGCGCCTCAGACTGCGACAACGCTCGGATTCGATTACGCAAACCCCTCCCACCCTCCTTTTTTAAGGGAAAAAAAAAGTCAAAAGGGACGGTCATGGAGAGTAAGTGGGGATCAGATCATGGATGGGTAGGAGGGGCAATCTGGAGCATACAAAGTTGCGACTTTCCTGCGTTTTGTAGTGGCGAGGACCGATTGCTCCAGAGAGATTTAAGCTACCCTCCCGAAAAAGATCCGTCGGCTTAGAGGAGGTAGGTGAGATAATTTGCAGTCACCGGTGTCAATCTCAGTATGCGTGTAGCCTTTCTCACGGCATCAGCGCCTCACGAGCACGCTTCTCCTTCCTTCGTTGTGTTCGCAAGCTTGCTGTTGTTCATTTCCCTATGACCAGTGTACCATGCAAATGAAGGAGACCTGAAAGAAAACCGAACTACCCCGTACCGTCATCCATCGTGATGATGATAGTGTGTCGTTCCTCATCCGCCTTCCTACCCACTATCACGGTTACCATTTTTCTTCCCCCTTCTCTTCTTCCCTCTTCCGTACCTCAGGGTTCCGCCGGGGCAATGTCAATATCTGGGATTGCGTAGCGTATCGCTTCTGCTGCGGCTGCGGCTGCTGCTCCAAAGGTATGTTCCTCTAAGCTCGCGAGTCGAATCGTACAATCTCAAACGGGAATAACTTGACGATGATAACTTGACAATTCGTCGGGCTTCCCTTTTCAGAGGGCGGACGTAACTGACGAGGATGGATGACGCGAGAGGAGAGCACGTCTAGATACCGAGGCGGGTCTTGCGCCAATGCCTCCGCTTGGCGTTGTATCTGCAAAGCCCAATTAGTTTGTTTTTCCGACTCTTCCCCCACTAGTCTCGCTGTTTTTGGTGCCTCGTATGTGAGCGTATTTGGGGATGCGTGTCGGGATCGATACGCCTCTTCGTGGGGCGACTTGGAGTCTAATCGTACCTGATGGTGTTACCCGTCCGGAGGCGAATCCATTGTGGGATGGGTCGGTTCTGCTTCTGCGCCTTGGCGAGCTTCTGCTTCGTTCGGAAGGACTTGTGGCTCTGTGGTTGTAGAATAACCGTTAGCTCGTCTGCGCAGCCAGCTAGTACTCGTGATGATGGTGCTCCGAATTGCGTCCTTCATTGTCTTGCTTCCTCTCGGCTGTGACTTCAACAATCCCTTGAGATACTGCATTCGTCGCCGACTACGAATCTGCAGCTAGAAACCTTTCGCAGAGGGGATAGAAACACGGGCTGTCTACGTACCGGCATTTTGACTGCTCGTGCTGGTCTAATGTCGAGGTTGTTGGTGACGATGCTGATGGTTGAGGGAGTGGAGTTTCGGTGGTTATGTCAAATCAATTGCGAGTAGAGAAATTTTGGCTTGACGGGGAGGGTTTCGCAGCCCCAATCCCAACTTGTGTGCGGCATGAGATGTACCTAGGTACCTGAGTACAATTAGTGGTGGAAAAGCGGAAGGTTATCATAAGATCACGTGATATGGAGGCGAACGGAAGGTAAACCACTCTTGTGGCTAACGATTGGCTGAAGGTCTTGCCGGCTGTGGCAATACAATTGAGAGTATACAGGCATAAATTAGCAGACGGGGCGGCGGAGGCTTTAGGTACGCCTCACTTAATCGAGCAGCGGTGGCCTCCGTATGTACCGGCACACAGGGTTGCAAAAAAAAGTTTATAAAAATGAAAACTTAACTTAACTTAAAAAAGTTATTGAAAACGGAAACTTAACTTAACTTAAGAAATTTTTCTAAAAACTTAACTTAACTTAAAAAACTTAAAAAAAACTTATTTTTTTTAAAAAATTTTTAATTACGTATTAGTAAGTTAAAAATAAAGAAGTTTTTATTTAATATTTATTAAATCTATAATTACGTAATTTAATTCTAAATTTAATATATTTACTAAAATTTTATATTTTTCTTTATATATTTTATAATAAGATTTTATAAATATATATTAAAGGTATATGAATTTAAAAAGAAAAAAAACTTAAAAAACTTAAAAACTTAAAAAATTTTTAAAACTTAACTTAAACTTAACTTGAAAATTTTTTCAAAAACTTAACTTAAAAAAACTTAACTTAAAAACTTAAACTTTTTTTCTTAACCCTGCCGGCACACATGATGTCTACCTAGATACCTAGGTACCTATATAATCTATTCCTTATACATATATATACGTCATGCACAGTGAGATAGTGCACATACTGTGCTATATAGATACTTGTCTATGTACCTAACTGGGTGATTTCGTCTACACGTGCATGTGCTAAATATGTACATATTGATGTATATACATATCTCCGGTATTTACATGCGTGGTACCGGCTCAAAGGCGCCTGGTCAACCCAACTAAGAACGCGAAGAGGAGAGACCCCTGCTTAGAAAGCCAGATCCCGTCAATATGCCTGCAGCAAAGCAAGATTTGAAATCGAAGCTCGACACGATCTATCCTAAGACAACAACCCCAGCAATTAACCTCCCTTCTCACGCGTCTGCAACCCTCATCTTTCCCTCCTCCAGCAAGGGCCTCGAAGACGAAGACGAAGCCTGGATACAACCATTATTGGTTAATTCATCAACGGCCTTGGACAACAGTGACCTAGACAGACCAACAACAGCATCGCATCAACGCCGCCCTCCTTAAATTTCCTGGCAGAGAGACAGCCTTGCCGGCCGGATTGCGAGTAACCATCAAGTAGACGGGTTAACAACACACAACATACCTAACCGCACACATCACCAATACACCCACCTACGCACACACCTACACACACTAGAGATGGGTCAAAGTGTGTCTTGGCTGTCTGGCCTCCTATGGGCGAAAAAAGAGATACGAATCCTGATCCTTGGTCTTGTACGAGCTTTGCCATAGCCCTTCCTTCCCCCTCCTTTCTGGAGCTCTTTGAACTCTCTTTCATATGGCTGGGAAACGGCATTCATGATGGTGGAAATACAGCTAACTCATCCTATTGTTGCGGTATAGGATAATGCCGGAAAGACGACTCTGCTGTACAGACTGAAGGTCAGTACGGTTATTCCATCGCGCCTCGTCGACATGGTGGCTTGCCTCCCTTTCAACCTCTTTCAACCCCCGAGTCAGCTGCAGGGGACCAGGCCAGGCTGACAGGATCGGGGCGCACATGCGAACAGATAGGCGAGGTGGTGACGACAATCCCCACGATTGGTTTCAACGTCGAATCCGTGACATACAAGAACCTCAATTTCAATGTGTGGGACCTGGGCGGGCAGACCTCGATCCGACCGTACTGGCGATGCTACTACGCTAACACCGCCGCTGTTATCTTCGTCGTCGACAGCACCGATATCGAGCGCCTGCAGACCGCCGCCGAGGAGCTTGCTGCCATGCTCAACGAGGAGGAGCTCCGCGACGCCGCCCTCCTTGTCTTTGCTAACAAGCAGGATCAGCCCGGCGCTAAGGGCGCCGGCGAAATCTCTGAGGCCCTCCGCCTCGGCGAGCTACGCGATCGCAACTGGAGCATTGTCGCCTGCTCGGCCGTCGATGGCAGCGGTGTCAGCGAGGGCATGGACTGGCTCGTGGTGAGTTTCAGCTACTATGTCTCGTTTAAATGCTCGTTCGGCGAGACCTCTGGTGGCCTGTGAGAGAACGGGTTCTGCCGTGCTGGATATCTAGCCGGACTAGTCGAAGCTGATCGTGTAAGAGCGTCAAAGTAGGCTAACACATTGCACAGCAAACCGTATCGCAAGATTAGGATCGGATCTTCCATCGCCTCACGCGACGAGCACGAGAGCGCGATTGTACAACACCCGCCATGGATCGGCTTGTCCCGAACCGTCTTATTCGTATAAATGCCACCGATTCCATCTCAGATATGCCGGTTTTCTCTCGAATCCATACCACCGTTATACGCCACGCACTCCCTTGGTAGATAGGGGCTAGGCACATATCGGCCCCAGAACGGTTGATAGCTAGGACCCAATCAACCCGTATCTGTTCTACCAATAGCAAGCCACATCGTCGCTGGCATTGCTAGAGGACTATTGCCACGAGTAAGGGCGAAGAATGAAAGTAATATAGCATTTCCTTTACAGGATTCATTGTTTTTTTTTTCGTCCAAACGAGGAAGAATGAGGGTACAGGGGGAGGGAGGCAGGCCGGAAGGGACGAGGAAGGGGGGATAATGTTGGGCGGAGGGAATATCCAGTTTGACGAATCAAGACAAGATTACGTGCGTGTGTATGTGTGTCAAGTCCGGGCGCCGACCTAATTATGATTCACAGGCGGGACCCCGGGTTCCCGTCATGACACATCGGGAATATACACACATACACACAAACATACACATACGCAACACGACACGAGGGCCTGGACGTCTGTATTGGGGGGGGAGGGGGGGGGCTACCCTATATATATGCGAGACGGCTCATACTAATGACGGGGGGGAAGGAAAGGGGAAACTGAGCTGCGACTAGGTATACTACCCAATGGGGTTTACTCTAGACTCCGTAGAGGTAGGATCTCTCGTGCGGTTTGCTAGAGACGTAGAGGGAGGAAGAGATCGTACTGCTCAGGGCGAGGAATACGCATTTCGCGGATCGAAATAGCCGATGACGACGCACCCTGCACCAAGCCAACCGTCTAATCTCTCTGCCTCATCCTCGGCGCTATTTAGCAGAGCGTACACGACTTTCAGCAACCCATTTACACACATACCTCTAGGTGGTAGCGCGCCGTGCAGGTACGCACGCGTGCCGGCCAGAAAAAAGAAGCCGACATACCTTACTCGTTGGCTGGCGGGAGTAAGACTTCCTGCGTACCGCTTGCTAACCGGCTAGGGGTGGTCTTACCCGACGGAGGAGCCGCGACGCGCGAGACGGGAGCGAAGGGAAGAGAAGGGGGGTTTGCGCTTGGGAGGGTATATAGATAGGTGGGCTTCTCGGAAGAGCTGGGAGGGGGGACGACGACGCCGATGTAAGGGGGGAGCGGCTGAGAGAAAAGCAAGGAAAAGGAGAAGGAGAAACAAGGAACCGTGCCCTGGCAGCGTTACCTGGCGACCTGCCTACGGATAGATAAGATAGATCTGGGCCGCCGCACGCGGATCGAATAGAACCATGAAGGGCGACAATAAGAAAAGAGTCGGGCGCGATGGTGGCTGGTTCGGATGGAATGGAGGACGGAGGGGTTAGGTAGGGTACCTCTAGGTGTGAGTTAAGTGCGTATAAAAGGTAGCAGCTCTGTTCCTGCTAGCGACGCAGCGATCTCGAGACGCTAACAGCTTCTAGACGCACCTGAAAAAGGATGGTGGGTACCATGGTCGGTTTAGCTCTCTTGCCCTTTTCGCTCTCCTCTAAACAAGTCGGCCCCACTCCCTGCGATTCGCCCCGATCATGAGGAGTCCACCAGGACCGGGATCGTGTGGGGAAGGCGAGTTCTCGAGGAGCCGGCCCAGCCAGAAAGCACGCACACATATGGACACTTACGCTTACGTGTGTGCGTGGGTGGGTGTGCCCCTGGAAGATGGAGGGATGGCGACGAACGACGACGATGACGACGACGGCGACCAGATCGCGTTGTCTGGTATGACCTCTCGCGCTTCATAACTTACTGTAGCAGGGGGGGTGTAGAGAATACATTATCGGTATTCTAAATTCCTTAAGGTCGGGTATTGCAGGCTTCTCGCTCGGTGCGCCATGGGTGGTGTAGCGTCGCATAGCATGGGGACGTAGCGTCGTAGAGGGTAGTAGAGGGTGCCAGCATGCCAGCGTCGTATGTGCCCAAGAGCAAGCGCGCAGCTCGAGCGAAATCCGTCGACGTGGCCGGGAACTGCACAGCGACTGGCGGGTGGTCGAGTCAGTAGATACGGCGACCGGGACAAAGCCCATCGATGCGACTCGCCCCTCCCGGGCTGTCTGGGTTCGCATAGGTCGAATTTCCGATGCATTGCGCAATGGACGCCAGTCTATTATTACAAGCGGCTGGACGAAAGAAACCGACGGCAGAGACGGTGTATGATGTCATGTAGGCCATTACTGCCCACGTATACCTCGTGAATTCGCGTGCCATGTACGCAAGAGCGTTAACTGGGTGCGGTGCTAACGGTATTGCGCGCAGAGTTCGCGTTTCCTGGGTCCGACTAGGTAGGTGTCTATAAGGAGTAAGCCGCATAGGGAAGGACGTGCCGTGTTGCCCAACATTTCCATGCCATGCCGCGCGCCCACCTTGTGCTCTAGCCTATCTGCCATTGGCATTGGAGGGGTTCCCTGGGCTGTCGGTGAGCTCATCGTTCGACCCAAGAGGAGAGGGAGCGCGATAGCTCACTCTCTGGCTCTCGGTTTCGCTACCATCTGCCGGTAAAATTCGCCGCCAGGTTGGACCTAACCCGCCCGGGTGCGGGGAATCCTACGCTGTCGATCCGTACCCGTAGATACTCGCCGACTCTGGTACCAACATCAGAAAAATGGGGGGGCCACCCTTCTGATCGACAGAAAGATGGATATCGGTGAGGCCTCGGGCGCTGGGTCGACTAACGAGACTCTGGCCATTACTAATGCAGAGGAGCGATGGGAGGTCAGATGACAGACGTGACGGTGGCGTGTCGAATTACTCCGCTGGCCCCCCTGCTTTGTTCCCAGGCGCGCGTCGCGAACAGACGGCAGGCAGGCAAGATGCATGGCCCCGAGGCATGCATAAACTGCTGCACGCATGTATCAAGCATTGTGGTCTTATAATATCCGCACATAGGTACGCCTGCGTGACCTCGTCGTGACTATCGCAGGCTCCTATCCGAGGAGCGAGGAGGAGGGAATAGAGAGAAGCAAAGACCGAAGGAGGCCGAGATATTTCCTAGCGGATTGGGCTGGTCGGGATGAGCATCATCGTTGGCCAAGAGGCGAGAGCAGCAAGTCCAAGCGACGAGGATTGCCATATGAGCGATGTCAGTTTGGAGTCCCATTTCTTCGTTAGGGGGGGCTGTAAAGGAGGTCGAGCACGGATTTCCGCCCCCGGCCTGGACAAGTTCACTGGCGTTGGAGAGATGCCGGCAAATGGCAAGGCAAGGACGAAGCTCACAATTAGCAATTTCCTGATTGGCCAGTCCCTCCACGCGACCTACCCCACTTTCTGGCCAAAGTACCCAGCAGGTCAGCGTTGTACCCATCGAGGTACCCAACTTAACCTAAGGTAAAAATGCCCAGAGATATCCGACTTACCGCGGCCTACCTACTACCTAGGTACCTACCTAGGTAACTTACCTATACATCAACCTCCAGCACCTACCTTAGGTACCTAAGGTAGGTGATTAACCTTCCAAGTCGGCAAAGCTGCAAACAACCTGACAAGAGAGAGTTGAATAACCATCCCGAGTGGACTCACACCCAGCGTACTAGCACGCCCGAACCGTCGTCGTCTTGTCCCAGCTCGAGCAACCGGTCCCCGCCTACGCACGTCGTCACGTCCTGCTTGCATGGGCCGTCTCGTCTCCACCTGCAGTCCATCATGCTTGGCTGCCCCGTTCTCCCCGTCTTCCCCGTTTTCCCCGTGTTTTACGCCTGCTTCTTCGTCCGGCCCATGCTCTCTTCTCTATCTTCTTCGCACGCACCTCGCACACAGCCTGTATGGGGATACACGACGATGCTACCGTAGGCACCGCAAACCCCCCCTGTTTCCCCGTGAACACTCGTTTGCGACCAGGGTAGCTATTCCGCGCACAGAATGCCGAGCCAGAGACCACGACGAGCCAGCCTACGCAAGCACCCGCCCGTGCTTACCAGCGTCTAGAGGGAGTGGTCGTTGAAGTTCCGCGAGCTGCGAGAGCAGAAGAGGGGGAGGGAACATCGACGAAGAATAAGTAGAAGAACAAGGGGACAGGGAGAGGGAGAGAGGTAGAGGGAGGGGGGTTTCGATTTTCCATCTGTACAGCGGTCGGTGGATGTCGAAACCCTCTCGCCCCCTCCCCCCCCTTCATCTGCTCTCTCTACGTGGTGTATCCCCGCGCCCGCTCCAAGGTGTACATGGCATATACATGGATGTCGGGGAAGAGGTACCTGGTATTGATACACCCATCCCGCATGATTCGGTCTTTGTTCTACCCGCCTGTCTAACTTGCAGAGGGCGGAGAGGCAATGTAGCTATGGCAGGCAATGCGATGCCTACTATGGTAGGTATTTATATCCGCTTATCCTCCCCCTTTTCCCGCCTCTCTCGCTCATCCGCTTCCTCCGGTCGCCCTGTTTTCATAGAGGATTTTCTTCCCTTTCCCTCTCTCTCTGTCTATCCAGGTAGCACATAAATCTTGAGACATACAAGACCCAAATATATACCATTTACGTCCACCGGTCTATCCGTCCATTACACAGAGCCCCCTGTCTTCCCAATCGTAACCATGGTCGCCAACGACGGGTCCGCGTCCACTTACAAATACAACGAGCAGCCCGTGTATACCACGTCCAATGGCTGTCCCGTCGAACATCCCTCCAAGTGGCAGCGTGTTGGCACCTACGGTCCCCTCCTGCTCCAGGATTTTTACCTGATCGACCTTCTCGCCCACTTCGATCGCGAGAGGATCCCTGAGCGTGTTGTCCACGCTAAGGGCGCAGGCGCCTACGGCGAGTTTGAGCTCACCGACGATATCAGTGATATCTCTTCCATTGATATGTTAACTGGCGTTGGCAAGAAGACGCCATGTATCGCCCGGTTCTCTACCGTCGGTGGTGAAAAGGGGTCGGCCGACAGCGCCAGAGATCCCCGAGGTACGAAATATCACCTCCCGTCACCGAGATGAGTCTTATAATAATAACCCCTCTCGTAGGATTCGCCATCAAGTTCTATACACAGGAGGGCAACTGGGACTGGGTCTACAACAACACTCCCATCTTCTTCCTCCGAGACCCCTCCAACTTCCCACTGTTCATCCATACCCAGAAGCGTCATCCTCAGACCAACCTGAAGGACGCCACCATGTTCTGGGATTACCTCGTAGGTTCTCATCTCTACCTCGCTGACTGCATTCTTCTCCCCCTCTGGTGCCTCGAGCTACAAGTGACTACTCGGGATTAGATTTCATATTCGAAGCTACGAATCGTAGATTCTAACCTTGATCGCTACAGTCTACCCATCCAGAGTCCGTCCATCAGGTCATGCACCTTTTCTCGGACAGGGGAACCCCATACTCCTATCGGTTCATGAACGGCTATTCCGGCCACACTCACAAGTTCGTGAAGCCCGATGGTAGTTTCGTCTACGTCCAGATCCACCTGAAGACGGATCAAGGAAGCAAGACCCTAACAAACGCGGAGGCGGGCAAGCTCGCCTCTGACAACCCCGACTTTGCCACTCAGGACCTGTTTGAGGCCATCCAGAGGGGTGAAAACCCGAGCTGGACAGTCTACGTACAGACCTTGACACCGGAGCAAGCCGAGAAGTTCAAGTGGAATATCTTCGACCTGACCAAGGTCTGGCCTCAAGCCGAGGTGCCGCTCCGGCGCTTCGGCAAGCTGACCCTCAACAAGAACGTAGAGAACTACTTCGCCGAGATCGAGCAGGTCGCCTTCTCGCCGTCGCACCTCGTCCCGGGCGTCGAGCCATCGGCGGATCCGGTGCTACAGTCGCGCCTATTCTCATACCCGGACACGCACCGGCACCGGCTTGGCGTCAACTATCAGCAGATCCCCGTGAACGCGCCGCTGCGGGCCTTCAATCCCTTCCAGCGCGACGGCGCCATGTCGGTGAACGGCAACTATGGCGCGAACCCGAACTACCCGAGCAGCTACCGGCAGCTGACGTACCGCCCCGTGAAGGTGACGAACGCGCACGAGAAGTGGACCGGCGTCGCCGTCCACGACCTCTTCGGCGAGGTGGGACCTGAGGACTACGAGCAGGCCAACGGCCTGTGGAAGGTCCTCGGCCGTACCCCGGGCCAGCAGGACAACTTCATCAACAACGTCGCCGTCCACCTCTGCGACGCCCACCGCGACACCCGAGCCCGCACCTACGCCATGTTCTCCCGCGTCAACCTCGAACTCGGCGCCGCCATCCAGACCGCCACCGAGAAGAACGTCAAGGAGACACCCAACTGAGGAGATGGCACGAAACAAAAAGAAATGTTCAAAAGAAATATCAGGAGCGGATTGTAAGCGACAGGGAGGAAAGCTTTGGCCTGGGGACGCGCGTCGGACTAGCTTACGATACAAAGTATGCAAGAACGAGTCTACAAAAATTATTTTTTTGCGTGAATCTAGTTGTCGTAGGCATGTAACTGAGTTAGAAACTTGTCGTCTGTTATTCCCCAAGTATATATATGTGTGTCCATCGGCATCCGCACCATCATGGCGTAACGACTTAACTCCCTCGCACGTACCTACTGATTACCCGCGATCCGATCGCTTCTCTGCCCGGCGGACTCTACACCCGCCGTCCTAGCGGATGAATTAAGAGGACCGTTGTTATAGCTTCCAACGGCGCACTAACACACGCGCGCGCACAAGTACGAGCACAACCTACTAGTATTCTATACGCTCTGTCTGTCTGTAAGTGGTAGTAGTTATTTATACACTAGCATTAACGCCTTCACGAGCTATTCCATTGCGGCGAGATATACTGTGGGAGTGGGTAGTATAAGTACAGTGGGAAGAGGAAGGACGTCTTTATATATAGGTAAAGTGAAAAGAAAAGAGCATGGCTTCCGCCGACTCGACGCTGCTTTCTTTCGTGTGTAGCACGGGAGAGGGGAGGGGGGGGGGCGTCTTCGGAGAAAGAAAGACGGAAAACTGAGAACGGAACCCGAACGCTCTCATTCGAACCCTTCTCTTCTTCTCCCCTCCCACTACTCCCTATGCATATCTGGCCTCTGTTCCTCGAGGAATGGTAATAGAACAGGTACCTACCTACCTACTGACTGCCTACCCATCTATAAAGTTCTACGGGGTGCTGGGTGGAGGAGGAGTAGGTAGTGACGGTTACTAATAATAGCGGTATACAAAGACATCTTGTTCCAAAAAAAAAAATCTCATAAGGCCTCGACTGAACTTAACCTAGCCCATGCTCGTTCGCCCATCCCGGCTCAGCGCGAAGTTACCAGCCGGTAAGGGCGGATCGAGGACCGCCACTATCGCGCCGAAACGATACACCGCCGCGAGACGGGTTGACGGGACGTTGTGGTAGACTGCTGCCGCTATGGTGTGACGATACGTCTTGACTGCGGTCAAGCGATAATAGATTGTCGCCGTAACGAGGCGGCATACTAGGGCAGCGGCGAGGCGAAGAGACGCCGTGAACGGGACTGGGAGGTATCTGCAGACTGCTACTACGGACTGACTGACGGAGTATTGGTAAGATGTCAGGAGAGGCTGGTTGTGGTCCACTGCCGCTGGGGGACGGCTGGCTACTCCCATAAGGAGAGGGCCGGTTACTACCGTCGCTGGACGTCCCGCGGCAGGCGAATATCGGCGGAATGCGGCACTTCTAAATATCAAGTTCCCGTGGGGTATCAATGATACCCCTCTTTCCCCCGTAACAGGCCCTCCTCTCCAACATCGTGTGCCGCTAATCGTGCTTCGGCATCTGGTTCGCTAGGTTCATGTGCATCAGTGCGTCGCGCTCCCAATCGTCGTCCCCTTTAGTGACGCGACCTAGGTCCTGCTCGCGCGCCCACATGTCGTCGCTTATAATTTCGCGTCCGTCGACACTTGGCAGGCGAATCTGCGGCGGCTGTAACTGACGCTGCTGACCTGACGGCCCGGGATCGTTGATGTAACGGTCAGCATCGGCTGGGCCGCCGCCGTGGCCATGAAGCTCGGCTGGTGGAGGTAAGGCCGACGACCTCCTGTTCATCTGATGGTCCAACTCCTCTTGCTCTAGGATCTGCGGTGCATGTTCCATATTTCGCAAGGAGCTAGCGCCGGGCACGCCGCTGCTGCGGACGCTACCGACACTAACCCGATTGTTATCCCCGGCGGCATCGCCGCCTTCCATGTCACTAGCGTCTGGATCACGGATTGCGAATTGAGCTACCGTGCGCATCTTACGCGTGACCCAGCCAGCCAAGATCTTACCGCGCTGCTTCTCGCCGAGACGGCTGCGAGGGAAGTCACCCCGGTTCACGAACGCCACTATGTCGACCACTATCTGGTGCTCGTTTAAGATGGCGTTTACGATGACCGGGACGATAGACGCGAGGTACGCCTTACGCGACACTTCGACGAGAACGACCACGAGGCCACCCGCTTGGAAGACGGCGCTAGGCTCACGTTAGCCACGATCGATGCCTTTAAGAGCATCTTTGAACTTACCAGCCGCCGGGCACGATATTTCGGTGAGATCTCTCTACGGAAGCCTCTATATCCATTGGGAAATGGCTCAGTCCGTTGATTTCGAAGGTCTCGCCGATATTTCCCAACACGAAGAGAACCTGCATGTCTACTTGGGCGCCGCCTGGTCCAATAGGCCGGCTGACGCTGTGTAGGAATCCGAGATCGCCAGTTCGAACGTAACTAATGGTAGGATCACCATCGTTGGTTCGCCCATCGAAGCGTTCGGCATCAAAGGGATCTCTGGACCCGTAGAACGCCTTGACGCAAGCTTCCGAGTCGACCCAGATCTCTCCGTACTCCCCATCTGCGCAGAGGAGACGGCTCTCGGGGTTGACAATGGCTATTTGAGTCGATACTGGTACCATGCCTGAGTCTTGCACCAGGAGTGCCTTCGGGTCGGAGTCTGGGTCCACGGTGAGGATAAGTCCTCTACGGAGAGCTCGCTGGTCGAGCCAAAGCTCGATGGGCTCGATGCACATGTATGACCGCGACGCGATCATCGGGTTCAGGACGTGCGAGTATACCGTGTTTATAGCCGTTCTATCGAGGCCGGTAGACGCAAAATGGAGCCGCACCTTCTGGAATACGTCCACACGCGGCCTCGACTCAGCCGAGATCATCATGTTCTTGAGTTCGTGCATGGCGAACCCCTTACCCGGCATCTGGTTCATAGCGTGGTCGAGCATTTGGGGTGTCGCATACGTATCTTTGATCTTATAACGACTTAGCGTCAAGAACAGAGAGATGGGATTCTGCGCGAACTCCACGGGCGACAGTAGGTATGTAGGTGTACCTATGTAGATACCCATTAGGCAGGAATGAATAAAGCCCAGCCCGGTGGTGCTTCTCACGCAGCCGAGCACCGGCCGCGAGCTCGTCATCTGACAGGTTTCCTTTTGGACCTTACACATTCCCAAGATAGTATCGTGGCCGAGTTGTACCGATATTCTGCGTTGATCCGGAGTCCAATACGCCCAGACGATGACCGGATATCCCGGCTGTATCCACGCGGGATCTATAGTAATACCGAGATCACGGAGCCCGTTGTTCTGCTTGGGAGGTTTGGAGGTGTTGAACACGGCCGGTGGGGCAATCTTCAGAACCTGCGCCGATTGCTTGATATGCTGGGAGACGGATTTCGATTTGAGCAGGTGGTCCACATCGTTATTAACCAGGACAGCCTTTATGCCGTAATCGTTTATGAGATGAAGGAAAGCCGGAACGTCTTCGTTCAGCCGGCGTTCGTCCATGGGCGCAGTCGGGATGATGACGGCGCCGAGATTGATACATGCGTGGACGGCGAAGACATAGTCTTCCGAGTGCGTATACATGAGCATGACGTGGTCACGCGGCCGTACCTTGGCCTTGTTACGGAGATACAGGGCGACCGCGGCGACTCTCGTATCGAACTTCCTCCACGTGATGCCTTTTCCTTCCTTGCCCTTGCCATCTATGGTGCAATATGCGAGCTCTTCGGGTTGGCGCGCCACTCTCCACTGGATTAGATCTGTGATGCTCGAGAAGTTGTTTAGGGGGGTAGATGTGCGGTCATCGATGACAACCTCGCGTCTATCGATACCAGAGTATTGCTTGTCCGAGGGTCCGAGAAAGTCAGTGCGAGCGTTGGACGCCATGTCCGACCAGATGCCACCCATGGGGTCTACACCGACAGGCAGGTTCAACACTGCATGTTCGACGCCAAATTTGACGTGGACGCAAGGTAGATTACCGAGGTCGAACTCCCTACGACACAACATGTTTCCTATCTCTCGTCGCCCGTTCTTAGTCACCCGGGGTAATGAGTTAGGAGCCGTAATCATAACACAATAGACCCTCAGGTGATGTTCCTGCATGAGGACTTCCATGCACCTCTCCGAAAGCGTGTCTAGCAACGCAGTGTCTAGCGGCCTAGGCGGAGCACCTGACGCTGCCGGCGCCGTCGATGCTGCGGACGACTCTAGCACCACTATCGGCAAATGCTCGTCGTTGACAAAGACATCAAATGCCGAACAGTCATATACCTGCTTGTTCAGATTCCGCAGGATGCTGACAACGAGGTGCTGTACGAAGAAATATCGGTGCTCGGTGACCTCGTGTCCGTGCTCAACCCACTCGACCTTTTGCCGGATGCGATCCTCGTACAGTCCAAGCACGAAGACTTTACCTTCGATGACTGTCCCGAGGAGGCCGGTCCGAAGGAATTCGGGCTCTACCGCAGTGGGCGTCGGCTCTCCCGGTTCGAATTTGTACGGTCTAGCGTGAAATATTTGCTCCGTGTGCTTGGGCAAGGCCCAGAATCCTCCGCTCAAGGACGGAGAGTCTACCCAGATTTCGCCTACGGAATGCGGCGAGGCTAGTAAGCCGGTCTCGGGGTCGACAATGGCTAGAGTGGCATCGGGAATAGGATACCCGAAGGCGCCGACACGGACGGTGCCGGGTTCGGTAGTGGCTTTCTTGCGCGCGTCTTCTCCTATGGCGACTACGACCACTTCATTTGTCTTCAGCGCCTCTCGGTCTAACAGTACTTCACCGAGGTCGTTCTTAGCGTCATGCTCTTTCATGGTTGTCGTGCCGCCACCTAGAAGGCTTCCGAAGCCACCCGACGGCGCCGACTTCTCCTCCTTCTCTTTTTCCTTTTCCTTCTCTTCGTCCTTACCAGCCTCTGACCCCGACTCGGAGTCGACGTCTAATTTGAGGGGACATCCCATACGTTCTTCACCGCCTAGCCAGTCTCGGACACTGATGACCATGCCTCCGTGCTCGGGTAGGCAAAGCATCGGGGCAACAACTTCTCTGGCCCTCGTATTTCGCAAAGGCCGCAGCCACCTGTCGGCCAAAACTTCGTGGAATTCGCTATCTACGGTGAGAGTATCGATCAGACAAAGCTTGACGTGCTGAAAGTTCGGCTCTGTTCCTTTCTTGAAATTTCGCGTCGTCATCGGATCCTGTTGGTAATTAAAGGCGGCAGTCTTCAGGCCGGGATAATCGGCAACCATGAGTGTGGCCTTGTATTTGGTGATGAGGTGGGCGTAAAGACCGGGAGATACTACCGCCTTGCTCTCTACCCATACCGTAGTGTGCCCGCTGTAGATATTGAGGAGCACACCCAAAATCATCCCTATGCCCTGTCGGGGGTCTAGGTAGGACAGGAGGATCTCGCTGCTAGCACCCCCCCCTATTAAGCGCCCATTCTTATCACGCAGTGCGTGATTGAAAGTGTCACCAGGTCCGTGACTGGGGACGCCTTGGACGATGGCACTGAGACAGGCCATCTGATGCATGATGGTACGGTGGCTTAACACCACACCTCGAACGTCCCCCGTCGGCGCCCTGGAAAATTCAATGTAAGCTAGATCCGGCACAGATAGGGCCGGCACGTCGTCCTTCTTCTTCGGGTGGTAACTCCCGAATTCGTTGGTTTTCCACCATTCGACCCCTTTCGGCCAGCTGAGCTTCTGAGTGGTGATATCTCGCTGGAAGGACTTCAAGTTGTTATCGGTAGTCAAGGCTAGGTGCGCTTGCGTGGACGTTAGGATAAGATTTAGCTTGGGGTAGTCTTGCAGGTCGTTGATGGGGACAGCTACGACGCCGGCAATGAAGCAGCCCAGGAGTGCTATCGCAAAGTCGATAATTTCTGAATCTCTGTACATGAGAGCAACCCGGTCTCCACGGTATAGGGAGCTCTTGTCCCTGATGACCTGAGACACCTTCTCTGCTCGGGCTGCCAGCTTGTCCCATGTTATCGATGCGATCTCCTTCCCCTTACTATCGAGTACCCAGTAGGCCGGGAGCTTGCCCGTAGTTCGTCCTCTGTGTCTTACCACGGCAGCGATATTGTCGAACGTCGACATGGCTGTATTCTCGTCATGCGGATCGTGGATCGCGAAGGGTACTTCCCGCGGCTCTAGAGGTAACTGATATTCCAGGGCTTCCGGAGGCGGGAGGTCGTTCGCGGTAAGCATGGGCGGAGCCATAGCGGCTGTCGGAGAGAACGCATCACTCGACGAATATCTGTGAACCCCCCCACCGTACCCTCCGGCACTGCCAGGCCCTTGATCATAAGACTGCTGTCCGGCAAAGTCAGAGAAATACGCCTGAGAGTCTAGCGTGGCTCCGGTTCGACCGTCGTAAGTATTTAGTGCTTGTGACCCGTAGCCTCCCTGAATTTCCGGCTTGAAGGCATAATCTCCCGATATCATAGTTCCCGAGCGCGTGGGAGAGTCGGATCCAGTGTTTTGGGAATAGTGAGTCGTGGTTGGGTTCAGGAAGATCGAATCGCGCTGGGACAACACCGGGTTGTGCTCAGCCAAAGGTCCGCCTGGGCGAAGTAAGCTAGGCAGATGCTCACTCCCATGGGAATAGCTAGGGGTCGGTGCTTCGAAAGACTGAGGTCGCCAATCGATGGGAGATGTGACGGTCGAGGGGGAGCATGGGTCGCCGCGGCCAAAGTTGCTATTTGTAGTGTTTAAGGCGGCGTCCGCAGCGTCCCTGTGCCCTTCGCTAGTAGTAGTGGGTTCATCATCGGGTGAGTGTATTCGCAATCCTCCGGTTGCGTCGGCTTGGGCGTCGGGGCTGAGATACTGCGCGAGCAGTTGAGTCCGTCGTTTCTGAAAGCTGCAACACGAGATGCGTTAACACGACAGGGTGCGACATCCGGAACGCGAAGGTAGAGAGCTAGGAGCGGAGATCCGATCACACACACACACACACACACACACACACACACACACACACACACACACACACACACACACACACACACACACACACACGCACGCACACGCACGCACACGCACACGCACACACACATGCAGATATGTACGCACGTTATACCGTACGGGAGGGAAACGAGAACTCACCCCTTTTCTGTGATATCGCCTTCCTACAGACACCAGCGTCAGTTTTCTTTCCTTCCATGGCCGGGTGTGTTCACATGTGGTGGTGTCCTCTCGTGTGTCGCACCCTCCCCCCCCGCCGGCTGATGGCGACGGGGTGGCGAACGGAGCGGGCGAACGGAGCGGGAGATGGAGCGAGAGAAGCGGAGGGACGAGAGCTTACCTCTAGCTCCCTCTGCAAGGCATCCAGCTTCTCCTGGAGATCCGAGTTCATTTGCGCCATGCTGAGCTGGTACGGGCAGGCGACGGGAGGGAGAATCGGCCGAGCATAAGACTAGGCGCACAAGTCCGCCTGATCATCAGATTGCCCAAAAGCAGAGGTCCAGCGCTGGCGGACAAGGGCCGTGACGTCAAATGGCTTCGAGGGGGGAGCGCCGGGGGGGAACAGGCTGCGGCATCTATCTGGGTATGTGTTCAGACCGGGCTGTCGCAACGGCAAAATGTAGGCCAACCAATCAGTCAGTCAGCGTGGGCAATAATTACAAGAATAAAAGGGGGAGGGGTATCGTGAAAACGGAACGGGTATAGGTATAATCGTCGGACCACAGCAACGCAGTGCTACGCATGAATAGATGATGTGCGGGCGTGGGTGCTTGTGCGTGTGGGCGTGTGGGCGCGTGAGAGGGTGGGATTTAGGGATTGGGGTCGTGTTAGAACTGGGAAAGATTGGGATGTCAACTCGAACCCGAGAAAGATTCAATGACAAATGGTTAAAGTGGGAAACCTGCCTATAAAGCACATAGGGTTGTAGGTATTTAGGGGGCACTCGCCTTCGTTAGTGGGTACATATAGGCTACTAAACCACCTGCCTGGGGAGATAGGTAGGTAGGTAGGTACCTAGGTAGGTACTAACCTGGGTAGGTGCCCATCAGGTGTTACTCCGGCCTGTAGTATCGCAACTCCGGCAGTGAGAATAAATACATGTGCCCCACCTTAGGTACCCCCTACGTACCTACACCTACCTAGGTACCTCTTAGGTAGGCACTTATATGAATTCTCGACCTTGCTACCGTGCCTGTACCTCAGAGCGACTTTGAATTATATCGAGGATTATATTAACAGGGTCCAAGGTAAATACCAAACAAGGCGCCAGCGGCAGGTTTGTGTGCACATGGCGGGGGCAACACAACCATGGCCTCATCGAGGCCAGCACCTAAATTCGTCATGTTATACTTCCACGGGTGGATGTTTGAAGAGGTACCTGCCTTATGTGCCTACCTAGAGGTATGTAGCATCGATAGGCAGGTGTGGCCTGAATGGAATAGAGCATACTCTTACTAAGCAGAAATGTTAGATAAGCCTGTGTGAGGCTGGATTAGATACCTACCGATGAACCCGACGGAATAAGGAAAAAAAAACCAATTCATCTCCCCTTCCCTTCGCACGCAATGTGCACACACAACCGGCCACACGCAATAAAGGAATCACCAACAATCCGGTGCTGGCAAGCCTTCAACTTACTGGGACGTGTTTGAGTTGGCCTATCCGAGGCAACTTATATACCTCAACAAGCCCCCGCCCCGGCTTACTATAATAGTCGTCCACGACACTGTCATTGCTATCTCTGGTCAAGACTTTGTCCGCGGGATCCCATGGCGACCCATCTTTAACGAGCCTCAAAGAACTGCCCTTTGGCACCTCTTTCGAGCCTCGACTGGGCTCGGGTATGTATTTATCGATGACCCGCCCCGGCCCGCCCTCGCGGTGCACTCCTCCCCCCGGGCAAGAACCGGCCGGCTGGCATCTCCTGACACGAGTAGACCTCTCTCGCCTTGTAAGTCGACATTTCCATTCAAACGCAAGCCCTTCCCAAATGTTCATCTGATGAAACCAGCGTATTTACAGACCTGTTCTGAACCCTCTTGTTGAGAAAAGGCATTGAGCTCTACTGATTATGCTTACCCCCAATTCGCTTCCCTGGCTCCTTCGTGTACGATCAGTCCTGACAGAAAGCTGTAGGCATACGATCTGGCCGTACTGGCAGGTCGGCCGGGGTTGATGCCGCTACTCAAGGGGGGCCGTCCCCTTTGAAAATCTCTCATCATCTTTGTTCTTGATCCATTCGTTTGTCTAGACAATACCTTGTTCTCGACTGGGGCTTGCGTCCCAGCGTTGTTCGCGAACAATACTCTTTGCTAGAGCGCAGTAACAAAAAGTCGTATATAGCATCATGGTTCGCGCCATCAGCCCGCTGTTGTGTGTTCCGCTCAACTTGCCAACATGCCCTTGGTTCGGTTGTGGCACCATCGCTGAACAATCTGCCTGGTAGTGTAGCAGTGCTAGCTTCCTCTCTCCAGTAGATGAGCCTTGCGGGCACGTGTTGTTCAGCGATAGAACCACCCCCATCCCGCAATGGATCGCCAGGGGACGCAGTATCCTAGCCTAGAGCCGTCGGCCGATTATCTTGACATACAAGACTTTATTGACGCTGCCGACTTCGACGCGCCAGAGATTACGGTGAATCTCTTTCCTCCCTTCGACCCCCCCTTTGATCCTCCCAAACCTGAAGCTGCCACTACCGAACCGCTCCATGGGCATCCTTACGTGTCTACTTCCAATGCGCAGAACTTTGGCATATCCCCCGGATTACTTACCACGGCCCCCCCAGAGTTTTTACATCCGACCACGATAAATACTCCTCAGGGCATGCCGGAAGCCTTGTTCCAGCAACAGCAAGGCCAAGCTACGGCTTATGCCGTTCCCAACAATGGAGGCACTGCTATGATGAATCTTTACACGCCCGCGTTGAGCCTCCCTTTCTCTGCTCCCGGAAGCCAGCCTTCACATCCCGTTTCACACCGTCCCCTCCAGGAGCCAGCGAGCGATTTGAATCTGTTGTCCGCAAAAGGCGTTCACAATATTTCTGACCCCCGCCGTAATAGCGGCAACACCTCGAGATTCAGTACTCCGTCCAATGCATCCAGTCAGAACTTGTATCGAACCACGATGAACCGTCCCCCGTCCCCCCACGTCTTGCTTCTCGAGCCACGACTGAAGCGTCCCGAGAAAGGACCCAATGACATCCCCCTCAAGAATGGCCGGATCCCCCGTGTTACGCGAAAGAACCAGCTTAAACCGGACCCGCGCGAGTGGTACGGCGCGCCGCCGCCCCAACCTGAGAGCTGGGGCCCCAAGGACAAGAACGGGCGTCCGCTCTTCAAGTATACGGAGCATGGCGAACTCGAGCGCGGTAAGGCGTACACTGTGCGCCAGCTGCGATGGTATTTGTACGGCCCCAACCGGCGGAAGGGCGAGGACTTCGAGCTGCCATCGCGGCTACCAGGCGTCCCTGAGGTCAGGGGCAAGGTGCGACAGGGCTTGACGCTGTGGATCGGGTGGGTGCCACCGCAGTCCAACGAGCGGTTCCCATTTGGGTCCCAGTCTCACAAGTGCCGGTTCGCTGACTGCGAGGACTCGAACCGCACGATTCGCACGGGGTTACCTCTCATCGCGTTTGACGAGCGTATGAACGAGGATGGTGACGCTATCGACGTCTTTCACAACGCCGGGTACGCCCATCTGTACTGTTTCGAACGCCACTTTGACCTTGTCGACGCCATGATCCGTCTCGATGTTCGCCCCGACGAGCGCAGCTTTAAGCGCGAGGACGCCAATCTTTACAAGCTCTCCCGCCAGTTCCCCGAGATCCATAACGAGATCGACTTGTGGTGGCGCGACGAATATCCCAAGTGGCTCCATTCTAGGGAAACCGGCGAGAAGCGGAGCCGCGAGCACAAATTCTCCCTCAACTATCGGCTAGTCTGTCACGCGATCGAAAACGGTCCCGAGGCGCGCGCCAAGATGCGCGATATGCGATGTGGAGCCGACATATCGAAGCACAAGGGGGACCTTCAAATATGGAGGTTCCTTAAGGAATGCAGACAATACAACTTAGTAGACGAGCATGGCGACCCAGTCCCCGGAGCTGAAACTAAGCTCACATTTATCAAAGAGTGCGCGCGATACGATCTACTAGACGATTACGGGGCGCCGGTCCCTGACGCTGAGGGGAAGCTCAAGCTACTCAAAGAAAAGGGTAACTCGAAGAAGATAGGACCAAAGAAGGCCAAGTATACCAAGCCGTCACCAAGGCAGCCAGGCCATGTCCCCGAACCTTATCATCACCCCCAACAGTACCGACAGGCTAACATTTACATGCCTAGTTACGACACGGCCTTTTATAACATACCACATAGCCCCCTCGCTCCGATGCCTTACATCCCTCAGACCTCTCATCTTCCCCAGCCTCTAATGTACCCAACTTTCAGCCCGCCCTACCATGCTAGCTATCCTACCCCGCCAGCACAACATGTAAACCAGCCAACACCATATCCTCCCTACGTGCAACAAAACTTCGGATCTCCTTTAGGAATGTCCTCGCAGAGGAAGCGAACTAGAGATGAACAGCCGGCCTCCGACCGGAAAATCGGCACGCGGCACTACGACGCCCAGATCGAGACCGGGGAAAGCCCAGCGAAAAAGCTGCGACAAGCGCCGCAGTCAGTTCCAAGCCCGCCCGCTTCGCTGGCGGATCGCCCATCGCCTGAAATCACGGCTGAGCCGAACATGGAGGGTTATAGTGACCTGGTAGACCCCTTCGGGAAGTTGGAAGAAAACGACCCCGCGCTCAACTTCTCACTGGCAGATTTTAGCCAGCCCCAACACATTGAGCTCGACGAGGATACCGCCTTTGAAATTATCGATAGGGAAGTCCCCGATGGTAAGTCTTCCGACGGTAAGAACATTGACGAGATTGCAGCGTCCGCCGCCGAATTAGGAGGCGAGGAGGGCGAGGGGGGGAAAGGGGGAGGGGTAGAGGAAGAGATAAGTTGGGATGCGCTTGACCTCGATCACGATGCGGATCTCTTTGGTGATGCACCCGAAGTAACAGAAAACGCCGGGAAGACAGGTGCGGACGAAGGATCCGCAGACCCAGCCACCCAGGAGGTGGCCGTTAAGGAAGCCGCAGCCAAGGACGAGTACCCGGCGACCGCCTCCTCAAAGCCGTAATCTCGGTGGAATTCGCCAAGGGGCCGACACCTGAGCCCGACCGGTTATGGCGGACTTGAAAGGTAGGTCGACTAAAAGAAGGCCGCGTAGAGCGGAGGGAGAAACGCAGTGACCTCTGGCCAATAGTTTTTGGCGTAGAAGATGGACGAGCGTAGAGAGGCGGTTATCTAGTAAGTGTTTGGTTTCTAGGTTCCCCTTCATGTTTAGGCCTACTAGGTGCGAAAGGATTTTTCTTCCACCTCTTCACCTTCGATGAATATATTCGACTTTACAATACGTGTGCTTGTGTATGGGTTATGTATGTCTCTGTCGACAGTCTCCGTTCGTGCAAGTTCTCTGGGAGGTGGGATGAAACGGGGCCGTAGGCAAGCAGCGAGATAGCTGCCAACTGGGGAGTGATGTGAGCATCTGCATTCTACATCGTTATACCAAAGGTCACAGGGTAAACACCGACCCTCCAGATATCTCTATAAAGAGGTAGATGAGTTGTACGTGTATAGGTGCCCTTGGATTGCCTACCTGGTTGGCAACCTGGTGAGCGCTACTATGGATGGGCTAGCTATGATGTATTTTTGCGCTGGCCGCCACCCGGTCTGGTCTAACAGCGAAGTGAGCTAAGACAAACAGAAATGGCAAACTGACAAGGAAGAATTCGACTAAAACGCCAGTCAAAGGAATCCGCAACTGTACATTTGAAGCCAGGATAGCGTATATAGCGCGGCAAGGGGGGGGACGGGGGGCCAAGATGACCCCGGATGGCCACCTAAACAACATGTATGAGTAGTTATCCAGGAAAAGAAAAAAAGAAAACCGCCCCCCCCCCCCAAAAAAAAAAATCGAGAGAGAGGATTTGGGAAGAAGACTACGATGATAGCTCCTCTGATTCCATGTTTGGTTTCCCCCGTGCATGGGGGCATGGGTGACCTCGTGAGTGGGTATACCGGCGTGGCCGAGAAGATAAACATAAGGTGGGGGCTGTCAAGCTGGCGGCGTACTGTCAGCCGTTTCTATCCTGCGTAGGTATTCTTTTCTCCCTCTCCCTCTCAAACGACCCTCCCGCTAGCGAGCTGAGAAGGCAAAAGGGAAGCCTGTCCCGTCCTATCCTGCCAGTCCCGCCAGGCGTGCCCAGCTCCAAGTATGCCCACAACGGAATTCGATGTACATATGGCAGTGGGGACTCCGATTCGCTGCGCCGTGCTGCATTCATCCTGGACGGAATACCTACCTCCACAAGGAACAGGCTAGGGCGGAACTGGGAAGCTCCAACTAGACGCAACCTAAGAGGGGCCGAGTTGCGTGTTGGGTTTGCACCGTCGTGGTATGCGTCGCATACCTAGGTACCCCGTGTTTTCCACCCTCCTGCCATCAGCCTTAAGATTCGAGGTTCCCCAGCTGTCGGGACGGGAGGAGGGACATCTCGAAGTTTTTTATTTTTATTTTTTTTTGTTTCCTTCTTCGTTTCGACTTGTTTCCCCTACTCTTGTTCTGTCATTATCTTCGTACCCGATTGTTCTCCTTCCCCTCTCGCTGTTGGGAGTTGGCCCCCCTTCAACATCGTAGAGCGTGCGCAGAGATTGCGAGCAGCTCAAACGGAAGGAAGATCGAGATAGGACCAGACAGTAGCCGGGGGGGGCGGGCCCTAGGATAACAGGGCGCTAGAGCTGGGGCGTCACGTCACGTGTGCGATACCGAGAGTTACCTATGTGGAAGAAAGACAACGAGAGGGAACGTTGAGCTGAACACGCAGCAACTATACCGTCCGGCAGGTTACCTAGTTACCTCTATTGGGGGCAGGAGAAAGGGACCAAAGGAGGGGAGTGAGAAACCAGGGAGGGAGAGAGAGAGAGAGGGAGAGGGAGAGGGAGAAAGAAAAAGGAAAGAAAGGAAAAAAGGAGAGAAAAGAAAGAAAAGAAAGGCAAGGTACCTAACAGTAAAGCCAAGCTAACGCAACGAGCGCTGCACGGCCATCGCATCGCATCTCGTACCTCGCTCGACCAGGCCACTCCTTTCTCATCCCAACCCCATTTGACACACCCGAGAGATACGGCATACATACACTTCGAGGGACAGACAGGTCAAAGTTGGGGGGATCCGACCGAGCGACGGCGAATGAAATCCACAGCATTGCCTACTGGATGCGACGAAAGCGCAACGGTCGCACTTACACCCCACGGGCGCGGAAGACGGCCATGGCAGGTCGGCACGATGGTGCAGACAATGCAAGTCAGCCTGCCCTGCAGGTCATTGTGCTGGTAAGCAATCGTGTTTCATTCCCATCTTGTCGGACTGTCGCTATTGTCAATTCTCCCCTCTCCCATCCCTCCCTCTGCAGCCAATCCAGCCTGCCAGAGCAAGTGCCCGCCGCGGTGCCGCCAGGTCTCTCTCCAAATTGGATATCGACATCGCGGATTCGCGCGCGCGCAAGGCGGGGATCAATGCTCTCCGGGTTGGAGTGGCCGCAAAACCGTGGAAATGCGACGGAGCGAAGGGCCCGGGATGGCGACGGACACTCGTCGATCAGCTTGTTGCATTCGCACCCATTGGTTTCGATGCGCCGACCGCGTGCGCCGCGCCCGCTTAACGATTGACCGCCGTCCTGGGACGTCGCCGAGTCTCACTTCTCGCTCGTCAATTGAGGAACGCCTCGGCCGGGGGAGCTGAGAGAGCAGGCTATATCTATCGATCGCTCTCTGCTTACGGACTGCATGTGGGCGGCCAACCCGGGGGAGGCGTTTGGCTGGCTAATTCCTGAGCGACCTTGCGCTTTATCTCAATCTCAGTGGTCAACTCGCGATGAAACAACCACGCAGACACCCGTGTCATTGGGATCCAATCCCAATCCAACGCAACGCATCCATCCCAGGCTAAGCCGAACCAACCAGCCCGTCGCATCTCACCCGCCATCAACCCCCCGAGTCAGCGTGTGTCGCGAAACTGTGCAGGATGTCGTGCCCGGAGGAGAAGACGCATCGGCACCGACGGGCGTATCTATCTGTCCACATGTACACATATACACGGGCATGGCATATGTATATTTATATATTATTCTATATGATATGGACACCACATGTCCATATATATATATAATATATATGTTATATACATATGTCCCCATCCAGGGTACGGCGCGTTGGGCGGCGTGGTCGAGATTTGCCTGGCTGCCGAATACGAAATACCTTATCTCGAATCTTATCTGGCTGGCATTTTTGGAGACGGTGACGTCACCGTCCTCCCGTCTCTGCCCGCCCGGCAGGCGCAACTATCCGACCCTTGCCTACCTTGGGAAACGTCGGGGTGATGACATCTGGCCTCTCTCCTCATTTTACTTACCTCCATTTACATCTGGATACGTTGAAGGCGTTGAGTATACCTAACTGACGTGTTCCATCTCAGGGCTCGGGCGGTGGTCCGCAAGAGAACAATGTTACCGCTTTTCTCGTGCGATCGGTCCGGTCCGGGTGGGCTCGGGGCTCCGTAGTGGCCCTGGATGCCGGCGTCCACCTCTCTGCCATCACCCGCATTCTCGAAGACACGCAGCCGCCCGGTCTGGGCTCGCGGACTAACCCCTTGCCGCATATCCTCGACTCCGGTCCCTTCGCTGGAATGGAGATTCGTTCGGCCTATGCGTCGACGAACGCGGCCCACGTGACACGCCATCTCATCGACACCTATCTCATCACTCATCCTCACCTCGACCACATCAGCGGTTTCGTCATCAACACCGCAGGGCTCCCGGGAACGAGACCGAAACGAATCGCCGGGTTGCCCTCCACCATCTCCGCGTTCAAGTCACACATCTTCAATAACGTAATTTGGCCAAACTTATCAGACGAGAACAACGGCGCCGGGCTCGTTACTTACACCCGCCTCGTCGAAGGGGGCAGCCCAGCCCTGGGCGAAGGAGACGGCAAGGGGTACCTAGAAATTAGCGACGACCTCACGGTCAAGGTCCTCAGCGTCAGCCACGGGCACTGCATGGAAAAGCACATCCACCGAGGTTCTGCCTGCTCGTCGCGCTTCGGCAGCGTGGACGTCTCATCCGTGGCGTCGCCACGAGTACCCCAAGTCGGCAACGCCGGCGCCGCCGCTAGCTCGGGCCCTTCGCCGTCGTCGCTCTTCCGGTCAACAGCGGGCATTGGTATCTCGTCGGCGCTGGGGCCGGAGCGGGAGTCGATGTGCGTGTATGACTCGAGCGCGTACTTTCTCCGTGACGCAGTGGGCGGGCGCGAGGTACTCATGTTCGGCGACGTCGAGCCCGATAGCTTGTCGCTGTCGCCGCGGAACCTGGGCGTGTGGCAGGAAGCGGCGCCGCGTGTCGCCGGCGGCAGCCTCACCGCCGTCTTCATCGAGTGCTCCTACGACGACGGCCAGGCCGACGACCGCCTCTTCGGCCACCTCACCCCGCGCTACGTCGTCCAGGAGCTCCGGGTTCTGGCCGCGGAGGTCGTGGCCGCCCGCGCCCAGGCTCAGGCGCAAGACTCTGTCCCGGTCGGCAAGAGGAAAGCTTCCGTTGCCGAGCCGAATAAGAAGCGCAAGAGAGGCCTAGATGAGGAGGACGAAGGAGCAAGGTACGCGGGCAGAAGGGCGGAATGGGGCTCCGCCAGACCCGTGAGGGTGGTGGTGACAGAGGCGACCGCTCTCGCCGACGATGACGACATGCCCGTGTCTCCGAAGTCGACGCAGCCCCAGCGGCGTAACTCCGGCGGCTCGGGCTCGGGCTCAGGCTCGGGTTCGTCGCCACTGCCGAGCGAGCACGAGGGCTGCTTCGACACGCACCACGCGGCGACGGCGGACCTGACGATCCGGGGCTACGAGTCGAGCACGACGGCGTCACCCCCTCCGCTAGCTACCGCTCTCCCGACCAACGCGGCGGTGCCCGCGGCGAAAGCCACCGCGGCGGAGGCGAGTGCCTACCCGCTGCGGGGGCTGACGGTGGTGGTGATCCACGTCAAGGACCGACTCGACGGCGACGACGGCGGCAGCGACGAGGACCCGGCGGCGGCGGGCGACGCGATTTTGGCGCAGCTGCGGGGACACGAGCGCGAGGCCAGCCTCGGCTGCGAGTTCGTCGTGTCGCGGCCCGGGCAGAGCTTCTTCTTCTGATACTTTTCTCTCCCCCCCCGGTCGATCCCGATTCCGATTTTACCGCCAACGCGGACGCCAACGCGCCGCTGGGAGGGTGATAGCGAGGGGGTTAGGAGGTGAAGGTTGGGCGCCTGGGTTGCTGGGTTTGCGGGGGACGCGGGTATAGGGAAGGGTCAGGGGGACAGGGCCAAGGACGGCGGGTAGGCGGGAGGTAGGGGTATCGGCTCGCGGGGAAAGCGGGGGGAGGGTCGTGGACGAATATACGGAACGGCATGTGGCATGCGGCGTGCGGAGTTTTCTATTTTTTTTATCTTTTTATGGCTCTTTTTGGTGCTTCTCGGGTCTTGAAGCAGTCGTGGTGCACGCCGATGCCGTGAGATATAGAAGCGTCGGGCGCGCCACGCACGCACACAGCCCGTTATTTGTTTTTCCTTTACTCTGCTTCGGTTTTCTTTTTAGGGGTATCTTCTATGGTCGTCTCTTCCCGGTTTATTTACCCGGGTCTGCCCGCTCAGGCCCCTTGTCGGGTACCGTATCGTCCGCGCGCGACGCCCTTTTTGCTCTCTTGTTCCGGCTACCTACGTGTATGATAAACGGTCGGGGTTTCGTCTTTTTTTTTCGCTTTGGGGAGGCGTTCAGGGGGGTAGCTAGGTAGGAGATAGCTAGCTCCCCGTCTACTTATACGTGCGCCGAGAGAGAGAGGGGTAGCCCGGCCAAAGTTAAGGCCCGGCAGAGGGGTGAGAGGGCGGAAGGGAGAGAGGTAGAGGTAGATGCATGTGTGAATGTACATGGGCGAGGTTGGATGTACATACATCATTATATCGCGCCCTAACCTAACTAAATATAAAGCAACTATTTTTTCTTCTTCAAAGTTGGTTGTTCGATAGTCAGTAAGCTGAACAGGATAGGCATACCTCGCCGCCATCGACGACGAGGTGCCTGTGTTCGTGTGCCCATCTAGCGAAAGTGGCGCGGAGCTAGAAAGAGGAACGGGGGGGGCGGGAGAAGAAGAAGAGGTGGTGGGAGAGTAGCAATGTGCCAGTCTCCGATTCCTGGTGATAACCAACTAGCTAGCTAGCTACCTCTTTGCCCCCGTGATACCCTCGCGCACCCTTGCCCCTTCTCTCTCCCTGGGCTCAACTCGGGCAAAGAGGCACCCCCCGTGCCATCACGCCCCGCCCGCCGACGACGGCTCCTCCCTAGCCCTGCTCGGTGTCGCGGTCTCCGCTGGACTCCTCCGTGCAGGTGAGCTGCAGCAGGCCGTTGTCCATGTTGCGGCACTCGTAGACGGGGGGCTTGCCGCTCGGGACGGTGACAGTGATGTTCTCGACGCGGATGTTGCGGCAGCGCTGTCGGAGGAGGGAGGACTTAGCACGATTTCTTTCGTTCCTGCTGTTTCTGTCTTACAGGGGGGGAGGCGACGTACGTCGGGTGCGCTGCACACCAGCGTGCCCGCCTGCGGGTCCAGCTTCGCCGAGGTCGTGCCCCAGACGTTCTTGATCGTGATGTCCTCAATAGTCAGGTTAGCCTAGGCGCGGCAGTGTTAGCGCGGTCGGCCGGCTAGGTGCTAGTTATCTGTTTCTGCTCTCCTCTCCCCCGAACGGCTCGGCGGCGGGGGGGCCAGACGTACCGGGAACTCGTTGCAGAGGGTCTTGTTGCTCTGGCCGTAGCACTGGGTGATGGTGATGGCGCGGTCGTTGTTGGCGCTGCGGAGCAGGTCGTAGGTGACGTTGCGGACGCGGCCGGAGCCGCCGCCGCCGGCGAGGTGCGTCTGGAAGCGGGTGTGGACGCCGGGCCAGACCTTGATGCGGGCGAAGTCGCTCGCGTCCGCCATCGACACGTTGTACACGTGCAGGTTCTCCACAATGTCCGTCTCGTTCGCGTACTGGCCTAGCGACCCGACGCTGATGCCGTGCGAGCCGACGCACTCCAGGTTCTGCACCACCACGTTGGTGCTGTTCGGCTTAAAGGACACGCAGTCTTGGGGCAGGGGGAGTAGTCAGCAGCGGGTTCCGCTCTGTGTTTCGTTCGGCCTGCGATGAGGCGCCGAATGCCACACGTACCGTCCGTGTTCAGGATATACGAGTCCTGAATCACCACCCGGTCCGAACGGTAGGTGTCCCAACCGTCCGAGTTGGCGATCTTGACATCGTTGAGCGACTGCGGATACGAAGGCGTCAGCAGCTGTCCGGTTGTTAACAGGGAGAATGCCCGGGCACCTGTGCGCGAAGGTCCATGTTGCTGATAATAATATCGGAGCTGTTGGCGATGATATTGAACCACTGGGGAATTGCTAGTTAGAGTGTTGCCCCCTTAGTCAGGAATGGTTGATATACGTATGTATATATCTTACGTGTGGCGGATTGCGCATTCGTAGGTTGGACATCGTAGCCCCTTTCATCCCGTCGAAAGCGAAGAGCATAGGCCGAAATAGCTGTCGTTTCGCAAGATCAGCTTGTTACATACCACCCACTCTCGCCGGAGATGCCCACTTACAGCCGTATTTGTCACGATCTCTTCCCAATAGGCCTGACCCCTCCCGTCGATGACGCTCTTGCCCTCCTCCAGGGTCAGATCGCCGTATATGTTCACATCCTCGCCGCCTAGCATCCAGAAGACGCTCTGGTTCTGGAACTTGTACTTGATGCTGTTATTGTTCCAGTAGTACACGTCGGAGTCGTCAAAGGCGATATCCCCTGTGATGACGACATCGATGTGCCGGAGGAACCTGAGGTCTAGGGGCGAGCCGATCACATACGACTTGTCGAACACAACCGTGCCGCCATTATTGCACTTCTTGAGGGCCCGAACAATATGCGGCGCATCGTCACGCTTCTTGTGGCATCCCGATCTCACATAACAGTAACGTCCTTCATCACGCGGCGGCGAGGGCGGCATGGCCCAGCCGGCATTGTAAGGGCCGGGCACGACATCGGGACGCGAGGGAATCCTGCTATGTCCCGTCGCCCACGCAGGTGAGAGGAGGGCGAAAGCTGCGGCGAGCGAACCTATTGAGTTGAGTCGCATACTCGGATTGGCATTCCAGGCTTTTCTATGTTCAAAACTCCGATGCAAAGCTGATGACACTTCAGCTGGCTCGATGAGGGCAAAATAGGGCCACCTGCTAAGTATGGCCGGCGAGGGAGAAGACCCCCCCGGCGGTGATATTTACGTGTTACTGGGGAAAAAAGCCCGACATCGAAGTTGGAGACTCTACATAGTCGAATACAGAACAGCACGAATCCGAGAACTCATCTTAGAATACTAGGAGGGAAAGGTTGCTGCGATAGGTGGATGATCTGTGGGGATCGCTGTTGGCTCCCGGAGTTTCCTGTCCAAGCCGGTCGATATTACAGCGATGCCGTCGACCCTCTTCACGAGGTAGTGTTCATCCAGGGTCCCATATGCAGGATGAACGACGCTTGAACGAGCTTGTCGTAACTCGGAGTGGACCCAAAGACGTTCCTAACTGGGTTCTCCCGCACTTAGGTAGTTGCTTGAACCTCGAACGGTTCCCCGCATGATCTGGGGTAAAACCATCTGGGGTTGCCACCCTCGCTCGCTGGCGCGTATAAATGCCCTTGGCCTGCTTAGGCCAATGCCTAGGGTAAGTCGGGCACATAGATGTCAAGTCCGCAGCGTAACGGTTCTAGTACCCTAAGATATGTCAATAAGTAAAGGAACAGTTTCTGAGGGGGCGGACTCCAGAGCTGCCGTCAGCCACCACGACGGTTTGCTCTAGCCATGGTAGGCTTTAGTAAAACACAATGCTGTGTATTAACTTCTCGAAATTCGTGTTAGGAGGAATCCCGCACCATACCTCTTGGTTTCTCTCATCCTGCTGGTGCTTTGGGGATACGCGTATCCCCTGTATAAATTTGGGCGTCACCATGAAAACCGGCGCTGTATTTAACGTTCCTATTATAATCGAGTTGCAAGATAGAGGGTTGGCTTATGCTACTCCGACCAACATTACAAATCCTGACTTATTACCAAGTGTATAGGTACTCTCATTTTAATGGCCTAATTATGTTAGGTACTATGCTCAGCACTCTGCCATACCTAATTATTATCTCGCTCGTGTGTTATTACACCCGAGAGGGCAATATGTCTCCATCCTGCTTATCGCATAACTATGGCACCTTGAAGCAATTTGCATAAGCATATTTGCTACCGATACCTATGCCTGGCTGGGTACCTATATAATCGCGTCCCGTTACCCCTTACTTTCTAATTGACTTACCGCTGAAAGACCGGCATTCACGGCGCATACCTTGATAAGAGTAAGTTGTATATACAGAGGTGATAATAGCGTCGTCTCGAACCTCCGACAATACCCGCGAGATGTCGTGGGTAGCCGCTCCGAGACTGGGCTCGCGACATCGTCGGAAAGTATTCCCTCAACAACTACAATATCCCATGTCTCGTATCTGGTTCCCCCCGGGCCCGTCAATCCGCGCATTAGGAAGAGCAATCACAAAGACACTCCGCATAGAAATTGAGAGAATGTCCGTCTCCACGAAGCAAGAGGCCGAGATCAAGCGCAACCCGCACCCGGACTTCAAGGAGGTCGAGGCTGCGCGACCGGACTGGGACCGGACGTCGCGCTTCCGGTATACCAAGACCGCCGCGCCATCTTGGTCCTTCGGCGACGGCGCCAACTCCCTGCGGGACGACGTCGACGGCGCCGCTCGGGACCACATCTGCATTGACCCGTACGCGCCGGGGCGCAGCGCGCCGCTCAACTACAAGCTCCTGATCAGCGGGATCGTGCCGCGGCCTATCGGCTTCGTGTCGACCCTGTACTACCCCCCCGCCCCCGCCGACGACCAGCCGGCGCCGGCGCCGCAAGAGAACTTGGCACCGTTCTCGTACTTCGCCATGGTGCACCACGACCCGCCGCTCTTCGTGCTGGGCCTCGTGTGCTCGCCGGCGCGGCCCAAGGACACGCTGCGCAACCTGCTCGCGACGCGGGAGTGCGTCGTCAGCGTCGTCGGCGAGGACCACGTCGAGGCGGCGAACGCCGCGGCGGTCGACCTGCCGACGGGCGTGTCGGAGTGGGCCGTGTGCGGGCTGACGCCAGCCCGTGACTGCGCCGACGTGCGCGCGCCGCGCGTGCGCGAGGCCGTCTTCAGCATCGAGTGCCGCGTCGACAGCGTCCGCGAGTTCGAGAGCCGTGCACGCCCCGGCACGACGTCCGGCTGCATGGTCATGCTCGAGGGCACGCGCTTCTGGGTCCGCGAGGACGCGCTCGACGCCGAGCACGGGGTCCTGCGTCCCGAGGTGCTGAGGCCCGTCGCGCGCGTTGGCGGCATCTCCTACGCGCGCATCGCCGAGGCCTTCGAGATTCCACGCCCGCGGTTCAAGGAGGATGTCGGCGGCATGGAGGGGTACGAGAAGTTGCGGGTCAAGTACGAGGAGAAGCTGCGGCAACAAAAAGAGAAGGAGGGGGAGGGAAAGGGGGAGAGCGGTGATGGGGTTGTGGATTCGTAAGGGTAAACCTGCTTATAGATAGGGTGAGTAGATCTCTTAACTGGATAGGAGAGGGCAAGGAACCGTGATGCGGGCAATTCGGTAGGGTTAGGGGGTCCATCAGGCGCGTTAACGTACCATTTTGCTCCCGGATAAACATCGACCGCGCGGCTATACTACCCTACTTACATGTCATGAGGGTAAACTCTTCGAGCAAAGAGCCCGAAATTAGGCCCGTCGATACTGTTCACCCAAGACACGTAGCACCATTAGAACGGCGCATGTGTCAAGAGTCTAGGCTTAGTAGAGGTATTTATTCTCCAGCATCTCCATGATCGACGTGCACTCCTCTTATTGGCATATTAAGGTGGTCTCCTCACGTGCTGCGAATCTTGTCTCTTTCTCACCGCCATAGTCATCGCCATCATGCATTTGGCGACAGCTAGTTCGCTGCTCCTCGCGGCCGCGGCTTGTGCGGGGGCCGTTCGGACGATGATTCCTAAGACGAGCTTTGACTCGCAGGCCAACTTCGACGTCGACTGGAACTACAACTACCCATGGGGGACCGACCACAACGGCGGGGCACGCATGGACAAGGGGCAGGTTAAGTTCTCGAGCGGAATGCTGACGCTGACGGCGAAGAAGGTGACCGGCCAGAAGGACGCGCAGCACGGGGGCAAGAGCATCAAGATCAACTACCTGTCGGGGGCGATCAGCGCCAAGGAGCACTTCAACGTGTCGCGCGGCGGCGGCTACGACTTCACGGGCGAGTTCCGGGCGACGACGACGCAGGGCACATGGCCGGCGTTCTGGCTGACGGCGGTGAATAGCTGGCCGCCCGAGATCGACATGGCGGAGTGGAAGGGCTCGGGCAAGATCTCGTTCAACACATTCAACACGTCCTCGGTCCTCTCCTGGAAGGACGTCACCTACTCGGACCCGGACAGGTTCCACTTGATCAAGTGCGAGGTCCGCGACATCAACCAGCGCGACGTCTCCGTCAAGTTCTACATGGACAGCCAGCCCATCGCCACGCACGTGGGCGGAAACTTCTTTGGGAAACCGATGTATCTGTAAGCCACGTTACCCAGAGTCCCCCTTCTGCTTCTTTTCTTCTTCGCTATAATGCGGAAGTGTCGCGGCTGATTACTATGGTGGCCTGCAGTATCATCAATCTGCAGATGGAGGGATCGTCTGGTTCGCCAGGTCCTAATAGCGGTAAGGCCTACTACTGTGTTGTCTGAAGGAAGAAAAAAAAGGGAAATAAACGAAGTCACGGATTTTGCTAATCGCGAGTGATTAGACACGCTCTATCAGGTGCGCAACTTAGAGGTCCTAACTTACAACCCGTAATAGAGAGGAGGAGGTGAGGTGAGGTAGGGAGTCGCGAGGATTGGGGGTTGCCGATCAACTCAGGCCGCTACCTTCAAGAGAAATGACCTCGCTATGGAGGTAATACTTCAAGATTGGAATACGGGCACCTCTGTGCGTTTTGGCTGGGCTCGCTTCCTGCTGCTTCGTAATCACTTAGTAGCCATCTAAGGGCATACGAAACGTAAGAAGCTAGGTAAACCTGAGCTGCTGATCAATCAGGAGGATATCCAGGTCCTAGAACTGCGAAATAACGAGCTTTTATAATATGGCTCAACTGTGATTAGACACAATGGGATGCCTAGGATCCACGCCTCTAAGGCGTATTCCCTGTGTGCCCAATATGGAATATTCTTATAAAAGAACCCGTGCCGGACCACCCACTAACCTACCCTAGAGAAATGACTGCTGGCCAACAGGTGCTAACCGGGTAGGTACCTGAATCGGCGGCTGGAAGTTAGTGAGTTGTATGTTAGGTACCTTAGATACCTAGGGTCTTTCGGTAAACTGCCAGCTGGGCAGACGGCTGACAGCGCCCGCTAAGCAGAGAGCGCCGATAAGATACCTAGGTAAGAGAAATAGTTGGCACTCGAAATTTCGCCAGACAGAAATTACCTACCTATGATTTATCCGCTTACATCTCTCACAGTCATACGGCCTGGGTTCTCGCAGGCTTCCCACCTGTAAAAATCTCCATGATAGGCCGATCGAGCCTTAAGTACGCTTCGAGAAGCCCTCCTCTCCTCGCGTTGAATGGCAACCCCCACCTCGTCTTCCCGTCGCACTTGAGACCGCCCCCCCAAACGTCCATCTTCAGAACGGCACCACTTCCCACTGCTCTCTTCGACGAACCTAACCTATCCGTGCTACGAGCCTCCCCCAAGGACAGGGTTTACGACGCCCGGTTTCTTCTGCTCCAGAGTGCCTCCTTCGAGACCCACGAGTTGGATGTGTTAGCCGCGAAGGCCTTCCCCCTCAGGATGTGGAACTGGGTCCAGATCGTGACGACGCCCACTGCCGATACCCATGGCACCTGCTTGTTGCTTCACTTCGACAACAAGCGCTACATTTTCGGGAACATTTGCGAGGGCACCCAGCGTACTCTAATGCAGCGGAAGATCGGGTTCACCAAGGTGGAAGATATCTTCGTGGCGGGCCCTGTCAACTGGCGGAATGCCGGCGGACTCCTCGGCACTGTCCTCTGCGTCGCCGACAGTCTGGCGGCGGCAAAAGAGAGCGCTAGATTGTCCACTAAGAGATCGAAGCGGAAGAAGATCGACGAAATCCAGTCAAAGCTTAGGGTACACGGGGGGAAGAACATCTCACACCTGCTGGCCACTGCTAGACGCTTCATATTCCGAAAGGGCCTCCCTTTGATTCCGCACGAGGTCCACAAGGACCCTCGCCCGACGGAACCAGCTTCGAAGCCGGATTGGCAGGATTCTAACATCAATGTGTGGTACATACCCCTCCAGCCCGCGTCAGATACACACGCTAGGCCTCAGAAGCGGACGCACGACGAGTTCGTGGAAGCCGCGGAGCCGTCGACATCCCCCTCCGACGATGAAGACAGCAGACGGCTGGTAGAGACTGTGGTGACTCAGATGTTCGACTCAAGCTGGAAGATGGATGCGCTCATAGAGACGACTCTGCACCAAGCAAAACTACCGGCCAAGCTGTTTTTCCGAGATGACAACGGCCACATCCAAGTTTATACGGGGCCGCTACCCGGGAGTGGTCGGGAAGTGCCCGACATACCCGTACTGGTGCACCAGCCGTGGCCCGGGACCATGGTTGCTTCCTTACCACGAACGTCGCCATCTTACCAATCCATGTGTTACATTGTCAAGAGCTACGACAGGCGGGGGAGGTTCAACCCCCAAGTGGCTACGGAGCACGGCGTAGACAGATGTGATTTCAAGCTCCTCACGAACGGGCAAAGCGTCGTAGGCAAAGACGGAGTAGTTGTGACTCCCGCCATGGTTTTGGGAGAGACCGTCTCTGGGAGTGGCTTTGCTATTGTCGATTTACCAGATACGTCTTACGTTGATTCGCTCGTGAATCGTGCCGAGTGGTCGGACGAAACGATAATGAAAGGTATCGAGGCCATTTTCTGGAATTTGGGCCATGAGGTTGAGAGTGACCCTCGGTTACAGTATTTCATGAAGACGCGGTCGTCAATAAAGCATATCGTCTGTTCGGCAGACATTTGTCCGAACATGATCGCGCTGGAGTCCGTTGCTACTCAATCCTATAAGTTGAGGTGTATTGATCCCGATCGATTTCGCATACCGGTGTTTAGCAACGAGCTTTCGCTCTCGAACACGCCAATCAACAAAGCTTCTGACATCTACGAGGCCGGTCGGGCCGGGAAAACGATCCAGTTCGCCCCCCAGTTCCTGTACCTGGATGACAAGATCGTCCCGTTCCCGGATATCCGAAAGCTGGCTGAGGCCGGTCGAAAACTAGAAGTGTTAGAGCTGGCCGCGCAGGCGAGAGCGAGAGTTTCGGACCCCGAGTTTCTTGCCAAAATAGAGAAGGTGGAATCGGACATACCGCATCGCGACGCGGAAGTAATCTCGCTGGGGACTGGCTCTGCTCAACCATCCAAGTATCGCAGCGTCTCTGCCACTCTCGTGTGCGTCCCAGGCTGCGGCAATTACCTATTCGACTGCGGCGAAAACACCCTTGGCCAGCTACGTCGAGTGTTCGGCGATGGCTTGCCCGAGGTCTTACGAAATTTGAAGGGCATATGGATCAGTCACCTTCACGCGGACCACCACTTGGGAACGGCCACCGTCATCAAAGCCTGGCATGAGGAAACGAGCCAGTCGAATCCCTCGGCGAAGCTGCTCGTCGCGTCTCATCGCCACATGATAGACTGGCTCCGAGAATATGCGGATATCGAGAATTACGGGTTTGATCGTCTTGTGAAAACTGCTTTCAGCTCCAGCTTTCCGGGTACGCGAATCTGCGCACCGCGTGTACTCACGGAAGAAGAGAGAGAATTGTTCGGTCTGGTGCGGATAGACGCCTGCTTCGTGAGCCATTGTTTTGGATCTCTCGCCACAGTGTTTACCTTCCCGTCGGGCCTGAAAGTATCGTATTCCGGCGATTGCAGGCCAAGCCCCGACTTCGTCCAGATCGGAAAGGGCACGACGCTATTGATTCACGAGAGCACGTTCGATGACGAGCTACAGGGCGACGCCATCGCGAAGAAGCACTCGACCATGTCGGAGGCGATCGACGTTGGTCGACGCATGGGGGCGAGGAGGATTCTACTGACGCATTTCTCGCAACGGTACCAGAAGGTGCCGATCATGAAGGAATCCATGGAAATACCAGTTGACTCTGAGGGCGACGAGAAGGCGGAGTTGGACACGGTCGTACTATTAGCCTTCGACTACATGCGCGTAAAGTTGGGAGACTTCAGAAAGGCACAGGCCTTCCTGCCAGCCATACAAAAGCTGTTCGAAGACATAGGAGACCAATGACAGCCCTAAGGGTGTGTGTACAGATAGGCGGTATGCCATCGACCTCTCTCCTCTAGGTGTCTTCTTTCGCCACATACCTGCCCTAAGTAATTATACTGCTGTCCTCTGCCCTCCCAGCTCGCATCTACTCCTGGAAACTAAGAAGTGGGGTGGTCCGGATTGCCAACTGCTCGTACTCGTTCTGCGGCCGAACCGGGTCCTTATATTCTACGAAGATAGCTAAGCCGGCTATATTCGCTCCATGAGAGGAACAAGGCGACTGTAGTGCCTAATATCGACTATGTAACATAGAGGTCGCCCGAACCCCTTCGAGTCTAATCACTCCCCGCTACATCTTGATCGCCAATAGGGGCTACTAGCTTTCGCCGAAGGAAATGGAGAAGAAGAAGAGGAAAAGAATGTTGATGGTGCCTAGGCGATGTAAGGATGTAAGCAAGCAGCGTCACGTCACCCAACTTAAGTCTCGTTGTTGCACCGGCATATACGAGCCTGCGAGGCTGGCACTGCATTCCATACATACCTACATATTATATATCACCGAAATACCAAAATGGGTATTCTAGATTTTCTGCTTTGATCTAGCTCGAGATCGGCTCCGAGCGTAGGGGTGTCATGCACTTCTCCCTTTTCTCTCTCGCGAAGCTTCGGGCCGCTGTGCGGCACCAGGGATCTTTGTAAGCGAGCAGGCGAGCCGCTCTGCCCATGTCGGCAAGTCTATATGAACTACCTCTCCACGCCACCGTACATTACTATCCTCACCGACTCTGGGGAAGTACAAGGGGCACGGGGGGAGCGGCCCGGCTCGCCAGGATCGAGTAGCAGTGTCCGCGTTACAGCATCTTGGGGAGATACAAGTCCTCGTGTCGGCCCATTCTTCGCCACCTTCGTGTTGGTCTCTAGGGCCTGCTTATCCGCCTATGCGAGTGAGCAGTTCGAAGGCTCTCGACGGGGCTACGAGCGGGGGAGGGTAGCTATGGTCTTTTCGATACGCCTGTGCAACTTGGGGTTCCTTTGTGGCGTATTGCATATGCCGGCGGGGGGTGGAGTTACTGGGAAGAGATGATATGATGCTGCCCTTCACTCGTCGGGGGCTGCGTGGGCCGATTCATCTGGCCCGGACTCGGAGGCTGGTACGGGGCAGTGAGAGAGGAGCATTCACACCGAACTACGTCGAACAAATAATCTACTGTTTCCATCCGCAGACGCTTCTCAGCACCAGGCTCTCACGTGTTTGCTGTACGTCATATGGACTCGGGGGGGGGGGGGGGGGGGGGCAGTATAGTTCGAGGGCGCATCGCTGTCAACCAGATGACAGCGGTGGACGTGGGAGCGATAGGGCATCCCTTCGACTCTTACCCACGATGACAGTATGATTGCGGCGAAGCTATCTGGGGTTGTATGTAGACACAGTAGCTTTTAATAATATTCTGGCTGCTCTGGCCGATGCTGTTGGGATAAGCGGCCAAGAGGCGCACGGTAGACTCGAGCCTTACATATATATGTGTGTCGTTGGCCTCTTCCCTCTGCCCCTGCCCCCTACTGGGGAGGAGTGTTCGATGTCGTTTGAGGTTGATGCATGCGCCTCTCTTCAAACTAGCAGGTTGCGGTATAAAAAAAAAAGCGAAGTGTCCGTTTGAATATCGAATATACAACTAACAGCCTGACCAAGATGCACGATGAAGCTGTCGAGCGCCTGTGAACCACCACGATTACATACCGAGTACGAACGCCGCGGGAGTCGGGTCGCGGCACGGCGAGTCAGGACGGCAGTCCCGGGAGAAGCGCCCGCCGTCCCCTATTAGGTTCGGGGGAAGGCGGCTGAGGAGACGTTACTTCGCAGGGCTTGCCATGCTGTTGGTCTTCACGATCTTCCTAGCAAACCCGTACCACCCATTCGTGATCTCTCGTCGACCCCACAGCGCCGCTCAGCCCTCGACTGAGACTGGCACCACCTCTACTGCTCCTCTCTACGACGGCCAGAAACTAGAGATGATCGCCCTACTAGATCTAACCGAAGCAACGGGAGAGAATGTGTCGAAGCCGCCGTGGCGGCTGAGAACAAATATAAAGACAATAGCGACGACCACAACGACGACGACGACGACGGCGGCGGCCGAGTTAGTACGGTCTGAGCCCGTGGAAACGTCCGTGTTCCAGAAGATAACCCGAAGGACGGGCCGGCGGACGTACTACGGGAGACACTAGAAAGACACCCGAGACACCTGCTGGGGGGTGTGGAGACGAGTCCGAAGAGCAGCCAGAGGAGAAGCCCAAAGAAGAACCGATGGGAGGGATGCAACCCGAGGACGAGTGCGCGGAGGAAACCAACGACGAGACGGAGCCTCCGACAGCGAGCGAAGAGCAGGAAGCAGCGGATCCGACGTCTTCGTCCGAGTTCTGCACAACGCGGCCGGCGTCGGCGGGGGCGCTGCGGCTGGCGAGCTACGGGCCGGCGGGGGTGTGGCGGAAGCTGGTGGGGGTGTGGGTGGTGGCGCCGGCGCCTTACGGGCGGCAGCACAACGTCGACGTGTTGGACTGCTACCTGCAGCGCAACCTGGCGGCGGCGGGCGGGTACCTCGACGAGGTGCGCTTCCTCGCGCACACGCGCGACGCAGCCGACTTCGCCTGGCTGCGCGCCCTCGTCCGCCGCCAGCGCCACCACGACTCCGATGCGTACCGCTTCGTCGACCTCGGCTCCTGCGCTGGCGAGGCCTACGGCTGCATGTGGGAGCACGCCGTCGAGGCCGACACTATCTACATCAAGATCGACGACAACATCGTAGGCTGTCCCTCCCCTCCCCCTAAACTCGCACTCGCACTCGGGCTAGAGCCCGATCCGCCGCCGCGCCTCGCTGACACCCGCGCAAAGCTCCACATCCACCACGACGCGATCCCGTAGCTCGTGCACACGCGCCTGGCGCAGCCGCGCCCGTACGTCGTGTCGGCGCAGCTCGTCAACAGCTTGGTGGCGGCGTTGCAGCAATACCACTACGGGGCGATCCACGCGTTTCTGCCGGACCCGGAGCCGCGGGGCGGCGACCCGGCCTCCCCCGACGCCGCCGACGCCCGGCGCCCCCAGTCCTGGCACCTACCCGAGTACGGCGCGTACCCGCCCAGCACGCGTCCGCCCGACGGCAACCCGCTCGACGCGCAGCCGCCGTACCGCGCCCTCGCCAACGAGCACGCTTGCGCTCTTGGCAACTAGAAGCGCCCTTGGGACCCTCGCTGTGATGGCTTTTGATCAACGCCCCGTCCTAGCGAGCGGCTTGCCCGCTTCCTATCACCCCCCCCGGCGCGCTTGTTCAATATCTGCACCTCACTATGGTCTGAGTAGTGAGGTATGCGGCGCTGGAAAGGTATGATATTCTATTCTACTAAGATTGCGCCTAGCGGCAGTAGCATTCTCCTAGGGAAACTGAACCGGGGGTGGATGGTTGTCTGCGCTCCGCTTAGCATTTACCTACTTGTCTTTTGATAGTAGATACCTACCTACCTATCCACGCATTGGGGAAAGAATAATAAGAGAGTAAGTGTTGGATAGCCGCAGCTACAGGCCAGCAGCTGCTTTGTAGGATCGCGTCGCTGGCGAAACGCCGGCCTTTGTCCGCGTTAGAAGACCACTTGCAAAACCCAAGCCATAGACTTGGTCCGGAAGGGTATGTTTGGAGACATCAGGCAAAACCCACAGGAAAGGCAATAAAGCTTGATGGGATGCGGTAAAGTCAGAACATGAGCACCTTACAAGCCTCGTCGACTAGCCTAAAGAGATTCATAGCTGTCGGACTCTCCGGCAATCGCGCCGTGTCTATACATCGCTCCTAGAGTGGTGAGTCAACCACCCGTAGGCTTGTATCTAAGGACCACATCGCCGGATACGAATAGCGAGAGTAGTCTTAGACGGCTTTCAGAATCCACGGTACTATCGTTGAGAAGTATTATGAAGCATTCGCTGCTTGTCAAGCACATGTCATCCCCATCAGGGGAATTTGCGTCTTCATCAGCATGGCGTGAATAAGAGTCGATCGTATGAGCGATACGAAATAGAACTACGAATCTACTGAATGGATGGAAGTCTATTGGAAATATAGAGAAGAAAATTCCACCTACCTTACTTGAGCCTCTAGTTCGAGTTCGAGCGATCGCATGTGCGACTCTTCCCGCCCTCATCCTTGTGGTGGCAACTTAGCGAAACTGGCCCAGGGCGTAATATTCTCCAGCCTCTCCCGCGCGCTGGGCCCAAGCTCCCGCCACGCAGCGTTGCTCAGCGAATCGTCAGGGCCAACGCCGTCGTCATCGTCGTCGGTCTCGGCATGTACACCCCAGCTCCGCCGCCACTCCTCCTCCTCCCGGAAAGCTGGAGCCTGGGCTGTGACGCGCTGAGAACACCCCGGGGTCGAGGGCACGGAGCTGGCTACAGTGTTTCCGTGAGACGAGGACAAAGATGGAACTCGCGTCGCAGTCCCCTTACTACCTCGAGCGGCGGTAGCCTGCCGTCTGTTAGTGCTCCTACTGCTCGTTCTACTTACCGCCCTATCCTCCGTGAATGGGTTGTTCTCCCGTGAATATGTCCTCATCCCTTGACGGCTGCGAAGATAGTTTCTCTGCTGCGCCGAAACGACAGAACCGGAATCGGAAGCGTCGTGAAAAATGTAGTTTCGGCTCGGGTTCCTCGAATTCGTAGGCGGCGACGGCCGATACGATCTCTGTGACGGCAAGGGTGAGCGCCTGGTGACGGTCTCGCTCGGTGCACACTGTTCAGAGTATACCGAAGAAGCTGCAATAGATTGAGGCATTGGCCTAGAAGTCCGGGCAGTCCTGTCCGCCGGCGCCCCCGGTCGACTTTCAGCGTCCCTATACCTCGAAGGCACCCTCGGTACGGGTGGTGCGTCTCTCGGGAGGTGAACAGAGCCGGCGCCATCGCTGTGCACGGAAACATCGGTCCAGACACTTGCGTTGGAGGGACCGGGCTGCGTAGGGGCGCGATCTTTCCGGACGTTGAGCGGCGAAGGCATAGCAGACAAATGGCTGAAGTCATTTGCGGGCTGGAACGCAGGGTGGACCATGGATAGGGCCGACTTGGTGTCGTCTGGAGTCATATCTGCGCGAGACTTCGTAAGGCGCGTCGCGTACCATTCGGTCACCTTACTACGACCCCGTTCCTCCTCCTCGATACCCCGCTGGAGCCCTGCACCCTCTTCCGTCTCGAAGTCGTCGTACGGATCCCAGTCGTCGTTATTGGCAGTTGCTTCTAGCTCGGCTAGTTCAGCAGCCGGGTCGTACGCAGCTTGCTGTCTTCGGCCGACCTGCGAATAGGCATTCATACTGTCTGGTCGATAGATGCTCGTTGCCGCATCGTCATGATTATCCATCGCGGCCCTCCTTTGCTCTTCCGCGTCCTCTCGGTCAATCATAGCTACCGGGATCCCATTTCTCGTCCGTCTCTTGCGCAGAGAATCACCTGGAACGTTGCTTAAGCGATGTTGGGAGCCATTTCTTCTCAACTCGGTATACGTCAGCCCCCTACGCTCATTTTGCTCCCTTCGCTGAGCTCTCCATTGCTTAAGTAGCGGTCGCACCACTTTTATCTCTGCGAGAACATCCTCGCTCATAGCTCGGCACCTGGCTGCCCTGTCTTGCTTGAGGTGGTCGATCCAGGTCTCGACGAAACGAAGGAGCCTAGGAGGCTTGCTCGGGCGCCCGTCGGGACGGGGCGGGCGTCTTTCGATACGGTCGACGAGGATGGATCGTATGTCCGCAAGAGCACGGGCGTTGGCGCCTACGGCACTCAAGATGCAGGCTTCACATTCAGATCTAACAAACACCATATGGCTATCGAAAGGGGGCACCCCGTAGCACTGGTGGTATAGTTCGGGCTCGGTCCAGAGGGCCGCAATGGCGTCGACTCGAGCGACGAAGGTGGAGAGAGCCGGAACGTCCTTCCTACCTGGCCATGAACGTAGCACATCGCTGTGGACAGTTACTTCGTACGCAACAGCCAAAAACAAGCGACGAATGAGCCAGGGGTTCAGGGCCGAGTGTGTCTTACAGAGAACGGCTCTCGGGTCCATGATGTTCGGATCAATACGATCGGCGATTTTGAGGAATAGGCGCTTCAGCGGATTCAACGTCATGAGCAGCTCTCCCGGGAGAGACTCCAGCTTCTGTTCCTGCCTGGAGAGCCACCTCCTCGAAGGAATGGCAATGCCATACTCTGGGCGCCGGGAGAGAAGCCTCGTAATTCGATCGACGCTGCCAGCTGCCACATCTTGAATGTCGACGCTCATATCGTTAACTATATCTCCTCCGAGCTGCTAAGATATCCAGTATCTATCGTGGCTCGAGTTAACGGTGGCTTGCTGGATGTGATGGGATATGATCAAGATGTAGGTGGGTTGCTTCAGGGTAGGAGTTTTTTAAGAAAGCAGGTAGCAAAACGAAATCACCAATGTATGTTCTGGTATCCTCAAGCTTTGTTCCCAAACACAACGAAACAACGAAAATCTGGACAAGACCCCGGCTAGGTTATACGTGATGGACCCATCAACATCTTTCTCCTACCACCTTTGTCACGGGCATTGAAGAATATTTTGTTTCTGTAACAAAGTTATTGTTCTCGGCCATATTCGCCTTTGACCCGCGTCGGAAAGGAAAGAAGTGGATGTCGTTGCTCTTAGTCTAAACGTGATGGATAGTAGTAAAATCTAGAAGTTGGGAGAGTAGACTTACTAGTAGCTAAGGTACCTCTAGCAGCTTGGTGCAGTGTTCATCGTCGGTGGCGGTCGCTCCAGATGCCAAAAGAATATGAAAAAAGCTCACTTGTCGGATGGGCGGAGGGGAACCCTGAGCAATCAAATCTCCCATCGACATGGAATTGCGTCCCATGGAGGTGGGCTATATATTGAGGAAACGTCGCAGGTCGTCCCGTCTACGGTGACCTTCAGAGGCTGTAGACATTTTTATGTTATGTTCAATGCCATGAAAACTACTCGCACAGGATGCTGCTGGCCGGAACGCCCGAATCCCCCGCCGTCATGTTCGCCCAAACCTAGGGCCCTGCATGGTATGAATGTAACGACTTTAATGCTAGGCCCGAGCCTCCTTCCTTCCCAAATATACAGATTTGCTGTGGTATCAAAGCCGGGTTTCGGTGTCCGGCGAAATCGTGATTATTCCGCGAGTCCACCTCCTAGCCTCTAGGAGGGTGGTACTCGTGCTCCCTCATACGTTCGACTCGAATCTTTGCAGCCTCGGTACCATCGTCAGGGACCGGCGGTTCACGGAACCATTCGTGTTCGAGCGCCTCCCGCGCAGTGATTCGCTTCGCAGGGTCGTAAACAAATATCTTCTGAAGAAGATCCAGAAAGGATTTAAGGAATGGGCTAGAGGACGGGATGATGTCCTGTATTCACGTTAATCCTCAACTTCCCTTATTCCCAGGTTGGCAGGATCTTACGCTTAGGCGCTTCATATTCTTCACGAAACGTCTCGATGCTCGTGTGGTTTCCGCAGTGGGATAGTCTAATTTCAACCGTTTGAAATACCTATGTTCGTTAGCATGAGAAAAGACACGCATCGACGGGGCTAGGCATACTTGGATGCAGCATTGGCGTTATTCCGAGAGGCCTGTTTGTTCACGGCCTGTACGAGGTGAGGATCGATCCGGCTATCACAAACATTCTCCATCATAGCAAGGTGCTCAAGGTTGTCGTGTGTTTGAAACAAAGCATCGCCGGTGAAGAACTCGACTAGGATACAGCCGATGCTCCATATATCGCAGGGGAAAGACCACCCCAACCCAAGGATGATCTCCGGAGCGCGATAGTGCCGTGTAGATACGACAGATGAGTGATATTCGTCCTGAAACGTCGCAGACCCGAAATCAATAAGCCGAATCTCGGTGTCGAGTAAAACTTTACGCTGCGTAGCTTGTCGGTTCACACTGGCTGATGATGACGGGATCCGACGGTTGTAGGTGAATGTTTGATAGGCGTTGTCGCAAAGCAGGATATTCTCCGGCTTCAAGTCAGTGTGAATGAGGTTTAGATCGTGTAAAACTGCCGAGGGTAGGTCAGTTAAACAAAAGTGAGCCAGTTACCAAAATATAGAGTGACTCACAGGCTACGCTAGTGAAGAGCTGGCGGGCAAAGCTCTGGATCTGACTGTTGGGAAAGGGAACGAAGTTGTTGCTCTTCAGGAAGTCGAAGACGCTTGAGCCAAGCAGGTCCATAACAATGCAGATGTGGCCCCGGAAATCGAAGCAGTCTCGAAGGTGTATGCATCGGTTCCGATTCTCCCCATCGTTGGCTTTTAGCGTCTGCAGGACACGGAGCTCGATCCTCGATGCATCACGATACTTTTGCACTGCTCTAATGATCTTAATAGCGACCAGCTTGTTATTTCTCTTGCGATCTCGGGCTTGGACGACTTTACCAAACGTTCCCTGCCCGAGAAGCTTGATCATTTGGTCTACTCATTTGTCAGCCGTGCTATAGTCGTAGGGCGAACAGGAGCAAGAGGACCTACATTGCGAGGTGAGGTCCGCATCAGGGACGACGATGTAGTGGCCATCCTCGTCGTCGACCCTCACGCTGCTCTGGACGGAACGCTAAAACGTGACAGTCAATACACAACCATACAAACCAAGGTTGATCAATCACTCACATCATTCACGACTCGAACCGTCACATCGCCAGCCTTCTTAACAGGCTTCTTTGGGGGGCGATAACTGACGAAGGTATCGCTGAGAACCTCAACCTCGCGCCTCTTCGCCTCTTGAGCGATCTGCTGCCGGGTGGTTCTCTTCCTCTTCTGGCCCGTGTGATGAGCGTCGTGGTCGTAATTACCGTTGGAGGAGAGAGAGCCTAGCGAGGTAGCAGCTGTGGTGTTGTGGGCTGAAGTGGTGCGATCGGTTGATGTTGAGCCACTGTTGGAGGTGTGTTGGTAAGAGCCGTTTACACTGCCCTCGTACGGGTCATCAGCGTGCGGGCCCTCATCCTTCCTTCTTCGCTTGGCAGCAGGGCGAGTTGTGGTAGTGGTAGTAGTAGTGGTGGTGGTAGTTCCGGTAGCCGAGCCATTTGCCGCCCCATTCGCATACGCTCGCGAAGCAGCGGCTGAATAATTCTGCTCGGGCTCGGGTGTGTCGTCAATGACGATGATCTCCTTGGGTAGGCCGTTCTTATAGAAACTGTTCCAATCAGGCTCTTTGGACCGTCGACGTTTTCTCGGCTGGGCATCGGCATACGGTTGAGAGACGGAAGCAGCCGAGGGAGGCATGTTGGCAAGAGTTGCGTCTAGGCGAGGAGTTGAATTGGTCCTTGCAGAGTCTCGAGTCGATCGTGTAGTAGCTACAGAGGCAGCTACTCCATTTGTGGATTGTTGAAGCGTCTGGCTCGAGGTGTAGGCGGGATTGGTGGTATAAGACGACGACGAAGAAACTCCTGGATGCCGGTTGGAAACGGTAGCAGTCGAGGCAGTCGAGGCGGAAGCGGGGAGGAGGGAATTTGCAGCCGTGGCGACCGAGGAGCCAACAGCAGATCGATAAGGCGAAGACGCACCAGTCTGCAAATGTGAATATGGCGGGTAATGATGGTGAGGAGGCGGGTGATGATGGTGGCGATAATGAGGAGGGAGTATTGCCGTGGCAGTTGTTGGCGTTGACATTTTATTGCAATGTCAACTGCGTAGAGGCTGGGAAAGAAGAGAGAACAACAGTGTGGGTGTGGGTAGAGAGAGAGGGAGAGAGGAGAGGGAGGTGAATAATTGAAGGCCTGTAGGTTTAGGATGGGGTTGGGAATTGTTTCGTGCACTGCCAAATGCTGGGTAGGAGGTACCTAAGCATACATGCAACGCAGTAACCGGTACCCGGAGTCCTTTTTTTTTCTCTCCCCTTGCCTGTTCCTCTCGCGGTGATTTTTTCCCTGTAGCCCAATACCGAAGGTACTGGCAGGTTGTGTGTGGTGCTTGTGTGTAATGGGGGGATGGATTATCTCTTTGGACTGGCTGATGTGCTGATTGAATGATTGATGGCTTGGGGCAAATGCGCCTCTCCTCTTCTCCAGTAAGTGAGTGAACCAGGTGTGTTGTAGGTGCGGCCGAAGGTTGGGATCAATGGCCCTAGAGATAACTCTTTAGGGGCGATTATCCCCTGTAAGCTCGACGGAGGGCTAGCGAGGAGTAGACCTAAGAGTGAGTTCTAGCGTGTGGGATAGGGCGTATTGGCGTCCTGTCCGGGTGTTCCGGTGGCTGTCGTCGTGAGCAAGTCGCTAACTCTTATCAGTAGCAGCCTGGAAACCCCCAGGGAAATTGCGGCAGCAATTTGTCCCAGCAATTCTCATGTAGCCAATTACACCTAGGAGCAGCAAGACGTGCAAGGCGTTACTTTCTTGCTCTGGATACGAAGCAGTCTCAGGTGTTACGGTCGCTGATGAAAAATCCCGTTACTGTCGATCTTGGCAGCATTCGATTCCCTTCTCCTCTTCCTCGTCCTCGTTTTCCTCGCTGGTTGGGTTCTATTCGATTTGCGTGTTTGGGAGTTCGGCAACTGAGGGTGATTAGGTCGGATTATTGCAGTGCAGTGTAAGCGTCGTAGGCATGTAGGGTAGGATTTGGTTAGGGAGCCGGTAGAAGTCACGTCACAGGGACTTGGGTGCTACAGCGGAAGCGTTTTCTGTCGACGTGTCGTGTGGGATGTTTTCAGTACGGAACTTCCAGTCGCGTTCGACCTCAGAGGATGACGGAGTGGCTCGGCGGAGAAGAATTAAGCTGTTGTCGGCTTTCCCCTGAAGATAAAACCATGCCCGCGATGAAGGCGGTTTGGTTAGAAGGCGCAGGGCATCTCTTGTATGTTGGCACAGCTGCAAAGTATGAGATCCCCTGATGTTGCAGAGGTTGCTAAATGGCCCAGGTTAACTCTGGGACGAAGGACTGGGGCAACATTCGTCTCGGGGTGGCAATTTTACAAGGAAGAGAGAGACAGCAGATGGAGAGAGGTTTGGCTTCGACGAGATTTGTAAATAGGCCAGCTCCCAGATTCACTCGTCAGGTTGCTGGCGAAAATGCAGGATGAGGTGGTGGCAGTCGACGAGCTCTTCTGGTCTTGGTCGGTTCGACAGCGGCACAACACACTGGATGGACTGTGTGATGGTAGCTGCGAAGGCGCATACAGTGTGCCGTTAAGGGATTCACAAGTCTACCGCCTGTTTCGGACGATTTCCCATCCCAGACCATCCAGCCCATGCTTATGTATGTACGTACATAGTAGTTGGCTCTTATTTGGCAGCGTGGTGAGAGTGATGAAGTAATTGGGTGGACCAACGTCTCGCTGCACCTTCTCTCACTCTGCCCGTTCTGACGAAGCCGACATGACCTACCTAAGCAACCTTGACCCAGTCTGTGCACGAGAGCCCAGCCTGACTAGCCTAGTGTGGATCTTGCCTACCTGGGTTGAGGCACGCACGCCTCGAGAATGCTACACTGCATGCATACCTAGGTACATGCATACTACGTGCTACCTACATATAAAAAGTTAGGTACCTCCTCAGCAAGGCCGCATCGCCTATTGCAAACCTGGGGGGGGAGGGAAGGGATGGGATGGGAAGAGGGGGATGGAATGGTATGGTATGGTATGGGACGGACTGTGGGAACTGAGTGCTAATAATAAAGAGGAGTAAATCAGTTGAGATAAACCGAAATACAAGTGTAAGAGCTAATGCCTATCCAGCACTATCCACCTACACGTAGAACCGGTATTGCCTCCGCACGCCCGCACGTAGTTCGGCCATAACGGACGGAGGAAACTAGAACAGAACACGCGCGGAGGTGACTCTGGGGCTGCTAACGATGACAGGAGCGGCTTCACGCAATCCAGCACACGGAGAAGGAAATACCTTCATTTATTCCACCACAGGTGTGCAGTAACCACAGCATAAGTATGTACCCAACTCGGTACTACTATGCATGCAGTCCATACAGTGTAGAATACCGCTTGACTCACCGGACACACACTGTCCATCTTTTTTCTGCCTCTGCCTCTGCCTCTCTCTTCTCTCTCTCTTCGCGCTCTAGGCGGGCAGCTTGCAATGCCTGTTGCCGCTGATAAGACCCAGGTGAAGCAGCCATGTGTGTACAGGTATAGGGCAAAATTTCCAAGCCGAAGACGATATATGTTCAGCAGGCATATTCGCTCCCGGATCGGACGAGTTCAAGGTTCACGGACAGAGGCGTCGAGAATTGCCTAGGTAGGTAGGTAGGTATGTGCTACACGTACACGTATAGGTAAGAGGTAGGCTCAAGCCCAGGGCTTGGACTTGTCTTAAAGGTATGTAGGTACTTTTGACGTATCATTGTGACGGCAAGTTCCCAGATGCCTGCAGTAGATGGATGATGCATGTACGCTGTACATTCTAGTATTTACATAGGTATGTAGGTACGTACTACATGTACATAGGCAGGTACAGCCAAACGGGCATGGGAGGAGAGACGCCTAAGAGGCAGAAGAAGAACCACCTGACATGAAATCAAATCTCATGTATCATAGCAACCGATATTATTATCCCCATCTAACCTACTACTGCTATTCATCCCTAGCCACTCCCGTCGGTCCGGCAACCTCCCCTATCGGTCTTGTTGCCCGGATGCCTTGCCCGTTTGTTGTATTCATCCCGCTTTCTTGTTGTCATTCCTGTCTCTACTGGCATATAAAAACCCCAGTGTTGTGTGCATCGTGGAGACGACAACAGATACCCTGATACCCTACCTTGGGCACTCTACTTACGGGCACAGCCATCCCTCCCCCGTTACAAAATATATAAGCATCCAGGTCTCACTGCAGACTGGGTATATGTACATTATATACATTAGCAATTCTTTCACCCAACAGAAACTTCTCAGTCACCCCCTTGACAACCAGGAATCTCCAGATATATTTCATTTCTCCCCCCTCTCCGCTCCCCGCAGCAACCCACGATTTCATTTTTTAAATTTAGTTCTCCGGCATCTCTACGCAACCTGCTCGGGCTCACGCTGTTACGAGCTGTCTCAACCCTTTTTCACCCTCGTAGGTCGTCACATTCCTCGCGTACCTCTCCTCTGCACCCCCTCGGCCCCGCGCGCTGAGGGCAGAGGGTGCAGGATGGGTGAGTGAGGCCGCGCCCGGCTCATTGACCCACCGCTGCTCAGCCAGTAACCCCCTCCGAGAGCTGCAGAGATACCACATTACATTGCACGCCGTTCCGTCAGGTCCCCATTCAGAGACCCCTAAAATCCTGTGCCAGCAGCACGCTATCGTCGTCAACGACACTCCGGGGGCGCAGACGGCAAATCCATATTGCCACATTCCCATTGGTGCTGGGGGGGGGTCGGGTCGCCCAGAGTCTGCCACCTTCCAACTCTTGTAGGTAGTGTTGCCTGTGCATCTCTTGCAGCATTAGTTTTCCCCTCACCTCCCAGTACAACACTTCGGCGGCCTCGTGTCGCTGCATCATATGTTATCGCCGTGGATTCCTCTCAGTTGCAGCCTTATCGGGTTCGGTCGCCCGCGTATTCCCGCTAGCCACCGGGAGGGAAGGGGAGAAGGGATTCTCCTCCTCCTCGGTAAACGAGGGGCGTTAAACGTCAAATAGCTCCCTTCGAAAGTCCATCACTCGGACAATTCAGACAACAGTAGTAATAATAACATTAATAATATCGGCCCCCTCCCGGTCAAGCAGGCCGGATTTCACCACCGCCAGCAGCTACCCTTATCTGTATGTATGTATGTACATGCTGCGTGTACATCATCATCCGCGTACCAGGCCTGGGGGCGTGTCCAAGATATGATGACACATGCCTAAGTAACCTCTGCTGATCGCAGTTAGGATCCGCCGTTCCTGCGCCTACGCAAGTCAGATTGGGCACCCGAATGCGATTCTCGCCTGGTGCCCGCATCCTAGTATACACGACTATAGGTTAAGTCTGCCTCCCTACCTGACTAGATGCATTCGAGTCCCCTCTTCGATCCGGCATGGCGCAGTTTACAGAGCCAAGGGCGAGCCAGCGCCGATCCCGCTCGTCAGGCGACGACCATCCCGCCTGCACCCTATTTCCCTAGAAATGCATCGCATGTCTACGCCGCGGATGCTGAGCTGACGATGATCGAGAGCCCCTTAGCAATGACGGTCCCCCCCCCCCGGCTGTGCTTGATATATATACATATAGGTATACCAAACCGAATATGCTGCGAGATGATGAATTCACTAGTAGGATCATGAAGCCTAATAGCCCTGAGGGCAGGCAGAGGCACATGTACCCAGAGCCCAAAGACTATTTCAGGGTGATGTTTTGTGAGCCTTGGACCATGTTAATAGGCGCCGTCAGCCGAGGGCTGAATTTATTACTTGTCTATCTGCTATAGGTAGCCTTCGCTCGACTCGAGCTATTTTTCCACCGACCCTTTTTCCCTTCAGCCATGGTTACTATTCGTTGTACGACGACACGGACACTGGCGGCAACGGGGAAGAAAAGTTGTGGATTTACTGAGGCGGTATCTACGCAAACTCTCCAGAGCCAACGACACGTTCGCTGCGTGCGGCCGATGATACGCTAGGACTGAGTACCCCGGACCCTTATAGGCGGCAAGCACCCTCGGATAAATCGACCTACGCGTATAAATAGCTACCTAAGCCTGCCAGTCTGAAGATTTTCAAGGCAAGTGTCCAAACGCAGCAGCGGCGCGCGCCCAAACGTCTACAATTTATCGATCGCATGTTACTCCCCGAGGTCCGATAACCCCGTACTGCGTGCCTGGGACGTCATCTAACTATACCTGGCCATATCGCTATACCTATCCCCGGCGGTGTCGCATGTGTAGGGTAAGGCTACTCCAGTAGCAATAGCAATGCCCACTAGCCCTAGCCGATCAATCCTGCACGGGGCTCCCATCGCTCATCTCATCTCTAAACTCTAGAAGCTCGAGGAATTCCACGCGAGTATTCTCCTGCTCTCCTACTTGTCCCGCCTTCGCCTCACCTTTACAATACATATCTACACCATGCATCATTACGCATAGGACGTGCCCCCCCTTTGCACTTTGAATTTAGCCCAACTATGCATGTACCTACTCAGTAATTTGTTGAAGGCGAACAAAAACGCCTAGGGTGTTCCCGCCAGTTTCTTTTTTCCTCCTGTCCTATTTCTTTCCCACGGACAGCATTACTACTATATCATGCAGGACATATAGCCGTCCTTAGGCATCCCTCCAGGTCGGATGCGTATATTAGGTGGGCAGTTGTTGTATATGTAGGTACGTCCCTGCACCGCACCTACGCACATTATCACGTCAAACGAACAGGACCTCGCAGGATTCTCGCGCAGGTTCCCTGCTTAGTTCCCAGTCAGCTAACCGTATATGTATGGGGGGGGGGGGGTGCGTGTTAATGTATGCATCCGTTCACGGCAAGATCACGGAACCTTTACGTAGCCCGCAGCCCCGTTGTAGGCAGTTATAGGTGGGTGACTTCTATAGGTAGGTACCTTAGGTACCTACCTACCTTGGGTACCTGCCTGCATCCTCTACTTCTATACGTGTAGTTGGGTATATTAGGTAGGTACATACCTTAAGTACGTCTATATTACATCTCACACACTCGCGTTATCACCCCTCTTCTTCCTCCTCCTCCTTCCGCTCGCCACAAGCCGGTTGCCCCTCAATTTGACTAACCGTCTTGTTACAACCCCCTCCCCCCCCTTTCTCCTCCTCCTCCCTGCCTCCCTCCATCTCACCCGTTTCCTTCTATTTCCCTCTATTTTCTTTCCTTTTCCAGGCAAGCCAAGGACACACGCCCTCCCCCCCTCCTCCGGAGCCAACCAAACGCGAAGCCCGTGCCGGATCACCGCGGACGAGACCCTGCTGTACCCCAGACACGTGTGAGGCAGCGTCTTGTATACTTTTAGACTCGTCAGGTGTTTTGACCACCCACGCTGAGACCTGACCGCCGGGCCCCCTTCCCTGCCTGAGGGAAATGAGTCGGCTCCTCACCAGGCAGCGTAAGTCCGTACGGGGAGATAGGATGGATGTCGTCGCCTCGTCGCGCGTATATATATAGGTATACTATAATTATATGTGGTGAGGCATCGGCCAGAGGTCCCTCCCTCTATCCGCCTACATACCTAAATATACCTCCCGCAATCCGGCATTAAATTATGCCACACGAAGGTATATAATGTGTCTGTTACTCGTCCTGTCTCTTTTCGCGTGATGAAACCGGCCGGCGTAGTTGGTGGATGATAGAGCCTGCCCTGGCAGCTCAACTTGAATCGCGTGAAGCAGCAGCCCAGTATCGCGGATCGCATCGCGAATCGCGGTGAGGGTGGACAAGTATGACGTGGACACGGGAATGCAATAAACCCTACTCTGCCTACCTTTTTCACGAGATCTTTCGATAGCACGGCCTTCCCCATTTCCTTCGGCCCCCCTTTTTGAGGGTTGGGAGGCTTGGGGCAAATTTCTCGGAGCATTGATTCATCGATCCGCAGCGCAGACATTCCTGAATTTTACCTCGAAACGCCTACCGGAACAAAGATTGGCGCGTGTAGCCGGTCCGGAGGTACACACATGCATACGGTCGCGGTCTAAGTCTTTCCCAACGGCCCGTTAGACGAAAAACGCCGAAAACGGTGCCGCTGCTACTGCTACTACTATGACTACCACTACGGCTGGCGCTGGTCCTCGAGAGCTGACCTAGGTAACTTACACTCTCGGTTACGACACTGCCGGCCGACTCGGCACCTCGCCCCTCCTCAGATCCCGCGATTAAACACAACCATCCCCTCGTCGCCGCCGCGGCCGTGGAACTCCTCCTCGAGACGGTCGGCGCGCACACGCTGACGCTGGGGGAACGCGGCGAGCGCGAACGGCAGGGCGAGGAAGCTCATGCCGAGGATGAGGCCGAGGTTGACGGGCAGGACGTAGCGGGGGTTGGCGCGCAGCCAGGCGGTGCGCTGCAGGCGCACGAGGAGCAGCGGCGGCACGACCATGATGGGGCTGCTGTTGAGCACGCGGCTCACGGCCGTCTCGGCGACCGCGAGCGTCGCTGCTTGCCGGCTCTTGCCGAGGCTCTGGGCGCTCTCGCCCTCGTCCCCGCCGGGGGACTGCGAGCGCACGGGGAACACGTCGATCCCCGTGCGCATCTCCTCGCCTCGCATGAGGAAGACGTTGAGCGCGCCGGCTGACGCGACCGCGACAAAGGGCACGAGCCGCCCGAGCACGAGCCGCGCCGACGGCGAGAACCGCTTCAGCCGCGGCACGAGCGCGTTCAGGCCCACGGCGACGGAGCAGGACGCGCCGACGGCGAGGGAGTAGGACTGCGCGATCTTGGCCGTCGATAGCGGCGTCGACTTGTTCGCGTTCGCGTAGTTGATGGCCACATTGAGCGACTGGTTCGCGATCTGCCAGAGGATGGTGCCGGTGGTCTGTCATCGCGAAATGGCGTCAGCGTTCTGCTTTCCTCACCGGAAGGATTACGTTCCCTTTTCTCTCTCTCTCTCTCATCCGCCCCTTTACCCCTAACCGAAACAATAGAGAATGAAGTAGCATACCCCTAAGCCCGGCGTGAGCATCCCGGCCGTGACGACCAGATTCGACAGCGCGAAACAGGACATGCGGAAGGGTAGGAGGACGGGCTCTCCAGTGTCTGGGAAAACCCGATTAGCTCGACCGCTCGCTGAACTGGGGGTGCGCACTATGAAACCCCAGCGTAGGCGCGCTGTGCCATACCGGGATGTAGTGTAGAGTCAACGATCTTCTTAGCCTTCCACAGCTCGGGTGTCATATCCTTGATGTCGCCCTTCTTGTACGCCACCAGCAGCTGCTTCGCCTGTTCGAGGCCATGCTGTCCAGTAAAGAGGGTCCTGTGCCCAGGGCAAAATCGCGTTAGAGAAGAGACGACGAACTGCCAGCAAAAGAGAGAGAGAGACGTAAAAGTCAAAACGACATAAGAACTAGGAGGCAGCCAGCGGGCAAAGCATCATCTCCTCTCCGTACCTGGGATCCGTGATGGTCGTCGTCTGCCTCACACGGCCCCAATATGTGTTTAGGTCGTACTGGGACTCGGGCAGCTCGCGATTGCCCGGGAGGGAGGCGGACATGGCGGGAGGAAGAGCGACGGAGGGATGACTCGTTCGAAGCCTCGTTCCTCGCTCCTGTCAGCTCCGCCACAGACTGCGCAAGTGCGAGGGTAGAAGCGGAAATGAGCGGACAGCTGGTGGCACCAGCCAACACAACGAAGCCTCCTAGGTGGAAATCAGGATTAGCGGTGGTACGCAGGCGGGCCGATGGTAAGCCAGCAGATACCTAGTTGCGCCCCGCCTCCCAGGGAGCCTCTGTGAAATTATATGAGTGTGCTCAGAGGGGCGACCTCAATCCTTTGTTACGACCCCTTCGGAGATGTTCTCCTTTTTCTTCCTGGTTTGATAGGTGTGCCGATCTCGGTCTCAGAGAGACAAAGGAAGCGGGGAGACGTTGATAGGCTGATCCAGTAGTCTGCCTCGTGTACCTAATACGAGAAGAACCACGAAAATGAAAAGAAGGAAAAACGAGAAGATAGGACGGCTGAAGGAATGGCTTATCTGTGGGCACCTTGCCTAGATACCGCAGGTACTACATGTAGGTATCAATTCAGTGTGATGCCTGACTCACTAGGTGAAAGTCGTCACAGGTTATCGAGTATTTAGTACTAGAAAGGGACGCAAAGCAACTTGATATTCCCCTACAGCGAACAAGACAAAAGAGATCGAGGGCAGAGAAGCCGTGATGTAAACGATGAAAAAAGAAGGCCGAGCACAGCAGGGATCGAACCTGCAATCTTCAGAGATCAGAAGGGGAGTTGCTATCCCGGGGCCGAAATCTGACGCCTTACCATTAGGCCATGCGCCCTGTTTGGTTGGACAGGAATGATTTAACAAATCCTATAGCGCGATCTGCTCGCCGTATGGGAATCCACCTTTCCCAAATTTACATCTACTTACCTCCTTACCACCCAGAGACAAGCACTAGCTCACCCAATATTCTCCGTCCCAGGCCAGCCAATCCAGAGGGTATCAAAAGACAGGCGTTTCTGATACTTATCTCTATTGGACGTCCCAGTTGGGTTCCGAATCCCTGCTCGCCCAACCCTCCCGTGTCGCGGCCACTCCTTTCCTAGCACGCGGCAAGCCAGAAAAACACCAGTGACAGGACAGACGGCCGGTCTGCTAACGCGCTCAGGAGCGTCTGCTACGTGATGCTATTTCTTGACGATACGAACTTACGACGTCCCCCCGTTTCCCGTCCCCCCTTACGTCCGATGCCTAGCAAGGGGCAAGATGATAATATACAATACGCCTATCGGGACAAGCGGCCAGCAGGAGGTGAATCCCCGCGCGCCGCGTGCCTCCATGCTGTTCCTCGGACGTCGCTATAATACTAAACATACCTATCGAGTCCGTCCCTTATTTAGGGCTACCCCCGAGTCTCAACCCCACCGCGTGTGGCGGCATAGAGTGCCACGGACGTAGGGGGGGGGCGTAGGCTGCGGACAACAGATGCCCCATTCCTGTGTTCCACGTCTCCCGGCAACGCCAGGGTCCAGCACGATAGGAGTCGCCTTGGTGCAAGCGCTTGCGCTTTTCAACGTCGCGAGGGCCGCCGCGGGAGCATCACTAGCTTAACAGCAGCATGGCACCCAAAGAGAAGGCCGTGGGTACGGTGGTTGCCGCCGTATTGGTGGCCCCCACAACGATGTCGATGACATGGGCGTGTCGCTCTCTAGAGCGGCCCAGAAAGCCACCGTGCTGCCTCAGGCTTTCCCGCGGCCACGAGCTGGTGATGACTGCGTTCCGCAGGTTCTGGGACCCGGCGTCAAGGATGGCTCCCCTAAACCATAGAAAGACTGTGTCCGTGTGTATCCAGCTCCAGCATGACTAGAGAACCGTCCTCTCCTGCTACTCAGCCCGATTCCTCTTTATCCTCAGTTCGGTGCCTCTCACCTTCTCTCTTTCTTCGTTTATCCCCCTTCACTTGATAATTGTGGTCGAGGGAGTCTCAGGGGCGCCGGACGCCAGGCTCTTGTGGGTAGAGAGCCGCCGTCACAGTGTAGATAGTCTAACGGGCGTAAACACGGAAGAGCTCTATCATTGATAGAGGTTACTCTGGGGATATCAAACGATGGGCTTAGCCGGCAAAGTGTTGGAGGAGTCAAGACATCTTCTTATTCATCTATCCGTGACCGAATTTCTATATTGTGTCGATTTCGTTTCTTGATGCAGATTACTGTAGAAGGCGATTTATCAACATATACAGGTCTTGAGTACCTTGAAGTGGAAGAGAGCACCTGTGCCGTTTACTGCTTCGGTCTGGTTAGTTAATACGAACTGGCCAGAGTTACGAATGACCGCACGTTTAACTCAGTTAGAACTAGAGCCATCCTCATAGAGCAAATCTCAAGAGGCGTTAATAGTAAGGAAGTGATGCCACAGGACACCATCCATGCCGTGGGGAAGCAAGATTCACCGCAAAAACATGCGTTATAAAGGTAGAGGCAGATTCTTAATAAAAGGTTAAAATTGTAAAACACTTTAGAACGTGAATCTCTTCGTTGAAGGCTTCCTCTTTAGTAAATGGGCCGGCGTTGCTGTTGCTGTAACCCCTGTAGCGGGTCTGTTAGACAGAGTTGCGGGATATTAGGTAGAGAACTGATATACAGCTTACCAGGTTGGGTTTCTGGACTAACGGCACAGAGGCTTGCTAGTTCAACCTCGTTTTTATTTTCACTTTCCTACCGGGGCGAAACGTCATGACTTACACCTGCCTCCATGTTCGCGTTGACCGATTGTTTGTTTTTTCCTTCTCTTTTTTACGCAAGGAAACGATTTCTCCGAGATCGTTCGGTCATGTCTCTGGAATAAATGGAAGCCACTAAGAATTATTTAATCCATGTTATCAAAATGTTTGTTCCGAGTTAATATGCACCTATTTCGGTCAGAGACATTGCAGATATCAATACAGCAACCTTTTCCTTCGTCTAACTCAACATTGGGCAGCCAGTTTCCGTCCGCTTTCACCATCTCCATCCATACCAAGACGCATATACTGAGATGCATCCAAATATGGATGACCCGATTCGACCCAGCGCTGAGACGTTCCGGAGCATCTATGAGGAAAGCTTTAGACTATGGTCAAGGCTCTACCTTCGCGCTGTCGAGGACTCCCGCCTCCCCGCCTCTTGTCTTTCCATTGAAAATGCGTTCCCACACCATCCGTCCTTTCCACGCAACCTGAGCCTGAAGCATGTCAAGGACCCCGAATACGGCTATGTCTGCGCCACTGGCTCCTCTACCTGGGGATCGCCACAGTCAAATTGCAACGATAAATTGTCCGTCAGGCAGCAGGTGAAAATGTATGTTACTACGAACGAACCTCTCTCGTTATCCATTGCCGAGACGCCAGATAGGCATTTCAATTTTGCGTCGTGGTTCCCCTGCCATGACCAGAACCACCTCGCTGTCCTCATCCTGGCCTGGGCATATGTTCTGTCGGCTCGGTGGGTCGACACAATGCCCGAGGGTTGCTCCCTCAAGTATACCAGCAGCCAGGCGGCGTGTTATCATGACGGGGAGGTTACGGGCCAGCAGGCAGACCAGAGCCTCGTGAAGGTAGACATCGGAGATGCCAGTTCGGAAGAGGTTCGATGGTGGGCCGCCATTCTGGCACCCGAGCAAGGCTGGCAAGCGACCATGACTCTGGACCAAGACGAGAAGGTGTCCCCCTGGTCCGTCCGCCTCCCGTCGAAGCCGCGGTTTCTGGTATCACGAAAACGGACTGCGTCACCTCCACCATCCCCGCCGCATTCTGCTCCGTCATTTGCGGACGCCGTCCGTTCTCTCGACAGCTTTTGCGTACGACACAACATCATGGACCAGAGCTATGCTGCACTAGCTGCTGTCCTCCTCTTTCCCACCTTGAGCGAGGAGGACGAAGTGCTGCAGCTGCCAGCTCCCACGGCCCATAGTTGGAGTCAATCGACCCAGATGGCATTGCCGTATACTTTGGAGCAGCGCGTGGACTCTACTCGTCAGCTGCAGCGTGGCTGGATGTACCAAGACAAGCACCTGGACAGATTGCTCACCATGAGCTGTCATATTTCTGGCATACGCCCTATGCTACTCAGCGTCTTCTATGAAGCTAGAATAGAATGCAATGTCGTGAGTCCTTGGCTACAGGGGGCACTAGCTGTTATCGATTCTCTGGCCGGAGAAAACCCCACCGTCCTCGCGCGCATGTTCATGGACCGGGTTCCCGAGGTTGGATTTCTGTGGCTTGGTAGTACCATTCTAGGGGTGCAGAAGACATTCCTCAACAATGTCAAATACGGAGAATTACCAGTAAACCTTCACTCTGCTGCGTGGTCAGGGACGATACAGTCATTCATACAGCAACCCGTGTCTAACCCTCTCGTGACAAACGGGTATGTAAGCCGGGCGGACGAGTGCCGGCTCCTCTCCCTTTCTCCGACGATAGGATTCCGCAGTTGGGTGCCCCTGTGCCAGTGGAGGCCATTCGGCGCAACACCGTTGGAAATTACCGACATCGAAATACGCCTTCATGAGAAATGCGGAGATCACAGGCTTCAATACCAGGGCTTCGCATGGAACTGCGTCAATGGCCAGGTAGAATCCCGACCGGTCGACAACGTGGATACGTACACGGCTCTGAGTCGTTCGCCAGCACATTATCCCCACGATGAGGTGCAAATTCCCATTGACTACGGAGCGATGAACCGCGAGAGAGAGTTCACATCGGTAGACGCAACGCTCATGATCATGCGCTGGCTACGCTCGGAGGGACATACACGACATGAAAGGGATATGTGGGAGCATAAATGGTTTGCTGTACTGAAGTCCAGCGACGGGAGCGAGCCCGGGGACTATGATTCTGAGAACAGTTCTTGTACTGGACCAAAGTCACCGTCGTATGTACGTTCGTGGATATCGGGATTAGAGGAGTGAATAACGTACGCCACGCTAGCCTTAGGCACTGCCTAGTTAAATAGGTAATACTGTCAATGTTATCAGGAAGAAAAATACCTATATCTAAACGAGGAGATGTAGACATCTACCTACGTTTTCACGTGGCAAATGTTTAGAGCCGTTCTGTATATCACATGCTGCCAATACGAGACAAGACAAAAGTAGGGGAGAGTTGGTCGATTTACTACGCTACGCGCAACACTCTTATGAGGTATCGGCATAACAATCCTGTGCCAGTGCAATAAGTAAGCACCGAGATATCTCCCAAACTAATAAGTGATACTCAGAAATACAGAATCGGATTGCCGGCTAAGCATAATGGTTGGGCCACGACGGCTTCTAGAGAGCCGTACTGCCGTGAACTGCATGCCGTGGGATCCCTGGAATCCCTAACGCATCCGCTTTATTTTGTATATGTCCACGGTGCTGCATGCGTATGGATGGTCTGGACACCATTCGCAGAGGACATATTTACCTTTCTTTACGCGATGGTGACAACCCGTCTGGCAGACCTTAAACACGTTCTCACAACCTGGTGCTTCGCAAGGCGGGAACCTGTGTGCATCATTGGTATGGCCGCAGACGTCGCACCATCCCTCAACTCCAGAGCTGGCAGACATTGTGAATCAGTCGATTGGTACGATACCTAGATCAGTTAGCCATGGGTGTCCAATTCTATCTCGGCGTGGGTAGGGATCTATGCCATTCGATTGACGACAGTCCTGTCTTTGGAGAATGGACACGACTGCCGGTGCTTCAACTGGTAGAGGGCACTCGAGGGGGGAGTAGAGACTTACCTGACGGGAACTTTATGCGAGGCCGTGTGATAGTAATAGAATTTCAAAGACCGCTGCAGTTGAATCGCTGTTATCGGTGCTCGTAAGGAGATGTCGACGTTGACCAGGTGGTTTGAGGGCTCAAGCGATAGAGAATAAGACTGTTAGAGATGTATGCTTGTGTGATAGAACTACGATATATCTCTCTAGGATTCAGAGAGAGGCTCGAGAATTATATTTATATCCCCCTTGAGAGAGTCTCGCTCCAGCTTTGGCTTCACAAGTCAAGTTTCTGATTCACTCCGGTAAGCCAGCAACCTGAATAGAACAATAGAGCCTACGAAGATAGCATACAGCCTCCTCAAAACGTGATTCACGGCGGCTAGCTCTGTAAATCGAATCTCGGAAGCTTTGCACCGAATAGCAGCTCAGTAAACCTGTGCGCAATCCAAACGGCTTAGGGGGCACACTGGTTGCCGGCCGTTTCTACCGACCCGACTATTCATCCCGGCAACACTCAGTAGAATGCCGCGGCCGTAGTCTTCTTTACACAAACAACTTCTAGAAGAGGTCATACACCTCTTCGCCGGATTATGGAGACACTTTTACATTTCTCCGTTCGGCTATGGAGGCTTATGTTGTTTCCTACCTGACTGAAGCGTTGCACTTTGTTGGCCCTACCGCGGATATCACCGTTACAGGATCTTGCTCATCACCATAAACAACTATGGGTATGGAGTCGTAGACGTAGTCAGATCCTGGAAGATGGTTACGGTATCATCTAAGCTCTTACTAGGAGAGTTCGGCCGCCTCTTCTCCCTCTCACCTACGACCCAGCCAATATCCTGTCCTACGATTTCCCTCTTGAAATCACACAAGTATCGTGACTAGCACGAACCCGATGGCTATTTTCAGTGTCAGAGCAACCTGGGGGTACTGTGGAGGGTAATTAGCAGCGCAACTATAGATACTGAGAGATTTGCCAGGAGCAAAAGCAGAAGAAAGAATGTATGTAATGTAGGGATATACAGCTGTCACTAACGGAACTGGGTAAGGCTACGAGCTACCATAACGGGCTAGCTAGTCAGAATATGCATAAAGAAACCACCAGAGACATATTCCAGCCGCAAGGTAACCCCCTGGCCCCATCGTTGTTTGCATCCAATGAGGTGTAAGGTAGATGTTGCGAGAATCCTGTGACCTTGGCGTGGCCATGTGTTTGCAGAAGCGATGCTGGCTTCGGGTGTTGAGTTTCGAATCACCCATTCTAACAGGGTAGCAACGCCAACTTCGCATATGAAACGAAAGAGTCAAGGACACGAAATATCAGGAGGTATTATTCACGAACAAACGCAGGTTGGACGATATGAAATGTCCTGTCACTACGGCGGGCACAGAATGATACGGCCGTGCCTTCGTACATGTTTGACTGCGAGGAAGATAAATGTCCTATTCAGCTGGGTCAAAGCTAAGAATATTACATCAATACCTAAAAGTACGCAACCTCTGGACTCCGGGCCGCAGTAGAACCGTGGGACCCGTGTGTATTTCGGTAGCTGGACCACCTCGATCATCCCCTTTGGGAGAAGCACCTCCCGTCTTTACAGAGTGAAAACGACCCTGGTTAGCTTGTCTACCTCGCGAGGTTGGCCGAGCAGAATCGGGGTTTCCGCAGCGGCCCGCAGCCAGCCAGCCAGCCAACCGCACGCTTAGTACGCGAGAGAGGCTGAGTGAGGGTGGGCGTCGTAAACCCTCCGATCCGTCGTGGTTATTCTCAGGCCCCTCAGCCACGATCGGGCGGGAGTCCTTCATCCGAAGCCGGAGAGTATCACTGCTTGGCAACGTTATCCGGCAAACCGGAATTCGGGAAACTAGTAGGTACTGACTTTCTATTCTGCGGAGGACACGAGATGAGAAGGTGTTTGCGCTGGTTGAATGGACCAGATGGGCCCCGCTGCGAGAATTCTGCATCCGGGCTCAGCGAGACAGCTGCCGCAAGTTTGCGCTTGGTAGAATAGAGGGTATGGCCGTGGTAGGAGCCGTTCGTGAAAAGACAGTGAATGGGCTGCCTCTGGGGTGCTGGCCCCGCTGTGTGCTGTCCCAATTGCAACCAAGAGTTGTCTTGGGCGTGAAGAAAGAGATCCATATCGCGACAGAGCAGGCGGGGGTCACTTCGGTTGCCGGCTACGGTGCATAAATGGCTCTACCCTCACCTGCAGGCTTAGATGCGCCGGCGATAAGACTGAATGCCGAGTTTATATTGATATACCTACCTACCTACCCTGACTGCGTAGTCAGCGGTCCCCCCGATTCCCCAACCTCGCTGAAAGGCCTGACCCGCACACGCGGTGTCAACATGAGTACCCTAGATGGAGCGGGACCGGGCGACTTCGAGAAGGTGTCGGAACAAAAGAGGAAGGTCGCTAATAACATTCCGAAAAGGAAGAGATGTGTCATGTGGGATGGTAGGAGGGCCGCCTGGGAAGGTCTCCACCGATGTCGAACAATTCGCGGACGGCGGTGAGATCTCGTCTGGAGACGCCACACGGAATCACCATCTTGTGTAACCGTTGCGTCCCCTGTAGGGAGTCTCCCGAGCTGTCCGTCCAGCGCTGACGGACAACACTGTTTACGGCGCGGTTGGGAAGACGAAGCAGCGGGTAAGCCGTCGTCCGCTCGCCGTGAATCTAATAGGTGCTAGGTATCTGATGAGGGAAGCGTCGGATTCGATAGAGAGCGAGAGGGAAAGACAGAGCCGGAAATGCCGGCTTTTGTCTGAATCCAGCGGAGCGACGACCACGTAAGACTCCGTCGAGGCTAATCACCTCCCGACAACATCCACCCTCTACGGAGATTAGACGGGGTCTCGGCCTGCGAAACTCGTCTCTTTCACCACGGCCTTTTGTACAGGGTATAGAGCTTCATAAAACGATTTGTCATCTCTGCATCGAACCGCCGGGGGGTGGGGAGGAGGGGGGGGTATTCTATCCTTCTGCGCAGCTCGGAGATTCTGGCCCCCTCACGTGGAAGAGGTATGAGAGGTATGATCTGACTCGCTCCCCAGGCTCGGAATGTCTACGCGGATGTCGTTACACGAACCCTTGACGCCACATATAGCCCGCCGGCGCGCAGGTTACTGCGGGCCTCGACGCTATGGCAACCCAGGTTTCCTCCGCGAACGGCTCGCGAAGCGCGTGCTAGACCACAGCGTAACGTAGATCAGCAGCGCCGCAATCCAGAATCCTAATACGGCAGACGACCCGAACTTCCCTCTCTCTCCCTCGTCCTCCCGAATTCCCCGCTGCGTACTCGACGGCGTCGACAGCGACGTAGGTGTTGATTAGGCAGTTTGCGAAGCGCCGTCGAAACCTGCCCTGCTGTCAGACAAATCCTGCCCAATGAACGACGGGCGAGGACTGTGAAGTAGCATGCGGTGGTACCCAATTCCAGGTCTCGAGGTAGGATATGCTGAGGACTTTTGATAGGCGTGTAAACTTAGGGTCATACAATCCTTCCTATTGGCTACCCGGCAGGAGGCTTTCTCAGTGCTTGGGTTACTAAGTGACACCGCGAAGGCTGTACCTGGAGAACGGAGGGGGGTCTATAGGACTGGCTCGCTCAAATGCCAAGGGGATGCGTCCAAGCGATAGGTAGGTAGGTATGTCTGATTTGTCCATCCGTGTCCCGTTTCGCGCCGGGCAGAGAGAGAGAGAGAGAGAGAGAGAGAGAGAGAGCAGCATGTAGGTATATTATAAGATCATTACAAGCGCATGGGGGAGCCCTGATCAGGATGGTCCCGATAATTGCGAATGTGCCGCGGGCCGCCCTGGGTGAGACCCCTCCCGAGACCGACTCACGCACACGTGTGCGGGTCGCCGATTCTACGGCATCTTCGTCGCGTCTGTCCACACGGGCACGCAATCTGCTGCTGCTCTGGGGTGGCGCTGCTCGAACCAGAGTCTCTCCTGCGTCGCCTGGGTTACGCCCCCTTTCTCGAGATTAGGCTCTCGACTCCTGACGGATTAGTAATGGTTACACAGGCCATCCTTGGAGAGGGGGAGGGGGGGAGGTTGATAGGGTTGCCGGGCGACTAGAACCCCCGAGGACGAGGAAGATATCCAGCTAGGGGTCGCGCAGTTCAGCCTTACACGCTCCTACGAGTCCGAGAACGAGCAGACGATGCTACGCCGAGATCCACCACCGCCAGGTCTGCTTCTCCACTGGCGAGCGTCACATCACCACATACCTGCCTACCTATGGGTGTGGATGGGCAGTTTTCAGGGGAGCCGTCGACGGGGCGCAGCGACACAGCCCCGGAATCCGGCCAGTCGCTGTCAACGCAGTGCCGCAATACCTATATTGCAGGTCGGTGCTGATTCGACGTACATCTCATGCGGCACGCCTGGGTGTTCCTGGTGTAATACCTACCGAATGCGACGGCCCCTCCCCCTTTTCCCTCCCTTCCTCAGAACCGGATCCCACGTGTCAAACGAGCAAATACTGTTCCAACCAGATGACTTGGAAGGCGACAAGAGGGGGGGATATGGGCACCGGCGAGGGGGGCCAGGGAGACTTGACGCGTCGGTGCCAGGATACACGTCACCCGCTCGCTGCGGCCGAGGGCGAGGTACGTTGGAGGAAGTGATGAAATAGGGAGGAGTTATGCTTATTTCTACCGTGTGGCCGGCGGATCGAAGGGGAGGGGGGGAGGAACCGGCGAGTAAGCGTCTCGTCACTGGAGGACTTCTCTACATAAGTACTTAAGCTGCCTCAGCAAGTCGAAACAAGAACCACAAAGGAACCGCACCCGACCTAGCATCGCCACGACCGCCGCCGATCCGAGTTGTGTTGCGTCGTACCAACTTACGACTCGAGGGGGGAGCACGCACGCCAGAATCCCGCACCAACTACCTAACCATACGAGCATACGTACACACGCCCGCACATCCGCTGGCCGATATACACATCGGAATAGATACCTACATACCCAACTCCCCGCCGCGCAGTTCCGACAGCACATCGCCCCTTTGGACCTCGACCATGACAGCCCCGTCTGTGCCCCGTATACGGGCTCGCAAGCCGAAAGTCCGCACAGGTAAGCCGCCTTCCCGCCGGTTTCCATCCCCTGCACCCAAATCCATCTCTGGCCCCTACCCCCTCCCCAAGCATCGTTCCCCGTTAACGGGTCCCGGAACGCCGCCCCGTTCCCCCCGGGACGAGCAGGTTGCGCCACGTGTAAGTCGCGCCGGATAAAGTGCGACGAGGGGCGGCCGACCTGCCGGCGGTGCCAGCGCGGCGGGCTGCCGTGCCGGTACGAGCGTGCAGGACCCGGGGTCGGCGGCGCGCGCGAGCCGGCCGCCCGGACCATCGTGCCGGCAGGCCACGCCACCACCACTACTCGACGCAGCGAGACGCCGCCGCCAGAGGACAGGGGCGCCTGGCTGTCCCGCGGCGCGCGCTACAGCGACCTCGACGCGGCCGAGGTGCTCTACTTCGACCTGTTCCGCAGCGCCGTCGTGACCAACCTGTGCCTCAACGGCTACACCAACCTGTGGTCACGCACGGTGCTGCGCGACAGCTTCCGCGACGAGTGCGTGCGGGAGTGCGTGCTGGCGATCGGGGCGCTGTGCCGCGCGCTCATGGATGAGAGCGAGGCGCGGTGCGCGCGCGCGCGCGCCGCCGGCACCGAGTCGGTCCTCCCCCCCGCGCCGCCCCTCTGGTCCCCGGTCCCGGCCAGCGACGGCCTCCCGCTCAGCCGCTACCGCCGCGACGCCATCCAACACTACACGCGGGCCATCTCGCGGTTCCGCGGGCGGCTGGCGCGCGACGGCGCCGCCACGCCACCGCGCTCCATCCTCATCCTCAGCATCCTGTTCGTCATGTTCGAGACCATCCAGGGCAACACCGACTCGGTCGACCGGCTGCTGCGCACCGCCATCCTCGCCCTCGAGGACTCCCTCCTCGCCCCCCTCTGGCAGGACGGCGACCGCGACGCCGCCACCGCCGCCCTCGACGACGAGGGCGTCCGCGAGGCCGAGTACCTCCTCACCCGCCTCTCCGGCTTCGGCGCCGTGCTCTCGCCCTTCTACCCCGAGCTGCGCCGCATCCGCGCGTACCGCGGCAGCCGGCCGCCGCGCGACTCGGTGCCGCCGGCCGACGCCGCGCCCCTCGCCGCCGAGGCCAGCTTCCGCCGCTACACCGCGTCGACGCTGGTGTGGAAGTTCCGGCGGATCCAGGAGTGCTTGTCGGGGCCCGCCGTTGCCGCCGTCGCCGGCGAGGACGAGGAAGACGAGGACGAGGCCCGCCTCCGCGGCGAGCAGCGCGACCTCGTCGCCCAGGCCGCCGGGTGGTGCGCGTGGCTGCGGGCGCGGCTCGCGCGCGAGCCCGACGCCGCGCGTCGCCGCGGCTGGCGCGTGATGCTCGTCGAGGCGACGGGGTTCCACCTGTACACGAGCTGCTGCGAGGCGAGCGGGGAGCGCGAGCTGTCGTGGGACGCGCACGCGGACGCGTGCCGGGAGGCGGTGGCGCTGGCGGAGAGGGTGGTGTGGGGCGGCGAGCGGGAGGACGAGGAGGAGCGGCGGCGGGTGCCGCCACTCTTCGAGGACAAGCTGCTGCCGCCGCTGCGATGCTTCGCGACCAAGTGCCGCGACTACGCGACGCGGACGCGGGCGCTGGCGCTGTGCGAGCGGCTCAGCGGGCCCTGGTGCGAGAACCGCGCGCTGCTCGTCGGCCTGCGCCTCATGATCGAGCGCGAGGAGCGCGGCCGCGACGCCCGCGGCTTCATCCCCCTCGCCGCCCGCTACCGCTGGACCCGCTCCGCCTGGAACGACGACCGCACCGAGCTGCGCATCGTCCTCACCGCCGTCGGCACCGGCCGAGACGAGACCTTCGCCGTCCGCTACGACGACCCCGCCATGCTGGCCACGCCGCTGCCCCGCGTCCCCGCCGCCAGCGCGAGCGGCCCCTCGAGCTACAGCGGCAGCGAGAGCCCCACCCCGACGGCGGCCTAGGCGGGTACCCGGTTTTTCGCCTTCATCGAGGCCTCCGGGGGCGAGAGAGACGGAGAGAAGAGAGACGGAGGAGATGGAGAGGAAGAATGAAAGAGAGAAGAGAGACTAGCGCGAGAGGAAAGAAGAAGCGAACGAGTGAGGAGAAAAAAGACGCTAATACCTTAGGTACTTGAAGAGTACAAAGACTATTATGTATGCACGCATGTATATATGTAGGTATATCGCAGCACGACACGACACGACACGACACGAAGAATTCTACGACGATACTTAGCGTGCTTGTATATGATCTTTGATTTTGTGCTATTTAGATGGGTGTTGATTAGACAGGTCAGATATCCCACCCGTTGGACTCAGCGACGTTTTCCCAAGCACTGTCCCCTCGTTAAGACTCTTGAGTGAGAACTAAGTTCTAGCCAATTTGTCTTTTCTGAGACGGCAGCGGCTTCAGAGCCCGCCTCATCCCCTTGCGTCTCGTCGAACAAAGCATAGTTGCGCATCTTGGGCGTTTCCCCAAGCGCCAGCGGTCTCCGGGTGCTCGGGGGAGGGGGGGGGGGGCTAGGCTTGAGCGTCTCGCCGGGGTTCCATGCGCGGTTCGCTTCCGTTCGTGCATCATTTCTCGTTTGTTCTTGGTTCTTGTTCCATGTGTCGTAGGGTGTAAGGTTTCTATGCATACTCCGGGATGGCACAAATTCGTGTGGTTCGGGGCCTGTTGTTGATGCCAGCAAGACCTTCGCGAAACAACAGGATGTGCTCTGTCTCCGGAGATGCGCGGTCTTAGCCAAGCCATCCCAGAACGGTAGTGTTCCATGTAGCTTTTATCCGGACATTTGTAATCTCAGGTAGGCGACCATTGCCAAAAATCTGGCGTTTCGGGAGGGTTAGTTACCTGTGTGTTCCTAACATTCACGACACGCGCTGCTGTGACTGTACCTTCTTCTCCTACCTACTACTCGTGCTACTCGTGCTACTCGTCCCTGTATAGTCATCCGTGTAGGGAAATCGGCCTAGTCGTAATGAGCCTTACGCTCCCGTGCCGGTGCGGCCCCGCCGCCTTTACGGCATGATTGCGTCCGGCTCGTGCTCAGACATTTGGAAAACTCCACTACCGTCGTCGGTGTTTAGGGAAAGCTCGTCGCCTTGGTAGGGCTCCTCACTGCTGTCGTGATTCTTGTCTAGCCAGTTGCGAGGCTCGGTGGTGGTGAAAGGGTGATGGTTAGCCTCGTCCTTGCCTTCCTCCTCTTCGTCGCTTTCTTGCTCTTCGTCGCTACCGGTCTCGCTGTCCTCGTCGGAGTCCTTCTGGTACAACACCATGGCCCAGCTAGAGGAGCCACCATCGGGCGTGGCGTCTCCGGCGTCTCCGACCGAGAACTCACCGCTCTGGTCGCGGGCGGCGTTGTCCCGCTCCTTCTGTCTAAAGGTGTCGAGCAACCCCCACATCCTGCGTCGCGCAACGGAATCCACGTAGTCGGTGCGGCATCTTTGACTTCTGGGCACGTGTTCGCCGGTTTCTAGGTCGCGTGCCACCTCGTCGAAGGTGACGATGAGTCTGGTCCCGTTGCTGGCGGGGCGACGTCTCTTAATTAACGTCGACTCGTGCTGGCCGCAATCGTGTCCTTGTTCGGCCTGGCTCTTGAGGATGCTCTTAGGGCGAGCGACGGCGCAAGAGCGGTGCGCAGGGTTGAAACCCATGTTGCCGTCTGTCGGTGCGTCGATGGGTGGACTGGTGAAAAAGAAAGAGCTTGTGTTCCTGGGGGGCAATTGTGGTGGATATTTTTGGCCGCGCGTGGGGAGGAAGAAGTGGTGGGTGGGAAAAGGGAGTGAGAGAGGCGCGGGAGGTGCGGGAGGTACGGGAGTTGGTTGGGGCCGGTCGGAAGGGATTGAAAAGGTGTGATTGCTCTGTCGCTCGAGCTGGCGCGGTCTAGGCGACGGACAACAACAAGACGTAAGAGGGGAGAAGAGAAGATGACATGGGGGAATGGGAAGAGGTTGAGAGGGCGGAAATGCTGGGAGAGAAAATAACGAGGGCGGAGGGTTTTTGTTGTGACTGAGGGCGGAAGGCGGAGAGCGGAGGGTGGAAGATGGAAGATTTCCAGGAAGATCGAGGACGAAGATGACGATGAGGATGACGACGGTAGCGGACCTTGGTCGGTTTGCTGTAGGTGGTTAGAGATAAGTTTAACTCGAGACAAGTTCAACGTCGTCGAGTTGACGCTCATCGAGTCGATGCTGATGTATCACGCTGATGTATTGATGTATGTACATCTGTATTAGTGATGAATAAGGCCCGCCGTATCTCCCCCCGTCTTTCTTTATCCCTAGGGATTCATACATTCATTTGGTCCTCGATACACTATGCCATTGTTCATCTGCGAACGCGATTTAACAAAAGCACCACCCCTCAATTGTCGGTCGCTTTTGCCTCTCTCCCCCTTCTTTTCTGTTCCCTTCCTTTCGTTTCTCCCCTTTCTTGCTCTTCTGCTACACGGGTTTGCCTACTAAGGTACCCAGCATGTTATACGATAACCATATCCCTAACGACCTAGCCTACAAAAAATAATAATGAATCATCGACTCATACCCCCTTCAATCCCCATTCCCTCCCGGGTTCTGCCAAATCCACGGTCCAACTCTCAGGCAATGACGTACTACGTAGTGGTGCTGTGTGAATAGAAAACTTATCGATCTCGTATCGGTGCTAACCGCCAACTCCAATCAAAACGAGAGGGAATGGCACCTAACCCTCCCAGCCCAACGTCTGGAACCAAGCGGATCACTTCTTTTTTTTTCCCCTGCTGTCGCACTAGATCCTACCCAACCAGCTCTTACTATTCATAGCATGTTGTCTCTCCGCTGGGGTATTGCTGGTGTTATTGAGATGGCTTACGTACAGAGTAATAGATACTACTGCTACCACTACTACCACCAAACTCCTACTCATCTACGTACAGTCTCTTCTTTGTTCGTCCTTCTCCACGAGCCAACTGCCCCCTCCCCTTGCTTTTTGGCCTCTAGCCTGCCGCACGGCAAGTATCGTCACCTATTCACCAATACATAGGCGGGTGCAAGGAAAACATACTAGACCCCGGAAATGAGGTTGGTTGCGTGGTTGGTATCGCCATCTCGCGAAGGCGAGCCGACAAAACAAAATGCCACAGATACACGTAATAAAACAAGTGGGTAAGAAGCCCTTCCCTAGCCCGTACGCGCGAGCATGGAAACACGGACACAGAAGCAGCCACGGCGGCAGCCGTCCAAAGGAGAATGGCACATTCAGGCCACGCGAATCTAAGAACACAAAGGGAAATGCAGCAACTGCGTTGTTGGTCCACACGATCGGGGGAGTGAGGAGAATTATATATATAGTAAAAAAAGAGGAGGCAATCGGGGGGTATCTGTCGTAATCAAGGAAAATTGCTGGTATTCGGCGTTAGGTACGGATATGGCAATGGCAATGCTGCTATTTATTGCCCGAATGCGCCGTGACTTTGGTACGCCTCTTGGAGAGCTACAGCAGCGCCAACACGTTAGTCGAGTGTGCCAAATATCGCGAGGGCGTCGCGCCGTCACCTACCTTGTAGCACGTTCATCTGTCCGGCCCGGTCGCCGCAGGCAATCTGCAGGCAAGACCCCTCCGTGAGGTCCAGCACGACGCTGTTCGGCAGCTCCTGTACTTCCACGTCCGGAATGTAGGGCTTGCGGAAATCGCCGAGGTGGTACCGCTTCACACCCGCGCCCATCGCCTTGTCCTTGCCGTTGGCCGCGACACCTTGGACGGCGCTCAGGATCAGGAAACCCTGCGCATCCAGGCACATGCTGCGACGCTTCCACAGCAGATTGTCCGGGAACTGCACGTTGACGTCGCCCATGTATGCCACGACCGCAAGCTGAGGGGAGGCGGCCACCTCCGTCACCGAAGCGGCCGCCACTTGGTCGGCATCTTCCTCCGCCACCGTGGGCGAGATGTGCGGGCTCGAATTCTTGCGGTTTCCGCCGCCGCCCAGCGAGTTTGACAGGCGTCGCATAAACCGGGTGGCCCGCTTCTTAGCCTTCTTTTCGCTGCCGTTCTTATCCTCCTCGCCCGACCCGCTGTCGCTCAAGACCACGGGCGAAGCGATAGACGTCGCCGAACCGTCTCGCTCACGGCTGACCGACGAGCGCCGGCTCGAGATCGATAGGCGCCGCGCGAAGGAGCTGGGGGTCTGGTGGGCAGAAGGAGGCCGGCTCGGCGACTTGGCCCCGGTCGACGCCGGAGACAGCATCGCCAGATTATCGGTCGACTTGCTAGCGGTCGAGGTACGACGGTCTTTGATGAAGTCTCGCACTATGCTTAAGGAGGATCGGCGACGCTTCTTATCGGTGTCGTCAGATATCGACTTCCTGTCGCGCCTCTCCTGAATAGTTGCCTTCGGCGATACGGCCGGCGCGGGTTGTTCGTCCGGCACGATGGATTCGGACGCATCTGCCCGCTGGAGGTCGACAACCAGCGGCGACTGTTTTAATTCAGTTTGCGGATACTCCCCGCTGCTATTCGCTTCTGACCTGTTAGGTGTAAGCGGACCAGAATCACGAATGATTCTCGCGGTTACTTGGACGGATTCTGGTCGGCCTCGGGGTAAACCCGGCAACAGTAGACCCTGCGATGGATTCTCGAACATGGAAAGCCTGTTGGCCACCGACCGGGATCGTTCTCGACCGACTATCCCCGGGGTCTCGGGCGTGGCCTCCCTCGAGGGCTCGGGCGTCGGCGTCTGCTGCGTCAAGGAAGTCGCACGGTTTACCACGGAGGGGGATTTCGACGGATCTCTGACGCTAGGCTTGCGGATACCGAAGAAGGATGACGACGGAGTCGCGGTTTTCGGGCGGCCATCCTCGGGGGCGGTGGCGCTGGAAAGCTTCTCCAGAGCTTTGATTCTTTGCGAGATACTCGACCCTAGGTTGCTCTTCTTAGCCTGGAGACCAGCGTTTGATGTCTGACGAGTAATCGTATGTAAAAATGCCGCACCACCCGCCGAGACACTCCTAGCAGTGCTCTGTGACACATCATTCGGTGTGAGAAGAGGACCGCGCATCGGATTCGAGACCGCGCGAGATAATGCCGAGGCCGGCCGAAGGGGGTTGGCGTTCGGAAAGACGGGCGTGATGGGCGACTTGGACACAAGCATAGGCTTGGCCTCCTCCACCGTCGCTGACTGTAGCTCGTCCATTAGGGCATCGTCGAGGAGAGGATCGGAGGCTTCAGGATGAGACGCCGTCTTGGTTAGGTCGGTTCGGATAGGACCGACCGCGTTCTTCCGCTTCTGAGGATGGGTCTCCGGGCTCGTCGTCTGGGGCAATTCGTCTTGGGTTAGCTTGCTTGCGGCGTCTGCAGAGGGCTCCACAGACACGTTGCCAGGCAGCGAAGGAACGGGCTCCGAAGTAACAGAAAGGTCTGGAATAGAAAACTTCGATCTGAGACTCGGAGTCGTTGGTGATTTCTGCGAGGACGAGCTCTTAGGGTCATTGGTGGAAAACTTCGAGATGGGCAATCCCCATGGCGACTTCGGCGCGTCGTCCTCACCCTGAGATTGGTCAATGCCTACTGCATCGATATGGGAGGCAGTGTTGGTAGAATCGGCTACGTCTATCGAGTCTTGGATGGCCGCGTCCGGTGGCGCGCCCGCTGCTACAGTGGTAGCAGCGATAGCAGCGGTTGTGGTGATGGCGGTAGTGGTAGAAGTGGTGGTGATGGTAGCAGTAGGTGGCGGGCAGTTGGGCTCTGGAATTTTGTGGGATTCCTCAACGTTGTTATTCTCCTCAATTGAGACAGCGGTGTCTTGTGCTGGAGATTGAGATCTTTCAGAGTGTTCGGACCCATTCTCCATTTCTCGAGGTCCTTTGGGTGCCCCCTGGGACACCGCTCTTTCGTGTTCCTCACCCGCGTCCCCGGTCGCGTGGATGGTCTCGCCCGTCGATTCAGAGAGAGACGAGGCCCTAGTGGATATACCTATTTCCGACGAAGTGGCAGCAGTCGGGGAACCCGGGCGAGAATCCGACACTGTGTCTTCGGTGTGGATCGTCATTGGCGTGGGTGGGTCAATGGCAATGCCTGAATCCGCTTTGGACACTGCACGATGACCGACATCCCCTTGGACAGGCAGAGAAGCATCGGATTCGCGACTTTCGTCGTCTTCCTTCCCATTCGTCAAAGCGACATCCGCAGCCGTCGGCTCTGGTACTACTATCCTGTTTGCCGCGTTCATCTTCTTCTCTCTCAGCTTCATAGCCTTCATCAACCGTGCCTTCTCAGCTGTCATCTTAGTTTCTTTTGTCGCAGCATTCGGCGACGCAGTGGTCGACTTTGCGGACGCCCCCGAGCTCGTAGCTGGTCGTTGCGGCAATTCGTGTGCGTCTTCCTGCGCAGGTTTTGGGACGGGCGCGGACGGCACAAGATGGATGTCCGGGGTGTCCTGCACAGCTTCTTCCACCTTCTCGGCCTTCTCTGGATTTCCTTTCTTAGACCCCCTCGAGAACTTGAACCGCGCCGGGATGGCCGCGATGGGCCGGAAGTTTCCTGCCGTGGAGGGTCTCTTATTGACGTCTAAAGACGGCCGCGGCCCGAGTTTCACCTTGGGCTTGCCGTAGGTGTAACCTGTATAGTGGTATGATTCGGCACGTGTAGACTGGGATGACAAGCGCGGAGCAGCTTCGGATCTTGCAGACGAAGTCGGCCTCTCGGCCCCCGTAAATTCCGGAACGTCGCTCGTCGACGCAAAGTTGGTTTCTTGTGGGGTGGATAGCTGCTCACGGTTGAGAATCGCGGCACGCTCGGGGGACGTAGGCGTACGAGGTGCCGAGTCTGGTGATCCAGTCTTCTCCTCCTCCTTCACTACCGACTGTCTTTTCCTCTCCCTTTCCTCTTCCTCCTCTTCCTCGGCGATCTCGTTCAGTCGCCGCCGACGTAGAGAACTCGTCGACGACGATGCCGACCCCGAAGCGGCATGCAGCGAGCATGCAGCCGAGAGCTTACTGTCCTTGAGATCCTTGGCCGTCGAGATTTCGAAGGTAGTGTCGTATGGCGCAAACCGCTCACAGACTGCATTAAAATGCACTGCCGTACGAGCTAAATGCGGGTGAAATTCCCGTCCCGTTAGTGACCTTCCCTTCCTTCGTCGTCACCGAATCCGCATGGATAGTAGCACAGGCCGAGGGAGGGGCGGGAGGGGCGACAGCAAGTCGAGTCGCGTACCTTGAACAAGCCTCGAGCATTCTTCAGGCAAGTACTTCAATATGACATTCCTCCGCCTGTACCTGAGGAAGCCATACAGTGGCGATACCTCGTCGTATTTCGCAATTAACCCGCGAATATCAACTATGCCGCCGGTGCCACGGCCGAGGAGCTCGACCTCGTCGCGACTCGCATACTTGAGGAGGAACCTATTTTAACCCAAACCCAAGTCAGTGGCGTAAGCCGAAATATGGGCACTGGAGAGGAAGAGAAGGGGAAATGAGGATGGAGCCCGCCAATTTGCACGGCCAGGAGCCACGGCACGATCGCCGCAAAGTACACGAAGTGTAGAAAGTCAGGGAACGATAGAGAGAAGGGACAATCCGTACCATCCTCCAGGCTCGGCGACGGCGGCCTCGTGGGCCTCTTTTACTTTCGCATCGTCCAACCCATTTAAAGACATCCTTCCAGCAAAATGTCGCCCTCGACGACGACGAACCTAGGAGGATCTCTGCGCTGAGCTGGACCGAGCTCTAAGGCTTGGTCTTTATACGAAATGCTGAAGCTTCGTCTCGGTTACAAGGCCGTTGATGGCAAGTCGAGATACAGGAATGATCAAGAGGGTCGCCCGAGACCAGAACCAGAGCCAACTCAAGGGACCAGCAGTCTGGCTCGACATCGAGACAACACCATGCGTACCCAAGGAGGTGGGCGGGTGGTTTCTTACGGAGCTTTACCAGCGAATATCGTTGCAACCGATGCGCGCACAACAACTTGTGCTGGACCTGTCGAGGAAAAGTCGAGGCGGCCAAAACGAAAGAGAGCGGGATGGCAGTACGGGGCTTGACCAGGGGGGGGGAGAGGAAATTTCGATTAGGGGGGCGGAAGAATAAAATAATGTGTACTCCTGCGGACTAACTGCAGAGGGGGAGGGAAGCGCCAGTAGTGTAGGTATAGCGCGCGCGCGTTGGGCAGGTGGTGAGAGTGGGAGGAGGAATAGGGAGAAGAAAGAGTGGTCAGGATCAGGGATCAGGGGTCATAGCCGGCGCGGAAGCCCAAGCACTTAGCGGAATAGAAGGAGGAAGAGCTCGCATGTAATGTATATGTGTATAATACGTAGGTAGGTATGTACGTATGAATGGACAAATAGGTCGAGGTCGGTCGATATTACCAGCATAGAGTCGACGTGCACACCGAGACGACGACGACGACGCCTACGACAGCAGAGGTAATACAAGCAGCAGAATGAATAGGGGATGAGTATTGTACAACGCGGTGGGCCCTGGGAGGAGACTGGGGGGCGATTGATATGCCGAAGATGAATAAACGGAGCCTGTGCAAAAAGTAGACTGGTAGATAGAAATTACAAGATGAGACAGACAAGATAAGAGAGCGACGGTTTCCCAGGCAAGGCCGAAGGACCACCTGGCAGTAAACAGACCGGCTTACTAGTCCAAGAAGGGGGAAGAATTGGCAGAGAGGATCGGAGGAGAGGAGGAAGGCGAGCAGGCAGATCAGCTCCTCTCAAGGCAGGCAAAATAATAATTTAACAGATTGGAGAGAGAGAGAGAGGGAGAGACGTAATGAGACAGGGAAAGGGAAAAAAAAAGGCAGAGAGAGAGAGAGAGAGTGAGAAGAGAGGTGGTTGTGACATGAGGGTGGTTCACTACGACTGTCTCGCTCTTTCTCTCGAGCGTGCACTCTCTTCCCTCGAACCCAATCAGCACGTAGATGGATGTACCCGGGGGAGCTTAGCATAAAAGGGATTGGATAACAATTCAAGGTTTAAGGAACGCACCGGGAAGTATCTGGGGCGTACAGGCCGGTACCTGGCTAGTCGATTAAAGGGGTACCGACGCAGAAAAAGTCGCGGACCTGCGTTGGGCATTGTATGGTTCAATGTAGGCAGACACGGGGCACACTAGGTACATTAGGAACATTGGCCGTGGAGCGCCTGTGTACAAGAGGTGATACACCTTGAGTACTTTCCAACGCTACCCCCCATACGTCTGACGGAAATGTACCTAAGGTATGTAACCTGGCCGCACAAGTACGTGACCTGCGTACCTACATAATGTAGGTACCGGGAAGAGGACGTATGTAACGCAACAGCCCCCCCATAGTGGAATGGGCACACACATAGCCGTACGTAGGTGTGGATGGGCGATATGATGTGCTATATACCTACCCGGGTATGTATGGAAGGTTCCATGCTAAGTTCCAGCCCTTCATGCTTTTCTTTAATACCTAACCCGACTCTCCTTCTGCCAATGAACAGTATTGACGTATGGTACGAGTACAGGACCCTGGGTAGAGACGGGGTATATGAGGCTAGGAGGTACCTAGGTACCTAGGTAGGTGCAAGATGCTAGGGGGGTAGGGGGTACATACCCTAATGTATAGGAGGTAGATATGCCCGTATATATACGTATAACCCAAGGTAACCTACAGGTCCCCATTTGACTGCCTCCTACAGAAGTTAAAGCCTCTTTTCCTCCCTAGTCTCAACACCTTGCCACCCCCTCTCCTTGCCGAAGCAACCACCGAAGAATCGATGCGACGATCATGCAATGGTGAGAGAGAAGAAGAGAGAGGAGAGAACCCAGAATCAGACCAGCCTAAAATGCCTTATACTCTACGCGTAGCTCGGTACCTCCTAACCTACATCTGAACCTAATGCACGAATTAGGTACCTACCGCTAATATAGAGGCAAGGTACCTGGCATACGCGCCTGACATGCAAACAATACCTGCCTTACATGCCATTCGCATGAGGTAGGTACCCGCACACATATGTACACAATACATGGCGCACCTTGCCTGCGCGGCTGGCCGCTCTCTCGCTCTGTAATGTAAATGACAGGGAGACGCTAGGTCTTTCTCACCTGCATTAGATCAGCCCTCGGAGCATTCTAACAGCCTATTGGAAGGGGCTCTCCCGCGTCGGTGGCACGTCGTAATTCAGCACAGTTGGCGCACGGGCCACGCAAGCCATTCGACCTGCGCCCAGCCAATGGCAGGTTTCGGGCGCTGCTATATTGAAATAAGTGGTAATTATACTGTGTCCGTATATTGTGTCCGCACACACACGCCTTATAACCTAAAGAGTCTCGCAGCATTTCCTTTCTCTCTCTTTTTCTAACCCTGTTTCTCGGGGGAATACTCACCTGTCTGCTTCCGTACGTAATATACCTTAGGTGCCCAGGTACCTATCTACGTTAGGTATGCTCCAACGGAACCATGTCCGCCTCAGGCACATGTATAGGTATATAGGTAGGTACTTAGGTAGGTACCTAGGTAAGTGTTAACCCACTCTCTCAAGTGTTTTGCGTCTCTAGGTATTTCGCCTCCTACCGTTAGGTGTCCCTCCCTTGACACAGTACCTACCTACTGTGCCTACACATTATATACCACACACTCACATCTCTCTCAACTTCCCAACGGCAGCGCACGATGGGTGCTTCACACACCTACCTCACACTTACACGTCTACATAGGTAGGGCTCCCCTTCGCAACCCAACCCGGGCCAGTGGAAAACGGAATCCATCCTAATCGCCGGGCTACCGAATGGCGAGATTGCAAGAAACGCAGTCTCCTCTTTCGCGTGCCTACCCTACTGCGTAGTATGGGATCGGCGTATTATTAGGTGACATCGTCGTGCCCCGGAACAACCCGCCCTAGGGTCTACGCATCCAGATATGGTACATAGCTGCCTGCCTACCTACATACATGCATATTACATACACTCACACACACCGCTCACACACCACACACACACACACATCAAACGCAGCCGTAAGACATCGATCCCGTCCAGGCGCATGCATATACACCTACCTACCTACCTACGCCATATGCTGCCGCTGCCACCGCCGCCGCCTCTCCACCTGGCTACCTCCTAGTAATCGGCCGGCCGTCTCTACCTTCATCGGGCAAGCTGTCGTGCCTGCACGTACGTTTCTTGGCGGATTTCGGGGTGGCCGCGGACGCTCGTACATGCCTGCGGGACTCACCGCGCCGAGGCGGACACTCGCGGAGACGAACGAAGGCCTCTCCTGCATATGCACGCCCGGCACATGCGCAGGCTGCATCCCATCTCCCCATGTGCTCAGGGAGACTGGGACATTCCGTGACCGCGCACGTTCTGCAGACAAAAAACCCTATCGGAGATGACTGGCCCCTCTCCCCCTCACCCCCTTATCCCGGCGCGGAGAAGGAGGAGGAGAGGCAGAGAGGCAGGAAAGCAAAACATCGCCGACAGCCCGCTCGGCCCTTGGATCCGTCCAATAATGGCTGCGAGGCCGTCGCCTCAACCTATCACCCACCACCACACTGCCGGCGTTCGTTTCGTTTCGTCCGTTCAAACGAGACGGGATGCAGCTGGGCAGGTAAGTCACCTCATTAGCCAAGACTCCCTTTCTCTCCTCCGCGCCCGCCTCCTAGTTCGTTCGTTCGTTCGCAACCGCAGCAGCCGCAAGCTTGAGGGACCCCTCCCCCCCGGTCCCCCCTCCAAGAAATACGCTTTGACCCGTCTTGTCACGCACATGAGCGCGACGATCCGATCGCTCAGGATTGGCTGAGGAGGTGCGGTCGATGTCCGCTACCACCTAATACCTCCCTGCTTTGCGCGACCCGTAGGTATTTTCCGCGCTCGCACTTTTCTCTCCTCCTCCTCCTCCTCCTCCTCCTCTCACCGTCATTCCCATCGTAAACCTGGACACTATCCGCGCCTACGTGCATACACCCAGCAGCCGCGCGCACGTCCCGGTCTTCTCATAACCCCTCCCCGCACACGACGCGACCAGCCCATTCGCGATAGCCAAGTCTGGAAGGGGGGGGAACGAGGGCGGCGAGGGGCAAGGGGTGGCCGCGGCCAAGGAGGGGATGCCATTCCGGCCTTGACCCCGTCGGCGGGGTCAAACCCATCCCACGGCGTGCCACCACGCGCAACCCAACGTAGAGCCCCCGGCGCGAGCGCGATGCCGGGGCTCTCTCACCCCACTTGATAAGCAAGGTACCCATGCCTTCACGCCTGCGCGCTACACATGGCTACACGTAAGTAGGCACGAGATGATGTAAACCCTCTCGCGTGAACGCCGCTGCGCCCATTGGCATACTTCAAGCCAACATATACCTATACCTACAGCTGTCATAGCCGTGACAGGAGGGCCGATTGCGAGGGGCCAGGTCCTGGAAAGCAGACGGTTCCCGCGCCGCGCACATCACCTCCGCGTATGCACGCGGCGGGCAAAGTAGATGGATACCTTCTCACCTAGACGCCGCGAGGAGAGAGACGCGCGACCTGCCCCCCTTCCCCCCCGCGTGCCAAACCTTACCTGTCTACCTACCCGGTACGTAGGAGACGAACACGCCTTGCTCACGTAATCGCAACACCCCTCCTGGACGTATAATGGGGGGGGAAGAAGGGGGGGAGCTGCTTCACCGCTTTCTCCCAGACCGCAGCAAAGAAAGCCGCTCCTTGCGTAGGACGCGTGCCGGGGGCTCTCGGCGGGCTACGTGCCGCGGCCAGCCGCAGCCGGCACGTGTGCCCGCTTGCGAGGCCGCGGGCGACGACAGGGAAACTAGGTACCTTGGGCGCCCAACGTCCGCAAGCGAGGCGTAGGTATCTCGCAGCCCTCGCGGGCGGCCGCCGCTCCACGTCCGGACACGGGGCCGGGTAGATAAGACAGGTAGATAGATAGATAGGTAATGCAGACGCGCTACCGTACGCATACGCAGGACGGGCGGACGGTCGGTCGGTGGGTGATGTGCGCCGTCGCGTCTCTCGGATCCTTAGCTAGCAAGAAAGATCCCCAGCTCTGCCGCGTGAGAGCCGCGACGTAAGCCCGTAGGCTGCAACAGGGACGTGCGTTCGTTTCTCGCGGCCTCCGGTCTCGGTGCTGTCGCCGCCCGGATATCCACAGGAGGAATAGAAGAAGCAAAGAAGGAAGAAGACGACGACGACGAAGAAGAAGAAGAGAGCAGAATTCCGTATGGAGCATGTGACCGATAATGACCGGCGGATTCCATAGCCTGCCTTAGTTTACCAACTTCAAAAACGTACATACAGCCGGCGAGACGTCGCAACAAGAAAAAAGACAACACCCCTTTCATGCAAAAGCCTACAGCCCGTCGACTCCGTTCGTCGTCCGTTTCCGTCGCGTTCGCGCCCGTCCCGTACATCTTTTCGGGGCCTCTCTCCTGGCCTCGCTCCAGCAATTCGACCTTGTCTCCTTTTCGGCACGGGAACAGCCTCGCCGTCGGCGCCGACGCGAATCAGCTCGACTCGCACGCTATCACCCAATCCATCCGTACACGGCACGATGGCTTTCATGCCACCATCTACCGACCCCCTTCTAACTCTCGTAGGCGATGCCGCGCAAAGAGGCATGCGCTATGACAGGCTGCCGTCATCCAACTCGCCAAAACACGCTCCGCTCGCGAGGTAATCATCGGGCTGCGCGATGAATCGACTAACGAATACTAGTATAGCACACAAGTAACGCCGCGGGCCCAACCGTATCGATGGCGAATATTTCGACGAATTAGGGCTTCGGCGGCGACCTGGAGACTTTGGGGGATGTGCCTTCCGGCGAGGCTAGTCCACCGGGCTTGGGAATCGCGTCGGTAGTGATCTCTGGAGCGTCGCTTTCCTCTAAAGAGGGAGGTTCTTCTTCGACGGATCCCTCGATGACAGTTGGTTTGAAAGTCTCCCCATCATCAACTGCGATGATGTCGTGGCCCTTGCCACCGTTGCTAGCAGATATGCCGATGGCTGGGGCTTCGCCGTCGGCAATCTTTTGCTTCGTGGCGTTGACGATCTTGTCAGCTTCGCTGACTCTGCCACTCGCGCCCGTACTATCTCCCTCCACGCCGATAAGATTGTCCTTGTTATTCTGGTGGCCTAATAGGGCGGCCCTGTCAAATCGGACAATCATGCACGACAAGTTATCCGTGCTAAACGAAGCCAGCGCATAGTCAACAAGTCTCTTGGAGGCGATCACGGGATCTTGTTCATCGCGGACTAGGTCCACCGCGTCCTGATCGCTGCAGACGTCCCAGAGCTAAGCGCCAGTTAGCAACCACCTGTCTCGATACTAGCACGCTAACGCTCGGTTCAGACACTTACCCCATCGCAAGCGATGATGAAGAATTCATCTGCTTCCGGTTGGATGACGGTTTCGGTAGTGTATGGATGTCCCGTCACGAGATCCTTCATATAGGTATCTCCGAGGGCTCTGGTAACAGCCAGCACCCCGTTCACGCGGTTGTTGAGGATCAGCCCTCCGGCATTCGCGATGCGCTTTCCCTCGTTCTCGTCGCTGCCCTTGTGGTCGTAAGAGAGACGCAAGGCTTTGCCGGCTCGGCAGAGCACGATGCGAGCGTCGCCCACGTTTGCGGTGTAGAGAACCCGTTGCCGCACTGCAGCGCTCCTTAGTTTCGCGTGTGTCGACTCAAGGATGGAATTGCCACCGGTATCGTCCTCGAGCTTACCGTCTTTGAACTTGGATGAGTCCGCTACTTTCGAAGCCGCCGCCGCAGCCGGAGCAATAGCCTGAGAGCCAGTCGCCGACGTTGAGCTGGGCACCCTATCTTCCCAGCGTAGAACGGCAATCGCCGCCGTGCACCCGCTGTTCTTGAGAGGCAGCTTTTCTAGTTGGGCATCGACATCGGTGAAGGTCTGGTCGAGCAGCTCGGGAATAGGGACATTGGGGTTTCGTCGAATGGTGTCCTCGAGAATGAGATGCAGCTTCTTGCCGCACCAATCCGCGGCGAAGCTACCGGCATGCCCGTCGAATATGGCAAAGTATCCATTGTCGGTCTCGATCATATCTTGCGAATTCGCATCAGACTGATGATCGCTGCCCTCGGTGGAAGACTTCTGAGACTTGGAGCCTTTCCCGCCAGAATCGGGGGCGAGGAGGGGCGCCGGAGTATGCAGAAAGTTGTAGAGGAACGCATGCGTATCTTCCATAGTACGTCGACATTTCTTGTTCCTATCCTCCCAAACTCCGACGCGGAAAGTGGAGCGTGGCCCGGGGACGGAATCGCCGGCCGAGTTGTTGTGCTGCCCCTGGGGCACCGCGAGCGATTGGTCCTGCTTTCCTAACTTTTGTAGAGGACTTTGATTGCTTACATCACTATTTGATCTGCCGACTTGGCCAAAATTCAAGCTATTCTTAGCGCTGGCTATGAGGCTGCTAGCTTTGCTCCCGACCCCAGAACTCCTGCGCTTCTTCTCCGAGTTGCCTGTGTCAGAATTATGTCGCCCAGGAGGGCTGCTATTCCCACTGCGCTTCTCGCCACTGGTAGCATGGTCGGGAGATTTCGTCGGGGCGGCAGTAGGAGCGGATTCGTGTTTTCGGTCTGGCGACGATAGCTTCTTGTCCGATTTGCCAGATTCGGAGACCGCGGGCTCAGATCTTGCCGCGGCAGAGCTGGACCCGCCCCCGAACATCCTATTAAGCAGACCTCCCTGGGAGGAGAGACTGCGGCGCTTATTCCCTGCCAGATTTTCGAAAGATGGGCCTTTTCGATGGAGAGAGCAGGCACGACAAGCCGGTGTGTGAGGATGCGCCAGAGTTGTCCAAGCTGGTGCGGAGAAAGGCGTAGGTCCCTCGGTACTTGCAAGGGGCGGACGTCGCGGAAATCCGAAGGGCTTCACGTACAGGTCGATGGAGATCGTCTTCAGAGGGCAAAGCTGTTCAAGGAATGAAAGGGGCACTTCGCCGTGGTGGTATACGAAAAGCGACGCGAGGTCTGGCGATGTGTCGAATAGCCCAAGTGAGAGACTGCATTAATTAGAATATACTAGGTTATAAGAGTCGTAGGGTTGGGGGCCTTTCGGGCACGGAACATGAACACAAGGGCCGTAGCTGTAACAACATTTGAATGAAACAGAGAAGAATGCCTCAGACGATCAAGATTGGTCTGGATCAGCAGCAGGCAAAGCGGTACGTGTGGTGTATGGAGAAGATAGGGCGAGGAGAATTAAGAAGAGGTTATGATAGGGCAGTCGGATGGAAGTGATCGGGATTGGGCGCCATACACAAGAGGTAGTAACTAGGCGCAAGACACCTACGTCAGGTATGTACGGACGGATGTAGCATGTATCGAGGCAGGGAAGACGATTATAGGTGAAGTTACCAAGTCAGGACCAGGCCAAGCCAGACCGGCCAGGGAGGGAGACAGAGCGCGTGGGCGACGAGTGAGGGAGGGAGAGGGCCGTTCGAGGGCGGGGAGGGGGAGGGAGGCGAGAGGGATGGACGGAGAGTTGAGCGAGAGAGAGTGTTGTGTGTGTATGTGTGTATGTGCGCCTATGCGTGCGCGCGCACAGGGAGCAACTCGAGCCGGACTCACCTACTGTACGTAGCGTAGGTATGTTGCGGATGGACGTATTTAGGAGCGCATTCGGTGCTCGTCGTGAAATACAGAGGGTTACTCAGGTCGAGGGGGAGGGAGGGAGAGACGCCGTGGGTGTCTATGATGTCCACACGTAGCCCTGATAGTGGCACCGCGAGAAAAGCGAACGTTGCGAGAGCTGCTGCGACCTGGAAGCGGTTTAGGGTGACTGGCTGAAAAAATCGTGGGGCGTGAGTGATGCAACGCAACGGCTTGGAGATGAGATGAGAACGAGGGGATGGTGGAAAAGGGCGAGTGAGAGGTGCGGAAGGGGTGGGGAGAGGGCCGGTGTTGATGTTGGGTGGGGAGAAATTGGAAGCCGGTCAATCAATTGGCGAGAGACGAGTCTAAGGGATGGGAACGGGAGGAACCTGTTAGAGGTGCTGCTAACCGCCAACCCCGGGTAGCCGACCGAGGACAGGTACTGCGCATGTATGAGTACATCGGGACCGCCTCCACGAAGCTGGACGATTGGCTTGTGGAGGGAAGCAGACGGGGAGAGGCCGTGCCCAGCAAGTCGGGGTCGGGTAGACTGGAACATCTAGGTACAATACCCAGGTACGCAGGTAGTACCTAGGAGGTAGGTCCATACTGCACAATAGAGACCTAACGTGCCAGTAAGGTACACCCAGCAGGGCATACAGATGTACCCTATAAATGGGGGTCTTATGTGCCGAAGCCCAGTTCACCAGTGCCAAGTGGGGGAGGGGGCTTAAGGCCCACGTAGGGAGGCTACGTACCCTACCTACCTCCTACCTCCTGTACACGTAGATGAGGTTCCTATGAGTAGAATCAATACCAAAGGGTTAGGTACCCAAGAGGCAGCCAAGGTAGATACCTAACATACATAGGTACATAAGGTCCCAGTTATCTACCTAGCCACCGGGAAGGTTGTGATGTAATGTCTCAGCTGCGATGTTAGACAGATACATGCCGTAGCCGACCTTGGGATGGGGTCGGTTCCATCCGGGTTGGTGTCTGACTGGGAGGAGGTAATCTTACATGGAGGTCCGCAGAAGCAGAGGGAGGGAGAGCTCTATTACTCCGCTGGGACCTACGTCAGGTACCCATTACTACGTGCCTACTTACCTAGCAGTGGATATCAGTAGGTGCCGCACAGATACAATGCCTTCCATAGTACGCACCTTTAAACCTCGTTTCGTCGATCGGTACCGAATGCAAAACCTGTCAACAGCCATCGAAACCAACCCTCTGCATGTGTGCATCGCTTCCGCCCCTTGGCCATCTAGCAACTGGCCCCAGAGCTGTGAGAAAGGGCCGCGGAGGAGAACCCGAAGGGGTTGCAGATGAGTTGCGCCAGCTTATCGATCACACCATGTGGCGATCACATTGCACCCCTCCCCCGCGTATACACAGCCTATGTGCCTTACGATGATGGGCGGCTTTCGGGGGCCTTCTCTGAGTGCCGCATCTTCGGGGTTATGAACTCAGAACAGGTAAGTATGTAAGGTACCCAGGTGTGTTGCCCTACCTAGGTACCTCTATGTAAGGTACCTACCGCCTACCTGACGGTGTATGTAGGAGGCATCATGCTGCCAATAAAGGTGCGTAAGGCCCACGCAATGCTACCTGCCTCTCACTGAGTTCCCTACTGATACCTCTTAGCTCTCAGGATGCCCTACGCAGGTAGGAGGTAGGTATCTAGGTAAGGTATCTACGTGTACCTACCTAACCTACCGCTCACCTAGAATATTGGTGTGAGAAACGATGCTATTAGTAATGGCCCCGGGTAACTGGATCCATTTGTAATCCGGCAACCCGCGAAGGAGGCCTGTCCCGCCTAGAGATATAAAGGGGGAGAGGGTGGCCTCCCTCCGATGGTGCTGGTTTCGAGGCTACGCGCTTAGATTTCGACCCAGCATTTCGCTCTCGCCGACGCCGCGAACGATCGATGGTTGCGATCGTGCCAGATCCGTGAGATATTATACCACCGCCACCCCACGCCGGCCATGTCAGAAACGTTCGTCCCCGCTTTCCCGGACCGGGACCGGCCGCTCGTCAGCTACGGCCTCCCCTTCGTCCAATCGCTCCCGCGCCACGTCGACCACCTTTTCCACGCATCGAGAATCTACGTCATCAGCTCCCGATCCCTCGCCGCGAATACCACCTATCTCGATGGCCTGAAGGAGGCGCTGGGCGGCAAGCTCGCCGGGGTCAGGATTGGCATGAAGCCGCATTCTCACTGGTCTGAGATCCTGGAGGTTGTCGCGGAGGCGAAGAGGCACGATGCAGACCTGCTTGTCACGCTCGGAGCCGGGAGCCTGACGGATGCGGCCAAGATAATATCATTCGTACGCCGGCCCACCTCCACTACCTAGCTAGCAGCCTATACACGCCCTATAGGCCATAGCCAGGGGGGTTACGCTCGTGATGCTAAACGCTGTATGCGATTAGGCCCTGGCAAATGACGTCTCGACGCACGAGGGGCTTAGCGGCCTCCTCCCTGAGAGCCCGCAGAAACGCGACAATATCAAGCCGGCCACGGTGCCGATCGTGTGCATCCCCACCTCTCTCTCGGGCGGGGAGTACTCGTCCTTCGCCGGAGGCACCGACGATAGGACGGGACAGAAGCACATCTTTGCGGGCGAGGCTCTAAAACCCCCCGCATTGGTTATCCTCGACCCCGAGCTGACCACCACCACCCCCGATAAGGTCTGGTTGAGTACCGGCATCAAGGCCGTCGACCACTGCGTCGAAACCCTCTGCTCGCTCGGGAGCGACGACTTGGCCGATGCCGCCGCCAGGGACGGGCTTACTAAACTGATCCCAGGCCTCCTCAAGACCAAGCAGAACCCCAAGGACCTCGAAGCACGCCTAGAGACCCAACTCGGTGCCAAAGATGCCATGGCCGCGTGCAGTCGAGGTGTGCCGCTAGGGGCAAGCCGTAGGTCTATTTTGTGACTCCTTTTTCTTTCTCTTCGAAATGGCACGTATATCACTAACTCAAGGTGCCGTAGACGGTATCGGCCACCAGCTGGGTCCGGCAGGCGTAAGCCACGGAGAAACCAGCTGCATCCTCAACCCTGCGGTATGCAAGTACAATTACAAGAAGGGCGCCAATGTCGAGCGGCAAGACGCCATCGCGCAGCTGTTGTGGGACGAGCCGCAGGCTCGAGCGATCTTCAGCCAGAGAGGGCTGAATAAGGAGACCGCAGATCTCGGTGATCTCGTGGACGCTATCGTCCGCGCCCTCGACCTCCCGAGGACACTGAAAGAGTTTGGCATCGGCGAAGACAAGCTCGATGGCATCGCCGAGCGTAGCTTGCGCAATCGGTGGGTGCAGAGCAACCCGGCAGGTCTGGATAAGGACGGCGTGCTCGAGATCTTGAAAATGGTGCTCGGATAATATATGTTCGTAGTTGGCAGCACTCCATGGTACAGAAAAAGACGGAAGCAGAAACACCCTCCAAGAATGCCTACACTCCATGCTCAGAAGCCACATGCACAAATCCTACACCAAACCCGATTCTAGCGAATTTATAGTTGCCGCAAATGCACCCCGGTCCCGACCAAGATCCTGATAAGGTTCTGGCCGGGGCCTACTTCCTTAGACTATCAAGACGAGCCTGGAGGTCATCATCACCAGGGTCTCCGCCGCCGCCGCCGCCACCACCACCACTGGGCCCGCCGATAGCCTGGGCGACCCGGCTTTCGGTAACCTTGTCGGACTGGAGACCAGTCGGTGTCTCTCCAAACTGTGCTAGGGTTAAACAAGAGGGTTGACTGGCCTGGGGGAGGGAGGCGACTCACGGCTTGGTTCAGATCAACACCGATCTCCTCCAGGACCTGCTCTACCACTTCGTCACCCTCCTCTTCTAGACCCACGTCCATGGCGTCGTCTATGGCGTCGTCCATCATCTCCTGTCGCTGCTCCATTATATCATTCTCCCGTTCAAATTCCATGGCGATGCGTTGCAGTGCCGGTAGGTTCATCGACTTGTTCATGCTCCCTAGGGCCACGGTGGCTCCCTTCATGGCTTGCATCATCTGCTCGTTCGTTCGGTGGGTCTGTAGCATCTCTCCCGTCAGTACATGTAGCACGGTAGGAGATGATTCCCTAAGGGTGACTGACCTGTAGTCGCAGGGAGATCTTCTGCAGTTGGCTCCTCATTCCGTAAAACTTCTCGACGTATCTGTAGACAGGACCAGCAGACATCAGCCAGGCCCCTCAGCTAGATGTCGGCTGGGAGGGGTACGCGTGGTCTTACCTCCTCGTACGCACGAGGTCCTTCGCTTGGATTTTGGCCGCACCCATCTGTCCCTTTTGCGCACTCTGTTTGATCTGGCCGACGAGGGTCTTCTCCTGCTTCTCGAGTTTCACGCGGACTTGATCCAGCTCTCGGATCGCCTTGTCGAGCATTCGCTGGTTCTTGCGTAGACGCTCGGCGGGCGTCATACGCTTGCCGAAGGCCCATTCGAGGATCTAGCCATTGACCATCAGCACCTTAGAACCACCCAGCCACTTTGAGAAGCCGAGATGTCGTGGCTCACATTCATAGCTGTAGGGTTCGGTGCAATCGGCACAGGAGGAGGCTACACACGAGCACGCTGTCGACGTTCGGGGTGCCAACTATCGGGCTCAACTCGGCGTAGTCGGGTGAATGTGTGGATGCGGACAGAGGGTTTCCGGCCGAACGAGGGGTCTAAGGTGGTTGGAAATCTAGCGTCCAGGCTCGATCAGTTACGCGTCAGGGGTTATGCGAATTCTACGACAGGGAGCTCGCGATCGGGCGGGATTGCGCTCGATTGTGGTTGTCATCAGGAGAACATGTGCCAGCTTCGTCAACAGCGGTAATTGTAGTGTTAAAACAGGTTGCCTAGTAAGTCGAAGTTGAGACTCTGCCCCTTCCAATCACCTGGAGAGAAGGAGGCGCCAGGTGGCGATCGATTTCGCCGATAATGCGGTACCTATGTACATGTACCTCCTTATCGTCTGCCTGAGGACCCGCTTAAAGTCACCTGACGACGAGGAGGGTCTGCTTATGTAACAGAGTGTCTAGGCGGTTAGATGCCCGCTACCAGTAGAGGTACCTAAGGTAGTAGCTTACTACTTAGGTACCTGTACGATAAGATAGGTAGGTATTACCTTCTATGAGTATGGTGCCTGACGAAGAAGTACAGACGCCTTACCCTAGGAGGTAGGGTACGGAGGTGGGCACTGCACGTACACGTAGAAAGCTGAACAATTGATCGACCGATGGTGACTGAAGAATGCCACGTGACTGTGAGTTGGGTACCGAACACATTCCTTTCGTCGGGCACGGTCTGACCAGGTCAGGTCTGCGAGTCATTTGGTGGTTGCGCCGCGTACCTTCGCAAGGCCAAGCCCCAGCTTTTTCCCCCGATCTACACACAGGTACATAGAAATATGTACGTAATGGGCCGAACCCGCTAATATCAACTACCACGGCCAATCAACGTAGGCATTTCCACCTCAACGGACCGTCATTTTAGCCGGCCAAGGCGGGAAGAAAAGAGAGCTAGAAGAAAAAAAGACGGAGACGAGGAGAGGAAAAAAAGAGCTAGCCCACCACTACCACCACCGCCACTACCACTGGTCTCTTTACACCTCACCACCACTTCCATTACCACCTCACCTACCTGTCCCGCCCGACCCCAACATTCGATCGCCAAACCATCAGACCGACAAACAAACCCGACAGCTCGACGCGCGTACGCAATCACTCCTGCTCCCGTCGATCCCGACCCTGGGTTATGTCTACGGAATCGAGCCATTAAACCGCAGCCATGAGCCAGGACTACCTCCCCTCTAAGAAAGGGAAGGGTAAGTCCCGCGGGGGGCGAAACCGCGAGCGAGACCTCGAGCGGGACCTCTCGCCATCGCCATCCGCTCCCGAGAGGCCGGGCTACATGACCGTCGGCAACGGGTCGTCGCAACATGCCGCGAGACTGCAATCTCTTATTGACGATGACTCCGGCTACGGCGGTAGCATAGCCGGCGACGACTTCAGCTCCGCCTCCTCGAAGCGGCCTACCGGTACCCCTCGAACCGATCCTTCCGTATCGAGGGACATGCCGCTATCACGTCGGTCTTCCGGCGATCCCAGCACCGACCGCCGGAACCAGGCCGCCGCCGTCCATCAGCTGTGGTACAACCAGCATCGAGCGGCTCTCAATCGATCCATCAGCAAAGTCGTCGAGCTTCTCAAGACCCTCCAGGAGATCAACGTCACCTGGCCCGCACACTACCCCTCCGTCCAGCGAGCACAAGCATCCTCACCTGAACGATCGCCATTCTCGCGTCCGGGGCGGCAGCATAGTTTCCCTGTCGGCGGGAGCTCGCCTCCTCCACCCCCGCGACACTTGCGGCGGTCGGTGACGAACGTCGATGACTACGTCGCTGCCGAGTCTAGCCGAGATGCCGAAAACAAGAGTGCGGCCGAGAGCCCCCGATTAGTCACCCCACAAATTGCCCAGGAGTTTTCTATCCTCAAGTTAGACCTCAAGCTCGGCGCCTTGCACCAGGTCGAGCTTGTCCATTCCCTCGAGAAGGGCTCCGTCGCTGCATTGCTCGATGGGAAGATCAGCTCGAGCATCAAGCACTTGCTCTTGCTGCGCGAGAGAATCGAGGACACCTCCAGCAAGGTCCTGGTGACCGGAGACCTTAACGCCGGAAAGTCGACATTCTGCAATGCTCTATTGCGGCGCAAGGTCCTGCCGGAGGACCAGCAGCCATGCACGAGCATCTTCTGCGAGGTCCTCGACGCGAGGGAGAACGCCGGCGTTGAGGAAGTCCACGCCGTCCACAGGGACACGGTGTACAACCGACACGACGAATCAACCTACGATGTCTTTTCCCTGCGCGAGCTTGAAATGATCGTGCTCGAAAATGAAACCTACATCCAGTGCAAGGTTTATATCAAGGATGTGCGGACGATTGACGAGTCGCTACTCAACAACGGCGTAGTAGACATTGCGTTGATCGACGCCCCCGGGCTCAACTCCGACACGACAAAGACGACGGCGGTGTTCGCGCGGCAGGAGGAGATAGATGTCGTTGTTTTTGTGGTCTCCGCTGCCAACCACTTCACTCAATCCGCCACGGAGTTTATCCGGGCCGCGGCAGCGGAGAAAGCCTACATCTTTATGGTCGTTAACGGTTATGATATGATCAGAGACAAGGAACGTTGCCAGAAGATGATACTGGATCAGGTTTATGGCCTTAGCCCCCGCACCTTCAAGGAGTCTAGCGAACTTGTCCACTTCGTATCCAGCAATGCCATTCCGACTGTGCCGTCCCCCTCGAGCGGCCCGGATGGCGGTGGCGATGATCCCAGCGACGATCCCAAAGGGAAGGGCAAGGAGAAGGAAAAAGTTCGGGACTTCGAGAAACTAGAACAGTCCCTCAGGCGATTCGTCCTCGAAAAGCGAGCGCGGTCTAAGCTTGCCCCGGCGAAGACATATCTCCTCAACATCCTCAATGACCTGAACGTTCTTGCTACCGTCAATTCTGACGTAGCCCAATTCGAACTAGATAGGGTGACGAATGACCTTCGCGAGATCGAGCCGCTTCTCGAGTCTTCTAAGAAGGCAAAGGCTGAAGTCAGTGATGACGTTGACAAAAACATCGAGGAGACTTGCAAGGAAATATATGAGCACACCCGGACTAGCCTCAACTCGGTGATCGCTAGCGCTGGCGATGGGGATCTCGGCATCCCTTATCCAGGACTGTTTCAGGCCTTCCAGTATGCTGAGGACATAAAGGAAGCGATACTATCCGAGATCTCAGAATCGGTGACGTCCTGCGAGGACTATGCCCGAACAAAGACCGTGAGCGGAGTGAATATCATCAAGCAGCTTGGAATCCTGCACCTCGGCGACGAATATAATGACCTCAACTTCCGCTCCGATGTCATGTTCCGCAGGCGGCGTGACGTGTTGGCGAAGCAGGTCGACATACCTACTGAGTTCTGGGACTTTGTCGACTGGTCTTCGCTCATCCAGCGCCAAGAGAAGGTCGCCGGCACCGGCATGGCCTTGACCGTCGCCACTGCCATCGGTGGGCGCCTACTCGGGGGTATGGGATGGATGGACCATACCGTCACCGCGATGAAGCTTATCGGGAACGACAATCTGCGAAAGCTGATCATCCCCGGCGTAGTTCTAGCAGGTATGTTTCCATTACGATGTGCTGCTCCTGAGCGGGCGCTGACCCTTCTTGTCTCTAGTCGTCTCAGCTACGGCCTATGTGATTCAACAGATCCCACATTCGCTTCCTCACCGCTTGTCCGAAAAGATATCGATGAGGCTAGCTGCAATCGATTACGTCCACACCAACAGCACCCGTATATCGAGCTCCGTGCGCAAGGTTCTCCGCTACCCCGCTGACAATCTTCGAGTTGGTTTGGCGCGCTCGGTAGAACAACTCGACTCGCGCCGGGAGGAGACGCTCAAGGTTCGCGGTGAAAGCGAGGTGGCGCTTAAGTACTTTGGAAATCTCGTACGAGAAAGTTCCCATCAGCGAAGCCTGGTTGAGGACATCGATCTTGACGCGCACCCTCAAGGCTCCTCTGGTATGAACATTGCGTAGACTACGTACTCACGAAAAGGAGAAGAAAAAAGACGTGGCATGGAGAGGCGTTTAGGGAAGCAGGCCCGGAATCAACGACATTATTCCATTTGTTCTCGAACTCGATCGTCGTAACCTTTAGATGTTCATGATGGATGACGAAAAAAAAAAGAAAAAGACTCGTGCGAAGAGCAACGTAGAATGGCAAGTGAAGTTGCACAGACAGGAAAAAGCTCTACTCTCCCACATGACCTATACATTGCACCCCCTTCCCAATTCCGTGTACCTAGTCCATAGTCTTCCTAGCATGCGAACCAGATATTTGTTACAAGTCCCTGTACCGATATCCGTACGCTAGTGATTATGTGCTCCTAGGCCAACGCTTCGAAGACGAAAGATATATCAAGTTGGTTCCATGTATATATGTAATAGACCTATAGAGGTATGTTCATGGGTTACCTGCCTACTCACCATGCTATGCATGCCCAACTTACAGGAACGATTCAGGGGTGATCGACACTCGAGCCCTGTCTACATATATTGATAGATATGCAAATGGCTAGGAATAATATGCATGTATACCGTCTACCTTGATGTATAGGTAGGCAGGTATGCTTGCCGCTCTTTGATGGGCATCGAAATGAAGATATATAACACCCAGCACCGAAGGAAGAATATCAGCTGATTAGTGGCCCTATGTGCGCCGTATGTACCTAGATATATCGTCCCAAATAGGCCAGCATAACCGGTTAGAGTATTATTATTCGTGTTAACTTATTGTTTATCGAATCGTTCACCGTTCGATTTATTGAATCCGGTGGAAGGGGATAAGAGTAGGGGGGAGAGAGAGAGATTCGGCCAAATACTACGAGACAGTAGCATCACAATTCCGTGAGGTTGGATCGCTTTGCCATTGATAGGACCCCTTGCCACAGATCACCGCACAAATGCCTATCTGCGAGTGGGTCTATGACGACCGGTGTTGCTGTCGCTGGGCATTGCTATGACCTGTTCCGTGGATATATGTGTGGGTGCGTCGCACCGCAGTAGTAGTCAAGGAGACGACGCATGTCTGCTACCAACACAACTTTTGACGATCCGAGCAGGCAGGGCTGGTAGGTAGGCATCAGAATGAAGCTGCAGGTCCAATGTACTCTGCCCAATCGCGTCAGACTCGCTTAGCCGTCTGGCCAATGCCACCAGTTGCCTTCGCCGCCGCTCCCACGACGGCTCGTCATTAATGCATGTTGGACGACCTTGGGATGATCCAGACCAGCCAAGTGAACGAGCCGCAGAATTAAGCACAGGCCCGCACAACGGCTGGCCTGCACATTCGGTCCGCTGTTCCATCGAGGAGAAAGCGGTGCGGCCCGTGGCGAATTCGGCCCAAGGGGGAAAGGGTTAATGGCGGACAGAAATTTTCGTGGGATCGGAGATGAGATGTTACCTAGACTCACATTTGTCCCATATACTGAGGAGAGAGGAGCGAGTTTGGTACTCGTATGGAATAAAATGAGTGTAACATTTCACCGTATACACAAACCACCAGCTCTTGGATAGCATCGCCTTCCAGAGCTCACAACGTAAGTTGACCCATCTTCGCTCTACTCCAATACCCACGCATATTACCGAAATTAGCAGTCTGCACGACTCTGCACGAACGTTTCTAGAAAGGCGATCAGTCCCATCCACGCGTCGAAGGACGAGAGCGTACGACTCTACGTAACCCAGCTTTCCGTCCCGCAGAAGGCTGTTTCAGGTCCAAGGGGAGGCAGAGGCGTAGTAGTAGATAATAGGAGAGGCAATCCAGACTTGCCACACGGCGCTCCACGGTCTCAGGGGAAAGGGAGTCTAAGATAGGGGCAACACGTAATAGAAGAGGCCCTCGCGAGGAGAATGGCAGAAGTGTTCGTGGTGGGCCTTTGATCAACCTGATGAGTAATATAGAGGACAAAAAGATCTCCGAGATAGCAGATCCCTGTGTACCCCTGTAGCAATATGAGCAAGTTCGTCATCGTCACCACCGTCGTCGCCATCGTATTGTTATCATCATTATTCTCCGCGGCGTGGGTACTGTCTGCTCTGGTACGCGGTTATCACCGTCGGCCAGGAGAAAAAAAAAAAAGGAGGTGAGAGGGGGAGAGAAACATGTTCTCTCAATCTCCCTCGGACTTTTTGCATGCAAGTCTGCTGCTGCCTGGCGAAGATCGGCAGGTTCTCGGCTCCAGAAGAGACAGCACGCCGGGTTCTCAGAACAGCTCGCAGTTCGACGGGCGGAGCAGAGTAGCAGGCTGTTATTACGACTCTCGTCGTGATGCTTAGAAATGCCAGGCGAACAGTCCAAATGCACCCTGATAATATCTGTCAATATGGAGTGTGCGAGTTCCAACGCTCCTCAGATGAGTGAGGCAACCCTCGACGGGACGATGCCCTCACTCATGAATTTCGGAAGTAGGCAAAAATAAGGTGTAGCATTCTTCTGTGCGAGAAGACTGCTTTCCGAGGCTCGACTATACGTACGCACCGAGAATTCGAGAGTTATCGTCAGGCTTGGAGACGGCAGGAGGTATTATAGGTATATTATAGATTTAAATCATATCGATCTGAGAATCTTGATTTGCATGATCACTTGATCCTTATTCGTATATCCTAGCTTGGGGTAATATCATTGATATACCTTGATCTCACATTATTTTGTCCTTTCCTTCACCCCGATTCTGGCAGTATTAGTTATTTCTTGTTGCAGAATCTATTAGTCCAGAAAATAAATGTTCTGCCACCTTATTATTACGCACAAAAAAGAAAAAAGAATTTTTTTTCGGGCAAACTCCCTTCTTCACCTTCCTCCACCAATTCGTCTACAGGCATTTTTTTTTTCTCCCTGCCGCTGGCCACGTAGAAAATGTTCGGATATCTCCACACACACACGACACATACACATATGGAGATAAACATTTGTTGGCATGCATACACACTTGGAGCTCGCCGTCGGGAGCTAGCCAACTTTCTCCCTGTAGTTTTCCTTATCGTTGCTGTTGCTTTTAGCACAAAGGCCAAGAATCTCCCAGTGGCCCTCGATGGGTCTAGGCCACCAGTCGTCGGGTTTCGGCCATCCTAAGAAGTCTATGAGCAACTTCACATGCGCCGTTGTCGGATTGCCAACTCCCGAGTATAACGGCCCAATCCCCGGTCTTATTCCCACAAAATCATGATGGGGGAGGGCGGGCTCTGACGTATTATACGAACCTGGTCACACTCTTAGACTTAGGCTATGCATTAGTATCGCGCTCTTGGTAGCGCTATCGAGATTCTATAGGCATCTTCTCGAGACTGAAAGAAACAAGCCACAAAACGACAATATAGTAAGCAGACGTTTCCGACGGAGAGGGAGAGGGCTCGTAAAGTGCTGGCCTATATGTTGGAGAGTGTGGTATGTTAGCCGCTTGCCGTTTGGTTCCTTCCTGCGGTCATCATGGGGACTATGGAGAAGACTTCCGGGCCTGGGCCGTGGGGTGAACTCTGGGAGCGAGGATCCGAACCGTTTCCTTTCTCTTTCTCTCTGCCTTTCTCGAGGAGAGGCCGCCCCTCACATGCTGATCCGGTTCTCGTCTGCACTTTAGTAGTTAGCCCGCACACCAAACCTAGTGGATGTTCAGCTCCCTATAATAACGCACTCGATCTGCAGTCCTAGGTAGGCTAACAACGCCAGCAGTTCACGAAGACGGCTGAGTAGGATCGGGGGAATCGCATCATCGGCTATGCGCCATTGGTCACATCACCTTACTACTGCCCCTCCGACATGGTGTCCCACACATCTGGGGTATATTGACGAGAACGGGCTCGCAGCCGTGTGTGGGTAAGGCATTGCTACTTACGGAGGACGTCACATACTAATGTGTATCTGAGCCAGGGTTGACGCGTTAGCTTTTTACCTATATGGAGAACGCAGCACGGCCAATTCTGAAATCGGACAGGCTCTCGACGACTCGTGACTTGATAAGATCCTTGCTCGGAGAAGGTATAATAGAGATAGACGGCGGGGGGGCGTCGAGCCCGTCCCAAGTCCCTACGCGACTTCAGCTGTCTTGGTTCCTCTTTTCGTCTTCTTTTGCACACCACAAGATTACGTGCCTCGAACCACGTAGGTTTGCCTGAGCCGATATCCACAGGCTTGCCACATGGTGGACGTATTAGCTACCTGGCCTGGATCGGAGTATGTTCCCCTCTTGCAGCAATTGACACCCCTACACGGCGCCGCGACATCCCTACGACCCCGAGATATTAATAAACACGAGTCGAGTCGACGGTTAGGACCTACATGTATGCACGTATTGTAGGTTACATACTCAATGGAGACGGAGAGATGGACCCATACATATATAGATACATACGTATACTATGCGCAGGCATACGAAATCCGTATGGTATGCATGCCTTGCAACGGCGTGATTCGAACCAGGGACCCATTCCATCGGCATCCATGCAACCTCGCTTGTTGGTCTGGTCTGCTTGATGAGAGAACATGCCGGGTCGGCAAACCCCCTCTTTCGTCCCATCCTGTGCCTTGGGAACAGGGACAACCCAGGCACACAACCATGCATGTGAGCGAAGATTTCTGCTACGACGTAGCGTATAGTAGCGTAACGCATCGACAAAACCCGGCCCGGCCCGGTCCTGGACGACCTCGAATTCGGACCACAGCATCGGTAGCGGACGACGCGCTCGGCCAGGAAGGATTGCTTTGGCCAGGTTGGATCAGGGATTGCACGGCGAGCGTGAGATTGCGCCGCGCGGGTGCAACCGTACGTCGAATAAGCAATATGTCAGATATCAGATTGCGAAGCCCACACTAGAATGCTAGGCGCGTCTATGCGCACGTACGCACATAATATTATACATACATACTCACACATGCGTACGCGCATGAAGCGTGGTGGGCGCGACGGGGAGACGGGGAGACGAGTAGGGGAGTCAGCCGGGTTGCTCGCAACAAAGAAGTCAGATCACTCTGCGTCTGTTGGTGCTACCCTTGCAATTCTCTTCTCTCTGTTTCTCTCAATCTTCTTTCGCTTCCGCCCCTGCCAGGCCCCAGACTGGATCGCAACTTGATACCGAGGACCCGCTCGACGGCAAGAGACGAAGAAGAGCTAGGCAGAAGAGAGAGAGAGCGCGCGCGAGGCAAGGAAGTAGATGCCCCCTACCTACCTACACGGATACATACATGTGATGAACATGGTTTGTGGCATGAGGAAATGGTACGTGGCGCGCTTATGAATGGAATCAAAGCGCACTCCCCACACCGGGCGATCCGTTCTTCCTTTTGGACTAGGGATAAGCCACGTGGGCTTCGCCTCCGACACTCACATATGTGCGGGCGGACATTCTCATGAAACACGCGGAGCCCATTACAGATGTGTGTACGTGTATGTGTGCGTAGAGAATGGGGACCGGCTCGCTAGTCTGCATTATTATTGTTACCTACATATTATACTATCATGACATTAAGTACGAAGGGAATCCGGGTATCGAACGGGGGGATGGGGGGAAGACCAAGGGAAAGGGGCCGTGTGTCGGCATGCATATGTAGGTATCCGTACACGTTCGTGTATAGTACACGGACAATGGGACTAGTCTAGGAAGGTGAGCGAGGAACCGGAGGGGAAAAGCCGGAGGAGGGAGAGGACAACGAGGACGAGGACGAGGCCAACAAGGAGGAGTAGGGGGAGGGTCCCGTCAGGGGGCAGGCGGGGCTTCAAAAAAATCTCGTTCCCATTTATTAAAAAAAAAAAAAAGATGTGCCATAATATATTTTTCTAAACGGCGGTGTAAACAAGAAGGAAAAATAGATAGTCTGAAAAAAGAGAGCCGCACGACCCAATCCGATCCCGATGCCTAGTATTCCCGTCCACACATTCCATGTATACACCAGACATATCCTAGACCAAAGTATGCGGGGGTGTGAAACTAAATGTGTAAATGTGACAATGTGACAATGTGAGGGGCGGAGAGAGAGGAAGAGTGAGCCGTAACAATGTGTTGTGGTACGGGTGTGTTCGTGTAGTAGATGGATGCAGAGTAGTATGTTAGAGAAAACGCGAAAAGAGTGTAAACAATGCCGATGCTGATGCCGATGGTAACGATGTTGTGCACATTTCCTCCTCGTCCTTCCCAGTCCAACTCCGTACGCCCCCCCGCGCTTCCCTGTCCTCGCTTGCTCTCTCTCTGAACGTCTCCCTCCTTGCTCCCCCCGCGCGGTCATAGCACGATCTCGAGCGACCCGTCCTCACGTACGCACTTCGCCATCCCGTACCGCTGCGACTCGAGGCTCCACTGCAGCACGCCCGTGGTGAAGTACCGACACCACCGGACGAAGCGGCGCGCGTCTTCGTTGACTTTGGCGTCGCCCGCCGTCTCGGCGTCGAGCGCTGCCGCCGCCGTCTCAAACCCCCGCATCGACCCCCGCAGCGTCTCCTCGATCTGCCGGGTCACCGTGTCGAGGTTCTGCGTCTCCGGACTGCAGTTCTTGTACATCACCGGTACGAGGTTGAAGAGCGAGCCTTGGGCCTATTCGTAGCAGTCAGTAAAAAAAAAAAGATCCGCTGGCGAGGGGAGAGAAGGGGCCGGGGGGGGGGCCGGGAAAACTTACGATCTCCTTCTGTACCGAGTAGATGTCGTTGAGGATGAGACATATCAGCACGGTCTCCTTCCATAGCTCCTTCATGGCCGCACAGTCCATTATGGACTCGGGAAGCCTTATCTTGAGCATGGAGCTAGTGGGGAAGCGGCAGCGTTAGCAGGCGGATGCGCATGATGAAGTACGGTACTATAGGGAGGGGGTGCCACCACCAGGATCAGGGGTATGAACCATCTCACTTACTCCGTAATGGCTATCTGGGGGGCGCATCCAACCGATCCGGAGCGGATCTCGAGGTACCTGGCCACGGTCGGGATGGCCCCTCGCATGCGTAAGCTGTGCTCAACGCCGACGTTGATCATGAAGTTCTCGAGCTCGCGGTAGAAGCGCTCGCGCTGGAGCTTGTCCGTAGTCGGGCGCATCCCGCTGCCTACGTCGACGAACAGGTCCATGTTGCTGCGCAGCACCAGGCTGCCCGAGAGGTCCAGCGCGCCCTCCTCGTTGCCCGGCACGAGGCCGAGCAGGTTGCGGATCACGTCCAGCGACTTCTGGTAGTAAGCCCGCGCGAGCTCCTCGTCCGTCGACACCTCGGTATCGCCAGCGTCCACCTCGTCATCCCAGCTTCAGCGCGCAAAGAATCTAGAGTCAGCCGTGGGTGTTCTGCTAGCGTGGTTTTTGGATACAAGACGTGACAGGGAGTTTAGAAGGAGAGGGAGAGAGGAATAAAAGTGACGGAGACGCTTGCCGAGGATGGTGAAAAAGAGTCGAGGTACTTACACAAAAATCCACACCGAGTAGGCTGTGGCTATTACGAGCTCATCCCACTCTGAGTCGGGGTACCAGCTGTGATCGCTCGAGGTTAGCGAGAGGGGGTTTCCCTGCGAGACTCGAAGGAGCGCGAGAACTTACAGGGAGAGGAGGCGGGCGAAGTCTGCGCGCTTCAGGGCCTTGAGCTTCCTCTCGTCTGTCGTGATCCTCTCCAGCATCTCGTTGACGAGGATCTCGAGGCGCTCAGCGTGCGGGCTCGCAGCCATCGGCCAGTCGGCAAAGATCTTCCATAGGTCCGGGAGGTGGAACGTCTGGCCGTGGAGCTGAGTAGCCAAAGTTAGGGCCTCGCCGCAGAGGCCTTGTTGGTCGCTGGGTTGGGTCTCCTCGGGAGGGGGGAGGGGGGAAGCAGCTTTAGTAGGTCTGGAGGAGAGGAACATAGACAGGAGCTTGGAGCGTAACCGCCGCGTCAGCCCGAGAAGGGTTTCCATCTTCCTGGACTCCATGGTTCCGTGTGTGAAGGTAGGCAGTATATGCGAGTTTCTTTGCGGTGTTTCGGCCCGGGTTTGACTTCGGAGTGCTCTGGCTTATCACGATTGCCGGTATGGGACGGGATAGGAGAGTCTAGGGAGAGAGGAGGGAGGAGGGAGGTTGTCTTGGATGGGAGCTAGACGGACGGTGCTACTCGGTATGTATACTTAGACCTCGCCCCCTTTTTATACTTGGACGGAACAGTCGATGGAGCGGGTGGTAGATGAGGTCAACCAACCCGTTGGCTGAGACTGTTGGATCGAGAGGATGGCTTGATTGCAGTTGCATGCTGGGTAATAGCAACGGATTGCTATCAATCACAATACACGAAACTGCATATCACCAGGCGCAAAGGCCGAAGGGTCACGACCACATGACGCAGTATCAAGTCCCGAAACAGTAAGTTTCTACGCCACTCCCCTAGAATAAAGAGGCTTATTACGTGTGATCGACTAGATGAAAAGGAATGCTTAAGATAAGTAGCGCAGATGTGTGTAAGATCTGGTTCGTGAGGAGCCTCTCGGGGTGGGTTTGGTGTGACGGCCCGCAGGATTTCGCAAGCTATTACTTCCGTTATTTGTTTAGCGACAGGCATTATTGGATGCCGTCGTGATGGGTAACTCACGAGGGCTCTCTATTGGGCCTGTCGCCTGCTTCGGCTGGGAGTTATGTATGTTGGTTACACGTCTTCTGCTTCCTCGCATTTCGTGGGTTTTCTGCAACGGTGTAAGTCGTATGAATAAGATTGGCGACCAGAGCTCACGTTAGAACGGTTGTGGAACGGCATGTTTATGCTAGCGTTGGCCGTGGACATCGTCCGACATAGGCAATGGGGACGTTGGCTCGCTTCTTTTCTTCTTTCTTTCTTTCTCCCGGTTCTTCCCTTTTTCTTTCTGGGAGGGGTTCTCGCTCTGGTTCTCCCTTCCCACCTCACCCGATGGCGGAGTCTTCCAGGGTCGAAAGGAATGGAAGACGCGCGAGAACCTCCACTTCTTCCAGACTACTACGTATTACCAACCGCTGTTACGTCGCGGTACCTGCGGGCCGCCAGGGTGTTGGGATCCGCCAAGTTGGACGGCTACGAGAAGCAGAGAAGGAGAGAGAGAGAGGAGAGAGAGGGGAGGCTTGGGAGAGATCATCGGTCGCCAACAACACAGCAGATCAACTAGCTTCATCGGTCATGGGTTAGAAAACGCACATTGCGTGGTATGGGACTACTAACTAGTATAGTACCGTTGATGCCTCTCGGGACGAGTCTAGCCTAAGCACATATTTGTGGAAGCGTAGATGTAGGCGTAGGGACCGGGAGTAATACGTAGGGAGGTAGCACTCGACGTCGAAAGACTGGCAAATAAGGTCGGCCCTGGTTCGTCGACTCTCCCTGGGTTGGCCCCAGCTAGCCCTGGCTGGCCGAATTGCCCGCATCACTTGGCTTGCATACTTCTGAACGCCGGGCTTAGATGCAACACGCGGTACCATAACGTGTGTAAATGCGTCACTTGTCCGGTCGTTGCTGTACGTATACACATGTAGCGTAGGCGGATGCATGCATGTCTACGTACATATACGTACGTTGCCTCCGAATCCGCCGGTGTCTATATCGAAACGTATGTAGGCTATCTATCTACCTTAGGTAGACAGGTCCTTGTACAGGGAAAGACATATCTCTATATAGATTGGTTTTGTGTGTGCAGGACATATATACAGAAGATAAAGAGAGAAGATAAATAGGAATTGCCGACCTGGTAATATCCGAGGCGCCGCGCGGGGGGCATGCCTACCCACGTCTCTGTAGAATATGTGACGGAAGATGGATTATGGACACCACCAACTATGTAGGCAGGCTGGCAAGTATGTATATGCAGACACCCAAGTCCATAGCGACATAGAGATATATAGGTATGTGGGAGACGTCGCTGCGGCGCTCAACATATGATTTGATTGGCAAAGTGACGACATTCTAATAAGCATATATCTTCTTATCTAAGAACGCGAGAAATTGGCGTATCGGCCTCTATCTGTAACACATTTCGCCATGTCTCAGCAGAGGAACATACTTATATGTGCGTCTCCGTACTCCACGCCTTAGGCGGCGTCTTATTACCCTACGCTATCCGCTCTATATATACCTACGTAGTTAGGCATACCCTTACAGACTTGGATGGACCTGGGTACGCTTAAGAAAAAAAGGAAAAAAGAAGAAAGAAGGGGGCAAAAAGGTATGTACAATACAATAATACACTAGGCATACGGCATTTATACATATACGTATGTACATGCATATATACGTGCGTGTATAATAGAAGATCATGCACATATCCAGATTGCTGATGCTCATATGTGCCGATGTTGTGGAGGGGAGACCTCTAAAGCCATGTGCGCACGTACATACGTAGATAGGTAAGCTGCTGCGGTCAGCGAGGGCATGCCGAGGTTAGGTGCCTAAGTTGTAACGTGGTCGATACCCTGCCCCGGCTAGCCCGGGCCTCACCACGACGGTTCCCTGCCCTGTCGACAAGGGCTCCCGGCGACTTACATAACAACCTCGGCCGGGGTTGTTTGATGATAACCGGGGCTTCGTGGGGTCCCGGATACTGCGGGATGAAGGTACCAATGGCAGAGCCCTTTGCGGCCCGAACTTTCGTCCTCGCCTAATTTCTCGTTAATCGTATCGCCTCCCGTTGGCAAAAGGACCTACAGCGGTATGTACCCGCCTCCGTGCCGTAGAGCGCGGGGAACGTTTCGTACAAGGCGCGGCGTCTTTCGGTGTGTCCTCGCCAACGGCATGTGGGACATGGGCATGTGTGAGTGGACACGACCATGTCTGTGTGTTCTGGGTTGTGTCCACACGTATGATACAGAGACTATTATAATCCCCTAATCCGGAAATCCTCTCACTTTGTCTCCCCCCCTACTCCCTACCCACTCTCTATCCACTACCACCTTACTAACTCATCTACCCATGTTGACCCCCCTAACCCGTCTCCGTATACGTGTGTATGCCTTCCGTAGATGTACATAGGTACCTACGAAAGGTAGGTGTGTATCCTACCTACGTATTACCTATTCCTATGCATGCATACGCCCGTCGATGGACTGTTTCTGGCTCCGAGAACGTATTGGCTGCGTACCTAGGTAGGGCATGGCCCTGGGCATGTACTATATGTAGATGCAGATGAGGTTCCAATGAGCGGCCTGCCCTAGCTGCTTGCCTTAAGGGGACTGGGTCCTGTCCCTAGGGTCGGCCTAAGGCTCCATCCCTAACCTAGGTAAGAAAGCCTACTGCACGTCGTGCTGCTTTAGGCTTCTAAATGCACCCGTCGTAGTAGTATTATATCTAGCAGCTCTACATATACGTACGCAGAGACACACGAAAAAAAACTATTGAGTAAAGCGAGACATAGATACCGTCCCGCGGCGAAGTGCTATCGGAACATCGGGAGATCATATGATGGTGTCTTAGGAAATGGGTTCCGATACCTTCAGTCAGAAGTCGTGCCGCCTCGTCCAGATGGGTAGGTAAGGTGGCAGGGCGGCCGCCTCTTTACGGCCGACTGGGGATGGGTAATGAAATATAGTCTCGGGGAAGCGATATAACTTGCCGGTGCTGGGTTGTGGACTGGGGTGCGGTGAGAGAAGGCCCCTGTTTCACCACGGCTGGACCTCCCAACTACTCATACCTTTACCTGGGTAGAATTGTGTAGAGAGGCATATGCACCTGTGAAATAACGGCATGAGGATATATAAGGCGCATACTCGTAGGTAAATATGTATGCACTTGTGTGTAAGCCTACCTCTCCAACCTGCTATGCAGTGATAGACGGATTAGGACATCCATATAGCCAACATACCTACCTCTATAATCTACCGTAATTGCATTTACGTACGTATTACGTAGAATATAGTGTACCGGAATAACTACCTAATATGGAGACGTGAGAATATACTCATAGGCACCCAAGGGGCAGCAAGCCGAAGGCGTGAGTAGTGGGTAGATACGTGTATATATTGTAGAACCGCACACATGCATATTGTTGAACCATACACATACGGGACGCGTCCGCGACGGAGGTTGACGACACCCATACTTGCCCGTAGGGACTCTACGCGTAGCCACAGGTACGGGTGATGCAATCTCTGGGGGGGCAATGAACCGCCACCAGAGGATCGCCACCAGAGGATCACGAGTACCTTGGTCCTCTTACCCAGGTACCCAAGGTAGTATCTTGGGATGGAATATTGAATAATTATAAGGCAATTCCGATAATAGGCCATCGCGAATGACGATGTAGGTATTGCTATCATTAATGCCATTATTATCACCATCAGTCTCATTATCGTCATCACCAATTTCACAGGCGTATATCCGCCGAGTCGCTGCCTGAGGCACGCAGACTGTGGTTTACATGGAGAGTAGTATAGTTGGTAATGTCCACATAATACACCGCCTAATGTACTCTATGCAGATATCCTGTGGATGAAAGGTACCCAGTAGGCACACCAGCACGTAGATAACACGTAGCAGGCATATAGATATATATATGTACTGCATATATGTGTCTAGGAGGTATGTATCCCCCACCTCATGCTCCTCCCGCCACTAGTGTAGAAATGCGGTTATCCCGATGTGCTGCCGCCGCGAAAGAAGAATATTATGTGATAAGCAGGGCATTGGCAGCTCGCGGCGGGTTAGCTGCCTATAGGATCGTTCCGGCGCGCCAGCCCGGACCTGGCCACCCGACCCATCTACATAACACCTTCGAACAACCCATGCCCGCCGCCACCGTCCCATCCCACCCACGCACCACACGGAGGCCACATGCCTCTCCCACCCTTTCCAGCCCACTGGACGCGGTAAGGGGCCGGGCGAATGCCACCGTCTCACCCGAGCGTACGTGGTAGATATGGGATGACCTGCAGGTGTGAATGCAGCTACACGGCGTGATGCCGTTGTTGTTGCACGTATGTACGCACAAATGTGTACGGGCCAATCCACATCGGCGCCAGGAGACGCTTCGCTCTGCTGGGCCCTTTCCAGGGTAAGGGTAGGGGCTTGGAGAGTCTGAACAGGCCCTGTCCGTGGCCGGGCATGGAGACCAGGGGGGGATATGGGAACTCGCTGTGTGGTGTTGACATCGCTTTGGGTCTCGAGAGGCTCCGCCGAGACACGAATCCCAGTGAGCACGTCCGTCTTTTCCCCCCATGCTGGGTGGCTACGTACCACGCCCTGCTCACCTGCTCAGCACTCTCGAGTCGCAACCCAGGCAGGTTTGTGGACGGCGGCTGCGACGGATGGCTTCCGCTAGCTGCTATGATGGGCGCCCTACGATTCGGCACGGGTCGATGACAATTCCCACAGCTAACGTCTGTGAACGCTCGTCAGATGTTTCAAAACACCAAGGGAAAAAAAATTCACTGCCTTTCCCCCCCCTTCTTCTCTCCTTCTTCTACTTCCTTTTCGCCTCCGTCACACCTCCGCAGACCTATTGTCTCCGGCCATGCTGAGGAAGAGTGGGAGGAACTTAAGGAACGATGAACAGGATCAAAGAGACACTAGCTAGACTAGCCCGTGTCGCTCGCGGCTCGCGCGACCCGTCGACCTCTTCTAGCCTGCGGCTAGACCGCGTTGGTCGGTCGAGCAGCTCGACGCTGGACTCGCGGGATAAGGTTCTCGTGCGTGCCGACGGTCGGGGCCCGCTCATCCTTTTCGACTCGACGCAAGATGGCGAAGATGGCACCGATATCGTCTTCGTCCACGGATTGTTTGGCAGCCGGTCGGGCAGCTGGACCAAAGGGGGCGTCTGCTACCCACGTGATTTTCTCGGGCAGGATATCCCGGGCGTCAGGATAATCGCGTGGGGATGGACCGGTGCCCTGAGCAGCAGCGGCACCTTCGCCGAACAGGCGGAGGCCTTGTTGACCGACATCACCCGCGTCCGCAGCGGCACAACTCGGCCCATCATCTTCGTCGGCCACGGTCTCGGCGGCCTTATCATCAAGGAGGCTCTCGTCACCGCCGCCATGTCGCGTATTTACGGTGCCCATGTCGAGCTTGGCAATGTGTACCCGCGGACGATCGGCTGTGTCTTCTTGGGCACGCCTCATGTCCGGAGCGGAAAGCGTTCTCTGGGCGAATGCATCGCCGCCACCGCTTTGCTCTCGCCTACCATGCCCAGCCCTCAACTTCTGCGATCATTCAAGGAGAGCGACAAGGCCTTCGAGAACCAGCACAGCACCTGGCTGATGATTTCGAGAGACACCAGAGTGGTGTGTATCCGAGAAAAGTTCCCCTCGACCATCGCGGCCTCCAGCGAGCTGATGAGGGACGTCGACGGCCTGGACCTGGGCAAGGGAGCGATGCAAATCATGGTCCCGAGAGAGTCGGCGGCCTACGATGGCTTCAACGTAACCAGGCACGAGATGGCGGCAAACCACCTTGACCTCGCGAGGTTCAAAAGCAGAGACGAGCCCGGATACTCGCAGATGATCACGTATGTCACCAAAACATCGTCCGGTCCGACGCCCGCCGAGATTGAGGCTCGGGAGCCTCGAAACCAAGGTATGTGCCCTGTGACGTCGTCGTGCGCCATGTGCGATTTGAGAATAACCGGCATTCAACATATGAAGAAATTCTTAACGCCCTTTATTTCGACACTATGACCGAACGCGAGTCGCGCATCGACCCAGCCTACGGTCAAACTTGCGAATGGGTGCTGTCGCCCAGTCTGTCTAATTTCCCTCAATTTCTCAAGTCTAAGGATCCTGTCCTAGTAAGTATTATTTCCTTTCCGCAACCTCTGTCTGCCCCGAGGCTCTCGCGTAAGCCAGGCCGTGGTGCGTTGTGACTCGCGCAACCCGCAATCGAGGCGAACGCATGCCGCGCTCCGTCCATCTTCGAGATATGCTACCGAGGGAAGTCATTAACTGTGTCCGTCTTAGTGGATCAGCGGTAACGCCGGTTCGGGCAAATCAACGCTCATGAAGCACATATGGAACTCGCCGAAGATGCAACAACTTCTCCTCGACGGGTGGGCGAGCGGGGGCGATTTACACAAGGCCTGCTTCTTCATGTTCGAAGGAGGCAACCGAATCCAGAAATCTTACGAAGGATTCCTCAGGAGTGTCCTGTACCAGATTTTGTCTACGAGGCGAGATCTCATCCGTGTTGCTTTCCCCAGCTTCTTTGACTGCCCTTGGCCGCCCCCGGTACTATTCACGAGCACCAATAACTTGAACCAGGGCTTCTACTCCCTCTTCGCTCACATGTCTCAGACCCTCCGTCTCTTCGTTTTCATCGACGGACTCGACGAATATCGTATCATGGAAAGGAAGGACCACTACGAGCAGAAGGAGTTGGACGTTACTTACGACAAAGACACTGGTGACGAGTCCTGGGGGTTAAGCAAGTGGGCCTCGGATTCGCACGTCGAAATCGCCAAGCTGGTAGTTAGTATGGCGAATAAGGATGTCATTAAGTTCGTTGTCACCTCCCGCGAGCTCCCTGTGTTTGACGAAGCATTCGCCGAGTTCCCCAGGATCAAGCTCCAGGATCACACCGAGCGGTCGATCACGCAGTACGTTGCAGGCCGACTCGAAGACGAAGCGCCGGGCCTGCCTGACAGCAAAAACCTCTGCAAGGAAGTGGCTCAAAAAAGTCGCGGCGATATACTGTGGGCAAGGTTAGCCATCGACATGGTGGTCGGCTGTAGTCTTCGCACCTTGAGAGCAACGCTTGATTCTCTACCGGCACATTTAGGTGGCCCTGACGGCTTGTACATGCGCATGCTGGAGAATCTGTCACCAGATCAGCAGCAGAGTGCGTCTAGGATTTTCCACCTCGTTCTTCGAGCGCAGCAGCCACCTACTTTGGTGACCCTCGCTCTTGCAGACGAGGGGTATTTACACGCTGCTACGCAGGATCTACGAATCGTCCACGACAACGCACGTCCTTACGACAACGCATCCATCCAACGTCTATCGGATAACATGCAACGCCGCTTGCATAGCTGCTGCGCCGGGCTCCTCGTTGCCGAGACTGGCCCATCGGCCAATGCTAATTCTACCGAGACAGGCCATCGGGTGGTTTTCGTACACCAAACTGCTAAGGAGTGGGTACGTCGTAAGGACATCTGGTTGCGGCTGCCGGGCTGCGCGCCTCTCGATACCGTCGAGCTCGATTTCTCGCTGCTGAGCGGATGCGCAAGGCACATAAAGGCCTTCGATGTGATGCGACCGCCCGTCCTGGCGTGGCCCAACTGGCGGTTCCGACCGGATGCTTGGTTGCTGATCGCGAACGCGCTGCGGTACGCCGAGAGGATTGACGGCGAGGTCTCCGACATAAAGAGATACTGCGAATTGCTGGACGAATTGGACAGCGCCTGCCAATCAGCCTGGGTCACGGCGCTCAAGAACCACAAGCCCCTTCACGAGGATCCCGACTGGTACGAGAGTAGGCTGCCGAGCTTCTGCCGGAAGCACTGGGCAAGCTACGAGCCGATGGACGCTGGCAAGCCGCCAAAGCGAAAGGACTTCCTGTCCCTCGCCATGCAGGCTAATCTTGTTCGATATGTTAGTGCGAAGTTGAAGCAGATGGACAAGGATAAGAGGGCCAAGAAGGCTCACGACCTGCTGCCGTACCTGGTCTGCCCCAAAGCCGAGGGCTTCAGCGCCTGCGCCAGTCTCAGCGGAGATTACCTCGATTTCCACCACGACATGCCGGACTCCCGATTTCTAGAAATTCTTTTCGACTCGGGCGCATCCCCGCGGGACGAAGACCGGATATTCCAGAAAGCCCTGAAGGCGGGGCGTCACTACTTCTCGCGGGGCAGCGTGACAATGACGCATCTTATGGAGACGTCGTCTAGCGCGCGGCTGATGGAGAACCGGCAGCGGTGGGTGGCGGCCATCAAGTCGATGCTGATGCACGGCGCAGACCCCAACGTCGAGATACAGGTTTCCAACGGGTCCGGAGAGAACCAATCGACGACGACGGTAGCGGCGGTGGACCTGATCCGGGAGACGCTCGAAGGCGAGCCCGAGTACGCAGTGGAGCTCGTCGAGATGGAAGCCCTGATGGGCAGAAGAGGGAGTGTCGGCATCGCCAGGTGAGGACGACAGCCATCGAGAATCCACGTGGAAACCACATTCTAAGCATCGACTAGCAGACAGAATGGAAAGTAGAACGAGGCGCGGTGCATAGGGAGGCCGGTTTTTTTTTTTTTTGCACGGTAAGGGAAAGGATGATGGACCGGGCGATGATTTAATCGAGGAAGCTAGGGAGGGGAGGCGAAAGGGGGGGGGAGAGGAGAAGGTCCGATTCCAGGCGAAGGACCGAGCAGAATCTGCCATCTGAAAACCCCAAGTCAACGGACGAAGAGGAGGGTTTTCTTTCGCGGTGGCGAGGGATGCTGGGTATTGCTACTGCCACTACTACTAACTCCATTGCATTTCATACTTACGAGACCAACAGAAACGAGAAGAAGAGCATCATCATCAACAAGGACAAGGACACGGATACCTCATCGCGCACGTCTGAGCCGGGGGGGGAGGGAGCAGGCATATATATTTATATATGTGTGGGCGAACAGCAGAGGGAAGCTGGGCCAGGACATGCATATGTTATAGCGTTACCTACACATATTACACCACTACACGATATATATACACCATAGAGCTGGATACCGGAAATTATAGAGTGCGTAGTATGTGCGCCTTCATGTTTTATTTTTTCCCTCCTCTTCTTTTCTTTGTCAATTATTATTTTAGATGTCGTGGCTAGCGCTTTAATAATACCTGCATTCTATACCCTGCCACCTGTTGTCTGATGCAAAGGATGCCCAGGGAAAACTTGCGTGGTCCGTGACTTTTTTGTGTGGAACGCCTGTAGGGTTTAGTTTTGAATGGGAAAATAGTGCCGTAGAGAATACGCACTTTTTCTTTCTACGAGAATGTTGTTATCTGCGGCTAGGGAGGGAAGAGGAAAGCCGTGTTCCTTTTCTCTTCCCTTTGTCTATTTTTTTTTTCCTTTTCTTTTTCTTATCTTTTCTTTTCTGACGGGCAGCGAAAACGTACCTAAGGCACTTGTTGGAGGGTTATAGAATTGAGGTGTGCGGATGCATGCATGTAGGTATGTGTCCTGGCGTGACTACCCATACCTTAGTTACTCGTATGAATATTTTCTTCTCTAACATCTCGCTCTCTCCGCCCCGCCGCCCCCTCGGAGCGTCCGGGGCAGCTAATTGTTCTCCCTCCGGACGCGGCATGTCAGCCTGCCTCCGCCCCCCCCTTTTATTTATCTCCATGTGCTCCCTCCGCCTCTCCCCTCCGATTCGATACCAGAGTCGGCAGCCGATGCAGGTGCGCGCAGATTCGGCGCACACGCACGCACACAGCGCCGCACACGCACACCGCATACCACCAGCACGCGAAGTAAGAATCTGCCGGGCTGGGCCTAAGTCTATTTGGCGTGGGGGGGGGCCGGCTTAGCGCTTCCTGCTCACCCATGGGTAAGGTGTATTGGGGCCAAGGAAGAGAGAGAGAGAGAGGAGGAAAAACAAATACGTGTATGACTTACCTAAGGTATCCAGGTACGTGCATTAGGGTAGGTACCTAACGCTAGGCGCCCCCTCCTTTAGGTACCTATGCGTGCCTAACCGAACCTAAGCTTACCTGCCCAAGGCCGCTAATATCTCTGCCGGGGTGAGCTACAAGGGATTAACAGGTAGCTGCGGATCTTTATTCTCTAGCAGCAAGTAGGTACCTCTACTAGCCTACCTTAGGTACCTAACCTACCTGGTAAGGGTAACTACCAGTAAATGCATATAGTAATATCTCCCCGCCCCAGGTTCGCATCGCGTGGTCAGGGCCTGTAAGCGCCCGGCTCGACCGCTGCCGGGGTTTCCCCCGTCCGCCTAAAAACGTGCCGCCGGTTCATGCACGAAGCACGAAACGAGCGAGCGTCCTTCGTCGTCTTCTTCCTCTCCTCCTCCTTGCGTCGCCCCCCCTCCGCGCCGTCCGTCAGCCCTATTTTTTTTTTCTTCTCTCCGGTCGCGACCGTCGCGGGACGCCCTCTCTGGCGCCCACCTGCTATCGAACCCTACGTTCTGCGCCCACTCCGCATTCACCTGTCAGCTACATCTCTAATACCTTACCTATCTATTACCCGATGCGGAACCTCGATGCCGAACTTCCTCTTCCTCTGGCTCGAGGCCCGGGACTACTACATGTCCGGGAGATAAGACCCTAAACGAAAAAAAACTACAAAGGGAAACCACCGCTATAGACCCAATACGTGGGACCGCAACAATTATAAAATAAAAAAATAAAAAAAAGACAATCGTCAGGGCTCTCTTTGATCCGCATCCGACCCCGCCCACCTCCTCCCGCGCAGATACGAGATGAGGGGGGAGGGTTAGTTCAGGGCGCAGTCCGCGCTCGAGCGCCCGCGCCGCCCGGTTATCTACTCGCCCGGCGAGGAGCGGAAGAGCAAGAAACGCGGGGGGCACGGGTTCTCTGAGTCATCGTGCGTCGAGGTCTTCATCATCCGATTGTCGCATGCGCCCAGATAGATAGCGGGGAGAGAAGGGAGGGGGAGGGAAGGTGGCCCGCTAGCCACCTAAGCTAGTACGCACACATCTTGGTGCTAAAACGAGACAGGGCCCCAGATCCTCGCGTCACTTACTCCGTTCCCGTTTGCCTTCTACTGTTTGACAGGGAAGAAGCTAGGATTTCTAGCACTAGCTGGCCGGCTCTAACTGGCAGGCAGGCGGGCGGGCGGGCTGGATCAAGCATCCGGCCCGACATATTGGCAGGAAGAACTCTTGGCAGGCCGTATCGCCGGTGTTCCATGAGGAGCCGGAGGTAATCATGACCTTTTTCTTCTTTTTTCTCTCTTTACTCTCTATGCCTTTCGTCTACCTGTTCTTCCTCGACGTGGTAGTTACGAGCCGCTTCTTGACATGCTTGGGCATCTTCTCCTTCCGCTTCTCCGCCTTCGCTTCCTTGACCGCTTGCTTGCGCAGCTTCTTGTCGTCTTTGTCTTCGAATCGCTTACCGCGGGGAGGCCCCTTCGAGAATAGGCTCTCGTCCTCGTCCTCGCTCTCGCCCGAGCCGTCGCTGTCGAGCGCAGCCCCGTCGCCCGATTCGTCCTCATCCTCGCTCGCTCCCCCCTCGGCGGCCGGGAATACCACCTGGTCGGCCAGGAGGTTTCGATAGACGAGCTTGTCTCCGTCGCCGCCTCCGATCACCCGCGCGTCCTTCTCGATATCGTATACTTGCTCCAGAGTCTGGGGTATGTATTGGTTTCGGAAGACTTCGTTGGCAACCTCCAGCTCAGCTGCGGCCGCGTCGTCGCTGGCGGACGGCAACCTAGAGGCGTATAATTTTTCGATCGCTTCCGACAGGCCAGGCTCTTCAACAGCCCCCTCTGGACCGGTAACAAAGTCGAAGATGGTCCGATCAGCCAGGGTATCGACGCCTTGTCTGCGGAAGAAATCACCCGTATTTTTAATATCTATACGTAGGAACTCGAGCGATCGAGGGTGGTCGTGCTCGACGCTCTGAGATACATCGATGATGTAGAGTTGCCTGTCGTTGTATAGAATATTGTATTCGCTTAGATCCGCGTGCACCAGCCGGCACACTTGGTACAGGCGCCGCATGATCCCCAGGAGCTGGGTGTAGAGCTGTCGCCATAGCTTGTCGGCGTCGTCGCCCGCAATGTTGGCATCTCGCAGTCGAGGGTAGGCGTAACCCTTCTTGTCGCCTAAGAGGCCCATGACGAGGACGTGAAGTTTGAGCTGGATAGGCTCGGGGCAAGGAATCCCCGCAGAATGAATTCTCCTCAGGTTGCGAAACTCCTTTTCTGCCCATAACTTGACCATCTTGCGGTTGTTTCCCCTGTCAGCGCCCGACTTGAACCGGTGCTCGCCGGCGATGTACCTTTCCCTGTCCTTGAAACTTAGCATGACCGTCTTGTAGACCTTGACAGCTCGATGGATGGGGGGCCCGTCGTCGTCTGGGTAGGCGATGGCGCTGTACACGTTGGCCTCCTTCCCCGTACTGATGGCGCCGTGGATCTCGCTGACCACGCCACGGTTGATCATCTGGTAGAGGATCATGCGCGTCCGTTGATCGAGCACCCGCTCGCTGGTGGCCCTGTCGGCTTTGTCTTTTTCGCGGTCCTGTCCCTCCTTGACATCGTCCAGTCGAACTTTGGCCGCGTGTTTCGAAAGGGCGGCCATCTGGTCGTCTACACTGGCGAAGGTGTTGGCCGTGGGCTTTTGCTGGTTGGAGCGTAAAGGCCATTGCCGGTTGTGATTTTTGACGATATCTAGTTCTCCTTCGTCGCCGCTCTCTTCGAAGATGTCATCGAGACTAGAATCGTCATCTTCGTCTCCGCCGACCACGTCCGGGGTCTCGTCGGGGAGATTCCGCGGCGTTTCCCGTTCTGCTGACTCGTCGTGATGGTTCTGGGCTGAATATTGGAGCGGCAGGGCCGGGATTTCCGTCGAAGACGGGTTGGTGGCCATGATGGGCGCGCACTCGAAATTTTCTCGTTTTGTGGTTTCTTGGTGTTGTGCGCTCGAAGGGGCCCCCTTTCGCTTCGATGGGCTAAGAGGCACCAGGCGGTAAAGCGTGTATAGGTTATAGGTATGTGCAGGATTATGTGAGTGGTGTAGCGGTGGGCCTGTAGATGCTGATCTCAATCCTGTCGGCCGCTCCAGTTATGCAGTTGAACGATGCCAAGAGGGTTATCTGTGGTGAGGTCAGGTAAGCCTGTGAATTGAGAGGCGGAAATGATTTTCGGACAGTGGGGGCAAGAAATCAAAAAGGGACGATTACAGTAATTCAAATCGGATTTGGGGTGACGGGTGTCCGCCGGCTGGCTACAGGCCTGGTATTATGCGTTTTAGCCGGCTCCCTTCCTGTTGCTCCGTAATCACCTAGTCATACGAAACGTAAGTGCTGATCAATTAGGAGGATAACTAGGTCCGAGAACTGCGAAATAACGAGCCTTTATATGGCTCCTTTTACAGTGAATATTGGCTTATCTCCTAAGGTGCCGTTGGCAGTGAGATAGGCAAACGTTGCGAGGTGAGTCAACAACTGTGAGCCAACAGCTTGTGAGCCAACAACTATGAGTCAACGAGGCTGACCAACAGGATGCCTAGGATCCATAGTATTTATTCCTCACCAGTGAGGTTGCTTATCTTATCGTGAACTGCACGTAGATAGGGGGGCATAACGTCACAGCTCACGGCGTCACACTCTCACGGCGTCACAACGTACCTGACATCATCACGAGTTAAGTTGCTGGCCCTGCTGTCCTCTCGACTCCCGCGAACCCCCGCTAGCCCTAACTACTGGTAAACTCCTACCCAAATCTCCGCCCTTCTCCGGCTCTCCAGGGCAAGGTCAGGAGAGAAGGAGGTTGCCTAAGCAGTGTGCATAGCGGAGTAGCAGCCGTAGTGGGGATCTCCGGCATCTCCTCCTCCATCTCCTCCTCCATCTCCTCCTCCATCTCCTCCTCCTCCTCCTCCTCCTCCTCCTCCTCCCACCGTCTCAACCGTCGAGATTGCCTATCGGGCGGGAGAGAGGGTACGGGTCGGAACATACATTCCCAACCTCGACGCCACCGCCGCCCTCATACAGGTTTATCGCTGCAGCCACCCCCGCTCCGCCAACGTTACATGCGTTACATAGACATAGACATAGACATAGACATAGACATACTCGGACGCCTCCGTCTCTCGTCTTCCCCGGCTCTGCTTCCCTGCTTCTGCTCTCCTTCCGAATCCTCTCGCCGTAGTTGTTTCTCTGGTTGCTTCCCTAGTCCGGCCGCGGCCAAGACGGCGAGGGCAGACGCGCCTCCTGCTGTTCCAGCATCGCCTGCGCCAGGGGTACAGATAAAGATCACACCTACCTAAAGCGTATATATATACTTACGAACAAACACCAGGCAGGTATCGTAAATAGGTATATAAAGCGATGTGCATACCTTAGGTACTACCTTCCTACTGCTACTGCTGATCTACCATTGCATCGGATTCTGCTCCTCTGGTCTCCATTTTCTGCTTTCCTCCCCTTTCTCTATTCCCCCCTCCCGGTTTATGCTCGGTAGAGGTGGTAGGCAGGGATATCCAGTCACCAATCATATTTAGTTGCCGTTACAATGAGGCCTCTCTCCACGTCCGTCTTCTTAATCGCATTGTCAAATGGTCTGTGTATGTCGGGTAGTGATTCTCCAGGCCGCCTCGTAAGACTGACAACCCTTCTCCAGCGGCTTTCGCGGCCTCGAGGTTCGCCGGAATCCCCGTGGCCCCCTTTACTCCTTCGAATGGTGGGACCTACAAGATCTCTTCGCTCAGGGCCCTAGTGGTGGACTCCAAGTTCGCCCAGAGCCGCGACGAGACCGGCGAGACTCTGATCCCCCCGACTCTTCGGGAGTTCGCTGAGACTTTTGCCGACGACCTGCGCGGCACCCTGGCCGCCGATATCGACGTCTCCGATGCCGAAAAGCCCCCATGGGATACCATCTTCCTCACGCTAGGAGATGCCAGCAAGTATACCGACGCCGCCGGCGCCCAGACTTCCGAAGGGTACACGCTCTCGGTAGATTCGTCCGGCATCGTCATCTCGGGCGCCAGTCCGCTCGGTGTATGGTGGGGGACGCGGACCGTCTTGCAGCAGGCCATTCTCTTTAACGGCTCGGTGCCGTATGGAGTGGGAGATGACGCCCCCGGCTGGAAAACTCGCGGTATGATGCTCGACGTTGCTCGGCATTTCTACCCGCCCGAGGTACGTGTCCATGAACCGGAGCAGGCTGACTGCGCTGCCGGTAGGTGTCCTTCCCTTGTGATTGGCGCTAACGGGGAGGGCCGAGTAGTTTGTGATTGAGTTATGCTCGTACATGAGCTTTTTCAAGCAGAATACCTTCCAGATACATCTGAGCGATAACTTGTACAATAACGTCGGGCTCTACTCCAGAGAGGAGTCTCTGCAGCTGTACGCTCGGTTTCGCCTGTGGTCTGATTCTCCGGACGTGGCTGGTCTGAATAAGTACAAGAACGAGTCGTACACTAGGGAGCAATATGAGGAGATGGAAACTGCCTGCGCTTCGCGGGGGGTAACCGTCATCCCCGAGATCGAGGCCCCGGGACACGCCCTCGTGATCGTGCAGTGGAAGCCCGAGCTGGCTCTCAGTAACGACATCGCGCTGCTGAACATCTCCCATCCGGACACTATACCCACGGTGAAAACCATCTGGAGCACTTTCTTGGACTGGTTCCATTCCAAGACGGTCCACATTGGCGCGGACGAGTACCGCGGCGACGTGAGCGACTACAACCGATTCGTCAACGAGATGGCCGATTACATATATCGGGAGTCTGGCAAAGCCATCCGCATCTGGGGCACGTTTCCTCCGAAGCCGGAATACGACAACATCAGCCGGAACGTCTCGATCCAACACTGGGCCTTCTTCGAGGACAACCCGTACCACGACTACATCCTGAATAACTACACCGTGCTCAACTCGGACGACGCCTACTACGTGGTTAACAAGTGGTCGAGGAGCTACCCGCCGGTCCTGCCCTTCGGCTGCACCTTCGGCGGAAACCCGGCGACGGGCGGTGCGTGGCAGCCGCACGTCTTTGACCTGAAGAACGCTAGTAACAACGCTGAGAGGGCGAACCCGCTCGTGCGCGGCGCCGTGACGCCGCTGTGGAACGACTACGGCGCCAACGCGACCGTGTTTTCGGAAGCGTATTACGCGTGGAGGGAGGGGATCCCCGCGCTCGCCGACAAGCAGTGGGGCGGCGACCTGGCCGCGGCCGAGTTCGCGTCGTCGTTCGCCGCCCTGCACCCGTTCGTGCCCGGCCAGAACCTCGACCGCGCCATCCCGTCGGCGGGCCCCACCATCTTCAACTACACGGCGGGCTCGGTCGCTGCGGCGGCGGCGGCGGCGCACCGCGGCACCCCCGCGCTCGCGCGCACCGACGTGGTCACCGTCGAGGACCTCTCCGGCAACGGCTACGACGCGTCGACCGACTGCCCGCTCGCGGACGACGAGGAGGACGGCGGGGCGCCGGCGCTGCGCGTCGGCGAGGCGTGCGCGCTCGACACGCCGCTCGCCTCCAAGGGCCGCGACTACACGCTGACGCTGCGGCTGCGCGTGGACGCGGCGGCGGCGCCGGGCGCCGACGCGACGCTGCTGCAGGGCGCCGACTCGGCGCTGCTGCTGACGCCGGGACTCACGCTGTTCGCGTCGGGCTCGCACTACCGGCTCAACCTGACGCTGCCGCTCGGCGCGTGGGTCGACGTCAGCGTCGCCGGCCGCGGCAACCAGACGTTCGGCCGCGTGCGGCCCGCCGCGCTCGGCGAGCCGCTGCCGCGCCCCGGGTCCCCGCCCGCCGCCGGGGAGCGCGAGGAGGAGTTCCTCGCCACCCTCGGCGTCAACGGCGAGTTCCTCGTCTGGGCCCCCGTCGCCATCGAGGCCCCCATCCGCCGCCTCGGCGGCCCCGGCGCCGCCTGGGAAGGCCGCCTCGCCGCCATGAGCCTCAGCTCGGTCGCGTGAGAGCGACGCGGGGAGGGGGAAGAAGGACGGGCACGGAGGGCGAGGGGGAGGGCGGTGAGCGGGCGAGCGTATGGATGCGCGCGGTCGCTACATAGGTAGTTAGGTGATATGCATACGTATTGAACAGAGAAGCCTTTAGCAGAGTAATTCAGCGCGTTCTTGCCGCGCGACGTGACAGGTGACCTGGGGTAGATAATCGTGTTAGGCTAGGGGGGCGTAACGTCTACGCGGGCTGCGTCTTGGTAGGGAGCGGGTGCGGTATTCCCAATTCCCACACTTGATTAGCGCCGATTCCCCGACCCCTTTACTCGCGCAACAACACGCTCTCGCCTCGAAGACGGCACGGCGGGCAAAATACACGGAAATGTTATCATTAACCTAAGCGTCATCGACAGCGTGAGCTACCTACGTCTCGTCTTCCGCAACACGGCGGCGGTTCCGGCTAGGGCTGCCGCTTGCGTGCTGGCCCGTCTGTCTGTCTGGTCTTATCTGCCAGCATTCGTCCGACCGGTCGCGCCGCCATTAATGCCGCCTCTCCCGTCTTCCCCCTCCCTGCTCGAGCTGTGTTTCCTCCCCTCCTCCTCACAATGGTATAAGGCACATACAAGGTTTTAGTACAGCGTTGACTAACCAAGCAAGCAGGCAAATAAGCAATCGTGAAGCTTCTCCCGCGCGATCCGAAAGAAACCGGAAGCAGGAGTGGAGAGGTGGGAGAGATCTCCCGTTTCGAGTACGCGCACACGTACATACTGACCTACGTACGCACGTCCACGTGCGCGGAGGACTACACACACACAACCTCCCGCCGCTCTGAACCTCCGAGCTGAGAGGGGCCCGGACACCGTGTAATCTCGCCTCGCCTCACCGGGGGGCTTGGCCCTCGACGAAGTCGAGCGCCTGGTCGCGGCTGACGCAGTTGATGGTGCTGTTCTTGTTGCGGAAGAGCACGCCGTAGCAGCGGTCGGCGACGTGCACGATCTCGGGCCGGAACGTCGTGCAGATGAACTGGGTGCCCGCCTCCGTCGAGATGGACTGCAGCAGCCCCGCCACCGCCGTCCGGTACTGCGCGTCGAGGTTCGCGTCCACCTCGTCGAAGATCACCATCGGGCTCGACTCCGTCTGCTGCAGCGCGAAGATTAGGCACAGCGCGCACAGACCTAAGGGGCATCAATTTTTTTTTTGGGTCAGCGTTCTGTCGACTGGAGCGTGATACGGGAAAGGGGAAAAGAAGAGAGAGGAGGATAGATGATAAACGGGACTGACTCTTCTGTCCGCCAGAGAGCTGCTGGATGCGCTGCTGCTCGTCTGCCGTCTTGGAATTGAAAGATACGCTGATGCCGACGCCTGTGTAGTTCTCTACGCTGCTGCGCTGCTCTTCGTCCGAGTCGTCCGGGTCGGCTCGTCGGTCGGTTCTGCGTTGGATGACTAGACGGCCATGTCCGGCGGGCACTAGCCGTTGGAAGATGGTGGCGAACTCCTTGGATACCTGCTTGAATGTCCGCTCGATTGCCTCGTCCTTGCGCTGGTCGAGATGGGCCACTAACTCCTCAATCGACGCCTGCGACTGGTCGAGTTCCTTGCGGCGTTTGAGGAGCTGGTCTTGTTGGTTGGTGAAGCTATTGTACTGCTCGAAAGCCTTCTTGTTGACGTGCTTGTATTTCTTGAGGGCGTCGTTGACCTTCTTGAGGCGCGAAACGACCTGTGATCCGGGGATAATTAGCCGATGATAGATACCATAGCCGCCCGGAATCGGAACCTACCGTCTTGTGCTCGAGCCTCTCGTATTTCTCAAAGGCTTCTTCCGGCAGAACGCCAAGGTCGCGGATATTTTTGGCCAATTCCGTGGCTCTCGTCGTCAGGAGAGCCTTCATCTGCCTATTCTTGTCCATCCTCTTCTCCTGCTTTTTGATCTCCCTTGCAATCTCCTGCTGCCTGGCTTCTTTCTCGCTCTTCTGCTTCTCTAGACTCGCAACTTTGGATTCGGCGGCTTCGATCTGTTCATCGTTCGCTTCGAGCTTGCTGTGGACGGAAGCCGCTGTCGCTTGAGCTTTCTTGAGCTCTCGCTTGGCCGCGCTCAAGTTGCTGCTACCGCCGGAAGCAGTCTCGGACGCCTGGCTCGTAAGCTGGTCAAGCTTGAGCAAGAGGTTGGTTCGCAAGTCCAGCTCCAGCTTTCGCTTGCGACTTTCCAACTCCCGCCGTCTGCTGCTCACTTCGTTCCATTCCTTCTGTAGTTCTTGCACGGCAGCGCCTAGGCTCTCGAGCTGTTTCTCCTCGTTGGCAGTCAGTACCTTCTTAAAGTCCGAAGCCAGCTCGGCTTGGTGGGCACTCAGATTGTCCTGGAATTGCTTCATATTTCTTTCGACGATATCCCGCCGCTTGATTGCGGATTCTAGGCGATCCCTTTCGCGGTCCGCTTGGTTGTTTTTAGCATTCAATTCGGCTCGGAGCGGGCCATAGCTATCCTCCATATGACGGAGTCTTTGTGCCAACCTGCGCTCTTCACCTAGTGCATTGGTGATCTCCTGGTCTTTCTGCTCTATGCGCCTTCGGATGTCGGTCGCCCTCGACCTCAGCTCTTCGTACTCTTCTCTCCACTTGTTCACGGCACGAACAGCCTCCAAGCGCGATTTCCGGGTGTCGATATAACCGCCCGTCATCGCGCCGCGCTTATTGGAAGTATCGCCGTCAGGAGTTACGCCGTGCACACCATGGCTTCGCGCGTATTGGCTAGCAACCGTCAGGTTGGGGCAGACGATAGTGTTGCCGAAAACTTGCTGGAACGCCTTCTCGTACTCGAGGTTGTACTGGATCTTGCTAAGCAGCGGAAGAGCGTCATTGGCCCTAGGGAGGTTCCCGATCCGAGGCTTCAGCCTCGAGAGTGGCATAAATGTTATCCTACCCCCGTACGACTTTTGAAGGGCGTTGGCTAGATATGTCGCCGTGTCGTCGTTGTCGACAACGTAGTGGAACAAACTAGCACCGGCAACCTGCTCAACGGGCAATCGGTACGCTTCGCTGACCTCGAGGAGCTCTGCTAACGTACCATACGCACCGGGGATATCCTGTTCTTGCTTCAACCGCTGTATGGTCCCTAACCCTCGGGAAGTAACTCGGTCCATCGTGTGAGACAATTCTCGCTCGGCACTATCTAGCTCGCCCCGGGCGTTTGCAATGATCGTCTCTAGCTTGTCGTCTTCCCGGCGGAGCAGTTTTCGTTCGTCATTGAGCTTGTCGAGGGCATCTTTAGCGTTGGTAACTTGTTCAGCCAGGGCTTGCCGATCGTCGCCGAACCCTTCGTTTCTCTGCCGCAAGGCCGAGATCTCGTTCTCCACCTGCTGAATATCGGCTTGGACGGCCTTGACTTCTTCATCCGTGTCGAGGCGGTTTGCCCTCTGCTGGCTTAATGTCACGTTGAGGTCGTCTATCTCCCTTTTCAACCAGGCGTCCCGCTCCGCCTTGTTTTTAAACTGACTGCCTCGGGTCTGCTTCGTGAAGAGGCGCTGTCGATTAGCCTCCGCCGAGTCTAGAGCCTGTTTTATTTCTGCCTCCTTCTGTTTCGCCTTCTCGAAGTCGGGGTTCAGCTTCTTGAGCTCGGCCTCCCTTTGGGCAATCGCGGTCTTAACCTCGCCCAACTCGGCGTCGTGCTGCTGCCGGGCCTGGTCCCGGGCTGCCATGCTGTCCGTCAGGCTTTTGACCGCGAGCTCGGCGTTGGCTATCGCCTTGGCACTTTCGCGACGGTCTTCGTCGAGCTGTCGGCGGTCTATGCGAAGCAGTTCCATCTGCTGCTGGAGCTTATGTATCTCAGCTTCGAGGTTGGCGATAACCTTGACGCTCGAGTTGTAGGCTTCGCGGTTCTCGTCTGTGTCCTCGATACCTCCCTGGCGCGACTCTTCCAACTCCTCGAGAGCCTCCTGTGTGGCAACTTGATCCTTGTGGTAGTATGCGTATTCCAAGCACCTGCGCTCCTTGTCCTTTTCCTGGTAGCCGCGCAGCTCCTCCTTTTCTTCCTCTAGCTCGCTTAGACGTTCCTTGATGTAGTCGAGCAACTCGTCGATCTTCTCCCTCTTGTTGTTGGTTTCTGTCATGATCTTGAGCGACTCGGCGCGGCGAGACTCGTAGACCTGGGTGCCGGCGACCTCTTTGAGCAGGTTCAGCCGGTCCGACTCTTTCATGTTAGTGAGGGCGGTAACGCGTCCTTGCGGGACGATGTAGTAAGGGTTTGACCTCGAGAACCCGGCGGCTTCTAGGAGATTTGCGACATCCGCCTTCGTGGAAACCTTCTTATCGACCGAGTACTCGTCCTTCTTTAGGCCGATCGTGCGACGCAGAATAACTTCTTTGTTTCCGGTGGGGAATCGGTCGTCGCTGTTGTCGAAGATGACTTCGACGTAGGCGGACATCACGGCCGAGCCCGACCCTTCGTGTAACAGGGCCTGCCGCTCCTCGCGAGTCATCTGGGTATAGGCATCACTCAGCACGAATCGTATCGCGGCAAAGAAATTGCTCTTGCCGGAGCCATTGCGGCCGACGATGACATTGGTGCCGGGAGAAAACGGTTCCATAACCGTCTGGTCCTTGTAGCTACGTAGGAATTAGCATCGTAAAAATCTAGGCCGGTTGAGCGCGTGGAAACGGCTCGTCGGGAATGTGGGGGGCACCTTTTGAAGCCTTGGATGATAATCTGCTTGATATACATAGTCGCGGATGGGCGCTGCCGGGCGGGCAGCTCGATCTCAGTAACAGAATAGTTGTCGCGCAAAGATCGTGAAGGAAATGGGGACAGGGGAAGGGGGGTCGCGATGGTGTGAAGTGGGAGAGGTTCCCTGGCGAGTCTGGAGGGCCGTCACGATAGGTAAATTGCCGACGCGTTTCCGCTGGCGCGGTCGCTCTATGGGTGAGAGTTTCGTGATTACCTAAGGCAGCCTGCAGCCATTGGACACAGTTGCTGCTTACTACCTACCTCTACCTAGGTACACATATATATTACCTTAGGTACCTCCTAACCTACGTGATATACCTAGGTACCTACCCATCCAGGTACCTAGAAGATACCACATCCAGGCTTACAGGTGCATATGTACATATCTGTACATAGAGGTACATCTATATGCGGTTCCCCAGAGGCATCAGCCTTCTGCACAGCCACAGGAAGTACCCAATCAGGAGGTAGCAGTACCCGTAATAGTGGTGGTAGCTGTACTCATAGTAGTAACACCCGCCCAATCAGAGGTACTACACGAAGGATGTAGGTACTTGCGCATGTACCTACGTAGATGCCTGTGCATTTGCCAGATCCCTCGCAGATGCCAAGCTTGAGCCATCCGGCGGCTGGCTTACATGTGGGAGTATTAGGCCGCATTATTATTGTCATCAAGTCAGGTGGAGGCTGTATTTCTGTACGCCACGTCTCGTCATCTTTTTTTCGTCCCTTTGTAGACAGGCGTCATTTCCGGGCAGTGTTTTCGGCAACATTCACGTAGAGGCATTTTCATCGAAGGAGAAGACTAGGGGGGGAGGGAGTGCGAAAGGCCACCCGCTAGCAACCGTTGAAGAAGTTCCCTCTAGGTACGGGCACCTTATCTTAACTTGCATCCATCCATCCAGGCATCGACTTGCTCTTAGGAGGGACATACCGAGACATCGATGCGTGCAGTGTACCGAGGCACACGCGGTATGTGCTCTCAGGTCAATCGGAGGTTGTCAAGCTGGCCTCTTTCGCTGGTCTCGGGGCTCTTCTAGACATTCGGGGTTTCACTTGCGAGTGGAATTAATTATCCAGACAGGCCACTGCCCAACCCCCTACAGGAGGGAGGCGGGGCGTGGAGAGAAGCAGCAACGAATGCTCCCTGTTTGATCGACGATGGTTCAAGATCGTCCAGACGCTGTGCTATCCATCTCAAGCTTCGACCTCCGCTAACTGCGTAGGTAGTATGGCAACGGCATGCGATACACTTAACATCGTAGCATCGCATGCTCTTCTCTGTGAGTAAAGTAGCACATGACGCTAGATCAAGTGGCAGAAATCGTCTACCCACCCCAGGTAAGGAGTGGGGATGAAGACGGGGGTGATGTATGGTGGACGGATGGCGGATGACGGATGCTCACTTACTCCCCAACGTAGAGGTAGCATTTAACCCTCCTGGTCGAACCTATCAGACAATGCTTCCGGCTGTTGCTGCTGTCTATTCCTTCCTCTTTCAGTGTGTGCCTATGAAACATGTTGGACCCGGCCTGTGGGCGATATCCCGGATGACAAGGCACAAGCCATGTGTCCCGGACACTTGGCGCCGCTCTAACGCCTCTCATGCGCATTTCGGCATCGGCTCAGTAGGTAGTAGAGACGAACCCGTCCACGCTCGACGGAAATCGAGCAGCCGCAACGCGTAAGCCGGCTCGTAACCCGATGCTATAAGGGGTGGAAAGGTACACGTGGCTATCTCCGTGGCATCGCGTCCCGGCCACCAGAAGCATCTGATGGTCTTTTTTACGTATATATGTGTGTAGGTAGGTATGTACAAATACCTGTAATTCATCGAGGTCCACTTGATCGAACCACGGATGGCCTACTAACACGAGTAGGCAGATGGCTAGTAGGCATGCGTCTGGACCCGGATCTACCCAATTCTCGGGTCTGAGAAAAGCCTGGCCTACGGGAGCATGCATTCGTAAGATTCGCAAGAAGCGGGAATTAGAAGAGAAAAAGGGGAGAGACGAACGTCTTCAGCTATTTATCCTTATATCTGGAGATGGGCGACGCGGTTGGTGCAGTACGAGAGGTGAATAGAGAGGTATTTAAAAAAAAAAAAAAGTTGTTCTCCGTGCAATGATAGATCCGAGGTCTTATTCCGCGACTGACTGCCCTCGGCCTAGTAGCAGCAGGCTTGACGCGGTGAGATGCGAATCTCCACGACGGTTGCGTCTCTGCCCGGGCCCCAGCTCCTACCCCCGGGCAGCGGTTGATCACGCCAAGCTTGCGGCACAGAAGCCGCAGGGAGCTACCGGGCTTGTCGGTGACAGCGACAAGGATCTGAGATGAGAAAGATTCGATTCAAATGAACGCCTGTCGTTAAAACGTGGAGCCCCATGATGATAGGGGACGGGAGGCAGCTTCAGGAAATCGACACTCCGAAGACAGGCCGCCGCGGCCGGTTGATCGAGAGGAAGATGAAGTTAACCCCTCAATGTGCTGCAAGATATCTCTGTACACATTGGGAAGGGGGGGGAGCTGGTTATTGCCTACTCAGATCCAAGATGGGATCATGGAAGATTTTTGGGGTCTGCAAGCTGACCAGTCAGTCACGTATCCAAAAAACCGCAGCGCCCCGGGTGGGGATGAGCCGGCAACTGGACGATGCCAAGAGACTCGTCATTCCAACAAGCCACCGTATTTTTTTTTTTCGAGGTCATCCTGGGGCGGGGCCTTACCGGCTTTAGCCTCTAGCGCGCAGGGTGGTGGCGCGAAGGGGTTTGGCGGGAAATAAGCGAGAAAACGCGCGCTCGGATAGGTTGATTACAGGTAGATGGAGATGGGAGCAGAGTACGAAGTACATCTACCCAGCACGAAATACGCCTGGCACACGTACCTGCGCGCGTTAGGGACGTGGGCAGGTACCTCCCGCCTCCACACCGGAGATGACCTGTAGCGCATGGATTCGAGGCCGACCGAGAAAGACCTCTCTCCCCTCCTTGCCATGTACCCGCGTAGTGGCAGGTAATAGCAGGTAGCATCGATCCATGCCCATGGCGGCCCTTACTTCTCTGCCCGGTCCTGTGGCTGCAACAGGCTCGAGAGATAATAATAATAACAGTAATAACAAAACCAATAATCATGTCTCGTGCGACGAACACATAATAACGGAATAGACGAATAAGCATGACGGGGTGGGAACATACGCCCAGAATACTCTAGGGCGTTGCTCGCGAGGCGAGGACGGCGGCGGCCATCATCATGCTGTAATGGCGCGCATGGCCAGGCAGAGAGTTTCGCTGCCCGTCGAGGGGAGAAGAAAGAGAGCGAGAGAGAGGTAGAGAGAAGAGGTTGAAAGGTTCGAAGGCGTTGGACTTTGCAAGCTGGAGCTTAATCTAGGCTGGCGGCCCTTGACTCGAGAAGGCCAGCTGGCGGCAGCCGGGAGGTGGCAGCCCGATTAGGCATGGCGGTTCCCGAACGGGGGGGAGCTCAGGCCAACAGGAAAGGGCGCAAGGCGGAGCCAAACGTGTATAAAAGTATCCATAGGTACAGGAATATTAAGGAAGCCGGGTGCCCTCATCTGCGACGGACTTCCATGCTGCTGCTTGCTGCTGCTGCTGCACATCCCGCCATCTTTTTTTTTTTTTTTCTGACACGACAGACCACCCCCGGCCGTGGCCCAACCCGCCTTACCTAATCAATCCCCCAGCAGCCCGGACAACGCCAGCAACGGCCCCAAAGAGGTCAATTAAACCCGCGAGACCGGTGGCTAGCAACACGCGCGTGCGCGCAGACACCGAGACGGGAGCGAAGCACCACTTCTCTGCTGGCTGCTCGTAGGCTCGTTTTTTTTTTTTTTAATACCTTAGGTACCTCTGCTACCTACCTGCCTACCCATACCTGCATAATACCTACCTCTATTGCCTACGCCCATCGGTAGAGATCTCTCTGTCCGTCTTACTACTGGACCCAGCCACACGCGCGCTCTCTCTCCCTCTCTTCCGCTGGCTCCGTACCGGCCGTGCTGCCTCCACTTTTCCCCTCGTCCATTGAGTTTATCTCTATAACCCTCTTTTGGGTAACTGCGCTGGGTTTGCCGGCTTCGACTTCCTCGTTGTTGGCTTCTCGCATTCACCCCCCGTCTTCATTCTTCTTCCTGCCTGCCCGATAACCGATAAGCCTGCCTGCCACTCGGCCGGGCAACCGACACTACATCTCCGTATTTCTTGGTCTTGTTCGCATCCCTTCTCGCCCACTCTCTCCTCCCTCGCCTCTCTTACCAACGCGGCTACGTCCATGCGCAACTCCGTTCTCCTCGTCCCGGTGCTTCCCTAGAGTTCTCTGTCCCGGCCGCCAAACAGGTCCTCGACTCGTGGCCCCGACCGGCTCGACTACTTAACATCGTCGATCGCCCGCATCGCGATATCATCTACAGGGTAAGTGTTGTTGTTATTATGTCGCTGCTTCTCCTTTTTTTCGGCGCGGGTATCATTCCTCCGGTCAGTTGCTTTCGAGCTAGCATTGCACGCTGCCCAAGCCGTGTATGCTTCGCTTCATGCATCTCGTCTTGGCTTCGCTCCGGGCTGCTCGCCACGCTGGGTCGTCGCCGCTGCCGTCCTCCTCGCGCCCTGCGTCTGATGATGTGGATGCGTGTGTGGGGAGGCCGAGGGCCAAATCCGTGCCTGGCTCTATGTTGCCCGCGGAAACGGTGCCTTTTGCGTCGCTGAAAACCAGTGTCAACTTCGGTCTGGGGATCTCGAAAGAGGCGCAGGGATGGTGTTGTGCCAGGCCTGGTCATACGTAGAGACATCTGGTGTCTTATTGGCTGCAGGCTACACAAGCCGCAGAGCCCAATCACGATAAGTCCTCGCCCGTCTGCACGGGGGCTTGCCGTGGATGCATGCGTGCTCTCTCTCTCTCTCTCGTCGCGGATAATCCATATCCTCCGCCATGGCGTCTCCATCTCTTCAGCCACGGCCCGTTTGCTAGCCCCGTCCCACCTGATCACCTCACGAGTGAATGGTGTGCATCTCGTTGTCGAGTCGTGGGTGGGCCAGAATGCTAATCGGAACCTAGCAGCCCTAATTATGAAATGATTCCCTGCCAGATATTGGCCCTACAGCCTCGGTGTGACTAGCTAAGATGGCGTCCAGGTGAGTGTCACCCACAACCGTCTCACGGTCTTATATTGAGAAATCCCGACTGACGCATGGCTTGTATCACAGACTCGATCGTCTCGTCACGTGAGTTATCTCTCTTATCCCATGGCTAGCCTCGTTCCGGCAGTCTGGATGTTCTCCTTCCACCCCTGTCGACTCGGTGAGAGGGCTGGGCACAAGTCCAGATCGATAACCTCGAGCCGGTCCTGTCTTCCAATCTCCTCGCTAACCCCAATCTAGGATTCTCGAGACGGGCAGCACTAAGCTAATTAAAGATACCGCCGTCAACCAATTGGCGGACTGGCAGAAGCAGCATCCCGACGAACTCTTCAACTTGCTCTCTAGAGTCGTTCCCTATCTGCGACACAAGGACTGGGATACGCGAGTGACTGCGGCGAAAGCTCTCGGCAAGATCATCGAGAATGCCCCGTACTACGATCCCAATGAGGATGAGGAGCCCACGGCGCCAGAGAAGCAGGAACCCGCCGACGCGGTCCGCCTCGTTAAGAAGGAGGAAGACGACGCCCCGCCGCCGTCCGCGGACGAGTACTTCAGGCCCGAGACGCTAGATGTTTCCACGATACTGAAATATGGCCGAGAACTTTTGAGGTCGGGGGATATAGATTATTCGCTTGCCGGTCTCGACCCCCCGTCCCAACTCGCCTATCAGAAGAAGACGCTGATGGGTCGGCTGGGGCTACTCGGCAGGCGATTTGAAGACGAAGAAATTCCCGTCGCAACTGAAAAATCCGCTAGTCCTTCCGTGCCGCAGGATCCCATCCCTACTAACGGTTCGGCCCGCCAGGACAGCGTCGCAAGTTCCGCACCCAGCCAACCCATCGAGGAGTCGGGGTTGAGCGCTAGGCAGTTGAACGTGCTAAAGCGAAAACGCAAGAGAGATGCGCAGAAGGCTGCGCAGGGGAAGAGCGGCTTCGGCGACTTATCGATACGCAGATCCTACACGGCAGGATCGGAGGGGCTCGACGACACGCCGATGCCCGACGCCGAGACGAAGAAGAACGGAAAGACGGACTACTTCAGTCTCGATCGGCCTGTTGACGTTGACGAGGATACTAAGATTGTCTCCGAGTTCAAAGGTCCGTCGGTTGCCGTGAAGTCGGAAATCGAGACGGAGGATGAGCTACAGGGATCGGAATGGCCGTATGAGCGTCTCTGCGAGTTCCTCAAAATCGACATCTTCGATGCGCAGTGGGAGACGCGACATGGCGCCGCGCTGGGCCTTCGGGAAATACTCCGGGTCCACGGCGCTGGGGCCGGTCGGTTAAGAGGAAAATCGAGAGCTGAGAATGACGTACTCAATAGAAAATGGCTTGATGATATGGCTTGCCGGCTTTGCTGTGTGCTCATGCTGGATAGATTCACCGACTATGCGTCGGATACCTCGGTCGCGCCGATTCGGGAGACCGTTGGCCAGAGCCTGGGTTCGTTCCTGAAACACGTGCCGCCGCAGTCTGTCTACAGCATCTACCGCATCCTCCACCGAATGGTTATGCAGCAGGGCCTCGAATTGGACAGGTCCGTCTGGGCCGTCCGTCACGGCGGCATGGTCGGTCTGCGATACGTCGTCGCCGTGAGAAAGGACATGCTGCTGCTGCACGGCGACATGATCGACGGCGTGGTGGAAGCCGTAATGGAAGGTTTAAGTGACACGGACGATGACGTCCGATCCGTCAGTGCGGCAACGCTTATCCCTATGGCCCAGGAGTTTGTCCAGCTGCGACCGGGTGCGGTGAAGGAGCTGATCAACATCGTGTGGGAGAGCCTGTCTAGCCTGGGCGACGACTTGAGTGCGAGCACCGGGAAGATCATGGATCTCCTGGCCACCCTTTGCGGCTTCCCCGAGGTTCTCGAAGCGATGAAGAATTCTGCGGAGCAGGACGAGGAAAGGTCTTTCACACTCTTAGTACCGCGCCTCTACCCGTTCCTGCGGCATACCATCACCTCTGTCCGTCTAGCCGTCGTCAAGGCTCTAATCACGTTTGTTAGTCTCGGCGAGGAGTCTCAGGGTTGGCTAGACGGCAGGATTCTTCGCTTGACGTTCCAGAACATCCTCGTGGAACGCGATCAGGATACCCTCAGCATGTCTATGGAGCTATGGGCTGCCCTGGTGAGGTGCTTGGCGAGGAATCCGGACAAGCTCGCACGTGAATTCGCTCCGCATATCGACGCCCTCATGCAACTTACCCTACATCCCGTCGGGGTACCTAACCATCCTATCCCCATGAATGTTGCCTTATTCGTGAAGCCATCTGGGTCTACATACTCGATCTCCGGCTTGCCGTCCGTTGCGGCGCGCAAAGGCTCCGAGCCGGACGGGGAGCGAGCAACCAAAAGACGAAAGAAGTCCACTAGAGCTGACGACATGACACCTCCGAGGCAAACTCACGATCTCGACGGACACATGATGCAAGGTGACGTGGACATGGTCGGCATGGACGCTCTCATCCGCTCTCGTGTTTCGGCCGCCACGGCAATAGGCCTGATCATGTCGCATGTGCCCACCCAGTCCCTGGACTCTTATGACGCTACCCTTGTCCCGGCGCTCACATCGTCATATGCGTCCACTCAACTGGCCGCATGCATGGTGATTGATGAGTACGCCCGAAACTGCGTTTCCTCCCCAGCCGATGTGCCACGGTACGTGGACGAGTTGCAGAAGATCATAGATTTCGATCGGCCTTACCAGTATCGCGACCTCGTCAGCTACGTTCAACGGGTGCGGTCGCAGTGCCAGCAACTCGTCAACCTCTTCCGGGACCACGGAAAGGTGCCTCAACACAAGCTTCCGGTGCTCGCTGTTGTTGTGCAAGGTGAAGCGGAAGCGGGCCCGGGCGCCTTCTCCCTCGTCAATGCTGAAAAATGTGTCGGGGATGATTTCGAACGGCTTAAGAAGACGATGGCACCGGCTCAACGCTTAATAGCCAGCCAGCAGCTCGGCGACGCTCGAGCGGAAGCCGTCTCGGCGATAGAAGAGGCCAAGTCTTTCAAGGACACACGCGATGTTCGGATCAAGGCCGCTGCGGCTTGCGCCCTCATCGCGATGAAGGTGCTGCCCAAGAAGCCCAGCCCGCTGATCAAAGCCATCATGGACAGCATTAAACTAGAAGAGAGCCAGCGGCTCCAGAGTCGTTCCGCGGACACGATCGGTCGCTTGGTCCAGCTGTTTACTGCGAAGGGACGGCGAGGTCCCGTAGACAAAGTCGTCTCGAATCTGGTAAAGTTCTCGTGCGTCGAGGTTGCCGAGACACCCGAGTTCCCAGTCCATGCAGCGAAGACCAGTGTCATCCTATCGATGCAGAAGGAAGAGGATCGTGTTGACCATGGATCTGACGCTGCCAAGTTTGCCCGAGAAGCCAAAGGGGCACGCATCACCAGGCGGGGTGCGAAGGAAGCCCTCGAAGTGCTCTCCCGTACGTTCGGTCCCGATCTTTTCGACACCGTCCCGAGCCTGAGAAGTTTTATGGAGGACCCTCTAGTCAGGGCATTTTCCGGCGACCTCCCCGCCGAGGCAAAAGACCCCGAGGACACCTTTGGCCAAGAAATCGTCGATGCCATGTCGGTCATACGGACCATGACTCCGACTCTAGACAAGACATTATACCCGTTCGTCGTGCGACAAATACCACTCATTATTAAGTCGCTGCACTCGAAACTATCCATATTCCGCTACATGGCCGCGAAATGCATGGCCACTATCTGTAGCGTTATCACGGTCGACGGCATGACGGCGCTCGTGGAAAAGGTGTTACCTTCCATCAGCAACCCCCTCGACCTAAACCTCCGCCAAGGCGCAATTGAAGTCATCTACCACTTGATTGCCGTCATGGGCGACGGTATCTTGCCCTACGTCATTTTCCTCATCGTGCCCGTCCTAGGTCGCATGAGCGACTCGGATAACGATATCCGTCTAATCGCAACTACGTCGTTCGCCACGTTAGTTAAACTCGTACCTCTCGAAGCAGGTATCCCCGATCCTCCCGGCTTCTCCGAGGAGTTGCTCAAGGGGAGGGACCGCGAACGGACCTTTATCGCGCAGCTTCTTGATCCGAAGAAAGTTGAGCCCTTTAAAATCCCCGTTGCCATCAATGCCGAACTGCGATCGTACCAGCAAGAAGGGGTCAATTGGCTCCACTTCCTCAATAAGTATCACCTCCACGGTATCCTCTGCGATGACATGGGCCTGGGGAAAACCCTTCAGACACTTTGTATTGTCGCAAGCGACCACTTCAACAGAGCTGAAGAGTTCAAGAGGACTAGTGCCCCAGATGTGCGGAAATTGCCGTCACTTATTGTGTGCCCGCCTACGCTTTCCGGGCATTGGCAACAGGAACTGAAGACATTCGCGCCGTTCTTAGGTGTCACTGCTTTTGTCGGCCCCCCTACCGAGAGAAGGGCTAAAGCCGCCCAGTTTGCAACCACTGACATCGTCATCACTTCGTACGAGGTGTGCCGGAATGATACAGAGTACCTAGAAAAACAAAGCTGGAACTACATCGTGCTCGACGAGGGACACCTAATTAAGAATCCCAAAGCGAAGATTACCCTAGCCGTCAAGAGGTTGGCTAGCAATCACCGGCTGATCCTTACCGGTACGCCGATCCAGAACAACGTCCTAGAGCTCTGGTCCCTCTTCGATTTCTTGATGCCGGGGTTCCTCGGTGCTGAAAAGGTGTTCCTGGACCGGTTTGCCAAGCCGATCGCCGCCAGCCGCTTCAGCAAAGCTTCGTCAAAAGAGCAAGAAGCCGGTGCGCTCGCGATCGAGGCCCTGCACAAGCAGGTCTTGCCCTTCCTCCTTCGCCGTCTGAAGGAAGAAGTTCTCGACGACCTCCCGCCCAAGATCCTCCAGAATTACTATTGCGACCTTAGCGATCTCCAGAGGAAGCTGTTCGAGGATTTCACCAAGAAGCAGGGCAAGAAGCTCACCGAAGAAGCCAGCCGCGACGATAAGGAAGCCAAGCAGCACATCTTCCAGGCCTTGCAGTACATGCGAAAGCTTTGCAATTCCCCCGCTCTGGTCATGACGCCGAGCCACAAGCTGTATGAAGAGACGCAGCGCTTCCTCGCAAAACAGGGGACCAGCGTAGAGGATCCCACACACGCCCCCAAGCTTACCGCACTTAAGGACCTACTCGTCGACTGCGGCATAGGCGTGGAAGGCAATGACTCAAACGACCCGCTCTACCAGCCGATCAAGCCGCACAGAGCCCTGATATTCTGTCAGATGAAGGAGATGCTGGACATGGTCCAGAACACGGTGCTGAAGCGCATGCTCCCGTCCGTCTCGTACCTGCGGCTCGACGGCTCGGTCGAGGCGAACAAGCGGCAGGACATTGTGAACAAGTTCAACAAGGACCCGTCGTACGACTGCCTGCTCCTCACGACTAGCGTGGGCGGCTTAGGGCTCAACCTCACGGGCGCCGATACCGTCATCTTTGTCGAGCACGACTGGAACCCCCAGCGAGACCTCCAGGCTATGGATCGCGCTCACCGCATCGGTCAGAAGAAGGTCGTCAACGTGTACCGGTTGATCACCAGGGGCACGCTAGAAGAGAAGATCCTGAGGTACGTCGCGTCAATTGCGCGCGCCCCCTCTCCTCCCCTCACCTTATCCGTCCTCGGCTAACCTTTCTTTTCTTTTTCCTTTGGAAAAACAGCCTCCAGGCATTCAAGATCGACGTCGCGTCCACGGTCGTGAACCAGCAAAATGCAGGATTGGTAAGTGTCACACCCTCCCCCCCCCCCCCCCATCACCTTGACGTGGCTAATCTAACTCTGGGGGGCAGGGGACCATGGATACGGACCAGATACTGGACCTGTTCAACCTGGGCGACGCGGGACCGAGCCTGATCACGGACAAGGGGGGGGCGGGCGGCGGCGGGATCGAGGGCCGCGAGGAGGACATGGTGGACGTGGAGACGGGCGACGTGCGGGCCCCCGGTAAGAAGGCTTGGGCCGACGACCTCGGCGAGCTCTGGGACGACCGCCAGTACGAGGAGAGCTTCGACCTCGACGGCTTCCTCAAGACGATGCAATGACGACGAGGAAACACGACGGGAGTGGAGGAGAAGAAGAAGGCGGAGGAGGAGGAGGAGGAGGGGGGGCTCGCGAAGCGCGCGGCAGTGGGAGGGCAGAGGAAAGGCGTCACGGCTAGGGCAAGGAAATCCCGAAGTAGATTTCTTTCTTTCTCTCTTTCTTTCTTCTGCTCCTGCAGTGACCGCTTTTGCGCGGGGAGAGGGGGAGGGAGCCGAGGTTCCCAACGACGACGACGACGACGACGACGACGAGACGTTGGTGTCCCCTCTCGTCTGCCTGGTGTATATGCTGTATCATTACGGAGAAGGAAGCGGCTGGCAGGCTCGCGTGTCCGTCTTCCGACTACGGAGGCGGGGCGCAGCAATAGGGGTATTTATGTATGCCGGATACCTCTTTTATGTTTCAGATACACACACACACAACATGCAAAGAAGCATCCTTGCGCCGGTCTCCCCACCAGTTTATCTGGAGGTGAGGTTAGGAGTCACACCTACCCCCAGACGAGAGCTCCCATGTGCAGTTGAGTGAGTGAGTGGGTCGGTTGTACGTAGGTTTGTAGCATCAGGCGGCTACGGTGTATCGGTACTACTATAGGGGCTAATCTTCACACACCTCGCACAGAAGACGTTTCATTTCTCGCCCAGATGGTCAAGGGTACCTTAGGGGTATCTACCTATCGTTCATCGCCCATAACCTCGTGCCTCCTTATCGAAGGGAGGAGAACGATGCGGGCTTTCACTACACAGATCTACACAAAAGCAGGTACGTGCTTCTCTGAGCCGAAACCGGACTCCGCGCCAGGGGTATTGCCTTTTCTCACCCAACCCAGTTGCTGCCTCTACTTGGCGATGCTGCCCTTATCCCTATCCTCGGGTTCGTGCTCCGCCGTCACTTGGCCGAGAGGCACGAGCATATTTTCCGTCGTCGCGTCCTGCGCTGGTCTCTTCTTGCGGCCGAGGTCGTTGAGCCGGCTCATGCCCACCATCGCCCGGTAGATGATGGCGATGGCTACGACCGAGACAAGCGAGTATATCCAGATGATGACGATGGTCACTGTGTCCGTGGCACCGTCGGCCGAAAGCTTGGAGGACAGCGCGGGCGGGATCGAGGGCTCGCCCAGGCCGTCGCAGAACCAACCGTTGGCCGTAAAGGCCGAGGCTAGGACGTCGACGCCTAGGATGGCGCCGACTAGCTGCCATGAGGGGTACGTCTCGAAACCGCGGGTCACCAAGATGAGCCAATTCTCCGTCAGCGCCACCTGCAGGAAGATGATCCCCTGGATGGAGCCGTAGTCCTGGATGATGCCACCATTGGGAAGCCAGAGGCTGCCGCGCAGAATCCAGGTCCCGGTGGCGAGCAAGGAGCCAAGAACGGCGCTGATGATCCAAATCCTGGGGAGCTGCCATTCCACTGGTCTCTTCTCGTAGTGTGCCGTATCGTAGGCGACAGCAATAGTCGCCACGTCAGCGAACAAGGCCAAGAAAACGATGAGATCAACGCGAAGGGTTTCTCTAACCAAGATCATGGTGGTAACCAAGAATATCTCGAGGTGCAAACAGAGGGCGATGCGATACTGGATATAAGCCTTCATCCGCTGGAATATCTGACGCGAGAGCTTGATAGCGGAGACGATGGTGCTGAGACCGGGGGAAAGGAACACGATATCAGCAGCTGCTTGAGCGGCCTCGGTAGCACCCTCGACGGCGATACCGCAGTCGGACTTCTTGAGGGAGGGCGCATCGTTCACACCATCGCCAGTCATGGCTGTTAGGTGACCACGCTGCTGAAGCATCTCAACAACCTGATATTTATGCTCAGGGAAAACCTCGGCGAATCCGTCAGCCCTCTCGCACAAGTCGTAGATATCTGTACCGGCCATGCCGCTATGGAGCAACCCGTCCGAGGTGTAGACCTTGGTGCCGAGGGCCAGCATGCGGCACGTCTCCTTAGCGATGGCGATGGCGTCTCCGGTGAGCATCTTCACCGACAACCCGAGAGCCTGGGCCTCCGCGATGGTTTTGGCGGTGTCGGAACGCGGCGGATCGAAAAGGGATATCATGCCGAGCATCTGCCAAGGGCCGTCCTCCTCCTGAACAGCGACGGCAAGGGAGCGGAAACCGCGGCGAGCAAATTCGGTCGCCTTCTCCTCAAAAAGGGCGGACTGCTCTTTATCGCAGCTTGTTAAAGCCAGGATGGCCTTGGGAGCACCCTTAGCACACGTGTAGCGCACGCCGTCGCGCGTGCAGACTGCCGTGATTCGTTTGGAGACGGGGTCGAAGGGGGTAAACTTCTCGGTTTTCCAGCCCTGGCTGAGGATCTCCTTAGCCTTGGGGTATCGCTTCAGAGCCAGGATGGTGATCTTGTCGATGGGGTCGAGGACCTTGATATTGTGTGACGAAGCCAGAGCGGCGACGGCCATCATCCAGTCGATTTCCACGCCATCCATGACGAAGGGTTCCCGGACGGAGAGTCGGTTGGCGGTCAAGGTACCCGTCTTGTCGGAACAGAGGATGTCAACGCCGGCGAGTGACTCGATAGCCGCGAGTTTCTGTACCAATGCTTTCTCCTTGGCCAGGTACGCGGCACCGACAGCCAACGTGGTAGTGGTAACGACCGGCAGACCAACAGGGACACCAATAACAAGTAGAATCACCGTATGCTTCAGGAGGCTATGTGAGCTTCCCTCGGCCGCGGCAAAACGAGTATTTCGGTAAAAGTCCCCAATCCAAGCGACAAGGATCCAGAAGACGACGACGACGAGAAGGGTGTTGCCAATTGAGTCCATAACGGCCTTGAAGTGGCCTGAGTCTTTGGCACTTTGGACGAGACGAGCTGTCTTGCCCACGAACGAGGCCTGTGCGCCTGCAGTGACGACGGCGTAAGCCTTGCCGCGTTTACAGCCGGTCGTATAGTAGATGGTATCGGTCGCACACCTGTCAACGGCAAGAGATTCACCTGTGATGGCACTCTGGTCGACAGCAACAATAGCGTGACCGATAGCACGAGGGGCTTCGCCGCTATCACTACCTTCAGACTGCTGGTCGTGGGGGGAGGTGGTACCGTGGGCGGAGAGCGCCTCTTCATACTGGGCCTGTCCGTGAGGGTTATCGTAGCTGCAGATGACGCGAGCATCTCCCGCGACGACGTACCCTTCCTCGACGATCATCTGGTCTCGTCAGCACTCTGGCAGAAGCCCGTGTTTCTCTACGGGACGGGACGTACAATATCACCGGGTACGAGCTCTCTCGCCTTTACTTCGACCTCTTGGCCATCTCGTACGACACGGGCCTTCATGGCGATGTCGGCCTTGAGGCTAGCGACGATATCAGACGCCTGCTTTTCTTGGTACCAAGCGACAGTGGCGTTCAAGAACAAGATACCGATGACGATTCCAGCTCCCATCCAGTCCTGAACGGCCAGGGCGATGACGACGGCTACCTGCATGGCTACTACGAGTTAGAAAACAGATTCCAAGTATGCGTGTATATGGGACAAACCATAGAGGATGGGACCACGGAAAAAGCCGATGAACTTGAGCAGCATGTTTTCCCTCTCGGCAGACAGCTCATTCCAGCCAGAGAAGGCCCTTCTTCGCTCGACCTCGGCCAAGGAGAGGCCGTCCTCGACGGGCGTGTGCAACCAGTCGCCAGGCGCGTCGAAATCGTTCGGAGAAGCGGCAGCGGAGCCGGTCTGGCCACGCCGCCAGAAGGCCCACCAGGGTCTTTCCTGGTTCTGTTGCAAGATTCCCTCGTCTCCCACTTCCGAACTGGGATCTCGATAGCCGTCAACATATCGAATCAAACTAGTAGCGAAATACCTATTAGCTGATACTGTATACCCCCAGGTCCCTGCTTCGATGAAACCCACGACTCGTACTCGTCTAAGCGTGGCTGGTTGTCATGATTGCTGGCATTGGCGGCATTGCTTCTCTGGGTCTCAGTGGAGAGGTTGCCGAGCTCCAGATCCTGGCCGGCCAACGCTCCTGACACGTTGTTGTTGTGATCGAAGGTGCCTGGCGGCGCTGCATTCTTGCCACCACTTGAGACCATCGACTTGATAAGCTGGAGCACCATTTTGATCTGGGATTCTAGCACAACAAGAAGAAGGAGGAGGAGGGCTGGGGGGTATCGGAGAGTTAAGGGAAAGGGGGAGGGGGAGGGGGAGGAGCGCGAAGAAGGCCGGATGGAAAGATGAGACGTGTGAAGAAGGGCAGAGTGTGGGTGAGCAAGGGTGAAGAGGCGTGAAGAAGAAGAAAGGTGCAGGCGGAAGAAGAGGAGGAGGAGGAGGAGGAAGAAAAAGGGTGAAAGCGTGTCAAGAAGAAGGGCGGAGGACAAGAGGAGGGAGGAGAGAAGAAAGCGGCAGGAAGGAGGAGCATAAATAAATGGGAAAAGGAAGCCGAAGAGGCTCGAGGATGACTTTCTCCTCTCGCTCCTTCCCAAGTAAGTTGGCGGCCTCCGTCCCGGGGCAGGTTGGAGAGTCTGGTAGAACTAGGGAAGGAGCGGCCCCTAAGCAGCAACGCATAGAGGCACTTGACAGCTACCGCATACGAAGCACCGGCGCTTTGCATCGCCGTGCCAGAAACGTCCCGTGCCGAGGCTTTACTTCTTCAAGGCAGAGCTAACGTCTCTTCTATGCCACCATCAGTGCTCACGGAGGGATAGGGGCCGCCCGGCGTTGTTCCGCACCGAGAGGAGGGGAGAAGAAAGGTTCCAACAAGGAGTTGATGCATGAGGACGTTTCTGTGCGTAGTATAGTTATTATGGTCCATTGGAAGCTGCAAAGTTGTGAATATGAGTTTGAAGGTAAAGGTTAAGCATGTAAGCCTGTATACCTAGATACCTACCTACCGCCCTAAAGTTCCAACCGTAGTGATATACCTCCTAATAGGTATGCATGTGGATGTGTACAACCTAGGTCACAGTATTACAGGTATTTCCCCCAACCCGTAAGTTTGATGTCCTCCAGGCAGTACCTTGTATCTCTAACTCCCCCTGATCTGTCAAACTTAGAGATAACGGAGAGATATTAATAGGTGCTACCGAGGGCACTCGCGATATACCTAGGTAGCGATGCAACGCAACAGATACACGTGTACCAGGTAGGTATTCGGTGCTTTTCAATGCATAGAGGTACCTAGGTAGGTGTACCTACCTGCAGTGTCCCCTCTCTCACTCCGGAGGTTTGTGAGTAAATGCCCCTTTTACGAGAGTCCCATACTAGGTGCCTGGTACTAATATCTAAGAGGTATTATCGATGTGCCTATAGGCACCTTTAGTTAAGTATTTCCACAGCCAATAGGCTTCAACTCATAAGAGGCATAAGGGGTACCTCCTAATAATGTAACGCTAGGTACCTACACCTAGAGGAGGTATCTAGGTAGGTACCTAGGTACCTCTTAGCCTAGGTACCATACGGGGAGGGGGGGGGGAGGGGGGGGTCTATGGACAGTATGTTAGTAATAGAGTCGGGGTACGGATACGGTAACTAAATCTAGTAAGGGTTACCTTAATTAGTCATTCTTTCGAAAGAGCTAAAAGAATTACAGCAAGGGTCGCGGTACCGACCTTATTACCTTCCCTTCTTATAATTTCAGGATGGTTTTTATAACTGCGTAGGAACCAATATCCAGACGGATATAATGTCTATATATTCCATAGGTACCTACCTACCTACCTACCTACCTACCTACCTACCTACCTACCTACCTATCTACCTACTTAGACCTACCTACCTAAACCTGTTATCTTCATCTTTTTTTTACAAACACCATGATCTACTACCCATCTTCGAACCTATCTTCGAACCTATCTGCGAACCTATCTACGAACCTATCTGCGAACCTATCTACGAACCTATCTGCGAACCTATCTGCGAACCTATGGGAGCTAGTTCAGGCATGTGGAGTCTATCTATCTTCGAACCTATCTACGAACCTATCTACGAACCTATCTTCGAACCTATGGGAGCTAGTTCAGGCATATAGAATCTATCTATCTTCGAACCTATAGGAGCTAGTTCAGGCGTATGGAATCTATCTATCTTCGAACCTATAGGGGCTAGTTCGCGCGTAGAATCTATCTATCTATCTTCAAACCTATCTTCAAACCTATGAGAGCTAGTTCAGGCATGTAGAATCTATCTATCTTCGAACCTATAGAAGCCAGTTCAGGCATGTGGAAGCTATCTATCTTCGAACCTATAGGAGCCAGTTCGCGCGTGGAATCTATCTATCTTCAAACCTATGGGAGCTAGTTCGCGCGCGTGGAATCTATCTATCTTCGAACCTATCTTCGAACCTATGGGAGCTAATTCGCGCGTGGAATCTATCTATCTTCGAACCTATCTTCGAACCTATGGGAGCTAGTTCGCGCGTGGAATCTATCTATCTTCGAACCTATGGAAGAGGTAGGTAGGTAGGTAGGTAGGAGGTTAGGAGGTAGGTAACAGACGTAAAAGATACAAAGGTACAAAGGTACGTACTTAGTAACATAGAGGTAACCGGGTAATCCTATAGAATATACCTTTTTTAAAATAAGGACATTATATCCGGATGATAACTATGTCGGGAAATGGTAATAATGTCAGCCTAGAGTTTAACTCACTCTTATTACGAGGCAGACACTATGTCCAGTCATAGAAAGGGTTGCTGACATAGTATCAATAGACCCCCCCCTCCCTGTATGGTATACCTAGGTGACACGGAATTACCTATGTACCTATTCTTGGCCTACGGGTAATTATTCCGTTGTCCGCATAACAGGGAAGATAAGATAAGGACCTTTTTTTTTTTTGGTAATGGGCAGCCCACTAACACAGCAAGGCGACGTACACATAGGTAGTAAACCAACCACCCAGCAAACCACCCAGTAGCAGACGCTGACTAGTGAGAGGAGAGCCATCATCGACAACAACCGCAGAGACGAGGAAGGGCGCCGCCCCCCCAACACATAGTACCGCCTCGCATCCACCGCTAGACTACGTAGGCAGTATGAAGCGCAAGTTGGACGAGAACGACGAGCCGGTCTCGACACCCACCTCTGGAGCGACCATCGCCACCTTCGCAGACCTCGGCCTTGACAGCAGACTCCTCCAGGCCACCGCGCGCCAGAACTGGCAGACGCCCACCCTGGTCCAGAGCAAGGCTATACCGCTGGCCATCGAGGGCTACGATGTGCTCGCAAAGGCCAAGACAGGCTCCGGCAAGACTGCCGCCTACCTTCTCCCCGTCCTCCAGGCCATCCTCAAACGAAAGCAGGTCTGTCGGAACCGGCCGGCCTCGCGCCATTCCGCGTCGCGGGACACTGCTAACCTCATCTCGCGCCAGGTATCCGCCGACTCCTATACCGCTGCCCTCGTCCTCGTCCCCACCAACGAGCTGGTGACCCAGGTTGCTAAGGTGCTCGACTCCCTCACGGCCTTCTGCTCCAGAGAGATCAAAGCCGAAAAGCTGTCGGACAAGCTCTCCGACGCCGCCCAGCGCGCTGTCCTCTCCGACACCCCCGACGTAGTCGTCGCAACACCCGCAAGAGCGTGGCACAATATCAAGAATTCTGCTCTTTCCCTCGAGAAACTGACACACCTCGTCCTGGACGAGGCCGATCTTGTGCTATCCTATGGCTACGACGACGACCTGCAGAACGTAGCTTCCTCCCTGCCCAAGGGCCTACAGACGACGCTCATGAGTGCGACGCTAACCCCGGAAGTCGACACGCTGAAGGGCCTGTTTTGTCGAAACCCGACAGTACTGGACCTCAAAGAGCCCGATGCCGACGGGGGAGGTATTTCTCAATATGTGGTCAGGTAAGTCGACGTCTCACTTTCGCACTGCGCATGGCGCTAACGGCCCCTAGATGTGGTGAAGATGAAAAATTTCTCCTTATATACTGCATGGTGAAACTGGAATTGATCAAGGGGAAGGCGATAATCTTCGTCGGCGATGTAGACCGGTGCTACCGTCTCAAGCTGTTTTTCGAGCAATTTGGTATTCGGAGCTGCCTGCTGAACTCGGAGCTGCCAGTCAATTCTCGAATCCACGCCGTCGAAGAATTCAACAGAGGGGTCTACAACATCATCATTGCCTCAGATGAGAACGAGGTAGTAGGTGACGAAAACGATCAGGCCGACTCGGCCAATCGAGAAGAGTCGGCAGATGACGCCAAGAGTGACCGTAAGAGCACTACCAACGCGGCCGAGGAGAGCCAGAGTACGACCATCACACCCCTAAGTAAAAAACGTAAAGCTTCACGTCATGACAAGAATTACGGAGTTTCCCGAGGGGTCGACTTCAAGAACGTCGCAGTGGTCATCAATTTTGACCTGCCGCTATCATCGCGCTCTTACCTGCACAGGATCGGGCGGACCGCACGTGCGGGCCAGACGGGCATGGCTTTGTCCTTCGTCATACCGAAGGATAAGTTTCGGAAGCATATGCCTACCAGCATCGCTACGGCGGAGAACGATGAAAAGGTGCTGTCCAAGATTATTAGGCAGCAGGAGAAGAAGGGTCATGAAGTCAAGGATTACAACTTTGACATGAAGGCAGTGGAGGCCTTTCGGTATCGAATGAATGACGCCCTTAGGGCCGTGACCAAAGTGGCCATTCGCGAGGCCAGGTTACGAGAACTCAGACAGGAATTGCTCAAGAGCGAAAGCTTGAAGCGGCACTTCGAGGAGAACCCGTTTGAGGTCCGCCATCTACGGCACGACGTCGAACTCCGGACGGCGAGGAGCCAGCCTCACCTGAAGCATGTACCCGATTACCTGCTACCGAAGGATGGGAAGAAGGCCATCACCTCGAACGAGGTCGGGTTCGTGCCGTTTAGAAAGGAACGCGACGGGAAGGGCCGGAAGGGCAAGTTCTTCAAGACTAGGGGTAGGCGGATAGCCGGACGTAAGAATGACCCATTGAGGTCGTTCAAAGCAAGAAAAAAGGCCAAGTAGTTCGATACTTGCGAGCTTACAGACGAGGATCACCCTGCATGGCATATCTCTTCTTCCAGTCATAGCTATAGATACCCACAATACTAAGTAAAGACCATTTACAGTGGCAATATCAAGCGAGCCACGTCGCCCTTGAGGTTGGAATATTGCAGATGACACGGGCCTCTCGATTGTGTCCGCCCATACCTGTCACCTCCACGGCCACGCCAGCCTATCTAGATAGACATCATTACATCCACACACACCGTTAACCCTCTAACTCACTAAGGAGGCGCTCCATTGTCTACTAGAACTAACCGGACCTCGTCATCCCTCACTACTCCCCCAGCCATGCTATTTTGAGAACCTGGCTCATATGCAAAAGCTAGAAGTTGTCACTTAACCCCAAATCGAAGCTTCTTACGTATTTCTGTTGGCAATAATATCCTGTGTTGCGGCGTATCTCAACGCTCAGCTAGCTCCTCGTGCCACTCGACGTGTACTCGTTTATGACTGCCACTTAGTCCTCCTCCGAGTGCCCGGAGAAGTAGTAGCTCGACGCAACACGCCGTCGAGACACCCTGCTCGCTAGACCCAGATACCAATCGCAGTTGGGGAAAGGGCAATATTCCTAATAGTCCCGAACAACAAAGACAACTTCCCACACAAGATTCTCCCCACATACGAAACCCCTGGCCCATATCTGCTGCCGCAAGTGCCTCTGCTTTACGCCCGGGTGACTTTCCCTACGTGTCTCTAGTCAGCGAAGTTTGACCTCGGGGTCGTCGTCAGAACCAGCCATCTCCGTATCCTCCCCCCTATTCCCTTCCATCCCCTCCTATTCCCCTTAACCCCTGTGACGTGCAACGTGCCTCGCCTTCAGCCGCCATCTTAATTACAACATTCCCATCTATCAACTATCTATCTAGAACTCGTCGGCAATCTCCTTGTTAGGGGACGCACATGCAGACGAGCGGCCGGGTTTCTCATCACAGCCTCTCAATTACGAGTTGGTAATCCTAACCCGTGGCGTCTGTGACTTCCCTCGCAGAGCAAGCCCAGTAAGCACTGTCAACATCTAGCCACGCAAGCACAGCGAGGCCAAGCTATTCGCCAGTGAGTCCGATACAAATATCCGCCACTTCTTTTGCCTTGGCGTAAGTATCTTCTATGGGATCTCTCGTGACATTGTTGCTGTTCGCCTCTCGTGCTGACAGGGACTAGCAGATATTACAGGCGTTTCTCTTGGCACCAGGTTTCGATCTATCCTCGTCGTATGAGATCTACTCACCGCTTTCCTGCGAGGGGCACCCGGTTCATCTTTTGCCAGCACAAGAGTGATAATCTAGAGCTACGCTCCAAGCGAGCAGAGAGTCTCGATGGGAGCAAGCCGCGAGGCTCAACAGGAATCGGAAATGGGCGAGCAGCAGGAGGACAACACAGCAGATATATCTGCTCAAGAAATGCTACGGCTCTTGAATGGCGTGGGGGAGGAGGAAGAGAGGAGGCAGGGGATGGAAGCCAACTCCAGCCTGCATGGCGACCATGGCCCTGATCAGGTGTCCCTGTCCATTGCGTCGACCGGGCGTCCACTGGGCCCGGACAATGAGTATTTGACCTCACAATGCCCTCCCAGTCAAGCCGCAGAAGAGCCTGTACAGCCGCAGTCTCAAACAGGGACATTGGGAGAGGCAAGCCGCCCACAAAGCCCTAACTGGAATCAAAATCCCCATCTAGACACAGAAATTTCTTCCGACAGCAGCAGCTTCAATTTCTCAACCCTCATCCGCACCTCCAGAACTGCAAGCAAGTCATCATTTCATCTTACTCAAGACCCCTTTTCCATCATTTCTCAGATACAGAAACGCCCTCCTGTCACGTTCGTAAGGAGAATCATCATGCCTTCCCAGAATGAAACGACTTCCAGCGGTGCCCAGGGCACCAACAACGCACCACCCCAGGCCCCTACTGAAGCCCCGACCAGCCGACGAGCGGTAATGAAGAGGAAATCATCTGCTGCAGCATCACAGCCAAAAAGACGTAAGTATATTCTTGTATACCCGGGCGGTTGGGATGATCTCGCCGCGGGCTGGAATATGTGCTAACACGATGGCGGTGTAGACAAGCCCTCTGATACCATAGAAACAAACGAGAAGGCCCCGGATGGATCCTGGAAGGTTGGTAGCACTCTTCGGAATCGACGGCGTGAAAGCCACAGAAAGCACGGAAAGCCTCGGCCATCTAACATGTCACCCCAACAGACGGAGCCAATGCGAAACATGGTAGATCGCTTTGGGACTCTGTCCCGGGCGCAGTACAACATGGCAATCATCGACGCCGCCAAAGCCGTGTTAAAGGACCACCCAGACCTCCTCGAGGCCGTCGGCAGTGCGGCCGCGGCCAAATACAAAAAGGCCATGGTCCATCATATTAAATCTGATAAGAGCTCCGCCGAAATGATGGTTTTTTTCCATCAGACGCAGGAGCCTGATTTCGACTTTCACTCCCCCGATGACCCGCACCAGTCAGAGGGACATGACGGCGCTGGTGAAGCCGATACCGACGCCGAGGACGGGGGCGAGGGCGAGGGCGAGGGCACCGCCGGCGCCCAAGACATCGAAAACTCGTCGGATAACTGTAAGGCCTCACGGCAGACCGCGGCACGCCCGAGAGCACGAGCTAACCCGCCTAGAAACAAATTTCATCTCGCTGCATCAGCACGCGGCCAGGAGCAGAAGATCCAGTCGTTGTTGTCGTCGTCTCGACGTCGACGAGGAGAAGACGAAGAACGTCGCTTGTCTAGGAAGCAGGTTTTCCTGCAAACAAAAAGAATCCAGGAATGGGAGTATAGAATTTGCAGTACCCGTGATACGGAAGGCGTTCTCTCGCGCCATCGTGACCATCGCCGTGACACCTATCCTCGTAACTATGCCCGTAGCCCCCATGACAACACCCCCAACCCTGTCCGCAAGCGCATCCATATCGGCAATAACATCACTAGCATCTCCTCCCTCCCTCCCACTCCCCCTTCCTCCCGTCCCTCCCTCACCGCCGACGACGACGATATCGAAGCTGAGCTCGCCCTGCTGCGGCCGCGCGCGGAGAGGCTTCCCGGGACCTTCCGCTCGCGCGACGCCGCTAACGCTCGGCTCGAGGACGTGGCGTCGCAGGAGGCCGTGCTGCGGGGGCCCAACGCTGCGGTGCGGCGCGACGTGCGGGCGCGGACGCCCCACGGGCTGCTGTGCGCGCGGCTCGAGCTGGCCACCGGCGAGCGCCGCGTCCTGTGGGTGGAGCGGCGTCTTACTGGCGTGCGGCGGCCCCGCGCGCCGCGGCGGCAGCGGAGAGGGAAAGGGCCCGACGGAGGTCGAGGCGCAGAGGAGGGCTGGCACCCGAGGCTCCCGCTTTACGTCGTCGAGTGCGAGTTCGTCACGAGGAAGGCCGACGAGGGGCCGCGGCGTGTGGTGCGACGGCGGGTGAGGAGGGTGAAGCAGACGAAGGAGAGGGAGGAGGAGGAGGCGAGCAAGACGGCAGGCGAGAGTGAAACCGGGGATGGTGAGGAAAACGAGGATGCGGAGAGGCAGTTAGCGGGGGGAGAAGAAGAAGAAGAAGAAGAAGAAGGGGGCTACGAGTCGGAAGACGAAGACAAAGACTACGACTACGAAGAGGTAGAAGAAGAAGAAGAAATCGTCGAGGGCGCCTTCACGGGGGACGTGGAGCTGGCACGGCTGCCGTTCGAGATCTTCACGGAGCAGGGGCTCGCAGACGCGCGGGCAGCGGAGCTGTTCCTGCGGCACTCGGCGGTACAGGAGGGGGAGCGCAACGTGCTCGACGACGAATGGTGGGCGCGGCGCGCGGTACCGGCGCACGACGCGGCGGCCGCGGCGGCGAGGGCGAGGGAGAGGGAGGGGCAGCAGGGGACGGCCGGGTACTGCGCCGAACTTGACGTCGGCGAGATGCGCACCCGCCTCGGGTACGACTCCCTCCGCGTCGCGGTCTACGCCGTCGGCGACGTCCAGGGGCCGCTTAACATCTGACGAGACAGATACGCACACGCAGAAAGAGAAAAAAAAGGGGGGGGGGGATACGGCGGTCTGTTAGGTATTGCTACCTAGCGAGGCCGGCCGGGCCGGCTCTGTATGAATCTATGGCTCTATCGAGGGATCTCTATCTGCGACGAGAAGGGGTGGTTGAGGGGGAAGGGGAGGAGTATTGGAGTGGATGTGTGGCTAGAAACGGCAGGGTAGGCAGGTCTTTGCGGAGGCCATGTTCGACGCAGACGGGATGCGGGTGCGCCCCGCGATGACTTGCTGGTCCAATTTGTCGGCCGCTGGCTCACGAGTCGGGGTCTCGAGTAGAGAGAGTTTCTAATACGAGATACGATGATATCTCGCCTGCTGACGGTCTGTCTCGTCCGCGAAGAGAGGGAACGGGCTGCTGACTGGGAGATAATGATGACGGCACAACACAAATAAGGCGACAAGGCAAAGCGCGGGAAGCCGGCCGGCGTACCCCCCCACGGCCGCTTGTCTAGGCGAGATGCCGTGAATCCAGACAGAGAGACAGACGGGGAGGGACTGACTGGGCCGAGTGCCGGAGTACTAGCTGGAAACTAGGCCAGCACTACTGGGGAAGCTGCGACGACCTCTCTCCAGGCCTCTCCGGCGCGGCGCGGCGAGGGAAGGCCCGCCTCGCACGCGGTCTCGGCTAAGCTGCCCGTGACGACCTCAGGTACCTTAGCTCTCAGGTACCTTAGCTACGGGGGCTAGGTACCTAAGCTAAGCTCCCACGCCGATTCCCGTAGCAGCTAGGTACGCGATGGATGTAAGGGGTGTGTGCCTTGGGCAGGTACGTAAAGTGCCTGCCCCGTCGCCCTTCTTCCATGCCGATATCTCCCGTCGCAAGCGGGCACCTGAGGCAAGGGCTACATGGGTAGGTACGTCCTAAGATGGGCACTTACCTTCGATACCTAAGGCAGAGATACGTACTTGTATTTACAAATTACCTACCTAGGTATGCCACTATTAGGAGGTAATACCCATACTATACTCATATATCAGCTACGCGGAAAGCGCAAGGGCTGAGCGCTGCCGACCAGCTGAGCCGACGCCAGCAAGTACACACCGTTTTGCTGCTCGTCATGCCGCTTTTATACTTGCTTAAAACGCTTAGTACGCAGGCGTCATCGTTTGGGGACGAAGGCATAATCCGCTCTCTTCTCTGTGTTTACAAACAGCTTTTGTTTACTCTGGTCCGATTATATCAGGTACCTTAAGCGGTATGCAACCCATGTAATAGATGTGCGCTTGCGTGTATACGTAGGCATAAAGTATAAGAGAATGTGTAGGGATTGAATTGTGTTTCCCCCCGTCGTTGCGGATACCTACTCATGGAGACCTGTCTATATCTTAGAAGGCTATAGATCTCTTCCCCTCCAGCGAGGTGCGTACTTCTTATTTATGCATAAAACTGTAGGTGAGATCGGTCCTAGGGGGAGGACCCTCTGGCGTGCACGTGAATTCCGCCCAGAGATCGCCCACGGTCCCCTTCCTCTTCACCGGGGCTTATTGGCCTAGTATCCATGGCTTGAGTCGAACATCTACCGAAATTGCACGCGGAGAGGTTGACGATGAGCCGTATGTACGTATATACATGCATACAAGCATGCATACACATGTTAGGAGGCATTCAAACCCGACGGGCAGACCTGGCGACCGTAGAACGGGCTGAGCAAAAAGGGGAGCGAAAGAAACCACACGGAAGGGAAAGGGAGCGTTGGCGCATACGAGGAGGCTAGCGGAGCTTTACCTTGGGTAGAAAGGTAGGAGGTACCTATTTAAGACAATGAGATGGAAGATCACCATCCACACCTTAGGCACATAACCCCTTCAATGGCATTAGACACATCTATCCGCACCCATCTAGACGTATGTTTATGTATATATACAGGATGCGCACGCCTCAGGAGAGAAATACCTCGATACTCGCTCTGGGCGGGAGAATGCGCGCGGGCTACGAATCGGTCCGTGCACCTATCGGTTGGCTAGGAAACGCGAGACCCGATTAGCGCTGCCCTGGATTCAGCTAGGGCAGTCACGGGCTTGGGCGGGAAGCTGGTGGGAAGCTGGCCGTACCCCGCCCCACTGCCCGCTAAGCCCATGTCTGTTTACATCCCGTCCTAGCGCCCGCCATCCCAAACAGCCAAATAACCTCTGGCACCTGTGCACCGCACCCTCGATAAACTACCCTCACCGTCACCACTTTCGTGCCGTTGCCTCTGCGTGCCATTCCTCCCCCCATCACCATCTTTGTTGTCTTTCCCTCTCCTCCCCTCCCCCCTTCGGAACTGAGAGATACACAGCTGGCTAATTCCCGCCCTTGGTGCCCGTTGGCGACGGTGATATTTGGCATTTATCCCCCTTATTGTTATTCTTTCCCATCGCCCCCTACCTCCCGCCCTTATCTCGCTTCTGTAGCGAGGAGGCCCCGTTCTCCCATCGCCGAAGCAGGGCTACGATCGATCAATCCGTCGGTCCCGTGCCAGTCTAACTATTCCAAGCTGAGTATCTATCGACGTAAGTCAACCGGAACGACATCGCCTGGCTGTGCCGCCGGTGCCCAGCATCCTTTCTCTTGTGCCGCCCTCCGCATCTCCCTCCCCCCAGGAGAGATGAATTAGGCGAGAGAGCTTGACGGCAACCGCAACGAAGTTATCAGTCAACATGGCCTCTGAAGAGCAGCCGGTAAGTAGATATGGCCACGTCCTAGGAATGCACACCGAGACATTAACAACAAACCCCGTCCCTAGGTCACCCAGCCGTTGCGTATCTCCAAGGCTAACACCCCCTCTTCGTCGCCGACTAAGAGTAGCATTCCTCGGCCCCTGTCTGAGATCTCAGCCACAGAGCAGCGGCGCAACTCGCCTAGCTGGATCCAGTCTCCCAAGGTAATTCAGGCCCTGCCTGGGCGGGCGCAGTGGGATCCGAGGCTAATGCTTATGGTGCAGAAGATGGGTCTGAATACCGACTCGTCTCCATTCCAGTCCTCCCCTCTGGATGGCGCCGCCTCGCCGCGCCTGTTCTGGCAGAACCGCAACATCAATAACCGCATCGAGAATGAGCTGTATGGTGGCCGAACCGGCTCTCCGTCGCCTAATAGGCGGTCTTCCATTGAGCGCTTGCAGAAGGCGTCGCGAGTGAAGAACAGCACCATGTTTGCGCGGGAGCAGAAGCAGGAGTATGACCCGACGCGCTTTCCAACCCTCGAGCGCCCCCTCGCCAAGGTGCAGGGCAATGCTTACGGCGGCGCGGGCATTGGCGGCTTTCGATCGACGCATGGCCGTTCGGACAGCCAGTCGAGCATTCCGCTTTTGAGCTCTCCTAGACCTCCCCCTCGCCCGACCCCAGCGCCAACCGGGCCGCAGACCCCTAGCAAAGAGCAGACGTCTCCCATGAAGTCGTCGTTGTCTTCGACTCGCTTGAGGAATGATCAGGATTCTCCGGGCGGCGACGTATTCTCGGACAATTCGTTCCACGAACACCAGCTTCCCAGCGGCAAGTTCCTGCACCGTCACGCCAAGTCTGTCACGTTCGATGCAGCGCCGCCTCAAGTAAATGAGTACGAGATGGCAACCCCAGATATGTCTTCTGTCGGCACTGGTTCTCGAGAAGGTAGCTTTGAAGATGACGATGACGACGACGATTACCTCTATGAAAACTACCCCGGCGACGATGCTCATGGCCAAGACGATAGCTTCGACGCGACGCTGGAGGATACCGACAAGACGCCGGTGGTGGGTCCTGACGATTGGCGTCAAGATCGGGATACTCGTTACGATAGTAGCCCGATGCCTGAGGGCTTCCCATCTCCGGCTGCTACTACCCGCCCACAGCATTCCCGCACCGATTCGTCCACAACCTCTAGCAGTGACCATCGGCCACTGCCACCTCTTCCGGGCGTGGGCCATGCTAGATCTCAGTCTGCCTCTTCAACCGGATATCCCGCCGCAGCTGAGCGCATGGTTGGATCGCCACGGAGCCTCCCTTCACCGCCACCTGCGACCGCAGGCAAGCCCGAGATTCATAACATTGGCAACGGCAATATGTCTCTAGAGGAGCGACTGAAGCTTATGATGCTGTCGGACGAGACGAGCCCTAAGTCTGCCAGTGGCGCCGAGAAGTCTTTCGCGGAGCAGCAGAGAGAGCGTAGGATGAGGCGAGCTGGTCCTCATAATAGGGCTACGAGTCCTACGCCGGAGCGCGAGGACCTGGAAGCTGAAGGAAACGAAGAGGATGACACCGTCGGTGATCTTTCGGGTTTCGACATGGATTACCAACTTCCTAGCATCTCTCGTCAATCGATCCTGCGTCGTGTTAATGGCAACAAGGCATTCGAACGAGAATCTGACTTCAATTTTAATTCGCCAGCTCCCGACACCAGTCCCTCCCGTGAACTTCCCTACGATCCTGATGTTCCGATCGCTAGTATCGAGGACTCGGTTCTAGATGATGATGACGAAAGCGAGGGTAGCGTTGTTCTTCACGAGAACGAGGAGGGCAAGGGCGAAACCTACGATGCCTATCCGCACTCCGAGGATGGAGGGGTATCGCCTCAGAAGGATGAAAAAGAGAAGCATGATGAGGATGATCGAGAAGAAGACGATGACCTAGATGACGACGAGAGTCATTACTCCGATGATGTCTCTGAAGTCTCTGAAGAAGAGGTCGAGAAGCCACAGCCTGCGGTCGCACAGCCTGAAGAAGAAACGGTCACAACGCCCCGAGCGGCCAGCCCCCCCATACCTGAGGGTACCATTACGAATTTCAGCGCTACACTTCCCAAAGTGAGCAGTACGTCTAAGGAGCCTGAGTTTACGCGTAGCCTGCAATCATACATGCTCCCGAAGCCTAAAGAGCAGGGTGCCCTCACTCATCTGGAGAGCCACAAGATGTCTGATGCTCAGGCGTACTTAAAACGGCCTGATACCCCGGAAAAGCCTTTATCAAAGGCACTGTATGACGGTTCGGGATGGGGCGACCCAGAAGAGGAAGAAGAGATGCCTGGTACCCCCGAGTCCGTCATCCACCACCCCGTCTCGGACGATTACGATGACGATGAGGAAGACGAGATGGAAGATGAGACAATTGAGGAGGAGCCTCCAGCGGCGGAGAAAGAGGAGACTGAGGAGACTGCGGCAGTTGAGGTAGTGGTTGAACCGGCCGACGAGCAGAGCGACGAAGAGCCCGTCGAGTCACCCGCAATCCCTGAGCAGGAGGCGACCATCAAAGCTTCCGGCTCCAAGCTCAAGACTCGCGCGTCTGCGACCCCGTCTGACATCATGGCTATGCGTGAGGCTCGCCGGCAAGTGAGCCGCGAGATTGCGCCCGATGTCCCGCCTATTCCGGATAGACATCGCAACCGCCTCTCTCGGGATCTGGCGCCAGACCAGCTGACAGTCCCCAGTGGTGATGACTTCCTAGAACGTCACCCAAGCTTCAAGCAACGCAGCTTGACATTAGATCTCGACTTAGGCCTCAGTCTCGACCAGGACTTTGAGCGAGTCATTGAGGCACAAAAGGTCGAGCTCCAGAATTTTCCCTACAGTTACCATCTTCTCGCTGCAAGCAACAGCCCGACGAGACAAGTGTCTCGCTCTACCTCCAGAAACAAGGACGACGGAGACCACACTTCTCAGCCGGAAACGCATGCTAACATCAGTTATCGTAAACAGCGCGGCTACCTCATGCGTCAAAACACGAAACTTGTCACCGCCAGCGACAAGGATACGGAGGAAGCCCGCGCCGGAACTCGCTCGGCTGGTAACTCGCCGATCAAACAGCAGCGACCGCAGTCGTGGACGGTCGAACCTTGGAATGGTAAGCACAGGAAGAGCATTAAGAAGCGGACTGGACCGACCACGACGGGCCCGATGCCGCCTATGCCCGGCCGCGATAGCAACTCCACAGCCGTAAGCTCGCTACCCGAAGAGGACAGCCACGAGCTAGCCACCGAAGAATGCGGCGAGCGGGGCAGATTGTTCGTAAAAGTCATGGGTGTGAAGGACCTCGATCTTCCCCTTCCTAAGAGTGAGTTCTTGCTGGAGGGCAAACCCTCATCTCCGTCTCTGTTTTGTGCGCATTGTGTAGATGCTAACTATCGCTAGATGAGAGAACATGGTTTAGCTTAACGTTAGATAACGGCGTCCACTGTGTTACCACTGCTTGGCTCGAGTTGGCCCGCAATGCGCCGATCGGGCAAGAGTTCGAGCTTGTCGTGCCTAATGAGCTGGAATTTCAGCTCACCCTAAACGTGAAGTTGGAGCGCCCCGAGCCTCAGAGCGTTCCGGTCTCGCCGACCAAGGTACCTAAGCCAAAGACTTCCACCTTCTCCCGCGTTTTTGCTAGTCCGAAGAAGCGGAAAGAGATGGAAGCTCGCCAGCGAGCAGAGGAGGAGGCGTATGCCCAGGCCCAGCGGGATGCCGCTACTAAGCAGAGAGGCCTCATACCCTCCGCGTGGGATCTCCTGTCTCCCCTAGCAGCAGATGACGGAAGCTTCGCCCGCGCGTACGTCTGCCTCAAAGAACACGAATCTCGTTGCTACGGCCGGCCTTATATGGTCGAAGTCGCAACCTACAACGAATGGGCAACCGAGGAGGCTGGCTTCGCAAGCAGCGTCAAGACCAAGCGCACCGGTGTGTCCAGCAATTCAGTCGTGCGCCGGGCGCCTTACAAGATCGGGAAGCTTGAGGTGCAACTGCTTTTTGTGCCACGGCCCAAAGGCTCTACGGATGAGGACATGCCGAAGAGCATGAACTCGTGTATCCGAGAGCTCAAGGTCGCAGAGGAGAGGCTGAGCAGGAACTGGGAGGGTCACTTGAGTCAGCAGGGTGGTGATTGTCCTGTGAGTCCCCAGACACAAACCTTGACCAGAAGCGCGCGAATACTGACTGATGTGGTAAATAGTATTGGCGCCGTCGTTACTTCAAGCTTGTCGGCACGAAACTTACTGCTTATCACGAGACAACACGCCAGCCTCGTGCAACTATAAACCTCTCCAATGCCAAGCGTCTCATCGATGATCGGCGGCAATTGACGAACCCCGAGACCCTGGGTCGCAATGGCAAGAGACGCCGCTCCGCCTTCGCGGAAGAAGAGGAAGGCTATATGTTTGTCGAGGAGGGTTTCCGAATCCGCTTCAACAACGGCGAGGTCATCGATTTCTATGCCGACACTCCCGAAGACAAAGACGGCTGGATGAACGTGCTAGGCGACGTCATCGGCCGGGGACCTGAAGATGACGACGGCGCCGGTTCGCCTAACGGCCGCCGGAAGTGGTGCGAACTTGTCCTTAAGCGCGAGGAGGCGCTCAGGAAGCGCGCCGAGGGCAGGCGAGTCCACTCGAGGACGAAGAGTATGATTATCTGAAGAAATGAGCCGACGGCGCCAACTTTTTTCACGATTCCATGCCCCTTGACGGAACGTCAAGCACGCAAACGAGGAAACGACAATTATGCCGGATACGATTCCACGATCGATGATCCACGCACGAACTCATGATCGGTATCGCGGCGCCACTAGGAGTTCGGCCTTCCTCCCTGCCACATATGCAACTCCACCCGTCGACCAGACCTGTCGCGGGGAAACACATCGCCTCCTATATGTCTTCGTCCACTACTCCTACTGCTTTTACGCCCCCTTCCCGTCAGGTTATGGAAGTGCGGGCCTACCCACCTCTCTTTCTTTCTTGCCAATCCTCCTTTTCTTTTCTGTCGCATAACGTACCATTCATTGTACAAGTCTGATTCCCTTTTTTTTCGATTTCCTTTTCTCGTTCGTTCCCCTCGACCCAATTCACGACGCGTCTTCGTCGCCGTCCATCGCTCTCGACACTGCCTTTCCCACACCACGCGAGCCGCGAAGGATAGGATTTTGTTTCTTTTCTCTCTCTTTTTTATATATATGGAGCAGTAAGAGAAGGGAGGAGGAAGAACATTGGGGGGGATCCCCGAGAGGAAAAAGAAACCTGAAAAAAAAACCTACACTGTTTTCTTTTTCCTTTCCCCGCGGGATCAGACGTGAAGATGGAGGCCCGGCGCTTTCTCTCCCTCTCTCGGCGGAAGGCTGATCCGGTCTGAGTTGAGCTCAGGAGGTGGAAGACCAGGGAGCAGGAAGGCGGGAGGGGAGTAAAGAGAGGTTGTGCGGTATGCATGCATGGACACCGGGCTGGGGAGTTTTTGTGTTGGGAGTAAAACTTTCCGTGCCGAGGGAAGGGGGCGTGCAGTTTGGTCTCGAGGCATCGCGCGATCCTTGTGTTGTGTATATCGAGTATAATAAAACTTCACTTGCAAACATACGTATACATCTCTCGGTCCGGGGTGCGTCTTCTCGCTCGCAGCCATTGTTCTTCGCGTAGCTTAGTCATGCACGTTTAGTATTCCTATACTGAACGCGCCGCGCGCAAAGGGTCCGTGGCCAGGGCCTTAGCGATGCCGACGCGATAAAAGGCATCGGGAAACCGCCGTGGGGTATTTTTTCAGGTATCCATTTCGTATTCGACGCCAAGGCCGAAGAAAGCTGCTTTTGCACGCCGCCGCCGCCGCCCGTCATCTCACCCGCCGCCCACCCATAGCTCTCTACATATACGGGCACACTTTCTCCCTCTATCCACCTGGATCCTCGTCCGGACGCCGTGCAATTTAGCTGATTCTCTACCCTTGTGTGGGGGGGGGGGGGATTTAACAGCCGCCAGCCAGCCTTAGGCCTCTAGCCTACTATACTAACCCTCTAAGGGTATATATGTATACCTCGACGTCGAGAAAAAAAAAAGCGAGAAGCGACTTTTTCTTTCCGCGGACAAACGAGAATGTGAGAAAGAGAATTATCCACCTCCCCTTCCTTCCGCCTACCCAGGTTTCCTCCCCTGCTTCTCACGTTGTGGTGGTCCTGCTTTTTTCTTCCCGAGGAAAAAGAGCGAAGAAAAAAAAAAGCTTCAACCGAGGGTCCACACCGGGGCCTTGACCAAGACCTGCCGCCCTCTCACCTCGACTGCCACAAATCCTGCGAAACGAACTCTAGAGGGGTCTTTGGGGGGCGCTGCTGTCGACGTCGTCGCGTCAGTAAGAACCGAAGCCGTGCTACCTTTCCTGCTTGACGGGTATGTCGACCCGCTGAGCATTGTTAACATACCGCTTTTCGTTTTTTCCCGTTTTGCGGTCTTGTCGCCGTCTTTGTCGTTGATTTCGTCGGCATCGTCCACTGCATCTGGTAGCGGGGGCAACCCTGTCTTTTCCGGCTCCATGATGTCGAGTTGTATGGAATCCCCAGGTAGGGGGTATGTGATGGCGACATCGCGACTCTCCAAGGGTAAGTTGGCCGCGATGCCCACGGCTAACTCGACAATCATCGACGAGCTGCCGTCTACATCCGCCGGCGGAGGATCTGCCAGGTATTGGAATAGCGTTGCTGTGAGGTTGCTGGTGGCCACCTTGGTGAAATCCGCTCGGTACTCGGCACTCTCGGGAGCCTGGAGCATGTGTTGGAGACCCTCCAGGGTGGCCATTCGCCAGTTCAACACCTTTGCCGTTAACGCATCGTATTCTTCCTGGCTGTTTAGCGTGTAAGAGAATCTGCGGATGTTATGCTCTATCTGCTTCAAGTGGGAGCTCAAGTGCAGCTCGAGGGAAGGGTGGAAGCATTTGTTGAAAATTTCTTCCACTATCCACCGAACAATCACAGCTCGGCCGACGGCAGTCATTTCTTGCTTGCCAGTCTTGATCGCATCCGGGCTGACATATCGCTCGATCCAACCCGGCAGCGTCCTCCAATCCTTACGAATATTGAACGACAAATTGTTTATCGCGCCGTTGAGCCGGTTGAACCGAGTTAAGTACTCGTTGTCGTCGAGGGCCGTCCGAGACTGGGACATTCGTTGATTCGCGACAGCGTTCTGCAACTGCTCGACTTGTCCGGTTAATTGTTCGATCTGCGACTTGCCGTCGAAATAGAGCCTCTTGACATTTTTGTATTTGGTCACTAGAATAGGACGTAAGCAAGACTGTCGTTAATATTCTCTTCTTCTTCAGAGCTCTCTTACATAAGTCCTTGAACTGCTTTTCGGGATCTGCTGCCTCTCGATCCGTCGATGGTTGGGGGCTGTTCCGACCACCTTCGGGGCCGGGCCCGTCAAATTGCGGCCGATCTTGCACACCGCTAGTGCGGTAATTCTGCGGCGTACCGGTCACGCCAGGCGTAGGTGGAAGAGGGTTCATTGCGGTTAAAGGCCCTTGGCTATGTCTATAGCCAGGTGGAGGGCCTGGGGGAGGTTCGATAACACGCAATTGCTTATCGTGGTCGCCTGATCTACGACTCTGAATAGGTGCTCCCGGCGGCGGCGCCATAATACCCTGCTCTATTGATACGGTGGGGTGTATATGGTTTGTTAAATTCTGCGGATCCTGTTGCACGAGGTTCACGGCGGGTGAATCGTGTGCAGACTGTGAATTGAGTGAGTGCTGTTGCAGTTGCTCTGAATCCGATTCAGGCGATTCATGTGATACCTGCGATACAGTCTCCGGATTTGGTGTCTGCGGACCTGCCGTGCTAAGATGTCCAACAAAGAGGGAGGGCCGACGATTTCCAGCCGGATATTGGTCGTAGGGAGTTGCGTATTGGTATTGGTTTTGTGAAGGGTCGACTATGACCTGACCGCCGTATAACTGCTGATGCTGGTCTGCTTGCCCCTGGACCAGGGCCTGTGCCTGTGCCTGTGCCTGTGCCTGTGCCTGGGCTTGTGCCTGAGCCTGGGCTTGCAACTGGGCTTGATGCTGGATAACGGCTTGCTGCTGATGGAAGGCGAGATCTTCCTGCCCGTAGGGCGAGGCGTCGGGGTTAGAATCGGCGGGAACTTGTCTGATAGTGGTCTGGGGAAGGTCTTGGTGAGTCTGTAAAAGCATTTCTTGGTTAGAACGAGCAGAGCGAGCAGAGCGGTAGGGGTCGTTAGGGTCGCGTACGGGTTGGATCGGCGACTGGTGGCTGCGCGAGCTCGAGCTTCGGGATGGGTCCCAGTCGGGATGATCTATAGGCCGAGATAGCAGTGGGCTCCCTCTGATAAGGGGGTTGTTGCTCGCCCGCTTCGAAGGTCTGCGGCTCAACCCGGAGGTGTTGTCGTAGGAACCGTCCTGGTAATGATCCGAGGTAGGTCGGCTCGAGGAGGTGGCGCCGGACAGGATGTTCTTGATGAGCTTTCGCGCCGATCGCTTCGGCTCCGCAGGGGCGCTTTGGATATGCAGTACGGCTGGCTGGGCGGGAGGGGCGACGGGAGAAGACACGGTCTGGGGCAGGTTGTCGACGGAGCCAGAAGCGTGACTGAACGAATGCTGAGTCTGGAGCGGGTTTAATTGGGAATATCTTGCAGACTGCGAGCGCGAAACCAATTCGGCGAAATTGCCGTGGGGCTGCTGTCGCGCAGGATAAGCAGTGGCGGGAGTGGCCTGGTTGAGGGGTATCGTATTAGTGGGCAAATGGTTTGGGCTGGTGCCGAATGCCTCTAGGGGTTGGGCCGGCTGGCCTGGCTGGCCCAACGGATGATGGTGCGGGTGCGGGTGCGGGTGCTGATGCTGATGCTGGTGCGAAGGAGTATGTGGAGTCTGCGGTTGACCCTGCGGTTGGGAAAGCCTCGAGTCGACCTGCTGCAGCGGCGGCGGTGGTGGTGGAAAGGAGTCGCTGGAACTGAGGCCGATTGACGAGGCTGAAGGAGATGCGGTATTATTAGGGTCGGCGACGGGGCCGGTAACGGGGACGGACACGCCAGTGGAAGAGACCCGACGGCCACCAGAGGCAGATCCAGGTCCAGCAGCGACGCCGGGTGACGAGAGCGAGGTGGTGGACGAGGTGGCAGCAGTGCCGGCTTGTTGCGAGTGAGGATGATGGGGCAGTGCACCAGCTCCACTGCCCACCGACGGCTGCTGATGGGATAGATGGTGCTGGTGCTGCTGATGGTGATGCTGCTGTTGCTCGGCCAGATTATGCTGGGAACGATTGCTGTGCTTGCCAATGCGACCGAACGAGGGCATAATGGTATTATTGCGTCAGTCCTCGCTCGCTGACTGAATCGGGACCGTTTCTCTTTTTGTTTTCCCGCTTGCCTGTTGTTTGCTCGCGCGCGCGGTCCCTCTCTCTCTTTCTCTCTCAGAATGTGCTATTTTTGTTCTGCGCGCTCGCTCGCTCGCTCGCTCTGTGCGTCTTCTCTATTCCGCTGCCGCAGAGTCCCAGGTGCGCAGGAGACCAGCAGCGAGAGAAGAAGCGGGTGAGGCAGAGGCAAAGCACCGAAACAAGCCCACGTCGACCACTTTCCTTTCCCCGTGCAGCAAGAAAAAGGGATGGCTTGATTGAAACGATCTGGCTTATTCCTCCTGTTCGAGATACGCCCCCGTCTGATTCGACATTCGACTACCTGCGGGGATCGAGTTTGCACGCATGCACCTCTCTACAGGGGTACTCGTTCTGGGGGGCTGTGCTGACGATGTTGCCTTTCCCGCTCTACTGTGATTACTTCCCACTGCTTTGGGCCGGCGGGTGCTGGTGCTGGGTCGGGCTCGCGCTGGCTGGCTGGCTGAAGACCGGCTTTGCGCGTTGAGCTCTTCGCCAGACGTCCAAGTGGGCGGGGGCGTGATTGGAGGTAATAAAAAATAGGTTAGGTCTCAAGAGATATTGAGATTAGCTGTATCTCTTCCCCTCTCTGCGTGCGTCTCTCTCTCCGTCTTTCGCGTACCGCCCTCCTCCTTTTCTTATTTCCCCCTTCTCACCTCCTTTTCCTTCGAGACGACACAAGGGATGGTACTACTCCAACTGCCAATGGGCCGTGGGAACTGGACGGCGACGGCTATCCAAAATTAAAATTAAAATAAAAATGGCGAGCAGGTTACAACGGCCTCAGATGGCAAAGGGCCTTGACATTTAGAATAGGACGAGGTAAGACAATGAAGGAGGGGCACGAAACCGTGCGTTACTAGCCAGCGACACAAAGGCGAGCGACAAGTCAGTCCGCAAGAAGCCGCATAGGCATGTAGATGAATCGGTCGATGGGAGGGACGAGCAAGAGGCACGAGCAAAAAGGAAATAAAACCCGCACCCAAGGAGATGATACCGAGGGAACCCAAGGACAGGACAGAGAGAGAGGAGAGAGGGAGAGGGTCTTTGGATGAAGAGGGGGGTTTGAATGAAGGTGGGAGGAAGGGTGGGCGAGGAGGACGTCTACCTCGACCTAGGTAACCTACGTAGGTAACTAACCTCCCCTTAGTCGGGTGGAGCGTTCTCCGGCCGGCGTTGGGGTACATGGCCAGCCAGTAACTGGTCCGTTAGTTATTGTCATTTGCTGCTGTCAATTACCCCAGGTAATCGCCTCCCCCCCTCTTCCCCTCTCACTCTTTGTCTCTCGAATGTCTCTCGAGTTGTCCAACGCGGTAGGTGAGTGTGCCCCTATACACTCTCTCGGGTACCTAGATACCTAATGTACCTACCTCACCCTCCTAACCCTAGGTACCTGGAAGTACCCGACCCTAGGCAGACTCCGGCCTGTCTTTAGCACCAGTAGCGGCAGCAATGGTGGCTGGCCGTAGCAACAAGTAGCGGCCGACTTCAACCCTCCTCGCCTCCGAGCTTCCGACGGATCGCGACAAGGGTTTGGACTGCCCGCAATGGCGGAGGTGCTGAGGTATCTACGCGTAAAGTAGCCTCTCTCTCCCAGTTCCTCAGACGCGACATATGCCAAAACAGGGCAAGGTTGGCCACCTGGGCAATCTAACTGTGATCAGGCTAACCGGAAGCGGAAAGGATGCGTGGTAGGCGGTACCTTATTCCTGATACGATTTGTACCGTGAGTACCTGCTCCGAAGGGACTCGGTCGAGTCCCTGATACCTTTTACCTACCTATGCCTAGAGGGGCGGGGTAGGTCGACTATAAGGTACCTAACCTCAGGCACCTAGGTGGAAGTGCTATGATGTTGCCGACCCGTGGGTACCCTCCGAGGTGCCCTCCAAGGTACCCAGCACTCTCTATAGTACAGGTGCTAGAGGTGGACGTGTCCTCACCATTTAGATTTCTGTCGATCTTTCAAATGGTTCCGAATCCGATTGACCCGCTCCGCATTAAACATCATCATCCTCATCATCCTCATCATCAATAATGGCCACCTTACGTGGGAGCAGAGCGGTGCCGTAGATCGCGCTGTCGCTGCCAGCTCGCCAACCCACCCGCTCCCAGGGTAAGAATATGTACCTACCTATCCCTCCACGCGTCAGAGATTGCCTATAAATTCGCTCGTGCCGTTACATCGGAGGAACGTGCTGCCCACCCGCTGAGGCTTTGGGGCGCGTCCACCTGAAGTCGCATCGCCCGCCCACGTCGACCTTGTGCCCAGCGTGTCGCCCCCGATACCACCCCTATCGCAGTATATATGCCGCAAGAGGCCCGGTGCTAATGCGGAACCAGATACGTCGGGGCAAACTGGTATAGCGTACAGCCCCGAGGCGCGCGCAGTGCCACCGCGCCCGCCCGCGAGGAAATCAGGGCCTCCGCGCAGTAGGGTTCCATCTGAGGAGGGAATCCCTTGCTCCCCCATCCCCTGCCGACCCAAACCCTTAGCTGCTGCTTATTTTCGCCGTGCTATTTATAGATCTGGCCTAAGACTGACGCAGCCACCGGACGGGGGGCTTAAACTTTGCTCACGATTCCGGCGAGACAGACGTCATTCCCGCTGCAAGTCGGCGAGACATTTCGTACCGCAGGCGCCAATCAGGCCATATACACCCAGATGGGAGGGGCGACGTCTGGCGCCCTTTGTGCGGCATAATACCCGAACCGTGAGGCATCAATGTCTTCCTTCATCGGGCCCGATATGAACCGCCCAGGTTGCGGTCCGGGAACTGCGAGAGGCTACGTTACCCCTGGAGCTATCGTGAGCCGCCAGACTCTCGGTGCCAGTTATATGTAGTAGCATTCGATAACGAAGAGGATGGGTGGCAACGGTAGCTTCACAATGGATAGTCCATGGCCAACATTGCAGCGCTCGCTCCAAAGCCACCCCACGGTCAGACCCACGCACGCATGCGTGACGCGCTCGCTCCAAAGTCATCGGACCTAGTGCTCCGCGCAGACCAGTTTGTGGACGACCGGTGGTAAGAAATTTGCTTACGATTACCTCTGCGCGTCAATCGCATCCCCGTCAGACGCTCAGAACAGCGCCTAACTCCCTCTCTCTCTGTAACGAGGCATGCCCTACCCAGACAGACAGGAGAGAACGCTGACGGGCGAGAGCCTCGGGGGAGACGCCTTCGGGCAGTTGTAAGACGGTATCCGCTACCAGCCACAGACAGGGCAGATCCTCGCTACCTCTTTCTTTATCTGGGCTTATAAACAGCCAAGAAATTCAAGATGAAAGGTGTGCTAATCGGGTACCATATCTCCTCGAGGACACTGTGTATATTATTACACTGCCCAAACTACCTTTCAGAACGAGCGCCTTGCTGAGGGTTAGAGAGAGTTCGGCGCCAAGGTATAGGGAGATTGCTCTCGTTGAACTAGCCTCAGGAAGCTTGGTTTCGCATATCTTTAACTCGTAAGACATCAAACTCGCACAAGGCCCTCTGTTGTTGTAGGCTAGGGGAAGTGATGTCCTCCAGCACAACGGGTTCACCCACATTCGCCACGAGATGGATCCCCGGGATGGCTGTTTTCTCTTGCTTAGGCTTATACCGCACATTCACGAGCCTCTACATCATCAGCCCGCACCAACCCGTAAAAGTTCACCGAGGCCTAGGTGCTCACATACCAACCATACGGGCCGAGAAGTTTGCATGCAAGCCTGCCCGGACAATTCCGCGTCGAATTTCCCCGGCATCGTAGCCCCCCATCTTGAATCTGCTGCAACGAGAGAGGTAGAGACGTTGATGACACAAGAGCCTCCTTCTGCACGTGTTCTCCGCGGGTAGCTGGCGAAAGCGACGTCTCGCGAGATGGCCAACGGCAGGCAATACCTACCCCTATCCCGACCTCGCCCCGCCCCCTATTCCCGTGTAACGGACAAAAATTGAAAAAAAAAATTGAAAAAAAAAAAACCAGGCACACAGTATCTCATACAGGGCAAATCGCTCACGGCCAAGTAACAGACACACGAGGAACACGGACAGACGAAGATATACCTACGTGCTGCAAGGCAATGCAGATCCCGAAAAAAACCCCCAAAAGGGGTGGACCAGGGTCCCAGAACGGTGTTAACCTGAACCTCGCCGCCGGATTCGCGCGACGGCGACGGCTAGAACGGGACCGCGGGGGTCCTCGCCTCTTAGGGGACGCGGTAGTGGTAGTAGGGCATGACCTCGGGTCGCGCAGGAGGCCAGCCAAACGCCCCAGCTGCAGCCGGCCGGGCGTTTCCATGCGATTGCGCCACTCGACACGTGGATCAGCAGAGGTAAGAAGTCTCTTCTCGCCTCGCTTCACCCCCTCCCCGTCTATCGACGGGCGCGTCCGGCTCGCTCCCCAAACGCCCCCGGAAGATTTCCCGTATCGGCATGGTGTGCTTCGTGATACCTTCTTACCCGGCTCATTAGAATACGGGATCGATAGTACCGGGAACGCCCGCCGGCGGTATTGTGGAAGAAAGCACGAAGGCGAGGATTTCCCTGAGCTCTCGACGCGTGTATCTATGCAAACCGACAGGCGATGCCTCGGCTAGGTGCAGGAGAAACTCGTGGTTCCAGTTCCCCAAATTTGGTGTACGGTACGAGGCCTGCGATCTACCGGTGTAACCGAGCCTTCTTTTTCTCTCTCAACTCTAACACTAGTCACGACTATTCTAAGGCGGGCAATTGGATTGGTAGACACCGTTAATTTTCTTTGCTTCAGAGGCTACTTTAGATAGACTCTTGGGTTGCGGATGAGTCGCTGTGCGCTGGTCTGCAGAGAACCTCTCTACATAAGAGTCACTGCCTCCTTTTCAAATGAGTAGCTCAACACAATCGGGCACCGTTCGGCTGGCAACGAATAAGAAATTGTTTAATAATCCATTTATTCCTCCCGTTTCCTCAGTTGTTACGATGAAATTTCAGCTCGCCGCTGCGCTGGCCCTCAAATCTACAGTCGCCTCGCTCTCGCCCTTTAGGACCAACCTCCCCAACCAAGGTACCGGAAACGCCGTCAGCAAACGATTGGAGCTGTCTCAGTTTCATCCCAAACCCTTCAACCTCACCAGCATGTGCGTCGAGTGCAACAAGGGGCCGCAGGGGAGTTCGGCGTTCGACTGCTTGATCCGGTGTATGTTGACTCTGCCTGCTCATCACACCCACCTACCTGCGTATTTTCCGAGTCTCCAATCCTGATATGATCCCGCTCTGTTAGTCCACTGGCGAGACGACAACGCCAACGAATCCGGGGCCTGCGCAGAAAGCTGGGTATGGGACGGCGTCACCACGGCCATCGGGGCCGGGAACAACCACAGCGCGGTCTACATCATCTGCGGGGACCAAGCCGACGGCGGTTTCTTCCAATTCAAGTTCCTAGACTTTCTCAGCCTATCAAACTTCAGTCTCTCGCTCACGCACATGTTCCGAGACACCGAGTATGAAAGATGAGAGCCCACCCCAGCGCCTAGCACTGCAGTAGACTAACCCATAGGCCCCCCCCCCAGGGATTTCTCAACGCCCACGATGGCGAATCTTTTTGCCCTAGCTAACGTAACCCTCCAACCGAAGGGACAGTCGAATGGCTCTCTGTCCTACTTCGCAGACCAGCCGGTCCTGGCAACTTTCACCGGCATGACAATCTAAAGCTCCTTTTGATTTATTCTCCGCCATAGATCACCTATGGAAAATCGAAGGGCCTAGGAGCTGGGACCAGGCTATTCCATATCTACATCATGCTTAAGTTTTGTTGTTTTCCGTCTTTGATATGAGAAGTAGAGTATTGTACGGTACCTGCCGCGCCAAAAAGGGGCCCCCTGATATGCTTGAGAGTGGAGGGGTAGGGACTTGAAAAGGTCGTCAATACTTAATAGTTGTGGGCAGAAGCTGTTCAGCTTTACAGGTTGGCCCTAGATACGGCTCGGAGACGGCTACATCAGGGGTGAGCCCCAGTAGGTATCAATATGCTCATATGCATGAGGTATTACCCAATGCCCTTCTCGAATATAAATCCTGAAGCGAGTTACGAATCGCATTGGTGTTCCCGTATCAGTGGCTCACAGAATTAGAGTACTAGATATGTATCACGTAGATCGGGGAAGGAGCTACGTATAGTACGAGAGCGCGCGCGAGGAGCTATCTCACGAGCAATGGGAGGAGGAGGCAAAGGAGAAAAGGTCCTGTTCTATCTAAGAACTAACTAAAGGAATGGAAGCAATAGGAGCGTATATATAGGAGCTCCTATTACTAAGGTAAACGTCGTTGTCATTTCTAAGGAGATAAAAAAGGGGGTGTCCAGTAGTCACCCAAGTTTGTGTAAAGTTCTCCAACTGAATTCCGGACTTGTATATCCTAGAATCACGGAATCATAGACACGGTGGCAACGTCACCTGCTCGCCCCATCCGTCTCTAACAACAGTTCCAAGCAGCGTGCTGATTGATGGGTTGCGCGCACGCGGACGTGGGAGCAAGGTGCGATAACTAGCTAAGTAGAAGCAGAAAAAGAGTTTGTGGAGCTAGCTATCCTATAATATACACGTCCAACCGGGATATGAAGGGCTACCTGAAGCGTAGGCCTACATGGCACGGATTTAACAAACGACCAAGAATGATAGCTATATACTCCGTAATAGATACGCTTCGTCCCAATCTATAAGAAAGGGGCTTGGGGGAAGATCCCAGCTCGATTTAAATAGCTTAACAATTTACAGAATCAGGGGTTGGTCCCTTAGAAGGCTTTGGGACCTAACCATAAGAAGCACAGCTCCCACATAAAAAAAGTTAGGCTTGACAAGAAACTAAACTGTCGCTCGGTATACCCTCATAGGCTTTTCGACTTTTTTTTTTCAGATCAATTAGATCCATCCACCTTCTAGGTGGGTTCACCTGCCGGCTAGCCTACGAGCCCGCACAGAAGCCGCCAGAACTCTTCTTTTTTTCTTTACCCCCCTTCTATAAGATCAATAATTGGTGCCATTCGTACAACCAAGCGATTATTTCTTACCTTGACGTGGCCCTGGGTCGCTCGAATAGAGAATAGGACGCAGGAAAGAATGATAATCTCGGAGGTATTAGTCATGAGAGGGAGCCTACGAGAGATGCTTTAATAGTTTTACATATTATTACGTAGAGGTTGCTCTTCTTCGTTGCTTACCCCAGGGAACACATATCCCGGTACGGAACGGAGCGTCTGAATAACTCGGCATGACCAGCGGACCTGCATGCGCATCGAATCACAATGCTACAGAAAAAAAAAGGCTTCCACTCATAACAGGCTGGTACAGCTGTTCAGGGGCTAAGAGAGTGGTGGCCGGAATAACAACGACTCTTGACGCCGGCGCGATGGCTGTAAGAGGAAGGTATCTTTATTTAGGCGGCGTAAAATTTTTGCGGCGGGAGATCTATGACTGATAATATGCAATAGCAGACGATGTTATGGTGTAGATAATAGTAAGAGGGAGTCGGCATGGATGTATGTATCGGACAGAGCAGATTAGCAGAGCTATTAACCTAGGCATAGTTAGCCGCCAAGCTGTCACGCGGGGAAACGGCAGCGGAACGGAGAGGGTCCAAATCGGAATCGAATGAACCGGCACAAAGGTTCCTATCGTGAGCGGATCCTTGGTCATCTCCAAACGATTTCGCAGTCGCTGTGGCCATCGTGATTCGATGAGCTTACTCTATATCTTCCAAGTTACCAGGGTCGGGACCGCTGGCTAGGCCCTGTCTTCTGTTTTATTCCCCACCCCCTTGCATTCAATGTCTGGGGAAAACATGCCCGGAGTGCGAATAATAACAGTGGTGGTTCGGTGTAAATCATTTCGATACACACGGGCCAAGAGCCGGAAAAGGTGTGGAATCAATAACATAGAGGTTAGCCCGGCGGGTATATGCCGGCGACGCCTAGAGAGAGCCAAGATCCTCAAAGTAGGGACATACGGCAACCCTTCCGTCCCGTGGGTTGTCGGCAAACAAACCGATCCCGCCCTGTCCATCAGGAACGTCTACAACAAGCCGGTATGGCAGAAAGAGCCCGAACCGCACTGAAGTACGTATCCCTCAATTGTCCATCGCCAAATGACGACCTGGCCGAGTGTCTCGTGCTCCGGGTTCGAAAAACAGGCGATATGGTGTCACAAGGCTTGGCGACGGAGCTTCACCGATGATGACATCGAAATCGAGAATGGGGACATGGAAATCCAAATGGGAATAACTCGGGTGGGTCGAAGGAGAAAAAGTGTTACATGCGAGCCTCGAAAATCACATTGTAACCCTACTTAGCAACAACTTCTCTGAATCAATCTTATAGGATATCGCGGTGCGGGTTTATCGATTCGAGTCCGGTGCTAATTGTCTTGGGCCATTAGCGAATGAAAGGGGAAAAAAAACCCCCCAGCTCGTTAGCCGTGGCAGTCGTGTGAGATCGGACTGGCGAGGTCGGACTAACAGCGCCTTATCGTGATGGAGGGGTCTCCAGAGGCGGTGCGCCCTAGTTGCGAGGCCGATGGTGGTTCGGTGGTGTTTCGGGCGACTACGAGAGTCTTAGGCTTTCTTTGGAGCAACTGGCTTGTATTCGGGTTTGGCCTCGCGTGTGCCCTTGGATACCTTTTCCCTAGTAGGTTTACCGAGGCCGTGTTGCCCTTGGTGTTCACCTGCTGATTTATTATCCTAGATGTCGCGGCTCGCGGCGGAGTTATCCGCTCAGAGTATTCGATCTTGTACGCAGCTATCGGGTTGATCTTCCTGATCAACGGAATGCAGCTCAGCCCGGCGAAGCTCAAGGAACATGCAACAAATTGGCGCCTGCATATTGTCGTTCAGGGTATAAGCCTTGTCATCATACCTATCATTCAGATTAGTACGGAGCCGACAGCATGGTTCCCCGGATCCTAACGTGTTGCTGATCGTTCCATAGTCATAGTCCGCATTATCATCGCAGCTGGTGGTGTGAGTTCCGGAACGATCGACGCCAGCATCCTCGTCGGGATGGTCGTGGTCAGCTGCATACCAACTACCGTCGCCTCAAACGTAGTAATGACGAGGAATGCGGGCGGCGATGAAGCGGCTGCCATTATCGAAGTGGTGATTGGCAATGTAGTTGGTTCTTTTCTCTCGCCATGGTTGATCTACGGCTTCCTTCCCACCGGTGGAGAGTTTGACGCCCTCAGGCCAGCTGAACCGACTGCCTTGGGGCCCATGTATAGGAATGTCATGCAGCAACTTGGCCTCAGCGTTCTGGTTCCGCTTGCCATCGGCCAAGGTCTGCGATGGACGTTCCCGAAACAAGTTACCTGGACTCTAAGGACATTCTACCTCGCTCAGTTCTGCTCTCTCTTGCTGATGCTGGTGGCCTGGTAAGTAGAACACCTACCTCAACCAAGCAACAGGGCTCAAGCTGACCGAAGGCCGGATGCAGGTCTACGTTTTCAGGCGCGTTCCAGACAGGGGCCTTCACAGCTCTGCCCAAGTCCTCCGTGGTCTTCAACGTGTTTGTGAACATCGGGGAGTACCTCTTGTTTACGGCCGTCTGCTACTGGATCTCCTCACCGCCGGGCGTGGTGACTAGGCTGGTCAACAGCCATGTAGCTGACTCGCGACTCGGCCTGCGTCTGCCAGGGGCAGCGAGGAGGGCTGTGACGATGAGAAGGATGCCAAGGGAGCTCGTGGTTGCCATCTGCTTCTGCGGAGCCGCGAAAACCACAACCTTAGGGATTCCGCTGACAGCAGCCATGTGGTCGCAGCTCGACAACCTGACGATTGCAAGCATCCAGGTCCCAGTCCTCTTATATACGATGGAGCAAGTGTTCGTAGCGCAGTTCTTCACTGTATTCTTCAAATGGTGGTTGCAACGAGCCAAGAAAGATGCAGACAGCGAATCCACAGCAGAGGAGCTTGAAGCTGATGCCCAGGCCAAGGAGGAGAGTAAGGAGGAGAGCAGTAACAACAGAGGCATCTTGAGTTGAAACAGAATATTTCCGTATGCTATGTGCACCACCAGAGCATCCCCTATTTGCGTTGGACGCTGTAGGTATCGAGAAAAGACAATGGGCGCGAGGAAATGGGGAGGGAATAAGGAAGAGATGCGACGCTCATAGCAGAGAGAAGCCGTAAGGTAGAAAGAAGATCAGGGAGAGCTAGAACAAACAGCATCCGTCGATAGAATATATCCGTAGAGCGCGGCTACATGCATATTTTCGCCCACTTATCCATACATATGGATCAATGGGTTCTTTCCTATCTTAGGGAACGGTAGGGACATGCGTTCCTGCCCACTTAGCTCAGTAGGTACCTGCGGCGCTGCGCGGGGCAGGTGCTATCAGCTCACCATGCTATGACGCGCGCCTGCCTCGGAATACCAGATCGATCGATTACACCGTGACCATCACTTAGAACACACCCAAAAATAAATATACCAGCCCAAAAATGCAAAGCAGGGAAAAAAAAACCTCTTTTTGAGGTGTGCGCGGCCAACTCCTTTCCCAAGCACACACTCTCAGACATCTGCACACACTCTCACCTGAGCACCTATATCTTCGCTCGCCCACTCCTTGCCTCTATCACCTAGATGTCGTCTTCTCCACCTTGGCATACTCCTCCATCACCGTGACTTCATCATCCTTTCCTTCCGACCCCTCCTCCATCCGAACTAGCAAATTCTTAAACCCGCCCTTGAAGTCCCAGCAAGCTTTCTCACCCTCCGAGCATCCTTAAGATGAGCTCTGGCACGCTCCTGCGTGGCAGCTGCCACTGCCGCAGAAACCAGTACAGCGTCCAGATTCCTGACGATGCATCCGAGCGTGCTCAGGTCCTGTTTGATTCCACTACAGACAGTGAGCTTGGCCCAGCCGGCTTGGAACTGGGTAGACTTCAGCTAATTTTCCATCCGTGACAGGCCTCGCTTCTGCTGCACCCCTCTCCGCTTTCCTCCGAGTCCCGCTAGATTGGTACCACAGCCGGGTATTCTCCTTCTTTCCTGACGAATCCCCGTCCTTCGTCCGACGAGTCTATACCCACCCGGCTGAACCCAGCTCGATGAGACAGTTTTGCGGTATCTGTGGCACGCCCCTGAGTTACTGGTCGGAGGAGCCTCGAACTGAAGCGGATTTTATTCAGTTGACGCTGGGTAGCCTCTTGACCGAGGACCTACGCGACCTAGAAGAGATGGGCTTGGTTCCCAGTGAGCCCGAGCAGGACCCTATTGACATCGAGTCGGCCCCACCGTCTACCTCTAGCCAGCGGCCACAGTTGACCGGACAAGACACGGCCGGTATAACTTGGTTCCAGGATATGATTGCGGGCAGCCGTCTGGGAAATATGCATATTACGAAGGGTGTTCATGAAAGCCGAGACCGGACGATTCGCGTGGAGTATGAAATCACGGAGTGGGCAGAAGAGGACGAGACAGAGGTGGAGGAGGAGGCCCGGGGACAGGCCGGGGACTCATCGGAGCCACCTGGGTCGCCTGCGAAAGCAAAGAGGAAGCGCGAGGGGGAGGATGTTAGCAATGATGCTGCTGTTCGAGGCGCCGTCTAAGCTTCGCCGTCATGGGCTCGCAACTTGCTTAGGTGCTTATTATTTGCTAGCATCTTCAACCTACGGTTGTGAAGCATCGGTGAGCAGAAAACGGTCTCACCGGGAACGGGGTGGGTGTGGTATCCGTGGCTTTCAGGATTTGCTTTTTCCCTGGGTTCGTTTTGCTATCGACGGATAGCACATCGCGTTTTATTTTGCCCCCTCGTTCTCTCCGAGAGAGTTCACTACGATGAAGTGATAATACGCGCAAGTCCTACGTCGCCGAGGCCGTTGTATTAGCAAGGATAGGAGATAGGGGTCAGTCGCAAAGACATTCCGCTTCGGAGAATAAAAACGCGTCAAACAAGGGTTTAGTAAAGACAAATGATGGGCAGGCGTAGTTGAGGAATTGTTGTGGTCTTCTTAGCTGATGATCGCTGACGGGATCATCTCTGCAGAGACTACGTGACAATGTAGTAGGCTCTGTGAGCGGGGACAGGAAGCAGATCCCGCTGAGCAAAACACACATAGAGGTAATCCGAGCCGCTGAGTACAGGTGTACCACGTACGACACGCGACACGACATAGGTAGGTACGCCAACCGGATCGCCAGGCCGAGTCGTTGTTTGTCGTCGCGAATTTCTGGGGTCCGATCCTCCCACCTCACGACAGGTCAGATCTTCGCGTGGACATCGTGGAACCTCTTCCGGCTGCCGAGGTTTTTCCCCTCGACCCCGGTCTATTGTCGGTCTTGTGGTGGCAGTTGATGAGGGCGTTTTTGCGCCGCGTCCAACGAGAGCGGGCAAGATCCGACCCGTTTGCATCCCCAGTGCTGAGCCCACGCGTCAATTCCCTGACCATCCCGAATCCAGGGAACAACGATGCTCGAGAATGCGACTATTGCTCGTCCTTGCCCACTCGGCTGTTTCGCCGAGGTTTCCACGAGTTGGCTCCCACCCCTGGTCGCATTGGGGGAGGGCCGGTCGGGGGGTCCCCCTACCCGCACGCCTTCGTGAGATTAACATGTGTCTTGTAGCGCTCTCTCTGCGTGGCCGGAGACACGGGCCGTCGCTGGCATCGCTCACGTTTCCGGCACATGACAAGCTCGGTTGCTTGTGGGGGGCTCGTCCAAGATCACCAAACCGGACCCTGTCGTCCTGCTTTTTAGCTGCGCTTGCGAGCTCCAATTACCCCGCGGCGGAGAGGGTTGCTGTGGTCCATGTGGGTATGGGTGGCTAAGGATGGGTATGGATGGATGTTCTGGAGATACAGCCATCATCGTACAGGCCTGTGTCTCTTCGGTCGTCACGGTCCGACACGGGAGAATGGGGAAAGTACCGGGTCTATATTGACGCTGCGATAATTCGACGGCCGCTCTCCTCCTGCGAGGTGAGGCTTCGCAAGGGTAACGCGTGCCGTGATTTGCGTCTATATAAGAAGATGCGAGTCTCTTCCCTCCTATTCCGTTCAGTAGACTGTCTGGTCGCTCGATCCGACTCGAGAGACTTAAACATACTATCTGTCTTGCCTCATCGCCATCTCCACCTTTCCCACGAGATCGTCCATAGTCTTGGCCAGGCCCAGATTAAGCAATATCCGTTTTCCCGGGCGAGAGCGAGACGCTAAGTGTGCAGCTTCCAATAGCCTAGGCAACCCAGTTATCGCCGTCTGCGAAAAGAAGAAAACATACTTGGAGCATACTGTCTATCCAACATGTCGTTACGTCCAGACTTTCTCTGGGGCTTCGCTACAGCTGCGTGAGTCTTCGTTGGACCTTACCCTCCTCCCTGCCTCTTAGCCGTCGTGATATGGTGCCCAGACGCCTTAGGAAAAGGGGGCTTTGCCGCTAATTTCGGCCCTTCTCCGCATATAGGTACCAGGTCGAGGGTGCTACTAACCAGGATGGCCGTGGTCCATCGATCTGGGACACCTTCTGCGCCATCCCGGGCAAAATCGCGGACGGGAGCGACGGGTCTGTTGCCTGCGATTCTTACAACAGGACAACGGAAGACATCGCCCTCCTAAAGAGATTAGGCGCCAAGTGCTACCGCTTCTCCCTATCGTGGTCGCGAATCATCCCCCTCGGCGGCCGAAATGATCCCATCAATCAGGCCGGCATCGACCACTACGTCCGATTCGTCGACGACCTGCTCGACGCCGGCATCGTGCCCTTCATCACTCTGTTCCATTGGGATGCGCCGGACGCGCTCGACAAGCGATACGGAGGCCTGCTGAACAAGCAGGAGTTTCCTCTCGACTTCGAGAACTACGCCCGCGTCGTCTTCAAGTCGATCCCCAAGTGCAAGAACTGGATCACGTTCAACGAGCCGTGGTGCAGCTCCGTGCTCGGGTACAGCACCGGCTTCTTCGCGCCGGGCCACACATCAAACCGGGCCAAGTCCGCCGTAGGCGACTCGAGCCGGGAGCCCTGGATCGTCGGCCACAACCTGATCCTCGCGCACGCGCGGGCCGTCAAGGTGTACCGCGACGAGTTCAAGCCGACCGACGGCGGCCAGATCGGCATCACGCTCAACGGCGATTACACATACCCGTGGGACCCCGAGGACCCGCTGGACGTCGAGGCGGCCAACCGCAAGATCGAGTTCGCGATCTCGTGGTTCGCCGACCCTATCTACTTCGGCAAGTACCCGGACTCGATGCGCAAGCAGCTCGGCGACCGGCTTCCCGAGTTCACGCCCGAGGAGGTCGCGCTCGTCAAGGGCTCGAACGACTTCTACGGGATGAACCACTACACGGCCGACTACGTCAAGCACGGCGACGGCAACCCGCCGCCGGAGGACTTCCTCGGCGACCTGACGACGCACTCGTATAGCAAGAGCGGCGAGTGCATCGGCCCCGAGACGCAGTCGTTCTGGCTGCGGCCGAACCCGGAAGGGTTCCGCGGGCTCCTGAACTGGCTGAGCAAGCGGTACGGGTACCCGCCGATCTACGTGACGGAAAACGGGACGAGCATCAAGGGCGAGAACGACCTGCAGGAGCCCGAGATCCTCAACGACGTGTTCCGGTACGAGTACTTCCGCGACTACGTCGGGGCCTTGGTCAAGGCCGTCGCCGAGGACGGCTGCGACGTCCGCGGCTACATGGCCTGGTCGCTCATGGACAACTTCGAGTGGGCCGAGGGCTACGAGACCCGCTTCGGCGTCACCTACGTCAACTACGCCGACGGCCAGCAGCGCAAGGAGAAGCTGAGCGCCTCCAAGATGAAGGAGATCTTCGACGCTGCCATCAAGAAGGAGTAGGTCGAGTAGAGGGGGTAACCCGAAAGAAATATATACCTAGAGGAAGGCAGAAATGAGGGAGGGGGAGAGAGAGAGAGGAGGAAGACGGAATGAAGGGAGGAAACGCATGAAGGCCGTGCAGAGTACACCGGAGGGGGATTCCTTTTGTATGTGCGCGCACATGAACACCTCTTTTTTTCTTTCCCTTTTCCCTCTGCTTGTTCTATACCAACGAGTCATCGATACCTACCTAAAGTGGTCTGGAGTATAATCAGGGTCATTGTGGTTTCCATCCCCTGCCCCCTCCCCCTCTCTAACGATCGTTCTTAATGATACCGCACCGCAAAGCAATACGTAGTAATGTGATTCATCATCAAGTCCACGCGCGCAACGATCCTCGAGATCTCTCCCGCTATCCCTTTGATACTGCCGTGAGTAACCGGCGGCGCCCCTCCTACCCTCGCCGCGGGAGCCCGGCGTCCCGGCGTCCCGGCGTCCTCGAAGCCGACGACAACCGCACTCGCACATACAGCAAATCATCCCCGATACTTACTAGAGCGAGAGCCTGTTATGCGGTATTCTGGAGATAGACCCCCCCCTCCTCAAAAAACATCATATTATCCAACCACGGCCGCGATACCGAGCCATTCGTCTGCCCTGCTTATAGGATCGCGCGTATAGGCGCATTAGCCGACGTATTCCTCTCCCGGCAGGCCCCCTCGCGCCCCGGGCGAAAACTGCTGTAGACGTAGTGCCGATGGTTTGATCGGGACTAGACAAGGTGCGCGGCCCAGGTTACATCGGAAGATGACGTGTGCGTGGTGCGGCGAGGTCATACCCGCAGGCAACAATGAGATACCTATATCTCCCTTGGTTGTTATTGTTATGCCATCGGTGCCGGCTTCCCGTGTGCCGGCCGTGACTACAGATGCTCCGGGATGGTCGGCAACGTAAGGATAGGGGAGGAGAGGAGAAGGGCACTGGCCGCGTTCACGCGTCGCGGTAGCCCCTATCTTGGTGAGCGGCCATATATTGACGAGAGTACGAGGTGGGAAAAGTCCACGGTACCCCTATATGAACATGTATGCGTTGCATAGAACTGGTATGCGATATGGAGGCATGATAAAATACGCATCTCGAGGATATAGACATATATGCACGCAGTGACCGCATTGCTGAACGCCCTCAGGTGAGCCATACCTACGCAAACAAGGATCAACCTATATATATATATAGCTTGGTATGGGCAACCTCGACGCTTACAACTCGTAATCGGTGGAGCGACTTCACAAATACTGGACAGCCCCTCATTTTGTGGCATGCTGAGGTATCGTTCCGTCTATCGATCGAGACAAGGCCTCCATCACTCGAACCGTCATGGGTGTTATGTCGGGAGTGCCGATTTGTCCTTGAGTATCCCTCCCTAACTGGGAGAGAATTAGAATTATACGTAGGCACCCTCTCCTCGTAGTAGATAGGAGCCTCCAGTCCGTTAGTATCACCAAAGGTACGGCGAGATCTCCGCCGAAGGGTGCAAAAATGCCAATGTGTTAACTTGGTGATACTTCGTGCGGCACCATATTGTGGCACACATGTCGGCTCAAAGGATGCCCCGTGGTTAGAGCCGATGCTACCAAGAAGCCGTTATTTTTTCGGTCTAGCTTTAGGTACATCTTCTTCAAGGATACTGAAGATGATTGTTCGCATTAGGATAGGTTCTGCTTTGGGGGCGAAATCGGAACACTAACACCAACAGGTTACTTTTCGTTAGTTGTGTTGGACCCCTCGGGTGGGCTTGACATGCTCGACGAGCTCGACGAGCTCTGAGACGCCCGCAGAGCGGCGATGTTGTCATCAATGATAGAGATATCAGCGTCGATAGCGAGAATTTTCGCTTCAAGCATTTCCTTGTACTCCTCGTCAGATAGGCGCCTCAGAGGATTCCATTTCGAGTCGAGCCAGCTCGAGGTGGGCTCCGGCCTGTCATTCGTGAGTCTGCTCTGGAACCGTTGGGCAATATACGAGCCGCCGGTCCCGGCAATCCCGAAGACCAGCATGCCCGGGATGATATTCCTCGGACCTCCTATATGGTCGTTAGCTGCGGATCGAGGGAGAGAGGGGCAGTAAGCCGGGACGACAACTCACGGAACATGCCACCAACCGTGCCGGATATGCTACCGGCCACTCCGCTCGTTGTAACTAGGCCGGAAGGACTGAGATTTTCCTCGCCACCCAATGCACTCCGAAGAAGGCTCCTCGAAGCTGCAAGTCTGTCATTAGCAGGCACGAGCGGAGAGGGTTGACGGCGACGGGTCTGTCCCACCTATATAAGTAGAACCGAGAGTAAACCACTGGAAGCCGGCAAACAAGGCGAACAGCGTAGGCGGCGCCGACCGCATGATGCCAGCGCCGGCTCCAACCATCGTACCGATAGCACCTGAACGGGATTAGCGGAGCCGCGAGGTATCCCGAGAGATCGAATGCCGCTCTACCGGTCATCGCCCCAGTCATTAGAGACTTTCTCGCGATCTCCATAAGCTCACTGGCGGAAGGTGCCTCATCGTCACGTACGTCGTCTGCCCTCGGACGGTTCGAGGGCAGGCGGGACGGAGAATCCACAGTGCCAGACATATCTCTCTCTAACCAGGTTGTGCCGTTTCTCAAGACGGACTACGCGAAGAACTATACGGTATCCGAAGCGGATGCGCTCGATAGCGGGACGCCCGAAAGCCCGGGGGGGGGGGGGTAGTAGGTGAAGGTCCTCAGCAGCAGTAGGCGGGGTGGCTAGGTTGGAATCAAGCAGACATAAGGCGAAGTTTAGTTCAAGATATCAAGAAGGTCGCGTATGGTGATATTAAGGCAGGGTGAAATGCAACGATGGGGGTCGAATATAATACTGAAGATACCTATATAGGCAAGTGTGTTACACCTTACCTGACCAGCGAGCACCTCCTAGAACGTGCTCAGCTTTTACGCAGCAGTCGAAATTTTTGTGATTTTCGACAACTGAGAGGTTAGGTAGGTACATTAGATGTACCTACCTAAGGTACACTTGCAGTGGATATACACTGCTAGGAGGCACCGAATCCCTTCTGATCACTCCGTGCTTTAGGCGCTCTCCGAGCAGGTACCCAGGTACTAAAGCCCCTCTCCAGATCAGTAGGCGGTACCTGGAAGGCATGCCTATGTACCTACCTACGTACCTAGGTATTACTATAGGTAATATGTACAGATTACAGGAAGTCAGGTGCCTGATCGAGAGGTAATTGCCTTAAGATCAGGCGGGATACATACCAGGTACCGAGATACCCAACAACTGCGGGCAGCTAAGGTTGTGTGTGCGAACAAGCGTTGCAGGGTTCTAGGTTAGGGACGTAGGTACCAAGCAGCACTGTGTATGAGAACCTGCTGGATATGAGACAAGGTATTGATGCACTGTGAGAGAGAGGGAGACGCCACCTTGCCTCTGTGTCATGTTTGGGGTGGCTTGGAATGTTTGTGGCTGGCAGTGCCTCCATGTGTGTACGTCTGTGTCGTTTAACAAGTACCCCGGTACCTAAGTGACGCTGAAGACTCTAGGGCTGGGTGCTATCCGAGCTAATCACGGCTGCTAAGTTCTCAAGATCAATAGGCAGGGAAGTTTACTTAGGAGGTACCTATTGGCCAGCCCCACCACCAACAGGCCACCCATCCTGCCACTGCTGCTACAAATTCTCCATCGTTATCTATAGGAGGCATCTAAGAGGTACCTCTACTCACCCGCACCTAATGTAGCTGCAGGTAGGTACCTACGTATAGTACGTACATGTACGTACCTAGGTAGGTGCACCACACATCGAATCGTGGGAAAGAGAGGGGAAGTGTACTAAGTAGGTTAGGTACCTACATCTAAATGGTGACTGACACTGATCTATCGACACATCCGGCTCCTCCCACGCAGCGAACCCGGATGCAAATACACGGTGACAAGTACACACACATATAGTATTGCAGGAGAAGCTACCTGCCGGAGGGGTCTGGACTCGCATTTGTATTTGTACTCCTCGCCTGGCTCAGTTGCAGGCCCTTCCCATACATTCACATACATTGCACAACCCGTCAACCCCATAGCTGCGGTACAGTACGTTGCGGAAGAAAAAAAAAAAAACAACTAGCCCTCCCGGCCTTTTCACAGCTGCTGGGATTTTATTTTATTCTTCTCTCTCCCCCCTTCTTTTCCTCGTCGAGGAAACTTTTCCCTGGATTCCCTCCAATCCAGACGACTTTTCGATAACAACCTCGTTTCGCTTGTCCCAATCGACTGATCCGACTGGCATCAGCGACAGTAGTCTCTGCTGCCGCACCATCCTACGATCCACCCCTCGCCTCTCGCCCACACACTCGGCCGGAGAACTACCTCAGTTTCTTCGGTGCCTCATCTTCCCACTACGCGCGACGACCCTAGAGAGCGTTGCGCGTGGATAAAACACCGCAATCATGGGTATGCCGTCCCCATCCTGCCCTGCACTGCCGCCTTCGGGATTCCGTGCTAACCATCGACCCGCTGTAGCGCCCAAGAAGAAGGAACAGCCGCAGAAGATGTCCCTCGGGGCCTTCTTGCAGGAAGAAAGTCAGCCTGCCATTCCCCCTTCATCCCGCATCTACGCCGCCGCCATCCTGCGACCGAGTCGGCAATGGCTCACCGCCTAGCTGTCGGCGGTCCGATCCGACGATACATGCTAACCTGTGGTAGAATATGGTGGCTCGTGGGCTGATGAAGTTGAGGACTCCTTTGGTACGTTGTATCCCCAAGGCGATTTTGATTCCACGCCTCGACTGATCCCGGCTAATGCATCCCTTTTGTTTCTCTCTCAGGGTCCCAACCTCTCCCATCAACTTCCGAGCGACGAACTGGCTATTCTAGCTACGGAACCTCGGGCGGTGATCGAGGTATGTGAACGAAGAAATCCCTTACTTGTTCCTTCCCCAAGATTGCTCCTCCAGCAGCTAACTTTCGTATATTGGATAAGGCTATTCTACTCGAGATTCTTATGCCTCCCAGGGTCCTGCTCAGCTGCCTACCAAGCCCCCCTACACCGCCCATCTGGGCAATCTATCATACGAAGCCACGTCCGAATCCGTGACCGACTTTTTCGACGGTTGTGATATTACCAACGTCCGAATCATCGAAGATCGCATCGAGCAACGCCCAAAGGGTTTTGCTTATGCCGAATTTGCGAACGTTGATGGTCTGAAAAAGGCCTTGACTCTTGATGGAACCAGCTTCCAGGGCCGAACTATCAGGATCAAGATCGCCGATCCACGTAAGCCTCCTGACCACCACAGCTTTTATGCGTGGGCGTGATTATGCTAACAAGGCTCTAGCCAAGGAACGAGATAACCGTGGGGATTTCGCCCGCGAACTTGGTAGCTGGGAGCGGAAGGGCCCCTTGGCCGATCTGCCATCTCGTAGTAACGACAGACGCTCAGAGTTCGGGGAGCGTCGCGGCCATGGTCCCCGCGATCCGCCTTCTGATGACGGCAAGGTGCGAGATTTCGGCAACTGGGAGCGCAAGGGCCCGCTCTCACCACTTCCACAACCAGAACACTCGGCAGGATCCCGGGATAACAGCCGTCCCCGAACCAATGACGCTAACCGCGGCGATTCTTTCCGAAAGGATCGTCGAACTTCTCCAGCCACCTGGGGGGAAGGTCGCCAGGAAACTTCTCGGCCACCTCGAGAATTCAAGGAGAAAACAGAACGCGCTCCAACCGCGGCAGAGCTGGACAGCCAGTGGCGCAGCAACATGCGACCTGACCGTGGCGTAAAGTCCCCTGAGCGGTCCCGAGACGGATCCGAAGCACCTCCATCCCCTGCCATTGCCCCGCCCTCAGCTCCAGCTCCCGTGGGACGCCCGAAACTCAACCTCCAAAAGCGAACGGTATCCGAGACGCCAGATGTAACATCCCCCAGCTTACCGTCTGCAACCGGCGATTCAAAGGCGAGCCCTTTCGGCGCTGCTCGTCCTATCGATACGGCAGCAAAAGAACGCGAGATTGCTGAGAAACGAGAGCAGCATCTGAGGGAGAAGAAAGAAGCCGAAGAGAAGGCAAAAGAGGAGCGACGCCTAGCGAAGGAGGCCGCAGCAAAGGAGGCTGCAGAAAAGGCCGCTCTTGAGGCGGAGAAGGCCGCTCTTGAAGCGGAGCGGGCGGAGCAGGCGAAGCAGGCAGAACAGGCCGAGAAGGCAAAGGCCGAGAAGGCGAAGATCGAGAAGGCAAAGGTCGAGGCGTCTGAGGCGAAGCCCGAGGTCCCGGCTGAGCCAAAGGAGGAGCCGAAAGAGGGGGCAGCCGCTGCTCAGCATAACGGTGGAGGAGCAGAGCAGAGAGCGCCTGCGAAGCATCGTGAGAACCCTCGTGAGGGCCCTCGTGAGAACCCCCAGAACCCTAAGTCCAGGGCGACCGAAAGCGGCAATTGGAGAACGTCATCGGGAGAGCACCGGCAGGGTCGCGGTGGGTATGTAAATGCCCCACGAGGTCGTGGCGATGCTCGAGGACGCGGCGGTGCCCCGCGAGGGCCACGGGGCAATTACGAAGGAAGACCTCACCGAGCAAACGGAGCGTCTCCCGTCACTAGCCCGCAACAACCGGCTCAGACACCAGCCCCGGCCCCGGAGGCCGAGGCTACCCCAACGCAAGATCCCGACGGCTGGACGACCGTGTCAAAAGGCCGCCGCAGCCAGATCACGCGTGTTTGAACGAGGCGCCTAGCACTGTACAAAAAATACAGATCTTCTACGCTCAGGCTGGTAAAAGGGAAATATTACTGGCGCCATAATACTATGGACTCGCAATACGAAAAAAAAAAGTTATTTGATCTCCTACGCCTGCTACTGTGACGACCTCATGCACGCCTATTGACGCTAATCTACCACCACGTCTTGACTCCGCCCTATATGCCGGTAGCTTTCTGAAAAACTGCTGGTTATACCGCATGGCCCCGCGTACATATACTCTGGGCAGAAAGCCTACAGCCTTTTTCGCCACACGCGTCGCCGTTAACTTCTCCGTCTCTTTCATGTTTATAGCTGCTTTCACTCGAAACGGAACCCGTCGCAACAGCGGGGGAGGAATCAGGGTTTCCCTCCCCAATCGGCCGGGGCGACCTCACGCGTTCGCCATGAAAAATATGAGGCGACATGTCGGGAGGCTGGGCGGTTAGCCTACTAGAGATTGGCTAAAGGATGTCACCGCCCCGGGAACGAAAATTCCTCCCACTTTTCATCTATCTCTTTCTATACCTTGCCCCTTTCAGACGCAAAACAAAAGTGCGGTTAGGAGTTGGTGGAAGGAGGGAGGGGAGGCGACCGGGAAATTTTATGTTCTCTTTTTCCTTTTTTTTCTTCTTCTGCTGTCCCTTTTCTGTGTCTTCACGGCCGGTCTTTTTTGTCATCTGTTTCCTAGGGTCTGATATGTCTGATGCCGATGACAAGGGGGTTTAAGGACGGTAGAGAGGCAAGGAAGGGCTAGGAAAGGAATAGGGGGAGAGCGAGAAAAAGGGGTGTGATGATATGTGTGGACGCTGCCAGAAGGCATGGGTCCGTCTAGAGAAGGAGACTGTTGTTTGGTCCGGCTGGCCTGAGCTGGCAGGGCTAGTTCGCAATCCTCCCAGGCGATCTTACCTAGACGACCTACACCCACCGGTTTTCACTCAATACTCGCCCTCCCTCATTTTTTTTTCCTTTTTTTGTTTACGCCTTCCCGTCTGCTTTGTCTCTCCCCCACGTCCTCATGTCTAGATGCTACCTGGAGTTTAACCTGTCCCCAAACATCCCACCACCACCCGCGCCGACAACAAACCCTCGTTCGGCCTCTCGCTCCCCTCACCCCCCTTTTATCCTCATCACTACTGCTCGCACCCCCCCAGCTATGACCAGGTTACTCGTTGAAGAGGGGAACGGAAGATAGACAGGCACCCATAGGTACATGGAATGCGAAAATGCTTTTGCCAAGGAAACATCGCACCGCTCCGCGCCCGCGCTTTCGAGCGCAGTGCTTCACTTCTAGTTTGACTTCGTGATCTACAGCGTATTATATATGTGCGTGCTCCTCTCCGTAATGTCGCTACTCGCACAGAGGAAACGGTAAGCCAAGTAAAGTGTCGTCAGTTAATAGTTGCCCTCCCGCAAGTTCGTGCGCTGGCGGCCAATAATAAATCTACTTACTACCTGGTACTCTTCCGCGCCGGGCCAGTCGCGCCGCTTAGCCTATATATACCAAGAGGAGACTGCAGATCTAGTCTGTCCCTCGCCGTTGCGAATCCCCCCTCCGCTCCGACTTTATGTAGCAGCATCAGTTCAAATTGGCGTCAATATCTCCCTCGTACTATTCTCTCCGCCACCCCCACTCTCTCTCTCTCCGGCTATCGTTCCTCGTATTCCATATACAACTTCCCGCTCCCCCGCCTCTTTCGCCTAATGCCTAGGATAGAAACCGGGCGCAGAGGCCAGACATCACTTATTTCGCAGATGATGAGTTCTCGGCGACCGCCATAGCGCCCGCCGGGACAGCGTGCTCGGCAGGTTTGCCTGGCAGGATCGGGCGCGAACCGACGTTGGGGATTTCCCGAGACGAGACGGCGGCGCTGGCGGCGGGGTCCCCGATCGAGCGTCTCTACTTCTTAAAGGCCAGCGCGCCGAGTGCCTCGATCTCGCGGCCCTCCTGGGTGTTCCGGCCGGCGGCCTCGAGCAGGCGGTTCCACGCGTCGACATCGCGGATGCGCACCGCCTCCTCGGCCGCCTTGACGCGCAGCCCGCACTTCTCGTACATGGCCACCGCCGCCCCCGCCTCGAGGTTCGTGCACTTGGGGATGAAGCTCGCGGCGAGGCGCGGGTTGCCCGCCTGCAAGATCTGGTTGAAAAAGGGCTGTTTCGGGGAAAGAGAGGGGTTAGCATGCAAGGTCTAGTGATATGCTGCGTTTTTAAGAGGAGTTGGGAGGGTGCATAGACGATCTCAGCGAGGGCGGATGAAAGCATGTGAGGCTTACCTCCCAGCCTATCGGGCTTCTTCTGCTCTTAGCAATGTCCTCGATCTCGTTCCAGTCTCGTTTTGCAACGAGCGCTCGTAGCCTACATGGAGTAGTTCGCCAATTTGTCAGTTCGCGTTCCCACCGGGTAATCTGTCGATTCGTGATCATGCAGGACAGGGAACGGGATTAGCATCTGCGGGAGTGGCTTCTTACCGTATCCACCAGACGACCTTCTCCGGGACCTTGAACTCGCTCTGGATCTTCTTGGCTTTGTTCTGGTAGCCGAGGCGGATCAGTTTGAACAGCGTCTCGTTGACGCTGAGACCAGTAAATGAGTCTGTGAGATCCCGATCTAGGGCTTCTTGCATCCGTAGGAGCGTTGCGGCCTCCTTCACAGACGCCACTTCAAAGGTGTTTTCCCTCGAATCCGAAAGCAGCTTCGCGGCGAGGGCTAGCTTGTCGCTAGATGTACGTGCGTCAAGCTGGTTGAGCGCCTCGCGGATGAATACACCGGCGCCATCCACCCGACGGTCGTCCTGGTAGTAAAGGTCTTTAAGCAAGGCGTTGTCATTCTCCAGCGCCGCAGAGGACTCGACTAGGGCTGTGGCTACCGGCCGTGAGTTTATTACGCGGAAGAACGATGCGAGCGGGAGCTTCTTCTTCAAGTGGAGGATGACGAAAAGTATCAGGTCAGAGTCACCGCTCTCGATTGCTTTATCAAGCGCTATCTCGTCTTCTTCCATACTCAGGAGAAGCGGCACCTGTCGCCCCGCCCGAGGTTCATGGTTTAGAAGCTCGGTTGCCAACCGGCCGCGGCCCTCGTCGTAAGCAGCGCGAGCGATGGCCTCGAAGGAGATTCCCGGTTTGCCAGAAAGCTTTTCTACGACTAACCGGCAGATGGAGTCGTCATCCTCTGTCCCGACCCGAACCTTCGCAGAGGCCCAATGGACGTAGATGCGATCTGTAGGTAAACGTAGGTACCCGGCGATACGAAGCGCGAGCAAATATTCGTGGCGGTTTATGAGTCTCTGAATAAGTCCTTCTGGTGTAAGCCGCTGGTATTGTTCGTAGGATAGAGGTAACCCGATTTCGTAATAACGGACCGCGTTGATCACTCGCAACGTTTCGCACATGTCAACGAAGTCGTCGCTGTTGTAGATATCTAACACCGATTTCCCGAACGAAGCAGCCTTGAGCAGTTGTTTCTGCCAATGGATGTTGAACTCGTGTCCAGCAGCGGCAACACATGTGTCAACTGCCTCGACGAGGTTCGGTCGAATAAGTTGGATGTTATCGTCAGCCTTCGGAGATTGATTCTCGAGCTGCTCCACGGCATCTAGTAATACGGACGCTGGCGACTGCGTGCCATAGCGGAATACTTCATCGGTAACATCGGGCACCTTCTGGAGAAAATCACAAACATCGTTCGTGAGTAACCGCACGCCGTCGTGGTCTTTTTATTTCGTCCCAGTTAGCATCGCCCGAAGCGAGAAGAGATGTCGTGGCTTACCGGCTATTACGTGGACACGGCCTTCGTAGACGAAGCTCGCCACGGCATTGTTGGGTCCTACGACATTCACCTCGTCCTCCCAAGCGATAACGACCGCATCGTTTCCACACCATTCCAAGTACTTTGGCGTGAGCTGGGATCGGGAATCGTGCTCGCTTAACCGGCTCTGGAAGTCCGCGGTGATGACATGGGCCTTTCCATCCGACGCATAAAGCGCGGCGAATTTTCCGTTCGGGGACACGCTGATGTGCGAAAATGGGCCGATGTCGAGGAAGCGATCCTCGCATTCCGTCGCGTCCACGACATAGACCGTCTTTCCGATGCTCAGTAGCACCTCGACGGACCGCGACAAGGTGAAGCTGGGGGAGATGATGGCCCACGCATGGACGTCGCCTTCCGGTGGTGACACGAGCAACTTTGGCCGCGGTTCGTCGTACGAAGACACAGAAACGAGGACATTATTGGTAAGTAGTGCGACCATCCCATGGTCGTAAAAGCGACACTCGCGAACACCAAAATCCTCAGCCTCGCGGCCCAGGGTGAATTGCGTAAAGTCTCCTTGCAAGTTGTAATAGCATCGCACAGTCCCGTCGTAGCCCACGACGAGGAGCTTCTCGTCCTCAGACCAGCCAAGGCCCTTGATGGATCCCTTCTCCCAGGGAATGCTTTTCAACAACTTGCCAGCACAACTGTATATGTCAATACTGGGCTTTGAAGACTTGGAAGGTTGGTAGGATATAATCTTAGTTTCATCTCGACAGATGGCTGTGTGATGTCAGCGGGAGATGATTCCAGGCTGGGTTGAGGGCTAGAGTTCAGAGCGGGTGTGAATGAGGCTGGGCGGAGTTCGGTGGTGACCGTCTGTTGCTTTGCCTTATACGATTCCCGCAAGGATATTGTCGGTGAGCGTCACCATCGGATGTGAATAACTCATATACGCCTAGGCTTAACCGACACGACACGCCGACAGGGACCAGCCTTCTTCTCCTGCAGCAAATACGATACGAATGCAGAGAGGCGGTAATGGCAGATAAAAGAGTCCTCCAGTTGGAGAAGATAGCAAAAAACAGTAAGAGGTCAAGAAACAAAGGTGGCTCACCTACAGCACCGCCATACGGAGCACCAGCAGCGATATAATTATCCAGGTCAAGATCCTGGTCGAATATCGCGGTATACAGCTGGGTCTTGCGGTAGAACTGGTCTCCCACCTTTTCCCACCCGGTGGTTGGATGTGCGGCTTCCATCGTTGCTCTACCTCATCATCTTGGTGGCATCACGAAGCCGTACTAGAACGTCGATAAGATATCCGCCTCTAAATTCAGCGGCGCCGCGAAATCGCGTGTGGGCTCGATGCTACGTAGGCAAGCAGATGGAGGCTTAGCTGGGCGCGGTACCCGGTGGACCATTGGAGAGGGAGAGGGAGAGGAAGAGAGAGCTGTGACGTGACAGTTGAGCTGTGACGAGTTGAGCTTCGTAAAGGGCCGCCTTACTCGGTACCTTAGGTACCTCTAACGTAGTACCTCGATATGAATGGTCGGGTAAATCCCGGATAAATCAATGTACCTAGATACCTCCAGGCTCAGGTTATCAATTATTACATAATCACGCCTCGACTTCGCAACCCAACTTCATCACCAACCTAACCTGCCTACCTACCTACCTACATCCACCATCTGGACACAGGAAGCCTACAGCTCATCCTGTTTTTACTTACAACCTGGTCTACCCCTTGTAGCGGTTTCTACAGCACGCTTACAACTACATTCATTCAGCACCTCGTGATCCGTCTTCAGCTGACCCTATTGCCAGCTCGATATGCGTCCCCTGGGCACCTACCTAACCCAAGTCATTCGTTCTAATAAAACGAGCACACCATCCCAGTTCCAATTTCGTCCGTCCATCCTCTTGCCCTACCCTTCGGTGCCTTCTTTCTCTCCTATGAGCCGTACCATGTAGGTAGCCCCCCTTCTTCGGCATTTCTTCTGCCGGAGCTTGGGGTATTTGGGGCAAGAAAGGTAGGTACCTACCTAGGAAATCCCGCTGCCCTGTGAAGAGGTTCTTATGACGGCCACGAGGAGAACAGCCAAGATAACCTTTAAGGATAAATGCATCCGTCTCACGCCCGTTGCCAAGGTGATGTAGGCAGTCTTCATCGACCGGTGCGTCTATGAGCATACGTAGCAGCCCTCTATTGGAGATGGCGCGCATCTCGGTTTTCTGTGTCCGGAGCTGTGCTCTCGTGCTGGCATCTGTCTGTGCATTCGGTTTTTGGGCCTGCATCTACACGACTCCCGCAGAGTCGCCGGCATCTTGTCGTAGCATTTGGATGTGTGATTCTAGTTACCCAATGCACCTGGCGTATCCCTAAGGAGCTGCCCGCATCGGACTGTCGGACAGGATTTGCGCGTTGGCACCAGGCCCCTGCTACCTTCTCCTGTCTTCCTAAAACCCCCGTTCTTACAGATGGTACGGGCGCCATCTTTGTGTTTAGAAGGAGGTCACGCTGTCTCCGGTACTGTGTCGTTAAGTATGGCATCCGGATATCACTAGTCCCTCGCCCTACCATCTGCCGCTTTTTTCTGTAAAGAGGCGCTTAATTCCTCGAGACATAAATCGGCTAGCCGCTTCAACGGATTCTGAGTTGGAGATGAAGGAGACTTGCGTTGTACTCTGGTTAGGAATAGGCTTAGCCAGCTACATACCTAGGTAGGTAACATGGAACCAACTGTTTGTTGTCTTCCGATAAGCCGCCATTTGTAAAACTGAGCTAGTTCCGAAGAATCTTGGACTGTGCCAGCCCATAGCTCCCAGAACCCAAGTTCGCTGGTCCCAGTATCGATGCGATGAGACTGCGAGTTAGGTGTTCCTAGTATTTACTAACCCCTGGATCCGAACCGTCCGCCTGCGTCTTCGGTATCAAGTATTCGAATTGGAGGCTTTGGTTTACGAAGTATCTGGGCATCAAGGCGAGACAAGTCACCGAACAGAACATGTTGTGCCAGTTCATTGGCCGTTGCATATAGCTCTAGTGCTAGTGATTAGGGTGGGCAACTTCCTGGCCCATTCCCCGGGCCCTTTTCGAGCCACTTAGACGTCGACGTTACCATCCGCCGTGCCTGAAGCTTCAGTCTGACCCTGATCGGTTCCACCCTGCTCGGGCCAGGACGCGTGGTCGACTGTGATCGACGGTGATCGCCACTAGAGGCACTCCGAGCTCTATATATAGGTAGAAAGTGCAGACAGCCTAGGGCTAAATTGCTGGCGGCGTCCATCCGCGGCTTTGTCGTACGCTTCTCAAACAGTTCATCAATCTTCGGCGTGAAGATGAGTTGGTCTGAGAGTACTACTCCCGGGGTACCAGCGGCGAAGATGGGACTCCTCGGCCAGGTCGGTATCGGGGGTATGAGTGCCTGGAGTCCGTGGTGTTTGGGCACGCCGTGTAATGCGTTGTTCATGCGCGGAAGATATTCGAATCTGCTATCTCCGGAACGGTGCCTCAACTTCTGCGGCCGTACCGCTTCGCCATCATCTTCTTGTAGTGGCCCTTCTTACCACTGGTCTTGACGGCTTGGATCTGACCGTACTTGCTCTTGAATTTGCGGGTCACATCTTCGGTCTCGAGCACCTCTTCTAGGAGCGTACGCTTCCTCTCTTTCTTGGTCAACCTGGCACTGTAGAAGTCGGTTGGGCCTTCTACTATAGTTCCAACCGAAGAAAAGTCGGGCACCAGGGCTTTCAAGGTGTCCTTTCGGTAGAATCGCTTGGAATCGAGCACGTCACGCATCCGCAGGAGCTGTAGGTCTTTCTTAAGCTCGGGCGTAAGATTCGTCTTGGGGAGGTTGAACCACGAGGGCCCAGCGTCCGCTTTTACGGCCTATGAGATGGGATTGTCAGCATGGGGCGTTCGAGCAGCCAGCCAAGAATAACGGGTTGTGACAGCAAAAGGTCAGAGTAACTATGATATTTTTATCTATCATTCTGGCGCGGAAACGTTGCCCATGACGGGACCGCTTGCCGCTTCAATGAAATTGGGATATGAACTTCATCATTTAATACTTGCTGGTAGAGGCTTGCCTGGCAGGATCGCGACGTACCATTTCTTTTTTTGACCGTCGAACCTCCGGTATCCTTACCGAAAGCTGTTCCGATTTTGAGCCCCCCTTCGAATTATCTTTCGAGGAGGTCGACGTTGTTGTCTTCGGCGTCGAGACTACTTCTTTCTGGGGGGCCTTTGCGACGCTCGAAGTAGGAGATACTATGGCGACTTCGTCGCCTCGCTCTTGTTGCTTTGCTCGCAGTCTGGCCGTAGCCTCCTTCAGAATTTGGTCAATCTGGTCGTCTGAAAGAGGAGTAGCGCTCGCTGGGTCGGCCATGATGTTACGAAGACTGGGAGTGGCAATGTTGGCGGGCGTAATATCTCGAGCGACAGAAAGAAGGGAGAATAAATTTTGAATGGGTGAAATTTTTATGGAGCCTGTATTACATAAGTTAGGTAGAGTTTCTGAACCGTGGCTGGGTATTGTGGCGTTATGGCTTTGCTTCGACAACCTAACCCTACTACCCTATCAGAGGCAGGTAGGTACCTAAGAGGACTCTCATAGGCCTACCCTAGGAGATCTCTAATGTTACGAGGCCTTCCCTTTTCACCCCATCGCAGCTCAAGCGCAAAGGATCGTTCATGGTAGGTAACATTTGAATTCGCTCTCATGGCGTCGCCTGCTCTCACATCTCCATGGAAGCTTAGCAGTTTCGGCTTTCCTCAATCTTCTCCCAACACCGTGGGTAAACTCGCCCGCTGCTGATTTTTACCGAGCTCAAAGCCGAGATGCGAGCCATTTGCGACGTTAAACCCCCAACTTTTGTTGTAGGGTGCTTGGAGAACTTGACACTCACCAAGTTCAAGTCCCTCTGCCCACACACTAAACAAATAACATTGCCCCCACCATCAAGCCAACGATGACGTTATCAGATGGCGCGATTATACTGAAATAGTTGTAGGTTGCATCGATGGTCGTCGGAGACTGCGGGTGCTGCTCCAAAGGAGAAGGCGGCTGCTAGTGCCGTGGGTGTGAGTTACGATATTGACTTACTGGGACCTACCAGGAACAACAGGCCTAGCTGCCCTCCTAATATCTTCATATTGGCCTTGCGGCGGCCGCTCTCTTAAAGAACTGTCCTGCACACCGGAAAGTAGGCAGCGCACGGATATGCCTATCTATTCAACGATATACCTAGGCTTATTATCGAAGGAGAAGATGGGGTTTCACGAGGCTTTTTTTGGTTGTTGCCTACGACAAGCGGTTTTGTCGTCAAGCTAATCAAGGATTTTAAAGCCTTGAGGGATGATTTGGAGCTTGATAAAAGCACCGAAGACAGACAGATCCGTCTCCCACCTAAGCGATGCGGTCTTGACGTTGAGGAGAGGTTGACGAGATCTCAAGAGATAAGGACTAGCTAGCTCCGACGAGGGGTCCACCACCACCCTAATGGTAAGCTTTGGGATCCCGTCGTTTACCGCCGCAGTCTTATGCTGCGTCACCATACTGGGACCCAGCGGAAGATACCTACCTATATTCCGCTTACGGATTTCCCACCCTGAATTTTGACGAGGGTGCGGTTTGGGGACGGCCGTCTAGTGCCAAATATCTAACAGATCTCCAGGCGACATATCTCCTGCCTTCATGTTCACAGAGTTGAAGCCGAGGTTGTGGGGATACCCGAGCATAGCAAGGAACCACCTCTTGGGAACCAAAAAGGGGGTTTCCTGGGATACCATCGTCTTGGAATAAACCGACGCCGAACCTCCCGAGGTGAACGGGGGATTGCGCATATGAATTGGGGCGGCGCCGTCATGCGCGGCGCAACCAAAGACACCGAGAACCGGTAGATCGTGAGACTAGATCTCGAGCCGAACCTCGACGGCATGTTCGGCCGTGGTCGGCACAAGAAGTCGTTACCTATATTTTAGTACCCAGTCGGAATAAGAAAATTTACCGATTAACGTGCTGCCGGTGAACAAGAAGTTATCCTGAGGCTGTTAAACTAGGTAATTTCAGAATGCTAAGCTATTCGCGCCACGCTTGGAATACCGCTCCGAGCCGCCATGGACTTCCCGTAGAATGCGGCCCCGTACGATGTAGGTAGATGGCTGAAGGGTTCGTTAGGCAAAAGTGGCTTATCGGATGGCTTGACGAGGGGGTGTGTGGCTTGGCAGCGCGATGTTTCGTTCGTCGGGGGGGGGGGGCAGTTGGCGATTCCGGCCTGGCTTAAAGCAGCATGTCCCTGGCCCGGATGTGGCACGCAGCATAGCATGGACAACTCTATCTCGGCGGATGTGTATGTGTGTGTGTGAAGGCAGTTGTGCGAAGGGCATTTCACATAGCACCAACACCGCATTCCCCCTCTCCCCCCCCTCCCAGCTGTTCCCGATCCACCATGCGCGGCTTACTTTTTTTTTTATTAATTAGATGGTGTCTCAGTTCCCGATGGGGACGGTGGATGGTGGTAAGAAGCACAGAGGGAGGCTGTCGATGCCGGCGGTCGCTGATGCCCAACCACATTGCCAGCGCATTGATTCCCGTCAAAGCCATCCATGCCCATCCCGGCGGCCAGCCCTACAACGTAAAAGCACCGAGTTCCTCAAGCATCTAGAGGGAACATATCCGCGTCATTGCCCAATCCCGGCCAACACATACCTACACGGACACACGTACATATACACATATACACACATACAGACACCCATACTAGTAGTCCTGTGATTTACACGCACAGCTAGCTGGCTCATAAACAGCCCTGAGTTGTTGTCAGATCATATAGGCACAGCGCACGATTCCCAGCTTGGGGGGGTGTTGTGCGTGGTCGCGGTGGTGTGTGTGAGAAAATTATCCCAGGTTCTTTCTCTTATTTCCCCGTCGGCGTCGGTATTATTATTATTTATTCGCTTATCTCCACAAGCCGATTGCCAAATCTTTTTTTTATTAAAAAAAAGGTCTCCCTCTGCCTATGTTTTGCATCATCTGGACAATAATCCGGGGGAGCTGTTTTCCCGTTCTATATTATTGAAGAGAGAGAGACAGAGAAAAGAAAGAGATACATATAGCGGGTACCCGCCTGTTGTTTTTCGAGGTACCTGGCCAAGCAAAGAAACCTGAAAAGAACAGTGGACAGCGGTTGTTTCGTTGGACCAGAAACCTCGGAGCGAGCCGCAACGTTGAGCAAGCAAGCAATCCCCGGTAACTTTCCTCCGAGAAGCTCCTCGCGAGGAGCGAAAGATAAAAATACCAGAAGAGAGGAAAGGAGAGGGAAAGGGGGGAACGCGGGAAGGGAGGAAAGAAAAGAAGAAAAGGGTTACTGGAGAAGGGAGCTAAAAAAAAAAAAAAAAAAAAAAAAACACACAATACATCGACTAGCGAGGAGAAGAGGAGAGCATTCGCCGCGTCGTCGAAATAGCAACGATCGACCGATCGTGCGTCGAGGAGAGAAGGCGAAGAATCGCCCCAGACAGCAGACCACACACAGAGACACAGCACAGCACAGGCCGGGACATCGGTGCAGCCCACACAGGACCGCTTCTTCTACGCCGACAAGGCCCTGCCTCTATCTACCTAGGAGGTACCTAATCTACCTACCTATCCCTACCTACCCAGAGGTACCTACCTACCTGTCCGCCTGGGTACATCCCATACACACAGATATATACCTACCTCTATACCTCCTACAACAGATACCTACAACAACAGATATATACCCTTACCTACCTACATATACGTACATACCGACACCCAACGCAAACAGAGACATCCATACCCAAAATTCACCAGCCCGTACATACATACGTACATACATACCTACCTAACACATATAACAAAACATACCATATAATATCCTTCTCACCACTCGCGGGGTTGCTCCAGCTACCGCTTACCGCTAACCGCTGCGCACCACACCAACCCAACCCCGTCGCTCGCCTCTCTCTCTCTCTCTCTCTCGTTCGTTCGTTCCGAACCAAAGCCAGCTTCTTTAAGCTAAAGTCAGCCCAGCCCCAAGCCAGCGGTCGACCCCGTCCATCCATCCATCAATCCGGGTCGCCGAAAGCTCGTCACTCCCGCTCTCCCACCCCTCGCCCCAACCCCAACCCCCTCGGCCAATCAATCTCGCCAATCCAAGGCCTCGACCTCGAATACCTACTGGACCGACAAGCTCATTTGCCCATCTGTTACATCACCACGCGCACCAAGGAGCTTCGAGCTTGACGGCCTGTGTAAACAATACCGCCCGTCCTGATTCGATCCGCTGTGGTCTTCCCTCATTTTTTTTCTCCGCCGTCGGGTACTCTGCTGGCGGGCACACGGCACACACGCCCACTCCGTGTGCTACTGGTGCTGCGAGATCCGTCGACGAAGAGACGAGAAAGAAAGAAGAGGAAGAAAAAAAAAAGGAGACGCGAGACACACGACCGCCCCGCCCAGAAACCCGACGCCGCCAGCCTGCGGTGTCGTGCGCGTACCTGCAAAACCATCGCGCAAGAGCATCGCCTCGTTGGTCCTGACGCCGGTCGGGACAGTGTGTGTGTGCGTGCGCGCGCCCGTGCCTTTCGAGCGCCGGCTCTTGAAATACCCTCGGTGCTTCTCCCGCCGACGCCGTCTTCCTGCTGGTGCGCGATCCCTCGAGCACGAGAAATATAGATACATACCTATACCCATCATGGACCAGTCCCTGTCGAATCACCCGCAGTCGTCGCGAGGAGGTGCAGCGACCGGCGTCTACGATATATCACACGGCGGCCACTACGGTAAGTGGAAGAAGAGTACCTCCCAGTCTGATTGCGCCTGGCATTTTTCGTCGAGTTGCGAGTTGCCTTGATTCGTGCGACGTCGCTAATTATCTCTCCTTCTAGGCGCCAGTGCAGCAGTGAGTCCCACCGTCCTCTCTCCTTCTCGCGCTCTTCCCATCCGTCTCCATCCGTCCCCTCCCTCTCTCTCTCCGACTCTGCCAAAACTCGGCTCGTTGTCCTCTTTCCTGCCTTCGTATACTTGTCTGCCCTGCCTACTGCTCTCCCTCCCGCGCCCCGAGCCTCCCTCCCTCCCTCTCTCATCCGAAAAAAGCACGCTGGTTCTGCTCTCCGACTAACGTTACCGTGTCTTGCTTAGCTCGTCAACTCCGGCTTCGCCGCTCCCGAACTTTACACCGGACCTTGGGCCAATGTGCACCAGGGTCTGCACGGCCAGTACAAGGATATCTTGACGACCTACTGGCAAAACACGATCAACCACCTCGAGTCCGACCAGCACGACTACAAGCTGCATCAGCTTCCGCTCGCGCGGATTAAGAAGGTTATGAAGGCGGACCCCGAAGTCAAGATGATCTCGGCTGAGGCCCCGATCCTGTTCGCCAAGGGCTGCGACATCTTCATCACCGAGCTGACGATGCGCGCGTGGATCCACGCCGAGGAAAACAAGCGCCGGACCCTGCAGCGGTCCGACATCGCGTCCGCCCTAGCCAAGAGCGATATGTTCGACTTCCTGATCGACATTGTGCCGCGCGAGGAGGCGAGCCACGCTAAGCGCGCGAACCCGACCGCCCAGGCGCAGTCCTCGCAGGGCGTACCCGCCACTCCTGGCGGCCAGATGCCTGGGTCGCACGGCATCCCCGGCGCCGCCAACCACATGGGCGGGCCGGGCGATTATGGCATGGCCAGCCACGGCATGGGCACCGACCAGGAGTACCGCGGCCCTCCCATGTACAACCAGGTCCAGGCCGGCCCCGGCGGCCCCTACAGCCAGCAGCCCCCGCAGCCCATATACGGCGACATGGAGGGCATGTACGGCTACCCGGGCATGCCCCAACAGCAGTAACGCGCTGTTTCAAGACGACGGTCGCCCTAGAGGTCCGATCAAGCCTGTCGCCGCCGCACGAAGTCGCCCCCCGACGACCGCGTCTCCGTCGGCCGAGACGGAAATATCCTGGGAACCACCACCGCAACGCAGATGACGCGGAGGGGAGGTGCCCCGGGAAAACAGCGCGTGATCCTAGTTGTCCTCCCCGAAAATTCATCTTAGGCCAAGCTACGGTACCGGACGTGAGCGAGGGAGAGGCGGGATGGGGCGGATGGCGGAACAGCCGGATACCGGAATTTGACTAACTAGAACGCGCGCGCATTTCTCTATCTACACAGGCGGGAGCAGGAGGGAAAGGAGGCGGGGAACGGGAGGGTTGGGGGGGGGGGACTATAATCTTGAAGCTTAGGGAGAGAGGGAGGGGACTAGGAGGAGCGGGGGTGGAGAGAGAACGGAGGAGGGAGGGGGGCGGGGCAAAGAGAGACAGAGAGAGGAACATGGCGAAAACAGCACACCACGAGCGAGACAAGGCAAGGCAAAACAGAACAAACCCAAAAAAATTTCCCGTACATGACGCATGCCAGGGGGGAGAACGAGTGCCTTGTCGTTTCTTCCCCTCTCCCCCGTGACTAACCTCCCTCCCCTCCCCTCCCTCTCCTCTCCGGCAGGCGGGTCGGGCGATCGGTGTGACGACGGGGATAGCATCCATTCGTACGTGGGCACAACAGCACGGCGTAAGGAAGGAAAGGGAAAGGAGGGGGAGGGGCTTCGTGTCTCTCCTCTCTCTCTACATGTCGCCTCGGTTCATAGTCTCCATAGTTTGTCGTTGTTGGTGGTGTTATGCGTCCTTGTTTTCTACGTCTCCCTCCCCCTCTCTCTCCTGTCTCCTACAAACACACACACACACACACACACACACACCGACCGTTCCCAGTACCTCCCCTCCACATTTTCCGTCTCTTTTCTCTCTCTCCCTCTCCTCTCCTCTCCTCTCCACGCGAAGAAAGTAAAGCAAATCAAACCAAAAAAAAAAAACCCCTCCCGAACGTGCGGACGAACGAAACGAAACGAAACGACACGACATGGATCATTCCCCCCCGGCCCCGTATTGATTTACCTACCTATATAGAAGAGCACCCACTACCACACCTGCTGCCGCCGCCATGATGCTTACTTGCGTAGGACTCCCGAGATCCGCTCGTCGTCGTCACGTAAGGGCCAGCTCTCTCGTGCGGGGCCGCGGTTCTGGATGGTATCATGTATAAATAATCTATGGATATCGTAAAAGTGCTATGTATATATGTATGTGTGTATATATGTATATATATATACTGTGTATCTGACGGCTCGCCTGCCCGGCCTGTGTCTTGGCTGCGTATGTATACGTTGTTCCTCGCCCGCCCTGTTGCTGCTACTACTTGGTGCCGAAGCGCGACGACAGGTTCGACGAGAAGTTGGCGAACCGCTGCGCGGTCTGGCCTGGACCCGAGATCTGCTGCGTCAACCTGGCGCGGAGATTTTGTGTTAGCGACGTGGCCCCTGACTCTTGCCAATGCGGCCGCAGAGAGAGAGAGAGAGAGAGAGAGAGAGAGAGAGAGAGAGAGAGAGAGAGAGAGAGAGTGTGTGTGTGTGTGTGTGTGTGTGTGGATGGGAGACGACATACTTTTCTAGTAGGACGGGCCCGTTTATGGCGTCGACGCGCCCGTACTTCTTGTTCCGGGTCGAGATGTCGAAGAATTCGTCCGTGTTGTCCGACTGCAGGAGCTGGATCGTCTGCTCGAGCTCGTCGAGGTTGGAGCGCAGCATGAACCCGTTCTCGAGGCCGTCGACGAAGTGCGTCAGGTGCTGGACGTCCATCGAGAGTGCCGCTACCCCGTTCGGGTTGATCTTCTTGACATCCGGTGAGAGTGGGAGCGCCTGGGCCAATCGACACACCATGTTAGCATTCGCTCGTCTCCCAACAGCACGAACCGTGGGTAAAGAGGGGAAGGAGGAGGGGGGGGAGCCACCGACAAGAATCTTGTTGGCCGCGTGACTGAGCGCGTCGAAGTAGATGAGCTCCTTAATCTCCCTCGGCAGACCTAGGAGCGTCGAGTTCATGATGTTCGAGAGGTACCTGGTCAGGGTCTGCATGTAGTTGCTAGGCTCTATTGGACGGTTGGTCGACGTCCAGTCGTACTCCGCCGTTTCCACCAGGTCGTCGATCTTAGAGTTCACAAGCTCGAAAATACGCTTCTCTGCCGTTTTCTTATTTTCCCTAAACTGCTCCGTAGCCGACAGGGTTAGGGGGCCCCCCGTAGATGCTGAGGAACGCGCTCTGATTAGGAGCTGCTCCAACTCCTGGCATGCGATTTCGAAGTGTTCCAAGTTGATTAGGATCTGCACTATCTGGCCCAGATACTGCGAGCTCAGCCTTTCCACCAGAGACTGGCACACCTTTTCGGTGAGGAGCTCGTCCAGTGACTAATCACGCGAGGTTAACGGCGCTGTGGTGAGCTAAGAACTAAGAAGAGTGTATGGGAGACGTGCCTTGCGTAATGTATCATCGATCTTACCCCGATGCTGAAAATGGTCATCCGAGAAGAAATAGAACTGATTGAGGAAATTCCTAATATCGATACAACACAGTGGGTACATCTGAGAAAAGGGCAGAACACACGGGAACCTACGACAAGTTAGATGGATATCGACGTGGTAGTAAGGGGGACTTACGCGAGCTCCTCAATAGGTTTCTCCGGCGTGAACCAACTGACGTTGGCCACTTTCTCATATTCCTCTCGGGTGTTGATGGCCATTGGCATATAGTCGTCGGTTGAGACGATCTTCTAAAACAGTCAGCCATAGCAACGTTTTATAACCGGCGGTTGCCAAACCTCTTGAAAGTCGTCGCTGAACCTCTTCTTCAGCAGCTCGGCATATCTATCGAATAGGTCGACCAGGAATTCATCCAGTCTCGAGACAGAATATCCCCAACCCTGCAAGAGCAGATTAGCGAATTGTGACGCAAAAGCACCATAGAGCTACTCACTTCCATTGTTAAGATGAAAAGGTCGATTCGTCCCTTGATATTGAGAAGGATTTGAGGGTCAGTAATGTCGCTCAATGCCTTCGACGTCAAGGAAATTGCCGTAGAGCACATCGAGTCCCACAACTCCTCGACCTGAAAGAGTCAGCGATAATTGCCTGAACCACAAGTCGAGGTGCCATACATCGATAGCTGTACGTAGCTGGGGGGCTCTCCGCATGGTTGCCTTCTCGATGATGGCAAACCCAGAAATACCTTCGAGCAAACTGCTGAGAGATGACTCGTCGTCGGTTGTGAGGCTCACAGAGCCTGGCAGGAGCAGTTCTTTCTGTCGCCTCCTCGTAGCGGCATACTCCGATCGGAATTTTTCGCTCTGTCCAAGCGCATCGTGTATGTGTAAGGCTTCAAAAAGGGGGGTGAAGTCCACCTATCGCCACATGTTAGCGTACATGGTCCTGTAACCGCCAGTCCCGGAGGGGACAGGGAAGGCAATCTACTTGTAATTCATCATTATCAAGCACATCAAACTCTTCGCTCTCATCAAAGACCAGCTCGATCGCAGAGTTGAGTTTGAAGTTGTTTAGGAATTCGTCATTCTCTGCCCTCTCGCGTTGCCGCGTGCGGCGCATCTCGGTATGGTAGAAGGCCACCTCCCCGAGAAATTGGGATGTCTCCCTGATACGGAACAGCCAAGTATTGAGATCCGTCATGACAGCCTCCGATATGGTCTTCTGGGACGCCGGGATAGACTTCTGTATGAGATTGGCGAGCTGGTGCTGGGTCGCGTAGCTGTTCTGTATGATGGGGATGAGGAATTCGTTTTGCAGGTCTTCGAGGGACTTGAGCGCTGCGTAATAATTTCCTTTTCGGACCAATTCGTGGGCGTTGTTGACGGCATGCAGGATCTTCAGGGACTCCCTCAGGGCATCGGACACGTCGGAGATGTTCTCGCGGACGGCCCGCGTGTTCACCAGGGCCTGCTTCTGTGCTGCCAGCTTCTCGGTGCTAGCTTGGATAGACTGGTTCAGTTCGAGGATATCGGCGGTTAAGGTGACGGTGCGCTCGCGGACGTTCTGGAGGTGGTTGACGGAGCCCAGGAACTCCTCGTGCTTCGTCAAGCCTATCCTCTCGATCTCGGCCTCGCGATCTTCGGCATATTGCGACAGATTGTGCGTGAGACCCGTCTCCCGGCCGGTCGACGTCGCATCCTTCAGAACAGGGATCAGTTGATCGAGGAATTCGGCATCCGACGTGGAGAGGATAATCTGCTGCACCGCGGATGTGTAGTCGTCGTAGTTCTGGGGCCGTCGTGGCATAGTGGCGGCCGGCATGAAGCTATTCGTAGTATGCCGCCCTGTCGGTGGCTAAGAGGCTTGGTAGGCGGGCGTTCGGTCTCGGCGTTTCGACAGGCGACGATGGGCGGCGACGGGTTGCAGGTGAAGGTAATCACTGCAAGGCGAAAACCTCATCGTTGAAAATAGTATCGACAGCTTGTGCAGCGACTCCCTTCTCTCTCTCTCCGGTCGTTGCGGGTCGTATACTCTAAGTTGCGTGTGATCCCTAGAAGATGACAGGCGAACAGGGCGTTATCGACTCCTAAGCAGGTATGGTTGAGGTACCTTACCTGAGATATGAGATGCGACATCCGTAAGTACCGTAGGCAGGTATTGCATGTACCTGCAGCGAACGCTACTGCATGTGACCACGCAACAGAAAGCTCCACCCCCGAGACAAATGGGGGGTAATTAGGGTATAGGTACCTACCTGTCCCCTAGGGCGCCTTGCTGTTACAAATACCTACCTCCTACCCAGGTATGTGGCTTGCCGTCGTGGCGCAGAACCTCATATCTCATTCCTGTGCTTTCGATGGGCATTCCCCGTAGCTGACATGAGTAACTCTCGACTGCCCAAGTACGTGAGTTAAAGTCTTTCCGCTACGCCGTTTAGCTTAACGTCGAGAGACGGACTGAGTGGAATGCCTAGGCGTCCAAGCAAGCGCCTCCCCCTGGCTTGCTTCGAGGGTGTCGAGTACCTATCAGAATCTGAGGTCGGCCAGAGCTAGGCACACATGCTTGGTATCATGAGTCCGCTCTGCCTGTCTTGTTTACTCTTCTACCGTACGCACACGCATACGGTGTAGAGGGTCCAGTTCAGTTCACCTACATTTTTCTTTCTTGAAAGGCTTGGCTCATGTTGCCATACCATGACTCTGGTCGGCCTTCGCCTTATGTATAAGCTAGGTCAGAGAATTACACGTCACGTCCTATCCTATTACGGGACAGGCTATATATTCTATCTCTAGTTATATTAAACCTTCGCCTTTGAGAGACCCCGCGTTGCTAGCAATCGACTGCGGCGAACCTGCTGTGCTTGGTTACGAGCAAGCCGCGCCCATCTAGCTACCTCTCACCAGCGCCTCAAAGATCAAGAGATGTACTCTCTCCTCCGCGAAACTGGTCTCGCCTAAGCGCGTCCCCCCTAACACACAGCCTTCCCGAGTGAAATCCCAGAGTCTCTCTCTCACGAAACCGGGGGTCTTAATCCGCGTTGGATTGGTACACGGGAGAGCAATAGCCGTCCAAGCACGGGGGGTTGCTGCTCTAAAGACAGCCTTTGCCTGGCTCAAGCTCAAAGGAGGCCCCGGAATGCTTGTTCCACGGGCATCAGGAAGCTAATGGATTGGGAGCTTGACTACCTACCTAAGGGATAGGGCTCTGCGTCTCGTGATGTGTGTATACGCAGGTAGCATAGCAACACAACACCCCAACAGCGTCACCTCGCCTACCTGCGTGGACGGGTGGAAGCACGATCACACGTCATGGGCCATCTGGTTGCCTACTTGCCGCCTGTTATCCTCCCCAAGGCGAGAAAGGGCGGCCGAGTTGATTGCGGACGTGTCCAACCTGCTCACGGGCCTGGCATGGACGCAGCTCTTGCCGCTCAGGTCCGTGGCCATGCCAGGCTACCCGGTAGCCTGTGGTTACAGCTTACAGCTCACACGGAGGCAATCGTGCGTCCGGTCTGGATAGGCGCGTGCGGTCAGCAGAGGCGGTTAGCAAATGCAGCTAGCATGGAAGCTGCTCCAGGCTCTCTGTCGCCTCGGTGCTCGCTGCCTGTGCGTCGTCTACCTCAACTGCCCTGCCTGTAAGCACGAAATCCACGGTTGCGGCCAAAAAGCGGACTTGCTCAGATGGTTTGTCTACTGGCTAGTCCAGCCTGGGCCCCTCTAATTATTTCTACCATGTCATCACGGCAAAAGGCGCCGAGCAAACAACGGAAGTCAGCACGCCTCCGTCCCAAGCTCCATTGCTTGCTCACCTAGGGCAAGTACACCGGACGCCGTAGACCCCCCAAGGTATAGGGCTGGTACATGTACCGGCGGTATGCCCGCCCCTCGCCGGACGCGTCCATGTACACATACTTGCCAGCGCGTTCCTTTTTTTTTTCTCCCTCTTCGCGACAAGCTCCTCCCACCTGGCAACTCTTCCCATATATAGGTACTAGGCGATCTTGCTTGGGTGTGTGCCGGCTCCTCACGCAGTTCTGGCTCGCGTTTCTGCGTTGGCAAGTAGGGGGGGAGGTACCGGAGGTATTGTAGGTTTCTGGTTGACGTACCCAAGTATTGGCCCGGATTCCCTATTCCCACACCTTCCCAACTACACAAAACTCAAATAGTCCCCAGCCAAAACTCCCGAATATTCACAGAGTAGGTAGGTGCCTCCCGCCGTCCATCTGCCCTCTGCCTTTTCTTCCTCGGCGCCTAACAACCTTACTGTCCACGTCTCAGCGACTTCTTCTACAACCTCTCCTCCCCCCGATCTATACCCACTGCCCGCCCCTTTTCCTCTTTTTTTTTCCCGCTTCATTCCCTTCCCTGATCGTTGGACTCTTAACGCTTCCTCACTCTTGGGACCAGTCTAGATTTCATCACTAACACGCCCTCCCCCTCTTTTCCAGCTGGTCTTAGAGAAACGCCATCGCCCTTGGTACGACATTTGACGCACTGCCAAGGCCCTTCTTGGTGCATCCGAGTAGTTAAACCCCCACGGGGAACCTCAAGGGTCGACTTTGACTAAATAACAGCAGTCTTCCATCTATCCGACATCTCCTTTCGGCCTCTGACGCCCGTCGGCTAGATTTCTCCTCTTTCTCGGGTTCTGGTAGCCTCGTCGTTTTCTAGCACGTATCCACGTCGCGAGTCGAGGTACGAAGTTGAGAGGCTACCTCTCTCTCTCTCTCATCTCGCTTCTTTGCTTCCACCCCCGCCCAACCGGCCATGTTACAAGGCCAACGCCAATATTCACAGAACTTTGGTGATATGAGTAAGCTTGCCGTTGGTCCCAAACTGACTTTGCTGTAGTTCAGGCCCGCCTCCCCTTTACATCCATCGGAACATTGGCGCTTCTCACCCCGTCACCTGCTCATTCTGAAGACTCGCCACAGCGTTGGAAGGAGCGTTGGGAGAACCCCTGCGCGAACAATTGGAAGTTGCGCCCCGAACTTTGCACGAGAACTGGGAAGCGACGTCAGGACGAGCTGGGCCAGCAGTGACTACCCACAGATCCCCATTCAGGTTTTTTTTTTCTTGACACATCAAGGCATCTCGACGACCTTTCCGATCCCGACCAACTTCACCGGTAGGTCTCCAAACTCTCCGCCTTGTCCAACTCATGACTGCCTAGTTCCGTCTCGTTGACCATTGACCCCCGCTGACCAGGGAAGATATCATCAAGCCTCCTCGAGAAGAGCGCATGATTCAGGGGCTCAGTCTTGCCCTACATCAGCAGAACATCTCCAGTAGCACTTCACACACCTTGGTACCTGACTTCGTCCGCCGGCCATTGGTCCCCCATCCCCAAGTCTTTAACGTATCATACGTTTGTGACGAGTAAGTAGCTTCCCGCCTCCGCCGTCATCACATAGCTACCTCGTGAGCTACCCATCTACTAAGTACCTTCCATCCCCAACCTTCGAAATACGACGAGGACATGTCCACCTCGTAATGTTGCCCCCAGTCCTCCTCGCTGCCCGTCTCTTCCCTCCTTCTCACCAGGCTAAACCCATCTTTTGTGCCATTCCGTACCATGCTCACGCGATTCGCCATCTCGGACGCCCCTGTTTACAGCTCTACTCTCGCTTTGGTCGTCCGTACCTTTCCTTAATATAAGCCCAAGCCCATCGTCATATCCTGCTAACAAAAATATATCGCAGGCATACGCCTTTAGGGTCCGGCCACACCAAAAAGGGCACAGGAATCTTTCCCGCCGTCTATCTGTCTAGGCTTTTCGCCGGCGCAGGATACCTCTAGGATCAACATACGGAGCCGCTGACGACTGGGAGGACGATAACATCCTCTGCCAGTGGCCAGCTGTGCGCCCCCATAAGGTTGGTATATCTACTTTTTCTTCTAAAAGCTCCCCCTTCCCCCTTTTGCTGCCCTGTCCCGTCCTGACCTGGCCTGTGATCATTACCAACATTTCTCCTGCTTACAGTTGCAACAAATTTATACAGTTTTCCAATCGGGGATCTCTTCGGGCAGCCCACGTCGCGAATATTTGGCTGAATTTGTGACATCCACCGAGGTCCTCCCCGTTTCCAACACTTGGTTAAGTTCCTAACCAGGTAAATCGTACCTTCGTCTTCCCAATGACAGAACGGATGTACCCTATTAGAAACGGAGAGGGCGGTGGCTTCGCGCCCACTAGATATTCGCATTTGCCATCTCGCCCACCTTCACTGACGTCAGCTCCAGGGACTAGCCAGTACTTCCGTATCGGACCGGACCTTCCAGTATCGACACGTATACTGTATAACCCCTCCTGCACGATGAATGTCCAACAGTCCCGAGAGGGGCATTTCAATCCCGCATCGCCTCATTCTTCAAGCGGCGCTGCTGACTCCTTCAATGGCACCCCTGACACTCGATTGTCGGCCTTTTCTCCGGAGGATGGATCTGCTAGATCTACAAAGACGTTAGGGTCCCTCGGCTCCGGCGCCCGAGAGGCTGGTCCAATCAAGTACCCAGCCAATTCTCAACAACCTCTAGAAAGGTCGAATTCGTTCTACCATGGGAACCCCCATCTTGATAAGGACCCCTTCATCACTTCGTCTTCTTCAAGTCTTAAGACCACCCAGAAGCTCTCGCCAACGGCATCTACATTCTTTCCTTTACCTTCGAATACGCTCATCCGCGGTTCGGCGTCTGAGCCTAAGAGGGTATGCGATGACTTTTCGGAGGATCTGCTTCTGGGCTACGGCGGTCGAGCCTCTGGACAATCTTCGCCGGGTGGTTTGACGTACCGCATGTTCGTCCACGATAAGCCAAGCACGGATGCTGGAATCTCAAGATGCCTAGTCATCTCGACGGTCCACGGCAAAGTGTCTCGTGCCGACATCGAACTCTACCTAAATGTAAGATCCCTCGCCTGCAAGTATTCACGCCTAGCCTAACCGTTTTCTAGGAGCTCCAGCAGGCGGGCTTTCCATTCAAGGGAAGCAAAGAGATATACGAGTGCGGCGAGCAAATGTTCATTCATTTTTCCAACATACGCGACGCCTGCACCGTCTCCTCGAATCTCGCTATGGGGGGCCGTGACTGGATAGTGCGTTCGGTTACTCCTCGAGAATTTTCGCAGGTATGTAGCCCAACAAGCGTGAAAGGTTGCTATACTAAGGGTGCGTATTAGGTTGTGGAACCCGGGGTTGGTCTTGTTACCGCCCATGAGGGCCAGCTATATCTCAGTGTGTTTGCGCACGCGGCAAATGCCATCACCGACCCCCAGCAGCTTGAGGCCTTCCTGAAGGATATCCTGCAATCTGAAGGAGACTTATTTGCCCTTCAGACACGAGAAGGGGTACAGGGAAGTCTAATGAGCGCTGTCGTCGAATATTGTGACAACGAGATGTCCCTGCGTGCTGTCTCTAGGTTCAATGGCGTTGTCGTTAATGTATGAGGCCCTTCTCGAGCCTTGAAAGTCAACCTTGCTAATAGTTGAGAAACAGGGCCTTCAAATGTGCATCGTCATATACCGACCTGATATTCAGCCGATGCTAAACGCGGCACCAGGCGCAGTGACTGGTCCAGCTCGACCTATGGCTAGTGAATCGGACTTAGTTGGTGGCTTCCAGCGGATGTCTCTGTCAAGACCTCAGTCAGTCGTATCGTCGACGAGCAATTCTCTACTACACACACAAGTTCGGTCGCCCGTCTCCGCCGATGGCTTCCAGCTTCAACCATCTTACGGAATGATGCCTGTTTTATACCATGGCCTACCTGTTAGTTCCTCCTATGTATTCGATCAACTCCCCTCCAGAAGCAATAGTACCGTGGCATCTGCCGGCAACTATTCTTTGGCGAGTCCCATGGCGTCGCAGCAGGGCCCATACCTACCTACAGATCTCGTGACACCGCGACAGTTCCAACAGTGCGGCCGCCCAGACGGTCGCCGGCAAAATGCCATGCGGGTTGCTAGGTCGCCTTACTACAATGCCGCCAATCATCACAATCACGTCGACGTTGGCCGCATTCGGGAAGGGATTGACGTGCGCACAACAGTAGGTCATTCCGTCATAGTATCGACCTGGACGGGTGTTGACTTAATGGGTAGATTATGCTACGCAACATACCTAATAAGGTAGACCAAACGCTTCTGAAGCGAATTGTTGACGAATCTAGCTGGGGCAAATACGACTTCATGTATCTGCGCATCGATTTCGCAAATGATTGCAAGTGAGCAACCCCTATGATAGCCTATGCCTGAGACACTTGCTGATTCTGTCGTTGCAGCGTCGGTTATGCGTTCATCAACTTTGTCGACGTGAGTTCTCATGTCTCCCTCCTCAATACTTCTGGGTGTGGCTGACATTTTCCCTAGCCGTTGGACATTATCGACGTAAGATGGCCGACCGCTTACACGGATAAGTTTGCGTGCTAACAGAACCTATTTTAGTTCGTGAACGCCAGGGGTAATCAACGCTGGAACTGCTTTAAGAGCGATAAAGTGGCTGAGATTTCGTACGCGAGTAAGTCAACTACAGGGTTATTCAGTTGTATACACCTTGATACTGATGTGAGAGGAAGCCATCCAAGGCAAAGATTGTCTGGTACAGAAATTCCGGAACAGCTCGGTGATGCTTGAGGCCCCCCATTATCGCCCTAAGGCAAGCTACACTTCCCTCAGACCTAATGTTTAGCGGACGTAGGTGGTTGACCCTCTTAGCTCTTTTACACCCTGAATGGGCCCCGTCCCGACATGGCTGGCCAGGAAGAGCCCTTCCCGGAGCCTGACAATCAGTCAAAGATGAAGAGAAGCTGCGAGAATGCAGAGCATGTCGGTACGTAGAGACGAGGCTGGTCGCTTCGGGGACGCGTCGTAAGCTGAACTGAACTCGGACAGGCCTTTTCACTCCACATGCAGGCCAGCATTTCCGTGACGAGCAACGGCGCCGCCGCTCTCAATTCGACCGTGGAACTCGGCTTGCCGCCCTTGAGGAGTACGACTATAATACAGCCGCGCGCCAGCAGCCTTATTACACGCCTCAGTAAGCTCCTGACAACCCCCGCGACCGTTCCTGGGGGTTGTGGGTGGTGTTGATGTAGGTATTATCCCGGGTCGGTCCATTTCGGCAAAGAAACTGTTACTATTACATACTATGCTCCTAAAGACGTAAACTTTCAGGCACAAGGGGAATTTTTCCTATCATGGTCAGTTTATCTATACTCAGCCAACATTTATAAATTGTCGACGCTTCTAGCTAACTTCGCTAGGCTCGGAAATCCCCCATATGCTATACTATTCATAGAGCAGTCTACCAATGGCATACAAACCTGCATAGCGCCTCATTTCCTACTGTCGACTATTTCACTCTCGTATAGCCGCTGGCGACGGCGGTCTCGCACCCTCTCGGATTTCATTCGACCAAATACTCAAGCGTTGCCACGACCACCAGGGACATCGAGAGGAATCACGCCGTTAGTAATTAAACGACTGGAAAAGGCCCGCTTATTCACTATACGTATTCATTTTTGATTTATTTAGAAAGGCCGAAAGAAGAAAAAAATGTGTGCCGACCAAGGAAAGTCTACATCGAAGTAGATATTTCGAGATCATAATGGCTTCATTTTTTCGATTGCTGATCTCACCGGCGGAAGGGATTTACGACCACCAGCACGTCACATATCCGCATCTCTCCTCTACTAGTATCGGCCTACATTCGCTCTGCTATCTATACGATGAACCTCCCCGTGTTTGCGAAAACTGGGGCAATTCACCAGGGGCACAGCACGGCATCTAGATTCTCAACCAGCCTTACGAGACACGTAGAGGTTTTCCTCTATTTCGTTTTGGGGAAGTATTGGTCGGCAACATTTCGATTCCCTTCAACTAACAGGGTTTGAGGGATATGACCTCTGGTCGCGGTCAGGGGGCCCGTTCTGGTAGTTAGTATTTCCTGGCGATGATTTTTTAGTTGATTGAGTGGAATGAAGAATTGCGGTGGTTACCCGGTTACTCCTTTAACAACCAGTCTACACTGGCCGATAACTAACGTCTCATGGTCGACAATTGCTTGACATCAACTCGGGTTGGTTGGCCCCGGCAGCGTCCCGCAAGGTCTTGGGCGAGAAAAGACAACTAGATTGGTGGGGAAATGGCGCAGCTTTAGGCTCGACCTCCATAGTCGACTGCGATTTGCTTTTATATTTATGCTTAACTCTGTTAGTACGCATGATAGATAGCAGTGGTGTGGCTTAATGCAACTAGATACACGTTTGACACCGATGCATAGGCAGTGTAGTCTCAATCGTAATCTCGTCATTCGTATTCATTAGAACGGCTGTATACGTAAATCACCCTTATCAATCCGGGTCTTCTGGTAACGCAGGTAGAGGCTTTCGTGTTGCGTGCACTGAGGTCGACCTACTCGTTAAAGAGGGAGCGTACTCGATATCGTCGTCCTCCGACGGCGTTAGCTGCCTCTCTGACCTCCTAGCCATGGCCTCTGCGTATGTCGACGGGTTGCCTCCCTCGGCGACGCCCCTCCCATCCTCATCGGAAACGGCGTTAATAGTAGTAGCGGTAGTAGTTATCGTATTGGCAGTAGCGATAGCAGGCGTAGGGCCGCCGGAATCGGCGGCAGCAGGGGGGCGGAGGCCCCGATTCCTCCGGGTGGTAGGCGTGGCGGGCTCCGAGTCGTAGGCGGCGTCGGGCAAGCTGGGCGTGGACGAGGGCGTGGCGGGGCGGAAGGCGAAGTCGATGCTGGCGTCGAGTTTGGACGCCGTCGCCGCCGCCGCCGCAGCAGCAGCAGCAGCGGTCCTGTCGGGCGACGGGCAGGACCCGTGGCGGCGGAGGTGAGAGGGGTAGGTGGAGGCCGGGGCGGAGGCGGTGGAGTGCGGCGTCTGGTTCGGGGTGGTGTCTTCGGCGCGGGGATGGGCTTGGTGGTGATGGGTGTGGTGGTGGTGGTGAAGGTGGTCGGGGTAGTACGGCTCGGTCGGCGGGGAGCCGTCCAGGTCCCTCGCGCCGGCGGCGTCGCCGCGGCCGACGCTGGGCGGCGTCCCGTTTGTCGTCGGGGGGCTCGCGGTCTCGATGACGGCCATGAGGTGGGCGTGGGCGTGGGCGTCCTTGGCGGCGCCGGCGCCGGCGGCGTGGTGGTGGTGGGAGTGGGAATGGTGCTGCTGCTGCCGCGCCCGCGGCGTCGTCGGGAAGATGGGGGAGGCGAGCCTGGTGTAGTACGACAGGCCGCGACGGCGGCTGCCGTTGCCGCCGCCGCCGGTATCCATGTCGGCGCCGTCGGCGCCGGCGGTGCCGAGGAACTGGCTCGGGTAGTACGACTCGATGCCGGCGGCGCCGCGGGAGAAGATGGCGACGAAGAGGCAGCCGAGCAGCAGGACGCTCTGGAGGATGGCCATGCGCTTCTGGAAGACGACCTCGTCGGCGAGGACGCCGAGGCGGGCGCTGAGCGCGACGATCTCGCGCTCCGACTGCTCGCGCTGCGTCTCGAGGGCGATGACGGTCGACTGCCAGACCTGGTCGTACTGCGTCCGCACCTCGCGCAGCTCGCCGAGCACCGTCTTGTTGAGCGTGTCGAGGAACAAGTCCACCTTGGCCACCTGGCGCTTCTCGAGCCGCGCGAGGGCCTCCTGCAGGAACTTGGACTGCGACTCGATGTACTGGAGCGACAGGGTCGTGTTCGACTCGAGCGTCTGGAGCCGCTTCGTCAGCGCCTTGAAGAACGAGTCCTGGACCGTGGGCGCCGGGCTGGCCGAGGAGGACGCCGTCGTGGTCTTATTGCGGGGGGTGGTGGGAGAACCGGAGGGCTGTTGCTGCGCCTTGGAACCTGTGGATCTCGAAGACGGAGGTCTCATAGACGTCGGAGCGACTGTTCTGCCTTTCGAGACGGATTGCGCACTACCGGACTTGCCTGCAGCCGGAGGTACAATCGTGGTAGGCGTCGTCGTTGCCGGCGTTGCAGACCCCGACCTCGATTCTGAGGGCGCTGTCACCGTTGACGTATATCCCGTCGCATTTGCAACGGCCGTGCTCATCGAGGCCTCCTCAGATCCGCCTGAGGAGGCCGAGTCGGCTGTTCTAGCCGCCGCCCTCCCAGCAGTTCCCGTCGAGATGGCTCCCGAGAAGGAGGTGCTAGAGTTATGTGATGCCACCCGTTTAGTTGACCCGACTGCTGCTGATGTGTTGCGCTCATAGTTGTCATCACTAGGGTTGAGGGTGTAATATCTTGCATCGGTTGCAGCGCAAGTGGGATTAAACGGGTAATGATGGCGGAAATAGGATTTCTCCCAGTAGGGCACCCAGTCACTCTGCTCTAGGGAAATCGTCTGGTTCTCAGGCTGGATGGGCGCAACTACTTCGGCCTCCTCAACTGGGGCATCGACTATGTCGGTAGATTCCCCTGAAGCTTCGGGGGTGGCCTTGGCATGATCGTCTTCGACCTCGAGATCGGCTGGGTCGGCCTCTTTCCAAGAGTCGAGCATACGTGTACCGTGGACTCTGAGCAAGGACACGGGACAATAGTACTCATTGCCGTAGTGGCTTAGGATCTCGACCCGGACATACCTGGCCCATATCTGGGGGTTTTCGACGAGAAAAGGCTGGATATCTCTTGAATTACGAGCCTCGAAGGTGCCCAGTATCTTCCACTTGTCTAGCTTGACGGGATACCGATCGCTAACGCTAACTCGGAAGCGGCGTAACATGCTCGAGAAGAACTCGAAATTGGCCAAGACTACGGTATCGACTAGGATGTCATCGCTCAACTCGACGATGAAGAACTTGTTCTGCATGGCGCACTCTAAGAGCATATACGAGTCTTTGTTCTCGACTAGGATCGCCTTGGGGTTCTTAGCACCCGGGCTCGCCTTCTTGATGGTGGCGCCGGCGTCGAAGGAGGCGTACGAGAACCTCTCCTTGCACGTCGTCCCCGCATCCTTGCTCCGGTAGCCCTGGGCCAGCCCTTCGTCATACGTCACCTTGTCGTCCTGCCTCTCCGCCTCCTTCTCCTTCTGAGAGGGCCGGGTAGCCGAGGTGATCTCGGAGATCCTGTCCGAGTAGGCGTCGAAGTCGAAGGAAACCTCGCCTTCGTCGCCGAGACTATCGAAGTCTTCGCCGGGATAGACGCCGCCGTGGGTGTCTCTAGATTTGTGATGCCTCGGTTCCAGCGCGTCCTGGCCGGATTTCTCGAGCATCATGGCCTTCCACTGCTCGAAGGACATGAACGCGCCAGTGCTGAGGTCGTTGCCGTCGGCGTCGAGGTCATCGTGGGCGGCGGCTTCGGCTGTCGACTCGGCAGCGCTGGGAGAAGCGGCGGCGGCGGCACTCGAGGACTCGGGAGTCGAAAGAGGCGAGGGGCTGGCGGTAAGACACTGCTGGGGCAGTGTGTGGGTGATGTAGTTCACCGTCTTCGAGGCGCAAGTGAGCTCGGCAGAGGGGACAGTAGTGGGAGGCGATTTTGCGGCATCGTGGGCTGTCGAGGCGCTAGCATCAGCTTGGCCGAGCGCACGATTTGCCGAGAGAGGAAGAAGAAGAAGCAGGTGGGGGAGGATGGTGATTACACGCCGCCTCTCTCGTCCGAACCACATTGCGAATGTGGCGAGGGCATCCGTCGAGTCAGGAGATGGTCCATAGAGAGAGAGGTGTATGGATGAGGAGAAGAGGAAGAACGGTGGCTGGGTTAGGCCAAGTGTTGGAGAATGAACGAAGGGGGAGAGGAAGAGGGAAATGGGTGAGACCTGTTATGTCACTGTCGGCCCGGACGGCGGAAGAGATGTGACAAGCTGTCGTGACATGGCCATACAGTATGTGTAGAGTAGCGGTAGGGTACCTAAGTAATCTGAGTAGGAGGTAGGTAGGTAGGTTGTCGAGGTAGTAGTAATCTCGATAGATTGAGATGAATGCTACGTGAGGTGAAGTGTGATGTGCATATCACATCACCTGTGTGGTACCTGAGGTAGCGTGGCATGTACCCAGTACATTGACGTTTTCCAGCATTGTCTCCGTGTCTGCGTGGGTATGCGATGTATTGGGGTACTTGGCCACCTTCCAACATTGCCCTTAGGTACTCTGAAGGTACCAAGGTATCAAATATAGGTTAGGTACATAATGCCACCGCCCGTGCATACTGCCGATATGCACCTAACCTATAACGCTACCTACATATCTGAAGAATGCCGCTTGCCTGCCTAGACATACGCGTAATGGATTCATAAGCTTACCACGGATTGAATCCGTCTTAGGCATATATCTACAGTACCTTGGTATACCCATATGTGTAGGTATGCAGACCAGTGTGTAGGGCATACGAGGCGCTTCGTGTGTGTTGGAAACTTCGTGCGACGGCAGTAGCGTTCCCATTGGAACGGCGATCCGCCGTTGGTAACTGTGCGTTTTGGCAAGGCTCGCTTACGTTGCTTCGTAATCACTTAGTCATCTGTGGGCATACGAAACGTTGTAAGCTGAACCTCACTGCTGATCTATTGAGAGGAGATTCTAGGTCCTAGAACTGCGAAATAACGAGCTTTTATAAGGCTCGATTTACAGGTGAATTACAGCCTCCTTTCAGGTGAATAGGCAAGCGTTGCAAGAGCCTTTGCTGACCAATTGGATGCCTCAGGATCCACAACTGTGCCTTTTGTAATATTGCTTTAAACCAGCTCGGCTTGCGTTTATGCATGTATCCCGCCGCGTCCGAGCTTCCCTCCGACCCGCGCCACCTCCATCGCTAGATACATATCCCTCTTAGCTTACACACATGTCAGTCCTCAAGCTCAACGCCTTCGTCAACCTCCCTCCCCATCCCCTCTCTTCTGAGCTCTCCTCACCCCGCGGACGACACGCGTACCACACACCTCTTCCTGTTCGATCTGTGGCGCGGTCAGTCCGGCCGGATTCCCGGGGAGCTTAAGTTGGGAGCCGTAGCAACTCTCCCGACCTACTGGTTCTTAAAAAGCACCACCCCCATTTCCAAACCAGAAGCACCTCTTTCCTCCCTCCTCTACACCGAACTCAACTCGATCGAGAAAGAAGGCTCCCGCAGTCCGGCTTCTGAATGCTACCCACGGAAATCTCATCAAACACGATGCCGCAGTCGGACCTACCATCGAATCTAACACCACCTACTTCTCCCAACATGTTCCCAATGCTGGACCTCCCAACAGAATTGATTTTCATCATCGTCTCTTTCCTGGACTCCGAGGAAGTCGTCTCCTTCTCCGTAACTTGCAAGGCGCTCTACCGGCTCCTCTACGAGCTCTGGCCCTGTCACTTCCAGAACGGCAACCGCCTGATGGGATCAGCGCCGTTGGACCTGATAAGATTCTTAGAGCTCCTGGGGACCGACCTTCCCGACCGTTTTATGTGCTACCGGTGCGTGAAGCTCCACAACCATCGAAGCCTCATCAAGGGGGATCAGTGCACTCGGAACCCCTCTATCATTCTGCCCAGCGGCCGTCGCGACCCGGGCCACGGGGGAACGATGACCTTTGGCGCGCTGTGGCCGCAATACGCCTTCCATCGCTACGAAGCTCGCGACATCGTTCTGTGTAACCGTTATATGGCCGGAGCTAATCCTCTACTTCCCTACTTCGCAATATCCACGAACTGGAAGCTCGCTAGGCTGGGCAGCGCCTGTAGCAACCCGGACTTCATCCACGGCTACGTCAAACTAGACACCGAGGCGGTGGTTTCCGAAGGTTCTCTGTTCCTCCACAAAATCCAGCGGACGTGGATGTCCCCCGACAGGGTGAAGCCGTTCCTCAAGGTTAACGCCAACGTCACCATGAAGCAGGTGTTCGCCTCCTGCTGCCACGGGACCAAGCTACGGCACGCCTTCTCGCCCGCCCTGCACCTCGTGGACTGGGACCGCTTCGACGGGATGTCGGTCCGGGACACGATCTCGGAGTTCCAGCTGATGACGCAGAGAGACGGCCGCTACCAGAAGCCGTCCGGCCCGGACGGCTGGGAGACGGAGTCCCCGTGGCACTGGCCCCACGTCCTCGGCGGCTGCCGCTGCTGCCGCACGGACTACGCGGTGACGATACACAACCACGGCCGCGCCGGCGTCGAGCTCGTCCTCGACGTCTTCCAGGACCTCGGGTTCTGCGACCTCAAATACTGCAACCGGTGGTCCTTCTGCTGGGGCACCCTGTACCTGGAATACTCGAGCTCGATCCAGAGGCGCCGCGAATTCCCCCCCGTCTCCCACCGCCTGTTCCCCACCGTCCCCGGCAAGAGCGCCAGAGACCACCCGTCAGCGCCGACCGCCGAGGACGTGTGGGAGCTGCCCACACACGAACGAGCGGCGAGACTTGCCAAGTGGTCGCCGGATACGTAGGAGAGGCGGAAAAGGCGGCCTTGGTGGGGCCGATGCGGTATTGGGGATCGACGTCCGTGACGCTAGGTCGGCTACGCAGCGTGTCGGTTGTGATACCGTGCACTCGCTGACCTTGTAGTCGGACAGAAGGGGAGGAAAAGAAGAAGTCTGTCCTCGGATAATTTGGCACTTCACGTCGTCTCAACTCTGCTCTGCTCCGCACGGGTGTGATGTACATTCCCCGGCAGCGAGCTCAGCCATAGTCAATGAGTTATGTATAAGTTATGACGCTCTATACAAAGAACCAACAGTCAGCTAAACGTATCGGCGGCGTCCCCAGAACGTCGGACCGCAGATCCGGGATGCTTAGGCCTACTAACGTGACATTGGCCTGGGTGGTATCCCGGGACCCCTCCCTGACCGCCTTCTAGCTAGACCTCCCGTCTCCTATGTTATCGAATGCGACGTTAGAAATACTGTCTCGTAGCTACGTGAGCGCTTCCTCCAACTTGAAATATGTAGCTCAAGCTAGACTAGAAGTAACCGAGGCAACACCTGGGGGGGGGGGGAGAGACAAGTGCTTCGAAAGCTATTAAGGGGGTTTCCATTTCCTCTGCGCCGCGAAGCGACGGCAAGGGGTTCGATACTTGACTATAGTGCGTTATATGCTGTTGGTTGCTCTCATTGCAGTTTCTCTCTTTTTTTGTTTTCCTCAAATACATACACGCGCCGCCCAGCGTTCCTAGGAGATCCAGGGGGGAGGGGGAGGAGACACGGCGACGACGGGTCCAACACTAGCCACACACACACGCTCGCCACCCCCCCAGCACACACAACCGGCGCGCGCGCCAGCGAACTCGGCTCGCCTGCCTGCCTCGTCGCGAGACCCGAGTCCGACCTCCTGGCCCTCCTGGCCACTAGCGCAGGGCGCACACCGCACCGACAAGCAGGGGAGAGGCGGGGAGAGAGGGTGGGGGAGGAAGAGCAGACAATAAGAGAAATAGAAGAACCAGAATAGAAAAAAAAACCACCAGAGCGGTTTCGATACGCAACGAGGCAACAAACCCTGGGTATTTTTTTTATCGGCTTGCCTCGCCGGATACCTTTGTCGATCTGTAATGACATGCCCTTCGTTTCCTCTTTCCTCCGTTACCAGTTTTTCTCTAGAAAAAAAAATTCAAATGGTCAGAAAATGGATTGACGCCGCCTGTACGCCCCGCCCACGCAGGGAGAACCGCCTGATCCCAGGCATACCCTGTTCGTAAAATAACATGTTGCGATCAAGTCGTGGAAATAATTACTGCCGCGAGAAAGGAAAGGAGGGGCCCGTCGGCAAGCCCGACAAGGCGATGCTGGGAAGAACTCATGGCTCGCCATCACTCTGGGCACCGCCCCCACCCGAGTTTCCGTTCCCTTGGCTGACGCCGTTGGTCACGAGCTTTATCCTCGTCGTGCTCGCAGACGGCTGCGGTGTTCCGGCGCTGGTGGTCGGGGCGACTGAGCTGTCTTTCACTGAGACGTCTTCGAGATCCCCCAGTTCCGGGTGCTTGTTGATCTCGTCCTGCGCTTGGTCGTTGAAGAATTTCTGCTCGTGTTAACGAAATGAACCACCTGCTATTTGGGGCGGCCTCGAGACTTACCTCCATATTAATTGCGTCGGAGTAGAGAAGACTTCCGTCCTCGTTGTAGGTTCTGCAATTGTTGCACATCAAAACGATGTCCTTGCGCATGTCGTTGATGCTATTATACTCCTCCTTCTTGATCTTGGCTTGTATCTGGTTCATGCAGATGGGGTTCTGAATGAGAACGTAATAGTCGCCGTAATCACGTTTGGACGGCAGCTTGATGAAGGGCCCGATGATCAGGCGCTTGGCAGGTTCCTCGTCCTCGTCGTCCTCAACCTGTTCCTCGGGTGGGATGTCCGCTTCGAGACCCATCAATCCGTCGAAGATATTACGCAGGCTCTTCTGGAGAACCTGTCGCAACTCCGAGCTAAGACGCGAATCGCTAGCCGCGCCCACCGATGCCTTAGGCCGCCCTAGAGGACCCCGTCGCTTCTTGGCAGGGGGCTCGGCATCGTCGTCTTCGGCTTTCCGCTTCTCATTCTTGGTACCAGGCTTGCGGCCGCGCTTCTTGGGTGGCGTCTCGACCTCTTCAGTACTTGCGCGGCTCGCACTCGGAGAGTTGGCGCCCGATGCGTTTAGTACCGCGAGACGCTTGAGTTTGTTCGATTCTCGCTTGTCCTTTCGCGCTTGTTTTCGTGCCGCGGCGGCCTCTGGTGAGTCCTCGTCGTCGTCCACAGCCATGAGCCATTGCTCCTCGGTTAGACCGTCATCGTACTTAACACGGGTACGCTCGCGAGCGCCGCGGCCGAGGATCTCTTCTTGTTCTTCACCAACCGGATTGCCCTCACTAAGGTAAATGTCCGGAAGCTCATCTTCGGCCATGAGCCGCGGGATGCGCTTCGACCCTGGGCCAGTGCCGTACAGGTGATCCTTTGCACGATCCTCATCAAGCTTTTGGAATACGACGACTTCGTCCTCATTTCGGGCCAGTATCATATTCAACTCCTCGTCATCCATCTCTTCCTGCTCGCCCGATTCCGCCATATCGGCGGACTCTAGCAGGGTCCGAAGCATGGCATCACGGTCCGTCTCCGAGGATTTGTTGTCAAATCGACCAGCCTGGATAACTTTGCCGTCCATGTCAAGCTTGAACCTTGCCCGCTCAAGAATCTTCTCTTCGACCGAGTTCGAACTGATGAGTCGTAGAATACGCACTTCGTTCTTCTGGCCGATACGATGGGCACGATCCTGGGCTTGCAGATCCTGATGAGGATTCCAGTCCGAGTCGTAAATGATGACTGTATCTGCGGTTTGCAGGTTGAGACCGAGACCGCCGGCGCGAGTGGAAAGCAAGAACATGAAGTAAGGCGAATTAGGAGCATTAAAAGTCTTGAGGAGGTCAGACCGGTCCTCTGACTTCGTCGTACCGTCTAGGCGCAGATACTGGATCCCCCTGAATCGGAGGAAGTCTTCCATGATGTCCATGATGGCGGTCATCTGGAAGAACATCAAAACACGATGCCCAGTGGCTCTGTACTTGGGCAGGATCCGATCCAAGAGCTCGAACTTGCCCGCCGTTCGCCACAGGAGGTCGTTGCTGGTGTTCGTAGGGTTCATCTGGTTCTCTACTTCGTCGAACACGAAGGGATGATTGCAAAGTTTTCGAAGCTGCATGATCATGTTGCTCAGACCACGAGCGCCCGTCTTACCACCCTTCCCGTCGCTAACGGTAATCTTCTGGTGGGTGACCATCTGCTTGTATAGGCGGCTCTGAAGCGCGGAGAACTTGCATTTGATGACCTTCTCCGTCTTGTCTGGCAGGTCCTTCTCGACATCCTTCTTCAGACGACGGAGGAGGAATGGTCGCAACACCTTGTGAAGACGGCGAATAACGAGAATCTGCTCTTCTTCGTTAAGCTCCATCTTGTCTTGGCCGCCGGTATTTGCGAACGGCGTGTTGAACCATTCATCGAACGTCTTGACCGACTTGAAGATGTTCGGAAGCACAAAGTTAAGCATGGCCCACAGCTCGCCCAGGTTGTTCTGCAGAGGAGTGCCGGTAAGGATGAGACGGAACCGGGTGCTGTAGTACTGGGAAATGGTCGCGCTCAGCTTCGAGTTGGTGTTCTTCATGCGGTGTCCCTCGTCGATGATCATGTGGAACCACTTAATCTTGCTCAGAATCGGGCGATCCTTGATGATGTACTCGTAGGTTGTCAGCAGCACCTGGAACTTCCCTTGCCGGATCTTCTCCTGCTGCTGCTTTCGCGCGTTGGGCGGTCCTTTATAAACAATACGGCTGACGGACGGGGCCCACTTCTCGAACTCGAGGTTCCAGTTGGTCAGAGTACTTAGGGGTACTATGACCAAGTATGGCCCCTGCTGGAGCTTGCGCTCGATGAGGTACGTGATCAAGCTGATAGTCTGGATCGTCTTGCCGAGACCCATCTCATCGGCGAGAATTCCGTTCAGATTGTTGTTATAAAGCGAAAGCATCCACTGCAAACCCTTCAGTTGGTATTCTTTCAGGCTGCCGCCAACAAGCATGTGGGCCTGCTCCGTGACCTCCTCCTTGATGCGGTGGGCGACGGCGTAGTAATCGATCTTGCGACCGGCCTCGTCGTCTTCTTCGTCTATCTCGCTCTCTTCCTCTTGCACAAATTCGCCGCTCTCGTCGCCGTAGCGCTCCGCGGCCTGGCGCTGCTGCGCCTTGACGGAGGAGGCAAGCTGGTGCAAGAAGCCGTCGGTTTGCTTGAGCAGGTGTGTGATACGAGTATCCTTTGCCTGATCCAGCAGCTTGAGGTAAGCCTCTTCATCGTTGGCCTTGAGAGCTTGGAGACGTTGCTTGGCAGTCCGTTCGATGCGCTTCTGTTCCTCTTTCTCTATGTTAAAGTGATGCGAGTACATTGACCTGCCGCCCTTCAACTGCCTTCCCCTAGCGGATTGCGCCGAGTTCAAGATTTCAAACTTGTGATGCTGTACAGATTGGAGGAAGTCGGTGTGCTTCTTCTTCTCGCGGCTCTCGCGAGCATCCCGCTGCTGCTTCTCGAGTTTCTCGGTGATGCGAGCCTCGCGCACGCTCTGTTTCTTGGTTCGGCGGTACTGGCTGCGGTTTGTTGTCATTGCGAGATTGTCGTAATGCATCATCTGCCGGCCAATCTTCTCGCGGAGAGCGCGCTGTTTGGCGTACAATCCGAGAGACTTCAACTCTATAATGGCCTTCCGCTTCAGGGTGTCGTCGGGGTCGAGCGTCTCCTTGGTGGTGTCCCAATGTGCAGTATTGCCCGGCAACGCCTTCAGCTCCGCGTAACGAGCCTTCATACGGTTGAAGATGATGATCTCTCGCTCGTGCCGCAACTGCTCGAAGTCGACACCGGTGGGGAAAATGCTGGGGATGATGAGGCGCTGCTTTCGCTGCGCGTGGTCGTAGTAGCTGATGTCTTTGCGGACCAGGCCGCCTTCATAAGGCGACTTGATCGTCTTGAAGGTTCGGCCCTTCGGCTCTGAATCCTCCTCAGGCTCAACATCGCCCTCGGGAGGGGCCGAGTCAGCCTTCGCAGCTTCGGGCGCCGGCGCGGCGGCTGCGGCTCCAGCAGAAGCCGGAGGCTGAGTCGCTTGTTCGGCAATGGCTTGCCGTCGCTGACGCTGCGCGTTGAGCGCTTGTTGCACCTGATAGGGCACTCCAGCATTGCGGCCGAGAAGCTTGAACGCCTGTATCTGCTGTCTCAAGAGACTAAGCTGTTGGGTGGAAAACTGAGTAATGGGCGAAGCTGTCGACGGCGACGACGTAGTTGGCTGGGCCGTCGGACCCGAGGTAGTGGAGGGCATCGCGGAGGTTCCCAGCGCAGCAGAGGCCGGCGGTTGGGTGGTGGCAGAGGCAGGTTGCAGAGACTGCGGACCCGACACGTTCCCATTGACGCCGCCGTTAGCCGTATTGTGCGGGATCTGAGCGGCCTGCATCTGCTGCTTATACTGCTGTTGCTTGCGCTGGAGCTGTTGGAAGTTGACGAGGAATTGGCTTGTTTTGACGAATTCTGGATCGGTCTGCGGGACGCCCTGCTGCTTCATCTGCTGGAATTTCTGGAGGGATTCTGGTCAGAACGTGGGCAGCAACGGGCAGTGCGTTCCAGGTAGGGCAGGAAACTCGGAAGGCTCGAAACACTCACCATGTACATCTCCTGCACCTGGGCCTGGCTCGTCTGCGCCGACAGAACCGACGAGCCTGGATGCTGGACAGCAGGAGGAGCCTGGACGGAAGCCATGTTGGATGCGGCGTGGTGTGGCGCCGAGGTTGACCGTATGTAAATGCTGGGATCTTTGACGGTGGTTTTCCTTTGGAGCAAATTATAAGGCGTTCATATCTAAAGAGCGGGCACAGCGACGGTTACGGAATACAAAGTCGCCGAGTCTTATCGAAAAGAAGGTATCTATGTTAAGGGGGGAGGGAGGAGCAAGGCCAAGCAGCACCGAGAAAAAGGAGAGTGTAGAGGGAGGCCGGGAGGGACGGGCTCTATTTAGTTGCGATAAAAAGAGGGCGTTGGTGAATTGACGACACGCTCGCCAGGCCGGGTGCGGGTGCGGATGCGGGTGCGAACAACAATTGCCCCAGCAAGGAATTGGCGGCGGAAATTAGCGGCGGAGACGGCGGAGGCGGTTGGGATGCGCGAGGTGGCCCGGGGGTCGGCGGTGGTTCTCGCGGAGGATGAAGAGAAATCGCGGTATCGCGGTGGGGATCAGCAGGAGGGAGGGAGTGCTGGCTCTACGACGTCGCGGTCGCGGGGGGGGGAGAGAAGGGGGAACGTGTGAATCGGGGGCAGGCAGACTGGGGGAGAAGAGGCAGCGCAAGGCTGGTTGGCAGCGAGCGCGTAAAAAGCCGGCAGGGAGGGGCGGGTTTCCGCGACAAAAACCGCGTAAAATCCAAGTTGCAGGTCCCTCGGGATGGCTGGCGATGAATTTAGACGGGGATGGGTGATGCGGCTCGCTTTTTCTGATGCGCGATTGATGGCGTGGAAAAAGAGATAGATGGTTTGATGTGAACGGCGCACAACCACACAAACAAAGTCCATCTCCGTCTTGCCAGTCACCTGAGCGAGGAATGCCAGGATGGCCCAAGCGCCGCGCACAGCCCACCCCGCCTGGCCAATCGGCCATACGATAATCCCCTCGCGATCCCGGTCCGCCGTCCCTGACTAATGCCTCCCGGCCAATCATTGCCGCCACATCCATCGCCATTCTCTCGTCCGGCCAGGGAGGTACATCGCCGTACCTATAGCCTCTATGACTCCAACCTATAACCTACCTACCAACCTACACGTAGGTATCTCAAGTGCCTAAACCCACCCACCTACCGGTAGCCTCTTACCTTGGAGTGCGGGACAGAGTCAAGTACCTACCTCTATCTCCTAGGTAGGTACCTACCTAGGTACCTACCTACCTACACCTACTGCCTGAGATACCTAGTATAATGAAGTACCCTTTCCGCTCCAGCGTGTCTCCTAATTAGGTGTATACTAACAACGCTCTATATAGGTATACATTGGGCACTTTAGATGCCTTAGGTAGGTACCTACCTCACCTATATGCATTGACGATCCTCATCTTAGACAGATAGAAGGAAGTCCCTATCTCCTAGTACGCCAGGAGGTAGGTAGGTAGGTTGCCATACTTAGGTTCCTAACCTAACACAGGTTCACCCGTCTGCTTTCTACTCATACTAGACGAAAGCAACTGAAACCGCTGCCATGGTAAGAGACGAGGCTGGCCGGTCCGGCGCTGTGAGGCGATATCGCTACATTAGGAATTTCTGCTCCTCTCCTCCAGTCTTCTCTGCGCCTAGCCTAGGTCGGGCAGAGCATCTATCTGCCTGCCCGCCTAGAATTAATCCATGTACCTGCCAATGTAAATAAACCCCTGGTAAGTCGCGAACCCCCCGTCCCCGACTGGCCTGTCTAGATCTAGACGGTATGGAGATGCCCCCGGGGTAGCATCGCCTTTCCGCCGTGGCCGCGCGTACCTGAACGGCCGCAGCTCGTCCTACGCTACGGGTGCCCTAACCACCGACGGATGGGTGAAGCTATGACAACGCCGCCACGCCACGCGCCGATCGCTGGGCCCGGCTTCTTTATAATATACATGAGGCTCAATATACATTGGAGGTAGGCAGGTCAGTTCCATCGCATACATACTGACAGGTACATCCCTACCAAAGAGGAGTCACGTCGTCGAGGTAGGGGATGGGAGGTCCCCTTGCGCATCTACGAATGCTTAGTAGGCACCCACGTACAACCTAGTGTGTACGTGTGAGCTCCGCGAAGCCAAGCAGCAGCGAGCCACCCATGCTCGCTCACGGCAGGTGGGTCGGTGGCATTGGCAAGCTGTCTGGCGAAGGATGTCGGGCATATCGAAGGAGGGGGGAGGGGATAATCCGTCCCACCTATTTTATAGCTCGCTCCCCTCACCTCTTAACCTTCTTCTTCTCCGGGCCGTCCTCCTCTTCGTCGCTTACGTCGGCATACTGCGTGACTGGCTGCGTGCTCTTCCACGCATTTGTAAACATAGGATCCTTCTTCGCCAGGTCCGCATACTTAAGGAGCGCCTCTCGGGGATCCTCGTGCAACATCTTGCTCAGCGGTATATTCTCGCTGATGTGCTTCTCGTCCGGCTGGCTCCTCATGAACGGCGTCTGCTGCGGTACGTGCGGCCTTCTGGGATCTTTCGATTTGCCGGAGGCGGTAAGACCGGTTTTCCTAGAGCCGGGAATGGCGCCTGGCGTGATGATGGAGTCGCCCGAAAGCCCGACGGACTGGTCAGTGGTGAATTCCGGGTTGTCATCGATGTGTCGCCTCTTAGGAGCGCGCGACATCACATCCACCGCGCCCCTGGTCGACATAGTAGGGTTGTATAAGATGTGCGTTTCCCCGTTGGCCGAACCAGTGATTATTTGATTGATCTTCGGGTGCCAATCCACCGTGATTACGGGCGATCCGGGAGTAACTAGCGTCGTGTATTCGGGGCGCAGATTCCCCGGGTTCAGGATGTGAAGATGGCCGGTTGCCGAACCGGTGATGATGCTGGTCGAGTTGGGCGCGTATTTGATGTTGGATGTCGGGTAATGGCCCGACGTCGACGGGTGCTCAACCGTGACAAGGGGCTCCTTGAACTTCCGTGTATCCCACAATTTGATCAGATTGTCGCCTCCCCTGGTGACAACCATTCGCCCGTCCGAACTGATGTCTATTCCCCCGGTCCAGGTATTTGGCTTGTGGGCCTCTCTTATCTCCCCGGCAGGCCGCGTGAACGGGCCATTCCCGCTCCACATCACCAGGGTACCGTCGAGAGCGGCCGATATGAGAACGTTATTGCCTCCTTGGATCGGTGTGCCCCAGGCAACAGCAGTCATCCGTGTTCTTCCTGCCGCGCCAGCAGCCTTCGACTTGAAGACTAGCACCTCTTTTTGGCTACGCTTGTTGTTGATATCCCATATCCGCAGGGTGCTGTCTGTTCCCGCTGTAACACATAGATTCTTGTCCGTGGGGTGCCAAGTCCCCGTCGTGACCTCGGAAATATGACCTTTCGTATTGTTCATGTCCCTGAGGTACATATCGCCCTTGATAAATTCAGTGATTACGTCGCCGTCTCGAGATAGGATCTTGGCCTGAGGATGTGCCGATATGCAGAGGAAGACGCTTCCGGCGAGAGGGTTGAACTGCACGTGGTGCACCGGGTGCGAGTCAGCATTGGCGGATGGTTTGCTTTCATATGGATCGACGCTCCTGAAGGCTCGGATGGTCGTCGGGGTCAAGGAAGAGAAGTCGTGGAGCTTGACGGTACAGTCGATGGACCCCGATATTAACCGGCCGCCCGCCGGATCTAGAGACACTGAAGTTACCGCGCGGTCATGCGTTTTTATGACCATCTCGTGGGAGGTCGGGTACTCGTCTTCGTCATCGGAGTCGCCCGAGTCGTCATCGCTGTTGCCCGCGTCGTCCGAGTCAGACGCCTGGGGTTTGGGCGGAACCGCTGGTGGCTGCTTGCCAGTTCTCCTACTTCGATCGATTTGCGCGGCGATGTCAGCCTCCTTGTGTTTTTTCCCGAATGAGGCAGGCAGGAAGGCGCGCATGGGGTCATCGTGGGCCAATTCTGGCCCTTCGACTTGGATATCCTCGTCGTCACTCATCGTCGCTGGGGTTGGCCTCGTGGTGCTAGAGAGTAAAAAGTTGCAGAGTAGAAATACTGAGCAGACGGACGAGGCTGTTTTCCGCTAGCGGAGGTCCAGGCTACGCAAGGTTAGTTAGTAATCTCTTGATGAGGTAGATGCTGTTTACTAGGTACATCAATTACGTAAGAAAAGAGTGGCTTACCTTCTATGGGAGGTAGGTCCCGGAGGTGAAGGTACGTATTCGTACATATACGGTAAGTACTCGTACGTATTAGGCGCATTAGACCTGTAATGCCCCACCATTCGTCTTCCTCCACTTTGCTGATTGGATGATAGGGACCAGGCACCTAACCAACATCCCTGCATGATGACGGAACTCTCGGGTGGGCTATCCAATGCTCGGGGCAGATGTACCTATGCATCAGCAGGCTTACTGACAGATACGTACATGCATAGAGGAGGTAATGCTTAGGTACCTCCTATCTGGTAGGCATGTAGGCACCCAACATGCGAGATTTATGAGGTAGATAGGTGCCTAGAGGTACCTATCTAGGCTCACTGCCTCAGGTGCCTACTGCGTAGAGAGGTACCCAGTATCCCGCCTCAGGGGCGATATCTGGTTACATAATGCAACGCCTACCCTATTGACATCGATCCCGTCGCTTTATCACGGCTGCCTCGTGCGCGTCTTATCAGACAGTTTCCGGCTCATCCTCATCCTCATGGAGTCGGCACCGCTCTACAACTCATCTGTGCCATGCCACCCGTAGGCTTCTGCTCTACCGTCTGCAAGATATCTTCCGACATTGCGGTCATCCCTCGTGGCTATCCTTTTTTTCAACACACCCTCAGACCGTTCCCGATGAAACCGGCATAATATCGCCTACGGTCGTGGATTGCCCTTTCCTCCCTTTTTTTTTACTCCAATCGCAATATTTGGGATCCGCCTCTCCACCCTCTGGGTATGCGCCGATCAATCATAACTTATCTTTGACTTCCCGCTGACCATAACTTTCCCATTCCTGTCGCGAAGTCCCCCTTCATGAAACCGATTCGGGCGAACCTCGTGAGCCCATCCGCGACTGGCCTTCCCACACCAGCTTGCCAGAATTGGCGCGATCCGAGGTCCGGTCGATCAACTACCATTTAACTCTTCACAGCCTGCCACCCGTCTGCTATTGTCAGAACGCCACGGCTGGGCGCAAGTGTCGATCTCGCCGACCGGGACCAGCGGCAGCGACAACGTCGTCAACATGGACTCGGGCATCCCCGACTCGGGCACCGTCCATAAGGACGGGTCGAACTTGGGCAACTGGAGTTCGCTGATCGGCATCATCGCTGCGATAGTAGGCAACGTTTTAATCGCTCTAGCTCTGAACGTTCAGAGGTATGCGCATATTCAGCTACACCGGCAGCGATTAGAGGCTCGCGAGCGGGCTCGCGAGGCTCATAAGAAGGCGCGCAATGGTCATCATAACGGCTACCCAACGCCCGATACCCCCGTCGGTGATGCGCTCCATGACGATGCCCGAGAGGCACAGTCGATAAGCGCGCACCCACTCGCACAGTCCTACCAATCCGCGGATTCCAATGGTTCCGAATTGTCCTGCGAAGATGCCAAAGTCGCCTCGACCTACCTCAAGTCTCCGTCTTGGTGGTCGGGTCAGGTTCTGATGACCGTCGGGGAGATGGGCAACTTTCTAGCCTACGGCTTCGCGCCGGCTTCGATCGTTTCCCCGCTGGGCGTCGTGGCTCTCATATCGAACTGCATCATCGCGCCCATCTTCTTCGGCGAGGTATTTCGAACGCGAGACTTTTGGGGTGTCCTCATTGCCGTCGGAGGTGCTGTCACGGTCGTTTTAAGCGCGAACCAGGAGGAGACCAAGTTAGACCCACAGGATGTTTGGGACGCCATCACGACGATGGAATTCGAAATATACATGGGGGTTTCCGTATTTTTTATCATCGTTTTGATGTGGGCGAGCCCTCGATACGGCCACCGGACGATTCTCATCGATCTCGGTCTTGTCGGACTATTCGGTAAACCCTGTGTGTTTCCCCTCCCGTGGCTAGCGGAGTGCTAACAAGTAGGCAGGGGGGTATACGGCTCTAACCACCAAGGGCGTCTCTTCGATGCTTTCCTCGACCCTCTTCAGGGCATTTGCCACACCAGTGACATACGGGCTGGTAGTTGTTCTACTAGTAACCGCTGTCATGCAAGTCCGATATGTGAACAAGGCACTCCAAAGATTCGACTCAACACAAGTTATACCCATACAATTCGTCCTGTTCACCTTGTCGGTAATTATCGGGAGTGCAATTTTGTACCGGGACTTTGAACGTACGACGGCGGAGCAAGCTGCCAAATTCGTGGGCGGGTGCCTCCTCACCTTCTTCGGCGTATTTCTGGTCACGAGTGGCCGGCCACGCCAGCACGACGATGAGCTATCGGACGATGAAAATGTCGAGGAGACTATTAGCCTCTTAGACCAAGAAACGTCTGGCCCTTTCGCTCACCGGGCAGAGCGCCCCGGGCAAGATCAACGACAACCTCCAGCGTCATCTCAGCCGTCGAGGCGTTCATCCTACGCTTCACGGACCGGTTACAGAAACTCAGGCGTCGAACCTTTGAATCACCAGGGCGGCAAACCCTCCAGGATGCCTATCCCAACGGGAGCCGAAACCTCTCCCCTCCTCGACAACCCGTGGAGGAACTCTCTCGACAGCCAATCTTACAGCCGAAGCTCCCCCCTAAGGTCGTCGGCTGATAGTATCCCCGTAGTCTACTCGACAATTTCGGCGGCTGTATCAGACCAATTTCAATCTCACACGAGCCTCCCGGAGGTAGTCGTTCCTCCATCGTCACCGCCAGATCGTCCGACGACTCCACGGGCATCCCTGTCGAGACCACATAGCCATCACTTTTCCAACGCATTCATTTCCCCATCTCCATTGTCTTCTACCGTTACTGCAGTGGTTTCGGACGCACTCCTACGCGGTGACGAAAGCCCGGGCGGCCGAAGAAGAACCTTCCGTCGGTCGAGACCCAGCATTAGATCCAGTCAATTGATGCTACAGGGCGAGGAGGGGGTTGGATTATTGGGTGAGCCGCTACCCCAGGGCTTTCGGGACGAGGAGGATTCCTCATTTCACGATGACCCGCTACCAAGCGAAGACAAGACTATCCGGGGGCGGGCGCGCAGCCTCAGCAACACGATAGGGAATTTCTTCGGCAGGAAAAGGAGAAGAGGGACATCAGACCCGGAATCGGGCAACGGTCACGATGCCCAGGGTAATGGTAATAATTGAGGGGGGCGGGCGGCTACTTGATGTGCGAGCATGGGTTAGCGAAGAGGGTAGAGCCGGTTGAGTTAACAGCCATGCTCATATCCGGGCGAAATGGATAGTTGTTGCATTGGATGGGCGTTATGTGTTGATTGTTAGGTGTTGCGGTCAGAAGTTCGCTGTTGCTCATGTTGCTCATCATACCCAGCTCTTCCGGGGACTCCGCGGCCCTCAAAAGCTATGTAGGAGTGTCATCGGATGTGATCACGAAGATATCCAGTTTGTCAGGTTGTTGGAGGTCAATAGACTTGGCGACAGCGTGTCGATGCCACCGTCCGAATTCAGCCAGCGACATTATACGCACGCGAGTGTATATATATTTCTAATATGTTCATAGCTCATCAGCAATGTTTGATACGTCACCTTTGCCGAGGCCTGATACATACGACCTTCATGAGCACACCCCGACTCTAGAAAACCAGAGACCGCTCCAGCGTTCAAGGCAAGGATGATTGGCAGCATCTACTCACAGCCGCCCGACGAAGCTAGTCAGATCCCGCGTGCTTCACCAAAACCGAAGCCGCCGCAAAAGCAGGGACCGCCGAGTCAATTAATTAATCAATTGACCCCGCCGCCGCTGGCCTGTGTCGTCGCGGTTAAACAAATCTGGCAAGCTATATATAGAATATAGATGCTGCGCGGTCCCCAAACCGCCGCGCGGAAGCGCTGCCGACCCGTCTGTTCGCCTCCGACGCTGGACAGGAGGCGGGCCGTGTCATGTATTTTTAGAACCTCTCCGCAGCGAACGAACTTCCCTTCACCATCTTGCGCTCTCTCTCTCTCTCGCGAGCGCCCGGTTGACTGGTCACAATCGGAGAATAGCGCTGGATGCCGGTGTTTTCGATTCTGACACCTCCAGGTCATGCCTGCTCTGCCACCTCGCTTCACCTTCCTACCTCCTCAGCCGCACGCCGGGGCCTCCCCCCCTTGGTCAGAGGAGAGAGGGGAGGAGGGGGGATGCCTTCGCTCGGCCTCTCCACAACCTGCTAGCATCGCTAATACTACCTCCGTCACCATTATCGTCGCCATTCCTCGCGTACTCGGCTTAGATGCCTAAACAGCAAGTTGGCCAGACGAATCCGATTCACCACGAACAGATAGATAGGCGGCACAATAGATATAGCTACGATTTTGTTTTATTTTTGTCGTCCCTGGTGGGACAGGTGTACGTATTTCACACATACACCATGTATATATATGTATATATGTAAACAAATAAGCAAGCGCATGCCAGCCGTAGTCCCGATCTCGACCTCAGTGTCCCGTTTTTCCCTTTTATCTTCCTCCTTGCAGACGCGGCCCCCCCTATATATGTGTGAACGTGTTTCCTTTCCGTCATACGTCCGTCGTACTGGAAGCAGATAACGGGTAAGGGAAAAGAGGGACGCAGCAAGAACCCTCCCCCCCGAAGAGAAACGGCTATATATATAAATGCAATAAAAGCACGTAGGTGGCAGGGATGAGTTAGAAAAGAAAACAATCAGAGCCGTAAACGTATCGATACTCCGCGCGACCGAGCTCTTCTTCTTTTTTCGACCGTCCACCCGTATTGTCTTCTATGATAGAGAGAAAAGAAAAGGCGCAAGAAAAAGACGCGTCCACGACAGGGAGGGTAGGTAGGTTAGGTGGGAGAGAAGATGGATGAGCGAGGGACGACGAAGAAAAGGGGGAAAAAAAAGAAAAGCAGTTGCCCGTCGTCGGCTCTATCGGACACGTACAAAAAGGAAAAGGGGGAGGAGGGCGGGTTCGCGGCCTAGTGCAGCCGCAGCGGCGCGTTCAACATCGACGAAAAAAATATAACGACGAGCGGCAACGTATTTGCAGAAACGACAGGTCGAGAAGGATACGAGATAGACAGATATGAAAAGCAAACAGGCCGCCCAGCCACCGCCTCTGTCGCAAGGGACCTCGCGTCTCTCAAGCCCAAGATATCCAAAAGTCAAACACAATTCCAAGCCCAGTCTATATTTTGCGCGCGAAACGCGCGGCAGTAAGATCTCATATCCAAGGTACGGGAGGAGAAAAAATCGTTGATCAAAAAAAAAGGAGCACCTGGCCGCAGCAAGCCGTGTTATGTGCGATGACGCGGGCGGCCTAGAGACCCCGCGACGCGCGTATATGTAGATATCCGGACGTAAAAGGAAAAGATAACTTCGCCCGAGAACGGGGTGTGGTTTAGGAGGAGCACGAGCAACCAGGTTTGCTTGGTGGGCGGCGGTAATGACAGACAGGTAGTAGGTAGCGTAGCGTATAGCGAACGTGGTACATAGTAGGGCTCGACGGTCGAGGCAGTGTGCATATATATACATATATATACATATGTATAGATAGATTCCATTAGGATTTTGTTAGGTTAGAGGTGGTTTCCGCTGTTCGGGTACACGTATGACGATGATTGTCTTCGGGGTCCAGCGAGGACCTCGCTGTTTTGTCTACTACTCTTTTCCTCCCCTTAGATGCGGTTCCCCGGGCCGGTGGCGCTGACGTTGGGGAAGAGCGCGAACTGGGGCGAGTTATGGCTCCGGCTCGTCGTGCGCGCGCGGCGCCGCGTCTTGACGGTCTCCTTCACCGCTGCTGCTGTCACCGCCGCCGACTTCGGCTCGGGCTCGGCCGCGGGCGCTGCGTCGTAGGCCCCGCGCATGAGCAGCCCCGCGTGCGACTGCGTCCGCGCATGCTTCTCGCGGCTCAGGTCCTGCTTCGGCGACGCCGGGCTCTCCTCGCCAGGGAAGGCGGACACGGCCACCACCGCCTTGCCGGAGGAGGCCGTGGCGCTGCCGCTGCCGGCCTGCAGGTTGCTTTCGTCGGCCGGCTTCAGCAGCGAGTCGCGCGGGTGCCAACTCGAGGTGCTGCTGCCGGTCCAGCGCGTGAAGGCCGTCGAGGTCGAAGCCGTCGACTTGTGGCGGCTCGAGGTCGCCGAGTGCTCCGACATGAAGGAATCCGTGGTCGAAGCGCTCGAGCGAGCCTTCGAGGCGGAGATGCTCTTCCCGAAGGGCATCATCGGCTCGTCGTTGAGCGTGGCCCCCTGGATGAGGTAGTACTCGTCATTCTCGCTGTCCTGCAGCTCCTCCCTCTCGTACTGCAGCATCTGCTGGTGGTAGTCGTTCGGGATCAGCAGGGACGGGGACAGGCTGAAACCTTGCGACTCCATGAAGCTGGACGCGCGCGAGGGAGCCCGTGCGTGTCCGCGCTGGAGCGGCGCCGTGCTATCTCGTCGCGGGAGAGAGAAGTTGGACGTCACCGGGATGGCCAAATTCGTCGGCGTCACGGCTTCATGGTGTGTCGCGTTCGACGCCTGGCTTGATGGACTGAGCACGGGGACCTCGTAATAAATGGGGGACAGCAGACCTGGGGAAAGACCGTAGCTCGAAATAGTGTCCATCGGATCTATTGTTGTCGTGCTCCCTTCCGTCTCGCTTTCCCGTCCTATATCGCAGGACGGCCGCTCCCAAGCATAGTCACAATCTGCCTCGGCAGCGTGTTCGTAGCAGTAGTCAATATCGTCTTCCCAGTTTTCGGGGTAGTAGTCCTCGTCGGTAAAGTCCTGTCGGGAGTCCGCACGGAGTGCACGCGAGTGGGTAAGAAATTCCAGCCTGCCTAGGGTGTCGGACGCGTTGCTAGGGGGTCGCTGATGCTTGTGGTGTGCCATGGTTACCTGTCGAAGTAATGGGACCGATACGCTACCTCGCAGCGACGAGTGGTTGCTTGTGACGCTCATCCGCGATTGTCGGGTCAACGCGTGCTGTTCTTCTTCCTCCGGGACGTCGGGTAAGGCGTTTACGTTGTTAGGTAGAGGCCACGCGGCGTTGTCCGTCGCGGCGGCCGAGTGAGACGGCCTGCGCGTTTCTTCTGCCTTTTTATGCACCGTCGATCCCACCACGGGTGACTCGCCAACGACAGAAGGAGACCGTACTGTCTGGGGGGAAACGGGGGCGAATGGCTGCGGCTGTCGAAAGCCGACACTCGTTGCGGGCCGGTCTATACTCGCCATGAGCATATGAAAACTGTCGTTCCGCACCGAGACCCGACTGGACGTCCTCGGGGGCGGCTGTACCGGCGATACGGTGCTACGCTCAGTGGGGGATCTCGGTGGACGCTGGGGTGGGACACGCATCTTGTCCTGTGATTGAACTCGCTTCACTAGATGCGACGGGGCCGACGGTGGTAGCATTGGCAGCGCTTTCTGTTGCGATTGCGCTTCTGCATTCAGCCCTGCCGAGGGATCCTCTTGGGCGAAGAAGGTCTCGGACGATACATTCGTGAATTGTGACTCGTCGGGATGGAGATTGCTTATGTTTATGGAGGCTTCGGTGGTTCGTCGTGACCGTAGGAGCGAGAATTCTGACACGAGCTCCATGCGGCTCGTCCGGTCTAAGTCAGGCACGCTATCTTTATGCCTATGTGTAAGATGTTCAAAGTTAAACGGACCGGAGATCTGCAGCTTTTTCTGCGGCGCTGCGTTGGACTCTCCTCTTAGAGCCCTCCGTCGCGTGAATACAGATTGTATAAAGTGATCCCTGGGTGCGGTCGAAGAAGCATCATTTGGAACTTCGGTAACGTCCAAAGAAGTATTCGACGCGCTTCTATCGGTGCTCTCTCTGCGTAATTTGCCTCTACGGGTAAACAGCCCCTTCGAGAAGAACTGCACGCTGTCATATCGGTCACGCGACGGCAAGTTACTCGAGGTGGACCGTTGAGACGGGTTCCTGGACAGACTAAGGCTTTCCAAGCTCTGGTTCCATGACGGCGGCCTATCCGACGTGGCTGAAAGACGTGACGACGAGCCCGATGATGTTGTTAGCTCGCTTCGGTGTTTGTCAGTGATCGAGTTCCGCTTCATCTGGACGCTTAACGCTCGGATGCGCTCCGGGGACGGGGGGCCGTCAATGGCCGGCCCGAGGAGATCGCCAAAGTCATGAAGGACATGAGGAACCGGCGCCTTGGGAGAGTGAGCCGTCGAAGGGCGGCGAACCTGGGTCCTCGGGGACACCTCCTCGTCAGCAGCCATCTGCCCCGACGGCTCCTTGTCGTACGAATACACGGGAATCGCAGAATACATGGCGTACGAGGGCTTCGGGGGAAGAGGCGTGCCAATTGGTTCCTGGGTACTGATGAAGCGAAAGCTCGGCCTCAAAACTCGAATTCCCTCCCTTCGCTCGAGATATTCCCAAGTATATCGCGAGAGGCTCTGCTTGATTGCAGACAAGCCACGGGGAAGGAAACTGTGGGGGCGGTGTGCCAGGCCTGGCCGACTCTGTTCCTTTTAAGGGGATAGGCTGGTGGCTGTAGGGAATCAGGGTGTTGACACTGATGCGATGGGCGCAGTGGAGAAGCTTGCCAATGCTATGGATTCTCATGCGAAGGCCTGCCGTGGAGGGGGGGGTAGGAACGGACACAACAGGGTATAGGACAGGGGTATGGGTCGTTCGTCGGGAAAAGTGATGCCTGTTACGGTCTCGTTGGATCGCTCTGCTGTGCCTCAGTTGATTTCCGAGGGCCAACAGTAAATTGGTATTGCGTGTCGGCTCAATGGCAGAATGAGAAAGTATACAAATTGACGAAATCCCGACCAGACTGAGCGAGTGATGAACCTTTCCCAAACACTTGCTGCTCTTATACGGGGTTTCGAATTACCAATCGGTAATCTCTAGAACTCGGGCGGGACTCAACGTGCAAGTTCGTACCCTTGGCCGCGAAAGCCTACTAGAGAGACAGAGAGACAGAGACAGGGATGAGCGTGTACGTGTGTATTATTGGTGTCGTCGTGTTGAGCAAGGGGGTGGTGAAAGAGAACAGAGCTCGGCGATCTCTATCCAATATCGACGGGTTGAATTCGAGGATCAATAACTGCAATATCGTGGCCTAGATGCCAAACTGGCTTGCTGGTGTCGGCAATTGTACGCAGGACGGTGATTCGAAGCCTGGGAGCTTGGCCGCAGAGTGCTGCGCTGCTGCAGAAGGCGTCCAGTTGGATCGGGAACCATACACAAAAACGCGGAGGGTATGCGGTGTCAACATGGGCTTCAGCGGAGAATCAGCCCGCCGTCCGTCACCCTTCTCCCCTTCCGCGAGCTCGAGTCGGGTTGGACACCTCCCTTCTCTCGTCTTAAGAACAGACCCAGAGTCCGTTAACCACAAGATAGGGGGGGCTGGGGGGTTAAGACAGAGGCTACCGACGAGAATAATAACAGAGAGTGGTATCGTGGAGGTTAGTTGGTAAGGCCGAGTGCACAGTTTTCAACGCGCATAATCTCGAATTCGGCAGTGTGGGCAGTCTGTATAAGAGGAAAGGTTCGAGAAGTCGTTCTAGTCAGCAGGCGAACGGGTCTGGAGGGCCTAGCGAGATTCGGATCAGCATTGGGCAAATAAAGCCACATCTCTGCAAAGGCGTCAAGCACGATCTATGTGATATAAGCTGATAATGTGTCGGGCCTCCCTGCTCACAGGAACGCTCGCTGCTAGGCTCACGCTGCAGAGAGGTTCTCTCTTGACTTCAAGAGCGTGGGATGCGGCATCCCGATGAGGATCAACGTCTCTCGACTTCCCAGCCCAACAGAGGAACCGCCTAAACCGACCAGCATGGATTCAGAACCTCGACGCCCCTGTCGGCCCCGGTCCTCCCCACTGAGGAATAAGGATGAAATCCTGGTTGCACTGCAGGTTGGCTTACAGCCACATGTAGTTTCATTTGTACATAAGTGTTATGTATGTGTGCGTGCGTGTGCGTGGGTTATGTGTATGTGTGTATGTGTGTATGTGTGTATGGGACTAGACATAGTAGTATGCATTCTTCTACAACCCAAGAGAGCCCGCAACTCTAGTCTGTCGAGAGAGAGAGAGAGGCTTAACGGGTAAAGAGCATATAAAAGACAGTTTTATAGACAGGGTGATGCGTCGTCCCACGCCTCTGGCGGCTTCTGGGGGTGAAGGTGTAAAGCCCAACCGTAAACACGTACCTCTCTTGTTACTGCTGAGCGCGGAATATACAAATCGTGATGGCCGACTAGACAGAGAAAAGCTGTGTTATGGCAGTCGACTGTATGTATATACGTAGAAGTGCACTCGAGGGCCTGGCCCGTTCTTGGGAACACCCTCCCCGGCTGAAACCTGCAGATCTAAACCCGGTTTGAAAAGAAAGACGGAGCTTGGTTGTGCCCCTGAAAAAGCTCTCGCTACATCAGCGATGATGGCATTCGAGAAGATAAGTTATCAAAAACGAGGGGAGTAGCGGCTCGACGGCGGTCGTATTTACAGGCCAGCCTGTTTCCGACTCCTGTTCACTATGCGGCCTCACCTTGGATGGCGAATCCTCTCGGTATAGCGTCGGCGGCCGATGCTGAAAACAACACGGCTCGGTCGTCGTCGTCGGTGTTGCTGCTGTCGGCGGAAGGCAAACGAGCCGGCGATAGGAGGGCGCACGTAGGGGCAAACTGAATTAGATGATAGGACCAAGCCGCAAAACGTGTGCCGGCACGGGTTACGCACGCTGATGACGCCTTTCGGTCACTGGATCGTTGCTGTCTCGCCGGGAGGATGTCTTACAAACGAAGGAAGACGAAACCAACGACCGAACAAACGCGGCAGCCAGAAAAGAAACAATAGCCGACCCACCAGGAGGAGGCCTTCGGGTTGAGGAAAAGAGTGCGGACAAATACCAAAGAAACAATCAACGAGACCCAGAAACGGGGTTTCTGCAGGCGGTAACTCATCACAGGTCGGTCGAGACAGATAAGTGGGATACAGGCAAGTGGGTTCATCCCCCCGAAGTCCTTGCGCGGTAAAAATTTCCGTCGACCGTGGGTCAGCTCCATCCGGGACAGCTCCTAGTGTATAATTCGATAGGGTGAGCGTAGGGGTAGGGAAGGGCAAGGAAGGATAGCCGGTCGACAACCACTCTGCCCTCGGCAGCCCGTCGCCAACAATAAACGAAGCCGACCAGTATAGCTACGGACAATACGTGCTACTACTTTTACTGCCTATGCGCGTAGGTGGTAGCAGCTACGCAACAACTACCCGGTAGCTCACGCTTGTGACGCACCGTCTACGCCCTATAGCCCTCGCCTAAACGCCCGAGACGTCTCTCATCACGGCTATTTTACCCCAGCAGTAGACAGCCTCGAGGGGAAGCACACTTCGACGGGAGCTGAAACCGGCTCTGGCCATCATCGGTCCATACGACGGTTGGACGGTAGGAGCTGAAGAGATGGTGTCGACGTGTTAATCTCGTCTCGTAGGCGAGGTTAGCATAACCCCCTCCTTCTGTGTACGTACCGCACCGCGCTCGCGTCTGACGGCTCAGACCTCGCGAGAAGGACGACGACGAGAACGTGGCAGGCACGTAGTAGGCAGGCAGAGAGGCAAGTGTTCGACCGGAGGTGCAAGACGGTGTGGTGACGATAATATGTAAGAAGGCGGGCATTCGGCCCAGCCTCTAAAGCTGCGAGACTCGGCGATGTCTTGGGGGGGCATTGGTTTCTTTTTCTTCGCTTCTTAGGAAAATGGTGCCGTCATCTCCACAGGATGTGTGTACAATAAGGTATGTGTGCGAATACGTATGTAAATATGTCTACTTGAAGGTGTCGTCAAAGCGGCAGCCCGTGAAAAGGGCGGATGAATATTTTAGATATGTGTGTGTGGTGGTAGTGGTGGTAGTGGTAGATATGTGCATACTATACCTCCCTACCTTGTGTATGTGCATAAATATACTTATGCATCTGGGAACATGAGAATGGCCGTATCTCCCACGAGCGGACTTCTTCATCGTCGTTGTCCTCTTCTTCTTCCTAGACCCTAACACCGTGGTTAAGCCCCTCCGGAACCGACCAAAGATCCTGGATATCGTCTACCTATAGGTACCTATGTATGCTACGTAGGGATATTGATTTACCAGACCATACCGGGGATGCACATGTACTAGGTACCTATGTACGGTACGGGGCACCTAGGTACCTTCGCACATACAAGCATACATTATTACGCAGCAGTATATATGCACGTATGAATTACGACATACATATATATATAACGCGCATAGATTAAGACACATCTGAATGCCTGGATGTTTGTCGCAAGGCCGCCCGCCCGCCTCCCGATTTAGGAGGTATACCTTCCACATTAAGTCCAATATAGGTAGGTAGGTAGGTAGGTACCTCCTAAGGTGCCTTCTATACGTATACATATAGGTGTACGTCTTCCAAAGTGGCCTACATCCCGCCTAGGTGCCCTAGGAGGTGCCTAGGAGGTGCCTAGGAAGTAGGCACCTCCTAGGGCACCTACACCTACCCGGTCCACTTCCGCGTCCGTTAGTCGACTAGGTGCCGCCTATAGGTACGTTAGAAGGTACCTACGTACACCTAGTAGGTGCCTTAGGAACTTAAGTCGCCCTTAGCTTGGGCTAGACGTGCACCTCCATAGCCTAATGGCATGTGGATACCCATTTTCCCCTGACTTATACCGCATCGGAAATGGAGTGTGCACGTAGCCTGCCTCGGCACATACCCAAACCTATACATAGTATCCATCAGTATGTGGCATTACATATTAGTAGCATAGGTAGAGGTCCCTTAGTAGATATCTATATGTAGGCACCTTAGGAGGTAAGTAGGTATAAAAGCCACCGATACCGAAACGGCTAGGCCTGGCTGGCTTGGCCGCTTGCTTCAGGATTGCTGGACGAAGAAGCGACGAACGGTGGAACAAGTGGACACTCTCCCGAGCCCGCCGGGATGCGCCTGGCTGCCAATACACGTATACTATATGTACCGTATACATATAGGCAGTATTGGGTACGCACACACTACAGCCTCGCAATGGCAGTCTGTACGTACAGATATGCCTGCGGGTAGGGCACCTCGGGTACCTAGACACATAGATACATATGCAGGCACGGTCGGGACATACCTTTTATAATGTACGTGGAGATGGGCAGAAGGGGGAGATGTGATAGCTGCGAGGGGATCCAAGAGCTCGGGACGATTTCTGCGACAATAATTCTCGATGGGGAAATCTTTCTCTCCTCTTTTCCTCTTCGTTTCTCCGTTTCGTCGTCTTGCCCGTCCGTCCGTTGCCGTCCATTGGCCCCATTCGAGTTGTCGACTGTGTTCGCACTTACACGCACATTCGTATACCATGTCGATATAATCTCGGCAATCAGCGCAACTCCGAATCGAGAGGGCGTTCCTCGGGTATCCCTACTGCATACGACGATGGCAACGCACTAACACGCTCCAACGGAGACGGCTAGCACGTATGGTTATGCCATTCACAGCCAACTCCAAGTGGGCCATACGACACGGCATATGTCCAGCGAGATAACGCTCGATCCCCTCGACAACATTCTGAACGCATCGCCTTTTTTTGCGCACGCACACGTAGCCGCCCAAGATGTCACGGGCCACCGTACGTAAGAGAAGAAGAAGAAGAAGAAGAAAAGAAAAAGCCGGAGATAGCATGGGGGCATGGGAGAGCGCGAGAGCGAGCGCGAGAGAGGTATTCTTGTCGCATGAAAGAGGGCTTGGGCGTAGAGGCCGGTTATTGGGCCGCGGAATTAGACGGTAACAGCCCGCTAAGCACTGACACTCTCCAGGGCAGAGGCTTCGGCGCAGAACTAACCTTGCACCAGCCCGGGCATCGTGGGTTGCCCCCCCCCCCCCCGGCCCCCTTAGACCTCTAGAATTGTTCTCCAGGTGCTCTCCACGCTCGTCAAAGACGGGAGGCTTCGGCCTCTTGGCTTCGGTTCGCCAATGATGGTCGCTTCATCACCTTCCCCTCTTCCCCTGCCCTTTCGCAAGCCCTGAAAGTCGCGCTCTCTCAAACGGTTTCACGGCTCATGGCCTGCACACACAGGTATTGCCTAATAGGTTCTAGCAGGCCTTCTCGCGGGCAAATAACCCAATTCGAGGGGGTCTGATCGTCTGTGTGCCGTACGAGGGAACCATACCATGGCATGTGTCTCAACTGTCCCCTGAACCCTACCACAGTCCACATTTGGGAACCTTCAGGGCCGAGCAATGACCGCTGAGGGTTTAGCAGTGATCAGTATCGACAGGGAAGATGATGACTTGCACAGGGGAATCGGAATCGGCCGTCGCAGCGCAGGTGGGATTCCAACCACCCAAGAGGCCACGACTTCATGGAAGCACCCCGACGACGGCCACACTATGCCCATGCCTACGGCGGATGAAGAGTTGCATTGCAGCAAAATCGACGCCGCCGTAAAGGTTACTACTACGTAGTAAAACAAATCGACTTCGTAAATCTCACGTATGTACATCATGTATACACGCCTTACGTAGCAGCAGAGTGGTCCTTGGCCCCTTTACCGGATACATTTCTGCCGTGCCAGGGCACGCGCTCCCATCGCCGATTACTTGGAACCGAGTGCTTTCACATTGCTGGGTCAGCTCGCTCGCAAGGAAATGCTGGCGCTTCCAGGCCGTCGGGATCTAGACGGATCGACACCGTTGTCAGCAAGCCAAACACAAGGGTGTCTGTTTGCTCGGTGATTATGATACCTGTTGTGCTCAGGGCAAACGGAAGATGACGGGGGAAAGGAGTGAGAAAGAAGGTTGCGAGGGTTGCCTCTTCAACCAGCCGCGCCGTAGAAGAAGAAAAAAAAGAAGAGGGAGAGAGGAAAGAGAAGGGGAAATACCACCAGGCGGATCCTGCAATCCATCCCGTCCATCCCGTCCATCCCGTCAGCTTCTCGACGCATTCTTCTCGGTGGTTAGGAGCGGAAGGTTTTCGAACTCGGCTTCCTTTTCCCTTCAGTCGCTGATTCCAACCCCTGAACATACGAATCCTCCCTACCTGATCGCCATGCCACCATGCTATATCCGTATATGCGAGTGTTCCTTTAGCGTGATTGTTCCTGTAGATCAAAAGAGGAGGGGGGGCAACCTATCTACTGGATTCCACATGCTCATAGGTCGTCCGGTCCGTGGTGTGAGAGCATCTTATTCGGGGTTGCTGCGTATTACACGCACCGAAATTGCCAATGTCCTTCTCCGGCCGACACACCTAATTACCCCTATTAGGAAGAAAAGCGCAACGCCTCTCTCTGACCTCTGTTACACGAAAATAACGGCAACCCCCCATCAGCGAGACTCATGCCTCAATGCTCACCTCTAGTGTGCTACTTCGAAACAGAAGAGAGGAGAGGAGAGGAAAGGGGAAAGAGGTCGGATGGACGAAAACCACAACGCAGGCCGGCAGACTATGGGGGACTCTAGCCGAGGAGTACCAGAACGGCAAGCCCGCCAAGTCGATGTGCACACAGTAATAATGGAACCCCAGCCACGTCGAGGACTCCTTCGATGACAGGGTGGGGAGAAGGGGATCTCAGCGACTCTACCCTCCACGGGCGAAGGTTTATCGAGATCTCGGGTGTTGCCCCCAGCGCCCCTCGCAAGTTGTATGAGCAGTGAACTGAACTAAGAAGAGGTTGGCCAGCGCGGCACTGAAACGGCAGACTCGAGAGACGGTACCGACGACGCCTTTTTTTTCATCCTTCGCCAGCCCCCCGTTCCAGGCGTGGCCAGAGGTTTAAGAAACTCGACGCAATGCTACCTACCTCTACTTATATTGGTGAACGCCGCTTCAGCTCTGGTCGAGAAAGGTACAGCCTGACCGCGCCGCTTGGCGACGTGCGAACCACGCGACTCTAGAGGGGGGACCAGTACGGCGGAAGGAAGACGGCGACAGGATGCGCCCCGAGATGAGCGCAAGTCGATATTGCTCGGCTGTTTCGATATGCCGCGTCCGCGATCCTCTGCCCCCTCGATTGTAACGCCTCGCAACAAGAGTACCGTACATATCTGTCGGAGTCCGCGTGCAATAAATACCTCCTAGCATATACTTATATATTCACACACACACACACATATATATACCTATATGTACACACATACATACACGGCCATATACATGAGGTATATGCAGTATCATATACGGAGACGGACACTCCTTTCCCCCCTCCTCCTCGACCCTCTGCCGTTGCGTGCGTCCGTCGACACGTGCTCCAGGCCATGGTATGACAAACCAACCTCCCCCTCTCCCACCCACACATAGTCGCATCGTGGTGGGTATTTTCACGCGGTCGACGAGACCAACAACCACCGGCGACCCTCCAATGCGACGGGCTTGGACCGAGTTCGTTTCTTTCTTTCTTTTTTTTTGCTTCTTCCAATTTTCTGTTCTTTTTTGGAAGAGGATATAATATAGCGATGAGCTTAGCTTCCTATAGTCTCTTTTCAGCCTCGACCCGGGCGGGAGCAGATCCGCCCGCGAGCTTGCCGATCTGTCTGTGCGCGTGGCTCTTTTATTAGACGGGCGCACTGCCGAATACGGTAGAACGTTGGTGGAAGACGGGCTGGAAACGCGCCCGCTGTTTAGGCTCCTTGTCAGTACGCAAGTTATTCGTGCGTACGTACATGGGAGAGCGCGTGCGCGTGTGTGCACGCGTGTGCATAGACGGCCCCGTCTGCATCTCGGATCCTGTGAGACCACGAAGCCTTCGGTAGGAGGACCATGTTAATTCCACGCGTGGATCCAAGAAGGAGGGGGGGAAAGAGGGCGAGCAACAGCGATCCACCGAGCGTCAACCCCTATTCTCCTTCGCCTCCCGCTGTATGCGCGCGCATTTGGCTGGCTCGCCGTCGATTGGTAGTTCTAGATCATAGATGGCGTGGCTATTATAGGTAACATATATCTGATAGATATATTCATGGTCTGGTTTGTTTCGCCCGTCTGGCGAGCAACCGTGATGCAGAAGCCTGTTCCGCGGCAAAGGGCGGACGGGAGGGGGGGAAGACAGCAACAACTCCTGCTTTTGCGCCAGGGTCTACCTGACTGGGACAAACCAGGCGGTGTGAAATCGGTTTCCTCCCTCGCATCCACCTCTCCCGTCGGGTCCTCTCGTCACATCACAGCCCAACTGCAGGCGCCCTTCAACGCACAAGCTGTGTATGTATATGTGTATGTGTGTATGTACGTGCGTGCGTACGTAGGTATGTACGCGCGAGCAATATCAGCCTTCCGTAACTGGCGAGACATCCGTGGCGCGGCACCGAAGTCAGGTTTCTTCACCGGAACCCGGCAGCCGGTTCCTTGGTATGCCCTGAGAGGCAGTTTTGCCATGTTTCTTACACGCGTCCCGCGCGACCACCGACCAGGTGTCGTAGCGGTTACAGATCTAGGGCTAGCCAGTACTGATCCAAGATCATGCGCCAGTCGCCCTGTAGACAACCCTACATGCGTATTATGTATTCGCTCGCGCTCCCCTTTGTCATCTCCGCTCCGCTCTCTTCTGCAGTTTCAGAAGCTCGACCTTGGGCCGCGGATGCAGCTACGCACATCGAAACAGGTTCTATCCCGCTCCGGGAGTAGGTGCCAAGCTTCTACGGAAAAGGCGCAGCGGAGTTGTTTTCTGTCTTCTTTCTTCTCCCTTCCGTGCACGTACACAGTTAGGAGGGTCTCCATGGCGCACGCTGATTGCTGTTGTCGGACCCCGGTGAGTCGAAGCTAGGGTGATGCGAAAGGCCTTTGCCAGATGACTAGCTTGCAAGATAGGCGACTGCACGTTTTCCGATGTTCTAGGAAGGTGACATGACGGCCGTTATGCTGAGAACCACTTCAGTAGGATGGCCTGCTGGGTGGGCTCTTCGTCCCCCCACGTTGGCCGCATGAAGACCGCGACGCTTTCGTCAGTATGGGATTCTGCTATCGCACACACCTTCCATATGAGGGGTCTCGTGTGTGCCTGCGCGCCTGCGATGTTCTTTCGCAGACGCTCAGCGCCCCAGCGATGGTGTCCTGACGTAGTCGTCGACCTGGTTTCGCTGCCGGCTCGACGCTCGCGTGCACATGTGCCGCGGGCACGAAAACAGAGGCGAGAGGACCGCTCCTAACGGTGTGGTTCCTTCATATCTACCCTACCTACGTAGTAAGAGGCGGAGACAGAGCACCTCAGGCAAGGCTTAAGAGTCACCCATCCCTTGCTGCAATCCTATTGATCCTACGAAGTAACCTTTCGCCATGCTCTGCCCGACAGCTTGGTGCCTGACAGACGTACGAAGCGCGGCAGAACTACCGGCGGCACAGGCGACTCGATGGTACCGTCCTGGCACCTCCACGCTTACACGGGTCTGAGAATGCAGAGTAAGTCATCTCAGGGTTCAGGTGCGCCTGAAGGCTCCCTTCCTACCGAGCCTGCGGATGACCTACGCGCTATCAACGCCATCAGCCGCGATGGAGTTAGGTATTAGGTGGGCGCCGTGCAGCGAAGATATAGTGCTATGGGTCTCGCTCAACCAGGGCCACCTGCCGTACAGAGTAGGGATTTCTCGTCGACTGCGCGCTTTTTTAATGACGTCGTAATCAGACCTACTACTCATACACGTGTGCAAATCCTCCAGCTGCTCTAGGCCGAAGCAAGAAGCTGACACCTCACAATGGGATCGTCGGTCCTACGAGGCTACGTTATCCCACCCATCGTTAGGAGTATTGGGCCTAGCCTCCCATCTTTAGGCACGAAAAGTGCCTAACAGATCTACATCAAGAGCACGCCAGATGTTCGCGGTGCTGATAGGCTGGTTGCCAGCACGTCCACTACTAGTCAACACCATAAACAATCGAGGCCATATTGCACTAAATACTATTTCGGGGGGGGTAAGAGGGGGCTTCAACCTATATTTTTAGGATCCCAACTAGCCAAGAAGCAGCGGGTTAAGCTTAAAGCCACTTGGTAGCCCGACTCGGCAACTAAGGATGGGAACAGCGTAGCCGACTCCTGGGTCTCGAGCCGGAGCAGCTACGTTAGAGATGTCGTTCTATGAGAGAGTTGCCCTCCTCTTTCGCTGACTGGCCGTATGGTGACAGCAGAACTCGAAGTCCATTGCAAGTCTTCCGGGGTCCATAGCCATACCTGCAAACTATTCCCAACCTCACCCAACATACCTAAGTTATCTGTGTTATGGTCTTGACCGCGTATGGGTGTTGTAAGTATGTCGGCCGTAAGCAATGTCAAAATAGACGACCGCACATCGTCGGGCGTTATGGTTTGGGGCGAGGGAATATCTACCCCCCAAGGTCTCTCGGGGATATACCCCTTCCGAATGGAAGTGCCCGTCGACTTAGTATCGTAGCAGTGAAAGATCTCGCTAGAGACCTGGTACGTTTTTTTTTTCCTTTCAGCAGCTTTGACATTAGTTTCGACTTCCTGTCTCCTTCGTTCGGATCCAAGGACCAGGCCATCTGCGTTGGTTGAAACATGCCAATAGACTTGTTTGTTTTGAGGCATCCGTCTATAGCGGCTGTCCCAGATCATCCACACGATAGATGCTTCGTAGGTGCCTATAATTCTATAGCCAACGTCGAGGCGACGCATTCCCACCACCCGGGTCAGGGTTACCTTAGGAATTTTAGGACGAATGGGAAGCAAAGGGTCCGTAGAGATGCTCTTAAAACATGTATCAACCAGTCACTTCGGCATACCGCGACTGCGATTGATGTGACACGGCTTGTTTATCGAGCGACCCTGAATGTTCCATATTCGATATTCCCAGGTAGCAAGCCTGATTCGCTCTCAGATTCTTCCCCCTATCCGCCGTATGCCGCCTTTGGGGCGTCCTTCTTCTTCTTCATTGGTAGCCAAGCCGTGAATGCCGCGAGTGACAGAATTATTGAAGCTTGACCGCGCTTCAACTCGACGACAAGTTGGTGCCCAATCGCCACCGCAAATCGCCAGGGACTTCTAGATGTCGATATCGTGCCCAATGGAATCGACGCGGTGATGCCCACAAGGCCTTCCAAAATACGACAGGTCGTTTGTTTCGAAAAGTTGAAGCGCATATCGCCATTGCTACGTACGCCTCTCGCTGAACACCTCATCGCAAACAGGGCTCGCCTCCCAATCTATCAGCCCATATTCCGGGTCTTAATGGGAGTCATCCACAATACCAGAGCGTCTTCGTTGAGGCCCGAGCAACCCGATGAAGCCGAAACGGCAGCTTGCGGCCTTGGCTTCAGCATATTGAACGGCAAGGCAATTAGAGCCAGCTTTGTGCCGTCGGGTCTCTTCAGGGAATTTGAGCCAACGACCGTCCTGAGTGGTCGAAGCCGGGAGAGTGTCGATTACTCGACTCGGGAATCGAGCCTTATCGAGGTGTACGAGCCTCCTCTAGTAAACATCGGAATGATCCGAGTCGCAAGCGAGGCACGAAAGGTACACTCTAACGCGATAACATGCTAGTATGTCTGCAGCTTCCCGAGAGACAGCGTACGAGGAGCGCCTGTTAGATGGGTATAAAGTCGATAGCGTATGGATACGCGCGCGCACGGCGCCTCTCTTTGGCTATAGGTATATCACATTATCCTATAGCCAAACCCTGGGGGTGACGGGAGGCGCCACGTCTCGATCGTGTCGGGCAGTCCCTAGGAACGTGCTAGACACCTAGGTTATCCAACAGCAGTCTCCGGGTTCCACCTAGCAAGGCTTCACTATGGAAGTATTAGTAATAGGTACTCTTCCGTGTAGTAACAAGTTAGTTAGGCTAAGAGGAATCCGTATTACGACTTATTACAGTCGTGATATCCCAGGTGAGTATCTCAGTATATAACCCATGCATACCATTCTCAGCCCGTAAAACCATCGATCGTCCTCCAAGGTACCACGGAAAGCAGTAGAAGTCCTCGCCAGTAATATCGTATCTGATATAGGTCAATCCTCTTTTCTTCGACAGCATGAAGAATGGTTTGTGATATATTTATTGGGTTGCAGATTTAGGCAAGCGCTACACCCACTTACGGGCAACGAAGATTGAAAGAGAATCATGGCCCGCCGATTAGGGGAAGTGTTCTATTATTGGTGACTTGGCTGGTGTTCGTCGAGAAAACGCCGTTGAGGAGGTTGATTACTGCAAGATCTTCACCGGGTCGAGAGAGAGGCGGAGGAATTGGAGAGCGACGACAGGAATTTCTCATCCTGTTTCTTATGTCATCACTTTCACATAACCATCATACATGGAGCTGGGGTATGGTAGTAGCAGCAGTAGCAGCAGTAGTGTATATGTAATTCGCGTAAGATCCTATCTTGGATCGGTATGGTTGCCGTCTTCGAAAAGGACCGCATATCACAGACGGCATTGGCGGTTTCTCCTGGTGAAACCGTCTGGGGTACTGCTGACAACGTCTGGAAGAGGAGGAATGCAGAAAAGCAGTGGAGGGGTGGCATCTTATTGGGCGAGCCAGATGCTCGACGAGTTGCCCCCTGTGGAACTGAGTCGAGCTCGCAACCGAGACCCAGACCGACCCGGTCCTGAGCTTATGGACCCTGTAGAAGGCCAATACGACCCTTCTGCATGTGTGGGCATCTCATATGGATTCCGTAGGTATCGGACAACACTGGGTTACCAATATAACAAGTTGGGAAGAGAGACAGAGACAGACACACACACAGAGAGAGGGGGGGTGAAGGGAGGGAGATAGAAACGCCATAGCAATTCCGCCACTTTGTCTGGGCGTCTTCCGCTCTTGTCAGAGCTACGTGTGTACCTACCATGAGGCGAGGACTACATACATACCCCCCTCGGTGCTGTGTTCACATTCGAATAGCAAGCTAGCCAGTCGCTGTGTGAAGAGCCCGATAAGGAGAAGAATACGCATGGCGATGATATCAACTTCACATTGTAAGAAGCTATCATTTTCATGCTTAAGCTCTCGGGACCGATGGCGGATTCGAGGGATCGGGGCTATGTGGGTGTGCATTAGGACTGGCGAGATCGGCTCCTATAATCCGGGGCTGGATCTATACGTTAGACAGTAGCTACGCCGTAAATATACCTAAATATATACGACCAATGTAAAAATGTAGGAGTTGTCACAGATAAGGTCAACGTTATGCTTCAAGTCAACTTCGCCCAACCCACTCAGGCCCGCCAACACCCGGGGACGACGACGGGACGCCACCCGTAAAACGACGATAATAATAACAATAATTGTAGCCGCATCTCTCGATGGCCAAAGCGCCCTCAATCTACATGTACCGGGTGTCAAGGGTGTTGAGTAGTACAGCTGCACCTAAATAAAGCCCAACGAGTCGAGGCTGTTCGGCGCGCAGACGTTTGGGGGACCTCAGGGGGATCTTCATCGAAAACATTTGCCGCCGAGAGAAAAAAAACTCCCACCCCCCATAGCCGGCTCTCTGGATAACAAGTCTATACCTCATTCTTAATCCCACGTCCAAGGTATCCGAACGTTTATGGGCCACGATCCGAGCCGTGGCCGAAAATGACCTGTCTTTCGGGTATATGCATACACTCTACTTTCCTAATTCTGGGTTCCGCCCTATGGAGACCGGGATGCTTTGGTGACTGAGAAGCATGAGAGGACCCTGATATGTTACCATCCTGCCGTGCTATCACTGGGGCCCTTGTGTTCGTCGGCACGTGGCATACAGACCTCATATCGATGCCCTCTAGGCTCCTTGTAGAGTCGGAGTCCGGATACTATTGCTTGCGTTTATGCCTGAAGATGTTGACTGATTGGAGGTCGTCGAGTGCGCCCATAACCATATCGCATTGGCCGGTTAATACTTGACATGCAGGGCTCATGCTATGATGGCTATGTGGTTCCCCTTCTCGCTCTCGCTCCCGTCCTCGCCCACTCCCATTCTCGCTCCACGCAGTCTGCTCGAGAGCCAAGGAGTATACATAACAAGTGCGAGCTGCCTGTCTGGGCATCTACTCAGCCCTACCCGCTCCATCCTCTGGGACAGCTACCCGCCTGCCACTAGAGCTCCCGCCCCGAGTTATCCATTCCTTCGACTTGTCATTCCGATACAGGACAAGCCAGGCCTAAAGCCTTAGGTGGGACATGGCGTATGATTCTCACGATTACAGTGGCCGTGATGCCGGCGAACCATTGGATGTAAGTTAGTTGGTCGATCCGAATCCCCCTTCCTATACATGCTTCAGTCTACACATCCCCGGGGAGCTCGGTAGTGTGCCATCTACCACCCAGCCTATCTATTTTTATGAATATCTTAATAATGAGCGCCGGTCCCGGGAGCATCGTGGAGGCTCCGAAGCGAAGTCCTTCGGTCTTCCTTGTGCGACCACGACCGGCAATAAAACCCGACGCTTAGAATCTGGAGTCATTTGCGTTGGTGGCCAGCAGGCAACTTAACTCGACAGTGTATATCTTGGAGTACGCTTACTAACATCAAAATGCAGAGGACACCTTCTGAGCAACAGTTATCGTCGACGTTCGTCTCCGACGACCCTTACTACGGGGGTCAGAATGCACACTCGGAAGATCATCATGCCCCGTACATACCATACACAACGCCAACAATTACACCCAACACGACTTCAGAAAATATGATGGGGTTCCCTGGTCAACAATTACTCCCAGCTCAGATCTCTAATAGCTCGCTTTACGTCGTAGGCGGCCGTGCCCACCCAGGGGCAAATGCCGGTGTCCCAGGCGGCGTCTCCTTTACGACCGCTATCTCGGACCCTTTTGAGTACCCGCTTTACCAGGCCGTCACGCCTGAATCCAGAACGGTCGACAGCACTGATGCGTATCGTCACGGGTATTCGCGCGGGTACGGGACTGTAGCGCCGAGCCGACCCGCGTCGTCGTCTTCGGCCGGGTCTGGTCGCGGGAAGCACAGGCACGCGTCCCGACCGAGGAGGCCGAGGAACCAGCAGGTATTCTCACCCGGGAGCTCATCCTCTACGTCGAACGCGAGCAAGTCAAGACTCCGCAGCGCGTCCCGCACGAGCAAGAATACGCACCACAACCCGCCAGCGACAGTCGAGGAGCAAAAGACGCGCGAGACCCACAACCAAGTCGAGAAGCAGTACCGCAACAGGCTCAACGCGCACTTCGAAAGCCTCCTAGACGCCCTCCCAGAAACGATGCAGGCAGGCGAGGGCGAGGGCGGCGGCGAGGCGCTCGACCTGACAGATCGCCGGGTGAGCAAGGCAGAGGTGCTCGACATGGCCCGGCGACACATCCAGGCCTTAGAACGCGAATGCAGTGCGCTGGAAGAGGAGAGGGACGAGCTTCGGGATAACATGGACAAGCTGCGATGGCTATTCAGCCGATTCGAAGGCACCGACGGTCTCGACGAGCGAACTGAATTCATGGACACGGGAACGCTGCAGTGATAGCCCGGCTGATAAAGGGGATGATGGGGATAAGGATACACGATTTACGGCGGTCTAGGTTCTATTCATGTACCAATATTAGAACGGCTCCGGCGTTTCGAGGATTCGTTGACAGTCAGGCACTTCAACCGGATTCCGAGTCTGTTTTTGTTTTCCTCTTCGGGCTGTTCCTAGTTGTGGCCGGGAGGTGTCAGTGGTCGACGAACTTAAGGGGCTCGGGGTTGAGCTTACCTACGACGTTCACTTTGTCATATGGGCCTTTCTTATACGTTTATAGAGCCTGCTTCCTTTAAAACCTGCCTAACCCCTATTTTCCTCCATGACAGTGAGTTGGCTCATACGTCGAACCAAGCCCAATATCGCTCCGCTAGTATGTCAAGATGTTTGGTGATTCTCAGCCCTCGCGCAAGTCGCTCACAGTCGTAGTAGCGTACACCCATAGGTCACTCGAGGGGGTTGATTCCTCTCGCTTGCTCCCTGCCTAATGTAGGATGTCTAGAGTGGAATAGAATTAAGGGTCGAAGCTCGCGGACAGAATGACCACCCTCTGCCTTGATAATCACAGGCAACGAGTCCAGCTCTACACCAAGTTCCGCGGATTGTACCTAGAGTAAAATACCCAAATGTGTGACAGGTGTCCGGCTAGAAAATATCTCTTAAAGCCGAGGGTGCTACGGCGATAAGAGTAATGCGCACTCATAAGATCGAACCTGCGTGACCGGTACAGCAATGACATTAGAGGGGGCTACGGGAAAAACGAAAAAGGGAAAAGAAAAAAAAAGGAGGGCATGAGGGAGAAGGCAAAGGCGGCGCATGAGATAAAACAAAAAGAAGCCGACAACGGCATAGGGGATATAAGTAAATGACTACTTACCCCCACTGAGGCATGCACAGATGACGAAGTAAAGGGAGATGCAAGAGTGGAAGAGAAGACAATAAATTAGAATAACGCCGTCCCAAGGTTGTACGATGGCCTACATTCAGCGCCCGCCTAGAAAAATGCGCTTCCTACCAGACTGAGTGAAGTGAAGCAAAGCAAAGCGAAGTAGTCCACCACGTGAGCGAATTGTATCGCGATAACGGGTAAAAAGTCAACTACGGGACCGTTACGGGATGGCTTGGAATGCCGGCCAACTCGCTAGCCCCACCCGGCTTGAGTAAAAGAAATCTCGCACGAGGAGAAGGAAAAGCATCCCGTCTGTCCTCAACTCAAAAACACATATTCCCCCCCTTTTCGTCTCCGTACACTCTACACGAAAGGGGATCAGGGGATTAACTGACTACCTGGAGGAGTTGTTGAACAGAGGCGCCAGCAAGCCCACCCCTCTACCATGGCCAATAAAACGGTCCTCGTAATCGCTGGGAGCGACTCTAGTGGTGGAGCGTAAGTCAATACCTCCCCTCCACGTCCAACTTCGTCCCTCCTTTCGCTAATGACCGTTCTCCGTGGGAATCGCCAGAGGCCTCGAGGCGGACCAGAAAGTCATCGCGGCCCATGGCTGCTATGCCATGACTGCTACTACCGCCCTGACGGCCCAGAATACTCTTGGCGTCGACGATATACATCATATCCCGCCCAGTTTTGTGAGGAAGCAGCTAGACGCCGTTTTTAATGATATACGCCCCAGCGTCGTGAAGACTGGTGAGTGAGGCCTGCGACGTCAGCCGTGCTAAGACTCATCAACGTGCTGCTACCAAGGGATGCTGGCATCTACACGCACCATTGAAGTAGTCGCCCAGGCATTGAAGGATTACAAAGTCGAGACGCTAGTGCTGGACCCCGTAAGTCTTTCTGCGCCGCCCAACGCGGCCAAGGGGTTGGCATCAAAATTGAACCTCAGCTAGGTCATGGTCGCCACGACCGGCGCCCAGTTGTTGCCCTCGGAGGCCGTGGAGGGGTTGCGGACCCTGCTCCTCCCGCAGGCGTTTATCCTGACTCCGAATGTTCCAGAGGCCGCTCTCTTGGGCTCTTACGGCGGGAAAGAACCCATCGCCATCAGACGGGTCGAAGACCTGGAGGCGGTAGCCCGAAGGGTGGCGGAGCTGGGGCCGAAATGGGTGCTTGTCAAGGGCGGACACGTGCCATTCAGGAAGGACGGCTCCCTGGCGACAGGTGACGAGGAAAAGGAGGTCGTCGTTAACCTCTTGTTCGGGGAAGGCCGGACGGTCAGGATAGAGAGCCCGTACATAGAGTCGAAGAATACGCACGGGACCGGCTGCTCGCTCGCTTCCGCCATCGCCTCCAACCTCGCCGGGGGGCTCACGCCGGTGGAAGCTGTCAGAGCGGCTTGCCGGTATGTTGAGGCGGGCATCAGGTCGGCACCCGGGTACGGAAAGGGGAACGGCCCGATCAACCATTTCCATTCGATGATGGCTCTCCCGTTTTCTCCGTAAGTATACCGCCCCTGGGAGCTCGACGTGGACACAGGCAGATGGATGCCCTACCGGGAGTAGTCCCGCTGATGACAAGCCAGTGGTCACTTTCTCGACTACCTTATCGAACGCCCTGATGTGGCGCCTGTATGGCATCGTTTCACTAACCACCCATTCGTTATCGGGCTCGGGGACGGCAGGCTGCCCCTTGAGTCGTTCAAGGGTTACCTCGTACAGGACTATCTATATCTGGTTCACTTTGCGAGAGCGAATGCGCTGGCGTCGTACAAGGCCAAGAATATAGAGGATATCGCGGCGGTAAGGCGCCCCCCTCCCCCCTTCCTAGCTAACACCCGCAGCAGGCCTGAAGCGAAGCTGATGTCACTTACAACGTCCAGTTCGCGAAAATCGTATCGCATATCCAAACCGAGATGAGCCTCCACCTCGACTACTGCCAGGGCTTCGGCATATCGAAGGAGGAGATCGAGGCAACCGAGGAGCACCAAGGTATGAACGAATGGCGCTACGTCTCGTGGGGACGTGACCTCGCTACCTACTGTCGACGTGCTGACGGGAGAGCCAGCGTGCACTGCGTATACCAGATACGTCTTGGACATCGGGCAGTCTGAGGATTGGCTTGGACTCCAGCTTGCCCTGGCTCCGTGCCTCCTTGGTTATGCAGCGATCGCAGCGCAACTCCACAGCGACCCGAGGACGAAGACGGAGGGGAATACCTACTGGAAGTGGATCCTGAACTACGTGGCAGAGGACTACATGCAGGCGGTGAAGACGGGTTCTGGTGAGTTGGAGAGAGAGAGAGAGAGAGAGAGAGAGAGAGAGAGAGAGAGAGAGAGAGAGAGAGAGAAGCAGCAGAGGGCGGCGGCGGAATGCTAGGCTAACAGGCGTCGCGGCGACAGAGCTCATAGAAAAGAACGCGGTCCTGCAGTCCCCGACGCGGATAGAACAGCTCGTCGCGGTCTTCATCCACGCTACCAAGGTGAGACTGAAACCCCCCTCCGCCCCCCTCCGGTCACTCCCGTCGCGGATCGCCTGCGCGCGCCATACGGTGCTAATCGAGAAAACAGATGGAGATTGGGTTCTGGGAGATGTTCCCGTCAGCGTAAGGCGGCGTGGAGAAAGTACGCGTGTATCCGGAAAAGGTATGGCTATACCTATAGAACGAGGGCGGGTATAATAGCGACGGACAGCAACGAAAGGACGGCGCATTTCGACCTGGCAAATGTAATAATCATTACACTGGGCTGTTTTGGCGAGTCGGGTAGTTAGGCCTAGTGTCTACCCACCGTAACTGACCCTCTCTCCTATTTCCACCATCGACTCTGATGATTCTACGAGACGGCCTTGTTCTTCTCGGCGGTTTCTATACGCGACGGCGCCCAGGTGCGCAGCGTTTACGGCCTCGACCCGCCCCTTTTTCGGTCCCGGTGGGTGCTTGCTGGGATGGGCAAGGACGGATACTACCTATAGATACAGGTATGTGACGTGGGTGCCTCTGAGAACACTTCACCTCCTCCCCCAGGTACCGATATAGAATATATACCTCGTATTGTGATTGACTCTAATGTGCTATTCACAGACCACTTAAGCCTCACCTCAGTGTCGCGAAGGTGAGGTGAGGATGGTAAACGAGCAAGTGAGTAGGTAGGTAGGTACCTCTCATGTGGGGTTGATGGGTCAAGTAATTCGGTATCCGATTAGTTATCGTTGTTGCCAATGAAGTACGTGGGTACCTACGTACCTCCTATGTGTTAATGGGCGGCCCGGCAATGAAGAGTCTGACAGTGGCAGGTGTTGCTGCGGAATTGCCCGAGACAGCTGGCAGACGCAGGTACCTAAAGCAGATACGGGCAAGTAACATCCAGGTACGTACTCTTAGGTACCCAGCCATGTCGCAAGATATGACATAATCACGGTGGCAAGGGCACTGTGCACGGGCCACGCCTGCCTGGTTTTGTTGTTGGGCCAAGACTGGCAACTGCCTCCGGAAACTAAAGGCCAAAAAAAAAATATTCATCTAAGGTTACTTTGGCTTTTTTTCGCTCGGGGTCTCGCTCATCTCGTTTTTTTCTCCCCTTTTCACATTCCAAAAAAAGGGTCATCCAAACGCGACTTTCCTTTTCATCAACACGCTTTTCGCGCCGTCCTTGATCCAGTCTCCGCTCCTTTCTTACAGATTGTACGCGGCCTGATTCTCCTAATTTTTTTTTAACAGAATAAGGTCTGCTCGCATCTCTGCGCTCTCGTCCTCCCGCCATTAACCCCTTCCCCCCCACTCCCCCTTCACGCCCTTCACGCGTTCCATCTCTCTCGTCCCCCCACAAACGCGAAGACATCATGTCCTACGGCGGCGGTCACGGCGGCTATCGCGGCCACGGAGGCTACTCTAATGGCAATGACAAGTATGGAAGCGGCGGGCGTCAGGAGGGCTACGGGTAAGCATAGTATCTCACATCTCGCGTCTCCCTTTCCGCGATCCCTAATCTTCGGTTGCTCCTTGACTCTTGGATACTGATGCGTCTCTCTCTAGTAATGGCTACGGTGGTGGCTACGGCGGCGCTGGCGGCGGAGGAGGCTACGGTGGAGGTGGCGACAGAATGTCCAACCTCGGAGCTGGATTGCACAAGCAGACATGGGGTGGGTGAAATCCGGGATATCGGCCCTGTTCGTGTGGAGACTAACTTTTCTATTCGCAGACATGAACACGCTCCCCAAGTTCGAGAAGTCCTTTTATAAGGAAGATGAAGCGGTCGCTCGCCGGCCCGCTGCCGAGGTTGAGCGGTTCCGAAGGGACCACCAGATCACCATTTCCGGACACGATGTTCCTAAGCCCGTCGAGACATTCGACGAGGCTGGTTTCCCTCGATACGTGATGGATGAGGTGAAGGCACAGGGCTTCCCTGCGCCCACGGCTATTCAGTCCCAGGGTTGGCCAATGGCTCTTTCTGGTCGCGACGTTGTTGGTATTGCCGAGACAGGCTCTGGCAAGACCCTTACCTACTGTCTACCTGCTATTGTCCACATAAATGCCCAACCGCTCCTGGCTCCTGGTGACGGACCCATCGTTCTTGTTCTCGCGCCCACGCGAGAGTTGGCCGTCCAGATCCAGCAGGAGATCACCAAGTTCGGAAAATCGTCGCGCATCCGCAACACCTGTGTGTACGGAGGAGTTCCTCGCGGCCCTCAAATCCGAGATCTTACCAAGGGTGTCGAGGTCTGCATTGCGACCCCCGGCCGTCTTATCGACATGCTCGAGGGCGGCAAGACGAATCTGCGCCGTGTGACGTATTTAGTGCTCGACGAGGCTGATCGTATGCTGGACATGGGTTTCGAGCCCCAGATCCGCAAGATTATCAGCCAGATCCGACCCGACCGCCAGACTCTCATGTGGTCTGCTACTTGGCCCAAGGAAGTCCGGGCCCTGGCTGCCGAATTCCAGACGGATTTTATCCAGGTCAACATTGGCTCTATGGACTTGTCTGCTAACCACCGTATCACGCAAATCGTCGAGGTCGTCTCCGAAGGCGAGAAGCGCGAACGCATGATCAAGCATCTCGAAAAGATTATGGACAACAAGGAGAACAAGGCGCTTCTTTTCGTGGGCACGAAGCGTGTTGCCGACGATATCACCCGATTCCTCCGCCAGGATGGCTGGCCCGCCCTCTGTAGGTTTTTCTTTTTTTTTTCCCCGGTCCGGAGAGTGCCAGTTCCCAGTGCTAACTACCGGATAGCTATCCATGGTGACAAGCAGCAGAACGAGCGAGACTGGGTCCTGGACCAGTTCAAGACTGGCAAGAGCCCCATCATGGTGGCCACCGACGTGGCTTCACGTGGTATTGGTATGATTGCATCTCACCCCTCCCTCCCGGGCCCTGTAGCAATTTCCAGCAGAGTTATATCCGCTGCGCTTTACTCTCATGTCTAGGGGCTCTCTCGATTGCGCATTTGCCTGATCCCCCATTGTGTCTCGTGGTTCTCATCTCTTCAGGAATTATGGGGTTCGTGGTATAGCGGAAGCGCTATACCCTTGTTCCGCTGTTGTACCTTCGTGTTGCTATGGTACAGCTGCGGAGTTGGCACTGCTTGATACTATCAGGCTGTCTCCAGATTCCCAGATCCCGAGGACCCAGACCGGATTGTTGGAATTCCTCCAAACTGGCATGTTGATGCAACGGACAGCCCCCATTCTCCGACGAGAAAGCACGGAAAATATACCTAAGGCTCCGTCCATCCGTCGCTGGGACTTGTTACATCCTCTCCCCTCTTCCTCCCTGCTTCGTTTCCGGCTAACGTGCAATTGCAATCAAGACGTGCGCAACATCACTCACGTGATCAACTATGATTATCCGAACAACTCGGAGGACTATATCCATCGCATTGGCCGAACTGGTCGTGCTGGCGCGAAGGGCACCGCCATCACATTCTTCACCGCTGACAGTGAGTATCTATGTGCCCCCGTCTAGAATATAACTAGGCCACTACTAACGACGCGTCCACAGACTCTAAGCAGGCTCGTGATCTAGTTGCCGTTCTTCAGGAGGCTAAGCAGCAAATTGACCCTAGACTTCACGAGATGTCCCGGTACGGCGGTGGTGGTGGTGGAGGAGGACGATATGGGGGACGAGGCTTCGGCCGCGGTGGTCACCGAGGTAGGCCCGCACTTTGACTAGTTCGTTCATAATTGCAAGCCGCAGCGAATACTGACACGTTCGTCTTTGCCTCTCTAGGTGGCGGCAGCGGCGGCGGCGGCGGCGGCGGCGCTGGTGGTGCGAATGCCATGCCCATCAATAACCGACGTTGGTGATTGCCCTTCCCGGTGACTATTGACTTTGACATGGATCCTCCGTACTGCCGTAGGGTGTTCGCCGCATTCGTCTTGCATTGTTTCTTTTCCCTTCCACGTATGCACATCCGGCGTTGCGTCTAGAGGTACAGGTGTTTAGATGTCCTTGAGTGTCGGCACATGGCGAAGGTGTCGCGTCTCTTCGCTGAGATCTGCACCACTCGGCTTTTCCCTAATTTCCACCCAGCAACATACAGGGTCGAAGGTTTCTAGATCGCAGGGGAGCACATGTTGCAGAGAGAGTTATTGGAACAATAGGCCGGACACCGAGGTCCCTCCCCCCCGACTTCTCACAACCTCTTCTAATCTTGAAAAGGCATACGACTCACGCCAGCTCTTGACCGCAAGTCAAGATAGAGAGATTGCTGACTTCGATACAGATTGAAGGTGCTTGAGAAGACCCCTGTCTTAGTCACATGTTTATAGGTAGATTCCAACCCGTCGGCCTTGCTCTCATTAGGAGGCGACACGACGGGCGCTGTAGTAGGAATGGATCAAAGCCTAGAATAGTAAATATCTCCGAACGCATCGCAAACGTGTGAGATGTCGGTTCCGGTACCCGATTCCTGGACAGTGATGTGCGTCTCTCGGGGACGAGGGAGGGCTCCTCGTCCACTTTTCGGCACCGATAACTGTCCTCCCAGCATCACCGCCTCATCTGAACAAGTTTCCCCTCTTCTTTTTCGGCGACACTGCGGGCCTGGGCCGCATCCAAATTCGGCTTGACGGGAAGGTGTTGCGCGCCCCTGAGTGGTGGTTTAATATACCCGCCCATGGCCTCATTTTATCCGTAAACACAGGGGTGAGTGACTTACACCATAATCGGCAGACGCAACGACACACTCCGTCTCGGCCCTAGTCTCCCGTCAACAGTTGCGCTATAAGATGGGAGACCTGTCTATGGATCTCGACGTCGCCTTTATCGAAGGGATGTCTTGCTGCTACGCCTCTCTCTCTCTCTCTCTCTCTCTCCTCTGTTTGCGTGGGAACCTGACTGCTAAGGCCGACTCACCCATCCTTCCAGCAACTGTGGTTTGTATACTTATTAGCCCTGCTTATATATACACAATTATATTGCTCGAACGAGAGATCCGACTAGCGAAGATGAAGGCCGCTGCAGCATTCGCTCTACTGGCAGCCGGCGCCCAAGCCGCTCCGCACTGTACGTCGTCCATGGTTTTTTTTTTCCCGTTCCCCTTATTCACACATCAGCACTCCCTCCGTAGATAGGGGGGGGGGGGTCTCTCAGCCCCAACTTAGCCGGATATGACCCTTTATACACGTATATCCATGTATCTACACGGATAGCTCTGCACTCCAACTAAGCTTTCTGTGTTTTTTTCTTCTTCTTCCTTGGGCTAACTCGTTCCTCTCAGACACCTTCCCGAAGCTCGCGGGCACGTCGGACTGGTCGTCGGTGCGCCAGACGGCCAACTTCCAGAGCAACGGGCCCGTGACCGACGTCACCTCGGAGGCGATCCGGTGCTACCAGCGCGCGCCCGGCGGCGCCCCCGACATCACCCCGGTCCAGGCCGGCGGCCAGATCACCTGGGTGGCCGCGCCCAGCATTTACCATCCCGGAGGGTACGTACATGTCTCCAGATTCCCCGATGGGAAAAGAAGCGGAAAAGTTGCCACACCCCTGCCGTCGAAAAGCCTGCTCCGGCCTGTAGGGGCAGGCGGAACAAGATGTCGATTCCTCCCGAGAACGCGAGAGAAGCTAACTATGCCGTCCTCCGCAGTACGTCGGGGACCAGCCTTCTCGTGGTTCGCGTCTCTCCTGTATAGGCGCGCGGTGCTAACGTAGCGATGCTGTCTCGTCTGCGGCGGCTCAGCCCTCTCCGCGTACATGGCCAAGGTGCCCGCCGGACAGACGGCTGCCGACTTCGACGGCAGCGGCCAGGTGTGGTTCAAGGTGTACCAGGACCTGCCCACGCTCTCGGGCGGCCAGTACAGCTGGCCTTCGAACGGTACGTGTCTGAGCCCCTCCCCTCCACACCGCCCGTTCTACCCCCCTGTATCTCTCCGTCTGTCCTCCTGTTCGATTTCACATACCTATGGATTCCCCCCCCTTTCTCCCGTAGCTTCCCTTTTTTGCGGTCGCGCGTACCGCGCACACATAGCACATACCCCACGAAGACGTCGAGGGAAAGAGACGCCGGGAGACAGGCCCTCGCTGACGCGGAGCGGCCGGGGAGCAGGCTTGGGGCAGATCAGCTTCGCGATCCCGCAGTGCCTGGCGGCGGGGGACTACCTGTTCCGGATCGAGCACGTGGCGCTGCACAGCGCGAGCGCGGCCGGCGGCGCGCAGTTCTACATCTCGTGCGCGCAGGTGCGCGTGGCCGGCGGGTCGGCCGGCGGCAGCGCCAAGACCCCGACCGACCTCGTCGCCTTCCCCGGCGCCTACAAGGCCACCGACCCCGGCCTCCTGATCAACATCTACAACAACGGCGGCAAGCAGTACCAGCCGGCCGGCCCGTCCGTCTTCCAGTGCTAGGCGCACGCGCGGGGGGGGGGCCTTTTGGTTTGGGGAGGGGAGACGCGGGACCGGGCCGGATACGGGGGGGTAAGGGGGACGGGGCGGCGGTCGCTGAGGAGGGGAAAAGGGGGGGGGGGGGCGAGAGCGAAGAGGTGTATGCGCGACACGGCGACGGGAGACGGGAGACGGGAGGCTAGCTAGCAGTGCCGAGTTGGGCTGAATACTGCTGCTGCTGCTGCTGCTATCTAGGCATCTTACTAGCATCGACGGGTTAGTTCAACCCTCCCCCTTCATCTCCCAACTCGGACGTGATATGCAAATTGGGGGTGCGGGCAATTTCATCCTCGCAGCCGGCCAGGGGGGGGGAGGCGCCGATTATGCGGTGATCTCTCGAAGGGGTGGTGTGTGTGGCATGGAGTCAATCACCCGTAGCAGGAGTCCGGACGTTACGGGGGGAGGGACCGGGGGGGTGGGTGGTGGACGAGTGGAGGGGAGGGATGGGATGGGATGAGATAGGATGGGATTGGGATGGGGTCTCTCGTCCGGGAGTCAGCGAGAATGGTCACCACGCAATTGCCAGGCGATCAGCTGGCGCCGACTTGATTCGTTCGTAGGATCCATCTCACACCCGGACCCGATTTCTGCACCCATCCGCTACCCTATCATTCGAGCGCGTAGTATCTCTTCTGTTCCTCCATCTTCTGCTCCTCCACCTTCTGCTTCCCCCATCTCTTACTCCTCCATCTCCTCGTCCTACTACTATTGCTATTGCTACCGCCGCCGCCGCCGCTCCTCCTCCTCGTTCACTACCTGCCCGCGCACCCTCCATGTCACGCTGAAAAGGGGGGGGGGAGGGGGGGGCCGCTTATGACTCGTCCGCCCCCTATTGGTTTCTCCCATCCTAGTCAGGCCCCCCCCACGTCCAAGCTGTCGCGCGTGCGCGGTAGGGTATACATACATACATATACGTATCCTCACGAGACCCGTCTAGACCCCATGATCACCGCGTCGAAGGTGGTGGTGGGGGGTTATGGAGATTCCTTCGTCATCTACGGGGGGGAAGTCGGCAAGAAGAAGTCCTCGGAGAGGGAAACACGTTTTTTTTTCAGTTCCCTGCCCGTTATCGCCTGCCCTCGCCTGCCTGCCGTGGCGCTTTTCACGCCCGGCTTTACGCATACATACATGCGCGAGTCAGCTTAGATTAGCTGAATAGGATTTTTGGGGGGTTAGGAGCCACAGGCGCACGGCTTACCGCTGTCCGCAGGACACGCTCCCGACGCCGATGGGGAGTGGCGTGGTATGTATCAGCGTGAGTAGATCTCTACTCTCTCCTCCATCTCGCTCTCAGCCTGTCTTCCCCCTCTTGCCTGCCCTCCTTCTCCCCTTCCGCCCTTCCAATCCGTCTATGGGGGCTCTCGTCTCCAACTGCGAGCCGTGAGTCATCCTGCCCTCCCCGAAAGGCTACTCGCTTGGGTGTGGATGTAAGCCTGATGTATGTGATTCATCAGGGAGCCCTGAGCGAGGCCCGCAAACTCGTCCGAGGGACCAGATACCGGAGCGGGAGAGTCAGGCCCGCAGGCCCGCAGCCTCACGTCACAAGGCAGGGATACCGTTTTGGGACCCCTTCGACGGATGGTGGGTGGGTGTATGCTTAGCCGGCTCCGGCACGGGAGCCTTCTCTCTCTCCCTTTCTCTCTTTCTCGGCCCCGTGAGGTTGGGCGCTTGACAGGTAGAAGGATTCGTGGTGAGAAGAGAGGCCGTGTCGACAGAACGAGATGGATGCTGAGACTATTCGATAGGCCCGCCCCCCAAGGGCCCAGACCTGCTTCCGAGGATGTCTCTCCTTCGTGAGACTGGAGGCCTCTAGTCAGGGCGGGTCCTCACCACGATATTTTATCTCGGCTGTCTCTAGACACCGCTCGGAAAACCCCGTGTCGAAGGGGCGCGGAATGGGGAGATATCCACGGCCCAGAAGAAGGTAGGCTACGTCAGGACTCAGGTTAACCTCGGGCAGAGGAGGGCCCGGCAAGCTCGTCGGGTTTGAAGGCTGGTGTGCTACACCCATTATCACGAACGTATCTTCCAGAGAAAAGTGAGCATGTGATAAACCATCCATCGAGGCTAAACCACAGGGGGCAGCGCCACAAGAGATACCCATCATATCAGTCCCGAGGGGGATTATCTAGCGTCTATAGCTCCCTTCTCGACCGTATTTCGGAAAGGCGGTGCCGACCAAGTTTCTAAGCATCCATCTCTGGGCCGAACCAAGTAGAGGTTCGTCGCCCAAAACAAACGGCATTCGAAAGTATGAGCATCTATTCCAGGTAAGAAGAATAGCGAGGAGGTAAGAGAGGAACAAACCCGTCGTCCCATTGATCGGGCTAAGAGAGCAGGAGTCGGATCGACGAGACACAGCGTAGCTGGGTGTATCGTGAGCAGACGCAACGCTAGATCTCCCCACGCGGACCCTCGAGAACCGAAATGACGACGCGTCCCCCATCCCGGCCACTCACGGCATGAAAAGGGGGGGGGGGGGGAGGCTCTTCCTCTCCCTCCCGTTCGGCACGGGCTGCCCTCAGCCCTGACTTCTCGTGCCGAGCAACGAAACCCCCCCTGAGCAGCACGCGCGCCCCGTAGGGCCAGCCCGCCTTGCCACCTCGTCCTGACTTCTCTCTCTTTCTCTCTCTCTCTCTAGACCGCCCTCCGCCCCCGCCCCCTTTTCCCGCCTCCCACCCTCGCGCCCTCCGTGCAGCGCGGCGCCCCCTCGCGCCCGCGGAAAAGCAGCGCGCGAGCTAACAGGACCACCGGGGCGTGCCCGTAAACGCCGTGGCGCGCGCCCCCCCCACCTTTTCTAGAAGGCGCCCACGATCGAGGGCGTGTGGGCGAGGCTGTTGTGGAGCCTCGGGCCGAGGAGGAGAAGGAAGGCGGCGTGCTTTTTTCCCCCCTTTTTTATTACGAGATTATTACGAAGCGAGAGGCGAGGGGCGAGGGGCGAGGGGCGAGGGGCGAGAAAGAAAAAAAAAAAGGAGAGGTTTTTTGATTGTGGTCAGATACCTAAATAGGGGAGTCGGTTGGTTATGCGACATCGATTTGACTCGTTCACGCAACCACGAGACACAACCAACCAAGTTGCTCGAGCGGCAGCGGCCGTTCGGCTGGGAGAGGGTTTGGTTTTTCCCTGAGTAGTACTCTGGGTGAAAATGAATGGGTAAATACATGCACACGAAATAATGGTAGTTAGGTAGATAACCAGCAATAACGGCCATACCAATAAACCAAAAAAAAAAAAACCCCCCCCGAAATACGAGCTACAGCCCGCGGCCGCTCGCTCTTCGAGTCGGGAGACCCTTGCGATTGGGCGCCTCCGCGCCTGCGACTCGGTAAGGAGGCGGTATCTAGATAGGTATTACGTAGCTAACAATATTCCTGTCCGTCTCCTTTTCTCCCGCGTTCACTTGCGCATGTTATATACATTCCCCACCTACTTTCGCTGCCCGCATATATATGAGCAAGTATAGATATATATATATATATATGCTCTTCTTTCCTTTTTCCACGCCCGTGTTTAGTTTTCTGAGACACGGACGAGCAACGGAAAAGCTTGACCGACATTCGCGGGCCAGCCAGCCAGCCTGGCTGGATGGGATGGGATGGGATGGCGGGCGGGCGGGCGAGCGAGCTGGCTCGAGCTGGGCCGGCCGCGCAACGCCGTGACACAGCAGCAGCGGCGGGGGGCGAGAGAGCAGAAGGATTGACAGCTTTGACGTTCCCGGTGGGCGCACAGGCGACTCTAGTCGACCCGGCTGCTGGGCCCTGCCTGGCCTGGCGCCGGCCTCCCGCTGAGGCTACCACCACCTACTACTACTACCACCGTTACTACTACTACTACCACTACTACTCGTACCACTATACTGCTACTACTACCACTACCGCATACATACCGCTTTAAGAGCCGCGCGCTCTCCCTCCCCCCTTATCCCCCTCTCTCCCTCTCTCTTGCTCGCAAGCGCGCCTTCGCCTGGAGCGCGGCCGGCCGCCTCCGCCGCCCGGCTAGGTTTGCGCGACTGGCTTACTCTTGGCTCCCGGCGGCGGGGGGGGGGGGGGGCGCGACGACGCCTCGCAGGTAGGTAGGTAGGTAGCGCGCGAGCGGCCGCAGGAGGGGAGGAGGCAAAAGACGGGCGAAGGGGCGAGGGTGAAGGGGGGGAAAGAAGAAAGAAAGAAAGAAAGAAAGAAGAAGGGGGTGCCAACGCAAGGGGCCGGGGCTTCGTCCACTGGTAATACGCAGCGCGCGTATGAGCGCGGTAAGAGACGTAAGACATACATACAGCAGAGGCGAGGCAATATTGTCCCTTGACGTTATCGTGTGGAGGTACGATGGGTATATCGGGCGGCACGAGGAGCAGTAGGAGGAGGAGGAGGAGGCGGCGGCGAAGTCGGATTCCGGAGTCCTCATCAATCAAACGAATCCAGAAGTGGAAAAAAAAAAGTATTTCGACTTCTATACTATACTCATAGATTGCGCGATCGTGGTGGGTTTCAATTTCCCCCCTGCCTTCGATTTTTCTTTTCTTTTTGCCATTTGGCTTCCTCGCCTCCGCCGCCTCTTCTGTTTCTTTGTCCCTTTTTCTTTTTTTTTTTTTTGCTGTGCTGTGCTTTGCTTTGCCCTGCCGCGCACGGCAACCCGACGAACGTCTCTCGGGATTTCCCCTTTCGGTGGGCGACGGATGGGGGAGATGCGAGCGACGAGAGAGCGAGAGAAAGCGAGAGGGAAGAGGGCGAGCGAGAGCCGGACTCGCCGGTGTGTGTGTGTGTGTGTGTGTGTGTGTGTGTGTGTGTGTGTGTGTGATCCTTCCCCCGCTGGCTGACCGCGGCTGAGGGAATATGGAAATGGAAATTCTGGAAAACTCGGGCTGGGGCTCGCGCCTATCGAGGGAGGAGAGAGAGAGAGAGAAAGAGGGGGAGAGGGAGCAGGGTTGGTTGGGGATAGCAGATGCGCCCATCTACAGAGACGCTCGGTATCCTCCGTCCAGATAGGTAGATAGCCATGTAAGGGGGGGGGAGGGGGTGGAGGCGGGGGTAGAGGAGGATGAGGAATTTGATTCTCTCACGACCGACCCGTCGGCGAGACCTTGCCGGCGTGACAACATGGACTCCATGCGGCACGGGAAGAGAGGCCCTCGCTGGAATCGCTAGTCATACCCGATGTCATCATGATAAAAAAGCGGCCAAGGCACACGTCTGCACTTACTCGGATATGGTCGAGAGAGGGGGCGGGAGGGGAGGGGGGCGACGCGCTGGACGAACGGATGGGACGGTGGCCGCCGGCTCTGGATGTACATACGGAATATTCATGTGAGGAGAGGGGAAATGCGAAGGGGAAAGGAAAAAAAAAAGACAAGGGAGGGAGATCAGCTACCCAGAACGTGCATATGTCAATCCGGACGGCCCAACGAAGCTAGGGAGAGAAGCGCGCGCCGCCAACAGGTAAGTGGCGGTGCGGGATAAGTCGGTCCGGTTGCGTGTTGTGTAGAGCCGACCACCTTGCGACCACCTACCACTTCTTCCTCTCGCCTCTCTCGCCTCACCGTACCTGGTTTCCTCCCGTCTCGGGCTCTGCCTCGTCTCTCGGCCTCGAGGAGCGGTGGGAGGTTGCGCCATCTGCCGCCGAGGACAAGCAGAGCGAGAGAGAGAGACTGGATCCGGTGATATAGGTGGGCATGTTCCGTTTGCCTCCCTCTACGGCACCTGTCTATAAGACGACACCGCTTCGCCCGTTCTATCCAATCACGACGGTATAGACGGCGGCAATAGTGACGACGATGCAAGCGTCGGTGACTCGCCTGCAGGAAGAAAGGGGGGCGGAGAGGGCCGGAGGTTCATAGGGAGCTGAGCTGGTCGAGGCGTGGCATTAGGTACACAAAGCGGATCTACGCTCGGATCTTGTAGTCTAGCATAGGTGCATTAAGTAGTCTACATTACGTACACACGCGGAGAGAACTCCGGCCGATGTTTGTTTTCCCATTGTGCGAAGAGGAGACTGGTTGACGGCGATGATTATCGATACCCGTACCACGTCGTATTTGTTGACATCGATGGCGTCTTTTCTGATGCCTTTGACGCCTGCTTGGCGTGTGTATCTTCGGCCAGATTGCCCCCCAACTACCCCTATATGCCCTCTCGATAGGAGGGATATAAAGGGTAGAAAGGGGAGGGAGCGCGCACGCGGGCGAGAGAAAGGGAGTAGATAGAGGGGGTTGTTCAGCTAACCCCCCTCCCCCCCCTTTCCCCCCCTTGTTAGCTGCTTGAGGATTTGATTATATCTGAGAGCAAGCTGTGGGTATAATAACATGTATATATGTCTGGGAAAAATCTTGACGGATAGGCAGGATGCGCAGCCCATTCGAGATGGGCTCGATGTCTGTGAAACTCGTCGTTGGGCTGCCTACCTACCTAGGGCTTAATAACTCAAGTTCCTGGCCTTCGAGACCTCTGGAGGGATCAGCGCTGCAGCGCTTGGCGGGCCGGGGGGCTCTTGGAGATCTGCTTGCCCCATCAATCCATTTGCTGATTCTGAACCCATTCTCGTCTACCATACATCGCGCATTACATGCGCACATACATATATATACACAGGTATATCGTGTATGTAGATGCATATATAATATATAAACATAAATACAGATACAAGGGCATAACCGAGCCATTTTCATATTCAAAAAAAAAAAAAGCAAAAGAGAGAGATATATATATAGATATATTATACACATATACAACGTATATATACATTCAATGTATACTTATATGTTTAGTTATATGTACGTTGCAATGTTATACAGCTTTACCTACTACCTGCCTAACGTATAGGCACGTCCCGAACATGGATGGCAAAGGGGGCGGGGGAGCATAATGCCTCCTCCCCCATGAATTTCCTATCCGGCCCGGACTGTAGAGTATAGCCCTAGTTTTCCGATCGGCCGATGTACCCAGGACGCAAAGCCCGTCCGCATTCTTTTTTTTTTCTTTCAGGGAATTACCAGCTGGCCATCCGTCCAATCGGTCGCTCGGGCGGGTACCTCACAACTTTTGGCGACGTAAACTTGTTGGCCCGAGAGTGCTGCTCCAGGACGGGTCTGAATTCTTGGGTTGCCCGATGCTTGGATGATGGCCGGATGGCGCTCGCAACGGAGTCCTTGTCAACACGGAGGCGCTGAACCACACATTTCAGGGAAAATTATTAGCGGGTTCATTCATGCTCCCGTTGGCTTGGCGCCTGTTCTTTCTGAAAGGGGTGGGGAGGTTTTTTCTTCCATTCTCAGCTGGATGCTGCCGTATGTAGGTACATTAAACTGACCAAGGTTAAGGTCGTTGTCAAACGGCGTAGGACCCTACGATCTATCCACCCATCCACACGTCCGTACACACGTCCGTACACACATACTTAATAGGTACTATATATACATTGCGTGCTTATAGTATGCTTAGGAAGAGGCTCCGAGCACGTAGTACTAGGAGTATATACGTATGGGTTGGCTTCCTTGATGATTGGGTGGGGGTGGGGAGGGGTGGGAATAGAAGGGTTGCGCGTGAACTTATAGAAGAACTACGGTCTAAGAGGCATGGGAAAATAGGCCAGTAATAAATGCCGCCGTGGACATCCCCGCTAGCCAACATAGGGCACTGACCGTTGCAGCTGAAACGTTAGGACAGGTTTCTCGCTCTGATGCTTCCGGGGATGCCTCGACTCGATGGGATCATGGAGGGTGCGAGGACACAGCTTTGGGTCGCGCTAAGTCAATAAACATGAACGTGGCTGGGCTAGAGCATGCAGAATCGGCCCAGGGCGCTGCGACTCGCTTGCCTGGCGCTTCGTCTAAGAGTCAGCAAAGCGAAAGGGTACCTAGGTAATGCCGCGTAACGGAGCTCGCGGTTGGGCGCCCCCCCCCCACACCGTCGTATTCGACAGGTAAACCGAATGGCTGCGATGAACGTCGAAGCAACAAACCTCAGCGGTGAGCGCGGTGAAGGTCAACCCACACGGTGGCGTGGGTACGTGTAGGTATGTAAACATATGTGTGTGCATACCCAGCCAGACCGAGATTTGCATTCCACCCGATCAGGGCGAGGGAGAGGGCCGGCCTGGACAACCGTATGTCTCTGTTATGGATCCTCGCTGATTGGCCTATGCTCGCGTATCAAGTACCGACTGGAGCTTGCTGTCGCGAGTCGCGCGTGGCTTGTCTAGTCGGCATGCGCCATTGGGCCTAGCTGTCGTCGAATTTGAGATCCTCATTTTGTTCGCTACCAAAGTGACGGGTGAGACTAACCAACTGCGCCTGTGGGGAACGAAATAATCGAATAGATAGATCCCAAGGTGATGTGACCGGGCGCACGGGCTCGGGGCAAAATTGATTGGTATTGGGGATCGATACATATGTGTGTAGCGGTAGTAGTCGTAATAGTAATAGTAGCAGCAGCAGCAGCGCTCAGTTACAAGCGGGACCGCGCTGCTTGGGATCTGAGATCTCTCCTCCCAACTTCGAGGGCTCGCCTGATCGAGCAACGGGTGCCTAGAGGGACGTCGTAGCTGACACGACGGTGTCGTATGAGAAACGTGCATGGACGGTGGCCGTGATAACCATGCCGATGACGACGATGACGATGATACCAATAGCGATACTAATAACAGTGATATTAAGCGGGCGGGGAAGACACGAGACTCGCGTCTTCCTTTGGGTTATGGACCGTACGTGCCCAGAGACGAAAGTGGTGGCGCCGATACGAGTCGCACCATGCTGGCGCCTGTATGCACGTAAAACTTATCAGCAGCCCTAGCTCATGGTTTGCTGGGACAAGGGCCTCTACGGTCTGAACCACAGGGTTGCCGGATTTGACGGCCAGAATTGGGAAGGTTGTATCGACTGCTTGGGGGGAGGGGGGATCTGTTCGTCTGATCGAGGATTCCGTGTAATAGGGATGCCGCTTTGACTCTGACCCAAGCAGAGGTGGTAAATGCGGAAATATGGCCGAGAACATCATAACCCAACCGAGGTAGGCTGGGGGGGCTGCGACGGAAACGTAGGATGAGCTGGTTTGGGTCGCTGAGAGAATCCATGGACGGAGACTGTTACGTAGTCTCGGATGAGACATTATTGAACTACCTATACCTAAGCATATAAGGTGATCCGATGCTCGACCATACTTGACAGGATTTATGTGCGGCTGCCCAGGCCAGATATGTACCTAGGGTATTAGAACCGTAAGATGCAGAGAGAGAGGGAGATTAGCAGGACGCGCATATACATAGAAAAACACATACACACACGTAAACACACAAAGACAGGGAGGAGAAGAGAGAGACAGAAGGAGATGGAAGTGCAGATAGAGACAGAGAATGAGGATGGAGAAGGAAGAGATAGAGAGAGAGATACGTATAGGTACCACATACACAGTAGTATACCTTGCGGGTCGAGGCCCTGGTCGTCCTATGTAGTTATCCCCCAGAAGCTTACTCCTCACTCTCTTGGGAGGGAGGGGGGGGGGGGGAGCTCGCATTCCCTTTGGATTGTCACACTGCGACTCTGCAAGCTTGGATGAGCTCACTAGGTCCTCTTGGCGAGTCTGGGGACAGGGCCGTGGCGGTGGCCAGGGTGCAAATCATCCACGTGAACGATGGCTGAGGTGGCTCTGCAGATGAGTGTGGGTGGGTGCGACGATACCAGAGAAGAAACCCTGGTTGTTGCATGCCTGATGAGCCAGGATTCGGGGGCATTGGGTGCTGCGACAACGTCAGAGACGACTCGAAAAGGAGCACCCAAGTACATAGTACGTTGATAGGAGCTCGCCGATTCCGACATGGTACATGATGTAGAACGGAAGGGGATAACGATGCCGCCTCCTATTATATCGGGTTCCTCATCCGCGGGTGCATCGCAATATCACATGCTTTGTAGGACTGTACAGGGTACACGTACCTAACTGACGACCAGCCCTAGGAGACGATGGCGGTGTGCAACAGAGTGGAGAGAGCAAGTATATAACCCAGCATATTTCTGGGCGACTAGGGAGAGGAGGAGGGGAAAGAGGAGAGGGGGAAGGGGGGGAGAGTAGGCAGAGGGGTAGGAGAATACATATTTGCTGTGGTGGGGAGGGAGGGGGGCCGCTGTCGTAGAGCATGTAGGTGAGGATGGCCTCAAAGCGGATGGCATGCATCAGCAGCCGTCGCTGTTAGTGATGACGATGACGATGATGATATATGACAGACGTCGCATGTCGTTGAATTATGGCTAGACCGTCGCGTCTAGGCATGAATGATCTGTCTTTAGCCTCGATCCAACTGCGAAGCATGGGAATTGGATTCAACGCTTGTTTTTAGTCTATCCCAGCGATTTGGGTCACCAAAGATCTGTCCATGCCCGGCGCCATAGACCAAGTCCTGACATATCATCTTAGCGGGAAATCTTTCTGGGGAACCATGCCCGGGGGGTTTTGGCACGACGTCGTTTACATAACCACAGGAACATGTCATCCGTCCACCGACTACAACAGCAACGAGGCTGGCAACGGTGTTTAGTAGGAACAATATATTATCATCATGAAATATCGTGGCGGGAAATAGAATGACTTGCGAGCGTGGAAATATCGCGCTCCACCCCCCGGTCGCACTGGGCCGACAAGTTACTGGTTCTCGCAGCGCCGGCAACCGCTATCGCTCGGGAGGAAGACATGCCACGGCGGCGGTCATACCGAAGTCGGGCCTGGAGTAATCAGCCCGAGGTAGAATTGGGACGGTGCTGCTGGCGGTAGTGATGACGATGGCGTTGGCGACGGTGATCGTGGGAGTGGAGAAGGGGGAGCGGGAGCAACAGCAGAGGGAGGAAGGGTAGTATGAAAGCGGCACCACTGGCTGATGGCGGTGCCGGAGTGGGCTTAGGAGGCCACCTATTGTAACTGCCTGCCGGGAAGTTGCTGGCCTCGCTCGCTCTGTGCGTCTTTCCTTCTCCCCCCCCGCCCCCGCTCTTTTCTGGTCTTCCAGCCCGCCGGCTCTTCCATGTATGAGAGGCAGGTATGTAATGTACCTCATTTGTGAGCACACCCGACATGTACACAGCCGGCCAGCCCAAGTAACCTAAACTCCGAATACCGATGTGCCGACGGAGGCGCTGTGACGGACCGTACCTGCAAGGCGGTAAACGAACCCCCGGGTATGTCGCGATTGTAGGCACGCGGTATACGACAGACACCCGGCTCCAGACACCCAGCCACAGACACCCAGCTCCAGACCCTACTCCATTAGGCACATATGTACCTACCTACCTCTATATAAGTGCCCCCTCTAATGTACCGACGTGTGCGTGTGTGTGTGTGTGACATGGAGAGTCATTGGCTAGTGCCCGTTGCTAGTATGAGCAGGTACCAGCGGCGTGGGAAGTCGCTTATGTGGCAATGTGAATATCCTAGCGTATAGCCTGCCTTAGCTGTTCCTGCCACGGAACCCCTGCCTCGTCGACGTCTGTCCGTGTGGATGGTATTTAGGGTAAGTCAGGTACTTACCTGTGTATGTAGGTACCTACGTGAGTAGGCAAGTAAGGGCATGTATATGTATGTCATGTATGTACATCAGCAGGTAGGTACATTCTGCTATCGTTTTTGCCTTTTCTCACGATGATTACTCATCCCGGGTCCAGCTTCAGCGGCTGTTCTGGGCAATTCTAGGAGCCTACGAGACATGCTTAGATCTCTATTATTAAGAGAGGCGTGTACCGACTAGCCCCATTTGCTGCAGCATGTTTTGGGGCGGAAAAGAGACGAACGGATCGAGGTATGAGACGAAATCATCTATCCACCTGAGAAAAACGCGCCTATCTACCACCTGGACATGGCTACGAACGTGGTGGCATCTCATACTGCATACTATACGTACGGTCCGGAGCCAGAGCCTACACAGGAGCAGGGGCCGAGCGCCTACGGCTCTACGCCATTGCCCGTAAATGCTATGTGGGGGAGGAGCAGGTATTCCGCATGCGGAGAACAACGAGTCGGGGGGTGTCATCGGCAATGCCATCTCAATGGTCGCCTACGAGAGAGACGAGGAGAGGAACGAATGTGGTCTCTCGCGATGGATAGGTGGGTGCCCGTACGTGACGCTGGCGGTGCCGCGAGTCAAGATCCATACCTGCTTCGTTGCCATCTCATCATCAGCCCACGGCCGTGTGGAGCATCGGCGCTTCTGTCGGGATTTGCGGGTGGTTTCTGCGCTCTCGCCTTCCACCCACCTCTAGGCGTCGCGGCCGAAAGGACCGTATAGAGGAATATGAGGAGGCGGAATAGGAGCTGGAGGAGCGGGAGGAGAAGAAAAAAAACCGCCGGAAAACAATTTTCGCCAGTCAGGTGGTCGGCCCACAATGGGGAAGGGTCGGCGTCTCCCAGGCGTAGAGAGGCACCCAGCCCATTTTTATGGATTCGCTGGGTCCCCGTCGATGCGCACAGTCGCCACGATGTTCGCACCCTCTTCCAGCCGAGTGGGATGGGAATACCGATCACCCCATGCAAAAGCGATATGGATAGGGATGGTAGTTGTCGTCGCGAAGGCGATAGGAGGGCTGAATCTCGAGACGGCGACTAAGCGAGGCGCGCGTCCGCATGGAGACGTCGTGTCAGGGGATATGGGGGAGGTCGAACCCCGTCGTCTCCGCGATGGATGTTGTCAGCCCAAAAGGTCCAGGTTCCAGAACGGTCGCCGATGCTCGACCTCGGCCAGTCCTCTGGCCAGGAAATTGGCACGGCCGCACCAGTTCGCCAGGGATTCTTCCCTGTGTACCTCAATATTGGGATACCTACTCCATGTACCTTAACGTCAGTACATCAATACATTACGTAGGCACGTACATACCTTGGGTTATCAGTGGTTCCCACCTCCAGGGCCTGCGGGTTGTCTTTCTGCCTGCCTGCCTTCCTACCTACATATGTACATGTACGTATGGACATACAGCATGTACCTATCGAATGTACCTACCTCCCAAGGCAGGTTGTAGGTATGTGTGATGTACCTAGGTACATTACGTACATTAGGGACCGAAATGCTGCAATGGAGACCTGCATCCCATCCTACCTACCTACATTACCAGGTATACATACATACATACCTGCGCTGTCCTTCCATGCGCCTTTCCATATTCTCCTATCCCTGCTATCGTCGTCAACATGGGTGGCTACCACAACTTGATGCCACGCGAGCCCATCAACAACGACATCATCTCCGGGATGCTTGCCAACCGATTGCGTCCGTTTGTATGCGTGTGTATGTTCCGTATTACCCTTCCACCAAGGTGGGACGGCCATCGCCTGCGAATTCGTCTTCGCGGCAAATATTGCGGTTCGACCACATGTGCCTGCGGCGGTCGATAGGCAAAAATTTGAGGGCGGCGATAGCCTCTCAGCGAATAGTTCACGACGGAGGGGCAAAATCGAGTGCTACGCACAAATGAGGTCGTGTGAGCACCCGAGCCTCGCCCGTCGTGCTGCCGAAGGTTATATATCTCGTCGTATCGTTCGGGAAATTCAAACCTGGAAATTAGGACCTCAGGTGCCTGTGTGCGAGTGTTCGCTGGCCGTGTCCGCCCTGCGAATCGGACATGGGGAGGAGACCAACCCCTCGGATCCGAGCTTGGGTGTTAGTATCTTCTGTGTATGTGTGTATGCCTGGCTGTCTCTCTGGCTGTACGAGAGATTCCTCCACTTGAAATTTTTTTTCTTCGCTTCACACTCTGATGATCCTCTTTACATACCCATAAC